CGCATGGTTCAAGGGGAAAAGACAAAGGGAAATGGTACCGTTCTCTCACTCATCATATTCGTTGCGAAAAAATGAGCCCACTTCTTACTTGCTCACTAGCACAGCAAGGTGAATCAAATTGGCAAATAACCCGTCAATTAAACACGCAATGCCATAAAATCACGCACATTTTGGAACACACAAATGCATATAAAACGGTGTCTCTGGGAAGTGTGTTGATGGATGGACATAGGATATGAAGCCTTAAGCTTACATATTTTTCCAAAACAAGTGACGATTATCATAGATATGTGACAATAAGTGGAAATACAAAAAAACAGAGTCCGGTATGGCTCCAGCTGGTCGACGCAGATATCTCATCGCTGGATCGAGGGATGACGATGAAATGAAATCACCTCGGGTGCAAAGTTGTTGAAATTAATGCATGGGGACGAGATAAAAACTTGGTTCCCAGGGAATGGAGATGGTAGAACAAGTTCGAGAGTTGATTTGCCTGCTGCTGGTTGCAAATTAATTGTCTAGTCAAATTACAATAAATTTCAGTATACCCACCCCTCCACGTATGTAATACCTCTCCAGCCAGTCTGCTAATCAACTCCTCGATATATTATAATGATCAAGTTATGTAACGAAATAAGTGCTTTGTAACGCGTCGGTTAAGATGAGTTGTATCTGCACTGCAGATTCTGCAGTAACACTCCATGCCACGCCAGACAACAAACAATATCAAAACCAGAACTAATTGGCAATCATGACAAGAATGAAACGATGAGATTCAAGATCACTTTAACATTCTTTTGCAAAAATTCAATTTTGTCCAGGAGAAGTACTCTGAGTTTTGCCAGTCATCACGCAATATGTAAAACAAGCGCATGAAACATGCATTTTCTTGTTGAGCTATATATTTTAACAACCGACAGTGAAGTCCTTGGTCACATTTATTTCATGTCATGTATGTAATGTATTTAGTGTAGTATCTTTTGAGTAAGACTTTATCTGTGTGTGTGTAACGCGAAAAAATTAGCAAATGCCAAGTTTATTATTGAGTACAGTGCACGTCATTTCATTTCGTTATAAAACTAAGGAAAGTGCAAATTAAATAACAAATGATGATAGACGTTGATAAATAACTGCAGTAGGAGGAATAAATATAAGTCTCTGTTCTGCTCAATGCTGTTGTAGGAGGGATTTTATTATTGCCTTGAAGCCAATAAAATTTACAATAATACAGTTAATTCAACATTGCAATTTTGTCTATCTTGAGGTTGAGATAGGGTGCCTGGCAGGCAAGAAACCTTGCAAAAAATGGTAAACCATCATCATTAGCACACAACGGCCAACTTGTGCATACGTTCTTTTCATCTACTTCTAAAAGCTAAACCGCCAACAGCATGATTGTTGATTTTTACTGCAACTTCCAAAATTGCAAATTAACATCGAGATGCGAAACGTCGTTAAACTTGTAGTTGCATCTACCAAGCGAATGAATATATGCATTTCATATTTATCCAACCCGTTGTAACAAAAACCAATTATAATGAGAAGGTTTAAGACTTTTAGCACTAATAGCAAAATTAGGTTCGAATTATCAGTCACAATTAACCAACTCCTAATATGGATATGTGAAGAAACAGACGATTTCCTTTATTTTAGTATCAAAGAAATTATTATGGATTTGAATTACAATGAAATTACAGACTATAACTATTTGCAACTTGTACATATGAAATAAAAATCCGAGGTCAAAACCATGCCGACAAAAAGATGCTTCCAAGCATAAGATCAAATTAGGACACGATACCACGTGCGTACGTTTCCATTCTTATTTAAATATGGCAATATTATTCACTCTCAATAAAAAACTTAATTTCTAGACCCAACGCACTATTATGTACTTCTTAGCAGCATATCAAACTAAATAAATTATATTATTGTTTGACAAGTGGCTCCGTTGTGATTGACAACTTATTGATTACAATTATGACAATGGATGACGAAACATGAAAGAAGTAACTTATATAAAACAATACGACGCGAACGGATTTGGACTTGACAAATGACGCGAAGAGAAAAACCACCAACTAGCAATGAATCTATACCTAACGACCTGAATCATCTGAATTTTGACGAAAATGGAATAACGATAACCAGCATCAGAGTAAAATCAGCATCAAGGAAATGAATCTTCCCATATGAAAGTATTTTTTTACTCCATTCTTGCAACTTTGTGTAGGTTAGTTAACGATGATTTAATACCAGGAACGTATTGTAAAGAAGGATTGCTTTGTTGTGCTTTGCTTGATAATCAATGGGTCAAAAAACCGCGATGTCCATAAATGGAAACTTGAACTTACTTCATTCCATTTCGTCTGATTTAACAAGTAACCAACCAATGTATCTGTCTTCGTATGTAATCACTCGACTTCCATCCATCTCATTCCTTTCTTACTTAATTTCGAGTTGAACAAAAATTACCAAATACTGGTTGGCAAGCTGCGTATATCATTTCGTAGTCGTGGTCAAATTCTGCACTTTCTGCAGAGGCGAAAAATAGGTGTGATTCATTCCAAGATAAAATGAATTGCAATGTAATGTAAGCACAAGAGTTGTAAAGTAAAGACAAATACGGGCCTTCAGTTCTTCCACTTGACTTACGTTATGCTTATAATTCCACCAAAGAAAGATACAACAACCGAACAAACAGATAAATGTGGGATGATTCGCTCTTACGAGAGCAAATAAGTGTTAAGTGTATGCTCTTCCAAAATAATATGCTAACGTTTCCTACCATCATCATGATGAACGCAATGCGGACATTAACTTTTTGCAGGTTGTCGTAGTCTAATAAGTAGCTCTGTGATATACATACACATGTAGGTGCAAAGAATCACTTGCAACGTAGAAGAAAGTTCATCAGTCACAGCAGGAGATGACCCACCTTTATTGTTCCAGCGTTTGCAAATAATTTGAATAATACGACATAAGTAATGCCGCTAACTGACTGACCAACGATGACCACCACGACAGTATATCATTCTAAATTCAAATGGTAATATGGAGAAAGGCTGCAACTTTGCAGGTGGTGGGGCATACTTATCATGGGAAAAACAAATAGCGCACCTGCAACCTAACGATTACTAGCCAACAACGGCAGTCGAACTTATGGTCCATATATGCAAGTCAGGTGTGACTTCCAAAAAAGATCATGGCCTAAAACGGGTGACAAATGATGGACAGACAACCGAGAACGGGGCGCGATGAAGATGGTAAAAATAATGCTTCTAAAAATTTGCCACGTTTCCATCCTGAAAGTGTTTGTGGTGATATCCATCAAAATAAGCCAATATTTACACAAAATCCGACTGGGGAAATGTCCCAATACCAGTCAGTATACGTGTCACTATTTCGATTTCGTCCCTCCACCCTCTAAGCTAATTTTACATTTGCGGGTGATGATACGTACATCCTTCATAAAAAGTCTGTAAAGGTGAACATAATAATTTCATGCGAGTGCAATGTGGGTCAAACTAATAAAACTTCCAAAAGCCAACCGGACTCATTCCTCCTCGTCGTCGTCTAACTAAACTACCTATTTGTATGCCATACTCGGAACAAAGAGAGTTTGGTCGATTCATCAACCCAGCCAAAGTACAAAGTATGTAAGCAAAGCTTACCAAAACCACCACAAACTAACCAATATGACATGACAACATTCTCATTAAACACCCACACCATCAACCACATCATGGCTAAATCAGCTCACCTCAACTTACTTACTCATGATCTTGTGGTAATCCCCTACCAAACGCAACACCTGCAAAATATCTCCCAAGAGAGTAATAAATCTATTGCGGTTGCTGCTTTAATTTCGAATGACGAGGACTCCAAGACAAGACGGGAGGAAAAATGGTAACAACGTCAAAACAATTCTCGGGGGAGATAACGTTTTAGCGGATCCGATTTCATTGAACTTTATTGAAATGACGACAATTGTAGAATTTAACAAATCATGAAATCGACTGACTCATACTTCGACCCACATGAGTGTCTTTCCCACTTTAGAAAAATCTTACATATACAACTTTGATTTTCCAGTTACTACTTGGTATTCTCATTTTCCTCAAAAGTAGGAGAGCCGTCTGGATTTCAATTTACTCGTCATCATGCAATTTCTACATGTATGAATTTATTTACATTTTCCTACACGTTGACTGACACATGTCTGCCAAACCAACCCAAACGCACTCTACTTGTAATATTTATTCTACTCTGATAATAGAAATATGCCATGTTCGGCCCGTCTGAAATAAATTATCCAGCATTCAAAGCCATGCATATGAACTAACTACAGGGAATGAGGTTAACGTGATGGATCAATGCGAATCAATGTTGATGTTGTTCAATCGGATATTGACACCATTTTCTCTCACAACACAAAAAAGAGCTTGGCGTGCGTGGCAGTCGGTACCCGTTCGGGTGATGAACAATGAAAATGGCATCGACGACGACGACGCTTCTTTCAAGAACGTGTAACTTTTGTGTAATCACGATGACAATGCTCCCCTAGAAAAGCCGCTTAATAAAAATACGACTAGAACCACACCCTTCTAAACATTTCTTCCACCCTCTTTCCCTCCCTCCCTCGAAGGTTGATTTCATCGCCATGAAATGAAATGAAATGAACTAGGTCTACACACATAATACGTAATATTGAATTAATGGGTTACTTCCTCCCTTACACACACCTCTCCTCAATTGTCTACGATTCCACTACCCATTAAATAAAACCTGACAATCGACACAAACCATGGATGGATGCACTAGGTTGGAATCATTCCCATTTATTTACCTACCAAAACAAACACGCTATCTATTTATATCATGCCATGAGATGTTTAACCCCATATAAAATGTATGTAGACCTTCCACTAAAAATATGCCAAATTTATGAAAAAAGTTCGTTCAACCAGGTTCGAGAAAAAACGTTTAAAAAAACTTACGCTTTCTTAATGTCCGCATTGGTGGACGTTTTAGCCACTTCCAACACTTTGTAATAGTCCACCGTCATGATGCGATTATGAGGGTCACGTTACAACTACTAGTGTTACTGTTTGGTCACTTTTTCTTTATCGGCGGACGGAGGGGAACTAATTAGTCTGGCCGGACTGGAAGACCAGACCAGTTGTCGTGTCGTGAGAAGAGGGGCACGAACCCGGAATCGGAGCACTAGGCGGAAAATGAGGTCGTTGAATTCCTCCGTATTTACGCTCGCTCGCTCCTTGTTTTCTTCCTTCCTCTTGTGTCGGCCACTATGGGAACCACGCACAAACAAGAGGCGAGGAAAATTATTCGAGGCGATTTTTCTTTGTCAGTGACAAATTTTCACGAGATATCTGCCAGTTCTTTATTGTTCTTTCACTTGTTTCTTGTTCTGGAGGAAAATTTTAGGAAAAATGTTGACACGATTTTCTTCTAAGGCTTCAGGTTACGAAGATGATCCCCATTTTTGAATTTTTTTCTCTTTGGTAAAAAGAGAAGCTCAGCTGCGTGCGTGAGAAGATGTAATGTTACGTATGAAGATATAAGCAGAGATGTGGTTTGTGCAGTCGAGCTGTTGCCGAGAGTACAGAACCCTACCAACTGAACGGACTGATATTTTGGTTGGGGAACTTGTACGTCTGTGGCGATATGTAATGTAATGTAATGCTGTGATGGGAAACGCTTGCTTTGTATGAGGGCTAGACTTTGGTGGAGTGGTGAGAAGAATTGAGAATAGTCTTTGTTATTATATGGAGGACTGTTATATGTAAGAATGGACGAGGGTTAACGATTACGACGGGCTTCGTGTATGGAGTGGTAATGAGTATCTTGTGATAAAATTGGTTCAGGACTCGTGTAGTAAATTGTATTGGACGTGGTGAAAGATCTGACTGGAAAATGTGGTTTTACATTTCATTACTAGTCTTGATTATGAATTTTAATTGGCTAAATTCCGTTTACTAATTGAAATTGACGTCTCATTTTCCCCTTTCTTGATTAGCAAGATTGACTTGAATGATGATGATTAATGATAAAAGTTGACACAAGTTCAAGTCGGATTAGATGACGAGTTGCATATTGCATATGATGAACTGAATTGCTTCTTACTCATTTCATTTTCTTACTAATAATAATATTATTCTGTTTAAGATGCTGGAACACGTTTCACGTAGTCAGCAATGTCCTGGGAATCTTGTTCACGTCATAATATGTATGTGTGCTATTACTTGGTATGGCATTCGCTATGCTAATTAAATCTTTGTTTTACATTTGATTCGTGTTAAATTCTTTTCTCAGATGAATCACATCCGATTTTTATCGTGGTTCCTTTATCATATCAGATTTATTTGCATGACACGTTAGCGTCAATTTAAAGATTTATGACCCACCAACTCTCAGAAAATAGTTAGCATATGTTCATTCAGGTTAGTGTGGAATTGGAAGTGTATAAAACACTTAATATACAGGATATGGTGAAACATGAATCTTGGATATAACGTGATTTTACGTGTGTAAATCCATACGTGTTATTTAGCACGGAAAATGAGTTCGGTGAAAGTGAAATAGCACACATGCTATAAATGCTTTTGCAATGAAAGCCGGACCTCATAAAATTAATTCATTTGGCTGCGTTTAGGTTTGAAATGCATGTATTTAGTAAATATCGTGTACAATTTTTGGCACGATAGGTAAAACGGACAACAAAATTGTTGAATATTTCGCAACATTTTATTGCTTCATGTTTATATAAGCCAATTCGGTGAAAATATAGCAAAATATTATGAAATTTAGTGTTTAATTTAGGTATTGGGATTTCTCAGAGACAAATTTGTATTCAATGGAATATATTTGACCTCTCCCCTTCTGTTGGGACTGGGAGTTAGATGGGTTTTGCGGCGGTGCGGCCGTAACACGGGGTCTTAATGTAGGCAGGCGACTTTATGTAGGCGTCGATTGCAGGGATTGCCTCAAAGTTATCAACGTACGAGAGCAGGTTCTTGTGCCCTTCGATGAACTTGGTTCGATAAGTCTTCAGTCGGTAAAAAATCTCATACACCACAAAGTCCAGGTAGGAGAGCTGCCGGTAACAATATGTGCGATAAATTAATCAGCTATAAGAATCTCATGATATGCATATTATCAATATTTTATCACCTCGTCTCCCAAAAAGAACTTCTTATCTCCCAAAACCTTAGAAATGGCTTCCAATTTTGGGGGAACCATCGAATCAAACAATGTGTTTGCAGCTTCCTACATATAAAATAAATATTCAAACATTAATTTAAATACGAGATTGTGTGGTACATACATGTTTATGAAATTTTGGTGGATTACCGTGTCGCTATACACAGACATGGCAAAGAATCGACCAATGTCGTCGATAATTCCCTCAACTTCTTCAACAACGACGAGCTTGGAGATGTCAGAGGAAATAAGTGCAGGCTTGTATTTTCGGATGACATACTTCAAAATGGCTCTGGACTCGGATAATTTCTCCTTGTCGTCGATCCAATAAGGGAGCTATTTTAATAGTAAATAAGTGAATCATTACATATATTTCAATATTTGAGAAATCTCTATATTTCCATCTCTCACATTAGGGCAGAGGAGTCCCAAGTTGGGCTTTTGTTTAGTCCAAGTGTCATCCCCTTCCTTGTCCTGGTAGACCACATCTTTTTTGGTGAAGACATAAAATACTTGTAATAACTGACCAAACTTAAATAACTCAAAAAATCTGAGATTAAAATCATTACGTTACCCTCATAATCGACGCCCATATAAGCCAACGCAAATTTGATGGACTGTCCCAGCCCCCTGAGATTCCAATACCCGAATTGTGGCTTGCCCATATTGAATTTCAATTATTTATTTGCTGAATCTGGAAGAATTATCGATCCCGAGTCTACAAGTTGCCGGTGGTAGTTGCAAATACGAACTGGATTCAAGGATGTAGCGTCTCTCCGGTGTATGCCGGTAGGCTTGGTTGGTTGGTTGGTGGGGGATAATACTTTGCAAAACAGTCTCCAAGCTAATAAAATTCAAGGCCAGACAGTAATCACCCCGTTTTATCTTTAAACACAAGTCAGTCGCCATTCTTTTCTAGTTAAGTTAACATGCATGGTAAGGTTCCTCCTCCTCCACTTCATCATTATTATACTACGGACAGTATTACTGACTGACTGAGTGGTGTGACAGTTTGCATTTTTTTGTACACAAACACTTGCATTGCTGGTTCAGCCCAGATTTTGAGCCAATGTAAGCTCAACGACCAATTTCATGGAATGATTAGAATTTATATGCAGCCCACACTCCCCCATTCACTCATTGTTATAATACTCTGAACAAATGCTAATATAGTACTAATGCTCTGACAGTGTCAAACCTGTGATGGTGGAGGATGGAATTAATTGTGTGAGTATGGAATTAGCATTACATGCAAAAAGTTGAAAGGCTTGGAAATTGCATGCGAAATGGTTTTGCAAATGTTGGTCAAATGTATTATCGTGCCCCAAGCACCGCTAATGTTGAACTTGCTCTGTTTTTTCATCAAATGCGCACATTTTTTATTGCTCTTCTTGAAATGTAAAGTAATCTTTTGTCATTTGTTTTTTTTTGCGTAATAATCTCCTGGATAGCGTCGTGAGTGAACGACGAGTGGGGACATTGTCCTTCTTTCTGTGTGGGTTGGTCCGGATTTCGTGTGTGGACAAATGTTGGCACTGTTGGAGTTGATGGTGTTTGTGAACATTTACTTATTCGTCGCCATCCTCTTTCTCAGTGAGCTGGATTTTATCCGACTTCTTCTCAGTCTGCAACAAAATTCGGGAGGAAGTCACAATCACCGTATTGGAGATATTCTCATCGTGGTCAATTCCTAGGAAATAGCATGAAGAGGACTTGTAGCTGAACAGGTACAAGATTTAATTAGTTTCAAATTAATCAAAGTCTGTGGGGTTGACTATATTAGTTAATGATTTTCTAGACCCAAATAAACTTGCTCAAGAGATGAATACCGCAGCCGCAATAACACGCAACGAAATTCCACGTCGTGCAATTTTGGCATTGTACAAAAAATTGCTTCGTTATTCAAACAGTTTAAAGTACACGGACAAGTCGTACTACTGCGCCAGAGTTAGGGGAGAGTTTGGGAAAAATCGCAATATATTGGACAATTCTGTAATCCATTTTCAATATCAGGTATGTTAATAACTTAACATATATGATATAATATTGAGCCTCATTGTTACATAATGTTAAAATGGAATATATATTCTTGTTTTCAGAAAGGATTACAATTTCTCTCGCAGCGTCGACTTTTATAACCAGTCCATCATCATCAACCACTATGGCCTTCAGATTTTCAAGTTTTTGTTTTAAACCAACTGCGTTTTCTGCAAGCAAGGGGGTAAATTTGTCGTCGTCGTCCTTGAAAATGCCGTTGCTGTATCACATGTCTTATGGGAATGGGAACAGCACAAAAATCAATAGTTTAGTAGTAAAATCGTCGTGGTCATTAAGATTGTTTACTCGATATCCTGCTTGCTTTACTTTTAGTCATGATAACACTGTTAGATTTGTTCATTTTCGCCAGTACGTTGGAGTACGCCACAAGCACACGGATGGAATCGATAGGTCTCGTGTCCCAATTGTAAACGAAGAAGATTTAGAGGAATGGTACATCAAGGGAAGTGGTCCTGGTGGGTCAAATGTGAACAAGCGGACAAATTGTTGTTGTTTAAAACATATACCCACAGGTGAGATTATTATTATTACTATTATTATTGACGATAGCCCGTTGATTTAACATGAAACGACGAATGAAATTTAATATCTTTCGCAGGAATCGTAATTAAATGCCACCTCGCCCGCGATTTATCCCAAAATCGGAAACTAGCTCGGACAATGATGGTCGAAAAGTTAGATGACAATATAAACGGAGACATGAGTGTAAATGCACAGTTAGAGCGACGGGCGCAGAAAAAAATCAACGAGTCAGTTGTACGCCACAAGAGAACTCTGGACCTCAAACGCAGATATAAAGAACTATTAGAAAATGAAAATAGTAAGAATGATGACGAAAGAGTCATACCGTCCGCGTCGGAAGAAGTTGCAACGAAGCAACAATCAACTTGATTATAAATACTGCACACTGACTCGGCACAGTTACATAGTTATGATTAGTTTAATTAAGTTAATTATTATTGTGCACGTCATGTTATTTGATAAATGAATTAATGATGATGCAGATTAAATAGACATAGTAATTTAAAAGTCATTGAGTAATAAGGTCAGTTATTTATTTATTGAAAGTTGCAATGTATTTCATGATTTTATTTGCAGTACTATAATTTAATAAGTAGAACAATCAGTTGTTGAGTATTTACGCGTGTATGACATAAAATGGGCCTTGACTCTCTGTTTCAAATTATTTATCTTTTTGCAAATGATTTTTTTCAACGATCGCTCACTTCATAAAGGTAAATTTTGTTTTCGGTTTCATCGTTTCTATGCAGCATTCAAATTCAGAGAGTGTGGTTTGTGGAATTTCAGTTTTATTGCGTCTCATACAACGAAGGTCATGGAATCGTATCACCACTATTCACCACTCTAGTTTCTCAAGTTTTCGTGAAATGATATCACACTGAAATATACATAATTCGCTAATCTAGCTGATGTGTAATATATTTACACACTTACAACTAGTGGCGAGTTACTAAAAATTTGCCTTCCTTCTTTGGGCATAGTTGACATGTCATTAATTGATTATAAATCACTTCCTGTTGAAATAAAAGAATGCTTAATTTTATTTCAAAAGTAAATTTTCAATCAAGCTTCTGTATTTGTGTTATATTTTTAAGTTCAATAAAACAGTCGTAAAATGTTTTATTTTATAATGTTTTCTTAATCATAAATATAATTACTTGAAGTTGTGCACCTAAAATTTTACAAACAAGCTTGAGGGAGTGCTACTTTTACTAATCTGAAGTATTATTGAAAGTAAAAATGATCTCGCTGGAAGATATTTTTAGACTGATGGTGATTTTTATTAAACAACTTGGTTTTAAGGTTTTGACAGTACATAGGAGACATTCATACATATGTAATAATATGTGGTCAGAAGTGACCATACAAACTACGCAGAGTTATGCTCAAACGAAGTGTCCCTTCTAATGAGGCATAAAAACAAAAGGACCCTTTTAATCCCTTGTCCTGGGAAAAAGGTTGGAAAATGCTCAGCCCTCATAAAAGTCGACAAACTTAAAAATTGATAAATATGGAAAACTTTGTTAACATGCATATTTTAACAATTATTAGTGGGTTAATATGTACATATACGTATACATACATATATAAAAGTATGTATGTGCATGCATGCATGCATAGATACACAAATCTTATTTGTTCTCTGATTCTGCATCCGTTGAATGAAATTCATACACTTCATTCTCATATCATCAAATTCACTTATTTGTTTGGCGTGTTTGTGTTATTGAATAAACTTTTATCGTTCTTACAAATTCATTTTCCATGAATAAATACGTACGCATATTCAAGTACCATATTCACCATAATAAAGTATAAAACAATTTCGTTAAAATGCTTGTGTTTCAAGATATTTGGGTAGCAATATTACTTGCACATACAACCATCATCTTGAATACCATCCATTGCCAAAGAGGTACACACCTTAATATTCATAAATAGTTCATGTGCACATCATTCACCTTAATTTTACAATAAATTACGAATGATTGATCACCACTGAAAATTTATCGTTCTGCAGTGGAGTGCAATCCAAGAGTAGTTCAAGAGGATGAAAATAAAATTGTCTGTGTTTGCAATGAAACGTATTGTGATTCCCTTGGGCCAATTACACTTCCGGAAAAAGGAAGCTTCATTATCTACACGTCCAACAGAAAAGGACAACGGTTAAAGAAAATTGTTAAGTCGTTTGTTCATGGAAAACGACGGTTGTCTCAATATCATAGCGGTACGTGAATCAAATCTGTTAATATTAAACATAACTCCCATTATTAATTTTAAACATGCAGCTTCCCCGTATAAAATAAAAATTACGGTGGACACCAGTAAAACGCGTCAAACTGTGCTTGGCTTTGGAGGTATGTTTAGTTGGAGATTAAACGGTTCGTACATATATGTAGCAAATATGCATGGATGGTACAATTAATTGGACCTATTTTATGTAGGAGCTTTTACAGATGCGGCCGGAATAAATATCGCAAGTTTATCAGAACCCTTACAGAAGCAATTGTTAAGGTAAATAATTAAAAAAACAGAAGGAATTATTTATATAACTCTACATGGGATGAAATTAAAATGTGTAGCTCATATTTTGGGCCGGATGGGATCGGCTACAGCATCGGGAGAATTCCCATCGGCGGAACAGATTTTTCAACGCGACCTTACACCTACGACGACAATAATCTTAGAGTTGATATGAATCTGTCAGCTTTCTCTCTTCAGAAAGAAGACTTTGAATATAAGGTTTTTAAACGGAAATGGACAGTTCAATAGTTTCCAAAAATCAAAGTACTCAACTTGTGTGTATGCAGATTCCATTTGTGAAACTCGCACAAAATCTGGAGCCCACTCTGCTTCTGTATGGAAGCCCATGGACAGCTCCACCATGGATGAAAACGAACAAGGCTTACACAGGAAGGGGAATGCTTCAGAAGCAGTATTTCAAAGTGTGGGCCAATTACATAGTCAAGTTAGTCGCAAATAATAATAGTAATGTATTTCCATATTTAGAAAGTTGTACAAATTTATTACAATTATGTTAAAGTAGTATTTTGCAGGTTTTTGCAAGAGTATGAAAAGCAAGGCGTTAGGATGTGGGGGTTAACTACTCAAAATGAGCCGATTGATGGGCTAATCCCATTCTTCCCGTTCAACAGTATGGGTTGGACGTCGTCCATGCAGAAAGACTGGGTTAAAAATTACTTTGGACCCATTCTTCATGAAAATGGATATCAAGATGTTAAAGTGATGATTCTGGATGATAATACTATTTTACTTCCTTATTGGGCAAAAGATGTAATTCAAATTTTGTGTACTTCAAAACATGCTCAGATTAAATGGGTTATTCATACGAAGAACATTGTAAAATTTCTACGTAGGTTTTGTCGGATCCAGACGCGTCGATGTTCGTATCCGGAATTGGGGTTCATTGGTATACCAGACAGCTCTCGGGTTACGAAGGAGTTCGAAAAACCCTGGACCTATTTCCGGATAAGTTTATATTGGCCACGGAAGCATGCGCAGGTAGAATTGACCAAAAAATTGCATTTGAACATTTTATGTCGTGTGTGTGTGTGTGTTATCGGATGTGTTGTTCAGGATTTTTAAAATGGCAAGACAATGTGGACCTGGGATCTTGGGAACGAGGGGAAGAATACGGTGAGGATATCATCCAGGTATCAGCTATGTACATGTATTTAATTAAGCAAAAGGTGGAACTTACATGTATGAATACTAAATTTGACTAAAATTAAAATTTTGGCTAGGAACTTAATCATGGTGCATCAGGTTGGACAGATTGGAATATTGCCCTGAACAAGTTGGGGGGTCCAAACTGGGTCAACATGGGGGCAGATTCTCCCATAATTGTCGATTCCGAGGATATGGAATTCTACAAGCAGCCAATGTTCTACATCCTCGCACATTTCTCAAAGTTTTTTACACGGAACTCGGAAATAATTTCCAACCAAATTAGCGCAAATAATTCCAATCTCATCAGCTCTCTGATTAGTGGCTTATCTGGTTTCGACGCACAGCTAAATCCGGACTTTGCGAAAAACATATTTGCAGTTGCTGCACTCCGAAGTGACAATGCAGTCGTAGTGGGAATACTTAACAAGTAAGAACGATAGTCAAATTATTTAATGGTACGAATATTTAGCAATTTTGTGGCATTTCAGAAACGAGTTTCCCGTTCTAGTTGACCTCGTGGATAGCAATGGAGGCCGTGGTACAGCGGTATTTAATATTAGTGAGAAATCAATGTCAACAATTCTGTTTATGAGTTAGTCAACAATAAATAAATAAATTTCATACAGATTTTATTGACAAAAGCAAACTTTGTATTAGAACAGTATCAAAGAATATATGAAATAATTGATTATAAAGCTGGAATCCGTTTAAGAAAGACGACCGTGTCTTCTCCATAAACTTCTGTTTCTGAAAATGAGAATTCACATTACATCAAAAACCTTCGCAATTTATAATTCAGGCAACATACGAAAAGTTGGCCTACATTAACATAGATAGTTTTCAGCATAGGATGGACGTACACGGTTGCAGAGAGAAAGAGCAGAATGATTCATCTCCAGCCAAACAATTAGCTACTTGCTTACTACCTACAGCCAACAGCAATATGTATATAAATATTTTAAAACTTGGCTTTGCCTCTCCTGCCCCCTCTGCTCCCACCCCCACAGCAAATGCAGATCATGAGAATGAGTGAAATGAACACAAGAACGGCAGTAAGTCCCACAAATATCCAGAGCAGCAGGGGGAATGGTTCCAGCTCGGAAATTTGCTCAGATAATCCCTGAATTTGTGGCAAAATTGACAACCAAAATCCAGTCTCCTGTAAGTTTTAGAATCAATTCGAAATCAGAGGAACCATTTTTACTTGTATTTCTTGGTGTCTGGCTGCCTCACCGCTTTCCTATAGTCGCCTTTGAGTGGGTGTGATTTAACTCCCAAGATAAAATAGTTAAGATTTCCATCATGGGCACGAACCCATTTTTCTCTTACGCGACTATTCCCCATGATTTGTTTCGGGCTTTTATATTTTGCGAACGATACCCACAACTTGACCAAAAAATCGGATAACGATTCCTCCTCTGACGTCAGATTTCTTTTCGAGGGATTGCTCGATAATTGTACTTCTGTTGACGGGTTACCACTGGTGGCTGCAATTTCAGGTTGGTCCAAGGGTTCAAAGAGGTAAAATAGCTCTTTCCTGCGAGAATGGTTCAAATTTGTAAAGTTGGTGTTATTTCATTAGGCATTGATTCGCCATTTTAGAAATAAGTCGTCTTACCATGGGGGAATCTCTGTCGAATGCATACCTCGTTCTGGATTTGAAATACTGGAGTTGGTGTAGTGAGCTAGTGAAATAAATGGGGCAGTGTTATTCGAGAAACTATATTATTAAACGTAAAATGAGATACCGGAAGATTTGAGTCGTTTCTCAAGATAAGTGTTGAATTGGTCAGAACTTGCGTTGAAGATGTAGCTGAAAACGGGAGATTTTGAGTTGGCAGCGAGGAGTTGAGTCAACCTTCGCTGTCCCGAATTGACTGTGAGATCCCCAAAAAGCCGAAACAATTTCCAAAGGACATTATCTACTGGAGGCCACTTTGGACCAATTAATTGACCAAAATAAAAGTCCCAAATACTGAGAAAAATGCGATGAAATTCTAAAGAATAGACAGGATCAAGACCTAAAATTGTTTTTATTGTGGATTCCAACCTGACATTATTTACATGATTAGATTTAATTTTCGATCTGAAGCACTGATAAAGAACAATAAAATCTCACCTATCCATTAGAAAATCTTTGTCCTCCAACTTTGCCTCTCGATCGGGCCCCAGCTTAACATAAAACTCAAGGAAGGGGTTGAATCCTTCAAATGCGCTAAGTCCCACCATGAGGGGGACAGAGGACATAAACTTTCCTTGTTCCAAGAGGTTTTGTGGCTCGTCAGAAATTACTGGAAATGCCGACCAAGAACCATCCACTCCGGGGGACATTCCTCCAGGATGACGTGGGTAGCTGAAAAATTTTGAGAGACGATGTTGCACACGAATTAAGGAATCCGTTTCCACCAATCGTAAGCATTCAAGAGTTTGATCTTCATCCTGGTATATAATTTTATGAACTCATAAGTTAAACAAAGCAGCGAGGCATGATAATTTTCTGAATTATTGCTTACACTCATCCCACATCCGACTTCTTGTGCCACCATGCGAAACAATTTTTTGGCGTCATCTTTCCTATTGCTGTGATTTTTATTTGTTTTAAGCTGTGGACTAAATACGGACGAGGTGGAAGATGGACTTATTATCGCGGAGTGGAAAAGGCCTTTGGCTCCATTTGAGAGAAGGAGATATTCCACATTTCCGAACACACAGACTGAAACAGGGTTACCTCCAAACCTGTCACATTTATCGTAATTATTTAGGTACACAATAAAATTATTCCATAATTCGATGGAGTTGTTTACCGGTAAATGTTGTCCTGTACCCATCGAAGTGCTTCGATTTGGTCGAGAAGTCCATAGTTTCCTATTTAAATGAGATGTTAAATAGTTATTTTGATTTTTCACAATTGATATTTCTTACCAGGCAGAGATTCTTCCCCATTAGACAAGAAGCCCAATAAACCCAGACGATAAGTCACGGTCACCAGTACGACATCCTCCTTCATAAACCTATCCGGTCCATACAGCTGAACAGATCCAGCAAGAAATTCCCCTCCGTGAATAAATACCAGGACAGGAAGCAGATTCCTATTCTCAACTGTCCAGGATGTGGTATTTTCTGACAATCCGTGGGTCGGACGCTTGACGGTACCTGTCAATAGGACAAATTTGTTCGCAATCTAGACTTAACTATAACAAAATTAGTCCACTTTAAATACGTACTTGGCACATATGGAGTAAACACGGAAAGATACAAGCAGTCCTGAGACCCGATTACCCTCCTCCGGTCTCCATCCCACTGGGGACATGAATCAAAGCAATTAAATAATCTAAATATGTGGACTAATTTGCCATAAAGTTTGTGTGTACCTTGAGCTGGGGACACGGGGGTTTGAACTGAGTGGCGATACGTGGTGCTTTGCGAACCTCAACGGGCGTTGGGGGCTTCCATCTGGTAGTAGCTTGTGCGTACGGAATTCCACGGAATGCAAAATAACTACGAGGAGAAAATAAAGAAAAATTATAAATAATTGGTTAATTAACTACTAAATAATAAATAAATAATATAATTATTGAACACATGTACCTGCGAGGTAGCGCGTTTGGGTCTTGTGTTGCAGATGGTGAAGAATTTAGCTCGGTGACACGTTGACCAATGAAGGATCCAGCCCCCACCGTGTTAAGAGTTACTTGGTCATCCCCCATTTCAGATAATTGAACTAATGCTGTCGACATTTGGGTGGAAGCTATCAAGAGAAAGGCGACCCCCACCCCCAAAAAAATGCCAATATGACACATTCTCTTGCAGGTTAAATTGTAGGTCCCTTCTTCCTGATCACCACGATAACAACACAATCCAACCATTCACGGAAAACTTTTACATTTTCTAAAATTTACAAACTTTTGCAAACTGTGGTAATATGCAAACTCGTGATTTTGCCAAAAGAACAGACGTTCACCACCGATTTTTGCACAGCGGGAGGTGCATGAGTTTGTTGACCCGTTAACGTCCGACGGTCTCAATTTGCAGTATGTGTGGAACACATTTGATTTTAACATAAGATAGGATTAACTGCTCATGATGATGAGAACGGGATAAGCAGATTTAATTTTGATCGTGGAAAGAAATCCGAGCAGCAAGAAGGAGGATGATCTCATATCAAAATCCAGCCTCTCTCTCCTTACAATTTACCAAACAACTATTTAAAAGACGATGAATTGACAATTTGTGCAGGATTGACTCTTAGTTTGTCTAACTGAATAAAAATTGCATTAAAGTTCTACAAATATTTTTGATATCTACTTAATAATGCTTGCTCTGCAGATAAGAGAATCGTGGCTATACGTCGATACGTTTGAGTGTGTATGCATATATACGATTGCAAAAATAGACGGAATGAATCACAGTAAAAGAATGGGTAACCGTTCGTACATGCTTTTTGTCATGTACCACGCACGTGTTTCCAAAATTAGAGACCAAGAAACTAAAATACCCGACAAACAAAAACAGTTTCAGAGTTGTAATGTAGTAAATTGTGGTTGTGGGAGTCGTTTTGTAACAAGTTTGGTTTTACAGGCCGTAGTTGGATCAAAGTTTGAAACAAACCGAGCACGAATTATAATGATCCAACTGCCCAAATATTTCAAATTTGTCCAACTTGATTTGATCATTAGATGTGGATCGCCGTTTTTAACTAAACTTTAGTTTAGATTCAACATGCGAAATGAAAACTAACTGGGTTGTGTTTAGTTTTCTTATTTCACATTTTCTGACACGGGCTTCTCAAGTGCCTGCCATAATTATGGAACAGAACCAAAAATTAAAACCAACATGTACAAATAAACAGATTTCCTTTCGCATCATGCTTTTTTTCTGTGCTTGTACCTTCATTCTTGTTCGCATTGGTTTGATAAACTGTATCGAGAATGGATTGATGAGTGCGAAAAATATGCGTAAAAAATTGCTTATACAATATTACCGTTCACCTGAACTATGTATATTTAATCAATTTGAAGAATCATAACGATACATATTTGCAATTTTGCATAAGTATTATTGTTAGTAAATAAAATTACTGGATGTACAATTTTCCCAATTATGTTGCATGCACAAATTGATTAATCTACATATTTTATTGGTGGGATGAGACTTATATTTCCTATATTCAGTAACAAACACATAATTACGATTAAGATGATGAAGGTTCTTGATGTCAATTTCGATGTGACGTTTTTTCCGTTGACCTTTTTATCTAAACATATTTAATATCCGTATCCACATTAATTTTGTCTTTTCATTGTCCGGATGTGGGGATCTAGTCCATAGATCCTTGAGTTGCCTGAAACCAACACATTTCTCAAATATGCATGCCTAAATAGTTTAACTTTCATATTTCTGTCAAAATAAATATATGTGTATACCTGGGACTTCCTTCGTGCAGCCCAACCAGTGTAAACTGCCTTCTTTTGTGGTGTGTACTGACCGTGGGTGTTAACCTGTTTAATTAGAAACATGTTGAAACAGCGAAAATTCAATGAAATGTATGAAACAACTTACTTCCCCGACGATCTTGACCTTGAAGGGGCTGTCTTTAATCGGAGTCCCATTGAACTTGGGAGAAACTACGTACTGTCCGGGAGCAAAAGGTCTCCAGGTCACTTCGATGTCGCCATTGTCTTGATGTTCAAACTCAAGTTCCGGTTCAGAAGGGCCGTCAATGGCGACAGAAAGTCCCTCGACGATCTTCTCACCCTCCTTAAAATCTTGAAGGTAAACCATAAATCTGCACTTTCCACCTGCAATACAAAAAAAAGTTATGAAGAATGTTCAAAGTTGACGAGACTTGCCTTGGCATTCCATTAACCTATTTACATTCATAGGTTAGATTATTTCGGGCTGCGCATTTTTTGATGTACATATTTTTTAAAGTCAAATATTAAATCGCAAAAACACAGTGACCTTAACCTTAATGGTCATTAGAAGATAATTTTTTGGAGCCGTAAAAAGTCGTAAAACTAGAAAGCTTTTCATCCGAATCCAATTATCGGGATGAATGCAAACAGCACAAATATTTTCTGTGGCCGTCGTTAAAATATGCCTCGTGGGAATTGAGCGTTTCGGTCTTGTGTGCTTAATGCAGAATCGTAATAATTTTGAATTTCAAAATTATTTTTCTACCGTCGCCAGCCATAAAGCGAACTGAACATTATTTTCAGACAACCAGTTTATTATCGTAGTTTATGCTGATTCAATTTATTTAGTGTTTATTCGAAAGGAGGGACACATGTAAATAAGTATCGCAGGCATATCCTTAATGGGGTAGATCATGTATCTCTTACTCTGCAACGACATTTTCACGAGTAAAAATGTGCTTGGAATAAAACGCAGGTAATTTTACTTTACATAAAGGTTTGATCATAAATTGGACCACATCAGATTTACGTAGACTGCTACGTCTAATCCTAAGGTTTAAGACTCATTTTTGCAAATATCACCAACATGTACAGATAATATGTAGTTCTATACTAAATACGCAAACTCGTTACTTAACTGAATGAATCAGAATTGGTGGGGATGTAGACTAAAATCTCATTAAATGGCAAGCATTGAACTTTATGGAGAAGGAGGAAGTACATAAGTGCTTTATTTTTAGAAAGGTCTTTAATCAACTGCGTCGCATTCAGTATTTATCACAAAATCACAGCACATTAGGGTGGCGAGTAAAGCATATATTTTAGCATTTTTATACAAATCTGTCACCCGAAACCAAGTACCACAGCCAAACCCGGCCAAGACAAACTCAAGAAAAACAGACAACTATCTACACGACGATCTTCAAGACCACCAACGAAAAAATGTAACGTGCTTGGGTCAGCATAAACCAAATTCAGCAAAATTCTTATGTAATCTGGCTGATTTTTGCGACACAATAATAATTCTGCCTGTCTGACGCGTATGTAGGAAAATATTGATGTCTTGTTAAAATATCTGCATAAACAGGAAATCTTCGTCTTCATACGTGGTGTAAACTTGACATTGGCGAATCATAATTTTAAAATAATAGACAGGTCTGTTCTCACAGGAAACAATAAAATTGAATGTAATTTTTACCAATTCAAATGTATTTCTGTATAGTTGACCATGGCCTGAATACATGCTTGAGAGGACTATCGGGGACTGGATTTTGGTATTTCACCATCACATTATGTCATTATTATTTCAAGGAAAGTTTGCAGATTTTTTTTGCAGGTTGAAATTTATATCGTCTCAAATTTTATCGGGAGGGTTTTAACTGAACGTGTATGGCATGCTCCATCTACGTTATGTTGTTTTATGAGTCAGGTTACAGACAATGTGCGAAAGAAACAATTTGCAAGAGCCAGGAAGTCGTCAACCGTGGTGGAAATTGGGGGTTTGCCAGAATGACAAAAATCCACAATCCCCCTCAAATAACTCATGGCTGTCACATATTTTATGCCTCAAAAACCAAATGAAAATGGAAAGTATCTTGTTTTAAATTCACCTTTCTTTCTAAATGTATGTACTTGTCGAACCGTCGTCATGTAATGCGCTTGTGGTTGCGTCATTTATGTATGTAGGCATCGTAACCAAATTTTGACCCAAGGTGTATTTGTGTGTTTGGATTAAATGGAAGGTGGACAACATTGGTGCATGAGTGGGCAGTGGGGGTCAGAACGACCATCGTAGAACTTTACAACTCAATATCAGATCTAAGAATACGAATTTAATTTTTTTTATACAGTGACTAATGTACACTAGTTTTACAAATTATGTAAGAAAGACGTAGTGTAATTGGGCAGTAAAAGTCTGCACTGCAGATTTTTACAAGTTATCAAACACAAGTTCTAATCTTGCATATTCTCCGCATTTGAGTTGTGTAACAGTCGTGTGGTTAAACTTGAAGGCTTGTTTGCGTAAATATTCCAAATTTCTATATGAAATTAAGTTTCCGCATGATTAGAAATACATTTTTATTATTTACTAAAAAACTGAAACTCTGCTTTTCCTTGATTGACACCTTGTTTACTGGTTGGAATTTACTACTAAAATCCAAACAGTTCAAACAATAAATTCCTTTCATGTGTGATAAACGACTTGAGCTAATTATTCGTAATTGATCTCACGCCGAAAACACTCAAAGAATTCTCTCGAAAATGAACAAGTTCTCATGCTTGTTGTTGAGATTTTTGCAATTTTAGAATATTTCTCTCTGTCTAAGTCTTTTAAACGTCCAAGTCAAAGTAACCGTAGAAAAGGTCATATGTACCAACATTTTTCCAAGCATTTATCTCTCTCCCTCTGTCTCAACAAACCTAAAACCTTTGCCAATTCTTTATTGCCACATATGTATTTATGTAGCTTTGTTAGTTATTTGTTCGAGGAAGAAGAAGACTCAGAAATAAATGCAGCTGTTGACAAGCACGAAATTACTTATTAGTTGGAGCGACGTGTGGCGACAAGCGAGAAATAATCGGGATTCATATCATCGCAGTTTAAGAAAAACTCGAGCATTGGCTTTTCAACTGAAATATTGTGCGTCGCATAAGAAAATGCTGTATACCATTTTCTTTTTAGGATTTAAAAATTTGTGTCTTTGATAATTTACTATTTGGAAATCTGATTGATGTGTAAATATGTGGACGAGAAAAAAATGTATTTAGATGACGTTAATTTGGAAGAGAAAGGCTTGCACGCATACGTGAAATACTTGCGTGAAAGCAAATGTCATTCACTTTTGCATATGCTCCATCATTAATTAGTCTGCCCGCATTTTCCTTGTCTCTCCACAACTGGCAGCATTTCAATTCGATAAATCCCACAATTAATTAATTGTTCAGCAAAGAAAGAGGAGACAGTCGCTAATCTTAAACGTTTCTTTGTTTTGTCAACTACACTGATCTCCCAACTCTAATGAAATGAGACAGCATATAAACCCATGTAATGCTCACGATTAACTTAATTAATGTTCTCCACTTAAACGCTGTGCTGGTTTGCAGGCAGGCGTATAATTTGCAATTTTATTTAAATACACAAAGCTTTTATAGTTACGATGAAAATGAAGTTTTTTTACCTGTTGTTCCAAAAACTAATCCGCTTCCTTGAGCTTCAACGACGGCCATTTTTTAAGAATAAGTTGTAACAATTCGTATGAAATTTATTTTATGTAATAAGCAAAAAACTAATAATTGAAAGAGGAAATTAGGTTTCCCAAAAATTTTTAGAATTTCCAAGATTGAGATTTACTTATTGAGAAAATGAGGAGACGATGAAAATGAGACGACGAAGCAGAAGAACATTTAAAGACTGATAAAATATTCGAGATGTCCCGTGCTTCTATATCTTTCGAACCAAACAAGATGTGTGCAAATATACGTGTATCGCCTACTTTTTGATATGATTGCCCTCTTTCTTCTTCTGGGAAAATAATGTGTCTCTGCTCCTGCTTCCGATATCCAATCTCTCTCTCTTCTCCCTTATAAATCTAACTGAACATTTAGCTAAATACCTTCCAGTGTGTGCACGAGGCATGGGGGACAAAGTTCAAAGCAGCTTGTAGACTCGGTTATGAAATGGATTTCATCTCAAACCACGCCAACAAGTGAACTTTTTCTTGGATAACAACGTTCACGAGAAATGCTTAATGTTGCTTGCCTCAGTAGAATCAAGCACCGTTTCTTTGTAAATCACTCGTGGTGCTTGGTGGTGGTGGGGAGAGAGTGGGAGGAACACCACATTATGTTGTTATGCAAGATTCAAGCGATAGGTGCAAATTCTTAATACTAAAATTAGATTGAGTCCAATTATAAATAAAATCTGTGGTTCTTCTTGGCTCAAGAGTGGTTGGAATTTAGAAAATGTTTTATTCTGTAAAAAAAATCGGGGTAGTAATTTTACATAAGTTTAACAATTTAATTAAGTAGAACGTTTTAACTATAATGAAAATGATGAAAAATCTGAGATTATAAAAAGTACAAAATTATTCGGACTAATTTTTATAATATAACAAATATTACTCGAGTAATAATTAATTAACTGTGAACTAATTAACATGATTTAATAATTATCTGTATATAGTAATACGCAATTTATAGAATTAACTGTTTTAAATAATATTGAGTTTGATAAGAATCCACTGCTATCTGTAAATGACTTCCGGTCACTGCACGACGACGAGATGATGAAGATTATCAGAACTGCAAAAAACATCAAAAAAAGTTAGCTATGAAAAAATTGCAACATTCTTATCTCCAAAAATACTCAACACAGAAAATATTGAGTTTACTCACCATTTCTGATCCAATTTTTTGACATTTAACTTTTCTAGATCCTGCTCGGACCTGCTGTTCCGTTCATGGGGACCTGAACAAGTCTCCCTCCTCCAGACGCGCTTTGTGCCCCTTCCTGTGGGGCTGGTCCTCCTGCACGTCCTCCCCCAACTTCAATATCAGCTCTTAAGTCCACCCAGTACGTGCCAGGATTTTGAAGATTAAGCGCAAGTGCAGCTCCATTAGCGTAGAAATGGTTATTATTAGTAAATCCACCCGAGTTAATTGGTGGAGAAACGAAAGGTTGGTTCGGTTGTGGAAAATGACCCGATGGTCCAGCCTGTTGGTGGTGATAGTTGGGCATTCCGAAGTTTACGGAGGCCGACCGACCAAAAGTCCCTTCTCGCGGTGGAACATCCATCCCCCTTGGACCAGATTCCATCAGTAAACTTGATCCTAGAAGTGTCCTGTTCCTTCGGTCGGCACACTCTGAGCAGGTGCAGGATGAGCTGCTGAGTGAGGACGAAGGGCAGGGTGAACTTGGAGGGGTGACTTGCATAGGAAGCAGTCGTGTAAGGCGGTCACTCCCTTGGCTGGCGATGGCAGGATGAAAGCCTTGCGAGTAAAGAGGTGGAGCCGATAATGGGAGGTGATGGTGATGTCTCCCACGACGGTAAGTTGGAAACGTGGCGTTTTCACCGTACAAATGGTGACGTCCAAGTGGGGTGTCCAGGTAATTGGGATTATACATGATGGCGTTGAGTGGGGAGTTAATCGGTGGAAACTTGGCGTTTTTAAAAGTTTTCGGAAACTTTGAAAAGTCGGAGAGAGTTGAATGAATGTTTACGCCTTGAAAACTGAAGATGGAATGATTTTATCTAAAATTTCACTCTGTTTGATGCTCACGTCTACCATTTACTCTTTCTTTCGGTATTGATCAAACTTATTGATAAGAGAGATAAGAGGTGATAACAACTTCATCTTTTGTACTTGATATTGACGAGGAGAAAAGAAATTATGCAAAAGAGCAAAGAATATGTTAATCGAATATCAAACAAAGGAGAACGGTGTAAACATCTCACGTCTCGAGCGAGAGTGCCACCACCACCTGATTTGAGCCGAACTCATAATTCCCCATAAGAAATACATTGGAATTTTATCTCGAGAAGATTTGGATTGCCACCGAGCGATCGGATAACTTCTAGAATTTTAGTCCGACATCAAAATAAGTTTGATAAGAACTTGTCAACATGCTTCCTTGTGCAAGACTGTTTTTATAAATATAACACGTTATCATCCATCGAATATCAGACAAAGAGACAAATATGTAAACATTCCTCTCTTATCTTGGCGTCTCACTAGATTTACTTTTCCTCCTTCTCGGTATGACATTCATCGTGTATCGGTTCACTGGCAGCAAAAGTCGTTCCTCCTTCCATCCTGGTTATCTCGTCTTCTCCTCCTTGAGGCGAGTTGAGATTCTTGATCCGAATTTTATCTCCTTTTATTTTCTTGTTTTCTCGTCCAAAGTTATTATGACACAATTTTAGGCTGGAGAAAGTGTCATTGCTGTAAAAGATTAAGACGGGGAGGAGGAGTATGTAGCAGTAGAAGAGACACACCAAAATGTAAAACGTGTTGGACCTGTGATATCGCAAATATCTTATGGGATGATGCAGTTAAACAATTTTATGACAATTATTATACAAATTTAAAAGCTGACCTGACACGATCCTCGCAGTCGAGTTCTGGATGTTGTACAAATCGCTCGTACCTTTTTTGGAGCGTGGTGTTTTTGTAGATTGATATCCCCACGCCGAAAGGGACCCAGAGGAGGACGAAGGTGATGGAATTGATATAAATAAATCTCACCCGACGGACCCTTCGTCGCATCCGGGGACAGGGCACCTACAAAATCAAGAGAAGCGATGTAGGAAATGGTAAAAGGTCAAAAAGTTGCCTTATGCAAAGTGAAATTGGAGTATCTCAATTAGGACAAGCTGGATAAATGCTGTTGTTCGATATGTAGATACATGTGACAACGGAATGCAAAAAATATGCACGGTTAGATAAAGAATGGATGTTGCATGGCTTTGAAATTTGAGACTGGTCTGGAGAAAGTTCCACAAATGGCCAAGTCTGGAAAGCACCTTGCCGTGAACATGCATAAAAGATTCTTTTAAAAAGAATGGATACACAAATGGCTGTAATGAACACGTTTGTCTGGTGAACTTGATATAAAGGACTTTTGACAAAAAAGTATGATGCTGTACACACACGTTGAGTGACATGAAAATTGGGAACCTCATGCCGTTTAAAGTTTACTGAACTCGGATTTAGTTACCAGATATTAATATGCACATGCTACATACTTACTTACCGTGAAGTGGAAAAAATGCTTCAGGGTTGCTCGAATCCTGTACAGTTCTAAATTGGTCAAAAAGTTTATAGATATTATTATTATTGGCAGGTAAAAAATCCTCCATCTATCCAATATCCAACCCACCTACCAAACATCATGAAGATTGGGATACCCACGTGAAAAACGAGGGATCGGATAACTTCATAAATTAGTCCCACATCAAAATAGTCTCCGGGTGGAGCTTTCATGCAAACAGAGTGAATTTCCCCATCCGAGTGGGTGTGGTGGACTAGAATGGTGACAAAAAGAGCGGGGATCGCCCCTATGAAAGATATCACCCAAATCCCCCCGATTACGCGTCCAAGTAAAAGTTTTCCATCCATTTCCACCGGTGCAACTTTTCTCACCCGTTCATAACTGATACTTAATACGCTGAGAGATATCAGACTCACGCCCACGTCTACATATTTGAAAGAAGATTATTAAAGCTAATCATCCTTTTATTAAAGAAAAGTAATTGGACCTCACTTCTAAGAAAGGAGAAAACTGAGCACATCCACAAGTTCTGCAGGATGGCGTCCAAACCGCTGATATAAACGGCACCCAATCCACCAGACAAGATGGAGACGATGCATAAGTTTGCTATCAAAGCGTTTAATGGTCTGCACAGGAAAAAGGATAAATTATAATTTAAGTTTCATTATAAGTTTAGTTTTATAGGTTAAACCTGATGACTGGTTTTGTAAGGATGGCGTAAAGAAGGGTGCTGTTAAGCAAAATGGTGAAGAGGGCGAGGATCATGCCGAGAAGAGAGGTGGCAAGGTCCACCACGCCGGTGATAAGGGTAGAATTTACGGTAGGACATGACGAGAGGATTTCAGCGACTAAGTCAAGAGACAATGGGTTAGTTAGTTAGTTAAGTATGCAGGAAAAGTTTAGCTCGGTAAATTATTAAATCAACCTGTGACGTTATTCGACATAGGACATTCGTGAGGAAAATGAGACGGGATTTTAGGTTATCAACGTGTTCTAAATCTAAAATGATCCGAGTTTCTCTTGAACCAACCTGGTCCGTCTGTACCTTCATCTCGACTGAACCACCAAATTCGCTGATCTATTACTCCAAATCGAGCATGACCTATGATATTACATCCTCAATCGTCCAATTTGGACCATAATAATGCCAGCATCCTTTCAACAACTTTCTCCCACGACTTCTAATAACTCATCCTCCGAGAAAGAACGTGCTATAGAAATAAATAAGTTCCATGCCTCAATGACACGACTGTGAAAAGTTAATCGAGATATTTTCCTGTCTTTTGAAAGCATGCAGAGATTGTCCAGTGATGTGCGAAAAACTTGTATGTATTTATGCGATGTAATACAATAAAAAAATCAATTAATTCAGAAAGTTTTTTTCTTGAGTCGTGTGAGTACGTTTACTAATTTGGCATTAATATTTAGATAATAGTGAAAATATATTTAGTTGCATAATTTTAATCTCATTCATTTTTATACCCATTTATCGACAGATATCTTTCATGGGTTGTCAATGAGTAATTGTAATCCTATTAAGATATGAGAGTGGGCGGCTATTGATATTGTATTAGCGTAATAAGTAACTACCTATTGTATAAGATAGTTTCATGTCGTATGCGCATATGTAGCTTAATACATATATGCCGTATCAACTGAAATACAATTGTCGCTCGGTATACTACATAGGTTATGATAGATAAGACGAACAAAACCCATCAACTCAACTCAACTCAACCACATTCATTTACACGAGCAAATGCTTTGATGCATAGTGCATTCCAATGCTTATCTCTGAGAGAGGAATCTCAACAAAAATGGAAGAATAAACTCTGATAAAACTTCGATTTCAATAACAGATTTCTTGTCAGAAACATTCTCCAACTGAAGCGTGAAACATGATGCAGACACTGGTGATGGATTGATCTGCTAAATTCTATTTATTCGATTCAGTATACCTACATACATAGATCTGAAATGTACCATTATGTGATATTGCTCATGAATTACTTGACATTGATTTAGAAATGCGTTGGAATGTAACAAACTCTTTACTTATTTCGACAACATACGTGTTATCCGGTAAAAGGTATATGTACACATAAACGGTATAGTTTATACAAATATATGTGTACAAATGTCTGATAATTAAATGCACATACATAATTACAGGTATATATGTATGTAAGTTGTTGCATATACACAAATACATATCATCTAAATATCTACATATCCGGTGTTTCGAGTCGTTGTAGAGCAAAATTTTCTGTGATGATGACTTGCTACTCCTAGATGAAGACTTTCTATACATGTAATCGTGCATGTTTTGTATGTCAAATCTGATGATTACAAAGTGACAAACATCCGCTCATGTCGTGCATTATTGTGAGATCAAAGCGGATCAAAAGATTTGAGGGTGTCCGTTTGTCCTTGAGTAGATCATTACTCAAGGGTAAAATTAGTAGATGCTTTGAATTAGAAAATTACTCCAAGCAAGATCGATCCAATCTATATAAATTTAGGTGACTTTGCTCAAATGCGTAAGAATGAACTTGTCAAGGTAGCTTTCGTAAAGTATTTTTGTGATCATGGAAAATGATTTAATTAACTTAACTTTAACGCTTCCGTAAAGTTACAATTATAATTTTAATCCAGAATGTGGTCGGAGTATAATTTGACTTGCATATCGGACTGAATCTGGCTCACATTCATACGCATTCAATTCATAGTTTCATACACAACATTCACTAGAGCTGGGGAAATTTTGGTGCATGTACAACAAAGAAATGTTTATGAAGTAATTGTAATGATGAAATGGTGAAATTAAATTGCATTATGCGGATATCGATGTATACACTTTTTTTATTTTCCAAATGTTACATTTCCTATAATGCAAATGAAACGTAATGTAAATAATAAAGTTTTATACAGTTGTATGAATATCTGCATCTGTACTTAATTCATAAATAAATAATAGTAGTTATTTAGTTTCCTCAATTTAAATTGTGCACATTTTTCGAAATATGCAAATAAACTTCACTGATTGTCAGCACCCACTATAAGATATGGCCAAAATACGAGATTAAAAATGCCAAAGGAAATGGGGAACAAAGCCCGAGAAACCCGGTCTACCATCACCCAAACGGGTATTTTTTGAGGTGGTGCATTATCCGGGTGCTGTGGGTGGAGAGGATTCCCACCAGTCCTGCCAAAAGGTGTCGAATTGTTGAATTCCCAAGTTGATCTCGGGGATAAAATCTCCCCAACAATCTAAAAATACAATTTAACACAAATTTGTACTTTCACTTGACTGCAATACTAACCACCAAAACTTTTAAATAAATAAGACATTTCATACTCTCTCTCTGAGAACCATATTCCGATAGAAATTGATGTATCGGTTAACGGGTTTTGTTTGATCGTGAATCTGATCCTTGTTATCTTTGTCTCGTTCTTCCATTTCCTTAACTTCTTTTCGATACGTTTCCATCTGTTTCTCCTTCTCCAATGCCGCCTAGAATCCATTTCCAAACACAAGCATTTCCATTTAGAAATATTATTTTCCTGATGGCATGAGAGCTACTTACTTTCAATTCCTGTTGTTTTTTCCAATGAATAAACTTGACTATGACAAACTCACAAAGTGCCAAAAACACAAAAGCCATGCAACCAACCATCCAAATGTCCATCATCTAAATTTTTTCAAAAGAATCGGTTTATAGAAACATGCAAAAGTCTCATTAACAGGGAAAAAATCCAATTTTTGGAGGGGTCACCTTGATATAATTCACCGGAGGAATACTTCCCTTTAAACCAGTGTGCATCGTAACAAGGGTTAACATTGCTGTAATCAGGAGTGTAATTCGTCCAGGAACAGCGTCTAATCCCAACCTGATAATATTGAATAATTAATTATTTTAAGCATATTGGAATCAATTAATTAATTACCAAAAGCTAAACCAAGATAAAATCACTACAAGCGAAGTTGGAATAAACACTTGAATGACATGATGGCCAAGTTGACGTTCGAATTCGAAAAATAGTTGGACATATGGGTAAAGGTCTGGAAATGAATAATCAGCACAAAAAATGATCGGGCATTTGATATTATAATTTTTTAGATTTTTATGTATTTTAAGTCTCTAAATACCATCTCTTGCCCAACGCTGATTAGTTCCCTTGGAATACCGCATCGGAAAGTGGAGATCATACTGCAGTAATTTCAGGCTCGTGTAAACCACGGGAGGTTGATTCGTCTCCCAGAGATAAGCGACTTGCTTCGAGGTAGAAGTATCTGAAAGTGGCGATTGTTATTTTTAGTCAATATAAATTACTTAATTTTATCCAATTAAAGAATTCATTGTACAGCTCTCAATGGTTAAATTGCAAATCTGCTTGTCAAGTGGATACCACTGAAAATCAAATAAACATCCAAGAATAGTGTACAATCGGGCTGTGTAGACGATTGTTTTATTTGGGAAAATGTTGACCACAGATTGCTCCGTTGTGAAGGAGGCGATCTCTACAAGAAATTAACATATCGTTTAGTGCAGATATTTGCTGCAAATTATTTAATGTCGTGTCCCTCACTCGTGCCTCTTGCAGCAGGGATGAAAGAATTAGGTGACCAAAGAGACTGCAAAATCGGGGTGTCCGCTTGGATAGAAACATCGTGAGGATCATCATCTTTAAAAAGACCTGGAGGAATGACCAAGTCCAATGCTTCCCATCTTTGTCTGAGGTGAATCTCTATTCTAATGCTCATCGTGTCCACGTCCACTTTTGAAATGTCCACAATTTCAATTGCATGATAAACATCAATCTTGTCTTTTTGCTCGAGTGACCATCGCGATCCTGGAATGTGAAAATTCATATTTATGAAATTTTGAAATATGGAAATATTTTCAGCTTGTTAGTACAATAGAATAGAAATTTATTGATATATGGCCAGTAGCCCTCATCAAAATTTTCAGCTTGTTGTTACCCTTAAGATATTCGGTTTTTAGATCAAGCTTGGCATAATTAATCGGCCCCTTATTGGGTACAGGCGTTGTTATGGGGTAAGGAATTGTGATGGGATCAGCTTCAGTAGCAACTTCAACTTCAGTAGCAACTTCCTTTTCCGCAGTGACTTCCGTTTCGATTTGTGTGACAGCTTCAGTTTCTTCGGTCATTTCAGTTACCAGATCTGTGACCCCATTTGTGGCTCCAGTATCGCTTTCTTCGACTTGTTCGCCATCCACACTTTCGTTTTCTGACTCGGTCTGACTTACGACTTTTGATGAAAATATGAGCAAAAATACAATTACAATTTTGATAGATCCCATCATTCTGCTTCAGCAAGGAACGATACAGTTACTAATTCCCTAATGCCATTCAATTCCGGGAGGTAGCTGCATTTTATGCTGGGTTTGATTACTGGAGAATTTTACTGCGTTACAATTATCTCTACACAAGTTTGTATAGGTTATCGATTTGATTGGCGGATTGCATGCAAGTTTTGAAATGAATATGGACATTAATGAGTCACGGAAGTAAGTATTTTATTTTATATGTATTGTAAGTCTACTTACTTTGTTTCGCTGTTACCCCCAAAAAAATAGAAAACGCATTTCACTTTCATGCATGAATTTTCTGAATTTATGCCCAGTCTAGCCGACCCGCTTAAAGAAAATATTCACTTCTCATTTTTGCATTAACCATGTGACAAAATTTATTTATTTAGTTAGGTAACAATAAGTAACAAATAAACCTAGTTATAAATTAAGTAAAGCGATCCAATCATCACCTTAAAGTATTTTTCGACAGTCTTCTGAAATAAGCAGTAGTATCACCCACGACTTGAAAGTCTCCATCGTCTTGAACAACGACTTGTTCCGCTGCGGCTGCGGCCTGAGAGCTCGTGTCCATCGAAATTCCGAGGCTGGAGGTCGTGTTGTACGAATTGTCGAGCGGAGGTCGGAGGGAGCTCCTCCTCCGGACGACGAGACCTCTTCGAAGGTAGCTGAGGGCTGCAGGGACCGTGGGGTGGAAGTGATCCGCACCCGCCACCTTGATGAGATTGCCTTGGTCCAGGATGGGAATTATGGATGGAGCACATCCCACAAATATCAAGTTGACGTCCTTCTTTAAGTATAGCTTTGTGAGAGAGATGAGCGATTTGGTGGCTGCGGGGTCGATGGAGCTTACGCTGGAGAAGTCCAAAATTAGCCAGTTGACCTAGAAATTCAGGAAATAATGGCGTGAAAATGGTCTCTATTTATTATTTAGAACTATGATCAATCAACTCACATCAGGTTTTTCGACTGCAAGGCTACTGCTAACTTTGCCTGGTTTGAAAATTTGTTCTGAAGAGTTGGAAAATTCATTATTGTCATATTCGCTGCTGGACTCTAATTGATGATCGACTTCTTCGGAAATTGTGGACACAATAACACCCTCCATGATGGAACCTTTTCTCTGCTAAATTAGTCATAATACATGATGACTCTGATGATATTTACATTGTTAAGGGGGGAATTCAACAGATGGAAATATTAATTTTAATTTAATTGACGACACAACAATTACTACTAATTAGTATATGCACATACCTTATTTGACTGTCCGATATTTGGTGGAAAAGATGACTGACTAGCAAATCTATCCGTTGGAGGAACCAATGAATTCAACTTTTTCCCAAAATACTCAACCGTTGCAAAATTGAGTGAACCCGTGTATTTGACAATTTGGATTCCAGGAATTTGTTTGCCAGAGGGTGAGGACGCATCGACAAGAATGGAACCATCCAAGGAATCAGAGTGCACCCTGACAAGGGCGCAGTAGGGTCGGTTCGATCTCCAAATAAGGTTAAGCAATGCGGCAATAACGCCAATTCCTAGGCCGTATTCAATATCAAGGAAAACGGTGGCAAGGAATGTGACAGACCAGACGCCAGCGTTGAGAAGTGACTCTCTAAATGCTCCCGGGACGTCTCGTAGCTGGATAAGCATCCCTCTCAGGGCCACCACAATCATTGAAGACAAGACGCACTGCGGGGTGTAAAATGGCAATTATTTTAATTTTATCTTGAGACTGGGTTATTTTGAGGCTGTGCTTACTTGAGGTAAGGTTTCGAAAAAGGGTGCAATCCACAAAAGTACAAAAACCATAATGACACAGCTAACGAGGCCGGCCAACTGACTACGACCACCAACTTGCTCTTGGATAACACCTAAATAAACGCAACTAATATAAAGCCGATATAAAAAATTCTCATTTAAAGCAACAGATTAATACGCACTTCGAGAAAGAGAGCATGAGATTGGGGCGCAACTAAAGAAACTTCCAAACACATTGCTGGCTCCCTGAAATTTTTGATTTTTATGTGTAATTAGTGAAAATATTTAGTCTCATCACTACTAAAATTAGTAAATCATACATACGTTCGCAAGCAACTCTTGATTGGAATCCACATCGTATTCGTGTTTTGCTGCAAAGATCTTGCCCATGCTGATGCTGATAGTAAACGCCACAATTGCCATGATAAAGCTGTCCATAAGAACATCTTTCACAAGTTCAAGTGGGGGCAAGGCTGGGGGAGGAAACCTTAAAATTTCATGCATTATGATAATTTTGTTATTTTTTAAATTATGCTAATTATCAGTATTACCCTGTTGGAATGTGATTAACGATTTGGATGCCATATTCTTCCGAGGTAATCCAATATCTCGATACCAACGTTCCTAAATATTTACATGAATTATTTTGTGAATGCGAAATTGCTATCATACTTTGTTTACGAACCTCCCACAATAGCAAACAACTCAATTGGAATGGGAATTGAAATTTTCTTGGCAATCAAAGGCTGCAAGTAACATTGTCAAGATTTATACTTTTATAATCAAGCGAAAGTATAAAAATTGGGCGTTCTCACTCACCTTGAGTACTTCGTTGTAAATCATGAGGCAGGAGAGAGTTATCACAGAAAATATGACGGCAGTCACATTAGAGTTCCCAATGTTGGAAAAAATGTCATAATACGTAAGAGGTATCTTAAACACCCCCGTTCTTCGTTGGATAGAGAGACCTAACAAGCTTTTGATTTGAGATGTTAATACGTGAATAGCTGACCCCAACGTAAAGCCACTAACAAGATCTGAGCTCAGGATGACGCAGAGAAAGCCCAGTCTCAATGTCCCCATCAACAACTGAAAGCAAAAATACAATCATGAACGCTGTCTCACGTTAGTCGCACATCTCATTAATTTTTCACCTGAATAATGCCAGTAACAAAGCTGAGAATGGTAGCAATTTGTTCTGGCGTATACTTGTAGTGCTGTTCTTCCTGGTGGTCCACCACTTCGTAAGGGACCGTTCCCAACGAGGTGTCATTAAGCTCGGGGTGTGTAACCGTATCATATTTGGCATGCAGTTCGAGCACCGTTTTGGAAGTCATGAGGCAAGTGATCTTTAACGTTGAAAAATAAACTGTAAACTTTAAACTCTTTCATAAAAGCTGTACTTTGTGCAAGACATACTGCGAAAGTCCCCATGGAAATGTGTCGAGATGTGCCCATTATGGAGTAAATTATAATGGGGAACAGACTCATGTAAATCCCCACGACTGGTTGAACACTCGCCAGCATTGCATACGCCATCCCTGTCATGAATGGGACACATTTTTACATAAAAGTGGTGACGACGACGACGACGACGATAACAACAACATCAACAATGCAACAAGATGTTTCGTAGACGATTGATTATTCCTTTCCGTCAACAAAACTCGCTCACCTTGTGGGATTTGCATCACGCAGACGGTAATTCCGCTGATTAGGTCGTAGCTAAAATCTTCTCGGAAATTGTATTTTGGCAGCCATGAGAGGATAGGAAACAGGGAAAACATCCACGATAACGGGTTACATTTGCAGAAATTGAGGCATTTTGTGCGGATATTCGATCCTATGAAAAGGGAGAAGTTAACACTTATGAAAACTGATCTCTCTCTGTTTCACGAAACGGTGGAATTTATGTATTTTTAATTTGACTAACCTTCCTTTTTGGGTTGGCTGCATTGTTGCAAATATTCCTGGTACAAGCCTTGCTTGATGGAATTACTGCTCTCGTTATTGTTCGCACTCTCTGACAAATGTCCGTAACCCTGCTGCACGTGCAAAAGCTGATTCATTTTGTCTAGCTCACCAACTTCCTAGTAAAATTGCGATTCACACTTTGCTTTGGTAATTATTCCAACTCTCGTGTATTTTATTTTTCACTAATTCGTAAACACTTTTTGAAATTTATTTTTGAGAAATATTGTGTATAAATAGTTTCACTTTTTTGTGGTTAGACTAGATCTGACAAATGCGACTGCTTTCGTTGATTGTAATGAATAGATTGGTGATGATTTAAATCTATTTGTTACAAACTATCTAATGTTGTTGAAGCTCAAACTGGTTTTGTTCGTATATGTAACTTGGTTTGGTAGCGTTGGTTTTCGAGTATGAAATATCATACATTCATATCCATCACGACGTGAGATTGACATTTGATCCGTGTAGTATATTTATATCTCGCTTGCTTCGGGTGCAATAAAGTTAATGAATTGGTTGTGCAAAATGTAGGAAAAACAACATGGCTTGCTAAATTTCAATTCATAGGAACTGGAAATATCTTGAAATTTTATATGAATCGATTTTTATATGACCTCGTTTACTCGTCCCTACAAAGCTCGAGATACATAGTTTTGGGACTAAATTTATACTTTAACGGATGAGTCGCTCAATCCATAATTGGGCAGAAAAATGGAAATGTATCTACAGATATAGAATAATAATGGCAGGAAAAGTGTCAAGTTTATATATTTTTGTTATTTTCTAGCCAAGGTAATTTTTTTAGCACTTTGTTACTTGCACATTTTCAAATTTATTACAAGTTTAGAAATAGGAGGAAGGCCACGCCGTATATAGCTTTTTGTACCACACACACTATTTTATGCACTCTAAATGGACACGAGTAGTCACTTTATATATCTGCCAATTACGGAGGCGTGTCCTTATCGAAACTGTTGTAAGTATATTATCAAGATTTAAAAAGTTTAATTGCATAAATAAATCGGACAGGAGGTTATCTTTATTACTTGTTGATCAGTTCGTGTCCAGGTGATGTAATTGCCCGGTGAAGTGCACCATCAATTGCAATGTCAAGCAAGTCAATGGTGGTCCCAGTAATAAAACCGTCACACATACACCACTCCAACTTCCAAGAACAAGAATAGACGTTTCACCTTCTTAAAATAATAAGACGAGGCTGGAATTTCTGGTAAAAACTGGAATTGACCAGTACAATCTGGAAGGCTGACCAGTTTCTTATCATTTTTTGTTCCTCCTGGTCACTCGCATTAGTTAAGTTGTACATACAACAAAATCTTAGTTCATGCAGTGCGGATGATCCAATCTAATGTTTGCTTTTACACATACGTGGTCAGAGTTTTGATATCACATAATTCCTACAAATACTCTTCTACACTCATGACTAATACACTTGATGAAGGAAAAGCATTGTCGGTAATTTTCCATGTAGAGAAATCCATTTATCTCCTTTCGACAATAAATTTGCTTCAACATCAATCAAATTATATAATTCTTTTTTTTTTGTGTACGTGATTGTTATTTCTACTTGTTTGTTTGTGGAGCTTATTATTTATTATTTGTTACTTTAAAGTCGTCGCAAGTCTAAATGCGCAGATTAGCTGGATATGCTCAAATTATTATTTTTGTCGTGTCCAGAAAGATGCCATGTCGGAGACATCGGAGTCAGATTTTTTCGAGATTTTTATCAACACAAGTTCTAAAGTTAGATGTCCAGGCACCCTTGAATTTTTAATTGCGATGTTTCATATTCTTATGCAGAAAATGGAAATGGTCTCATTTTCCCCGACGCTTTATTAAAACACTTTGGCCACTTGAATGCACTTTAATTTTTTCAGATAGGTTTAATTTTCAAGTGCCTTATCAAATGTGCAGGTTATATTTTACATGAAATTATTAATGAGTAAAGAATCGACTGCCACGTATTTCCGTTTTTGCTCACACTTTTTTGCAAATATTAAACTGGACGGATATGTATTCGGATATGAATTCGTGGAAATGGAACTGGATTAAGAAATCTGCTTCTAATTTAGAAGCTTTTTTCTCTTGTGGTTGCAGTTTGCAGGAAACAGTTTTCTCATTATTTGCACGCTTTCCTGTATCGATTTGTACGAGGTCAGTTTGCAACTGGTGCATAAAACTAAAGTAAAAGGTGGCCTACATGATTTCATATAAAAATTGTTGTCGTTCCGGTTATGTGTGCAACATTATTTTCTGCTTCTTTTTAATTTATTCAAGTTTTATAAATAAAAACCAGCTTTAACCAGAATTTTGTACAGGCAAAATGAATAATGACGAGTCAATTGACCCCAAAATGATAAATACAATGCAATACAATAGAATACGCATAAAAAACGTCAATGCTGGTCCGATCAATTATAGTTTTCTAGTCACAAATGGATGCAAGGTGATGACGAAGGTAGGCTACATTACAATTACAATGCACGTACAAATCTACATGGCATATTAGGTAGTACAAGTACACAACTACTGCACATTATCCTTCACTTGTCGTCCAGTCGCTGCATTTATTGTACTGGATTTTTTTATAATTGAAGGGCGACTGGAACCACAAGCAAGTGGTGTATGCGGGTCTGATCCATTAATCAACCCAACCACTTTACCCGTAAGCCGTAATAAAATAACAAACAACTGACAGCGAGAGAGACGAAACAGCCAAACAAACAATTATTGATTTGTTTGCATAATTCCTTAATTCTGTGACGATATTAAGACGCACCATTTTTGAGGTGTGGTGCTACTGGAGTAAATAGAACATTAAAGTACATATCACTCGGAGACCTCTAATACAGCGAAATGGAGCCCTTGACTTTTGCTGAAGTTCAAGAAGAGTTGAAAAAGCCGGAAGTCACATTGGTGGACGTGCGACCTGACGAGGAAATCAAGACGGATGGAAAAATCGAACAATCAAAGAATATTCCGAGTTAGTTATTGCAGGAACCATTTAAAGTGTAAATATAAAATCTAATTTTAATTATTTCGAAATAGTTGGCGACCTCCCGGCCGCATTGGAATTAAGCGATGCTGAATTTGAAGAAAAGTATGGATTTCCTAAACCAGGGAAGGATTCACGGGTTATCACACACTGCAAAGCAGGGATGCGAGGTCAAAGAGCGGCGACCGCTTTCAAAGAGGCGGGCTTCAGTAATGTTGGGTATGAAAAGAATTTATGTGTAATGTAATTTCATACATATTATGTATGAAAATAAGCTATCATAGTGCATTTTTGTGTTGTATAGTGTCTACTCGGGCATCGCGGACTGGAAAAATAACGGGGGACCAGTTGTCTAATTCTTGTTTAAAGTATTTTGGTAACAGAATCTACAAAATAACTTTAGCGTATTAAAAAAAGTTCTAGTGTTTTCTGGTTGGAATAAAAATAAATGAAATATAAATCTTACATGATGCCCACGAAATATTTTTATGAGTAATGTACATATTTAGTCATCCATTCATATTCATGCATATTATGGGCTTGGACTATGAAAGTTTACCCTTTTTCAGGTCCCTTATTGTATTCCACTGTGCACATGACCCTCTAAAAATAGCAGACAAAGTCATTGATCTCCTATTTATTTAAGGGTGACAAACCCTTGAAAAATGTTTCCCATTCTTCACGCGATTATCATTAAGCTCACACTGAAAAGAAAAGTGACACCACCAAAATGAGTGAGACGACTTCTGCCAAGTTATACTTTCTCGTATTTGTGGTCGGATTTACCACTGCATTTACTGTTTCCAGAGGTAAGTAATTGATGAGGGGAGAAATCTGTACTCTCGGTCACGCCAAAAACGGTAACTAAAATTTAATTTAGACGCCTCTAGCGAAGGAAATGAGAATGGTTCTGGTTCTTCCTCCGTCGAGGCATCCTTAACAGCATCAGGACCTCAAGGGAGTGCCAATTCCAGTATCAATTTGAGCGGAGGTTCATGGAACAGTGCAAATGGTTACATTAGTGAAGGTGGGGACTATATTTCTGGGAGTGGAAACGTCCAAGGAGGGGCCAACGTTTATGCCAATGCTACTGGTCAGTCCATCACGGCCAGCGCGGATGCACAATCAAATAGTTCCGGCAATTCGACATTGGATCAGGAATTAAATAAAAAGAAAGATGGTGAGATATTTTTTAAAATTTTAATTATTTTTAATTATGCAATTACTTGGGAAAATTAATCATTTATTTCGATTATAGGAGATAGTACTTCATCTTCCGGAAGTACGAATGGTGGATCATCCGCCTCTGCCGTGTTAACCGGATCTGCAAGTTCGGATGATGGTGTCGCTACTTTTTCTTTGAGTGCAGGCGTCAATACTGGACAAAGTGTATATGTTTACGGTCCACCACCATCTTCTAATGCGGGGGATTATGCAAATGCTAATGCTAATTTGTCGGGAACTGGGGACCATGTGAGTGCCACGGTAGAACTGCACGACGAGGTCAATTTAACGTGACAGGGGCGATTGGTATCTCAGAGAGGAAGTAGGATTATATACATAATAGATAAATTGAAATTGCAAAAATAAATGGTTTGCATAATAAAATTTTAAATATTGGACGATTTTCAATTTCAAGTATGTTTTTGCATAGTTAAATAAAATTTACATATCAAGTAGTTGTACAAATGTGCATACGATTTACATCTTCAAGTATTTGGAGATGTAAATTGTTTAGCTTTCTTGAGTATTTTCTTGTTGGCTTCACATGACGGCATTCACTAACTTCAAACTTGTATCGAGACGAAAGTCTATAGTTCCAATATATTGCTCTCGAGAAATATAATAATCACTTAATTTAATAATTAAAAGATTTATTTTCCCAAAAAAATAAGCATGGAGAAACAAGCGGGTTGTAAAGTGGACACGAAGCAAGGCAGATTAAAATATTGTCCCGTAATTTCTGTTAATGAGAGCCAAGTTGTATGCCAATTCCTAAACGAGTGCGAATTTCCATCAATGTTAATGACGAGCTACGTTGAACATTTATCTGTGGAACACGAAATACCTGTGAATTATGGTCACGTCCAATATGTTGGATTATGTATCCAAGATTTGAAGATATTACAGGATTGTAAGTTTATTAGATTAGCATTAACATACAATCACTTATGTATAAGTTTCCTCATTATTTTTTTCAGTGTCACAATGTTTCATCAGTACACTTTTTGGCCATTTTGGGCAGTTTTTTGGACTCACTTTCTTTCAAGAAGAGGAAAATCTGTGTATCACAGTCACCAAAATTCCAACCGTCGGGAAAATTACAGACAATTTACTATACCAATTGCAACTTTTAGGCCCCGATGTAAGGTTTTTGCCATACAATAATCCACTATTTAATGCTGATTTTTTATAACCATCATTAATCACTTTAGGGATTAATGCGAGAGAGCACTGGAAACATTCGTACGTTGGAAGACATCAAAATATCTGTGGACATTGGGGATTGTATTCGCTTGAGATATAAATCACTTTCGAAATTTCAAGATTCGACCAAAAAATTGATGTTCAATGTCGCCATGTTTGTAAGAAATCTGCAAATTCATCCTGATTTAAATTGTTATGGGCTGTATAAATATACACATTTTTTTAACTACATTTTTGTACATGCAGGATTCTAAAGGACCATCATCGACTGAATTTGAATGGGTTTATGAGGACGACCTGGAAATGGAAAAGTGTGGTCTGCCCATATCTGAAAATGAAAAACGAGACAGTTCTAATTATGACGATGATGATTTTACTCTTGTTCCTGGTAATTTGTCTGATTATATGGGCTACCTTGGTTGGGAAGCTGGAATAAAGAAGGAAGAGCCAAAGTCTTTGAACGAAGTTATCGAACGTTTTGGAATAGATATTGGGCTCACCGGATTTGAACGTGGTACTATTTAGTTAAATATTTAATTACAGATTTAAATTGTATTTATTTATACAAGAGATATATCTATTCATATATTTCTTTTAATTTTAGACGTAGCTGTAAATTTCCATTGCCCACAATCATTACGAAGATTTCGATTGTTCCAGACAATGACAGACAATGACAAAATCTAACGCTTGAATTTTAGTGGCGTAGATTTTACTATGCAGGGATAAATTGGCTTGGGCAGTATTTAGTGGTAGAACTTTTAATTTTATGTTCATGATTTTTTTGGGATTTTTATTGTGAAATTTTTGGACATGAATAAATGACGAATCGATAATACGTATTACTAATTTAACAATTTGGTGAAATTTTCATGCTCGATAATTCGTTCTTGTGATGTGGTGTGCCAATTTGCCATTTATTCAGTTTTATGGATTTGTCCTTTAAAGTATTATGACGCACGTAATGGTGTTATTCACAGCCATGTTTTTAGGTGTCTCGAGGAGCTTCTATTTTCGCAAGTGGTGAATCATCGTCCAGCTTCTGGCCTGGTTTTCCATTGGGGGCAGGATCTGTGTCAGCAGGAGAAGAACTTGCTGGGGCCTCTTGAGGTGTGTCTTGAGGCATTGCCTACAATTTAAGTAATTCAATTTAACTTGGACGTTTACGCTTTTAAGTTTTTATGCAAAATCTCACCACAATAGAACTGATAAGAAGGAGAAGAATGCCAATAGTTCGAATCGTGATCTTCATGTTGAGATAAGTATATTTATCTCGTACGTTTGTAAGGTATGATTTACGAGAGGCAAAAATTTATTGAAATTTAAATGAGAAGCTAGCACTTACATAAAGTTGACTCTGGTGCTATTATGAATTATGATACATATTTTCAGGCATATAAATTTTATTACAAGCAATGAAGTAATGGCATGATTAAAAACAATGAGAAATAAAATCACCTATGTTAAAACCTTGAGTTGTGATTGTGACGATTCATTCTTATTTAATTGTACTTTGGAACTTTATCGAATTTCAAATTTTTTATCGGAAATTAAAATCTCTTCATGAATCTAATTTTACAAATTCAAAATTTAAATAAGTATTATGCGGCAGGATAATAATAATACCCGGCTGAGGAGGCTGGGGCTTTATTAGGAACTTGATCTGCGGAAGCAGAAGCTTGGTTAGCAGCAGGTTTGATAACGGTGGCGGCGGGTGCAGGCTTATCATTGGCGGCGGGGGCAGCCTTGTCGTTGGCGGCGGGGGCTGCCTTCTCAGCGGGGAATGCCTGTAGAAAATAATTTAGCGGTAAAACCGCAGGAAAACCTATTTTTTCATTTCCTGTTCCATGTCTAATTTCATTTCATTCAGTTTCACAGTATCAAAATTGAGAGGAAATGCGAGAAACAAGATTTTTTTTCAAATATCGGTACTACCCAAATTGGGTACTACCGATATTTGATGGTGGGGAAAAATAGGCGCAAATATTGACTCCGGAAACTACATTCTTAATTTTGTATTTTAACTAATTGCAATTGTGATGCTTCATGCAAAACTTTTCACTGGTTAAACATTTTTATTATGGCCTAACCTATTCTAATCTAACTTGACCTATATTCCTCAATCTCGACAAGTATGAATTATATGGTGCGATCCCGCCTCTAGTTGAATTTAAAGATTGTAGGACATTTGACATATCACTTAGACATTGAAAATTAAGGCCTGCACATTGAGTAACCGATCGACCATGACAATGGATATTGGGATGTTGATGAATTTCAGAGGTTAGGGGGGTTGATGAGATGGACCAAATGAGCCAATACATTTGCCAAAATTTGCGCCTATTTTTCCCCACCATCAAATATCGGTAGTACCCAATTTGGGTAGTACCGATATTTGAAAAAAAATCTTGTTTCTCGCATTTCCTCTCAATTTTGATACTGTGAAACTGAATGAAATGAAATTAGACATGGAACAGGAAATGAAAAAATAGGTTTTCCTGCGGTTTTACCGCTAAATTATTTACCAATTTTTATCTACCTCATTGTTCACTTCGCTCAAGCTATTTATTTCAGATTAGCTAAATACATTTTGGCAATTGTTGTTTTGATTATATATTTAAAGTAAACAATATTAAAGAAGTTTATCCCTAAGCCTTCTCATTTCCGCTACCAGCTTTTGATTTAGTTCTTGGCACAACTTGGTATCGTCTTGCTGTAAAATAGCTACACCATCGAGTGTTCGGACACGACTAAGGGCAACATAAGCTTGTCCGTGAGCAAAGAGCTCCGGTCCAAGATATATTACGGCAGTGTCCACTGTTATCCCCTGTACCTTATGAACCGTGACTGCCCAGCAAAGCACTATCGGTAGCATTCGACGCCGTATTTCTTCACCCCCGCGTCCGTTGTTGTACACGACGTCTTCAGGTCGGAGATCGAAGATACCATCTGAATTTCCGCAGATCCTTGGGTCGTCAAACTTTACTTGTACGGTGGCGGGTAGGTCACCAGAACGGTGTTGTTCTCTTGCAAGCATATTCCAGGTGAACCCAACAACGGTCCCCATTGACCCATTGACCAGGTATCGCGTTGTCGTGGAATTTCGGATCACCATAATTCTAGATCCAGCAGCTAGTTGGATGGAAGCAGGAAATCCTCCGCATTTATTGCTGTCTCTAGAACTACGGGATAGAGGTGCTTGGCATCCAACATTTGGTCCAGAGTTGAAGGTGTCCCTTGCCCGAATGGTGTAGACATTTATACTTTTGTCATCGCGAAGTTGTCTAGTCCGCAGGCGATTGTAGCTTGCTACTTGGGCACGGGTTGCATAGATACGGATGGAATTCTTAAACTTCTCTTGCATGTCTTTCATCTTTGGCTCCAGAGGGTTGGCATCCTTTAACTCCCTGGTTCTTAAGATCTCAAGGTCTTCGCTTGTGAGATTTGCTTCACGTAGATGGTTACATATTCGAAGGAGGGGATCATTCACTTGACGCATGTTTACCGTTAATTCCCGAAACTCAAAAGCATGCCAAATGTTGGCTTCTCCTAGATAGAAACGCGGCGTTTCGTAGATGCAGTGTCCATTCACTGGTTCCAACTGGAAGAGATCCCCAACGCAGATAACGTTCTTTCCTCCAAACGGCATCTCAGAATCAAAACAATCGCACAGGCGATGATCAATCTGCCGGAATACCTAATTAAAAATAGTAATTCTTACTATTCATGGTACCGCTGGACCATCATTAATACGAAATATAATTAATGATACATTTGCCTCACCTCGTAGGAAATCATCGAAACTTCATCAAGGATGATCCACTCAACGTTCCTAAATTTTTCGCGCATACGCTGTAGCATTTGAGCTCCTAGTTTGGCGTAGTGTGGGACAGACCCTGCCTCTACGGCCAGATGAAATGTACGATGGAGGGTCTGACCGTTTATATTCAGAGCTGCAACTCCTGTTGGAGCAGCAAGCACTACGCCGTCCAGTCCAGGACCGCCTTCCTTTATCGGAATGAGGTTAGTCAGTAAAGAGATCAAAAACGACTTTCCAGTTCCCCCAGCACCAGTAATGAACAACTTAAGTTGGACTCGTCCTTGATCATCCAAACACTGCTGAATGAGATCGTAGATCTCCTTTTGATCAGGGTTCATTTTGGCCAATTCAGTTTCGAAGCTTTCTTCGTCCATGAAAGGGATTTGATATTCGTCCCCTGGTGCCATCAAAACGTTGCTTGCATTATCAACATCGGGGAAGTAAAGGAAATGGTCGTCCTCAGCAAGGTCATTTTGAAGTTGGGCATCTCGATCATGTGAAATTTTGTCTATAGCAGCCTCCAATGCTGTCGCCATCTCCGGACGGATGAGGTGAAAATCTTCATTTGTCCTCATATCGCTCTTCCGTCGTTCGTAAGTCTCCTGCACAGATTCGCCTGGAATTAGCAGCTCTACCTCCTCATTTCTGAATGGAATGTATAGGAGAATGTGCGCGTAGATAAAATTGGCTGCATCAGTGTCGCTATGGAAAGATGGGCTTTTGACTATGGAAAAGGTTTCTCTCTTTTTCCACATACCCATGCTTCTGTCTCTTAGGTAGAAAGCCCGAGAACCTCTTTGTCTTCGCAGAATTTCCTCCTCAAACCCTTCAACCAAATCCTCATCTGGTTGCACATAACTTCGACATGGTTGATATTTCGAAGCAAATTCAAAGAGGCAGATATTGCCAAGATCATCCGGGCGTTCACAATATTTGTCAATTATGTTACTAGAGTTAAAACAAAATTTAATTTTATGATTAGCATTAAAAGGCAAATATTTATGATTACAATATTGTCATTTACCTAGCAAATTTTACTTCGTCACCATTCAGAAATGCATCCTTTCGAAGCATTCTTATCCGATCCCAAGGACGGAAGGTGGGAACGAAGACGAAGCTACGCGACGAAAACCGCATTGGGATATTACACATTCTGGCAGCACACTCTTGAGACGATAAAGTCCGCCGATTCAAAAGAATTCGGGAAACTTTCTCCATCTGATAACGAATCGGATGATTACCTTCCCTCAAGGTTTGAATTGTGCGGCGAATATCTTCGCGGAAGGTTTCCGGTTCATTCTTACCAATATATTTAGCGATATACAGGGCTACTGCTGCAACCCCAAGAACGGGCTGTATATCCATATTACAACGGAGGAGCCAAAGGAGTTTCGGATGATAATTGTTAATCCACATCTCATCTTCATTTCTTCGTAAGATGATGCCTCGTCCTCGGGTCCTGCTGTCTTCGTCCAATGTTAAACTTGTCTCAGCCATTACAGGTCGAGGAAAGCCGAAGCGGCATGTGCTACCTTTCTTGAAGCATGTAGGTGTATTTTTGTGCGTTTGGTAACGTCTAACCAGGTCCCCAATTTCTGTTTCACCATGGAGACTGCATGAAACATTGGCGTCAATGAATTCGATACCTTCTGTGGTAGCAAAATCTGGTGGATTTTCTACCCAGATGAGGGAGTGTAGATGGGGACTCCCGCGGTCTTGAAATTCAACACGGAAGGTATAGTCGACCACCGGCTTTCCAAATATTGTTGGATCATTGGTCAGTAACTTTATCAGTTCCTGGGTCCTAAGGTTGAAATGACGTGCGGCTGCCACGGGATTGGAGTTTAATAGCTCCCGACGTTCGTCATACGGCAAATTCTGAATATTGGCTGGAACAGGTTCGTCACGCGATGCCCTCCACATTGCAGTGAGAATATCAGCGGAACCAATATCATCAGTAGACACTGTAAGGAAGAACGTAGGTGGACCAAGTCTTGTCACCATTGCCATGATATCTCCTGTGTATTTCTTCCAGTACGACTTGGAACCACGGATGGCGCTCATGTACAAATGAATATTTTCTGCCACCGGAGCATTCTCATTTTCCTGGTCTTGAAATTTCATGTTGGCGCAGACGGCAATTTTGGAATCCATGATAGATTGTTCCGACCTTGAAAGTGCATAGAAGAGATAGTCATTACGACGAAATCGACGATCGGCTGACATCACTCTGGTCGCAAAGTATGCGTGAGGCGTTAATTTAGCAGCGTGATCTTGGTCTCTATTTTCGTCCAAACCGTATTGTCCGTGGGGGAAACATTGAATGAAGCATTTCTCCTCCAAATGAATTTCGTAACGCACGTTAATTGGCGGAGCAGCCGTCCTATGAAGATTCACATTTTCTTGCAAGTTGCAAGAGCTAGTGCAAACGAGATCGGTCACATCTTCTTGCAATTGTTCTTCTCTACTCTGCCCAAATCTGTCCAACCGAGGCTCAAGGAAGTCAATATTGTGGATGAGGCAATCTTCTTGTGCCTCGTCGCCAAATGCAGCATGCATGTCATTGGGATTATCTATCTCTTCAACTTCCGATGGGCTATTTATGTCTTCACGAATTGTAATATTCAGAGGAGTTACGGTAAGAACAGCAGCATTTAGGCTTTGAACACAATTGTTGTTGACTATTTTGCAAAGATGATGGTAGCTTTCTTGACATTGGCGTAGCTTTAAAATTAAAGCCTGCTGAGTTGCTGCATTTGAAATCATGCCTTGTTGAGTCCTAGCGTGACTGTCAAAATAGTAGAGATGTCCATCGCTTTTGCTTAGGCCCATTGTGTATTGACCTACGGGATGGGATTATTTTAAATTTTTGTAATGGAAACATGTTGGCAGTATTTGTGATTATACGAACCACCAGTAATTAACGCGTAGTCTGAGTTGCTCGAGACGAAATCCTCAATGGCACTGGCTAGCGCCCTCTTCGCATAGTCTTCTACTTCTGCCATCCACCTTTCAAACGCAGCGTAGAAGACAATACCTCCGTCCACCAAGCTTATACTAACAGATTTTCCAAAAACATTTGCAATTTGTCCCTCGATCTCATCAGGGTTTAAATAGTCGTATGCAACAATCTGTGCGCGGCCTTCACCATTAGTTGCGTTCCTTTCTGTATGTAAACACGAAATTTACCACTCAATCACAATATCTCAGCACGAATATTCCACATACCTATAATCCTGTTGCGACATTTCTGGTAGTAGTAGTCACCAGCCGTCAACATCCGGTCTCCATCTTGTATTGTCCAAGTACCCGGAGATTTTACTGCAGCATACGCCACAGCGGCAGCAGACATTGCAGTGCATTGTTTTCCTCCAGTTCCTGCTTTTAGAAATCGCTTGGAGGTTTGACAGAAGCTCAGCCGCATTGCCATCATCCACGGTTTTCTTGGAATTGGAACATATCCACCCTCGATGCGTGGCCTTCCCTTCCTATCAGTCACATCTGGTGTTGGATAACTATCACCTTCGTTCTGTGCTACAACGGCATCTTCAAGCCGAATACCGTCCAGGTTGAACTCCTCCATTGTCACCTTTGAGTATCCGGGATTATTTATGAGCAACCACTCTAGAGCTTCACGAAGTACTAAAACCAATACAATTAACATTATGTACTAAGAAAATTGAGTAGTGATTTAAATTGCTCTACCTTGAGGCCTTATATCAAATATGGAGGAATGTGGAAAGTCTCCAACTGATTCCGTGACAATTATTGTGCCGTTTGATGTGTTCGGCCCGAGGCGTAACTGCTCCTGAACTTCCTCCACGCTTTGGGCAAAGTGGATGACCTGCCCTTGAAGAGCAACTTGTCCTCGTCCTCGACTCAATTTGTGGATTTTAAGAAAGGCCTTCGCACGACTGACCATCCTTGCCTCCACATCCGTCAAAATACTGATAACGTTGGGTGACTCTGGGACATACATGTGGTTGACCATTGCGGTTGCTGGAACTTTTCCTTTGTTCAGGTTGTCATGGCAACGATGGCAGCAATCTATTTGGTCTCCAGTAGTTGGAACGAGATGTTCCAAGGTATTACTGTCGTACCTATTTGCCACTGACCCCAGGACTCTTCGAATTCCTTCAGTTACTGACAAAACCCTGCAAAATTTAAAGTAAAAATAAATTTGGTGCCGATTAACATGATTCCTTTGTTTCATTATATTTTCTTTTACGCTAACCTGATGCCCTTATCGTACCAAAGACGATTGCAAATGAAACATGTCCGGTTTGCAACTTGGTTGATATTCCTGATGAAGAGTTGTTGGTGAGGTGACAGGGCCAGTTCAACCTCAGTGGGGTCTATTTCCATCTTTTCGACATCAATACTTTCTTCTTGTATGGTTTTTGTGTCCTTCTGAATTTTGCACTTGTTTGCTATATCGTACTTGTACTTTCGTAACTTTCTTTGTCTAGATGGCATCGTTTGTGTTTATTGTGAACTTGACGTGTAATTAATCGCTTTTATTATGTTGAATTTAATTAAATACTTCGATAAATATAAAAACAATTATATTCTTCGCAATGACATGTGAAGCAACAGTCGTGCAGGTAAACACACCACTTTCCTTATACCGCGAATTCATGGGGTAAAGGGAGACTCACAACACATTCAAACGAAGACACCCATGATGAGAAAATATTATAATATCATTAATACTACATACATATGCATATATGTTAATAAATATTATAGAAAATATTATACATCAAAAATTGATAAAGGTTAACTTTGGAATTGAATATAATATGTAAGTATGAAATCTAATTGAAGTTCATTGGATACTAAAACTATTTGGGCTACAATATTATGGCCAGAATTTGCAAAACCCGAACAAAACTGAATGTAAACGTTTGGAACACGTGAGTTTGGCATTTTTTGCCCCATTGAGGGTGTGGGGGGATGGGGGCACCAATGGGGCCATGGAGTCAAACAAAGATTTTTGTACACTCATGGTGTACTACCATATATCCATAGTACATCGAAATGTGAGATGGACAATTAGGGAGGATCTCCTCCTCAATGACTAACCCTCTCACATCTTCACACCGCCATAACTTTTCACCTAAGTGCGATTTCGAAAAAAGTGGTACTTTAAGGGCACCCCTAGGGACCCTCAGGAACACAATGAACATCTTTCCAGTTCAAAATATTAATCCCCCCAGTCTGTACCCCTGTCAGACTGAAGCCACCCAAAATTCAACATTTTGAATTTTCGCGCGTATAGGAGGCCCTATTTTAAAAAATGTTTCAAACATTTGTTGTAGCCCTAGGCCCTGTAGACAATATCCCGCAATCAGATTTTCATTCTCATTCACCCAGCCCATTTGAAAAAATATTTAGTGTCCCTAGTGCCCATTTACACTTGAAGGTGAAAAGATAAAAAAGTAATCAAAATTTCCAAAAACGGTTCGCGTACCCTATGCCTACATTTTTGAGCTTGTTCGAATGCCACTAACCGCATCCATCTAGCTTAAAAAGTCGGCCTATACGACCAAACAAAATTAACATTGCCCTTAAGTGATTGCATACTATATGTTTCACATATACTTCCATGAGTCATGCAAGTAAATGGGAAAAAATAGAATAAGACAATGAAAAATTAAAATTCGTTTCCAAAATTTGAATCACATTTTTTATGATCTTATACCTTTGTTACACAGGCAAATATTACGATGAAGAGAGCGATAGTTGCGAAATACTTCATGGTGATTCTTGTCAATTACAATTTCTGTTTCTTGTCTTAATTAGTTAATAATTGCTGGAGATAACTCGAGTAAAATGTCTTGAATGTAACACCTTACCTAATATTTGGAGGTATTTATATCAATTAATTTCCTGAAGTGACTACATTATAAGTATTAAAAGTATCTCGAAGAATGCCGACATGACTCCCGTTTCCTGCGTTTTATTCATTCACAAACAAAAGCACAAGATTATTAATTAATAAGGATGTGAACAAAAGCTATACAAATTTAGAAGGATACATTTTTGTGACGCGCTCGCTACATACATTTTTCGTTTTTATCTTGATTTTTATTATGCTTGGCTGGCAGGATATTGAGAATGAAAATATTTTGATTGTTGTTTTCTAAAATATGACAATATTTACGAAAACTTTAATGCAAAATTACTTGATATTATCGTTAATTGTGAATGTATGGTAGGCTACTATTATTAGTAGCGTGACGGTGTTTAACGACGTTTGGTATGGAACAAATTAACCTTACGATCGAGCTAAATTCGAAGAAACGATGAAATTATGAAATTTCAACGAATTTTTTTTGTTACATAATTCGATGCTTCAGCATCTACGGCTGCATATTTATATACATTGTAATAAAGAAGAGTATTCATTCCAAAATAAAATGCAAGCATATTTTTTACAGCTTGAGACTATTTTTTTTTATTTAATGTTCTTATGAAGTTGTATTTCAAAATATTTTGAAATCAATGTCCAGTATTAAGGTGAACAATTAAATTGTGACTATAGTCACATAATAACTTATAATTGCATGTTTTCTATATTTCAATTGATGTTGGTCATAAAATATAAATCATTACTGATTTTTCGAAATTGTCACATTTAATAAAAATCATGACTTCGCCGAGCACGATTGCATGGCTGGCTGGCTGGACGTATATTTTTCGTGTGTGTGGTGGTCAAGTCAACGAATGAGCAGATAATTTTTGTCTGCTCTAGAGATTTGTCACTTGCCTGCTTGCTGAGCTTGCCTGTCAGCAAATTCATCTGTAAAACGTTATCGCATAAATACAAAACACATGACAGTTAACCAAAGAGTTAAAACCTTAGTTTGTGGATATTTTGGATCTACTAGGAGTTTTCTTTGCAGAATAATACTTAATTAAAAGGTTAAATGGAGATTAACTTTGATTAAAATTGTTTGTATGTAAACCATAATAATTATTATTGACATGTTGCTAAAATGTAAATAAATGATTATTTAGCTGTTTTAATACTTTTGAGGGGACACTGTTGTCAGATTGAGATGATGGAGGAGGACGACGAGATCAAGGTCAGTGGTGATCATCACGACGACGACAGTGATGACGATGCTGATAAAGGTTAATAATTTCGAATCGGTCTAAAATTATTTATTTACTTGACAATTATTTTGTCTACTTGTTCAATTTCACTGCATTTCATTTCATTTCAGAAGATGGCGATAATAGTGACGACGAGGACGAAGATTCTTTTTCAACTTATACAAATCAATTTTATGCTTCATTGGCGTCATCATCACAGTCGCCAGTATTGTTGGATACAAGTCATCAGACTAATAATGATGTGGCTGTTGTTGATCCATCAGACAATTCATCCTTCAATGATGATGGTAATATCTGGTTATATTTAATAATTTCACACTAAACGCAAGTTAAATATTTAATTCCCGATTGAATTAATAAATATTTTGGAATCTTTCCTTCAGATGAGCGCAACGACGGCAGTGAACTTAATGTTCCACCCGCAGTATTACGCAATTCTGACGACGTCAAGTTTGAAAAATTAAGAATTAAACAAAACTACAAGTCAAATAATCACCGAAGGAGCCAAAGTAATCATCGCAATCCAAAAACTATTTCTAGTCTAGGCCCTGCAAAAACAATTCAGAATCCAACATTCTGCATTGGGAGACAAGTAACCAATAAAGATCTCCAACCCAATGCTGCTGCTAATAAAGTTTCCAACCGTGAAAGAATCAGACTGGCACAGAATGAAGAAATGGAAAACCAAATTATCAAGAAGCATCTTGAAGGTATGAAAGCCTTGATTGATCAAATTTTGAAAATGCAATCTTCTGAAGAGTTTACAGTTCAAGATGAGAAGCATGTTGGAAGCTTTAAAGCATTACAGTCCAAATTTAATGAAATGAGCGAACAATATAAAGCTTTTAAGAATTTAAAGAAGAAAGCCAGCACAACTTTGAGCGAATCTGATTACAAGAAACAAATGGCTAGAGAAATCTATAGACTTAAAGGACGCCTACCTGCTTTTGCTAAAAGGACTGAAATTGATCGCCACGTCGACTGGTTTCCTGAATCAGACTGGAGAGTTCTCATCATTCAAGGACAAACTGGTAGTGGGAAAAGTACACAAATTCCACAGTATTTGGCAGACCATCCAAGCTTTGCAGGAAAACGGATCATTTGTACTCAACCTAGGAAAATTGCAGCCGTTTCTTTAGCAAAACGAGTTTCAATTGAATATTCAAACGATCCATGGGCAAAACCAGGTCAAGATATCGGATATCAAATTGGGGGTGCAAAGGTTAAAGAGAGTCGAGTCGAATTTGTAACGGAAGGTATCATGCTGGAAAGAATTATGTCAAACAAACCATTCACAGACGTTGGATGCATTATAATCGACGAAGCCCATGAACGCAGTATAATTTGTGATATTCTGCTTGGATCATTTAAAAAAGCGGATAAACGTTGGAAGGATATCCTGATTGTCATCATGTCTGCCACGATTGATATTGAAGAATTTTCAACTTTCTTTAATAATGCTCCCAAAGTGGAGATGGCCGGTCGAACATTTCCAATCGAATTCTTCTATCATCCGCTTCCAGATAGTGCGACTTCGGAAATGTCTTACATTCGGAGGGAGGTTGTAAAAAAGGCCGTGGATATTCACTCACGTTGTGGATCCGTGATAAGTGGAGATATCTTGTGCTTCCTCCCCGGTCAGGAGGATGTTTTAAGTGCGAAGGAGGACTTTGAAAGGGAGATGACGAAAATTAATGGACGTGATGTGAGTTTAAATATTTAAACTTGTATTTAAGTTAGTGTTTATTTATTTCACAATATTATTTTCTATAATAATTGCAGAATTGCAAATATTTCGCCACGAAAGTATATTCCCTGTTTGGACGGCAAGATCCGGAGCAGCAGGAGGAAGTATTTCAAAAACTGGGGACAAATATCAGGAAAATAATCTTCGCAACCGATATAGCTGAAACTTCTATCACGATCGATGGAGTGGTATTTGTGGTAGACTCTGGAGTCAGGAAGGAAATGATCTTTGACCCCAAAAGGAATATTTCTACGCTTAAGCTTACGACGATATCAAAAAGTTCCGCTACCCAAAGGGCAGGTCGTTCAGGCAGAACACAACCTGGCGAATGTCATCGTCTGTATTCTGAAGCTGACTTTCAAAGTATGAGTTCGTCATCAGCCCCTGAAGTTTTTCGGAAGCCATTATCACTCGCTGTCCTATCCTTAATTGAGATGAACATTGTGCCCATGGAATTTGAATGGATAAGTTCCCCTTCCAAGGATGCAATGTCTGCTGCTGAAGAAGAATTGCGTTATTTGGGCGCGATTGATGAAGAGAATAAGACAACTGCACTAGGAAAATTAATTTCAAAATGTCAGCAAGAACCAAAATTAGTTCGAATGATTTATCGTGGCTGCCAAGATGGATTTGGCATGGCTGCTGTGACCATTGCTTCTATCTTCACCGTTGCAAACATGTTTTACTACATTGGTGCAGATGAAGCGGGGAAACAAGAGTCTAGAAAATCAAGAAATACATTTGCTCTCGAAAGTGGAGATGTCGTTACAATGTTTCGAGTATTCCAAGAATATTTGAGCGTGTCAGGAATGAACGGGGACAGGAAGAACGACGATGACGACAACAAAAGAGAAGAAACTGAAAAGGTAGTTAATCAAAGGAAACAAGGTGGTGTCTGGTGTCGAAAGAACTACATTAATGGAAAAGCCATTGGCTTGATAATGTCCACAAGGAAGGAACTTGTTCAGTTATTTAGGTGAGTTTCATATGTAATAGTATGAAACCTTGACGTTATTTTGATACAAAAAATAATCATTTTTATGCACATTAGTAATTTATTTCCTTCCATAGATCGACAGATATTTGGAATAGCCAATTAAATCAAACGAATGAGCCAACGGACAATGAACTGAGACGTATCATATTCGCAGGTTACTTTCTTCATACTGCTCGATTAATTCGTTCTCGCAAATCAAAATTGCCCCAATATTTTGCTGTTCATCCTTCGGTGACTGGAAGCTTGGATTTCAAATCAGCCCTGGTACACCACACCACTACCAAGAATACACAAACTCCAGAATGGATAGTTTATGAAAAAATCTTGCGACTAAAAACCACCCTTCTCCCAACTTCTACGCCCATCGACTTTTCTTGGATCGGTGAAGAGAGTCCAGCTTTTTTAGCGTTGTGCCATGCAAAACAAGATGAACTTCCCACTGAGAAAATTGTTATCTCAGCATCGCAGGAATGTCTAAGGAATATTTTTGGAAGATATTTCATTAATTTGAATTCGTTAGAAGCGGAATTAGGGTGCGATTTGGATGTTGATATCGATAATGGAATTTTAGCTGCGTATTGCACCGCTGTCAAGAAGCCAAGAGTGGAAGCTAATCTCAAAAGGAAGGTGCAAATTTTTATGCAAGTGTTGAAGGATCAAGTTGAAGAAGAAGATTATTTGGGAGGAACCAGAGTAGTGGTTGGGTTAGGGTATGAAGTACAAGAAATTTTATTTCCACAAGATTTTATTACAATCTTTATCCGATCACTTGATCCGAGCGTAAGTAAAACTGAATTAAAGTGGCACCTGGAATTGCACGGAATTTCTTTCCGAAATTTGGACCTGCGCTCGTATGAAACTAATCAGACTGCTGTTATTAAATTTTATTCAAAAGCGGATGCTAAAGTTGCACTGGAAGTTTTAAAGAAGGAAAAATTTAAAGGGAAAGAACTGGACGTTGCTCGTGCTGGGATGGGCCCAAGAAGGGGAGTGACACAGGAAGAAGTTTGTCGATTAAAGCTCTCTTGGTCATTAGCTCCATCGGAGGGAAGAGCCCAAATTTGTTTCCACACAGCTGCTGAAGCCAATAATTTCGTGGAGACAGTAAGCACACGATTTGGTGGGGCCAGGGTCACGGCGCTTCATGGACATGTGGAATCTAAGAACTCGAAACACCAACGTAACAAACCACAGCCTCCAGCAATGGTCTTGAGAGGGATCCCCGACGGAGCCTGTAGATATCGGTTCGTCGTCGAAGAGGATCTAGAACCGAATGAACAACAATTTGATTATAGGGTGAGCTTTTTTTTACTGTGTGCTTGCAGTTAGTTTGCTTGTAGGTTTTACAATATTTAAAATGTTTGTAATGTTGCCCCCAGCTCACGTTGGGAAGCCTTCCTCTCGATATTGATGAACAAGAGTTATTCAGAAGAGTTAAACCAACGATTCCGAAATGGGCAAGAGTTAATCGTACCGTTAGTACAGCGACAAAAGAAAAATATGAAATTACAATTTCAGATGAAGAATTAAAAGATAAACTGGCCCCATTTGAAGAATACATTTCAGACGGTCAGTGCCCACAGTTCTATTCTGATAAGAATCTTGGACGTGCAATCCTATATGTTCCAGTGGATAACAAACTAGCACTTCAGAAGGCATCAAAAATTGATTATTGCTCAATGAAGGAAGACGTATATGGACAACCCCATCGACTTGAGATTGAATATAACCACACCACTTCTGTTCATACTGATTTATACAAGTTTATCAAGGATGATATTGTTCAAATTAAGAATATGGCCTACAAGAAAGGGGCACAAGTTTGGGATAGTGCAGATTGCAATAACAAGTATGGGACAAAGACGACCAAGTCCAAATTCATTTTTTTGAAGTTTCGAACGTGTAATCCTCGCTTAATTGGAGAACTTCAAAAAAGTTTGGAATCTGTATCAAGTTACACAAAATTCAACCATGAAAGCCTTCATCTACTTTTGACCACTACTGGAAAATTAGAATTGGATCGTATCGGCAAAACTGCCTTTCTCTATTTAAACCCCCGAAATAATGGGCTGTACATTTATGGACGCCCAGAAATTCAAGAGAAAACTAAGAAACAACTTTTATCAAGTATCAAGTATTTCACGACGCTCGAAGTAGTCGATAGGCCACTAATGATTTCAAAAAAGAAGATAAATTTACGCCGCGGAAAAGCTTCTGCCGCCGACGTGTCCAAACTTGAACGTGCTTGTAAAAGCAGCGGAGTTGATTATTATGACTTTGTAGGGAATCGAATTTTGGTGTCGGGTTCGGAGAAGGCATTTGCGAAACTCAAGAATATTTTGGAGAAGGATGGTCTGCTTTATGAGAAGAGTCCTTCCCATCTTGCTAAACTAAAGGGCCGTCCAGATTGTACCATTTGTCTGATGCCACCAGACAGTGATTTCATACAAAGCAGCATCTGCCCACATGCTTTCTGCATTGATTGCCTACAGCCAATGTTTAATATAATGCCACCAGCATTACCGGTCAAATGTCAAGGAGAAGATTGTCAAAAGTTGTTAGGAATTGGAGATATTACCAAAACCGCAAAGAAAGAATCACTCAAAAAATATCTCGAAGTGGCCGTTGTCAAATATCAACAGGAGCATTCTACTCTTTTCCTTATGTGTCCAAAACAAGACTGCGGACAAATCTTATGCGCTTCTGATAAAATTATTGGTAAGTGAAGCATTTGTAAAATAAATTTTAATTGATCAATTTTATTAAGATAGATATACCAAGTATACAATGAAATAGTGATTTTTTGTTTTTACTATTTCCTTTAGGAGAACGAGGTGGCGAATTTTATTTTTGCGACGAGTGTGTCACGACTTATTGCATTCCGTGCTCCCTGAAAGCTGAAAAACCATGTAAGAGCCATGAATATGATACTTGTGAAGAAGCCAGGAGTGGTCTTTCAAACGAAGTTCAAATCCACGTGCGGCGCATACAAGAAGATATTCTTAATCTTCAATGTCCACGATGTAAAACTGCATTTTATGATTTCGTGGGATGTGTGGCAGTTACGTGTGAAAGTTGTAAGTGCGGTTTTTGTGGGCTGTGTCTTACCGATTGTGGTAATGATGCACACGCTCATGCTCGGCAATGTCCAAAGAATCCCAAAAAGAATGAGTACTATGCCTCTCAGGTCGTAATTGATAGAGTTCATCGAGAATTAAAGGTGCAAAAGTTACAAGAATATCTTAAAGATATTGAGATAAACGGAGCAGAGCCTCGGGTTATAGAAAGTATTCGCCGTGCCATTCGACAGGATTTGATTGATCTTGAAATTCCTACATTTTGAAACTAGTATTGTGTATTTTTTGAAATGATGTGCACTTGGAAATGAGTTTTTCTTTCTGGTCTATATGTATACTTATTTATTGCACTTGTAATTACTTATCTCTTGGTTGTTAGTCATTTAATTTTATGGATAGCCACGCTCCTAAATCCGGCCCAATTTCATTAGTCCAAAGCAAATTTAATTTAACTTTTGTAAGTTCTTTCTTTAAAGCTTTTCGTTTTCCGGGTCCTAACTTTTCACCAAACTGAATGATGAATTCTTCCATCTATGTAACAAGATAGTGAAGTTAGTATTTAGCAAGTTGTATGTAAAATTATAAAAAAATATTCAAAAGTAATCACATCTTGTAACTCTCGTGTTGTTGTTGAGTAAGGGACCAACGCTTTGAAACCTTCTACTACAGGATTTGCTACACTTGCACTGAAAAAATATTGAATAAACTCGGCCATTGTTATGTATTAGAGTAAAATTTTCTGTATCTCACTTTTTGTACAGGCTGGAAAAATGTTGTCTAAGGAAGGGAAGCACAAGCGTTTTGCCTATCGCATTCTCTGCCACAAACTTAATAATCTGCACTCGGTCTACGTCATGAAGTTCAGCTTTTGTTGTCCAGTTTAATAGTCTGCATTATTCATTGATGGGTTTAAATTAAATAATAAAATAACAAAAGTTGGTTAGGTTAGGTTAGAAATACCTTGAAACAAGAGAGGTGTGTGTGGCACAGGACATTGCTTTGAGATAACGACCCTTCATTACGGAAAATGATTCGGTATGATATAAATCTAGGAAGAAATCACTCCGTTCTGTTCCTTGAGTCAGGTTGACGGATGTGGCTACGAATGCACAAAAAAGTGTGTTCTGCTCATTTGCAGGTATCCTGTTTTATATGTAAACTATGAATAATTTATAATTGTGGGAACATAATTGTAGATACATAATCACTGCAGCTCTGTAATTAGGTTTTACTCACGGTTTATTATGATTTTTCCAAGAATTCATTCTGTCAGTGGACAACTGGGCGCACTGGGATGGTTTATAAAGGCAAATATGGTCAAGTAAAAGAGAATGAAGGCGTCTCTTTTCCGTCATGTCAACTTCCGAATTGTTCTCCAAGTCACAGAGGGATGCATTCCAAGCTGGGATCAGTTTACTCAAAGTGTATTCCTGCATAATTTGTAGCATGTGAATAATTCTAACAATTTGGCGAAGAAAACATCACTCTTTTTTAGTCGAATCACCTGAAATTTGGGTAAATAGTTGGTGTCCCTTATCCGGCTGTAAATTCGGTTGAAATGGGCTATCACGCTGGACCAGACAACTAACGATCTCTCATTTTCTAGGTATCTTGTCAAGTTTAGTGCAGCAGAAATTTGTACATATTCTGAGAGAAACATAGAAAAATGGTTTTGAAAAATGTAAAGTTAATTTCTTTAAATTTTCATAAGTAGATACTTGCAAACGAAAGAGCAAAGTAGTCATCGATAAGTTGACTCTTGGTTACGGGAAGCATGGCGAAATGGTTTGTGGATAATTGCTGTTGAATGCTATCAAATATCTCAGGATCATACATAACACGGTAATACCCTGCAAAATGGAATACACGTTGTTGAATTTATGTATGTATCTGAACACTCACTTTCAGCGAAAATATGCATAAATCGGGCATTTTGTGGATTACCTTTCGCATCCGGATTGACAAAAAATGGAGTTTTTAGATGAGGATAATCTACAAATATCTCGCTCTGCTTTAACCATATTTCTCCCACATTTACAGTTAAACCGTTGTTATCAGTGGACGGAATTGGAGGCCAAAATGTGATGGGAATAAACCAAGTCGAGTTTTCACTTGTTTTATTGCTCTCTTGGTTTAGTAATAATGAAACGTGTGGATTTACAAATTTTTCCTAAAATTAAAACCACTAACTTGCAGTAAGAATGATTAATAATCATCAATTATGCGTATTTATTTATGTACCTGCGTAATTCTAAGAAGTCCTTCCGACTGGGTGGACACGCGGATTAGTGGGAACCCACTTTGATCAGTCCATGATCTTAAAATCTCTCCAATTGTGGCATTATGTGAGGTTGACATTTTTTCGTCTGCTTCGACGGTTTCAAGCGCTGCAAATAGATCATCTTGCGCCGCCGCTTTGTATTTCCTATGAAATTCAATGAGCAATTTTACTTTTAATACTTTAATTTTATATAAATTTTCTCACATTTGATTCACAAATAATTTGACTCCGCTACGAAACAATTCCGGTTTCATGAATGCTTCAGTCATCCTTAGAATAGAGGCCCCCTTTTTATACGGGATGCGAGTATATATGTCCCCGATTGCATCAGAGCTATTTAATGGATTGCAAAGTGGGTGTGTTTCCAGCCCGGCATCAAAGTGCAGGGCGACTTGGAGATTGTAGGTAACAAAGTGGGTTAACGTATGAAATTCTGGATGGACGGCTTCTACGGCTACGTCAGAGTAAAAGGTACTGAATCCTTCCTGAATACTCAAAATCGGTTCTATCAGTCTTTGCAAAAATGAAAAGTAGGTCGGAAGATTGATTCACCTTCAACCAAACATTATCCCACCAAGCTATGGTTATCAGATTGCCGAAGGTTTGATGCGCTAGGAAATTTCAGCGTCAATATCTATGCATACATAAATTGATATAAGTTGATTTGTACCTAATTCATGGGCGAGTACTTCCGCAACTCTTGCACGCTCTTTATCCGTGGTCACATTTGGTATTGTGAGCAGCACGGGGTCCCTATGATAATATGTTGTGGAAATAACATGTAGATTAAATACGATGCTTCATTTATTTACTTGAATGTAAGCAGTCCCCAGTTTTCCATTGCAGAAAAATAAAAGTGCGGCAGAGAAACGGTATCCAATTTAGGTAGTGGGTACTCTTGTCCAAATTCAGATTCCATCCAAGGCATCACCTTTTCCGTCATTTGCATTGCAAAATTGGTGGATAAATTGATGGAATATCGAAGAAGATGGGAAGGTGCGTACATCTTAAAATTGACAAAGATTAGTAAACTATCCAATGAAATATAACGTTATTTTAATTCACACTTGAAGTTTCACTCGTCCATCTCTGAAGGATTCAGCCTGATTTTCAAAGTCAGAAGTGATCATGGCCACGATGTAAGTTGGCATCGGTGGCGTTTTATGAAAAAAAGTCCACACGTAGTCAGGATACCCTTCGCTGATGTCAAATAATATGTAAGAATACACAGCTTAAAATTTCGTGGAGTATTTCTTACACCGAAATTCCACTAGAATTAGCGGATGGAGTGTTTGATAGGGCCGTGTAATTTTGTGGATGACCAATTGAAATTTCGAAAATAGCACGAAGAGTTGGTTCGTCAAAACATGGAATCGCCTTCCTAGCATGATTTGGTGCAAAGAGTGTTGTAGCCAAATATCTTTTCATCCCCGTCACTGGGTCCAAGTAGTAATCCAAATAAAGTCCATTAAGTCGATCGTCTGCAATTCTGGCTATGAATGAAATGTTTATCATGTATTGACCAGGAAGAATTGGGTTTTGCAGTTTCAAAACTAAAAATTGCGTCTCCTTTTCCATGCGTCTTTCCTTTAGAGGAACATTAAAGTTTGATGCATTCGTCACCTTTGAAAAAAATACATTAAGAAATTAAAAACGTTTTAAAAATGTTAAAATTTACTGTGCTGCTACCTCCACACCCAAAATTTCCATGTCGTCAGCATGCAATGTGATATTGTCAACTTCATGAAGCACTTCTATCAATATCGACACATTCCCTGGAGAATAAAATTGTGTCCCGTCTGAATTATTCCCCGTGGTGAGAACGTGGATAACACGGAGTGAATAGTGAGTTGGAATTATGGATTTTGATAATCGAAAATATGTCGACGTCGTGCTAGAGTTGTCACCGTCGATTTCTCCGGACGAATAGGTGCTGCTATTCTTGCTGGTAATAAAATCCAAGTCTGTACTTTCTGTGTCCTGAGAAAGTACGAGATGCCAGTTGAACCCCACCCAAAGGGAAACAAACGAAACTCCATAAATTACAATTTGCATTTTTATTTCCACACTAAGCATGCACTCTAATAAATTCGGAGGAGGCTGCTCAGGCACTGACATTGACTTAAAAATATTTGGTTATCCACTAGATTATTAGGAGATTAAACAACTGGAGAGTATTAATAATTTATATAACCGGTTCTTCCTCGTGCGATTTGTTGGCAAGAGGATTAAATAAGTGTGTAGTTGACATCAGGCGTCGTATTTATTACTATTTGGTTCCATGTAACCCTGGTCTAATAGACTCTCTGATGAATAAAGGGAGATGTGAAAAAAGTCATTTTGGTCGTAATTAGGATTAGATCGTTAAAAGTGAATAATAATCGACGGATGCAAAACACGTCTCGCTTAAATGCTCACTTAAAAATGTATAAAAAATAGTAATGAAGTAGACAATTAATTTAATGATTTATATTAAAAATGTTTTATTACGTAAAAAAAGATTGAACAAACATAGTTTTGCTTATATTTTCTTAGTTTACACTGGATAAATATAACCAATATCTTACTTCAGGAATGTAACTTCCCAGAGATGAGTTTTTAATTGAGACAAGTTGAGACCCTTGTTGAGCTCAATTTCTAATTTTCCTGTGACTTTTCTTCCTCTCGATAAATGGGATTCGTGTTATCAATAACTTTGGTACAATTTTTAGTAAAACCGTCCAATTCATCCTCGGTGAGATGAGGATGTGTTTGTTTGTAGTGAGCAATGAGATGACTTTTGAACAAACTGCCACTCCCACATAATTCACACTTGTACTGATACGACTTTTGATGCTGCGACAATCTATGCTTTTTTAGACTCTTTGAATCCGACAGTTTTTTCCCACAAATGTCACAAATACTGGGTGCATGAGTATTCAAATGTACTTTCTGCATGTGCTGCTTGAGGTCCTGTACACTGGTATAAGCTTTACCACACAATTCGCAAATAAATTTTTTCCTCTCTACTGGTTTCGGTTCTTTGCTATGTTGAACTCTAATGTGGGCGTTGAGATTAAAGACCCCTTTGTACTTCTTCCCCGTGGTGCAGTATGGACAAGCAATTATTTTTACAGCTTCTGCCGAGTGCATTTGCTTCTTATGCGCTTGTAAATTCTCACTAACAAGATAGGTCTTTGGGCACTGGTCACAAAGAAAGGATGGTTCATTTCCACTGTGGACACGAGTTATGTGATCGTTCAGACGACTTTTCTTATTGGATCCATAAGCACAAAGATAACATGGAAAATTGGGTCCGTCTTCTCCTAAAAAGGAGAATGAATGATGGAATTGTACATACAATTATTAATTTTATCAGCATTTTTTACAAAAAGTTTATACCGTGCTCATTCAAACGGTGAGACTTGAGTTCTAGAACCTTAGTGAAAGATTGTTTACAGATTTGACAACTTATTCTGTTTTTATGTTTTGTTCTCTTGGACTGAACACATCGTTGTCGTCGTCGTCTCTGTTTCTTGTTTTCATCTTTGACTAATTGTTTCTTGTCGGAGTCAGACTCGATGACGTTTTTATTGTTGGAAGAATCTGAGTGAATTGATGGAATATCATCATCTAATACGAAATCAGGATCATTATCAGGACCATTGTCAGAATCTTCCATGTTTATATCCACCATCTCTTGTGTGGAAATTATTTTCAATCTTTTAGACAATCGTGTTTGTGCTTGTGTGGTAAGTTTTGGCAAATCTTGTATTGGCATCGACTCGTCAGACGGACAGGATGAGTTTTCATACATCATCATCGAAAAATCTGATTCTGCTAAAGGATCAATTTCACAGAAGTCCAAGTGAACATGGTCCACATAATCTTCATAATCCACTTTAGGTTCCACTTTGACAGATCCTGAAATGAAAAATCCGAACCAATAAAAAAATCCGTAATATCTTTTCATGGCAAATCAAACTATTAATTACCAAGACTAATATAATGCTGACCAATTCCCTCTTGTACAATTTTCTTGATACTTTCCAATTTCGTTGTCATCTCTTTGATTAGTTTATCCAATTCCAATCCGTTTTCAATAAGTTTATTGTGTTCTTCACAAAGAAATTCTGACGAGTCGTTCAAATCGGTTTGGATTTCATCTCGACTTAATTTCAGACCGAGACAGTTAAATGAAATGAAATGCAGGATCGATACCATTTTATCCAGTGCCATAGAAGACTTGATATCACGTTTTCTTCTTTTCGTACTCCTTAGTGGTCGTAATTTTGGATTGGTAGAATTTGTAATTTCAGAACAAATTATACAACGTGGCGACGAATCGGATTTATTTCGGATGGAAGATGAATTTAAAAATGATAAGAACTGAACAGAAGAGTCATCTTTGGTGGTCACATCCTCTTCGACTTTTAATTTATTGGGGCCCATTTTGAATCAGTACTTGTCAATATACTAAATACATTCCGGCTGGACTCTAAAACGTGGCAAATCGATGCACAATTAAATTGCAGTACTTGCGCTATTGAAATTTATGTCCCCACTTGAAATACAAACTACCAAACTTTTTCGATCTGTGCATCTTTCACATCTGTGGAGAGTTCACATAATAACAATATATGAAGTCGGCGCTATTGGCGATTCTCATGAAATGAAATCCTCGAGCTTCATTTCTTACTAAATTTTTTTTTTCGATTCAAATAAATTTAGGGAATTTCAACCCTTTATTACATATATTTAAGATTAGTTCGTACAATGAGAATTCCAAACACAACTATTCTAAAAAAAACGGAATAATAATCATACAAATGCAGCTATAATTAGGCCATGATTTAAAATATGCCGAAAACTTAGAGATATAATTTCGTATTTCATTCATTCACGAAAAACTGAAAGAAATGGCTTTATATGATAAGGAAATAAGAAGATTCAGCCTAACCTGACACCTAATTTCTTACTAAATTTTTATCATGTTTATTTCAATACAAAACGGTACAAAAAATTTCATGCATTTTCATGCATAACACAATTATAACTGGATACAGTTAATTAATTCTACAAACCCAGCAGTATTATTAGAACTTTTATCGCTATCCACGTGTGAACAATGAAAATTTTCATTGGATTGCTGCTGATGACTTTGATGTCCATCTTCATTTACAGATTTTAAGGTGGATTCTGTAATACTTAATATATTAGAGGAAGAACTAGCACTAATTTCCATACAGGATGATATTGATACCTCGTCCTGTCTATAAATGGGATTCGTGTTATCAATAACTTTTGTACAATTCTTAATAAAACCGTCCAATTCATCCTCGGTGAGATGAGGATGTGTTTGTTTGTAGTGAGCAATGAGATGACTTTTGAACAAACTGCCACTCCCACATAATTCACACTTGTACTGGAATGACTTTTGGTGCTGAGATAGTTTGTGCTTTTTTAAGCTACTCGGATCCGACAATTTTTTTCCACAAACGTCACAAATACTGGCAGCATAGGCATTCAAATGGACTTTCAGCTTATGTTTTTTAAAGTCTGTTGCATTGCTATAAACTTTACCACAAAATTCACACACTAAATGTTTTTTGGGCAGGGCGTTGCCTTCCTTGTGTTGAACTCTAATGTGGGCGCTGAGGTTGATTTCTCCCTTGTACCGTTTCCCAGTGGTGCAGTACGGACAGGTAATTATTTTTTTGGCATTTGCGGTGTGTCGTCGTAATTTGTGATGTCGCAAATCTGCATAAATCATATATACAGCTGGGCATTCGTTACAGGTGAAAGTTGGTTCATTCGTACTATGAACTCGTTGCGTATGATTTGCAAGTTCATATTTATTTTTATACACTTTTTCGCAGAGGGGACATGGGAAGATATCAGGGATCGGCGGTGGGATGTCGGCTATAAATGTTTCAAGAATTAGTTATTGTTATATAGTGCAAATTATTTATAAATGTAAAGTTTATTTATTTCTAACCATGAACAGTCGATCGATGAGCCTTGCGTTCTTTAGCTGTTGCAAATTCTTGCTTACAAATCTCGCATTTTATTTTTCGTTTCCAATTTCTCATCCTTCGAACTTCTGCATGTTTTAATTCATTTAATTAATCATTAATAATTATTAAAAATATCAGAAAATCATCACCTGTCACATTCATTTTAGTTTTCCTTGATCTATTCCTTGTGCTTTTTTGAGCAATTCGTTTCCTGAATAAAATCGACAATTTAGAATCGCCGCATCATTTCTTTAAACAAATAAAATACCTCTTTTTAATAGGAGGTAGTTCATCCCAATCTTCAGCATATGAATCTCCAGAAGGATTTGGAGATGGGGAATCAATAAAAATGAACTGGGCATCATCTTCAATTTCTTCAAGTTTTGGTTGCAATACACCCTCTTCACTAGTTGAATTTATTTCATTATTAATTTTCCTAGAACGCGTAATCCTTCCTGTCGGCGAATCTTTAAAACTGACAATTTGATTTCCAACTGGATCAATGTCCTTCTGGTAAGCATCATTTTGTTCACCGAAAAATGATTGCGGACGTGAAATATCTGAGAAAGGATCAATTTCACAGAAATCAAAGTCCACATCGTCCACTATGCTGCGGTCTATTGTTATCTCCGATTCTTCTTCTTCTAATGGAATTATTGGTTGCTCATCCTCTTCAGTCTTTACCTTCACGTCTATTAAATGCATTCACATTAAGATATATAGTTTAAGATGGACAAATGACTTAGATTTACCATATCCATATTCCAATTTGCATAATTCAGTTGCATTGAAACTGGACGGATAGTTCCGAATCATCCCTTCTTTCACAGTTTTCTTGATAATTTCCAATTTACTAATCGTTTCCTGGACAAGCTTCTCCAGTTTTAACCCTTCAGCCACAAATTTGATGTGCCCCTCGCATAAAAACAATTCAATTTGAGTGGTCACAGGATTCCCTGAGGTGGACACTTCCGCTAAATCTGCTTCCATTTGTTCCATCGTCACGTCAAATCCAAGGCAGTCGACGGAAATGAAACGCAACATGGACAACGCGGTGTCATTATCTGTGAAGGAAGAGGTGCTTCCTTTTGTTTTAACGTTTGTCTTCTTTCTTCTACCACGTGCTTTCTGGGCAGGATTACTTAGCGTTTGTATTATTTCGCCACAAAGTAGACAGTGATGAGGGGAGCAGTCAGGAATTAATAATGACGACGAACGACGGTTCCGTGGCGGCGGGGATTTGCGGTTTGTGGGGGGAAGGGCCTGGAATGTTGCCTTCAGAAAGCAAAGGAAGGAGGGAAGTGGTTCTTCCTCCTTCATTTTTAGAGCTAGTCAAAATTTGGCATCTAAATATGTCACAAAAGAATAAAGTTTTTATGTTGATAATTTGATAATTTCCAATAGTGTGATTTTTCAAAACTCGAAATATTTAAAATAACAAACAAACCTCAGGCAGATGAATTTTGAACTGATTTCAATTTCGACGATTTCGACGACATATGCGAAATTTTGTCAAGTGAAAAACTAAACATATTTACGTCAGCTGTTGTTATGCTTTGATAGTGATGGATGGTGCCGATTTGAGAAATCTCGCTTTACCCAAACTATGAAAATATGCAATAAATTCGGTCTCATTTTTCCCTCTATGCATTTCATTCGTAGCAGTGACACAATCAATTTAATAATTATAAAGTTATTAACCCGATTTTATATATTTTGAACATACAGTAAATTCACAATTATTTTGTCTTTTTTGACTTTTTTGATTTTTTATTAACTTCCTCCGTCGGCGTTACATCGGAGGATTTGACGTCTTCCTTCTTTGCTTCTTCCTTCTTTGAATGCATAGCGCTTGCGACGACGAGGCAGTTCAAAGTGACGGAAATGGTGTGTTTGAGCAATAAGGTTTGGTCTCCAGTTACCAGGGCCGTGGTCACAATTCGAGCTGCACATAGTTAGAAGTAGTTCTTAATCTTATTAGTTTAAAGCTTGGCCAAATAAATAGACCTTTGACTCATAAAAAATTTGGAATTTTTCATGGAAAACGTAACCCTTTCCTTAACAAAAAAACACTTACTGAGACACGTGTAGATATTGATGACCCACGAGACTAGCGAAATATTTCCGGCGCTTTTCTTCACCCAAATCTCTTTAATTTGAAGAACTTTGCTAAATATTTTCATGGGCAGCGTGGCAGTCTGCAATTAGTCAATTATTTTAACTAATAAATATATAGCCTACTTAATTAGATAATTGTTATGTGTACCAATAAGAGAGGCAATACAGTAGGGTGTGGAAATCCCAATGCCAGTGCATAAAATAAAGCCACTCCTCCCCCAACCATCCCAAATTTCTGAACATCCAGCCTCGACTCAAAGTAATACACGATGAGAAGAACGATCAAGGTTTGAATGACGAGAAAGGGATCCTCCAAATAAGACCCGAGAGGATAACCTTTCATGGCATTGTAAGACAGGGAAATTGCATAGCTTTTTCAAACACAAAAACCTTATGATTATTTGAATTTTATACAAATTTCCTCCATAAAAAAATAATTTCTTACGTCAGAACCTCGAGAAGTAAACTAGTTGCACTTAATCCATCGACACTTTTTGTTTTGTAGATTTTTAAAATTTGTGGAATTTTGCAAATTACACAAAGGCCTACCGTTGTGACGTCACATATCCAAATCAGCCCCGTTATAAATACTTCTTCAGCCCCCATTGTTTATGACCGTGTATGAATATCGGATAATGTCTGGCTGACCGTCATCAAGCAATAACACTTGATTCAGGTGGTGTTATTATGTTATACGGATCCGGATTTTGGCAAGTTGAGCCGAAAATCAGATTCTATTATTGCATCTTTTTGGACTCCATCGACCCAGAGGAGGAGGACAAAAAAAGTTGGCGAAAAGTTTCTTGGCGTCATGCCCGCATCGTTTAATAGGGAAAGTGTATATATCCTCGTAGATGGAAGGTTATAGGTTGTTGTGATCCATTTCATCGGGAAAAAAATCGGTTCAAACAAGAGATTTTGACCTAGTGGAGAATGTCATGGCCAAACTCGTTCGTTTTTTATCCACGGGGTGTAAATTTGCATAAAATTTAATTGCATTGTTACAGCTAATAGTGAGTTAATTCAAGAAAATGTACCGTTAAAGTCAACACAATTTTTGTGAGAACACAGTGAAATTTTTAATATAAAATAATAATGATAATTTAAAGAAATGAGAAATCTCTGCTTACCCCCAATTAATAAGTCTCAATAAAAAAAATCTCACCTTTCCTCACACTCACTCCGTCTCACTTTGCCTCTCTTGATTAAATAAAACTCGTGAGCAGACTCCCCCTGGCAACGAGACACGTCTCTCGCTCGTCCTTTCCCTTTCCGTCGTCTCCAACCAATCTGCCATCTTTGCCCTCTCGTTCTTTTCTGCCTTGCATCATCCGAGCGCAGCAGTGGCCGTGAAATTACTGCAGCACAAAATTAAAGTTCATCTCTAGATTTGACGACCCCGGAGTTGACCATGTCGTACAGAGATCATCGGTATGTGCTCTCCTTACTGCACAAACTCAGCATCGCCTCCGCCTCTTTGGCTGCCCGTGGGGGAGGTGGTGGTGCTGTTGGGGGTAGTGGTGGCCTTTTGGGACGATGGCGATTGTCCTCGTCGTCCGTAGTTGGTGGTGTGACTAGTCGAAAAAACCTCTGTTCCACTGCGACGACACCCCCGTTCTCAGAATCGAGGAGGAGGGGGGTTTCAGAGCAAAGGGCCTCCATTTCTATGACGGAGGAAGGGGGAGAGGAGGAGGAGAGTGGTGAGGATGAATTATTCAGACGGAGAGGCACTTATACAAGTTCTGCGGGCATGTAAGTAGTGGGTTTAATGATTATCGTGGATGCCCAACTAAATTGTGCCGCAGCAAAAAACAAAATAAGTGCAGTCTGACCAAATTCTCCTCACAAACGGTTTTGTACATGATATAAAATGGGTTTTAGGTTGTTCTTATCCTTCATTCTTGTTTTTTGTTATATAATTATCGGACACGGACACATTGTTTGCGGCACAGTTTGGCTGTGTCCCACTTTATTTTACTTTTTTCATCCTTCTTCCTCAATCTGTCGTTTCAGTTTGTAGAAAAATGTGAGATAATTGGATTATTATAAAGATTTTGGTTGTATTTCTTCAGTGGAAGCGGAAGTGGTGGCGGCGGACGAGGTGGTAGCGACCGTTACGGGGGAAGTGGCGGAGGTGGAGCGTATGGAGGAGGGTCCAGCAGTTATGGGGGTGGTGGTCGAGGTGGTGGATTTGGTGGAGGTGGCCGAAGTAAGGAACTCAGTGCTGGACAAAATCTTCGAAAACCAAGATGGGAAAATGAACGATTGCAACATTTTGAAAAGAATTTCTACGTTCCAAGCCAAACTGTTTTGAATCGGTAAGTTCATCGGGAATGTTAATTAATACGAATATTTATTTAATTTGTTTCGACAATATTATTATGCAGACCGGTGCAGGAAGTCCAACATTTTCTGACTACGAACCAAGTATCCATGAGAGGACGAGAAGTTCCGAGTCCCATCATTAACTTTGATGAGGGAGGTATTCCTGACGCCCTGATGGCTACCATCCGTCGAAATGCATTCGCAAATCCAACCCTGATCCAAAGTGTGGGCTGGCCCGTGGCGTTGAGTGGCCGAGATTTGGTTGGCATTGCACAAACTGGATCTGGAAAAACTTTGGCGGTGGGTATTCAATAAATTTATGTAATTTTTTTATGGTGCTGAAATTGACAAGTGACCTTTCCTTTGCAGTACACTCTTCCTGCTATAATTCACATTAGTCACCAGCCACGACTGGAACGGGGTGAAGGGCCGATTGCACTGGTTCTTGCTCCCACTCGAGAACTGGCTCAGCAGATTCAACAAGTCGCGATTGAATATGGAAACCCTTGCCGACTTCGAAGTACTTGCGTTTTCGGAGGGGCACCAAAGGGTGGACAAGCCAGGGATTTGGAGCGAGGTGTTGAAATATTGGTGGCCACACCTGGACGTCTTATTGACTTTTTGGAATCTGGAAAAACTAACTTGAAACGATGCACTTACTTGGTGTTGGACGAAGCGGATCGTATGTTGGACATGGGTTTCGAACCTCAAATTAGAAAAATCGTGGAGCAAGTTCGGGTAAGAATGGAGGCATCTCTTAATAATAATAGTCGAGTCAAATCCTCAAATCTTGGCATGTATGCACTATTCCCATAGTGGTTCATGAATATTTTTAGAGAGGAAAAGGAAAGAGATTCGGTATCATGCCTTCGGTGTCTACTTCAATTGATTAATGAATAGATTCCATCCTCTAGATACCAAACAAATTTTGACAGTTTAACTAGTATATAGTTATCATTGGTAAAAAGTATTAAACTTAATTTAATCTGAACATAGCCGGATCGTCAGACCTTAATGTGGTCAGCAACTTGGCCGAAGGAGGTGCGTGCATTGGCAGAGGATTTCCTCAAGGATTATATTCAAGTCAACGTTGGTTCTGCTACTTTATCTGCAAACCACAATATTCTTCAAATCATTGATGTTTGCCAGGAGCATGAAAAAGAAAACAAGTGCGTATTTTAATCAAACAGAAAGTTATACAAATTTTGTCATAATTTGTCATAAGTCATAATTTAATTACAAACTCTTTTTTCATAGACTTCGTCTTCTCATTGATGAAATTGGATTAGAGAAAGAAAACAAGACGATGGTTTTCGTTGAAACTAAGAAAAAAGTTGACGAGATCACTCGAACTTTGAGAAGAAATGGGTAATTTTATTGTTTGCCACTCGTTATTTGTACGTCCGCAAATATTAATTACCAATTAATGATTATTTAGCTGGCCTGCCATGTGCATTCATGGGGACAAGTCTCAAGGAGAACGTGATTGGGTTCTTCAAGGTGAGCTAAGACAATGTATAAAATATTATGTACGACTCTGGCAGGATAACCACGAAATAACGTGATTAATTATGGTTTGATTAGAGTTCCGCTGTGGACGCGCCCCAATTCTTGTCGCAACCGATGTAGCAGCTCGTGGCTTGGGTGAGTATCACTACTGTGAAAAACCTATTTAAAAACCTTCCTCTATCTCTTTTACGATATAAAATGTGGGAAAAGTGACAATTTTATATATATAATTTATTGCATATATATACATCAATAATAACAATAATTTTTGGCGATTTTGAGGTCAGCATCAGATTCAAGTTGAAGAAATCACAACACAGCTTTTTTCAATCATTCAATTAATTAACTATTCATTTAAAGATTAGACAGAGTGAGTAATTTGTTGTGATTTGGCTTGATTTTCAGAGGCACAGTATGAGAGATAAAGTGGAAAGGAAGTGGAAATGCTGGTTGAATTATTTGGTTACCTACATAAACGGGCGAGGCGTTTGTTTGTTGACGGATGGATTGAGGTCGACGGCCGACGGCTCTTTGATGTGGTCGGTTAATCTCTCTCTCTGTCCCGCCTCCTCCTCGCCTGAGAAAATGTGGGGGTGGTGGTGGTGTTGGTAGTGGTGATGATGATTTTGTCGAAAAATGTGCTCATCGTCCTTCCCACCCGATTCTTGTTATCCGAGCATTCATATGTACCAACCATCTACCATCATGGATTTGATAACCACAACACCGGCATTCTCCAATCCAATCTGTGCCTCTGACCTCACACCTCGAAATTAATTGTGTCACTCTCATGTGTGTATTGAATCTAAGGTAAGATTCCCATCTTCGCATTGCAGATATCAATCCTACCTATTTTATTTATTATTTCCCTCCTATTTCTATTGCTCTGTCAGCCTTGTCCCATATTTTAAACAATGCAACCAGTTTCCTATCCTCCTGTTTGTTCTGAACATGTAAATGCGAAGGGTGAGATATTGGGTGTCGCAGGTGTGGTCATATTATAATCTTGTCTTGTATGGATGTTATAGATGTTGAGGATGTAAAGTTTGTGATTAATTACGACTATCCCAACGGCACTGAGGATTACGTTCATCGCATTGGACGAACTGGGCGCTGCTCCAAATCTGGCACTGCTTACACTTTCTTCACTCCAAACAACTCCAAATCTGCTCGAGAACTTGTCGAAGTCCTCAAGGAAGCCAACCAAGTGGTCAATCCCAAGCTCTTTGAAATGATGGAAAACAACAGAGGTTATGGAGGAGGAAGAAATGGATGTATGTTATAAAATTATATCATCGCCTAATTTCTAATTCCTAATTGATTTTATTTATTATTTACTATAGTCCGAAACAACAGTCGCTGGCGTCAAGTTGGAGGGCAAGGTGGTGGTGCAGGTGGCCGATTTGGTGGAGGTGGTGGGGGTTACAGCGGTGGAGGTGGATTTGATTATTAATATTGATCTGATTAGACGCAGTTTTTTAATTTCAATAATAGCGCATTATAAATATTCCACTATATCAAATCAGGTAAAATTCAATATTTTCGAGTATCCATTAAAAAATATCGAGAATTTTAGTTCTTTGTTTTCTAAACAAACAAGCTTTTTTTTACCGAATGTTGATTTTGTTAAGGTCCACTAAAATACCGTACTTGGAATGTATTAGCTTTTTACGTTAACTTCCGCCAACCCGAACCACCAAGTTTTTTCTCAAAAACTAAAAAGCACATAGTTTAGGAAATAATCGTATTTAGAACAATATAATTTTTGTCTTATATATTATCCGGTATTAGAATTATTTTATTGACTGTTCAAATTTAGCGTTGTAAAACTTTACATTAAGTTTGACTATTTTTCAAAACGTATTTATCGTTTCTATTATGTCTTTTACATTTACGTTGGAGAAAATAGTTAATAAATACAAAAATTTCCATTACAAAATATTTATACAGCATTATTTTCTCATAACAGAACTCACATTTTTGCTGCCCATTCTGCATGTTAAGTATTACATATTAAGCAACAGTCCCTTTTTCTTAGGTGAGGCAAAAGTAACAATGGGTGCCCGCAAAAAAGCGTCACCATGGTTACGGCGAAGCCTAAGTATGCTTTCGTATACACCCTTTGAAACTGTCAGCGAGGCTAGAGCCTAAACGGTTAATCCTACGCAAATGGTGTAAAGAGCAATCGTGCAGAGGAGAATTAGGAGATGTGGTTTTTCAATATGCCCGATAGAAAAGTTTTATTCTTCGCTCTCAAATTTGGATTTGAAACTTTACAATCAAAATTTGAGACACTTGTGTCAAAGGACTATATGCATAAAACCTGATTTGATCATGCAGAAATCGGTTGTGCGTCATTTAAAACAAATCCGACTGAGATCGGTCCAAAACTGAAAAAGTTTTGATGGAAGCATCTGAAACCATTCATGTTGCTAACCAAAAATTACAATATTCCTAGTTGGTTGCTACTAGCTATCAATATAACAATTTTCCAAATACAAGTAGTTGTGTTAGGCAATTTTAATTTGCCAAATTAATTGGTCAATTGTAATTTCCATTTTTGGCCAATCGCACAAAAACTTTCCTCCTGATCAGTGTTGGGCACGATTATTAATCCATATTAATTACAAATTCTTTTGCAAATTCAAATTTCAATAATTTTATATTTAAGTACTGTGTCAAATTTACAAATTTTAAATTTGAACATCCTATATGCATATATTTTGGATTTAAATGTTTATAAGTTCATTTTGTAATTTATTAATCTAATCCAGATTAAATAATCTTCCTCCCTAATCCAGATTGTTCTCGTGAAATAACTAATCCCCATAAAACCTAATATCTGAAAAATTATTTTCTGCTAAATTAATTTAAAAATTTGGATTATTGATCCTTAATCCGTTTTTAAATTAATTTTGCGACCCTCTGTACATATTTTCAACTAATTTTGTAATGAAAAAGATTCAAGACATTCGGTCTTCAAAAAGTTTAACAATTTTGAGGTGCAATTAATTGTCTGCAAATGTGCATCACCTAAAATCCATGAAATAAAATAATTTTAAAAAAGCTTGCTTAGGCGAGGCGCTGCTAAAAGTGAAAAACAAGGCCTCTGGGAATATCTTTTAAATATCTCGTACCTTTATCATTGTAACAGGAGTTGGTGACTTTGCATCACCGCGAGGCCAAACATTTTACGCCAAGCCTCTAGTAATAAAGAATATATTCTCAAGAATTCGCAAGAACCTAACTAATCTGGGTTCACGTCAAAATTATCATTTATCACTTTTTAGTTCGTACTGACAACTAGTTGTTTTAATATGTAAATAAAATTAGGAAATACCCTCGCGTTGTTATTCGTGCGTCGGCATCTTAATTTTTTGCATAACACCTATTGAAAATTGTGCACATCCATCAAATTTTATTAGCTACCTGAATTACTGGTTAACTATCGAATTTAATTATGAGCTAAATAAACATTATTGATCATATTGGTCCTCTGCATAATAATTTTACAAAATCCACTCAATTTTATAACCCTTTCGAAGCAATAAGTTTGTTTAAGCGTTTATACATATAGATACAATTTTAATTAGCAATAATTGAATATCTTAGCAGAAAGTGTAAGTAATAAACGTCGTGGTATGGTAAACGGTAAAAATGTTTGGCCTCGCGGTGAGACAAAGTCACCAACTCCTGTTACAATGATAAAGGTACGAGATATTTAAAAGATATGCAAGAGGCCTTGTTTTTCACTTTTAGCAGCGCCTCGCCTAAGCAAGCTTTTTTAAAATTATTTTATTTAGGAAAAAATTCAAAAAGTAACGTATCCGCTTTTGCGACGTAATATTGTGCAGGATATTTTTGGCCTTCTTTTCTAATCTTGTCCACAATAGCGATAAACATTTCGTTGAATTTTTGATACTGTGCTAATTTGATATCTTGACATCCTTGTACTTTAACAAAGCGAATGAATATTTGAGCCGACAGTGGCATTTCAGCTTCACCGTCCTTCAACATGTGCAAATCCTCCTTTTCCAATCCCTTCACTTGCGATTCTGCCATTTCAACTAGCAAGACAATTTTTAAAATATTAGAAAAATACTAATCATTATTATTAATTAAATAAAAACCTGTAGTAACTGCAGGTGAGTCCCCATCGATTTCATCTTCAGCTAAACTTTTAAGCCACGTCTCGTCCGCGGATAAGACGGGGTCGCCATCTTCCACCGGCAGATTTGTCAAAGATCCGTCTTTATATTTTTTCAGAAATTCTTGATAAACTTTTGAATTCGGACAACCATACGTTGCGCCATAAAATGCAAAAGTTTTTGCGCCCAGGGGTAACGCCTCAACGTTCACTGGTGGCAAATCGGTGGTCACTTTTTTCTTCTCGTCGGCTGATGGTTTCACAGTGGATTGTTCGGCTCCGCCAGCTTTTTCCGTTTTATTCTGCGGAATTGGTTGGCCAGCTGCATTTAAGAATTTGACAATTTTGACCAACTATTGATATTAACAATTCAAGTTTTACCAGCTTTGGTTTTCGATTTTCCTTTTCCTTTTTTACTAATTTTTTCCAGTTCCTCTTCTTCAGCGCTGTCATCGTGTGGCGTGGATGGTTTTCCAGGTTTCCTACTCTTCGTTTTACCCTTTTTACTTTGTTTCACAAATTTTTTGAAAGCATTGTTTCCGAAATCTTTCCCACCGAAAAACTGATTAAACCAGAGTTCAACTGGATTGCTTGGATTTGCGCTATTGTAACCAAATTCGTAATTTTGTCCATAATTTGGTCCTCTGTTGTGCGAGTAAATCACGGAGCCTTGCACTTGCGGCTGCTATGAAAAATGGCTTTTTTTAAATTGATTAATTATTTTTTTTAGTAATTATTGCAAACCTGAAATGTTATTACACTTGGGAGAAAAAGTAAAAGTAATTCAATCATCTTGGACAGAGGAGAGGAGAAATTAATAAAAAAACGTGTTTCGTAATTTGCAAATTCTAGAATGAAAGAAAAGCCTTGAACGAAAAACAATGAGACATTTTTAGTACAATTAAAACAGGAACTTAAATGACGCCATAATTTTCATTGTCTTAAAAATCATATTTGTATTACTTTGTATAAATGAATTTCTTTAAAACATTTGGATTTCATTTTTTACGTGTTTTAAATCCAGTCTCAAGTGATTCGTTTGATTGCGTCTGCGATGAATTTTCATTCCCGGACCTATTAAATAAATACATGAAAAAAATTTGTGTAATTTACATTAAATTATCATATGATCCATACTCGATTACGCATGAAACATGTTCATTTTCTTGTGCACAAGTCTGACGCTCTCAGCAATGGAAAACAACTTTTTTTAAATTTAATGCAAGCATGAATTATTATAATTTTCTGAACCATGAAAGCAGTCGAGCGAGGATGCATAGGCTTGATCAGTTTAAACGTATTTCGGATGATGTAAAAAAAAATGGTCTTTTGTCTCAAATTGTCTCATAAGATTGGGTTCTTGATCTACCTTGAAAATTATTCAAGATCACTTTCAAGGATTCTATAATAACAATTAATTTGTTGAGCTTCAACTAATTCTCCAACTATTTATTTAGCAAATGGATGAGTTTAACGCGTAGAAATTTATAATAAAATATTCACAAAAATTGAGACTTTCAGTTTCTTGATCAAATAGATAAAAAATGTGCATAAAAACATAAATCAAAAATCCCAGTCAGAATTTTCCACTTGTGAAATAAAATTAATTATTCGTTTAGAGGCTAATGGATTATTGACTAATTTTCCTTTAAACCCAATGTACCCGAAGTATGCAAACTTTGCACCCGAAGATGTGATGGCTATCGGATGACGTAAATTAGCCCAAAATGATTAGCACGGACGCTACTGCTGATGCTGCTACCGCTGCTGCGGATGTCAATAAATAGAGGAATCATGTTTCATTTCCTTTTCAGTATCTCGTAGAGTCTCCAATCGTCCAGTTTAATCAGAAAACAATTTACAGTATTATTCAGACAACAATGAAGGTCTTCATCTTTATGGTGGTGGCGGTGGCGGTGCTCGTTGAGGAGTCCACGAGTATAAGTTTGGAGGAAGAGTTGACCCTCACATACGACCATAAAGTTAAACTTGATAAGGTCAGTGTCATTTCATCTCAAGGATTGCCGGATTATTATACAATTATTTATACAAACAAATTATGTTGTCTTTACACAGTTCAGAGACCTTGTCGCTCATCGATTACCGCATGACTACATGAAAGAGGACTTGCATCTCATTCGATGGCTTAGAGGTGAGGTTCCGGTCTAGTTTTTTTAGTCATTTTTTTACAGGTTGTTTTTAAAGATTTTTTTTGTAATTCTTAGTGAATGATTTCAACATTCCTGCTGCTGAGAAGATGATTATGGAGGTATGACTTTTTTAAATATATTTATAGATTGGAGAATAAAATGCATGCATACATTTTTTTTAATAGAATGTAAAGTGGCGAGAGGACAACAACATTGATAATATTTTAACTGAAGACTGGAGTGAATTTGACAAAGAATACAAGCTCAGTGTCGAAGGATGCGATAAACACGGAAGACCCGGTATGTAATATTAATTTTGCATGTAAATTATGGGTTAAGAAGTATGCAAACTAATTACTTATGTATTGTTAGTAATTTCGACGACAATTGGAGATTGGGACATGAGAAAAGCAGTGGTCACCGGGCGAGCGGAACGAATGATGCGTTACACTGACAAACTAATGGAAGAAGGAAACATTTTAGTTCGACATTTGCAAAAATTGGGACAAAACGTGACGCAATTTGTTGAAATTTTTGACATGTCGAATTTCAATTTAATTAATCATGGATGTGCTCAATGTAATGCATTTAAACTCTGTTAAAATTTTAAACATTTTGAATGTTAAAATAGCTTAACTAAAACTTCAAATTTTCAGGTATTGCAATCTATTCTTATAATTTCCAATCTTACGAGAAGCACTACCCTCTCAGCGTGCACAGAGCAATCTCTGTTAACACCCCTGGAATATTTCACACCGTGATGAGCGTGTTCCGACCCTTGCTGTCCAAACAGACGAGGGACATTGTTTCCATTTACGGGAGGGATAAGCAAGAATGGCAAGTGGCTTTACAGAAGGAAATCACGCGTGAAAATCTGTCTAAACAATTTGGTGGATTAAGAGAGGAAGTGGCCGATGTGAACGACTTGAGAAAAAATCCCAGTTTGTATAAATGTCACCAGTTTGATGGTACCATTACGGGTTTAGTCGATTCAAATAATAATTTGAAAAGAGAAGTAGTTAAAAGTGGATAATTTTGTATTTAAATTTTTTAAGAGGTAATAAATTGACTTTATGATCTAGTTTACATACAATTTTTAGTTTCATATGCGAGATTCACTAGTTAATCACCGATAAAAAAATCACATAAAAAAGATAATTTTTGCATGATAGTAAATTAGATCTTGTATTTAAAATGTAATCATTTCCCAGAAGAATGTATGAGGTATGACTAGAGTACACCAGTGTCAAATATATACGATATTCTTAGTACTAGCTCCCGGACCAGTTTCAATTAAAATTTCAGCATTTTTCAATGCTCGACAATTCATCAAAGTTTGCTTTACGTCGATCAGCGAGGCTTTGTAGGGCTTGTTGATCTTCAAATGTTCCAAAGTTGCGCAACATTTTGAAGTCGGCGATGAAATTGCTTGAATCCCTTGAATCGTTATCTGCAAAACATTAGAGAACATACAGAATATAAGATATAGAATTAAAAAGAGGTAGCAAATTTACCAGTTTGTCCAATTTATCCTGATCATCCCAAACTTGTAATGTTTTTAATGGCAATTTCGAAAAAACTTTGACAAATGAAACATCAGTTATTTGCAAGAATCCATTCAGTACGAGGTGATTCAGGTCTGAAAAAATACACAAAATTAGCAACAATCGAAATAAATAATAAAACTAGACTGGTTTACATTTTAGTTGTAGCATTGTAGATTTATTTTTCTCTCCACCACCACCCACTCCTACGATACTTTGATCACTTAAATTATAACATTTGTGCAAAACCAACTCTTCCAAGAGTGGTAATGCATCGTATAATTCAAAGAAATCTTCATTTTTCCTTCCCCAGAAATCTAAATGAAGGATTTTGAGGTTCGGAAAATTATAAAAGGTTCCAATGTGTTTGAAATTTGGCGATTCTTGAGTGAGAAATGCTCCATCGGATTTTTTATCATTTATTGTGAGGATTTTGAGTTCATGCAACCCAGGCCGGTGATCTAACAAGTCTTCAATGAAGCATTTATTCTTGTCTTCTCCCCATTGGTTATCTTCGTCGCTGATGCTGAGTAACAGGCTGGCTTTCTTGTTTTCACTCACGATCGTGATTGATTGGACATCGGTTGGAAGGAGTTGGGCAGGACAGGTGAGGTAAATCTTGTTCATAGTTGGGAGGTAAACTATGATGGAGAATTTCGCTTCTGGTGGCATAAAATGTCTGCAACTTGAATGGAATGAATCTCGCTCAATCTCCATCGTCGATAGTTTTAAATCTTGAATAGTTCCGACGATGGATTTCACCGTGTAGTTTAATCGATCCAAAATGTCGGGGTCCGTCTGTTGCGCTTGAACCAATTTCCGTTTCGTAGGTAGGGCAAGAAATGGAACGTTTTCCAATCGTAAATCGATCCCGGTGGGACAAGTTGGAGAGGATTTCGAGTATGACAACAGTTTCTCCAATGCGCCGAAGGTAAATGGGATCGAAGCTTTATCGCCTTCGCAAGAGAAATTTATACACAAAGATTTTGCTAATAATTCACGCTTTGGGGATTCATATTTAAGGAATTGCTGAGGTTTTGTAGGGAATTTCGTGGTGGTGGTGGTTGACTTTATGGAAGTTTGGCGTCGATTTTTTAGATAGTTCAAGAGTGGAGTTAGAACAGAGATTTCAAAGCTCTCCTTTGTCCTGCGTTATAAATTCAAATTGTGCAATTACTTGTATTTTTGGATGAATTGCATGTATGTAAAAAATACTTACATTGGATGTTCATCTTGATCAGGGAAAAGCAGTTTGAGTATTTTCAAATTAGGCGTCAAATTTAGCAAAACCGACAGAGCGTCCCCAGTGTATTCAATACTCAAATCGAAAGCCACATGTAAATAGCTCAATTTAGGAAAATGGACCCCGTTTTCTAAAACTGCTGGCAACAATTTAGATCTGATTTCCGTCATCCTTAAAACAGCTATGCTTTCCAACGTTTCCCAACAATTGAATAAAAATGGTCGCATGGTACAGAAATTACAAGCTGAACCCACAAAATCCATTCTTAATGGGCAATTGATTGATTTTAAACCGAATCCAGGCCTTTGATTTCGAGATTTTAGTACGAGCGATAATTTTTCTAGGTTTGTGTTTAATGTGGAATCATTCCCAAGTATTTCTTCGAGTTGGAAATGGTCGAGAAAGAGATTGCTCCAGGGCAGCGATTGCGTAAGAGCGACAAGGTCAGGCAGGTGGGGCAATTGATTCGGATGAATGGCCACATTGAAATTGAATAAAGCTTCCTTCGTGTCACAAACTTGCTGGAATCGTCGACATACTTGGCGCATCGATTTATACGTTCGAAGGTCGCAGAAAGCCATTATCTTTTCGAGTATCTAGATTATCAGATTGGTTACTTAAATTATTTTAAAGCTATTGTTTGATCTAAAAATTACCTCGTTTGGGATCATATTCAAAGTTAACGCAGTTTCTTTTCTGGCAGTAATTTTGGAGGAGGAGGACGGTGGTTCATCCGTAGGTCCAGTTTCCGGGGGTGTTTTAATCCGAGTCGTAGTCGTCGTGGAGGATGGTTCAGGGGCCATTTTTTTATTTCAAATATGTAGGAACAGGTCAGCTCTGTAAATTTGTGTAAAAATTAATCATCTTAAGTATTGCAATTTTGCAAAAACGATAATACCAATTTTAAGGAAAGACGGAGTGCAACAGGTGTATTCCCAATAAGACGATTAATTTTAACGATGACGACGCGGTGAATTGAACTTTTTTTTACAAGATTTAATAATATTTTTGTGTATCTTCTGTTAAACTGCTGTTGGTGTTACTGCTGGTTGTTGCACTTTTCAAAGTGTGACATTTTTCAGCACAACAACACTTCCTGCTTCGTCAGAGAGAAGAAATGGGATGATGAACAGTGAGTGTTGTTGAGGACGATGGTGATATAACAGAGTGAGAAGGAGAGTGAGGCTACGTGCTGAATTATGTGTGTGTGGGTGGCGAACCTTGCTATTGATTTTAGCACGACGAGTTGCGAATTGCCAATTCCCAGTTGCGAATTGTGTGGCACCGACGATGAGATACAGACATGCCAATTTCCAATTCATCCTCTCCGTGCGATAGGGTGACATTATTATTCATTCAGGTGTGTCAAGTATAGAGAGAGATTAGAATTTGATGGTGGAGACACGTGGACACGATATGCTTAATAATTTGTTGGCATTGACCGTTTATTTTTCTGAGATAAGTTTGTCTCAAATTGCCTCAAATTCATGAGAAAATTAGTTATCCAGTATTTAAACAATTTATTAAATCACCTCCATTTAACAGGCCCCGTACTTTCCTCTCTGACGGGATTATAAACTAAATCGACTGCACTCGCTTTTTTCCTAGAATCTGAAATCCCTCTAATTTTAACTAATAATTCTTTTAACCCGAAAGAGAATTTGGCTGAAATTGGCAGTATTTCTTGTGGGAAGTCAGACTTAAATTTTTGAAAATTCTCTTTGGCAAAATCGGTGTCTAATTTATTTGCTAAAATAATAAACGTTTTTTCAATCATTTTCGGGTCGTATTGTTCCAATTCGTGGTGGAGCGAGTCAAATTGGTCGAGTGGGTCCGGTTGTGAAAAGTCAATCACGTAAATTAAACAAATACAGCGCTGGATGTGACGAAGGAAAGCGATTCCCAAGCCCCGATTCCTATGAGCGTCAGGAATTAATCCGGGGATGTCGGCAACTGGAATTTATTTATTTTTTATAAAAGATTGAGAAAAATAATTTTAAAAATTACCCGTCACTCTCTCCATGTCGTTGAAGAAGACGACTCCCACGTGGGGTCGTAACGTGGTGAAAGCATAGGAGGCAACCTTTGGCCGTGCTCTGCTAATTGCTCTTAACAGCGTGCTTTTCCCCGCATTCGGATAACCAACCAGTCCAAACTCGGCAATGATGGACATTTCCAGCAAAAATGTATTGCTTTCTCCTTTGCCACCAAATTCTGCCAATTCTGGGCTTTGATTTTGTGACGATGCGAAAAATTTGTTCCCTTTTCCACCTCCGCCACCTTTCGCAGCAACGAAAAATTGCTCGTCCAGACTTAAATCCGAGATTAAAGTAGAGTTTGGTGGCATCGTTTTTATCATCGTTCCCAACGGCACAGGGATTATCGTGTGGGTTCTGCAAATTTAGTGCATAGTTAAAAATTGGTAATAAAATCCAGAATTATTATGCCTACCCATTTTCTCCCGTGCAATTAGAACCACGACCAGCGCCACCAGGTTCACCTTCTATTTTTGAAGGTAAATGAGATAAAGAATTTATTGCAGAGGTGGCCTGCAAAAATTGGGAAATTTATTTATTCACTCTTTACTGGTTATGATATATTTTTACGAACTTTAAAGATGACGTGACCCCCACTGCCACCATCGCCACCGTCTGGACCAGCAAATTCATTTCCAAATATACGTGAAAATGCGATACACCCATCACCACCTGAACCACCAGTTGCAATCACTTGCTTCTTGTCTATGAATGGACTGGACTGTGAAATTTATTTAAAAAACAATGTTTAAAGAAATTCTCAAAATTTGATTCATCATTTACTTACCATTTCCCTGTCGCCTTTTCCCTTTCGTCGTATGATTGGCACTGGCGTAGGGGGGGATGTACTGCACCATTTTTTATTGGTGGTGGTGGGTGCGGTTCTTTTGTAGATGGAAAATATTAATCTACGCGTGGATATTGACATTTTCAGTTTAATAACATCATGCTTAATGCTTTCCCCCCGGTTTAGTCTCAAGTTTCTCATAAATCTCAATTTTCTCACAAATTCACCACCACACAGATCAGTCTCAATTTCCTCATAAAAATCAAGTTCAACTGCATTTTCCACACAAAAACGATTTATTAACTAATCATTTATCAATCCTAATGACATCGAATTCTGGTTTATTTTCTTTCCATGCTTTTAACTTGGGATGTGTGCTGTTATCAACCTCGTTGTCAATTAAATAGTGCAATGACAACGTCGAATCTTGTCCATCTCGCTGCAGATTTGTGTATTTTCCAGTAGTTCCAAAATGTTGATAAAGGACCTGCTCGTCGACGCCAGTGTCGTTCTCGTACCACAACTGGGGTTGGTATACTCGAGTCCGCCCAATGTACTAGAATTTGGAAATAGTTTCTCATCTGTTACGTTTTTTAAATTATGAGTAGTGTAATTACTAACCTCGTTGGAGTTGCTTATGATTCCAGGGTCGTAATCGTGCATTTCAATGCTAAATAGCTGCAATTTTATTTTTATAATTTTTTATAAATAATTTTTCCTGTAATAACAGTTTTTAAAGAAAAAACCTACGATTGGATGTCCATAACTCCAGTCGAATTCAAACAAAGCAGGAATTATCCCAGATTTTGTATCCATCAATACTTTTGAAACGTATGCTTTGTGATCGTACTCATTTTGGACTTTGACAAATGGGTCTGCAAAAATTTATCACCTTATCGTAAAACACATTTCTCTTAGCAAAATAAAAAAAGCTAACCAGTTTCCCCGGCTTTTCCCCCTCCAGTGTCCTTTTTGGGAATGTTTCTAAAAGCAAAATAATTGCTATTTAAATTGTCAATTTATGGGTGAAAAATACAATTAAATTACTTGAAAGCTAAGACGAACTTGACGTTGAAATCAGGGGGAATATTTCCTAAGATTTCCCAACAACCCACGAGAAAGAACCAATAAATCAGTGCCTTCATTTTATTGTGTTAGTAAAATACGCTTCCATATAATTATTAAGCATAAAATTGAGGTCATTTAATATTTGTTTATTTTGTGACAATTGTTGTATTTATCTAGCACACGTTTAATTGACCTTTTTTAAATAAACTTCCTTTATAAATGGTACGAAATTTGAGTCCAGTTCTACAATGATATTAAATTCGCTTTAATCCACGGTAGGAAATAAGAAATCCTTGTGTAAATTCCAGGAATCCCATTAGAACAGCCTTCACCACCGGAAACTAATCCACTCGCCACCATTCGACCAGTGTCACTTTTTACAAACAGGGCAGAACCTGAATCGCCCTGTGATTAGAATTTCCCTAATAAATTATCTATTAAGAATTTAAGGGATATTTACAAAAAGATCTTACACTGCAACTATCTTTTGACCCATTTTTCCATCCAGCACACAAGTGAGAAGGTTTTGTAATCCAATCAATTCCAGCAGATTTATACGCTTCTTGACACTTCGAATTGGACCAAATTGGCAGAGATACCTTTTTTAAGCGACCGTCACGCAATAATCCGGTTTCTAAATTGGAATTCTTATTAATTTTTAAAATATCACAAAAATTAGTGAACTTTTACCATGATCTTCTCTTGACTGCACCCCCCAACCGGCCACATAGCCCCACAATTTAGATTTATTATCCGTACTCAAACAAGCCGGTTGGACGTGAGAATTCCACTCGAATCCACGACCTCCTATTCTCACAAGGGCAATGTCATTATGAAAATCGGGATAAAAATATGAAAATCCTGGATGCATTATTAATTTGGAGAGGGTATGACGCTGGCCGGGAGTGTGGGACGATTTCATATCGTTCGTTCCAGCAATTATTAACGTAGAGTTTAACAATACCGTGGAGGTGGTTCTGCTGGCATTAACAAATAAATTTGTGAAATTACTTACACTCGACTAAAAATGATAAAAAAATACCCGTATAAGTGGAAAATGAAGCAATGGGCAGCTGTGAGGATGTGATGGCGATCGAGAATGACTCCACCACAAAAGTGGGACCCTTCTTTACTCTGGAGGGAGACGGTCCAAGGATATTCGCCTCCCAGGGCGTCACTGCCACCGATTATTCTGTGGGAACGCTGTTGTTGCGATCCTATTCCGCATGTGGTGGTTGATACTGTTTTTTAGTGGAATTTAATTAATTATTTTTCTTAATTGGTAGTTTATTAATTATACAATTAATAAATTCCGCTGGGGAATCCTTTTGGTGTGATAATGTCCAAAATGTTGCAATTGTTGTAATTTGCAAAAGTGCTGCCATTGCAGACATATTTTATAAAGATGGAATATTTATCACATGGAAATATGGAATGCAATATTTTCATTCAATGGGAATCATTTAAATATGACATTTCAAACGTGTGTGTGTCTGCTGCATATGAAAAAATAGAACAAGTTGGCATTTGCATGGGAACATTGGGAACAAGGCAGTGCAGGAAACTGGTGTGGGTTCGATTAGTAGTGACATTGGCATAGATTACAAAAATTGTTACAGTTGGCAATGTTGATTTCTTTAGTGGAAATGTGCGTCGCATTTTTTTCTCCCATTTTCCAAGTGATAATTTTATTAAAAGCCAATTTCTTAACAAGAAAAATTCTACTTATCCGTTAATAGCATTAAAGACACGGTTTGTGTAATCCAGAAATCCATGAAAACGAAAGGAGTGCCTTGATCGACGAAATTTCCTCCAAACTTGATTTTGATTTTGTCCAGTGCATTTAATCTTTTTCGAAAAACGGAAACTCTTTTGTAGTGGATGGATCTGGAGCTGAGAAGTTTAAGGAAATGCTGGGATTGGACGTAGGCCAATGCAGCGATTTTAGCAATGAAAATAATACTTAGTCCATCGGAAGCAATGATCGGAAAGAACATAATTGCAGGAAATGGGATGGCGTGTCTTAATTTTAAGATGGCAAACATTCCCATTATGGCCACAAATATACCCACGGCTATCACACCTGGAAAAAATGCGTCTTGAAATACCGTGTTGAATATCTTGTTCAGTATTTGTATTTCTCGGTAAATCTTTAAACTCAGGTCGTCCTTTTGGGAACCTGACGTCGCCGCGTTTCGATGCCCCCTGGAAATGTTTGGCGTTTTATTTTGTGTAACGAATTTTTTTAAAGATTTTTTTACCAGGTGAGCAATTTGAGATAAAAGTCCTGACACCTGACTCCCACGAGAAGACCTGAGATGAATCAGACCAAGTGTTCCATAAAAGCATTTTCCATATTTCGCGAGAGATATCTCACCTTGGAAAACGTAAAATAGTCCGTGAGGAAGTGCAATGATCCAAAGATAAGCATCCGCCATTAGCACGATTATTTGCGTAGTAAAATCGTGTACAGAGCATGATCCAAGCTGACTTTTGAAGAAGACGTAGCCCAAATGTGGAGGCATGCAGCTGTTAACAGCGAGTAGAACGGTCATTAAACCAGGCAATCCGAAACTTGACACAATTCCCAAACTCATCAAACTTGAACAGATCTTGTCCAATTTCACGCCTTTCATGTCTCGAACTGTAATAAAATGAGATTTGTAATTGTAATTATTTTATTTCTTGACCATGATTTACCAGGAAGATACAAATTTTCGAAATTGATGATGGATTTGAACAGGAATTCCGTTTCCTCCCTCTTTTTCCAAAGTTCCGTTTGCATCAGGGCGCAAACTCCCCACGCCGCAGTGAACGCTGCGCCGAGCAATTTTTCCCAAACGCGATTCAAACTTTGAGTACTTAGAAAGTAGAGCAACGTGCCGATGGTGTAGCTCCAGTGGAGGAACACGTTGAATTTTACCAACGTTAACCGGGGGGTGGACCTGGAAATGGGGTTGTTTTATTAAATATTTACTGAATGTTAAGAAATTTCTAGAAACTTACTTGATCAAAGAAATGTAAAATGTGGACGGATCTCTTTTAAAATAAATTGTGTTGAGTGCATTGCAAATTGTGAAATGGGTTTTGGTGTATCTTGCCAGGTTTTTGTACATTTGGCTGGAAAGGGGGGACGTTTGGAGGAGGAGACGCATGTTGTCAAGGTCTGAGAGGGGGGGTCGATTGGGTGCAGTTTTAGTAAAGGAGGTGGATTTTTTAGAAGAAAATTCATAGTTTAGGACGGGTGGTGGGGTGGTCGACATTGTTACTTTGGGGATTTTAGGGATTGTTAGGAGAGGAATTTCGAGTGAATGGCAACTGTGAAGGTTGTGGTATTTATATAGCGGTCAGAGGTCACGATTTCATGGTATTTTAGAGGCGAATGAGTGGCAATTGGCGAAGCTTTCATATGAATTTTGTATAAACGAGAATGCGAAGATTGATTGTGAGATTTGAGAAGAAAAATGTACAACACGAACAGTCATTTTCTTTGAAATGTTAATGGGAATTATCTGTCGGAAAACAACTATATCAAAACTCGTGCATAATTAAAGAGTGCCAATCCCCACGTGGTTTCTTAATTATTTATGCTTCGTAGAGACGGGCACATAAGAATTTTATGGATAAATACCTCGGAATGTAAGATAATTTTAATAAATTATTTTCTTAATATACGCTCTTTTATTAATAAAATGCATAAATAATTTGAGACCAGTCAATAGCACCGTCATACAAAAAATATATCACTTAACAAATGTATATTAACGTAATTTTAAGCGAATTAACATTCCTTTAAGGTAAAATTGCAATCTTCAACGACGATGGATTGGAACCAACCTTTTCCCCCTTCATCTCCCCTTCCAGAACTGCTAACCTCATCATAGTCCACGCCCAAGCTGTACTCAGCCTTGTCCCCTTTACAATCTAATAATTTATGGCAAATTCCCCGAATACTGAATCCTTCCGCAGCATTCACATTAGTTAAAGTATGTTCATTACCAATAATAACAACTCTTCCGGCTGAACAATTCTTTATGAAATGATTTTTCATAGAATTTTGATCATCCGACCTCATCACCACTGCGTAAGTGCGTGGATAACCAACTAATCCTTCGCATTCAACATTTGCGATGTAATTGTTTGAACTACTGTAAATTTTTATAGCAAAAAATGCATTCAGATCTCCAATTTCTGGTATTTTTCTAAACCTAATGTTTTTGAGGATTTGATTCTGTCCATGAAGTTCGATTCCAGTTGACACGTTTGTGCAAAATAAAGTGTTTATTGTGTTTTCCTCCCCTTCGAATTTGATTCCAGTTGCCGAATCCGTTATGTTAATGCGATGTAGTTCGTTATTTCGTGAAGTGACCATTAAATGGACACAAGGGCAGGATGGGTTGCGGTTGTTGTTGAATATTATGCCTGTGAAATGATTTTTTCGTCCTGAGATTGATAATGTAGACCCTTCGAAATACAGGTTGTGTAATTGAGCATGGCTACTCGTCACATGGATTTGGAGTTTTTTTGACGATGATGATTTTAAGGTCAAGTTTGATACTGTGGTACTTTCAGCTAGGATGATGCGAGCGGTGGGGGAATTGTACTTTGTTTTATGGACGGATTTGATTATTGTGGAGTCGACTCCACTTCCACGTAATGTTAAGCCAGGAGAAAGACGGAAACTTTTCCAGATTTTGTATTCACCTGGTAGTAGTTGAATTATACGGAAATTGTCTGCGGGTGAGGAGTTCTTTAACAGAGAACGCAGCTCACTGCCCGATTTTATTATTCGAATCGTTTGAGGAGATCGGGGTGACGGGTTCAAATAGGGCAGCGGGTGGAGTGGAGATCTGCGGAAAAGTGTGTGTTAGTAAAGTGACCTTGTAGAAATATTGGGGAGTAAACGTACCCATTGTCTGAGAAATACGATAAAATATCGATGACATCTTGAGATTGTAAGACTTTGGTTGGGATGACATATTTTGTAAATTCACTTGGTTTCATTACAGGGAATCTTATAAATTGTACTAGACTTTCAAATGGAGCTTGTCGACTTTCTGGAGAAAATTGTTTCCATCTGAAAATAACAATCATCAATTTAATCGTAGTTCTTTTAAGAAATTACCGTCACTTACTCAAACAACGCAAGGAAAAGGTCCAATTCTCTGATTTCTTTACTTAAAATGTCACAATTGAGTAAATCAGACCACATTTCTTCACTCATCTGTTGATGACCATTCACTTTTATCACTGATTGGAAGTTCCTAATAAAAATAATAATTAGTAAACGAATCTTAATGAGATTTAAAATAATTTCGAATGGAAAACAAACTTTTTAAAGAACTGAAACGCCAATTTTGAGATATTGGATCTTAAGATCAATTTTGTAGTCAGCGAGAGTTGGACGCAATTTGAGTACCATAAATTTGAGAGGATAAAACTTTCAGCAATTTTAACCAATGGTAAAACATCATAGAAATCTGCCAATTTCAATATCTGAATCCCCATATCAAGCGAAGTATCATCAAGTTGGTTGCTCGTCAGTACCTGGAAAATAGAAACAAAAAATTTTAGTTTTTATTATAAATTGCATGTATGTACTATGTGGGGTGACCAGACTACTCATTAATAGAGACAGCCAGGCCAGCGGCGGTATCACATTAAAGGCTAGATGCCGACTTATTATAAATTACATTTTAATACAAAAAAACTGACGAAAAAACGAAAAAAAAAATAATAAAAAAATATGTAGAAATGAAATATGTAGAAATTATTGAGCAGCATTGGAAATAATTAACTTTCTTTAGATTTTAACTTCCGGTTCCCATCTCAAATTCAAGACAACACTTACAGGTGATCTACAGAAGGAACGACCAACTAACACATTAGCAAACGGGTTTCCAATCTCATGCAATTTCCAACCACCACTTCAACAACTTCCTCCAAACCAAGCTGACTTATTGGGTTCCTCTTTAGCCTCTTTAGCCAAGTTGAAGGGGACCGTCCCAACTTTGAAAAGAGTCCCGCGTGGTGCAAGGAGTATCGTCGCTCAATCTCTGACCAAAATTCTCAAGGAAATTGCTTCTGGGAATAGCAAGGAAAGTTGGAGAAAGCTCCTGTTCTTCCCGTATGCTACGCTTCCAGTTCCACAAAAATCGGACCAAGTAAAAAATCTGACCACGTGGGTGAAGACCCGCACTTCTGAATGGGAAAATAACTTCTCCATCCCGCTACCACATCCACCACGCCAGTTCTCGCAACGGAGCCCCCAAATTGATTCAACTGTCAAGAAAGTGGAGGCCAAACTCGCAGATGGCGACATTCGAGGAGCAATTCGTCTTGCCTGCTCTGATGACACCATAGCCCCAAACGACGATGACACTCTAAGCGTCCTCCGTGCGAAGCACCCGGTACACCCAGAGCCCACAAACTATCCACAACCACTAGCGGATGACTCCGTGATTGAAGCAGTACACGTTCCTGAAGTAGCTAAGGCCGTATCCACTTTCCCCCCAGGTTCGGCAGGAGGACTCGATGGTTTGAGACCCCAAATTCTAAAGGACCTACTCAGCTGCAATCAGGGGGAGACAGGAGAACACCTCGCCCAAGCAATCACAGATTTCCTCAACCATGTGATTGCTGGAAAAGTCCCTGCAAAGCTGTGCCCAATATTATACGGAGCATCTCTCACGGCGCTGAGGAAGAAGACTGGGGGTATCAGACCCATCGCGGTGGGAAATACGTGGCGCCGACTCGCCGCCAAGGTCATCCTCGCTAAGATTACTCCCCAACTTATCGACCACTTTTCACCTCATCAGTTAGGCGTTGGAATAAAAGGTGGCGCTGAGACCGGTGCCCATGCCGCCCGTGTATACTACAACTACCCTCACCACACCCCCAAAGCATTCCTTAAAATTGATTTTAGGAACGCATTTAATGAAGTGAGAAGAGACACTCTACTGCACACTGTTCGTGATAATTTTCCATCAATCTTCCCGTTCGTGTCCCAATGCTACGCTAACCCGTCATCACTTTTCTTCGGGACAACATCTCTCCCTTCGCTTCTGGGTTGTCATCAGGGCGACCCTTTGGACCCTTCTCTGTTTTCTTTGGTCATCCACCCCATAATCAAGACTTTGGACACAGAGCTAAACGCATGGTATCTCGACGACGGGACTATCGCAGACACCCCGGAAACGGTACTAGCAGCCCTTGAGAAAGTTTCCAGAATGGGTGAAGAAGTGGGGCTTTATCTCAACCACAACAAGTGTGAGGTTGGAGTATTGGGGGCGGACGACGACACCATCACCCAGATTTTTCAAGAATTTCAAAATTTTGCCCCAGGAATCCAACTGATAACTAGAGAAAATGCAACATTATTAGGTTCTCCTCTTACCAACGAAGCCATGGAGGCGGTTTTGGCTGCCAAAACGGAGCAATTGGCAACTTTCTCCAAACGTCTCAAGAAAATATCTGCCCACTCAGCTTTCTTCCTCCTCCGAGCTTCTATCTCCATACCTCGTTTAATATACTTTCTCCGATGCTCACCGTCGTGGAGAAAAAGGGAGGCCCTCGCTCTCTATGACGCTACACTCAAGGACTCCCTGGAGGGGATCCTTAACTGCTCACTCTCGGAGGCTGCATGGATGCAGTCCTCTCTACCCGTGAAAGAAGGTGGCCTTGGGGTCAGACATGCTGAAGATGTAGCGATACCGTGCTTTCTTTCGTCAGTCTACAGCACCCAACCCCTAATGGAACAAATTCTTCCGGTTTACCTACATGGTTCCGATGCCGCCATTGCGGAAGGAGAGGAACGATGGACTTCTCTTGGCCCAACTAATCTTCCTCCCAACACAGTGAGAGGATTACAGACAGCATGGGAGCGCCCCATCATCGACATCACAGTGTCCCACTTAGTCGTCGCCGCAGCCACGTCTGAAGATACGGCTCGCCTATGTGCTCTTCGCGACAAATATGCAGGAATATGGCTCAACGCTCTCCCATCTCCTCAAATCGGCACCCTTCTCTCGAACGAGGCATTTCGCATCGCAATTTCCCTCCGTTTAGGTTGCGATGTTTGTCAACCCCACACTTGCCCGTGTGGAGCGCAAGTCAGTTCACGAGGATATCATGGTTTATCCTGCCGACGAAGTGCTGGTCGGTGGTCTCGCCACGCAGCCGCTAACGACGTAATCGCGAGGGCGCTTCGATCAGCCGATGTTCCCTGCATCCTTGAACCACCCGGATGTTCACACCAAGACGGAAAGCATCCAGACGGGATGACTCTCGTTCCGTGGGCAAGAGGAAGATCCCTTGTGTGGGATTTTACCTGCGCTGACACCTTCGCACCTAGCTATCTCCCCGAGACAGTCCGCCACCAAGGAGCAGCAGCAACAAAGGCAGAAGATAGAAAGAAAAAATTGTGCGCCTTTCTCCTAGACCGATTCATCTTTATGCCCGTTGCAATTGAGACGACAGGTACATGGGGTCAGGAGTGGTTATCCTTCATTAAAGAGATTGGACAACGGATCGCTACCGCCACTGGAGAACCACGCTCCACAACTTTTCTCCTCCAGCGACTCGGCATTACAGTTCAACGTGGAAATGTAGCTTCAATCCTGGGGACACTTCCACCAGGAAAAAAGTTTAATGAAGTTTATTATATCTAAAACTCCCATGTATTTTGCAGACATTGTTACTCTGTACAGAAATAAGTGTATTTTATTAACAAATTATAAATATTACTGTACTTACTAATGTGTAATTGTGGAATAGATTATAGGCAAATTGCATGTATGAGTATTACAAATAAGTATTGATTTTCGGAAATAATTGATAAGGTCATAAAAAAATTAAATTTTTTTTTAAAAACTGACCATTAAAAAGTGCACGAAACCATGAAAATCCACTCCTACATCGCTTGGTAAATCCAGTACAATTTCGCTTAATTTCTGACACCTTCCTTCCCACCGAGTTGATAACATTGAATCAAAAAAGGGCGACGCTTTCATTAAAACTTGGCGATTCGCATATATTTTTTCCCTCTTTTCGCCAACCAGGAATAAGATATCTGCAGTCGGAGGGGGTGGTGGCAGCTTCAGTCTTTTCGGTGAAAGGGCAGATTCAAGCGGTTCACTTTTCCTCTTGAGGGGTGGAGATTTTCGAAGTGCTTGCTCCTCATCCTCTGAGGATGATGAAGAGCTCGTTTCTATTCTTGAAGGGAAAGGAGGTGGACGACTTTTGGAAAATATGTTTGCTAAACGCCGGTACATTTTGACGGTTTCTTCCTTCACTGAAATTTGAAAAACATTCAGTTAACGTTTGAGTAGTTAAATTTCAGTTAAATTTTTAATTACCCATGCAAGGAATTTGGCTCGTCCGTCGGCTCAAAAATATTTTACACTGAGCGTGTAGTTCATTCCCGGCTGCGTTTTAAACCAATCAGCGAGCCATGAGATTTTCTCTTTGTTTTCATGAATTTTGTTGTTGTGCATGAAATTTTTATTTTTTTTTGGCAATTTTTACTTATTTTTGCAATTTATACATAAATTAATAGCAAAGTTCGTGCCTTGGAATTACATGAGATTTGATGAAAAATTATCAATTTTGCAATTTGATTAACAAATTATTTAATTAAATTCATAAAAATAAATTTACGACATTGTGATTAAGTCAACATTTCTTGTATTTGTTCTAAAATACTTGCCAGTTTATCTCGCCCAATTTCCGCACAACAGTATTGTTCTCCTTATTTAACTCGTTAATTATCCGACTTCAATTTTTCTAGCATTATTGTCAACTACACAAAAAATCGATTTTCGGCCTAAATTAATTAATGACGTGAAATTAATTGCCTCAAACTCTGCCAAAATTAAACTTTCACTGCTGATATTTCTACCGTCTAAAATAAAAGGGAACCAAGATAATTTTTGGTACCATAAATTAAGTTTAAAGTTACCAATTCGTAGATATGCACATTTAAGTTTTATGTGACTCATTTAATCACATTTAATCACCCAACTCTGCTATAAATTACAAGAAAAAAGTTTTTATATCCTTATAATTAGCATTGCTTTATTTAAAAAATGCTGAAAAGCTAGCAAATTCACATTGCTAGCTTCTCCTGTGACTTCTGTTATTTTGTTGAATTTAACGTAAGTTGTAAGTGTGAATTGTACCCTCGATTTAATAGTTTGAGATGAATTTGTCATTTTTTTATCTTCGCTTTTGCTTTCTGTAAGACATTGTCTTTTAATTGTTATTGGTTTTTGCAATGAATAAATCTATACCTCGATAGCATCACTAACTAACTTTTCAAGGTTTTTTGTGGTATAGCACACAATTGCGGAGTTAATAATTTCTATGAAAAAATAGCAGCATATAAATTATTTTCCATATTTTGTGTGCAAAATTACTTTAAAAATTCTCACTTAATTTTAATGCCGTTTGGAATGTTACCAATATTTTGAAATTATTAAAATGCCTCTTTTTAGTATACAATTTAGTATTTGATTTCATAGCTCGCAAAAAATTGGTCCATAGTCCATGGTCCATGGTCCATCACAAATGGTCCATGGTCCATGGTCCATCGATGGACCAATTTTTAGGTGGTCCATGGTCCATGATGGACCATTTTGGTCCAGTGGACCATGGTCCATTGCGAGCTATGTTTGATTTGTACAATCGGATTCACTTTCAACTTTATTAAAACCCATAATTACAATAAAGTAAATACCTATGAATTAATTAATTATTTAGTAAATTATACATAGGTCATGCATAATATTTATTTAATAATTAATCTGAAAATAATCATGAATTTTATAAGTCAACTTTACACGAATGATTTATTTAGACTTCAACGAGAAATCAAAAGCTATATAAAACTTTAAGTACGCACATCTTTCATTTGACGTCACATCATTGTGTTATCAGGTACAAAAGTTGCATGCGAAGAATGGTCAATAGTGTGTGCGATTATCATGTGTATCACGTGTTGATACCTACATTGTAAATGTATGTATATGTTAATAATTTCATAATTTCATCAAATTATGTAACCACTTTTATCTATGATTAGCACATTTTTAAGCAAATTTAACATTTCCAGAGGATGTGTCGCCAAAAAAATCATGCAATCATTCATTTCCTGTAAAATTACCGAGAATTCCGTCTCGCTCTCTTATGTAAGAGTTCGCTTGCAAATAATTCCAGACATTCCATGACGAGTAATAAAATGCGTAATGTTAGATAATCCCTCAATCCAGTGTAAACTAAATCCTCGGATTAACATGTTATCACATTTGAAACTTATCACTCGTGGTGGTGGTGGAATTATTATAAAATTCCACTTTGACCATGCTCCACCACGCCGTGTTAAAAGTATTGATTGAAGTAATAAATTTACTAAGAAAAAATATAAAAATGGCGATAACGATATCACGAATACAAAAATTACGATTATTATTTGTCGCGGGATTTATTCTATTATTAATTCTAATTACATCAAAATACTCCAAACCCCCACAAAATAATTACCATCATAATTATCACATTAAGAAAATTGCATCTCCAGAATTAATACAAATAGCGCTCGCAATATCAACTTACGATACGAAACCAGTGATTAAACCAAGTTTTAAGTTAAGAAAAGCCTTTGACTGTGACAATTTAACACCGGCGACGAAATTCTCACAACGGGGGTCATATTGGACACTAAATAATTTTATCATTGGAAGGAAACGATACAATTGTGATGAATCCGTGACATACACAACTCATGCAGAATTTGGATTCCTAATGGACAATCTTGTCCCGTTAGCTCAGAGATGGGCTGGCCCCGTTTCTTTGTCCATTTTTGTGCCAGGAACTGATTTTGAAGAAGCCACAAAGAGATTAATCTGGCTAAGGGAATGTTCACCACATTCGGATTTGATTAAAGACTACGTCACCGTGCATTTCTATTTTCCGAGTAAGAATTTACCAACACCGTTATCGGAAGATTTTGAAAAAATGATTTTTAACCAAATTGATTGCAATACTTTGGCTTTTTGGAACTTGTCATCAACTGCGAAATCTTATCGGAGTCAGCATTCCTTAACTTATCCAATAAATGTTGGGAGGAATTTAGCCAAAGAAACGTCAACTACGAAATATGTGTTAGCATCGGATATCGAATTGTATCCAAATCCTGGCCTTGTTAATAGTTTTCTTAAAATGATTTCTAATTATGAAGAGACGAACGGTGGGAATAAGGTGTTTGTGTTGCCAATATTTGAAATTGATGCGTCATTAGAGCAACAATTACCAGAAGATAAGAAACAACTGGTTTCTTTATTAGAAAATAAATTAGCTGTTCCCTTCCATTATCGGATTTGTCCACATTGCCATAAAATTCCAAGGGCGGAGGAGTGGGTTCTACTGGGGGATAAAGAAGAGGAGGACTTGAAAGTGTTCCATGTTGCAAATCGGACAGGAATCCATGCTCATTGGGAACCGATTTACATTGGGACAAAGGACGATCCTGGATATGACGAGAGGCTGAATTGGGAAGGGTTGAAGGATAAAATGACGCAGGTACATAGCGTTTTTACATGGTGGCATTTTTTTGTGGAAATTTATTTAAAAATAATTTAAATTCCAGGGCCTCGTCCTTTGCCTGCTTGACTATGAGATGCACATTTTAAACAATGGATTTCTTATCCATTCACCTGGAATTAAGTCGAAAGGCCCATCGCATGAACAGTGGAGGAAGAAACTAATTAGTCAACAGTTTCAAATTATTCATAACATTATTTTACCAGAACTGAAATTATTGTATGGAGAGAAAGATGGCTGCGTTGTTTGATTTTTATTAAATTATGAAGTATTTTTTAAAGAATTGTATTTTTATGCAAAAAAGTTTACTATTTCGAGTTAAAAATCGAATAAATGTAAAAAAAAATAGCACGATATTTATTTATTTATTCTGAGAGAATTATTCCAATGTATTTTTGGTTGGTGATAAAACTCCAATTTTTTTTCCGGCAAGAATCTTTTCGAAATTTACATAACTATGAACCTACGGAAATTAACGAAATGAAATAACTACGAGATTTTAAAGAGAGAATCATTTACCTGATTGAATAATTTGGTGGCGTCGATGCCGAATCCTTGTTGAATTGCTTGGTATCCACCCGGATGCTTGTTGGCGTAGTCGGTCACGTTGTACACGCTTCCTTTGGGGAAATTAATTAGTAATTATTGGATAATTTGGAAGAGTGTGGAGTCTGTTTCTATACCTTTCAAAGCGATCCATGCATCGTTTCGGGTGTTGTGAGTTTTCAGTTCTTCCAGGGTTATTTTTCGAGTCGAGGGATCTTGCGTAGAGGGCCCAGGGGATTGACTCATTTTTTTTCTGTATTCACGGGGAATTTTGTGGGCGAAGTGGTGGTAGGATTATATTTGTGAAATCATAATAAATGTTTGTTGTGTTTTGTTATTGAGGGTCTTTTTTTGCAGGACTGTGGGATTTTTGTCATGGTGATTGTGTGCGAGGAATGGTCAAGTCAACAATTTTTGATCAGACACAGACACAAGATTTATTTTTTTTATTATTCTTAGTGAGGCAAATACCTAACAACGAAAAAAATTACTAAGTATGCATTTGACCCACCCCAAAAAAGTGACCATCTGCGATATCTCAGTCATTTCTCAACCGATTTTGATCAAATTTTGCACCGATTATTGTTACATAATGTAGAAATGGGATCTGATCCGACTAAGCGATTACGTCATTTTGACCGGAATTATGGGCAAATATGTAGCCTTAGAAACACATTTGTAATTATTGCTAGTTACTAGCAAACTTTATCAACACTTTGATACCCACGAATTGTAGAGCAGTTTATCCCGAAAATTTTAAGGATAAATATATCAAAATCCGTTAAGAATTGGCTTAGTTATTCCAATTTGAAGCTCAGAAATTCAGAACCGAGAGCGGTGATGCAAAAATTCTGCAATCTAATTTTATTTATTACTTATGATTACACTACCTCACTAAGATTCCCCCTTTTTAGGGACCTTGTTTATTTGAGTACAAACCTCAACTCACTCCAACAAAACCTTGTCCGTCGGCACGTCATTTTTTTAGCAAATAAGTTCAGTCATTCAAAAAAGGGGGCATCAACAGTATGGAAGACTCCGAAAACTCCAGAATCTCAGAGGATCGGATGAAACTACCGATTTATTATATTTTCCGACCACGAAGATTGAAAAACGTTGAATCACGGTGAGTTAATTTTCTATTTTTACGCCATTTTTCACAAAAAGTCCGAGTAAGTATGGAAAACTCCAGAGAATGAAATTTCCCGACCACAAAACATATTAAACGTTACCGTTATTTTTGTGTATTTTTCGGATTGTGCTATGCTCATCTCGGAACCCCATCCAAAACAAGTAGGGATTTTCCAGCATCCCATTTTCCTCCTCATAATTACTAAAACGATACAAATACAAATCATAACAATTAATCCATCGCTGTCAAAAACAATTTAGAACTCGGTTCCCCTTTTTTCCAGAGAGCATTTTTTCCTCCACACAACAGAGACACATAAAAAGCGAGAGAAAGCGAGAAAGCGAGTTTTGGTCCAATTTTCCACTGCATCTTTCTCCACTACCACCAACCTAAGCTAAGCATTTTATACTCCAGTCCAGACATCCAATCCACTGTAGTAGTCTCAATAAACCACCACTACTGCTTCCCTACATTATGATGACCATATAAAAAATGCTACAAATTAACTACATTAAAACTCTGACATTTTATTCATTTTTTCCTACTCCTACTTCTCCTTCACTTCCTCTCAAATTGTATAATTACTGCAATCCAGCCTTGTTGTCTACTTATGTATATCGAGAAAGGGTGACTGCACCCAACTTTTCCAGCTCGATATATAAAATCTAATCCCCTGCTGCTGCTGGCTTTCTCTTCTCTCGTCTCTCTCGTCTCGTCTCTGTGTGTGTCTAGTCTCAAAGTGTGTGGTGCCTGGTAGTCCTCTCTCCCTTTTTAGTGTCAGGGGGTGGTGCACAATTTTCCACTCTGGCCCGAGAAAAATTTGTCCTTACAAAAGTGAAATTCTGGATATTTTGTGGCCTGATTGGACTCGATGTCGGGATATGTGGAGGATGAATTGAATGCAACATTTCACTGGAGAGAGAGAGAGAATTCGGTGCGGGGTCTCCGGTGGGATCGGAAATATTTTGTGCAGATATTTTCTCTGCTTTCTCTGCTGGGCTCAGTTTGGTGGTGGCCTTCTCGTACTCACTGCCAATGCTCCTCCTGACTGCCGTTTTCAATTAGTGCACTACTACTCCTTTCACTCCACACTTTCGCTTCTCGTACACAAAAATCGCGACGGACGGAGAAATTCTATTACTCGAAAATATATAGCTCTCTCTCTCCCTCTCGTTATAGGAGTGAGGCTAGGTTTTAACCAGGTTCTTCTCTTTTTTTTAAGAAAGGGTGCAGTATTTTGAAGGGTCATATTTGCCATGATTATAAATATGGTTTAAAGTGGGGGGACTTATTGGGGGATTAATTTTCGGGGGGATTAGTTTTTTTGGGGGGTGGGGAGTATTATTTTTAATGTAATTTATAAGAAATAATATCACGGCGACAATAAAACTTGATGCTTAAATAAAATATCAATTTATCAATTTAAAAATAAGAGTGATACATTTTTATAAAGAATTTTTTAAAAGATAAATTTTTTTGGAAAAAAAAATATTTCAACCGGTGAAAGTGAAGAGGATGGACTAAAAATAAAATACCAAAGTTTCTACCCTTTTTTGGAGAAGTGAACACACATCACACGAGAGAGAAAATTAGATCAAAAGGTAAAAAAAATGTTTATTAAACAATGCCGTAAAGAAAGTTGGAAAATAAGTCCATACAAAAAAATAATGCCGTGAAGGAGGATTGTTTTCTGCTGTCTTTCATTTTCCTTTTGATCTGAGTGATGAATGGAAAACCAGATGTGGATTTTCGAGCAAAAAGAGAAAGAACTACCGCATTACAAGGTTTTTCTTTGTTTCGTTTTCTCGTCTTCCTTTGTCCACTGGGATTCTGTTTTATTTGTTTTGTAAGAACATTGTAAGTATTTCCCTTGCGCAATTAAAGAAAAGAAAATTTACTTTGAAATGAATCATGGGCCAAAATTAATAATTCCCATTTGAGAGAAAGCTATATACATACGTTTATAAAATGGAATTTGATAACGGGTATTTCGTTCCGTGACATTTTTGTTTAAAAAAAGGTTAGCAAAAAAAATCCATATAAAACCGAATTTCATGGCAACCTGTGTCCCGTCGTACAGGTTGTAATGCGAGTTAAGCCCTGTACACACTGAATCCTATTTTCCATTTGGCTGGGCCAGATTTGTTATTTTTTTGGGTCTCTTTTTGCTCAAGGATTGGATCAAATATTTCCATGCGAGGAGAGGAATTTCTTAATAAAATTTCTTGGTAATGGATTTTGATTCAGTGTGTACATGAGAAATGTGGGAAATATGGGATTGCGGATTAGATATTGGATTTGGAAGAGAGAAAGTAAACGTGACATGGGTGACACTACAGGGATCCATCCGGGATAGGAATTTTGCAGAGAGAGAGACAACCTACAGCTCGTCTAAATCAATAAAATCCTCTCTCTCTCTCGTCTCCTTGGTTTGCACTCTAGGCTTTTGGGGAGTGAACATGCAGTTTGGTTTGGATCTTTTTATGCTCTGATTCTATAAGGTTTATTAAAAACGTGGTGGTTTTTAGGGTATTAAAGTGGTTAGCAAATTTTGGGTGCGAATTGTAAATGGGTAGCATATTTTATCATGTAAATGGTCCAAAATCTTTTATCCGCCTACTTTTTCTGGGCTTATTTTTCAATTAGTCGAGCAAAAATGTTTCACTTTCAGTTTTATCTTGGCTCGGGCAATGCAACCTTATCCGAGATGCATATTTATTTAGTAGATGAGCATTGTAAAAATATTTTTCGGTCACATCATCACTTACATTTTTACGTGATTTATTATTTTATGGTGTAAAAGATAACGATGAGGGTTCATAATATCCGATGGAATTACTAAATAATCAAGTAGTCGCCACAAAATATTAAACGCTTCACGTATTTCAAACATGCCATTGAATTCTAGGCATATCTTATCAAAAGTAATTATAAAAAATGCACTCAGCAAATTAGTCACCGTTTTGGCGCCTATTGACGCGTTATTTTTATTATACAAGAGCTGTCATGCAATAAGGTTGCCTTGAATAAAAATGGAAATTCAATTACGAAATCAAATATGGTTTTTTTTCTGATAAAGATTTTACTTATCCCAGCCGATATCCGGGCATTGTTATCAAAAAACATGGTCCGAGCATGTCACCTAAATTTCTCTCCACAAGGACAGATGCATGTTTAATCTTGCAATTTGTAACCGGCAAGAGTTACGCAAAAGGTCTCATGGAATTATATATTAGTCATGATGATTACGCAGAAGGGTTTATCTAATTATGCTGTGTCTGATAATATTTAAGTGGTGGTGCAGGTTCACCAGAAACACCGAAACGTATGATTTATTGCTAAAGTCGATGAATCACAGCAACTCGAGTCCGTTGAGAAATTTGAAATACATTTTTGTGGTTAATATGAAAATGAGCAAATACTTTGAAACGAATTTAATCTTATTTTGAGAATTTGCCTTATTTCATTTGAAACTTGTTAGTTTTTATTTTTTCTAATTTAGAAATTTTGCATGTAAATAAATACTTTGATAATAGCGTGTACATTTTAAGACTAGCCTAGCGTTATACTTATGTGATACAAGAGTCGCCGTTGTTATTTAAAGGGTGAAACCCCTTTATGGGAATCTTGTATTCTTGTCTGACCATCCACAATAATTTCAAACTGAAGCGAATTTCAGTTCGAAAGAGTTTCATCATCATTTTAAATGCCATTTCAAATGGGGAAATGTAAGAAAATGGGTTGACAATTCCAAGTCGCTGAACTCGGCTTCGCCCGTTTGCTACCTTTGCTTTGCAATGACGCGAAACCGTATGTCTGCCGTTCGTTTGACAGAGAGACACGACGGGTACATAAGAGCTGACGCGGGGCTAAAAATGCAAATTCGACCATAAAAGCAATTTCAACGAAAACCTTACGTGATAAGTACGTATCAATCACTGTCCTAATCAAGCGCATCAGAAAACATAGTCCAAGCATGTCATATGTATTTGTGGCAACGACGACAGATGTATGTTTAATCTGTGCTGGGTTATTAACGAGCCCAAGGTTACAAATAAGGTCTCCTGGAAAAATATATTAGTCATGATTACGCACAAGAATCAGTTTTATCTACTTGATCAACACTGCTCTTCGTTAAGGAATAAACTGAAAATGCGTTTTGAGAAATCAAAGGTGTGCTAAAATTTGAAAGGTTGCATGGCTATGAAGACTGATGGTTTTGGTGGCGAAAAAATTTAATAATCCCGATACATATGTAGCAAAACTTGCGTTAAGAAAAATATGGGTATGCTAATTTTGGTCGCTGAACAAATGAATGAAAGTGGTCCGGTCAACTGCTCACTGTTCTCCCTCACAGCAAAGCTAAATATTCAATATATATTTGTAGATCTGATAATGTGCCTGATACCAAGAGAGTACCAAGATACCTTAGAGTGTGTCAAGTCTTGTGTCGCTGAGGCATCAAGCACAGCATAATCTTTGACTGAGAATCAGGCTTGGAAATATCATTGCACCAGGGATGGGCAATCCCAGGATTACTTTAATCACATTGATTATTCTGGCTATACTGAGTGTAATCCATAATTCAGTAATCCCATAAGAAATTGCAAATTTTGAATAATCTGTGAAGAAAAGCACATTATCTCTCTGGAGTAAAGATTCACAACAATTTTAAACTTTTGGATCATATAGATGAACTCTTTGCTGTACTAAGATATTATAAAAGTTTTATCCTATTGGGAAATGAATTTTTTGGTCGAAAGTTAGCCTCTAAATAGCGTTTAATTAATTTTAAGTAATTAGTAATTAAGTAATTGACTTTCAATTACTAATAAGTAATTGGTAATTGAAAGTCAATTACATGCATGCAAAGTAATTGTAATTGATAATTAAGTTCAATTACTGGACAAAGAAGTATTTGTAATTAGTACTTAATTCCAATTTTCGCAGTCGGAGTAATTAAGAATTAATTACTTCCATTGGTAATTGAACAGCCCTGTCCATAATTCAGTAATCCCACAAGAAATTGCAAATTTTTGCAAATCTGTAAATAATCCGTAGTCTACACTATTCATGAAGTAATCCGTAAACCACGATTTCTGGATGTTGGAGAATGTAATTTATTACAGATTACATTATTTATTTGATTACTTTGCTGTTGAGTTTCAACTACTTTCGCTTTAAAATTAGAATTAATACATATGTTGAAACTATATTTTCTAAGTTTAAATGTTAATTTTTTAATGTTTTTAGTCATACTTTTGGGCGATTATGTGTGCGGTGAGTTGCTAAAAATATAATGTAATTTTTTTGTAATTAGAAAAATAATCCATGAGCAGATTATTGTAATCCGTAATTCACTATATCCATACGTTCGTCCAGGTAATCCATAACATATTTAAGCAATCCAAGATGTAATCCAGTTCAGCAAAGCAAGCCAAATAATCCCAATCCCGTAATATTTTTAAGCAAATTAATCCGTAATTCATCCCAGTTTATCCCAGAACATTTATACTGAGGGTATTCGTTATTTCTTCGTATCCGTAGTATCGTAAAATAGTTTACGAAGATAAAACAAGGGGTCAGGTTTCGTAAAAATCGTAAGCGTAGTAACGTGATTTTCGATGGCAAAATCTTACGACGCTTACAAAATCTCGTAAGCTTCGTAAGTTATTTTACGATACGAAGAATACTAAGGATACGAAGAAATAATGAATACCCTCACTGTTTTTGCCCTTTCGTTCCAATTCGTGTAACCTTTTATCGTTCACTTTGACAGAGACCTTGCAACATTTACTGTAGTACGCAATTCGTAGAAAATTGATTAAATATGTGTCTCCTTTCCTTTGCCAATCAATGACAAATAATCATACGATACGATATGAATACGATTTTCAATCGTGCCGACACCAGTGTAACGTGCGGTTAAATTAATTGATAAAATATTAACTTGTGGACGGGGAAGACTGTCCGAGCTTGTATTTCGATATATCGATGACCCTGGGAGGAAAAGTGGGGGATAAAACACACAATAAACATAAAACCCAGAGCAAGGGGCCTTTCATAAACTATGTAGCGTATAATTATGGATTAATCCTTAATCTCGAGTTCTAAAATATTGATCCTTAAAGCTTAATTTATACTAAGTTATTAACGATCCCTAAGCCAACTTTCACTCCATCAATTTTAATCCAAAAATGAGATTAAAATAGGATTTAATTACGTTTGCTTTGACTGCAAAGTTTAAGAGCTAATTTCTGTTGAAGCCGCTTTCTGTTCGAAAATTGCTTTCATTTCTCTTCCTTATCCTTTTATAAAATAATGGAAAACGTTTTTATAAAACTACTCACTGAATTGTAGCATCATACTAATGCAAAATTTTGAAAATTGGCGTCACCAGGTTGCCACAGCTGGTCAATCAAAGGCAGGAAAGTCCACCCCCAATTACGGTCAAAGCTTCACAATAAAAGCGATAACAATAGGACTAAAAATAATTTTTATTGTGGAAAAAGGTCAAGTTATGATATAATCTTTTTTTATCTTTTTTCTTTTTATCATTTTTTATCTAACTTTGCATTGAAATGTTCATTACAAAGTTAAGATACTAGTTTAAGTAATTTCAAAGAATGATATAATAAAATTGCATGCAAAACCATTAATCCTGGACTAAATTTATTCATAATCCAGGAAAATTTAATCCAATGTTAATCCTAATTCCGCATTAAATTTTCTCACCAATTTAATCCTTAATCCCTAAATTAAATTTAGTGCTTAATCTCGATGTCAGTAATCCGCAAGTCTCAGTTAGAATATTTGATGTTTTATTTCGATTAAAACAGTCATCTCACATATAATCCCACGGGAGTTCAGTTCTACCCATAAATCAGCGCCATACATGCATCATTATCAGACAAAATAATCAGAAACATCATCGGAAAACATGGTCCGCAAATTTATGGCAACTAGGACAAATGCATATTTAATCTGTGTTTGCTTATTAACAGTCCAATGTTCCATCTATTAGTCATGATTACGCACAAGAATCGGTTTTATCTATTGACCGGTATAAATTGGTTGGGTTTATAAAATATCCGATCAGTCGTAATTTGGTAGTTGCCTTTTTGGTTACAGTATTGAAGATTTTCATAGCATTTTCCTAAACATGGGGCGCTTTGAGATTTTTGTGTTTTTTGTTGCACTCACAACGTTCGTTTCATCGCAATTTAGTGAAGACTTTGGTGACAAGTACAAGTTATCATGGGAAGTCAACGCCACAAAAATCGTGTTTACGGCCAAAGTGAATGGGACTGGCTGGGTGGGGATTGGGCTGAATGATAAAGAGGGATTTGGTGAGGCTGAGGTTATGATTGGGGGATGGGACGAAAGGCCCCCACCCACAACTGCGGCGCCCACGACTGCGGCGCCCACAACTGCGGCGCCAACAACGACTGCAGCGCCCGATACGACGACTGCAGCGCCCGATACGACGACTGCAGCGCCCGATACGACGACTGCAGCGCCCGACACGACGACCGCAGCGCCCGATACGACGACTGCAGCGCCCGATACCACGACCGCAGAGCCCGATACCACGACCGCAGAGCCCGATACCACGACCGCAGAGCCCGATACCACGACCGCAGAGCCCGATACCACGACCGCAGAGCCCGATACTACGACCGCAGAGCCCGATACCACGACCGCAGAGCCCGATACCACGACCGCAGAGCCCGATACCACGACCGCAGAGCCCGATACCACGACCGCAGAGCCCGATACCACGACCGCAGAGCCCGATACCACGACCGCAGAGCCCGATACCACGACCGCAGAGCCCATGTCAGATGCTATGATCTACCGCCATCAAAACCCTCGAGCAGACTATCCCCAATACGAACAAGGACGCATCGGAAATTCAGATAATACGCTTGGCGGCGCCTACACCGGCAGCGCCTGGACCTTTCTTGGTGCCAATCAAACGGAGGAGGGCACAGCAGTTTACACATACGTCCAATGGGCACGTGACCTTGAAACGTCTGGGACGGGCATCAAAATTGTCGATGTAATTTCACCCATAATTCAAACATTAACGAAATGAAGCTAATAATTTTTTGCATAGGGACAAAACACACACGTTTATATCGGATATGGAGACACTGACGATTTGCCAGGGACAGAATTTTCCAATCGAGCGACGAAACAAATTAATTTAAGGAATCCTAATTCAGCAATGGGAGTTAAAGCGGGATGGATGGGAGTGGTTTCTGTGATGCTAGTTATTTTATTTGGGAGGATGTAATTTGAAAATAAATAAATTTGAGAAAATTTGATGTGGTTTATTTGCATGATAAGAATTTTTGTATTGAAAAAAAAATATTGGGATTTTTGTGGATTATGATAACGCACATATTTGCGCATTTAATCAAAATAAATCCTGAGTTAAATTTGCCTGACCCATTATCGTGATTTCATAAGACATACGTTGAGATCAGAAATATGTTAAAGTTAATATTTTCATAAAGTTGAACAAGAAATTAATGAATTTCTTATGATTTCTGGCATTTTACGAGTTGGGATATTTGACCAGATTAGAAAACTCTGTATTTAACAAGTATTAGTTTCTACCACAAATAAAGTAAAATTATTTAAAACATTTTAAAAATAAATCTCTAAACAGTAAAGATACGATATTTCCTAAATTTATTTCACTTAAAATATGTTCCTCTCTCGTTTAATAACTCTCTCCACAGGGAGCGAGAGGTTTGTTGGCCTTTCACTTTCACACTTTCCCACTTTCATTAACAGATATTAGATGAGAGTTATACGGGGAGTAATTAAGTCAGCCTAATCCAATTAAAAAGTTCTACACAAATGAGATGAATTTAATTATGGTTTTCAGAGATGCTCCAACAAATCAGAGTAAAGCAGACGATGGGGTCTAAAAACCAACATTATTCGTAGGATACACAAAGAATGAGAAAAATGCCCAGTTTCCTGTCTGTGATCCAAAGTAAAATCCCAAGACACTTTTCGCAGGTACTCTTTTTTCTCTGTCATTTTCATTTAGATTTAGCTTCATAGAATTCAAATTGGAGTTGAAATCATTCATTTGATTTTCTACATATTTCGTCTTCATTTGCAAATTTTTTTTTCAACTTAAAGCAAAATTCTTTCTTCAGGTGCTGGCAACGTTGGCCGTAAGTTTGGGGCCTTTTGCAGCTGGATTGGGTACTTATACATAGTTCTAAAACTTGTAAAGCAATCCATAAAATCTCCCTTAATGTCTAAAATTACAGGAAAAGGCTACTCCAGTCCAGCCCTCGCATCATTACAAGAATCCAAAAGTAGCACGTTCCACGTCAGTGCTCAAGTGAGTCAATTAAACATAAAATTTATCTTAAAAATTTTTTAAAATGGTAAAAAACGACTTTCCAGGAAGGATCATGGGTGGCGAGTTTAAGTTTATTGGGCGCCTTGTTTGGCTGTTTATTTGGTGGTTTAATGTTACAAATAGGGCGAAAAAGGTCCTTGTTGATAATTGCGCTCCCATTTTCCGGTTCATGGCTCCTCACAGTTTTTGCTCAAAGAGTAGAAATGATGTATTCGACATCGTTCATCGGTGGCTTCTTCTCTGCCGTGACGCTCCTTGCAACACAAGTTTACGTGAGTGAGATTGCACACCCAGAAATCCGTGGATGTTTGAGTGCAGTGCTGAAAATGGCTGGTGAAATTGGAACTTTAAGTAAGTTTTATCAAGAGATTGACTTTTACCAGAAAATTAAATACAAGTTACCTTAGGCAGTTTTACACTGGGCGCATTTCTCGACTGGAGACAATTAGCCACCGTCGCTGCGATGGCACCGATTCTATTTTTCTTTGCTATTTTACTCATACCGGAAACGCCCAGTTTTTTACTCTACCACGGACGCGAAGAAGAAGCTACGAGATCGTTGGCCTGGTTGAGATCCACGGATCAAGATGTCAGCGAAGAAATTGCCACTTTAAGGAGTAATATCTTAACAAAGTATAAAAGCTTCTTTCCACGATGCGGAAATGGGCAGTTCCCGTTCAGATCGCTATTCATCTGCTGTGGGCTCATGTTCTTTCAAAAGTTCTCCGGAGTCACGGTTTTCCATCATTACGCAGTGCCGATCTTTAAGCAGGTCAGTTTTTTTAGTTCTTAAAATAATTATATACACCCGGGTGGCAAAAATTTTGGTGACTTTTAGCCCATTCATGTCTTTCCCAATTCGTCAAATATGAACAAAATTGCATGGAATCTTTAAAATTAATATAGCCTTTAATAATGTGTGTATAAACAGTTCTGCATAGTCTTAAACATGGAACTAATAAGAAAAAAACATGATTTATACCTCATTTTTGAGAAAATATAATTTTGTGTATGTTTAGGTATTCGGGCGCTCCCTTCACCCCCACGGGGCCGCAATTGTTGTAGTGCTGCTTCGATTATTGGGGTCGATGACATCCGGATTACTAATTGATACCGCGGGCCGATTGCCATTATTAATTTTATCGAATTTATTTATTTCTGGATCATTTTTTGGGTTTGGTTTATACAATTGGATGGAAGAATCCTTGCCACCAAATTATCCAGGTTTTGGACCCTCACTGGACTGGATTCCTCTAACATGCGTTTTATTCTTTACGCTGTTTTTCTCCATTGGAATTGGACCCATTTCTTGGCTCATGGTAGGGGAGTTGTTCCCTTTGGAGTACAGGTGATGGATTTTGATAATTATTTTCTATTAATTAATATTAATTGACATTTATTATTGTAGAGGATTTGGAGGAGCAGTGTCCACCTCGTTTAGTTACGCGTGTGCATTTGCTGCAGTAAAAACCTATGTGGACATAAAAGCCAGCGTTGGTTTATATGGTGCATTTTGGATTTATTCTGCCATTTCTGTAGCTGGTTTATTTTTCGTTTGTTGCCTTGTACCGGAAACTAAAGGGGTGGAATTAGAAGAAATGGAACATCATCAAACACCTGCACCCGCGCCGGTGGTGGTTCCCACGTCGGCAGTGGTATCAGCAGTCGTATCAAAGAAACATGTAAAAAATATCATGAAAAAGAGTGAAATATCAAATTACCAAAGATATCGTAGAAATTATGATGAAATTCCAATGTCATCATATCAATCGAATCATCAAATTGGATTTCAATGTAATAAATTTTATGATGATAATTTTTGTATGGAAAACGACGATGATTTCGAATTGGAAGCCGTTGTTCGAGATCCATTAGAATTTTATCAAGAGAAAAAACAGTCGTATTATTACGGGAGAGATAAATGGGTTACGAAATTTAACTTTAATTGTGATCAGATTTCGATGGTTTGATTGCGGAGGATTTTTTATTTGTGTGTTAAAAGTTAATGATAATAATAATGATAATAAAAAGTCCGTTTAATTAGGTTAATAAGATTACGGGCGCTTCCATGAAACAAAGAAATAAGACATTCAACAAAGACAATATATCAAGAAAAAAATGTTTGCTTCACGAAATTAGTGAAGGAGAAATGTGTGGGGAAATTGACAATAAGAAATTTTTGAAAAATATTAACAAGACTTGTGTAAGACAATAATTAAAGGTATTTAAACCGTGGAATCGTTATAAGGTTACAACAATTTATTAAAATCATGACAATAAATTTGGTAATAATATCGAGATTAGATGAGCTTATAACAAAAATATTGAGAATTATGCTGAAAAAATTGGGATTTATTAAGAGATTTTAAGGAGAAAGTAATGTTCAATATTTAAAATATTATAAACAATTGTGTTTTTTGTATGTAAAAAAAAGTGCTTAAAAATAAATAAAAAATATTGTGATGCTTTGAAGTTGGGCGAGGAATTTTGAGTGTTTTTTTGTTTTTATAACAAGAAAGAGTCGTAAATGGGAAGGGTTTTATTAACAATTAATCACAACTTATATTAACAGCATAGTAGGTATTAAACGATGTATTCGTCATGAGTACCTTCATATGAAAATATGAGTTACATAGGTTTAAAATCACGTATTAAAAAAAACTTGCATGGAAAAATAAATTTTATGAAACACAGTTGATCCTCATTTTGCAAATTCATAAATTTATTCATCCAGCAAAACTACAAAGTCAGGATGGAATTTTTCTTAAATCCACAAATTACAAAACATTGAATAATTGCATAAAACTTAAACAGATTCACAAAAAATAACCAAAAATCCTTAAACCTCCCTCCGATGAACAAAGAAATTGCCCCTTCCATTATCCAACGTAAATCTCATTGTTCCAAAAACGGGTGTAGCATTGATGAAGTCGTCGAAACTGATGGTAACGGATCCGATCGGATCATCAATAATCACGTCCTTGTCAATTAGCTCAAATCGCCAACGCTGTGGTGACACAAATAATTAATCATAATAATTAGGTAATAGCATTTAATTAAGTAATTTACCTGATCATTTCTTGCGATGTGAGTGAATGTAAATCGTTCTGGAAAAACTGGAAAGTTGTCGTCTTTAACCTCTTGCGTAATTCCACACTGGGTCCACGCACTCGAACCAGATTGACACATTATTTTGACAACAGTGTCACATGCAGAGAGGTCGTCGCAGGAGTTGAGGTCGCTGTTAACATTTTGGTGTTTTTTATTGGAAATTTATTGATTTTATATGAAAATTAAGACTTACGTGGCAAACATGCTGATTAATAAATTCGTTTCCTGTGCTGTGATTATGAGGGGAGTGGTTAACAGGAAAGTGAAGAAAATTAAAATTTGTGGCGACATTTTTTAAATTGATTATTTATGATGGGTTATGAAACTCGTGTGAAGTGTATTGGAATTTGTCACCTTATTTAATCATGATTTGAGTGGCATGAGTGGGAATACCACAAGATAAGCACTTATCAATTGATAATGTGATTTCCTTTAAATAATTTTATGTAATTTTATTGTAAATTCACAAAAAATATTTAATCATCTTCACTTTTATGAGCCAAATATTCCATGAATTCTTTATCAAACTTATGATTGTCCTCGTTGCAATCGAGCTGGAAATTGAATACACAAATTAATTACTCGAAATTTTAGCAACATTTACTTAAAAATCTGACCATAACAGATCTCGTGCAACGAAATAAATCCTCCGTTTCCGTACAATTATTATATTTCGTCGGGAATTTTGTGGGGTCTAAAAAAAATTAGAATGAAAATTTGGAAAGTTCTTAAAAGCAAAAAAACCATACGTCTATGGCTGCATTCCATGAGTTGTTTTGTTAATTTAAAAGCGCTTCTTTCTCCACCAGGCAGTGTCATTTCTTGTTTAAAAAGACCAAAAAGTGCAGTTTCATTCAATCCAATGCCAGATTTTGGTATAAATCCTCCATTTTGTAACATGCAGCTTCGGAGGCACTATTTTTTACGTAATTTTAAAAACTCTCATTTTTAAAACATAATGGCAAAATTTACCAAAAACGGCGTGGCTCCTCCGAATTGAACTCTTTCATCCGAGAACTTTTTCCTAGTAACTTTGGTATGTTCAATTTTGGCACAATGATAAATAGCGTCGACCAGCTCGTCGGACATGTTGTAATAGCCAGCGCGACATTTAATTCCTTCAAGGATCCAAATTTCCTCGAGAATTAAGGACATTGGATCCTTGTCCTTGGATTCAATGTCAAATCGATAGGAATCCTCTTTCATTGTTGAGGTGACCGTCTGTTGAACAGGGTTTTTACTATTTTTTTGTATGGACATTTTGTATGAAAAAAACTTACCCATACGAAAAATAGAGAAATTACAAGTGAAGTTAGAATTATTTTCATGTTTTATCTACTATAAAAAAAATTGTCGTAGAGTAATAAGCAGGCAAATTGAATGAGAAATGAATTGTTTTAACGAATGAAACGGTTGTAGATAAATTTCATTGTTTTACACAAGGACATTTTTAATTAACTTTTTTTATGTATTTCCTGACATTTTTTTTTTACATTCTCTTAAAAATGTGGTTATTATTTTGAGGAAGTATATAAATACATTTTAATATAAAGCAACAGAATGTAACGATTTGATCATGTCCAAACAATCAATAATTTTCTTGTCATCACCGACAATTTCTAAGCATTTCAGTGCTTCCTTAAGCATTCCTGCCTTTTCACCGGGACAAGTAATGACTTGACTAGGTAAATGTTTACATCGTAAATATAAAGCAATCGCCTTTCGCTTTTCCCTAATTAAGTTTACGTCCGTTTTTTTCTTATTACAATTTAACTCTGTTTCACCATCCGCTAATAAATCTTCCTCCAAATTCATTAAATTCTGTGATGCATTATTACAAATTAATCCAGATCTTTGGTTAATTCGTACGGAACGGAGGGAGGCGTCAAGTAATTGTTGAGTTCTTCCAGGTGATGCTTTCGTCATTAGACGAAGGGAGGCTTCGTATAAGTAGACGGATGGGAGCGAGCTCTGCAAAATTTGGATTTTTTTATGAATTTGTATGGAAATTTTAGGTGTGGAAACTTACGGGAACATAATGAGTAAGAGATCTTAAGGTGTCCAAATCTCGAGAGAATTGTCGAGTAAATTCCACATCCGTTTTTGAATTCATTTCTTCCCAGAGTTCAAGTCGGATTTCTAAAATCCATTCCGCCGTTAAGGTCCATATTAATTGGATAACGGGTTTTGGTTTGTCCGTTGTCAAGTTGATGGCATCGCGTAGGGATTCTCCTGAGGAATCGATCAGTCGTCTGATTGAGGATATTGGGGATTGGCGGTGGGTGTCTTGCAGCTGTGGATGTAATGTTAAAATTATTATATTTCGCCATGAAAAAGTAAAGTCTGTAAAATTACCAAAATCCTTTTAGCCATGTGTGTGTAATAAACGGCTTTGCATAGCGGATCATCCATTTGATATTTCCATAATGAATCCACAACTTTGTAAAGTCTTTGCAATATTGGAATTCGACCGCCTAAATAAATAAAAAAAAAAGTATTTAGAATGGGTTTTATTTACAGATTTTTAAGTGACTACCTCTTGCCATCCATTCAGCTTGTGTCCAAAGAACGCACGCCCACCATTCACAATGTAAATCAGTTTCCGAGTCTTCATCACTTTCAGCTTCACCACATCCGGGTTTCCTCTTCCTCTCTGCGATGACACCTCTCACGGCATTCTTAAAATATTCCACGGCTCCTTCTCCATAGTAAAATAATTGGGTGACGCCATTCCACATCATTTCGTACTTGTACTTGTTGACCAAGGTGGACACGGGGTCGGAGGAGGATATACAAGTTGTCAGCGGGGTGTGGGAATTTGTTGCTGGAAATTTTTAAAAAATTAGTTTAAGATTTTTTATATAAAAAAGCGTTAGAAATAATTTACTCACAATTCCTTTTAAGATTGTGTCTGAAGAATGATAATCCAACGTTGGAGTCCAATAACGGATGAAGATTTTTATGGCAACTTTGTGAATTTTTGATTTTAAACAACACTGATTTTAAGACTAATTTAGATTTAGTTAATAAAACAGCATTGATAACTAAATTCTGTCCTTCTTTGCTCTGAATACAATTAATTCCATACTTTAAACCTTGAAAACCACAATAATTGGCTAATTTTTCATTGTTTTTCAGTGAATAAATTTTCCCAAGTTCTACAAAACATTTCGCAATGATAAAATCCATAAAAATATCCGAATCTGATTTCTCCAAATCCATTGAAAAGAAGGAAAATTTCCATAATAAGAAAAAATTGTGGAATTTTAAAGCTAAATTACAACGTGGAATAAATTCATCAATGTCGTTCAAGATTATCTCAAAAGTTTCTTTGGATTTCGTGTTTAAAGCGGTTTTCAACTTTCCGTACTCCGTTTGTACGTATTTCTGAGAATATTTTGATTTTTTGAACTTTTTCTGCTGTTCTCGAGGTTTTCTTGAAAACAATTTATCCGATAAATACCAAATCAACATGAAAAATATCAAGTTGATAAAAACAGCGAAAATCCGTGGGGTCCAAATATCCGGTGATTTCATGGGTGTTGTTTCCGTTATTGAACGGGTCACGCGACTGTGCTCCGTTTCTAATTATTTTAATTAGTTAATCAATTGCTTTATTTTTATAATTAATTACAATAATTCCCTTTTATACCATGTTCGAAATGATGTGGATGATGAGTGCCAGGATTGATGAGGAATAACCCCGCAGCAATTGCAAACAGCGCAATCGGGCTCGATTTATTTTTGGCTGGTCCATTTTCTTCAGAATTATGGATAGAATTCGGTGTTGATGGATTAGAGGATTCTTGATCCGTCGGTGGTGGTGAATTATCCGTTAGCAATTCTCTTAAATCCGCATTAGAATTCGCAGCCGAGAAATTCCCAAAAATCGGAATTGGCAATTGTTCAACGCCACAACTATGGCATTTTTTCACTTGATTTAATATACTTTTCAAACTACGATTCTCTTTCTCAAATCTGGAATTTGAATTTTGCAAGTAACGAATCGTGTCAATTGCTGATCGTAAAATTGCAGCTTTATGAATTTTCTCCGTTTCCGATTTGTTGTTGGAGTTTCCATTGAAAACCAAAGATTTCAATTCGATAATTTTATCATTAATTGATGATCGATATCGACGTTCGATCGCGTTGTGGGAGGAACGACGAGAGGTTTGTTCTTTTTGCTTTGGACGCTTCGTCGAGTGGGAATTTGTGGATGAATTCGTCGTGGTGGATTGACCATCGTTGCTGCTGTTGCTGGAGAAACTATGGGAAGAAGCGAGGCGTTTCATTGGGAGTTTGTCCTGCTGGACGACGAGTTGTAATTGCGGAAGGAGAATCGTTTGACCATTGTTAAACACGGGCTGACAGAAACCAGCCGTGGAAAAACTGAAAATGTTCCCCGTCGTCGTGGTGGGGATTAGGTTGGAGGTGGTTGTTGGAGCGGGTGGAGTTGTCGTGGGTGGTGGCGGTGGTGGTGCTGGTTGGATGTATTGTGGGTGCGATGGTGGGGAGGTGGTGGCTGCGTGGAGATAAGTTGTGAAATAATAATTTTTTAAAAATTGTTTAAGGATAAATTACCTTTCCTCGATGTGGTCGTAGCTAAAGCCGTGAAGTTTGGGATGATAATTGACGACTGTTGTGGGAGCAGGATGGGTTTTATATCCTGCTGTTGTTGTTGGTGGTGAGTGTGGGGGTGGTCTGGCGGCGGGGAATCGATTGGATTGGGTAGAAATAGTTCAGATTTTATGTTCTGATGTTGGAAATTTGAAATAAATTGTTGCTGTCCGAAGTGGAACTGCTGGTTTTGTTGGGATAACGTGGGCTCCAGTTCTTTCCAGTCGTAATCCACGCCGAGAATGTCTGCAATTTATTTTAAAGAATTTATATTTTTTGGGGAATTGTTTATTTTAAAAGACAATTACCATCGAGGAGATCGATGTCGGGTGCAAAGTCGTCCATCATGAGGGTGTCGGTGAGCAGGTCGGTTTCTGAACCCACCACACCCCCAACACCTCCCTCCATTATGCTCATTTTTGCTAATTTCCTCAGCTGTGGAGTAGAAGTGGAGAGAGCAAATTTAGTTGTGCTTATTACTCGTCGGTGTAGTGGTGGTTTTTGCCTCGTATGATGAGATTCAGCCAATCAGGAGATGGAGTGGGTCGTCCATGGAGATTGTTTCCGGGGAGGATGATGGGGGGGGATTTTATTGTGGGTGTGGTGTTTTGGGGTTTGGGTTTTTTTGGGTGGTGACGAAATGTGTGGGTGATTATTTTATGGAAATATCCAATGTACGCAGTTTGTTGTTGCTTTTTGCGTGGTGTCACAATTCGATGTCGATTGTGGAATTTGATGATTTGTTGTGATTGATTTTGTTGAGGTGAAGTATTTAACTCTGGAGAGAGGAGTTGCTTTTCCAATGTTGATGGTCTGAAAATTTTGATGAAGGGACAGGACTTCGGGAGTGGTTTTTGGGCTGTGGAAATTTTCATATCAATCAAAACCTACAGTGCAGACTCCATATAGCCCGAGTCAGGGACAGAGTCCCTGACTCCGTGAGTCCTAGCTGTTTCTAAATTTTTCTCCGAATTGACCGACATAATATTACCACTTTGAACTTCCACAGCTATATTTGCTATCAAGAAGTGGTTTTTAGCCTTCGTATCAAATTTCAGATGGAAAAAATTAAACTTAAAAAATGGTATGGGTTACCCTCCAGGGTCACTCCATGGTTAAAATTCGCTCACTTTTAACTTCATATCCTTTCATGAGAAGCCATTAGGTATGACCTTGCCGGATTTAATGTTTTTAAAGTAATTTCTAAAAATCGGTATGGGTCACCCCATAGGGTCGCTCCTGATAAGAATTTTACCAATTCCAATTATTAAGACCCATTAGCAACCTCTCTACCAAATTTCAGCTTTTTATGACGATTTTGAAAAATCAGTATGGGTCATCCCATAGGGTCCCTCAAGATGAAAATTTTTCAAACTTAAAGTCATTTTTATCCACACGATAAGAAATGTAGCTTTGTTAGATAGATAGCTCGATTTGCCTCAACTAGAGGCGGTGCACCGCCCTTCCCAACACTTAACACCAGAGCACGTCCACACAGAAAAGTGTGCATCATATTACAGTACAACAAATGATCTGAACGAAAATCTTTCATTTTATGGGTTATAAGTTAAGGTGCATTTATGCTTCACGTCATCGTTACGTCCTCCTCCAAATCCGATTTTTTGATTGGTTAAAATTTTTAATTGTCGTAGTGATAATTTGGTTCAGCCAATCAAAAAATCGGATTTGAAGGAGGACGTGACGATGACGTGAAGCATAAACACCACTTTAATCATAATAGCGGAAATAAGTTTTCAATTTTTTCACGGCGGTCTCGAAAAACAAAAAAGTTGTTAATTTTTTTAAGTAAAATTGCAGTATAGCGGCCTAGTTCAGATTTGACTGAAATTTTTTGTGCGAATACCCTAAGGTCCCATATGCATAAAAATACCTTTTTTCGCGGCGGTTTCAAAATATAAAATTTCTAGAAATTTTTGAAATTTTATATAAAAATTATTTTTCTCTTAGATTTTCATGAAAATGGTTTTTGAAAAAGGAGAGCTAGCTAGTAGTGCTACCTAGGAGAGCTAGCTAGGAAAGCTAGCTAGGAGTGCTACCTAGGAGAGCTAGCTAGGAAAGCTAGCTAGGAGTGGTAGCTACTAGTGCTAGCTAGGAGAGCTAGCGAGTTGTGGTACCTAGGAAAGCTAGTTAGTAGTGCTACCTAGAAGAGCTAGCTAGTAGTGCTACCTAGAAGAGCTACCTAGGAGAGCTAGAAACTAGAAATCTCATCTTACCCCGAAAATCTGATTTTACCACAAAATATTCCTATCGTGGGGGAAACTGAGACAAAGTCTTGAAATTCTCTGGAACATACAAGAAAAATGTGTATACAAAATTTCAATAATTTATAACTTTTTTACTATTGAATGTTTTTCAAAAAATCCTTCATATTCTGATTCAGCATAGTTGAATTAGTCTATAAAATCTGAGGCAAAAAATAATTTTTATACAAAATTTCGAAGCTTTCTAGAAATTTTAATTTTCGAGACCGCCGCAAAAAAAAGTATTTTCTTGCTCAGGGGACCATAATAGATATTTACACAAAATATATCAGCCAAATCCGAGCTAGTCCACTGAAATAAATCCGAGCTAGGCCGTAATAATGCAATTTTACCAAAAATAATTTACAAAATTCACTCCCCAATCACTACAGAAAAGATTAAGAACTTGTTCAAAATAATAAATTAAAGAAGGTTGAAGTTTATTAATTATTTGGAACATTTGTTATAATTTATAATTAATTCTCTATTATAATTATTCGACTTGAGTAAACAAGAGGAGAGAAAAAGAGAACGAGAGTGGGCATGGATGAGTGTTCAAAAGTTGTTTTCCCACTTCCAAAAAGCATCCTCACGAAACGAGCAGTCTAAGGGAAGGTATATCTCTTGTCGTGTGATTTTTATCTATTAGGAGCCATTAGCAACCTCTGTACCCAATTTTAGCCTTCTACGACAATTTTGAAATTAGGTGCATAATACCCCACCCACTCCGATGACCCCCACCGGTCAACCACTTGACCGATTTCGCCCATCTTCGAACTCGTTTCCTAACTTTGTCCAATATGCATATGGTAAAAATTTCAAGTCAATCGGTTCAGCCGTTTTGGCTCTATCGTGCCGGACAGACGGACGGACGGACGGACGGACGGACGGACGGACATGACGGTTCCATAAGCCCTGACTAGGGCTAAAAATTGAAATGATGACCGTCTGAGTGACGTCTGGGTCAATTATTTATCCAACTTTCTCCCCAATTATTCGCCAGCAGACCCGTTGACTTGCCAACAATTTTCCCAGACAAGAAAAAACAGGCACAGACAGAAATTGGCGAGAGAAAAAAATCAGTCTGAAATTTTTTTTGCAGTGACAACATCTCCCTCTCCGATTTCCATTTCCTCTTGCGATTTTTTCCAAAATAACCACACCCACCTCTTCCCCCCCTTCTCCCTACACTAATCGTGTCCAGTTATCCCTTCTTTGTGCTTTTTTAGTCGGGAAAGTGGCGTCGCAGTCGTGAAATCGTGTTTTTTCCTCAATTTTCCATTGTCCTCCGGATTTTCCCTCAGTTCTCGAGACGAAAGTTCAGAAAATGCCCTCTCCGTTCGAAAATCCATCCATCGCTTCATTCAAGAAACTCGTCTCAATCGGGGGGAAGTCACGATGGTGGGACCATCAACCAGGAAATTACTCAAGCCACTGTCAACACAGGAGGTCAAACCAAAAGGTGAGGTATAAATTTTGCAGCCCGCAGGCTTATTTTTTATTTATTAATAATACTAATAATAAATTGTCTGTTATACAAGATATAAAAAAATGAGTACAAAAAAATTACATTTTTGCAATGTACAAAAAAAACTTGGTCAATTTTTTTAGTCTAAAATTAATTAGTGTTTTTTCCTGGTAGCACAGAACTAGACTCCGTTGAAAGTGGAATTGTTAGAGTTTTTTGTTGACACGTTGGAATGCTTTTAGCTGAACCACCTGTAGGGGAAAAATTAGAAAAATTAGTCGATAGTTTACGACAATTTGTTTGAAAACAGAAAACAACTCACCCGACACGATGGAACTCATGGAACCCGTACATTCCTTATTATTGGAAAAGACAGGAACGGGTGGGATTTTTTTATTGTTTTTATTTAAACTAGGTTCACTTAATGCTAATAATTTTTGATACGAATGTGGTGAATTTGATCCAAATTTAGCAATTCTACTCTCACTCGCAGTAGAACTGGTTGTTGATAAAGTTGGCGACGATGGTTTTTTCAGCGTTGTTTTTGTCACACTTCCGCCTCCACCACTATTTCCAATCTCGCAAACTAGTGACATTTCATGAAGTGCATTTTCATCCTCCAATATTTTTAAACGATGCAAATATGCTTTCACTTTTCGAATCATATTCATTTCTTCATGCATCTTTTTTGGATTGGGTTGACTCGAAGTAGAATGATGATGATGGTGGGTGGCGGAGGTGGGATGATTGGATTGATTGGTTTGCTTCCTCTTTTTTACCGTTCCTGATACAAATTTTCATAATCGTGTTAAAATTAATTCAAATAATATTCGAATCGAGTAAAATTTACCAAAAGTCAATTTCTTCCCGGTCGTCGTAGTGAGTGTTGATCTGCCCGAAGTATTATTTGCTAATTGATTCATAGCGGCCATACTTGCTAATCCAGAAGTGTCGAAGGGTGCAGCTGACATTTGAATCAGGGAACGAATTTCCTTTGAAACCATTCTCATCTTCTCGAAATTGATCATATCATCAATGTATGAAGAATTTCCTAAATCGATAAATGTCAAATCTTTCTTTACGACGGGATAAAATGGGATCATTGGCGTTTGAAATGACGAAGAGAGCAAGTTTCGATACTTTCCCATATTTCGTGATGGGTCCATCAAATCTTGGAGGTCCTAAAAAATTGTTAAGAGTTAAGAATTTATCCGTGGGAATTTATTAGTCACAATTTTCATACCTTAAATAATCTCAGATATTTCCCACTCATTTTGTCCCAAGTGGATTTTAATCTGGTGATAGCGGAATGTCCCAAACCACTAACGATGGCAAACATGGAGTTGAAATTTCGACATTCTCGACATTGCATTGCAACTTTAACAAATCGTTTTATAATTAAAACACGTTTCGTTATCGAAGTTTCCTTCACAATTTCTGTAACGACCCAAAACGTTTCTCGATTTACTAATTGTGCAAATTGGGATAAATTCGGTGTTCCATAATTTGAATTCAAGTCGAATAAATCGTCAATAAATTCCGTCATTTCGATTTGACGGAAGCAGGCGTAGTCCTAGAAAAAAATGTTGGAATTAGTTGAAATAATTATATTATTAAATTCCAAAAATTGTACCTCCAAAGTTAATTGCAGAGCCAATTCTGTAGGGTTCAGATTGAGTAAACCAACTTCGGATTCTTTAAATATCTCGGCGAGTAATTCATTTGGCACGAGTGGTTCCGTAGATTCCACTTTTTTAATATAGTATCTCGATCCCAATTGTAATCTCTCTGCTAAAGAGTCCAAATTATCCGGTAATCTCGTCTGTTTTAACATTAGCGTCGAATTCACAGAGTTGACTGAAACTTGAAATAGTGCATAATCACGGGATGAAGTGTTGCTCTCTTGAAATTCTTGCAACGCCAACATTACTACTTCACGAGAGGTCGTCTCTTTGTTTACTAACAAGTATTTGTTACTTTGATCCGGTCTGTTTTTGTAAGAAATTGGAAATTTAGACGGTATTCCTTAAAATTGTTTTTTAAAAATTCACCTGTAAATCCTCAAAACATTTTCAGGGAAATCGATCCTTGGCTGCATTTCCTCCTCTTCTGCAGCAGCAGGAGCTCTCGCCACTGTTTCGATAGTTTTCTTTGGCAATAAATTAATTTTTTGAAGTGCTTTCTTGAATCGATTGTGTTTGTTCAATGATTTATGTGGAACACGTGGTTTTGTTAATTGCTGTTTCGGAGTGCATACTGGTGGGATGAGTGGGGCAGATGAGTTTATGCATTCGTGGTAGCCTGGGAAAATTGTTAGTTAGTAAAAAATAAAAATAAATAACAGTTAAAATAAAGCGAGTACCTAAAAAATTGCACTTGAGAACGATGACGAGATGCGTAGCTCCTTTGAGGACATCGAAAGCTTTTGATAAATTGATACATCTGAAATTGATGTTGTTAACGGATAACAGTTCATCTCCAACCCGGACGCTGCTGTTGTTGCAATCTTCAATGTTTGACACAAAAATTCCGTATCCATTGTCAGCTCCTCCCATTATGTTAAACGGAAGTGGGTCGTCCCTTGATGGACGAGATATCGTCACTGTTCGTGGTCGAGATTTGGCACTACAAGCGATTTGTAAAAGTCTTAATTGACCCGACATTGTCTCCTTGGATTGTTCCAGAAGGGTGTGGAATCTGCAGGGAAATAATTTTATTTTAAAAATTCAAGTACAAAAATACATATTTGAAGACATCACCTTTGTAACAATTTCATGAGATTGAGATCCACTTCGAAATCGATGAAATGATTATTGACCCAAAGTAACATAACTCTCGTAACGCGATCCCTAATTCCAATATCACTAAAATTTAAGATAATTTTCTCTGCCAGTTCATGAAGATCCATAAAAATTCGTTGGGTTAGTAGAAAATCTTCCACAAAAGTTGGATCCACGGATCCATTTTCTTGTTTAAATAATTCATTAATTAATGCTGACTTTGTTCCTCGAATTACGATAAATGGCGAGAAATACGGAGTGTGATGAGATATTTGATGATGTGGATTTTGTTGCGGTGTATTATTTACTCGAGATTCATATACTAAAATTGGTTTCCCGTCTGAATCACGGATTATTTGTTGGTTATCAAGGCCCTGCGGTTTAAATATTAAGCATTAACTTCTTTTCATGGAATATTATTTTATTAAATAAGTTGCAAAAACCTGTTTCAAGATCCTAAAGTAATCTCCTTGAGTAACACAAACGAATTGGCAGTCATCGACCCTCGTCCTCATTAATCCAACAAAGTATTGCTTATCTAAAGTTGGTGGTAATCCGAAACTATCGCCCGCGCTGAGCACGGTAATTTGTTCCTGATCTTCTGATTGATTAGAAATGATAATTTCCACGCTTCCATTAACTAAAACACTCCAAGAGTCTAATTCTTCTCCATGACTGAGCACGATCGTCCCTGCTTTCTCCACGACGGCAAATACCATTGCAGCACATAGTGCTTTCCTCACAGTTAACGTTAAATCATTAAAGGCGGCGAGATGTTGGGTAAACTCCAGTAAAACTGCAATATCCGAATCATTCCGCTCACTGGGATCCTTTTCTAAACAATCTCGAACAGAGTCACGAATTGAAGACGTTTCTAAATTGGATAAATCTGAATATGCAAATGATTCCGAGTCTGAATCCGTTTCTGAACAATTCGAATCCGTGTCATCATCATCCACAACTGATTCTAATAATCCTGATAAATCGATACATGTGGAATTCGTGGCAGAACGGTGGTTTTGATGTGAATTGGAATTGGAGGAGCTCAACATTGTATCAGATCCTGTGTATTTCATCAAGATTTCTTTGTAATGATTTATTTGATGATTATTCTAGTGAAGAAATGATTTACCTGAATAAGCGGAAGAAGTATCATCAGAAGAATGGATAGAATTCCGATTTGATAACGGAATATGTTCAGATTGTAATTGATTATCAAAATAATCTATACAAATCATTTCCGAAGGTTCAAGAATTAAGCATTCATTTGGTCGACGAGTTAAATGATTGTGAGTGGATTGATGTTGTGGGCGGCGTCCGAAACTGTGTGATAGCGATGCAAATTAATTAATACATTGTCAACAAACAACAATGAATGAATAAATTAATCACCTCGTAATTGGTAGAAACATTGATCCATCGATAAAGACAGATCCACTGATTAAAATAAACCACGCATGTGCAATTTCCCCACGACAATATAAAATGTCATTCGCTTGCTTTCTTAAATAATAACAATTTTTCGAACATATCGAATATATGAAATTGTCATCAAATCTATCCAGACATGTGAAAGATCTGTAAAAAATTATGAATTTAACATTTATTTTAATTAATTTCAATTATTATTATTTTCTTTTACTCTTACCTGAGAGTAAAATATAAAGTTTGAACATCATGATGTGATCTTCTTTCCGGTTCTTTTTTCAAAGAACGCAGAAAATCACTCATTTCTGATTCAGAACACGGATCCATTTTTTGTATTTTATTTAAATTATCAAGATTGAATATATTTAAATTTAGACATTTTTTTGGAATATAGTGGAGACGATTTTGTGTTTGTTTATTATGTTAGTTTTAGTCGAGTTGTTGCAGGGTATTCACAATTCGTGGATATATGTACGAGAGAGATAGAGTTCAGTCACACCTATATAGCTATAGAAGGTGGTGGGTAGTGTTATCTCTTCTCAGGGGGATCTTCCACGGATTTGGTTCATTAATTTGCCAGTGGGGTTGGAGATGACAGATTTTATGAATAAAATTGATGGATGCCCTTTTCTTTTATTCACACACAGAATTATTATGTGCACAGGATGAAGTTACTTCCTCCTTTCCATATCGATGATGATGATGAAAAAACGTATCGAATTTAAACAACAGATGGTGCTTGATTTTTATTAAAATGAAAATTAATTTAACGCCACTCGAATTTCCTGACAAAGTCGACTTCCAAATTATTTTTCGCCCATCCAGCGCTCTCATCAGGGTGAAAGGGTTCCTGTGGAGATACATACATTTTTTAGAATACAATTTCCAATTTTTTCTATGCAACCTATAATTTTTGAAATAAAATTAATAAACTCACCCCACCGAAAAAGTTACCTCCCACGGCGAGGTTAAGAATCATATAAAAGTGCCTGTCGAAGGGGGACCTTAAAAGATAAAGACAAATATTTTTAAAAAATGAGCAAACTTTCGCAATTTCGCAATTATAAAATAAGCATAAGCAACTGACCCATTTGCGCCATATAGGCCAGGCCAGAAATTTCTTTGCAAAGTCTCTGTGTGATAAACTTGGTCATCTAATATCCATTGAATCTGATCTGGACTCCAATCCAATCCAAATGTGTGCCAATCCAAGGAGAAGTCGTAGGGGAAGTCACGATCGCCCGTTCCGGCTTGTCCCTATTTTTTTGCATGAAAATTAGTCCATAGTAAAAAATGGAGGAATTTGATTAATTAATACCTTGTTGTCCCAACTGGGTCCGAAATGTAAGGTTCCCATAATTTGTTGTGGTCGTTGACCGCGGTACTCTGTGATATCAATTTCTCCAGAACGTGGCCAACCACCATACTCCGAAGCTGCGGGCATCATCCAGATTGCTGGCCAGAGATGTTTTCCTGTTTTTTATATTAAACAAGAAATGTAGAATTTTCAAGGAAATTATCAATGAAATGATTTCTAACTAACCTTTCGGCATTCTTGCTCTAATTTCGAATTTTCCATGTAACCAATTTGCTCGAGATGTCATTCTTGAACTGGTAAATTCTTTGTCGGGATTGACACCATCGCCTGAGAAATATATATTTTTTTAGAATAAAATTTCCTATTTTTTCTATGCAATCTATAATTTGTTAAATAAATTAGCAAACTCACCCCACCATTCTCTCCTCGCTTCGATGATTAATCTTCCATTTTCTTGGCGTGCATTTTCACCACGGTTGTTTGTATAACATTGCAATTCGTTATTTCCCCAGCCAGAACATCCCAGTTCGAAATTCCAACGATCTGCTAAATTTCCACCGTCAAATTCATCCTGCCAAACGAGGACCCATTCTCCAGCTGCTATGGAAATTAATCCAAGCAATAAAATTTGTCGCAGCATTTTGTTAACGTTAACACTGAACCAATTAACGGTGTCAATGAGTCATGTGCATCGTGGTTTATATATACCAAGAATTTTATCTTTTTGATTGATTGCTACATAAGAGATGAGTGCAAAGGGATTATTTTTAAGTGTAATTGTCATGGGGACGTTCAGGTAGTAATTTATCATGATTAAATCACGTGAAGATAATCGCAATTTATTGATTTGTGTCAGTTTTATCAATTTATTACAAATATTTATTTCAATATCGTAATTACAAATGGAACCAAAATAATAATTATTCCACCACCTCTTCACTTGCCTCAACGAATTCATCATCATCCGAATTATCATCCAAGCATTCCACGCCCTCTTCAACCTCGACCCCTTCATCACAGTCCAACCGCACGCCTCCAAACTGCACAGATAACTCGTTTTCTTCAATCGCATCCAATAGTGCAGGCTGCCATTCATCCATTGAAGTTCCGAGCACCTGTTTTTTTAAAAATAAGATTATGTCTGCATGACAAAAATTAGAAAAAATTAGAAAAATCAACCTTAATTTTATTAAAAGTTTTCTCAGCCAAAGCTCCCTTGACCAAGTTGAGCAGCATTCCAATAGCACTGGTGCAGTTTATGAGAAAACAGGAGCTGAGCGTCTCAGGGTAGTTTGCCTCATATTCGGATAACATGGACAATCCCAGTTGGACGGCTGTAAAATTATTTTTTTTAATAGATTTTTTTCTCATGCAGAAATATCCATGAAAAAATAACTGACCATAAACATTGAGTAAAGTCATGAACGAAAATCCAGCCATGTCGATGATGATGACAAATTGTGTAATTCTCGAATCAGGATTTTTTTGATCCGCTTCTTTAATCGCATTCATGAGTAATTCACATCCTTGAAATGTATATTCTCGAAATTCAGTCGTTACTTCGGGGGTTGAGACGGTGTAGGCGGCGTCCCACAAGCCAAACGGGATCGTGGTCACTAATTTATTTCACACTTTTTTGATTTTTAACAGTAAATTTTTAATACTAATTTTCAACTCACCAGGTCGACCCTCTTTATCATGACCTTCTAATTTTCTTGGGAATTTCTCAGTAAAAATTGGATTAATTTCTTTCGTTGGTAATGACGAGATGGAATTTGTACTTCGCCAGGTTATTGACTATACGGATTTTGTAAAAATTAGTTTGTGAATTAATTACTTTCAATGTCGGGCTTACATTTTTCAACATTTCTTCTGCCAATTGAAGGTCGTTGTTTCGAGCTGTTTAAAAAATGTATAAATTTTATGCAGTGATTTTTTATTAGTCTCGGCATTGAAATACCTCGTATCCATCGCACAAGAAAAGCATCATCTTGAGATTCAGTGGGTGTTAAAAGGGAGGAAGTTGATGTCCGGAGCTATTTTTTAGATGAAAATTAGTCACTTTTTTTAGAAGAACTTTAAAAAAATGAATGAAAAACTTACCTGCTCCACCAATTCTAATTCTTCTTCTGTTAAAGACATTTTTTTTAAATCTACGATTTTAATTTTCTAAAGAGAAATATATCTCAACTACGGAATAAATACAGATGATGATTCACCAAAATTACCATCATGACTACTGTTGCATAGCCGTAGGGTATGGATGTAGAGCTGTTTTTTATACACTCGACGAGTTTTTTAGTAACAAGTGTGTGCAGCCGAGTATGAATTTCCATGCTTAAATAAATACCAATTTTCTGAGTAACTAAAAAACATACTTTCAGCCAATTAAAAATAATTTATTTTGTATTTTTTCAATCCAATTTTTGTTCAAATTAAAAAAAAGCTGTAAATTTTTTTAAAATTGAAAAATTTAATGGACGAGGACACCATGGTGGGCAGTTCGGGTCAGGACTGGTGCGGCGTGAACGACTGGGACGGCATGGTGGACAACGGGAGCGGCGTGGACGACCTGATAAAATGGAAAATAATTAGTACAAAAAAATTAGTGTAAAAAATTAGGCTTGAGAAATTACTGGGACGGCGATTTTGGCAGCTGGTGCTCTGTAGTTGAAGGATGAGGAGTGGGCAACTGGAACGACGGCACGTGCGACTGGGACGGCGTGCACCACGGGGGCAGCGTGGACAACGGGGACGGCTGCGGTGTGAACGACTGGTCCAGCAGTCAAGACACCAGCGGAGGCAGCGGCGACGAGAGCGAGGAGGATGACCTATGAAAGAAATTTTTCCTTTACTTTTGTTTCTATGGAAATAATTTTACAAAAATAATTGTTTCTTTGGAAACGTACGGCTTGCATGTTGAAGTTTGGTTTTGTTGTGGATTTGTAGTGTGGTTGATAAGATGAGCTGAAAGTGTTTGATAATTTAATCAAGAATTTGTTGCCCTTTTATATGCGATCCTCTATTAATAAATAAGATATTAATTCGTACTGTGTTGTACATATTGCCATGACAACAATAGGAAGGAAGAAAAGTTTTACTACACGTTGACCATGGCTTTGTCTCGTTTACTTCTCAATAAGAAGAGTATGGTGGATATAGCGAGTGGTTGCTGATGGCTCCTTGAGACTTGATGCGTCGAGAGGAGGAAGAAGACGTTGTTGGCTTCGTAACAAGGTTGCATATTTTTTTATTTATTGCCTTAGATAAGTCTGTCATTTGTGGATTACCTTGTTTTTTTTATTCTTCACCTTTCCAGCATCCATGGCATTGGGTTGTTTTTTTTCTGGCTAGCTATTTTTTTGAGGTGTCAGTGGTGGGTTTTGGGATTTTAGGGGTGGTTCAATTTGGGGATGCTACCAGGAATTATTCCGCAGTGATGGATTAGTAAGTGGAGAGGAAGGTTAAACATGGGTTTGCAGGTCAAGTTTTTTTATAATATCCACGAGTACAAATTAAATTGTTTAATGTATAATGTACCAAAGGAATTTTGTAAAAGTTGGGTTTGTCCTCTCGATTTCGACTGTCAACTGTTTACGTACTTTGAGAAATTATACTCTGAAAGCAAAGTTGGAGCAAAATAGTTCAAGATTTTTTAAACTGCAGCATCAACTTAATTAATAGCATTCTTTAAAGTTTACAGTAACTGCACAAGGATTTAGTTTAATTAAAAAATTAGCAGCTCATGAATCAATCATCCTAGAGTGATGATTTTGGGTGTAAAATGTGTCCAGATAAATAACGGAGTCATCCACGAGGGTCTGCATTATGATATTAACATCCAAACCCAGACAACTTTAAAGCTATTAAAAGTTTAATGCCCAGTTGACGGTACTGCATTGAACTCATGGGGATGAATAAATCTGATGATGAGCTTTTCATCAAAGTAATTATGGGCAGGGCTTCCTTCAACTAATCTTAAGAGCTAAGTCTACCTGCGCTTCCATTTTCTTCGTGTATATTCCCGACTTATTTTTACTTTCCGATGTTTGTTTGGTTCTTGGGGGTTATGACTATCGCGAGTAATCACTGTAATGATTGAAATATACGTCCTTTTCCTTCACATTCATTTTTAAACTGAAAAATGCTTTTAAATTCGAATAATTTTGATATGTTCGTGGTTAGTGAGTCTACCACGAGTAATTTCAAAATTACACTGATTACTCGTGGTAGCTACACTTATCTATATTATAAGAGGGAATGTCTGTTGGCAACGGAAGTGAAAGTAAATTTTTCCGTGCAGGAATTCTGTTCGCAGCGGAAGTGAAAGTAATGTTTTGAATGGCGCAAAAATTCGAAATAAAATAAATTCAATTCAAAACATGTTTCAAAAGTTGGAGGAGGGGTGTCATATGTTTTAAAAGGGTGATTATCTAATGGTGGTTATCTGACAGTAATCGTCTTTGTGTGATTGTCTAAGGGTGGGGGTCCGTCAGGGGTTATCTTTGATGTGCGCGATTATCTTAAATTGGGGGAAGTTATCTGTGGGTGGAGTTATCAGAAGGTGGTTATCTTGGTGGGTAGTTATCTTGGTGGGTGGTTATCTTGAAGGATGATTATCTTGAAGGATGATTATCTTGATGAATGGTTATCCTGGTGGGTGGTTATCTTGGTGGGTGGTTATCTTGGTGGGTGGTTATCCTGGTAGGTGGTTATCTTGGTGGGTGGTTACCTTGGTGGGTGGTTATCTTGGTGGGTGGTTATCTTGGTGGGTGGCTATCTTGATCGATGGTTATCTTGGTAGTAGTTATGTATCTATGGGTGGCCATTCTGGTTATCTGTGGTTGGTTAAGTGTTATCCGAAAATTGGTTATCAAGCTCTTGCATATGATCTTGCACTTCGTAGTTTCAAGTTGAAGTGCAAGTCGAAGTGCAAGACCAAGTGCAGGATGAAGTGCAATTGCATTTCACCTCATCTTGCACTTCGACTCTTGCACTTCGTAGTTTCAAGTCGAAGTGCAAGATGAGGTGCAGGATGAGGTGCAATTGCATTTCAAGTCATCTTGCATATACTCTTGCAATTCAAGTTAAGCAGGGGAAGATAAGATGTATTGCAAGAATCGACTTCAATGCAATAGCAAATGGGCTTGCCTGTCGTCTTGCATTTCAAGTTAAAGATGCCACGACAAGATGTATTGCAAAAAACGACTTGAAATGCAGTAATAAGTCGTCTAGGTATACGACCGGCATTTCAACATGACGACAGGTTGGTGGCGTATGTACTGACTTGCTGCAATTATTGGGCTGCTACGCTTACTGGACTGTAGCGTTTTATGGGCTAATGGGTTTAATGGTGCGTTGACTGGGCTGATGGGTTGGCTGGTGCGTTTACTGGGCTGATGGGTTGGCTGGTGCGTTTACTGGGCTGATGGGTTGGCTGGTGCGTTTACTGGGCTGATGGGTTGGCTGGTGCGTTTACTGGGCTGATGGGTTGGCTGGTGCGTTTAATATGCTGAGGGTTTACTGGACTGGTGCGTTTTCTGGGGTGATGGGTTTACTTGGCTGAAGGGTTTGCTGAGCTGGTGGGTTTACTAGGATGGTACAGTTATGTAATGGGAGAGTATAAAAGTTCCTTTGGACATGCGCCAATTTTAGCACTTCCCGATTACCACCACCAATCACTATCATGATTCTTTCTAGCTAATTACGCAATTTATCTTAATTTAATTTACTCCCGTTGCGGACAGGCATTCAAAGTGTGAAATTTATCGCCCGGCGAAGACGGGCTTATTAGCTAGTAATGTTATAACTCATGTTCATAAAATGAATACAAATTGAAGAAAGTGTTGCATGAGCATGAGTTGAAGCGCCCAGTAGGGCAAGATTTTATGCACAAATTGCATGGAAATTTTTGCTTTGTTTTTGCTGCTAAGAATGCTTTGATCTGACTCTTAAGGTGCCATTATGTGACCCGCTCCCAAGTTTACTTTCTCCACTAATTTAAAAAGCATGCATGAATTTCAAACCCAATCATATTTTTCCAAATTGCATTGGTTTTTTAAATCAAAATTTATAGATACCTTTACAAAGTTATAGGGATCATAAATTTCTTAAGGTTTCTTGACGTTAAAACAGCTCTCAGGAGGAAAGCTTAACTCACATAGAATCTAAATATCAAACTTTATGGCTTAATATTTGACACTCAGATTTTGATGCTTTTTTGATATGTTGTAGTACCCAAGTGTTTTAATTCCGTAGCCACATTTGCGCCCGGCACACCGTCCACACTCGGGTTAATTGAGGGTCGGATTTACCATCCCTATATCAGAGTAAAGAGCAAAAAAAGTGACAGTGTTTAATTAAATATATCCTACATGTACCAATGTATGTATAACATAACATCCCGAAATCTAATTTTGTACGCAACTACTTTTCGTCGACAGCGTATAGTGTTGATTCTTTTCCGAAGCACGTAGTAAAATATAAATTGATTTATGCATTGAAATACATACATAAATCTATTTGTCATATGAAATAATTTTAAAAAAACATCGATACCAACCCTTCAAATAATAGTAACATGGCTCATATAAATTCCCCAATTGACAGGCAGAATTTTATCATAATTGAGCTCCCATGGGATTATGTGTGAGATGATTGTTTTAATCGAAATAAAACATCGAGTGTTCCAGATAAGCATGATCGCGGATAAAAAAAATGCACCCAAGTTGAAACTTTAAGCTGCGTTTATACTTAATGGGGAGGCTATTAATGAGCCCTGAGAATATCTTAAATCATCAGGTAAAAATGTCTTAATTTTGCTTATCTTAATTTGCCCTGAGTTTAGGAAAAGGTAGCCTATCGGATATCTTATTGAGCCATGATTAAATTTACAGTTGATTAGATATTGAATCCTGCCAACGAAATGGGAAGAGTTTAATAAATAAGTGATAGTCTGAGGGGATAACCCTTCACCGTTTTTGATGCCCTTTGGATATGTTGTAGTACTAGGTGAGGCTAGCAAAAGTTTAGTTCATGGCTCCATTTGCGCCCGCCACACCCACTCAAAGGTGCGAAAAACACGGCAACATGTCCTATTTTTCTTCATTATCATTAAAATTGATGTCGGATACGATTGAACAACTATTAATATCTAGGATCAAAGTAGTGCCAAAATTATCAAAATATCATAACAAATTGATTTTTGGTGAATTTGTTAATGCTAACGGTGTGGCATGGTATTCGAATACTTTGAAAGTTATCAGATGAATATATTCCTCTGATAACTTTGGAAGAAGGAAGGACATTGATTCCTGATGATCTGGAGCAGTCTCATACCATTGGTCAACATGTGGATTAAAAAAAGAATTCAGATGTTTTTTGTTATCGAGAAGGTTGCTTGAGCTGACATCAAACACAATTGTGACAACGAGAATTATGCCAAACAAATAATGAGATTAACCATAATACGCAAAAATTTCATGGTTAAAGACGAACAAAGGCGATCCCAATTGGTGAGAAGCGACAAAAGGTTGATCAGCAAAAGCCAAGTAGGCATAATTGGCTGATTGAGTTATTTTTGATTTGTAAATATGTCCGTTTCTACGTTTTATATTTATAAATTACCGATTTTTTTACCGGGCTGTATTAAGACATTTCGGCATTTTAAAATTTTAAACCCAGGGTAAATTAAGATAAGCTAAATTAAGACATTTTTACCAGACGATTTAAGATAATCTCAGGGCCCATTAAATTTTACCCTACTTAATGCGGGTTTTGAATTTACATTTTCCCTTGCCTCCTTCAATTTATTCAAATGGCGATTTTGAAAGTTTCAAAATTTTAATTTCTTAAGAGACGCATGAACAGGTTTCAATTTGAAACATGTTCGTCCGTGAAATTTTGTTGTATCTAAAATCGATCATTTTTAGGTTTATAAAGTTAGAACTTTGACTTTTTCAAAAATCTTTCCGAATTGAAAAATCCTATGAACAAAGTATAAAGCTGAATCGGTTTGCATTTAATTTTGCATGCGAGTTTTTACGATTATATGCCAAATACTTGGCTAAATAGCATATAGCAATAAGAACTGTATTTAGATTCGTGTCACTAAATCCATGCATAATTTCGGTCATCGATTATTAAATAATCTCGACGTTATCTCCAACATGACACATGAAATTAAATTATTGCGAAAATGTACTGAATTTCCTGGTATTAGCTAGATTGATCTATCTTAATTTCACTTAATTAATTTCAATTCACGTCATGTACATGGAATTTACCTTTGTTATCTGACAAGGGACACTTACGACCTGTCGTTTGAGTCCAGGGTACCCACTATGTTTTTTAGAATCTACTAGGAACCCAGATGAAGGAATCCTTCATATTTCCGTGTAAAACTCATATTTGGCGTCGTGTCGTAGCGCCAAATTCGCCAAATTTGAATGTTTTTATTCTTGAAACCGCCATAACTGTCGAAATCTTGGACGGATTTTCAAAATTTTTGGCAAAAATCATGATAAGGAGTTCAGCTTTCATATCCCATGAATTTTTTTCCAAAATTATCGCTTTTAACTTTTCGCAAAATTTCGTAATTTTCTTAGAAATGGGTGTTCGTCAAAAAAATGCTAAAAATATTTCAAAAATTAGAAATTTTGTATTTTTAGTTTTTTCTCAAAAATTTCGACTTTTGTGATCATTTTAACCATAAAATTTTGAAAATCCGACATAAACTGCAAAAGTTATGGGGTTTTGAAATTGGTCGAAAATGCAAATTTTTAGGTTTGGCGCCACGCCATGGCGACAAATATGAGTTTTACACGGAAATATGAATGAATCCTTCATCTGGGGTCCTAGTAGATTCTTAAAAACAAAGTGGGTACCCTGGACTCAAACGACAGGTCGTGAGTGTCCCTTGTGAGTATTACGTGATACGATCAACCAATACTTTTCCATCAAACATAGGATGCATTTTGTACATTGTGACCTAAGAGACCTGTTTTAATGTAGACCTGAAAAATCGAAATCTACTTTTGAAATGTCAAAAAACGAATTATGAGCTGGTATGTAACGCATCGTAACGTAATTTTGGAAACAAATCTAGCAATTCAAACTCGTGAATATCTAAGTGTTATCAGAAAACATGGTCGCCTAAATTTATGGCAACTAGGACAGATGCATATCTGTTTGCTTATTTAACACTCCAAGGTCTGCATGCATTAGTCATGATTACGCACAAGAATCGGTTTTATCTATTGACCGGTATAAATTGGTTGGGTTTATAAAATATCCGATCAGTCCTTATTTGTCAGTTGCCTTTTTGGTTTCAATAGTGAAGATTTTAATAGCATTTTCCTAAACATGGGGCGCTTTGAGATTTTTGTGTTTTTTGTTGCACTTACAACGTTCGTTTCATCGCAAGATTTTCGTGAGCAATTTGGAACAGATTCCGAGTTGTCCTGGACAATTGACGAAACAAAAATCGTGTTTACGGCAAAAGTTAAGGGGACTGGATGGGTGGGGCTTGGTCTTAATGACAAAGAACCTTGGACTGGGACGGAGGTTATGATTGGGGGGTGGGATGCAATGCCTCGACCCACAACTACGACCAGGCCAACTACTGCACCACCAACTACGCCAACAACCCAACCACCAACTACGGTAACAACCCAATCACCAACTACGGTAACAACCCAACCACCAACTACGGTAACAACTCAACCACCAACTACGGTAACAACCCAACCACCAACTACGGTAACAACTCAACCACCAACTACGGTAACAACTCAACCACCAACTACGGTAACAACCCAACCACCAACTACGGTAACAACTCAACCACCAACTACGGTAACAACCCAACCACCAACTACGGTAACAACTCAACCACCAACTACGGTAACAACTCAACCACCAACTACGGTAACAACCCAACCACCAACTACGGTAACAACTCAACCACCAACTACGGTAACAACCCAACCACCAACTACGGTAACAACCCAACCACCAACTACGGTAACAACTCAACCACCAACTACGGTAACAACTCAACCACCAACTACGGTAACAACTCAACCACCAACTACGGTAACAACTCAACCACCAACTACGGTAACAACTCAACCACCAACTACGGTAACAACCCAACCATCAACTACGGTAACAACCCAACCACCAACTACGGTAACAACCCAACCACCAACTACGGTAACAACCCAACCACCAACTACGGTAACAACTCAACCACCAACTACGGTAACAACTCAACCACCAACTACGATAACAACTCAACCGCCAACTACAACTGCTGGGAAATTCAGAATCCTCCCCCTCCCCCTTCAAAATCCTCGAGGGGAATACTATGAAAAACGTATCGGAAGTGAAGGAACGGATGGCCTTGGCGGCACCTACACCGGCAGCGCCTGGACCTTTGTTAGTGCAAGTGAGACCGAGGAGAACGAAGAATTTTACACATACGTTCAATGGGAACGTCTCCTCGAGACCAATTCTGAGACGGACATCAAAATTGTTGATGTAATTTAATTATTAAAAATTAACAACTAATGTTTGTTAATAAATTACGTAATGATTTTTTCTCACAGGGGCAACGGACCTACGTTTATGTCGGATATGGAAATAATGACGACTCTCCAACGACTACCTTTACAAATTCATTATGGAAATCCATTAATTTAAGGAATCCTAGTAATTCAGCCATGGGAATTAGAGCAGGATGGATAGGAATGATTTCTGTGATGCTAGTTGTATTGTTTGGGAGAATGTAATTTTTTAATAAATATATTTGATAAAAATGTGGAGTTGATTATTTAAGCCATGTGAATTTTATTAACCGCAAATTATTATTTCCTTAATTGTATCATTTATCCTTGTGCGTTCATCGGATAAAAGTCGACTAAAAGTTAACCCCTTCTCAGCAAGTGCATGAATAGAAGCGTCGATTATGCAAATGTGGGGTAGTTATGTCGAAATCGATTTGAGTATGACATGTATTTCCGAAGCCTAACATCCGAAAATTTATTGCGTAACATCTCATTTGATAGATTTCTTAAAGAGTTAAGAAATCTATAGCGATTTTGCTTTGAATTTGGTTTCCATGGCAAAATCGCATGCAATTCCCGAACTTTTAATTTTTTTGAAAAAAATTCATCCTTGCATCACCCCCTTAGGAGAAACCACGGACAACAAAAAAGTTTATGCACCCTGGGATTCGTCAGTTCGGATGATGCGTTCTTTAGCTGGCGTTTTTTCATCTAAGTTGGTATTTCTCCAAATTTCAGACGACCAATGTTCTTTTTCTTCTAAGGTGAGTTAAAATAAACAAGGTCCCAAAAAGTGGGAAATCTTAGTCAGGTAGTGCAATTACAGTTAATAAATAAATTTAGATTGCAGAATTTTTGCATTGATAGTAATTTATTCAGAAAATCGACGCTCTGACAAGCCAGGAAAACATTCAGACCCAAACCCAAAGAGTGAACGTTGCTAAAATATGTCAGCTACATGTTAGTTAAGCCATCAACAACAAACTTCAAATAGAGGTCAAAAGGGCCAAAGTTCACACGAAAACAAACTTTACTACGAAAATCTCCGGGAAAACGACACAGTATGCAGCCGAGATGTTAGGGATTTCAATCATTCCTACAGAATGTAATTCCCAGATACCTTTGACAAGTCCTGATGCCACTCCTTTAGATGTTTAATGGGTTTAGACCAGTGATGGGATTTTTGCCCCTCGTCCTCATTTTTGAGTGAGGGGGAGGAGTAAAGAGGGGGAGTAGCTAGTGTTTTTGCTCCAAAATGAGGGGAGAGGAGGGGAGGACTAAAAATTTGAGGAATTAGTGAGGAGAGGGGAGGACGAGGATTAAAAATTTGAGGAGTTAGTGAGGGGAGGGGAGGAGGAGGACTAAAAATTTGAGGAATTAGTGAGGAGAGGGGAGGACGAGGAGTAGAAATTTGAGGAGTCGATGAGGGGATAAGAGGACGAGGAGTAATTTACTCCTCGTCCTCTTTACTCCTCTTCGAGTAAAAGGAGGGAGTAAGACACAGATAGATATATACTACTGTCCGCTCTGTGACTGTCCGTCTATCTGTCTGCCTTTATCCACGATAACTTTAGAACGGATTCAAATTTCGCTATGCGGTTTTCGCGACGTGTTTCTAATTTTGAAGTACGGATGAGTTCGAAGGTGTGCGTCGTAGGTCATAAAGTCACGGCGCTACGGTGATGACATAAACGGTCTAAGATGTCGAATTTTTTATTTTGACCGTTTTAGACTTATTTTTAGACGGGGATTTCAAAAATCGCCATCATTTCGACGTGCGACGATACCATGACCGTGTAGATGTCGCCAAAGTCGAAAATTGTTGAATTTTTCGTCTCGACCGTTTTAGACGTAGATTTGAGCGGGGATTTCAAAAATCAACGGTTTTGTCATCTCACGACCCTGTGAGGAGTAGAAATTTGAGGAACTGGTAAAGGGAGAGGAGGGTGAGGACTAAAAATTTGAGGAGTTAGTGAGGGGAGGAGAGGAGGAGGACTACAAATTTGAGGAGTTAATGAGGGGAGGAGAGGAGGAGGACTAAAAATTTGAGGAATGGGTGAGGGGAGGGGAGGATGAGGACTTAAAATTTGAGGAATTGGTGAGGGGAGGGGAGGGTGAGGACTTAAAATTTGAGGAATTGGTGAGGGGAGGGGAGGGTGAGGAGCTGATCAAAAGTCCCAACTCTGGTTTAGACTACTAGAACAATAGATTTTTCTCTGACGAGCTGCAACTTTTTTTTGGTGTTTTGGAAAATTCTTCTGAAGAAGAATACCCTCGGAAATATAGGAAAACTAATGAATTCGTGGAAACGGCGATATAGGCATAGGCTGGCTAGCCAAAGGTCGGGGGAACACATTGAAATAAACGAAACAAATTCATCAACACCGACTGAAGTTTTAAGCCAGTTTTAAACCTATGCAGATATGATATGTGTGGTCCTCTCCAGGAATAAGATCAAACACCTTCAAAATTTCTCAAATTTCAATCGACGAAAAAAGATTAATCCAAAAATTACCCAAATGTTTTCCATAATTAAAATATAATCAGTATTATTCACGTTTTATTGTTTAGTATTAGTAGCTGGCACATCATAATTTTCATCGTAATAATAATATTCATCTTCCTTAGCTCCTGCTGCCGTGGTAACGGCTGGTTTGGGCGTGGTCGTCGTTGTCGTCGTGGGAGCGGGTGTGGTCGTCGGTCTAAAAAAATAATTATTATAAAATAATTATCATAATTAATAAAATACTTATTTCATTTCCGAAATAAAAACCTTTGCAATTTTTGCTGTTGCTGTTGTGGTCGTTGTTGTTGCTGTGGCGATTGTTGTTTCGGTCTCAGTTGTTGTTGCTGCTGTTTAGGTTTAAAAGTTTGTTGTTCCTGTTCTTGATCAACTTGTTGATTATTTTGTTGTTGTTTTTGAACGTGGATTTTTTTCCTTAGCGTTGGTTTGTTAGTTGCTGTTTTATAACTTCCATCGTCACCCCCGAGCAAAAGTTGACCCTTGGTTTTACCCTTTAATTCGTCTCCATAGTAATTTTCACATCCATCAACTCCAGTGGGATCTATAAGATAAATCTTTTAAATAAATAACTAAATTTTAAAAATAAAATCAAAACTCTGACCTTCGCACTGCCCGGAATAATCATCTCCCCCGATTTTGAACACTGTTCCAATGGGGCAACCATATTCGCGTGGGTTGCCATCGAGACAAACATAATATTTCCTACAGTCCTCAGGGTGAGCGTGACGGGAAAAGGTTCCTGGATTTGGATTATCTTTGGGATTTGGACATTGGAAGCCTCCCTCGCTTTCTGTTAATTTTTTAGCATTTTTTAAATAAAAATTTTTGTTTTAAACAGAAAACCAAAACCCTTACGAGAAACTTTGCACCCTGGAACTTGATCGGCCCACATGCAAACTCGAGCATCGGCGTCATACGCCAAACCAGGTGCGCACGTGTAGCGGCTGGCTTCTCCATTCCAGCAGGACCAGAAAGTATCACATCGCGTCTCATCGTGGAAAATGCCATACAATCGTGGACAATTTGCACTGGATTGCGGTGGTTCCAGCTCGGAACGATCCCCGCAATCAACGTTGTGCAAATAATCACAATTTTCAGCTAAAAACTTTGGATCCGAATCCTCAAATCCTAAACCGTTCCCACAGGTTTTCAAGGTTGCTATGGAATTTTCACATTTGTAATATTTGTCACAGGAACGGGGATGCGGGTAGAATCCGTACTCGTGGGGACAGGTGAATTTTGTGGGGGGTGAGGATTGGGGGGTGCCTGTAATAGTGAGTAATAAAATCAGCCGTCACTTTCCACATCATGTTAAACACGTCTTTAAACATGAGTTAATAAACTAAATAAATCAGTGTAGGTGAAACCCCACCCAATAAATCCACTAGGCTAATAATAATAATGAAAATTTAGAGAAAGTAAGCGTTAAAAAATCGATAAGATCTTATCTCAAAACCAAATCTAAATGCATAACAAAAAAATCCATTCATCCGTTCAATCTGCATCTGCACCACAACAATCAAAGTAACCACAGCAACGCTCCTACTATAACGTGGTACAAAAAGTGATTGTAAATATTGCGCAATAGAAAAAAACGCTTTATAATTTTGGTCACTCACTAAAAATTGGTGCAATAGAAACGAGTCGTAGTAGTGGTTGTTGGCATGGCAACTTGTGAATACATAAACTGGTTGCTTAATGAAGCGTATAATATTTGATTATGTAATGTTTTAATTAAAATGCCAAGATTGATGTCAAGCTTCCTGAATTTTTCTTATATGCATAACTTTAAATTCCCCAAAGTTGCCATGACTCCAGCCACGAGAGAGAATATAAACTCTCAAGGATGAGGGAAAGTGTTGTAAAAATAGATTATTATTTCAAGGACTAAAAACCGGCCGAGTCACGAATCAGTGAGATTTGCCCTCAATTTCCTTGGTTTTTTTTTGGAAAACTAAAGTTTAAGAAAGTTTGAAAAATTTAAAAGTAAATTATTTTTACCTTCTTTAATGATGATGAACAAGAGGAATAATCCGATTTTTGTATCCATGACAACTTGAGTGCGTGTTTATGCGGGGGAAAAATTTCCAATAATTGTTAGGAGGAATTGGTGTGTGGTGGAAAAAAGCGCACGTCCGTCTGCGTCGACGTATGGCGAGAGAGTGGCGTGTGAAGTGAAGGGGACACAAGAAAAGAGGATTGAATGAAGAGATTTATTATTTGGCTCGTTCGGCTTGGATGAATTTATAACACTTTCGATTTAGTTTGTAGACTCGTTGTTTTATAGGTAAAACTATTTATAACATTGAATTTTTCGTTGCCATGGAGATTTTTATCTCTTTGTTTGAGTATCACATTTTTTTTTTGATAGAGTTGAGGTTTTTTTAGTGATTGATTGGGGGTGTGGTTGAGAGGAGGAGTGATTGATTCGTATTGTTTCCATGGGAATTGGAGGATTAATTTTAAAAAAATGTTCATTTATGAATTCAAAGAAAAGATTATTGAATTCCTGATAAAAATCAATAATAAAAGTGGGTGGAGTTTTATGGAATTAGGAGCAGGGTTGAGTTTTTATTAAGAGGGGAAAAAAATAATTATTTAGGACACAAGTACTACGCATTTTATTGCATAAGAAAAGACCAGTTATTCTAATTAATTGGAGCAAGTGTGCGTGATATGAATGTTTTTATTTCATTTCCATGGTTGCATAATTATGTTGCTATGACATTTTTTTTATTGGCAGGAATTATTATGGAAACAATTGATATTTTTTTTGATTTAGGAAAAAATAAATAATCCATGGAAACTGAAAATTTATATAAAAGTTTTGTAAAAAAAAATTTGAGGCGAATTTGAGACGATGAATATTTCCTTGACAACTCGACTCAGCTCGACTCACGCAATGGTAATTTCACAGTTCACACAGTCTCAAGAGTAAAGTCTCATTCTACCTCCGCTCCTCATCTCAACAACACGTTCGTCGTTATGGTGATTTCATAGCGTTGTTTTATTTCATAAAACTTAACCCAAAATGACGCCCCAAAAATTACTACAAATTCCAACGAAACAGGAAAAAAAGTGTTTGGTTTTATTAAGGAAATTTATATCAGGTAATTCAAATTTCCATGGCAACTATATTTTTTTTAAACAAATCTTTATTATATAGAATCCCCATCACTACGACAACTACAAACAGGGATAAGTTGGGAATTTTCTGATGATTTTTTATTACGTTACATTCGTAGCCGTGGTTACAATATTAATTCCGCTTTCGAAAGGGTATTTATTTATTTAAATAATTAATCACTATGGAAATTAAATTTTTTAAATTAAAAAATCCCACAGCTCCACGTTCACATGACGACGCGGATAATTTTATATCCAGAATTATTTTCTCGTCTGTATCCCTCAGCGGTTTATCACATGTTAAAATCTCGTTGTGCTCGGGTTTTGAAATTTCGTGATTTCAAAAACAGACGAATTTTACTATTTCGAATTTCTGAATGGAATCCGGAAATTGTGACCGTTGACGATTTGTTAATTGGATTAATGCTGATTGGATGGGAAATTTTGGGTGACATGGAAACGCAAATTAATGGAGTCGTCGTGTTAGTCGATGGGTGTGGGTTTGGGTTCAAACATGCGAAATTTGTGAGCCCCACCGTGGTCAAAAAGTGGGTCGAGGTTGTCCTGGTGAGTGGGGATTTTTAGAAATACGTTGTGTTTTTTATTAAGAAAAGCTGGTTTTTACAGAAATCGACGCCATTTAAATGTAAAAAAGTTCACATTATAAACGCCCCCACGATTTTTAACATGACTTTGTCAATCGTTAAAATGATGTTGCCAACGAAACTGGGAAGGAGGGTGAGACTTTTTTATTTGGATTTATGGGGTGTTTTTTATAAAATTGGGTAAATTTGCAGATCCATTTCCATGGACACACCCCCTCGACCACTCTTCATAAATATCTCCCCCCACAAATCCTACCTGAATTTTTAGGAGGGGAATTAAGTGAACAAGTTGCCATGGATAATATTTTACATGACGAATTATTTACCAAAGCTAAAAATGATTATTATAAAATGTTTTTGAAATAAAATTATTGAGATTTTTTTTAAAGAACTTCGCCTTGCCCGAGTTGGAGATTATTGAAATCTTAACTTCGCCTTGCCCGAGTCGCATAACTTCCAAATATTCCACAACAAAGACTGAATTTTTTTTGGTGTTTTTTTATTCGACATATTTTTTATACAAAAAAGAAGAATTAATTAATTATTAATTTAGAAATTCCAAATTCCATGCCAATTTCAATTCACAAGATTTTTTTACATTATTACTTTTTGTGTATCTCTTTTCTTATATTTAAGACAATTTGATGAACAACATCAAAAAATTTTTTTATGGTTGTTATGGTGACATAATTAATAAACCGTGTTGTTTTGGTGTGTTGTGTTGTGTTTTACAAGAAAAAGAAAAATTCTTCCTTTGTTTTTTAAATAAATTTTAACTTTTAATAAAATTGGTGTGTGTATTTTTTTGGTGTTAATTATCGCCGCCCTCCGCCGCCTCCTCCCCGTCGTTCTGGGTGTCCGACGTCCACAACGTCAAGTTGTCGCGGAGGAGCTGCGATTTATAAAAACGCGCAATTTTAATTAATTTCCATGGAAATTTATAATAAAATAAAAAAACTTACCTGCATGATCAGCGTTGAATCTTTGTAAGAATCTTCATTCAACGTGTCCAACTCTGCTATCGCTTCATCGAATGCCTACATTTTTTTATTAATTATTACCCGTGACTTTTAAAAAATAGTTTCCATGGCAACCAAATTGTACAAGTTACCATCTTTGCTAAATGGCAAGCCCGATCCGGCGAGGAAAGAATTTCGTAGTAAAAAACGGAGAAATTAAGCGCGAGGCCGAGTCGGATTGGGTGCGTCGGCTGCATTTTACTTTTCGCAATGTCAAACGCCTCTTGGTACGCTTTTTGGGAATCTTCAATTACCGCTGGGGAATTTTTATTTCATTTTTTTTAAATTTTTTATCAGTTGCTTAGTAACTCGACACACACTGGGATTAATTTGGTTGCCATGGTAACTATACTACTAAAAAATTAGTTCAAAAAAGGTTACTTGTTTAGCCAGTGAGCAGGCTTTTTCGGGTGAGTTGAGGATCTCGTAGTAAAAAACGGAAAAGTTGAGGGCGAGCCCGAGTCGAATGGGATGCGTCGGAGCCATTTTGTTCTTGCTGATCTCGAACGCCTCTTGGTAAGCCTTCTGCGAGTCGTCCACCACGGCTGCACACGCCACGATTTTTTAGTATTGTTAGTAACCATGGCAACGGTATATTAGCATAAATAAATAAATAACGTACCATTCCTGGTGTCACCCGTGGCCACCTCAGCCAAGTAGCGATAATAGTCGCCCTTCATCTTGAGATAGAAAACTTTGCTCTCTGCATTCGACGCTTTCGGGATCAAAAATTTATCCAACAGCGACTGCTTCACAATTAAGGGCAGTTTTAATTTTATTTTTAAGTTTCCATGGCAACTTATACGATTTATTTTATAAAAAAGAAAGAAAGGCCGATTTATCAACTCACCAACACCTCTTGACAAATTTCTCTCAATTCAGTTTCCACTTTTTCCCGATACTCTCGAGCCATTTGTTGCTTTCGTTCGGAACCCTCCGTCTTCTGCTCAATCGAGGATATCACTCGCCAGGAGGACCTACATTTGATTAAATTAAATTATAGTTACCATGGCAACAAATACGAATATATCGGCAGGACCCACCTCCTAGCACCGACGACGTTTTTGTAGGCGACGCTGAGCAGGTTTCTTTCTTCATTGCTCAGTTCGACGCCAGTTTCGGTGACGGATTTCATCGCCGCGGCCATGTCGTCATAGCGCTCCGCCTGCTCCGCCAACTTGGCGCGTTGAACCAACTCTTCCTTGTCCACTGCCATTTTTATTTCTCTCCTTTTCTTCGGTTGCCGGTGGTGACGGTGATGATGAGGATGTTGTTGATGTTGAGGTGGGTGTGACCGTTGTCTAGGAAACGAGAAAGTGTTAGATGGAGAGACAATTGTATAAACTAAAAGAGTTACCTTGGTGATTGTTTTTTTTATTATTTTGTGAAGGAGCGAGGAGAGGAAATTCCAAAAAATTGACTGACTGTGTGTGGTAGTTGGAATGGAGCGGTGGAGAGTACGTACGTAGTTATGGAATTATTGGGTGGGATTCAGCAGAGTTGAGCAGAGAGGAGAAAAAAAGCAGCAGCAGCAGCAGCGCAGCGGTGGCGTCAATAACAGGGGCGGGCAGGGGCGGTGGTGGGGGGTTTTGGGGGGTGCAGTTTTTTTAGTGTGTGGTCGGTTGCCATGGTGATTGTTTTGGTTGCGTAGTGATTAATTTAATTTTTTGAGATAATAGTTACGCCCCTTATTTCGTCACTCCCTTTTTTTGGACATGATTCAGATTGGAGTGAAGGTGGCGTGCGGGGTTGGGTCCGGGTTTTGCAAGTGGGGCGATTTGGGATTTTTTGGAGTTTTTTGAAAAATTGATTAGATTTGGGGAATTTGTGCAAATTGGATTATTTAAGAGTTTCATTTCCGTTTCCATGGATTTTTTATTTTCTAAAAAAAGTAACCACCTCAAAAACCTAAAACCCAAAAAAATTAAAAACCGCATTTTTTAAAATCATTTATTAATTTCCAGCACTGAAATAAAACGAATATTTACACACGATAAAAAATTAATGAGGTGATGTTTCCATGGAGCGCGACGAGACCATTTTGTTTCCTTTCCGCCACAAATTAAACCACAAAAAAACCATACGTTTACATGACAACGCAATTATTATTATTATTATTATTGTTGATTTTTGATGATGATTTTAGACGAGATTTTGGTTTGTATCTTTGTAAAAAAGATAATTGCTTCGAATTTACCGCTCCGCGACGTTTTCTATAAAATAAAAAAATAAAAAATTATCACCATGGCAACTTTTAAAAAATTTAAAAAAAAAATAAACTTACGCTCTGATAAGCTCCACGGCGTCTTCGTACTTCATGCCCAGTTCCATTAATGCGAGTGCGACGAGGACCGGGGCGCGACCCAGGCCGGCCACGCAATGAACAGCGATACACGTCGTGGGGTCAGCAGAAAACCCGCTCCGCACCAACTCCAACCAGGCGTCAATTACCTGCAAAGTTTATATTTTTTTATTTTTAAGTAACCATGGAAACCACTGAAAAATAATAAATCCGCACCTCTTGAGGAGGAGGTTGTCCATCGGGGAACTCTAAATCTTTGACAGCGATTCCTTCCTTTAGTAATTTTTCGACTTCGTACGTGGCTTCGCAGACTCTGACAACCATGGAAACGTTGAATTTCTTTAAATCCTCGAGATACGAATTCATTCCGAGATCGTTGGGTCGCTCCGTGATTAAAAAACGAATTTGTTTGTAAACTATCTCCGTCGCACCCCCAGGCGTGCGCTGCAATAATCGCGGAAATTGGTAGTTAGTTAATTAATTACTTAAATTAGTGATTTCTACCTGAATCAACAACGGTTTCCCCATGAACCCTGGACCGCTCACTGCCGTCGTCATAGCTTCTTTTTTTGTATTTTTATTTTGTAAATTTCTGTTTCTATGGTTTTTTATAATTCTAAAAATTACATGTGTGTAAATAGAATTCAGGGGGTGTGGTGGTTGTGCTGTGATGGGCAAAATGGGGATTGAATTTTATTAATTTGTAGAATTTTTTGACTGCTGCGTTGTTTCATGTGAATTTTATTATCGTAGTTTCGATGTGTTGTTGGTTTTTTTAATGACGGGCCCATTCACTAGTTATTTATTTTATGAGGTGGATTTTTTTTTGGAAATTTCAGTTTCCAAGGAAATTTTTTTAGAAAATACAGAACAGAGTGTTGTGTGTACTGTGTGTGAGAGTCAGGTGATTTTATGTAGTTCCAGAAGTTTGATTATAGGTGGCGTATAGGTTGCCATGGTTATTTTTATTTACGGTTGTCATGCTTACGTATTTAAAAATTTATTTATTTGTTTATATATAAATTAATTATAAGCTAACAAATCTATTGCCATTATTTTGTTGCAATCCATTTAAAATGTCACGAACGGTTCCTATGGAAATAGAAATTTATTATTAGTTTCCATGGAAATTTATATGAAAAATGCAACTCACCAGGGGTGTTGAGAGGGGTCTGGAGGCAGTCCCCGGCCCCCATGACGCTGGTGACCGTGGGGGTGAGCCCCGTGGAGGGTAAATCCGATATCCAAGAATCAAACCCAATGTTGAGCCCGTTGCTGGGCGTTGTTATGGAAATTCCAGAAGACGTTACTATGGCGTGAATTCCAGAGTTCACCGGGAGGGTGTTGGGTCGCTTGGCTTTCCCTCCCATCGAGGTGGGGGTGGTTGCTGTGGGGGTGCTGGTTGCTATGGTTACGATGTTTGGGGTGTATTTTTCTTCCTTGTTGGAAAATGTGCAGATTGGGAGGTGGGCGGAGAGGAGGAACTCAAATTCCTCTTTTTTCTGTTGGTACAGCTGGATTTCGTTCTGGATCTGGGAGCGGGTCGTTTCCAGAGCTTCCGTTTCCTGTTTTAGAATTTATATTAGTTTCCATGGAAATAATTTATTAAAATAAAAAAGTAACTATGGCAACAAACCTCCAATAACAAATTGGTGTGGTCCACCCTCCTTTTCCTACATCTCGCCGCCGCCAATTTATTCCTCTCCCTGCGCACCTTTCTCCTTTCATCATCCTCCCCCCACCCCCACTACCCCTCCCATTATCCAACCTGGGTTTCCTACCCCCCCTTCTCCCCGCTCCCTGCGTTGCCCTGGTAACGATTTTAGTATTTTTCTTCCTCTTAACCTCTAATTCCTCATCATCCTCCTCGGTTGTCATGGAATTATCATCGGAAAACGAGTCCGCCGTTGAATTATCGGGATGCGAGGTTTGGACGTTGGCGCCTTGCCAATTATTCGCGAGGATCAGGGTGGGCGCGGTTTGGTTGTGGTGGGAATTTTGCGAGGGGAGCGGCGGGACAAAGGAGCCCGTCGCGGCGGAGGCGATTATTTGAGGGTTGGATGTTTGGATTTCCAAAGAGGCGAGGATGGACTGCTCGATGGTTTTTATCGTGTTTGGCGTCATTATCGAGGTGGGGGAGGTGGACAGGGGGAACTGCATGAGGGGGGAAAGAGATTAGTTGGTTGTCATGGTGATTTTTCGAATTTTTTAAAAATTGCTTACCTCGCTCATGATGCTGTTACTCGTCGCTGTGCTCGTTTCCTTGTAAAACATTTGGAGACGGGAGGGGTTTTTTTTAAAATAATTGTTGTTTTTATTTTTGTAAATATTTTTAAAACGTGTTTTTAAAATTAAAAGATTAAAAACGTTTTTGGAAACGTTTTTTTTTGCGTAAAAAACGAGTTGCGAAGGGTGTGTGAAATGTGAATTGAAGTGGTTGCTGTAGAATTTAGGAATGAGTCATCGATGCATCATCTGATTTGGTTTTATATATTCTGCGATGGTGGTGGTGGTGCGTGGGGATCTACTTTATAAAGTGCGGATGGTTTGGTTAGTTGCATGTTGTGGATTACTTGATGTAATTTTTAGTAATCTGATTTAATCTCGTGATGTTATGTTGATCTGTATTAAGTAATCTTAAATTGTAAATTTTTTTTAGCACGGGAGCTATTGAATTGTTCTTGTCGGTCCTACTGTTAAGCCAATATTAGCAGTCTCAATTCCTTCTCAATTCAAACCCTCTTTCAATACAATTGAAAATTGAGGATTGGGAAAAACTTGTATGGCGGAGAACTTGTATGGGGGAAAATTTCCGGAGGAGAACTTACGGGAAAAACTTGCGGGGGAGAATTTACACCGAATCAATCTCGTGATGTTAATCTGTTAAAATTTTTGCGTAGTCTGTAATCTCAAACTAGCAAGTCTGGTGCGGAGCATCAGTAATTTAATCTGATACGTAACTAATTTCTATCCACTGTTGCAGACAGTTATGTCGCACTATTTATTGTTTGTATTGAAATTTTGTATTTATTAAATAATGCCCATGGTGAGGCAAAAGTTGGTAAATATTAAATTTTTAGGCGATATTAATAGTCTGAAACAAATCTGAAAGATTTCCTGGCAGATAATTTACATTATTTTCCCAAAACCAAATAACCTCTCAGAAAAATTTCCAAGGAATTGAGACTATTAATACTGGCTGAACAGTAGTATATGATTTGCATATAATTTCGTGATATATTAGTGGTATTCACAGTAACCGATTATTGCGATTATAATCATTAACTTCGTGCCAAATTTCAGCCACTTCGGCAAATTTGGATCGTTTCTATGACATTTAAATTTTTATGCGGTCCACCTGATCCACCTAAATGACCCTCACCGACCAATCACTTGACCGATCATGTCCATCTCCGAATTCATCCTTACTTTTTGCCTGAAGATGAAGTATGCAAAATTTTAAGCCGATAGTGTATGTTTAAAAAGAGTGATCGTGCCTACAGACGGCAGACGGACGGACAAACAGACATCTTAAAAGGCCTGAAGTGCTTTCGGCGATTATAATAAGCGGCGCCGATCCGTAATTTTTATCTACTATTTGTTCAAAAATAAATGCGGACAAAAAAATCTGAGTGGTTATCTGCGAGAGTCTAGTTACATGACACCAAGAACAAATTGTCATTAAGAAAAATTTAACTTTGTCTTTAGAAATAATGAATATATTAATTAGCAATTAAAACCAAAAAAATCCCACGCACACTCACAGCCCACCCGCCCCCGACGGGCCCGAGGTGCTAGTAAAACCAAAGGCACAATAACAACGATGACGCAACGGACAAAACAATGACGTCAAATTCGCAGAAGAATTTAATCAAGACCACGACATCCTGTTGCCATGAGTCATCTCTATTTTCACGCTTTTTTATCACCACTCCACCACTTTCCACCAAGTCGCGTGGTTGCCATGGAAACTGTTAATTTATATACATTATTTATTGTCATGGAATTGTTTTTTGAAAAAATTATGTCAAATTTTAATAATTATGGAAAATATAACGAATTAATAAATTAAATTTTTTTATAAAAATGCAACATAAATTCCATGGAAATTTCATGTTTAAAAATTATTTATTAAATTAAAAAATGCGAAATTTCCATGGAAATCCAAAAAAATATAATGACGTCACAAATTTCAGATTTCATTTATTTACAAAACCAAACGATAGATGGCGCTCACGTCGCATTTCGCGTGATAAAAGCAAATGCAAAATTGAAGAAACTTATTATTTCCATGGAAACTTTTCACCAAAAAACCATGGAAACTGATAATAAAAATTAGGAGTTACAAAAACTCATAACCAAAAATCCGCCTACCCCCCCTGCCCTGCAAACAGCCATTGCATTGGAACCCCACCCACCCCACCCCCACCCCCCTCAAAAAACCCACACAAAAATAAATAAATCACCACACGAAAAATCATCATGGCAACATTGAATAAATAATTATTCACAACTTCCCACGGTGGAAAATTTCCCACGGGTTTCAAACACACAAAAAAAACTGGTCGTCTGGTAAAAATCCATCTCCGATTGGTCGTCGCCATGACTCCGCCTCCTTGACCACGGATTCGTTGAGACGCAGGCGAAACGGGAAGAAAGTGGGACGTTACGAGTTCGTGGGTTGGCTTTAGAGATTTCGGCTTCTGATTCGATTTTATGGTTGCCATGGAGATTTTTTTTGGAAATTTTTTAGGAATGTGAAGAAGTGGGTGGCTTGTGAAGTGGGTGTGGTTGCCATGGAAATTTGGTTAATTTTTTGATGGGTTTTCATGAAGTTTTATGTCATTTTTTTTATGACTTTTTTTTGTCGCCTAGACAATGAGACGACATTTTTGTTGTGAGACATTTGATTTATGGGTTTGAGAAGAGATGCGGTGGTGACACTTCTTGTGACGGAATTTTTGTTGGCATGGTGATAGTAGGAGAAAAGTGTGGTAGTTGCCACTGTAGTTTTTGGAATGGATTTTATTTTTTTGTGTTTTTCGAGGGGGTTGGGGGGGGGTAATTATTTTGATTACTTTAGTTAATCAGGGTGTGTTATATAAAAAAAAATATTAAAATTATTTCCATGACAACCGATAAACGAATAAATTAAATATGAGACAATTGAGGCAAAATGAGACTTTTAAAAATTTCCATGGAAACTGTAGAAATCTACTTTATTTCCCCATAGAAACCATGGAAAGGAACATCCCCCACAAAACCCCCCCTAAAAACCCCCCATGGCAACAACCTCCCATAAAAAATCACCCCCACACAAAGCAGCACCCGTGAAGAATCCGTACCTTCAATATGAGAAATGAGAGAATCCTCAGCAGCCAGAACTCACCAACTTCTGCAGCACATTTTTTGGATCAGAGTCAGTTCTCCCAAAGTGCTCCCGACAGATGCACAGCCAGCTCCTGCACCCAGTAGTTCATACGGGGCCATCAGAGACTCTTCTCTCTCTCTCACAAGGGGTGTGCCCGTTTCCATAGCAACCAGAGAAAAATAAAATAAATTCCCAAATGGACAATCGCACCACCACTTCATCCTCCACCACACCCACCACCAGCACCCCCTCTGCCACCCCCCACCCCCTCCCCCCGCACCACCCCCTCAACTTCTTCCTGGCCAACCCCACCTTAATGTTCCCAAATCTCCACGGTAACCATGGCAACATGGACCTCCTCCAATTAAACCTTCTCCTCCAAGCCGCCGCATTTTACAACTCCCAACAACGAAATATTTTATACTCTTCTGAAGATTTACGAAGAATTGCCGTTGCCACGGAAACCAATTTAAATCACCATCATCAACAACCAAGATTGTTTCCACAGCAACAACAACCTCAGGATTTAACCAGGCAACAAAGATCTTCCGTCGTTGCCACGGCAACCACAACTACGACGACTCCGGTGACGACCGGAGGGAGGAGTTCACGGCCAAAGAAGCAATTTATCTGCAAATATTGTCAAAGACACTTTACAAAAAGTTACAATTTGTTAATTCACGAAAGGACGCATACGGATGAGCGGCCTTATTCGTGCGATATCTGCGGGAAGGCGTTTAGGAGGCAGGATCACTTGAGGGATCATCGGTGAGGAGTTTTTTCTTTTGGTTGTCATGGAAATAATTTTTTGGTTGTCATGGAAATATTATATTAAAATATTGTTGTCATGGAAACGGTTAGTTAAAAAAAAGATCAAAGCGACGCAGGATGAATCGAGCCGACGATACAATATTTTTATCAATCGGCACTCTCAAAAAAAGTTGAGAGAGTAATCAGTGGCGATATGTTGTTTGTTTGTCAGCAGAAGAGAGTAATTGAATCGTCGGCTCGTTTCATCTCCATGACGACTGTTTGCTTTTTCCATCTCTCTGTGGGGATTTATTGGGGGCGGATTTGTTAATAGAGAGAGTAGTGTGTGAATATGAGTGTTGTCATGGATATTATTACTTTTTTTGGGGAGGATATTGAGATTTTCGTTGCCGTGGTGAATTATTAGAATTTTTAGCATAAAATTATGCAAATATAATAACCATGACAATTAGCAGCACGCGCTAATTACATAGCATCCGAAGAAGCTCGTATGCTAATAGTAACCATGGAAATTAATTTTACGTAATTTATCTCCATAGCTACATCCACAGCAAGGAAAAACCCTTTAAATGCACGGAATGCGGAAAGGGTTTCTGTCAATCCCGAACCCTCGCGGTCCACAAAATCCTCCACCTCGACGAGTCCCCCCACAAATGCCCCGTCTGCGCACGCGCCTTTAACCAGCGCTCCAATTTAAAAACCCACCTCCTGACCCACACCGACCTCAAACCTTACGAATGCACCACCTGCTCCAAAGTTTTTCGGAGAAACTGCGACCTCCGCCGCCACTTATCCGAGGTTCACAACTTGCAAATTGACGATCCCGATTCGGACAGCGTGACGGATTTGGATTCCCGAGATGCGAGTAAAACCAAGAAAAAATCCACCTTTCTCATTTCCGACATTATGAAATAGGTTTTATTTATTTATTGTATAAAGACAATCAATTTATAAGTGTAAAAAAAACCATGACAACATTTTTTTTTATAAACAATAAATAAAATATAAAAAAACCATGGCAACAACATTCCATCGTAACTATATAAAAAAACACCCTGTGTGGCTTCTTCTTGACAAAGTGTGAGGTCCCTCGATTTTTTATAAGCACAAGGGGATAAAATAGTTGTCATATCTTGATTGGAGAGAATAAACGCGTGCGTTGACAAGGTTTTTAAAAAAATTCCATGGCAACAAGTGCGGAGAAAGGAATTCAAAAAAACTCTCAAACGCCACACGCCCAATTTTTTTTTAGTCGAGAGAAGAAGAGTCGAGTCGAGAAAGGAGATGTGAACAATAATCGTTTCTTTTCTTTCGTTCCCAGGGCAACGTTGAGAGATGAGAAAAAAATAGACAAAAAGTCAGACGAAAGGTCACATGCGATGATGGGTTGTGGTGGAGAGAGAAAAACGAGTTGTCTATGCGTGGGTTTGGAGATGGGAGAGTTTTTTGCTGTTGCCGTGGAGATGTTTTGGTATTATTGTGTGTGGTTTATAAAAAGGTGAGATGAGGTGAGAGGAAAAAGTTGTGGATAATAAGGTTGCCGGAGTTTTATTTTTTGAAATTTTAATTTCCATGGTAACACTATTTTAAAAATATAAATTCCCATGGTAACATTTGTAAAAAATCAAAGTTCCCATGGCAAAATTAGAAACAATTTCCATGCCAACAACCACAAAAAAAAGACGACACCCTAGTTACCAAGGTAAAAAAGATGTGTTTTTTGTGATCAACTGCTGACCACCTCCCAGCACACGCTCATCATCATCATCATCTTCATCACCGTGTGTATGGCAACCTTAGAAGAAGAATTCCATAAAGATCGCGTACGCCCGTTTCCCACGGTTTCCCTTCGAGAATACTTGAACTTTTTGAACTTTTTCTCTCTCTCTCTCTCACTCGATCGTAGTCATGAGAAATTTTAAACACAGGAATGCCGTCGTCATGGAATTTTTGTTTTTGGTTGTGCAGGGTGTTGGTTTTTAGGGTGGGGTGGGGGTGGGTGGGGTTTTTTGGGAGTTATGGAAATTTTGGATTTTTTATTTAGAATTTTAAAATTTTAATTTTATAGAAAAATTAAAACCTCCTCTTTTAATTTTATTAAACCCCACCCCCTTAGAAACCAATTTAAAAATAAAAAAAATTTCCATGACAACAAACTCTCCTCCACAAAAAAACCTCTCTCACTTCTTCACTACAATATCGCGATGAAAAGGGCTCGCAGCAGACAAAAAAAAATCTCAAACACACGACCGACACACGACGACACTTGTTTCTTTTCTTTCCTTTTTTTCTATGCAAGTTTCCATGGAAATTTTATTGTCAAGTCGATTAAGTCGTTTGTGGTCGCAATCTTTGTCATGTTTCTATAGAAACCGTTGCCATAGAAATAAAAATACAACGCATGCCAAATAAATCCATCGTCTCAACTTGCCTCAAAACCCCTCAAAATTTCCATTTAAAAACAAAAATTTATTTAAACGAGATCAATAAAAATATACAAAAAAAATCCGTTATTTACTAAAAACTATATACAAATCCGCTCGTTTCCATGGTTACAAAAAATTACACTCCACATAAAAAAAACATCAATAAAAGTAGAAAGAAGAATTTGACGAATTTGATGAAGTCGAGGACCCTCCGGGCGAATGCTGAGAACTGAAATTCAATTAAATTAAATTAGATTTTGTAAATCACCATGGAAATTTTGTTTCATCTTTTAAATTTAATTCCAACGGGGCAAATCGAGGATGGAATTTGATTAGCTTTTGATTTTAGAGAGTAGAAAAGGGGCGGGGTGAGATTTTTATAAAGTTTCCATGGAAAATAAATAAAAATAAAAAACTATGGAAACACTAACCGATGCTCCCTCAACTGCTCCCTGGACTTCCAGCCCTTCCCGCAAACGTCGCAAACGTACGCGGTCGCTGAGTCGTTTTCATTCCTTCGAATTTCGAAATGTGATCTTTCGTGGACCATCAAATTGTAGGATTTCGTGAAGCGACGCTGACAAAATTGGCAGTACAGCTGGTGGCGGTGGGGGTGGTGCCGGTGCCGGTAGCGGGATGAGGAAGAAGTGGTGAGGTCGTGGGGGGAGGAGATTATCGCAAACATGTTGCTATGGTGATTTATTATTACAAACTTTACGCGAAATGAAAGTCTCAAAGTGGAGTAAAGAACATGTCTGTGGAACTCTCAAGCTTTGACTAAAGTCGTTTTGAGATGATCACCTTTTCTCTCTGAGAGGGAGAGACGAGGCTCGACTCTCAGGTGTGTCTAGGTTGCCATGGTTACTCAAGTTGTGTGGGTTATGTGGGTGTGAGATATTTAGTGATATTAGTGGGGGCTGAAAAAGCTCTACGAAAATCCCCATGGCAATCATTTAATAAAAAAAAACGGCAAACATCCCTTTGCAAACTTCCTAAATAATAATCACGTCCTGTGTTACGAAGGATGTTTATCATTCGCACCTTGCCCCACAGAGTTACAATTCGTAAGTTACAAAGATGCGATGGAGTGAGTGAGAGAGAGAAAAACTGTCACCACGGAAACGTACCCAATTTGTCACCTAGCCAACGAGGCGATAAATTGTTCAGACGACACAAAGAGAGAAACATATGACCACACAGAGAGAGGCTAATAAAAAAAGGGCGTGGTTGCCATGGTGACCACCGGGGATGGTATAAAGGGAATATTGTAATGTATATCCAACAAATTGTAGCAAACAAGGTGTTATGGAAACTAATTGAAATGTTTGCAGAGTGAGTGGATGAGATTGCTTTTCCGTGTCGGTCAATATTTGGAGGTTGATTGGTGTTTAGCGTTAGATTGGGTTTGGGGGGGGGGATTTTATTGGGTGTTGTTTTATATGGGGTTTTTGGGGTGATTTGTTGGTGTTTTTGGGATTAATTCTGGGTTAATTCTGGTGAGGGGTCGTTTTTTGTGTTTTATTATTAGTGGGGTTTTCAGTTTTGTTTTGTTGGTATTAAATTAAAAATCACGGCATTTACTAATTCCAATAAATCGATTTTATAACTCATTAAAAGTATTTGTATGAAAAAAATTGGGTTTCTAGACTTTGTAAATTTTTATGCAGAATTGATATAATAATTTAAATAAATTATGTTTGGACTGAAAATATCAGAGGAATTTACTGCTCAATTTTAGTGTCGTTTAATTGAAACATCGTCTCATGAAATGTCAGCAGAGAGTTAGAGAGATTAACAAATTAGCTGAAAATCGTCGTCTCCTCACACTTTTGTAAATTAGAGTCGTGTTACTCGATCAAAGATTTGTTTGCTCTTCTCTCTCGGTGTGTCTTTGGAGGGTTATTTGTGTAATCGAGATTGAGATCTGGACTGGGGTTTACGAATCTGGTGTGATTTTAAGGGTGGGGATAATTTTTGGGTGAAGATTAGATGCTATTTGGAGGTCGGGCCGTTAAAGTTTTGTGTCCTAAATTTGGGGGATGATTTCGGATTGAGACGAGTCTTAATTGGTAGAGAGAAATTTTTAACGGGGCGAGATTCCCATATGCATTTCAAGAAATCAAATATTAGAGATTAGAATTTCACAGAGAATATTTCACGTGGTTCTTTTTTTTTACTCTTTTTTTTAAGGGATTTTCATTAAGCATTCTGATTTTTTTTAAAGAGTTGTGTCTCACAAATCTCATTCATTTCCTGGACACAATTTGAATGCGTCGTTGTTCAATTTCCTGTAGATTAATCTCACTTTGAAATCGTTACTCTTATAAATTTGAGATTTGATATCTGAGCGATTTGTGTGACTCTGGCCATCATCAAAATTTACTTTGCTTTCTCGCATTCGCACCAGAGAACAAGAGAACTGCACTCTTGAATGTGATTGTTTTTTGGACCGAAACTTTTTCAGTGGACACCGAAATTAAGTATTCTTGTAAAAATCATCCATTAATTTTAAAAAACAGACGCGCTTAAAAAACAAGAAACATTACAAAATGTCATAATATCGTTTAATATTTGTTGATTTCTTTTCTTTATCCCCTCAAGTCGAAAGATATGAAATTTTCTTTAACCTCATTTTTTAAAGCAATTTTAATGAGATTGAAATAAATCTTGCTTTTTTTTTACGAATTTTTGAATTCTACAAAGTGTTTATCTAAGTGTTTATCCTATTTGAATGTGTGATAATTTCGATTTGTTGGACTGATTTCTGACCATTGAATCTGAGCATTGCATTGCAAAATGAGAGTCGTCGTGTGTCTCATTTCCTGGACGACCTGTTGGCTCTGGATTATCGTCGATTATCGTTTCGGTTTTAAGCATTGGAAATTTGTGTGTGTGTAAAGAATGCTTTTTTTCTCCAGCAGTCGAGTGGTGGGGATGTTTGTGTCGAGATTTTGGGATTTTTTTGGTGCGCAAATTTTTCGTGTGGGGAATGTGTCTCAAAACCAGAGTTAAATTTGCGGATTATTTTTATTCCTGCGGGAATATAATTCCAGTGGTTTCAGCGACGATTGCACCGCCGGAAATTGGGTGCAGAAAGTTTCCTTTACTTTAAAGGAAATGGACACAAAATATTCAGAGTTTCTCAAGTTCCTCACTATTTTATCCTCGTCGTCGCATCCTTCATTAAAAAAAGCACATTCGAAAACCTTCATTTTGGACAAATGAAAAATGGGTAGAGAAGAGAGTAAAATTTATGCAAATTCCTCACTTTTCAATCGCAATCATCCTTTGCATCAAAGTTCCCATGACAACAAAATTCTACCATCACCTCTCTTCACATCTTCTCTATAATCATCGCATCTCTCACTCCACCAAAAATCGTGACACCCAAAAATTAGCATAAAACCCAACCCAAAGAAAACTATGGCAACCAAAAAAATTACAAACTCTATGCAAATCAAGCTCCTCCCATTCAAGAGACGTACCCCTAACTCCGCCTCCTCCACAGAATGACTCGCACCCATAACAACGCTCCCCGCGCGCCACCTGCCTGACCCCCACCCTCCCCAACATTTCCAGCACAAACCACACGGCGGTAAAGAGTTCAAACCACAAAAAAAACCCAAATATGTTCTTATTAAAATGTTAATAAATGGGTATTAATTCCCATCACTGGTCGCCATGGAAACGGTAATTACACAATTTTTTTATGATTTTATTAAATTAATTAATTATTTTATCTAGACAACAGACCTGTTGCCATCGCAACCAGCACACCCCCGGGTAACCATAGCAACCAGCACCGTAAAAAAAGAAAAGATAATCCCCACCTATTACGGTTTTGAAAAGTTTCACCCCCAATTTTTACAATGTTTCGCGAACCGGCGTGCATTTTTAATCGTGTTTTGCATCACGTGCGTTTTGCAAGGGACTTTTCACACGTATTTCGTCGCTGTCATAACGACGCTCGAAAAATTGTTCAACATTCCGAGCAGGACCATCGGGACCTTGATGATGGCGAGTGAAGTGGGGCAGGTTAGGTTAATATTTTTATATTTTTTGGTTGCCATGGAAACCGAAAACTAAAAAAAATAAAAACCATAGGTGTGCAGCTCGCTCTTCCTCCCGTACTACGCGGGCCAAGGGCACCGTCCGCGCTGGATGGGTTTCGGCTCTGCGCTCTTCGCCTTTGCGACGTTACTCTGCGCTTCACCCCATTTTTTACTACCTTCGCAAGATTTTACAAAGTTTACAATGTCAGGAGGAGGGAATGAGACTGTCGAGTTTTGCGCAACCTTGCAAAATGAAACCAGTGACTGCGTTCCCATGGAGACTGATTTTGATGAAAAGAAATACTATATTTTTGGGATCATTTTTGCCAGTTTGCTATCGATTGGGTTCGGAAATACTGCGATTTTTACGCTCGGGATTCCTTATCTGGATGATAACGTTGCTAATAGAGATTCGCCGGTGTATTTTTGTGAGTTGTCATGGTTACTCTAGGATTTTTTTGTTGCCATGGAAATAATAAAATTTAATTTCCATAGCAATAACGATCGGTGTTCGAATCCTGGGCCCCGTCACGGGATTTATCTTAGGATCGCTCTGCACCCGCCTGTACATCCACCCCCTGAGTCCACCCCCCTTCCCCCCCACGGACCCCCGATGGCTGGGGGCGTGGTGGTTGGGGATGTTGCTAATATCCTTTTTACTCTTAGTAACATCATTTTTCATGTGCATGTTTCCACAACGACTCTCGAATTCAACTGCCATGGCAACGAAGCAGAATCGGTCGCTAGGGAATTTTCCCTCGGCGATTAAACGGTTGCTAAGCAACAGGATCCTGTTGCTAAGGACATTTTCTTCGGTTTTTCACTTGTTGCCTATCTCAGGGTTGTACACTTTTTTGCCCAAATATTTGGAGAGTCAGTTTAAATTGGCGGCCTTTGAGGCGAATATCGTCACGGGGATCGGGGGGATTTTGGTCATGGGCGTGGGGATTTTTGGCAGTGGGGTTTGGATCAGGAGGAGGGAGACAAGTGGGGTGAAGGTGGCCGTGTGGGTGGGGTTGTGCGCGGGGGTGTATGCAGGGGGGATTTTTTTACTGTCAGGGGTGGGGTGTGGTGTGGATACGGTGGAAATTGGGAGTTACGATTTGGGGTGAGTATATGACTCGGGCTATGCGATTTATGGTTGCCATGGTGATGATTTTTTTTTGTTTCCTAGGAAACCATCGTGTTTGACGCCTTCGTGCACGACGTGTGCGAATAATTATTCTCCCGTTTGTGGTTCGGATATGCAGACTTATCTCAGCCCGTGCCATGCTGGGTGTACGGGGGTGGAGACAGTGGGGAACGTTACCATGGTGATTTTTTTGGATGATTTTTGGCGTGCCATTTTTTGTGCCATTTCTGTGCTAATTTTTTGGCATGCCAATATCTCTGCCAATTTCTGTGCCATTTTTTGTGCCATTTCTGTGCTAATTTTTTGGCACGCCAATATCTCTGCCAATTTCTGTGCTAATTTTTGTGCCAATTTTTAGCACGCCAATTTCTGTGCCAAAAACTTAGCACGCCAATATTTCTTCTAAACATTATATTTTACAAATTTCCAAGGAAACACTAATTTAAAAAAAATCCCCCCCCCCCATTACAGTACACGGACTGCAGCTGTATCCAGAACCACACCCACCACATGGCCACGCCCTCCCCCTGCCCCTCCCCCTCGTGCCCCTACTTCCCCCTCTATCTCGCCATTTTCATGACCATCGTTCTCGTCCATTCCACGAGCGAGGTGGGCTCCATGCTGCTCACCCTCCGCTGCGTCGAGCCCAGGGACAAGGCCATGGCGTTGGGTTAGTTGCCATGGATACCAATATTTAATTAATTTTGTTGCCATGGCAACTAAAAATTATGAATCCGCAGGGCTAATCCAATGTGCCATCGGCCTGTTTGGGAACGTTCCCTGCCCGGTGATTTATGGGACCGTGGTTGACCAGGCCTGTGTGCTTTGGGGGGGCAGTGGGTGTGACAGCGGGGGTGGCCACTGCTGGGTCTACGATGGGGATAAATTTAGGCTCTATTTCCATGGTGATTTTATTTTTTTTTAAATTTAATTTCCATGGCAACTAATAAATTTTCTGTAACTATGCAGGACTGACGGGCTCCATAATGCTGATAGCCTTTCTAATCGATCTTATCATAATTTCCAAAGCCAAAGAGATTAATTTTAACGACAACCAACCCGTTGCCATGACAACCGAAGACGACGTTGCCATGGAACCGCTAAATAAATGATTTTATTTTTTTTATTTCTAGTGAGAAAAAGAAACCGGTGCTATAAAATAAATATTTTTATTAACAAAATGTTTCCATGGCGATTTAATTAGAGATCAAAAAAAATTAAATTAAAGCATATGGCACAATAAATTACAGGGATTTTTATAAAATTACACATTCATTTCCTGCTCATGATCTCGTCGATGGTGAAGCCCAATTTCCCTCCGGTGGATTTCCCCCCCAGTGGAAACTGGTCGTTGTTGCCAAGGCCAACCACGTCCACGTCGATTTCTGAGGAGTCTGATGCTACGCCTCCGGTGGTGGTTTCTATGTCAGAGTCGGAATCAGACTCGTTGTTGGGCTTGGTTTCCATGGTTTTTTTATTAACGTCTTTGTTGTCATGGAAATCCTCTTCGATGGACAAAGAGTGGGTGAGGGTGTGTCTTCGTAAATCGCAATTTCTCCGAAAAACTTTGGAGCAGGTGGTGCATTCATAAGGTTTGAGGTCGGTGTGGGTCAGGAGGTGGGTTTTTAAATTGGAGCGCTGGTTGAAGGCGCGTGCGCAGACGGGGCATTTGTGGGGGGACTCGTCGAGGTGGAGGATTTTGTGGACCGCGAGGGTTCGGGATTGACAGAAACCCTTGCCGCATTCCGTGCATTTAAAGGGTTTTTCCTTGCTGTGGATGTAGCTATGGAGATAAATTACGTAAAATTAATTTCCATGGTTACCATATAAATCCCCATGCCAACTAAAAAATAAATCCCCATGGCAACTCACCGATGATCTCTTAAATGGTCCTGCCTCCTAAAGGCCTTCCCACAAATATCGCACGAGAACGGCCTCTCATCCGTATGCGTCCTCTCGTGAATTAGCAAATTATAACTCTTTGTAAACTGCCTCTGACAAAATTTACAAATGAACTGCTTCTTCGGCCGTGAACTTCGCATAATTGGCTGTAACGTCGAAGTGGGTGTAAAATTCCCATGGTATAAAAGTTGGTTACTAAGCAACGAGGTTAAAAAATTCGGTTGCTGTGGATTATAAAGTCTTTGTTCTGTGTATGAGAGGTATTTATCCGCCAACATTTGCGTTGCTATGGGATAATTTGTTGGGTTACTAGGCCCCGGTTTGCTTTCTCCGTTGGTTGTCATGGTTTTTTATTTTTATAAAGTTGTCATGGAAATTATTAAAAAATTTGAATAAAAACACAAGGAGCTGCTACTTCAGGAGAGATGTAGTGGAGAAGAAAAGAAGGAGTCAAATTCCAGAAGTTTTTTTTATTGAGAGGAGAATAAAAAACGTTGCCATGGCGAGGATATCTCCATGGTTGTGGAGTAACAGGTTGCTACTGTTAGGGAAATTATTGTAGGATAGGAGAGATGCGTTACCATGGGATGTTATTACGTAAGAAAGTGGAAGAAGATGAAGAAGCTCCATGGCAGTAGTAGTGGCTTCTGAAGAAGGGTATTAAAAAAAGGGTTTGGTTGATGGAATGCGGTGCGGAGTGAAGCGGTGGTGTGTGCAGTGCACCTGTTTGTGGTTGCTACAAGTGGTTGCTGGGGGGGGGCGTGCATATAAATTGGGGGTGGATTTTGTTTCCATGGTTTCCATGGGAACTTTTATTTCATTGGGAATTTAATTTTTAGGATGGACGTGAGTGGTTAAATTCATAAATTTTTTGATCGTGAAGACAAAGGAGTAGTCGGTGGAATGATTCTGTGGACACGCAGTTTCCATGGAATCGGCTAAATACTAATTTATTTGGAAATTTATTTTTATAACGTAGAATTGGCGTGCTAAAAAATTGGCATGAAATTGGCACGCCAAAAGAGATTGAGGTTTAAAAATGGCATGCCAAAAATATGATGTGCTAAAATTGGCACGAAATTGGCATAAAATTGGCACAGTGCTAAAATTAATGCCAAAAAAATAAGAGTTATTAGAAGGTGCGATACTAGAATTGTCTCATAAACTCGTGGAGTTTGTGTCCATGGAAACAAAGGATTGCTCATTCTGTTGGAATGGGTTCTTTTGCGCACACTTTTTTCCATGGAATTCTCGCACGGCCTTCTAATTACATAAAATGGAAACTTGAAATTTGGCATTTTTGGCCGAAATTGTCATGAAGGTTTTTATATTTTCTTTGCAGTAAATGGTCCAGCGCACGATTGCTTGACGAAATGAAACTATGGAGTACACATTTATATATTTATTTATATAAAATAATTATAAAATAATTAAATTATTTATTTAAATAAATTATATTTATTTATATAAAATAAATATAATAAATATAATATATTATTTAAAATTATATTTATTTTAATTTATAAATTAAATTAATTTAATTTAATTACTATCATTAAAATATGTAATGATTTTGAACTGGTATCGTGGATCGCAATTTCCATCTTATTTCCAACCCCACAGACCCAAGATTCCTAAACTTTTTAGCTCGTTTCCGTGGAGTGAATGTATTAGGATTATGTAATGAGGTTGTCCAAGGATGGGCCATCTTTTAAAAATTATTAAAAATTTTCGAGTTGGGGACAGGCACGCATTTTTTGGCGTTGTCACCCGTTGTTGGGTGAGTGAGAAATTGAGAAAAGTGAGAAACAAAGGGATTTAGGACGTCCCTCCTGGAGGACAAGAACATCCACAATAGTGCATAAAGTCAACCTTTCGTTCAATTCTTGTGACACACGTTTTTCCAATGTCCAAAGGTCTGACCACTGAGGTGGAATTCCCTTTCTTCTTTCCCCCACGAAGCAGGGTTTGGTGGTCGGAGGATGAAAATGAATTTATCGCTCCTGCGGCGACAAAAGCTTTCAATACGCATCGTCCGGAGTGCTGCTGTGGAAGTAGGAGTGGAATTATTTCCTGTTTAAACGTCGTTTGTATATAAGACATTGTTCAATTCCTTATTGGCATCAACCCCACGAAGCTGCTGGTGGACGGTGATGGTAACCGAGCAAGTGGTTCTCAAATTGTTCATTGTATGATTTTTATTGAGAGTTCCGGAAAGTATAAGCAATTGAGATAAAGCCTTTCTGGCTTTTCTGGAAATTATTTGGTCAATAAAGAATTTTGAAGCTGTGGAATTCGCATAAAGTCCATTGTTGTAGATTAGGATTAGACTTTTGTTGGGATTTACTACCAAATATTTTCTGCAGTTGCGATTGGTCTGTGTAATCCTGCGATACAGAAAGGTTTTCGAAACATAACTCAAGTACAGCCTCTTAACCAGTTGCCTGCCACATTAAAAGGCATAAGGTACGACATTGATGTACTTGGGCGCATGGTTACCGTACAAGAATTACACGACTTTGATGTACAGGGTGGTTAAAATGTCACGCCACAATGGAAAATTTTTCAATGGGAAAAGTCCCTTTCAAAAGGAAAAATCTCCATTAGTTACAAGATTTCGGATTGAGATTTTTATAAATTATTATCAAAACTGATGACAAAATTCTTAAAATGTTGCATTTTAGAGACAAAATTTCGGTGACTAATGGAAATTTACAAATTTTTCCCATCGAAAAATTTTCCATTGTTGCGTGACATTTTAACCACCCTGTACTTGGGCCCTTAGCGACGTTTTATGCAGCACATGACATTCATGTGCTTGGGAGGCAACTGGTTAAAACGCAGTTTCAACTTATTAATTTCCATCGTTGTTACAAAATTAAAATTATCCTCGTGGTTTTGGAACGTTTTTGTGAAGACTCCAATGGGCTCCAAAAATGGCAAAAATGCTAAATTGATAAAAAATGGCACGAAATTGGCATTGTGCTAAAATTAATGTCAAAAATTGGCACGAAATTTAGCACAAAATTAGCACAAAATCGGCACGAAATTTGGCACGCCTATAAAACTCACTTTCTCTGAATAAACACCATGGTAACTACACCCCCATTCCTGTAAAATTCCTTTATTCTATCACATGGTTTGCTAAAATAAAATTAAATTCGTTCCCAAACGTCGTCAAATTCCGTTTCCATGGTTTCTTGGGAATCCTCCTTGTTCTCTTGGTCGTCGTCGAGAGGTTCTGTTGTCATGGGAAATTTTAAATTTTTAAAATTTTAGTTGTCATGGAAATTTTAAATTTTAGTTGTCATGGAAATTAAAAAAAATTACCGGGTTGAGCAGCGTCTTCTTCTTCGTGAGAAATTTCTTGAGATAATTCGTCATCATCACCTTCGTCAATTTCGGGTTCTTCTTCGTTGTCTGGGGAATTTAATTTTTTAATAGGAAATTATTTTTTAAAGAATTAGTTACCATGGTTACCTGGTTGTTGAGGTTCTGGTTCTTCTTCAGGTTCTTCTTGTTCTTGAGATTCTTCTGGTTCTTGTTCTGGTTCCTCCTCCTCGGGGGCTGAATAAAAAAACACGTTGCCATGGAAATAAATTTAATTTTCTATGGCAACGAATTACCAATTTCCTGTTCAGCTTCAGTCTCTTCTTCTTGAGATTCTTGTGTTTCTCCTACGACGATTTCTGGGGCAGCCTCAACTTCTACATGGAAAAAATTAACTAAAAATTGCCACATAATAATTTGGTAACCATGGCAACTACCTTCGTCGTCGTCATGGGCGTCCTCGTCATGGTCTTCATCGTGCTCGTCGTCATGCTCCTCATGCTCCTCATCGCCATGGTCGTCATGGTCACCGTCATGCTCCTCCTCCTCCTCATCATGTTCATCACCATGGTCCCCATGCTCATCATGGTCGTCATGGTCACCCTCTGCGTAACAACCAAAACAAATAAAAACCCATCTCCATGACAACAATTTTCCAAAAAACATACCCTCCTCGAACCACCCCCCACCGCCACCCCCACCGCCTAAAAACGCTGAAAACCAGGACTCCTCCCCCACCTCCTCCCCATGTGAGGTCTCCATGACAACGACATTTTCCTTTTTAGCTCCATGCTCCACGTTAGCAACGCTATTTAAATCGCTATCGATTAAAACCACGGTTGCTATGCCGCCCAAAACGATGAGTAATAAAACAAATATTATTTTATAAATTAATCCCGATTCCTCTTCCTCGTCGCCATGGTGATCGTGGTGACCATGCTCAATTTCCTCCTCGTAAAACTCTGTCGTTTCCTGGTCGTCGTCTTCAACGTAGATCGTGGGAACCTCGTCGGAGTCTGCAATTTTTATTTAGTTTCCATGGTTACCGTTTCTATGGAAATTTATAAAATAAATTTCTATGGAAACAAATTACCTCGCCGCTTATCCTTTTTCTGATTTTTCTTATTCTTATTTTTATGACGACTTCGAACCTCGCCGGACATTTTTTTAATTTCCTTGACAATGTGTAAATCTGCTTTTAGTAATTTTTGATGTAATAAAAAATTAAAAGTTGCCAGGGTGACGATTTTATTGTCGTTTAAAAAATTTCTATTTTTAGATTAGAGCTGCGGAGTTGGAGGAGGAGGGTGGTGATGAGGTTCGGGTGCCAATAAAAGTGCTCGGAAGTTGCGTGGTTTTTTAGTTTTTAAAAAAAGGACGTGGTTTCCATGGAAAGTTTTTTACAATTTTTATAAATTTTATTATTTTACATGTCCATGGAAATAATTTTAGTGTTTCCATGGAAAAACGAAAATCTCACATTCCCCCAGAGTCTCAAATAAACCTACGAAAACTGAATTTTGACCGAGATAATATTTAGCAAATCGCACATTTCTCTATAGTTACGTTTCTATAGTTACTTTATAAAAATGTCTAGTCAATAACCGCAATAAATAATAAATAAAAAAATGAAGTCCCCCCAATTACACTTGCCTCCCCATGGAAACAGTGGCGGCGGTGGGGACACCATAGAAACCTCGCCCTCGGATTTATTTAATAATTTAGCCGACTTAACCGACGACCCCATCACAAATTCAGAATTAACCGACGGGGACCCCCCCGACGCGCGCTTATCCGCGCTTTTCTCAAAGTTAGACGTCAACGGGGACGGGCGCATCGACGTCGCGGATTTTCTCAGCGCGATCAACAAGCGCGGATTGGAAATCTCGTCGAATAAAAAACAATCTTTAGTCAAACAGTTTTTCGCCAAAAGTGATTTAGACGAAAGTGGAGATGTCAGTTTAGAAGAGTTTTTAAATTATGCCAAGAAACATGAGAAAAAGTTGAAGTTGATCTTTCACGAAATTGACCAAAACCAGGATGGCAAAATCGACATTGGCGAAATCACCGAGGTTTTGAAGCGGTTGGGGGTTAAGAAGGTGGATGAGGGGGTTGTTAGGGAGGTCTTGGCGAGGTGAGGTTTCCATGGGATTTTTTTTTGTTTCCATGGCAACCAAATAAAATAAAAATAAAAATTTTGTAGAATGTCCCCAGAGGAAAACGGCCTTGAGATAAGTTGGGAGGATTTCCGCGATTACCTAATCCTGTCCCCCGACAATCTCCATGACATTTTGAAATATTGGCGCCACGCGACGTATCTCGACGTGGGCGAGGACACGGCCGTTCCGGACGATTTCACAAATGACGAGATGATCAGCGGGATGTGGTGGAGACATTTGGTCGCGGGGGGTGTGGCCGGCATGGTCTCGCGCACCGCGACCGCGCCGCTGGATAGGATCAAGGTTTTTTTGCAGGTAGGGGATTGTGTAGTTGGGTGATTGTGTGTCTGTGCGTCCGTCTAAAAATTATTTTGTCCGAAAGGGGATTATGTAACCGGCGTCGGTCCGTCCTAAATTTTTTTTTAATCTGCGCAGGTCCACGGTAGCTCATCCCCCGGGCTGCTCCCCACCCTCCGGAACATGCTGGCCGAGGGGGGATTTTTTTCCTTGTGGCGTGGGAACGGTATCAACGTTCTGAAAATCGCTCCGGAGTCGGCCTTTAAATTCATGGCGTACGAACAGGGGAAGCGTCTGCTCAAGGGGAAATCTAATAGGGAGTTGAAAATCGAGGAGAGGTTCATCGCGGGGAGCTTGGCTGGGGCCGTGAGCCAGTCGCTGATTTATCCGTTGGAGGTTGTTAAAACTAGATTGGCCTTGAGGAGGACGGGTGAGTTGTCATGGAAATTGGAAAAATATTTTCCATGGATACGTGGATTAAAAAAAATATATGGTTGCCATGGAAACTGAATTTTAAATAAATTCACGGTTGCTGGTTATTTTGGTTGCCATGGAAACTGAATTTCTATTTTAATTTCACAGGGCAATACCGCTCCCTGGCCCACCTCTGCAGTCAAATGTATAAATCCGAAGGCTTCCGGGTCTTTTACAGGGGTTACATCCCGTGAGTTTCCCTTATTAAAATTATTAAAAGTTGTCATGACAACGAAAAAAAAAATAAAAAACCCGTTTCCATAGCAACCTCCTTGGGATCCTCCCCTACGCTGGAATAGATCTTGCCGTGTACGAAACCCTGAAAAAATCCTACATTTCCTCCTCCTCCGACTCCTCCCCCAACATCCTCGCGATCCTCACGTGCGGCACGGTCAGCAGCGCCTGCGGCCAGATCGCGTCGTACCCTTTGGCGCTGGTGCGCACGCGCCTGCAAGCGAGCCACGGGATGAACTACTCCATGACGGGCTTGTTTCACAAGATTTGGCAGTCGGAGGGCGTGGTCGGGCTGTATCGCGGGCTGACCCCTAATTTTATCAAGGTCGCCCCTGCGGTGTCGATTTCTTACGTGGTTTATGAACATGTTAGGGTTAAATTAGGCGTGGAGATGAGTTAATTTCCATGGTTACTTAATTAAAAAGACGTTAGTTACGAGTGGGTCTGCTGGGCGGATGTTTGTTGCGCATTCCATATAATTGTTGTTGTCATGGTTACTTAATAAATCGCCATGGAAACGGTATTTTTAAGGTTTTTGTAATTTGCTCATTTAATTATGCACACACAAAAAATTTCCATAGTAACAGAGATTTTAAAAATTCATGTTGCTAGGGGCTCGCTGACCGCGCGGTCCTCCGCTCGGGCGCCCGGCGCGCATGAGGACGGCCTCGGCTTGTTCCGCGCGCTCGGAGACGTCGTCCAGTTCTTGTTGGGCTTTGTTGAACTTGGCCACTGTGGGTTTTAATTGGGATTAATTATTTAATCCATGGAAATAAAAAAATTTAATTGGGATTAACTTACAGTTCAGGGCGGCTATCTCCTCCTGGAATTTTGGATTATTAATTTAATTGGGATTAAAATAGCAATTAAAAATGGCGATTAAAAATAATTGTAATTAAAATTTAATCGCAATTAAAATTAATTACAATTAAATTTAATTACTAATTAATCAACTCACCGCCTCCTCAATCTGCCTCTTGTACGTCCTGATTTTCTGCTGCAGCTTCTCCACCAAATCCTGCATTTTTTCGTGGTTTTTCCGATCCTCCTCCGACTGGAAGGTGAGCTCTTTGACCCGACGGTCGCATTTCCGAACGTTTTTCTGGGCTTCCCCATGGCGACGCTGCTCAATGTCAAGCTCCTGCTCGATCGCGTGCAGTTTTTCCTCCAGTTTGGCGATGATGCGGCGGGCCCCTTTCATCGCCTCGCCTTTGTTTCCATGGAAATTATTAAGAAATTTTTAGGTTTCCATGGAAATAATAATTAATTTTTACGTTTCTATGGAAATTTTAGATTTCCACGGAAATAATTTTAAAAAAATTAGATTTCCACGGAAATAATAAAAAAAATTGGTTTCCATGGAAATAATAAAATTACGCTTTAGGGACCTTTCTTGTGCGACTCTTGCGTAGTCAGCTTTTTGCGATACTTTTTGTGATTATTTTTTACTACAAACTCTGCGAACACAGCTTATACTCTGATCAATAAAGCAATTTTTTTAAAATTACGCTTCCATGGAAATAAAAAATCCGTCGTCATGGAAACTCACCCTCGGCCACCTCCAACCTCGCCTGCAACTCCTTCATCTGGATTTCCATGGCTTTCCGAGCCTTTTCCTGGTTCTGGGAGAACTCCTGCTCCATCCGCAGCTCGTCCGCCAACCGCGCCGCATCCACCATCGCTTTTTTCGCCTTCTCCTCCTGGTTCTTCGCCTCGTTCAGGATCTCCTCCAGCTCGGCCTATGGTTGCCATGGTTACCATTTTTTTTATTTCGTATAGCAACGGGGATTTAAAAAATATAAAAATGCATAGCAACAAAAATAAATACGCGCATAGCAACCATTAAATCCGCGCATAGCAACCATAAAAAAACTCACATGAACGGCCTCCACCTCCCCCTCTAATTTCCTCTTGATCCCCTGTAAGGCACTCACGCTCCCCCCCAATTCCCCCAGCGCTTCCCTGACCCCGCTCAACTCCCCTTCCGCGATCCTCCTCGCGCGATCCGCCTGTTCAAACAACGTCCGCGACTCTTCCAACTCACCCGCGAGCGCATGCGCGCGCCTTTCCGCGATCCCATATTCTTCCCGCGCTTCATCATGCGCGCGCGTTTCCTCCTCCAGCGCCGTTTGCACGTCTTTCAACTGTTGGATATATTTTTTAATAGCTTTCTGCGCCTCCGCGTTCGCTTTGTTCGAATGATCCAAAGCGATTTCGAGCTCGTTGATGTCCGATTCGAGCTTTTTCTTCATCCGGAGCGCTTCCGCTTTGCCGTTGGACTCGGCCTCGAGCGAGGCTTGCATTGAATCGAGGGTGCGCTGGTAGTTTTTCCGAGCGTTTTCGAACTCTTCTTCCTTTTCGGCGAGGCGGCGGTCGATCTCCTGGCGGATCTGTAGAGACGTTTTTTTTATTTCCGTGGAAACGAGGGTTTTTGAAATATATTTATTTCCATGGGAATGGGTTAATACACGACTTATCGAAAGACAGACGGACATGGCAATTACATAAGCCCTGGTTCGGGCTAAAAATATATATTTTCCATGGAAATGGGTTAATATAAAAAAAAATATTTCCCATGGCTCTACGTGAATTTCCAAGGGAAAGGGTTAATCCTAAAATTACTTCCCATGGAAACGCGGATTTAACTTATCATGTATAGGAATGTGTATTTTTATTGATCAGATAAAAAATTTAAATTTAAAAAAATTCCCATGGAAACCGCAATACCTGGCTCAACTCCAACTGAACCCTCAGGACTTTGTTCTCCTCCTGTTCGAGAGCCGATTCGGCCTCCTCCAACGCGGATTGCAACTCATCCTTTTCAATTTGGATCCTATTTCGAGCCTTTTCCAATTCATGGATGTTCCGACCCCCTTCGGAAATTTGGTCCATGAGGTCTTTGATCTCCTCGGCCAGGTTCTTGTTCTCCCGTTGGGCGATTTCGATTTGCTCCAATTGCTCTTCGTACAGGGCTTTCGTGCGGAAGAGCTCCGTGGAGTAGTTTCGGGCTTCCTTTCCTTTTTTATTTATTTATAAAGGGTGTTGGTTGAATTTTGGTTTTAGGAAATTTTATATAAAGGGTGTGCTGTTAATTTGGGGCATTTTTTTAGGGTTTTTTTTATAAAGGGTGTCCATTATTTGGGGTGTTTTTCTGATATTAATAGTCTGAAAAAAACCTGAAAGGTTTCCTGGCAGATAATTTACATTATTTTCAAAAAACCAAATAACCTCTCAGATAAATTTCCAAGGAACTGAGACTATTAATACTGGCTGAACAGTAGAAAATATTATGTAAAGGGCGCCCCCAAAATTCTGCACAAAAATTTGAGGGACGTTCATGAAATACGCAGCGTAAAATCACCATTTTTCTACCCAAAAACAGCTGATTTTCCCACACACCCATTTCATGAACGTCCCCCTTCCCCCTAAAATAATAAAAAAAAACCTTACTCGACGCATCCAACTCCATTTGGAGGTCGTTGACCTTATTTTTCCACTCTTGGATGATCTTATCAAAGTAAATCTGTTTCTTTTCCATCTGACTCACGAGAGCCCGATAGCGATCCACTTCTTGAAGCATGTCCTCCAGCTGCGTCGTCAGGCGCTGCTTGGTTTTCTCCAAGGAGATCGATTTTTGATTTAAGGACTCGATCGTTTCCTCCGCTTCGGATAAACGTGCGAGGAGTTTGGCCCTAAAGAAATTTAGAAATTTTAAATTTCCCTCTCAAAATCCCCCGCCTAAAAACTTTTAAAAAAATCTCACTTTGCCCCCTCCAACTCCTCGATTTTAGCCAACCCTTCAGACTCATATTTCGCCCTGTAAAACTGCGCTTCCGCATTGGATTTGCTGATCCCTTTCTGAATCTCACTTTTCCCTTCCGCAATTTCCTCCAGCTGTTCCCTTAAAGTTTCCAAATCGTGTTCAACGTTACGGAATTTTCCGAGCAGCGCCGCTTTCTCACGGGATTCTTCGTCCCCGAGGCGCTTGGTGTCTTCAAGTTGGGTCGCCAGGGAGACCTGTGGATTTTTAAATTTTTAAAGAGTCAAGGGGTTAATTTAAATTTCCACTGGAAAAGGTTACTACCTTGGCCTTCGACAGCTGGCTAACCGTGGACTCGGCCTCTTCGATCTGCCTCGATAAATCCCCATTATCCAGGCTCAATTTCTTCTTGGCCTGCTCGCACTCGTTCAATTGACGGGTAATTTGTTCAAATTTGTTCTGAACATCGGATAGGTTTTGCTGTAAGTGCTTTCCCAGTTTCTGGCTGGAGATTTTCTCGTTCGTCACGTGGTCCAGGGCCGCGCGGAGGTCGTTTAATTCCGACGCTATGGGAAATTATTTTTACTGTGGGAAGTCACGTGACTACATTAAAAAAAATTAAATTACCCGCCACGCCCCTCTCCTTCTCGGCCTTGCCCTTCATTTTGTTCAAATTGTCAATGTGCTCCGCCATTTCCGCCACTGTAAAACCATGTCAAAGGGTTAATTAACTAGTAACAAACCCGCGTTACTAACACTCACCCGCATCATTATGCTTCTTCCTGACCCCACCCATAACGGCCTCATGATTCAAATTAGTCTCCTCCAGCTCCCTCCGTAACTTCCCCAGCTCGGCCTCCCTTTTCTTGTTCATTTCAATCTGGGTCGCAGTTTGCCCCCCGGCTTCTTCTAATTTTTCCCCTAAATCCTCCAGTTCCTTGGCTAATTCAGCCCTTCCCTTCGTCGCTTTTGCTCTGGATTGGCGCTCGATTTCGAGTTCTTCCTCTAATTCTTCAATCCGCGCTTGTAACTCTTTAATTTGGCGTTGTAACTTAGCTATTAAATTGTTTTCCTCTTCTAATTTAGCAGCGAGGGAGGCGATTTCCTTGTCCTTTCGCTGGATGGCCTGCTCGAGTTCCTTTTTGTTACGCTCGAGATCCGCGAGGCCTTCTTGGTTTAACTTTAGGTCGGACTCGGTCTTGTTTTTTGTTTTTTCTATGTCGCAGCGTTGCTTTTTCTCACGTTCCAGGGAGTCTTCTAGCTCGTCCATGGCGCGTTCTAACTTTTGTTTTATCTTTGAGAGGTGGTTTAGCTTGTCTTCTTGCGCCTAATTTAGGGATAGTGGGGATTAAAAAACAATTTTTATGACCGTTGGAGGGGGTTAATATGGGATTTTTAAACCAATTAACCCATCTACCCACTAGAAAGGGTTAATCCCTAAAAACCCACCGAAAAGGGTTAATACTCCATAAAAAAATCCCACTTCAAAAGGTTAACCCACGGGGGATTTTAACATTTTTTATGGCCCACTAGAGAGGGTTAATGTGGGATTTTTTTAAATTTTAACCCACCCCACCGTAAAGGGTTAATCCATAAAAACTTCCCCTAGACGTTACTACTAATATTACCTGACAATCCTCGCTGGACTTCTTCAGCCCATCCTGCATCTGTTTCTTCTCCTTCATTAATTTAGCGATCAACTCCTCCTGAGAGGCCAACTCCCCCTTTAAATTCTCAATCTGATTAACCTTATTCGCCGTATCCCCTTCAATCCCACTCAATTTCCCCCCTTGCTCATCCAATTCCGCTTTCAAATTCCCAATTTCCTGCTCCAATTTTTTCTTCTGCTGTTGCAACACCAATCTCGCCTCCTCCTCAACAGCCAAACGCGAATTATAATCATTCACTTGGTTATCCAGCTCGTTCTTTTGGGCGTTCAGACGATTAATTTTATCCCCAAAATCACCTCCCATCGCTCGTAACTCTTCTAATTGTTTTAGGACGTTGTTTTTCTCATCTTCGAGTTTTTTCCCTTTTGACTCCGAATTTTTCTTCAAAGTTTCCTCCGTGGAAACGGAATCACTCGCTTTTGAAAGGCGGTCCTCGAATTTTTTAATCTCATCCGCGATGCAGACGACTTTCAGAGTGGGTTTTAGGACTTTCCACAAGGACCACCAGGGCCAGAGGCGGAGTTTTACGTAACTGCGGAGCGAGCGCTGGACGACTTCTAGGGCCAAGCGCTGGGTTTTTAGCTCGCGGTAGGTTTTGCGCGTGAGATAGTTGCGGATGCGGGACTGGAGATAAATCATGATTTTCGCGATTTGGTCGTCGCGGAGTTCTTCCATTTCTCCGAGGACGCCGGCGCGGAAGAAAACTTTTGTATGGCCCACGCGCCATTTGTCCGCGGCCAGGCCGATGTGCTCGAAACATGCCGTCGCGATTTTTTTGTCGTCTTTTTGAGCGGCCATCGGTTTGGAGGCCAGGATTTGGTAGCTATTAAAGGATGGAAAGGGTTAATTGGGGGGTTTCACGTCACTAATTTTTTGATAGTTATTTTAGTGACGTGAAACTCCTCAATATTTCATACCAAAAATATTTTTTTTACCCACCATTAGGGGGTTTCACTTGAGTTTTTTTTTCAGAAAATTAAAAAAAATTACGTGAAACCCCCTAATATCTTACTATCGGGTTAATGTATTTTGGGGGGTTTCACGGGTGTTTATTTTTTTTAAATACTTATGGAATATTTTTTTAAAGAGGTGACGTGAAACCCCAAAATATTAAAATTAAAATTAAAATATTAAAATATTAAAATCTCACCGAAAGCAGAAATCGGCATAGGCCATTCGATTAGGAAACCCCTTCCGACAAATCCTGATCCCTTCCAAGACCCCGTTGCAGGTCAGCTGGTGCATCACCAAATGGGCGTCGATCAGCCCCGGGGTTTTGACCTCGTTGGGGATGATGCAGCGGATGAAGTGCGGGTGCGTCGCTTTTAGCGTGGCCATTAAATTATTGAGTTGCTCGCGGTAGGAGGCGGAGACCGTGATGAAGGCCGAGCCTTTCTGCTTTTTTCCTCCTGGGGATACGGTTTAAAGGGGTGTCAGTTGCCATGGAAATAAATCATTTGTAAAAAAACAGGGGGCACCATGTAAATAAAACCAGGGGTAGGCTAAAGGTAGGGTAAAACACCATGCCAACAACTCACGGGGACCTTATAATTTACACGGATTTGTTTTCAAAAACCATAGAAACAGGGATTTTTAAAAATACAGGGAAACAGTTACCATAGAAACTTTTCTCTCCCAAAAAACAATCAAGGGATTTAAAAAAACTCAATCACCATGGAAAAACTTTATGGAAAAAAACTCACGGAGGACCGTATTTAAAAAACAGGGACAACAATAACCATAGAAACAATATCTCTATCTCTTCCAAAAAAAACCCACAATTACCATAGAAACTCAACTCACAAATAACCACATAATTTCCATAGAAAAAAATTCTAACCGTTTTTTTTCATAAATTATAAATACCTAATATGCACCTGTAAATTGCGTAAATAAAATAAATAAAATAAAATCTCCATGGAAACTTTTAAAAAAACCCTCACCCTTGGCCGTGTCCGCACCCCCGCTTTGCCCGGGATGGTCGGAAAATATTTCCTGAACTAGTTCGTTGGTCCCCTTTTTGAACAAGTCCACGACGGTGTCGTTCAAGGGGTCCTTGTTCTTCTCGAGCCAGGAGGCTATGTTGTAGGGGACCTGTTTTTTTGTGAGTTGCCATGGAAATGTTTTTATTAAGTTGCCATGGAAACAAAATTAAAAGTACCCTACCGTCCCCGCATAGTGCACACAAGCGAAATGGGCCTCCTTCTGCCCCGCCTTGGGGGGTTTCGGTTTGATGTAACACGGGCTTTTGCTCAGCAGGTTGTTGTTCAGTTTTTCAAGGAAGGTTTGGTCCGTTGCCTATAAAAAGAGTTACTAGAGTCGGGCCACGCGAAGTCCATGAAAAAACCCATAACTATCGGGCCACGCGAAGTAAAAGACAAACCTTGGGAAACATGGACTCCTCCTCTAAGATAGAAAAAACCCCCATGGGCCTCTCCATCATGTCGATACACGCTTGTAAATCCATCCCAAAGTCCTCGAAAATCCAGTCCAGACCTTCCCTTTTGTACTCCTCCTGCTCCAACCTACATTTCCATGGTTATTATTTCCATGGTGATTTTAAAAAAACTCTATAGAAACTCACACAAACATGTGATGATTGAAAAACTGCTGCAATTTCTCATTCGTAAAGTTTATACAGAGCTGCTCGAATCCGTTGAACTAGACACACGAAAAAATAAAATTAAGTAACCATGGCAACCAAAAAAAAACCATTCCAAACTCACATCAAAAATCTCGAACCCCGCAATGTCCAGTACACCAATAAAATGCTGTTTTTTATTCGCATTATCCAGCGTTTGGTTACATTTTTTGACGAGGAATTTAAAAACCCGGTCGAAAATTGCCTTTCCCATGGCACCCACGGCGTAGTTGCACTGGTTCACGTTTTGACCTTTTGTGACGAACTCCGTGCCCACTTTTATTCGGGGCTTCACGAAACAGTTGTACAACTCCTCGCCGGATACGCCGAGCATTTTTCCGGTTTTGTCACCCGCCTGTGTTTCCATGGCAACAGTTTTAATTTTTTTAATTCCATGGCAACAAAAATTTAAAATAAACATACATCCGGCGCATCCGCCTGCGCCTGCTCCTCGCGACCCTGCTGTTTAAACTTCAATTCCCCCAAGTGCATGACCCCCGCGGTCACCTCGTACACGTTCTGGCGCTCGGTTTTTGAAAAGGCCAGGATTTCGAAGGCGAGCTGGGGTTATTTTTTAAATTTAATTTCCATGGTTACTTAAATTCTTAAAAAATATATAGTTACGGACATGGGTCTGCTCTAGTTCCGCGGCATCATCCACCCCGGGGATCGTTGTTTTCCCCTGGCTCACAAAATGGTAGTCATGGATATCGTTGCTAAGCGACAAGGACTCTTTCAAACCCTTAACAGCCCCGGAATTAATCTGGTAAAAAATATGGTAGGATCTTTCCAGAGGTTGCTGCGATATGACTCGGGCCTTTTCCAGTAGATAAGTTTCGATATCCCCTCCGGCGAGCTTCCCCGAGGGGCCAAAGTGGATTCGGATGAACTTTCCGAAGCGCGACCTGCGGAATAGAGAAAATTGATAGGACATATTACACGCCGGTTAGATAAGATCACTCTTACGAGTTATCGTTCCTGGTGGTTTTGGCGTTTCCGAAGGCTTCGAGGACGGGGTTGGTTTGGACGATTTGGTCCTCGAGGGAAATTTTGTTCTCGTCCCCTTTGTTTCCAGAGGCCCCGACCAGGGCGAAGTAGGCGATTACCTTTTTTGTGTTTTCGGTTTTGCCCGCGCCGGATTCACCGGTGATCAGGATCGATTGGTTTTGGTGGTCTGTTAATTTTGGATTTTTTTTAAGTTATTATTGCCCGAGTCATGGTAGAATTAGGACACACATGCGGTGGTTACATAATCTTTAAAAGTATGAAAATCAATGGTTTAACATTGTGTTTGACTTCAAAAGGCCCGACCCACACGCGATTTTAGTAACCAACCACCCAAAAATCATCAATTATTCCCAACTTCCAAAAGCCCGAGTCATATGAAACCCCCGACACACCCACTACACACCCCGGTTAAATAAGAAAAACCACCCACTCGTCATCATCTCTGAGTAAGCCCCATCGGAAATGGCGAAAATATGCGGAGGGACTTCATTCCTCCTGCGTCCGAAATAAATTTTCATGGCCCGAGCCGTGTAGATGGGGTATCGTTTGTAGGGGTTGATTGCCACGCAGAACAGGCCGGAATACGTCTGCATTAGGAGAAAGTCTATTTTTAGCCATTGCCTTTTTGAGAGAATTTGGCTCGTTTCCATGGAAAAGAAACTTACATAGATGAGTTTGTTGTAGTAGCGCTGCTGTAAGTTGTAGAGGACGGAGGCGTCGTTGAGATAGGTGAGGTTCGACATGTCCTCGGATTTCTCGTACTTTGGGGGGTTCACCTGGCCCACGAGGTCCTTTTTGAAGGTTTTGTCCTAGGAGTTACCATGGAAATGATTTAGAAAATTTATTTCCATGGGGATTTTAGAATTGGTTTCCATGGAGATTTTGATAATTTGTTTTGAACATGTTAAATAATTCCATGGAAATGTGTATAAAAAACAAATTAATTAATTCCATGGCAACAATTTTTTTTCCAAATCCATAGTAATTTAAGTGCAAAAGAATTTGACTATTTCCATGGGAATTACGAAAAAAAATATGTCCAAAAATACCAATTTCTATGGAAACAAAAATAAAAATAAATAATTCCACAAAACTGACATCCCCCGATGGCAGCTTAACCGTAACCTGATCCCCCTTGGTCCCGGTGATCGTGGCCTGAACGAAACACTCCTTTTCGTCCGGAACCCAACAGGCCGTTTTGGCATCATAAGGCTTCGTCTGGTCCTGGCGTTTCATTTCCAGGGAGACGAATAAAAATGGGGTCGGGTCAGGCTCCTCCCCCGCCAAGAATTTTTGCTCAATCACCATGGTTGCTGTTTAGCAGAGTTATTAGTTATTTAAATTATTATTCTGCGTGGTTATTTATTTATTTTAAAAAAATGACTGGTTACCAAGGAAACGGTGGAGTTGCCAGGGAAATTGAGTGTAAAGTTGCAAAGATGTGAAGAGTTCGGAAGCGACTGAGAGGAATATTTTTATTATGCGATGAGATTGGGAGTCATATTTTTTATGATTTTCGTGCAAAATTCTATTTTTAGCATGGATGGAGTGTGGTGTGGGTGGGTGTCTGTGGAATTTGGAGCAGTTTTTGGGGGTTTTAGAGTCAGTTTCCATGGTGATGAGTTTAAATATTTTTTTTATTAATTATGAGTTTATTAAATTACAAATATTAAATAAAATCTCCATGGCAACGCGCGTTTCCTAAAAAATAAATTACAAACTCGTCATGACGGGAACCCTGGCATAGGCCCTGGGCAGAAACCCGTACTTCCGGCTTTTCGGTGACCACGCCCACAGCCACCTAAAAAATAAAAAATTAAATTTCCATGGCAACCAAAAAAAAAACTTTAAATTGTATACCCCTCCACGGTCTGCCCCTCTAAATCCGCGTAAACCCAGTCGCCCCTCTTCACGCTCAGATCGTCCGGCGCCTGGGCTTTGTAATCGTACAGGAGGACCAGCTCCGTTCTGCAGTTTAGTAATTTAGTAACCATGGCAACCAAAAAATAATTTAAATAAAGAGCAAACCCCAAATTCCTGTCCACCTCCCGCCTGTTGTTAACCTCGCAAAGTTTCGTAACTTCCTTTTTGCTCTGTTCTTCTTTGAGGTAGTTGAAGGGGAAGACGAATGCGGAGGGTACGAAGCCCTCTTGGTTGTCATGGGAACGGCAGACCCAGAACCAGTCAGGGTCGTCCTTATTTAAGACGGTGAGGAGTTGGCCGCGGAGGACGGTCAGGTCGTTCTCGTTACAGGCGTGGAACGTGTAGAGCGTGATGTAGGGGTGCGGGTGGGGGGACTGTGGGGGAGAAGGAAATATTTTTTAGTGTTGCCATGGTGATTTTTTAAAATTTTTGTTGGCATGGTGATTTTTTTAAATTTTTGTTGGCATGGCGATAAATTTGTATAAAAAAAATCGTTTCCATAGTGATTAATTTTTAAAAAAATAGTTGCCATGCCAATAAATATATAAAAAAATCCCCCCATCTCACCTTGCAAAACTCCTCCCCCTTATCATCCCCCTCCCCCCACCCTCCCCCCTCCATCCTCCTCTTTCCCCCCTTTCCCATCCCCCTCCCCCAAATACCCAAAGGGGATAAACCCCTCTTTATTCCCCGTTTCCATGACGACATAGGCCCAGTCATGTTCCCGATAAAGCAGCAAAACCAAATCCCCCCGTTTAACCTCCAATTCATCATCGACGCAGGGGGTGAAATCGTGCAGGACGACGTGGGTGGTTTGTGGGGGTGTGGTCGTCGGAGGGGGTGTGGTCAGACCCACGCGGACTAAGGTTTCTATGGAGGAAGAGCCTGTGATTCGGCCGATGGGTTCCTGGGGGGTCAGGGGGGTGGGGGGTGAGGGGTCTAGGGTTATGGGGTCGAGGGGGTGGGCTGGGGGATTTAGGAAATTTTGGAATTAGTTGCCATGGTTATTTAATTTTTAAATTACTATGGTTACCTTTCTTTTTGCTCTTTTGACTCCTGATTCGAACGGGGCAGAGGAAGGCCATTGTTGCTATGGGAAGGGTTATTTTTGTTGCTATGGAAATTTATTAATTTTTACGTTGCTATGGAAATTTTAAAATATTTCGTTGCCAAGTTTAATAATTTCAAACCTAACTCAACGTTGCCATGGTAAATAAAAAAATCACCTGTCTCAATCTCAACAATCGGAAAGGTGTAATAAACAAGCACTGCCCCAGGGCACAAATCAGGTTTACTCCGTATATCAACCAGAAAAGACGCTTAACAACGAATAAATGCATAACAACCGTAAAATATATAAAATTCCATGGAAATGTTTATTCTTTAATCTTAAAAGGCTTTTATAATCAAAGCTGCTCGTTAAAACAATACCAAGAGTAAAATTAGAAATTTTCCCCTATTTAATTTTTAGCGAAAAAAATATTTAATTATTCCACGAATAAATTAATTCAGGAAAACTTAATCCCGTCTTAATCCAGATTAAATTAAATCCCTAATCCCCAATCCTTAATCCCAAAATTTTAAAAATTAATCCTCAATCTCAATCTTTAATTCCAATATCCTTAATCCGCCAGTCTCTGTACACAACCAAAATAATATGCTTATGGCAAACATTTCAAGTCACTCGGTCAACTCGTTCGAGAGTTATCGAAAGTATTCGAAAGACAGACAGACAGACAGACAGACGATTACATAAGCCCTCACTCGGGCTAAAAATGCTTAAGAATAAAAATTGAAAATACAAAATCCATGACAACGAAGGATATATGAATTCCATGGAAATGCATATTTATCGTGCTCCAAAATTCCATTAAATCACAAAATTTCCATGACAACCTTAAAAAAATCCCCATAACAACACCCCCCCAACTCTTGGAACTCAACTCCTAATTTGACCCATGGATTCCAAGTAGATAAGTTTAACGAGAGTTATCGTGAATCAAACAGACGGACATGACGATTACATAAGCCCTCACTCGGGCTAAAAATGCTGAAGAACCAAAAATAAAAATACAAAAATCCATGACAACGAATGATAAATGAATTCCATGGAAATATCATACTCCAAAATAAATTCAATTTTTTAAGCAAATAAACCACAAAATTTCCATGACAACCTTAAAAAAATCCCCATAACAACACCCCCACTGATATATAAATTCCACAAAAATATATTTATTGTTTCCACAAAAAAATATATAATTTATTCATCATTCTCCACACCAAATTCCTCACACGCACGCGCACACAAAAATTTTTTTATCAGCCTTCTTTTAGTTAAAAAGTGTGTAGAAAAGTAGAAAAAATAAAAAACCAATGGCTTTAATATAGGAAAATTGCATAAGATCCGTGTAATTTCTTTTATTTAGAAGAAGCCGTCGCCAGTGGCTGCAATTAAAAAATTAGTAATTAATTTTTTATTTATAACCATGGCAACCAATAAAAAAAATAATCCACTCACGATCATTGAGCCACGGATAGTTATTTGGACACCGCATGCACGTGTGGAGTCTGATGGTCTCCCCCGGAAGCTCTTTCGACGTCAGGCTGCAGCTGTTCGGGTTCTATGGATACACGATAAAAAAATTTCAATTTCCATGGAAACAATCACCACGGTTACTAAAACAGTTTCTCTATGGAAATAGTAACCATGGCAACCACCCTCTGTGATACTAAAAACCCAAAACGAACTATACATTTACCAAACAAGAGCGTCCTTCTGGGACGTCGCACTTGTCCTTCCACGGGTCGAAGGATTTCACTTCCGTTTTGGTCCGTGGGTTCTGCATCCATTGGATCACTTGGGTGTTTGTTACGAAATAAACGTCCTCGTGTTTTTCCAATACTTCGTCAATCCAAAAAGTGAAGGCCTCCAGGAACTCGGGGTTGTTCTTGAGCCAGGCGGCGTGGAAATAGAGGCCCATGGGGGCGCGGTTTTGTTGGTAGTGTCTGTGGAGTTAAGGGAATTGGTTGGCATGGTGATTTTATTTTGGTTGTCATGGAATTATTATTTTTTAATCAGTTTCCATGGAATTTTTCTAAGAAATTTCCATGGAAACTCTAAGCTCTTATTAGAAATTTAAGTATCCATGGAAATAATTTAAAAAATAATTAGAGTTTCCATGGAAAAACTAAAAATAAAATTACGCTCACCTGTCAAAGTTATAATTCAAAAAGTTATAAAACTGATCCCCCGTGAGGATGTTGTTACAGGAATCCACCATGGCGCACCCGGGCAAATCCTCATCGATCGTGGGGTCCTCCCTCCGATCCAGCTCGTTCATGACCATTTCCCAAACAGCGTGGCTCCTCGTGGGACAATTTTGCAGGTTGCCATGACATTTATGTGGCATCCTAAAGTACATCGTGTACGGCCAGAGGGGTGGATTCGTGAGACTCGCCGTTACCGTGGAATCGTAGAGAAATGCCTGCTCCTCCATCATCACGAATTGGTTGTTGCCTCCCACGCGGAGGTACGGCGCGCGGATGCCGACGACCGAGTTGTCCGAGATGTTGGCGAATTTCTCCACTATTATTCTCATGCCTGTTGAGTCAGAAATTGGTGATTAAGCCCCGTTTGCAGGTGGGAAATTCGAAAAAAATAAAATTACCGGCCATCTCCTTGGCCCAATCATCCACGGTGGCGTTGGACCAGAAATTTTCATCCCCATTGTGCGTGATGGAGTGGGAGGCGATTTCGTGGCCCCTTCGGTGGAGTTCTTGGACAGCCGAGTAATTCGCGTATTTATGCGAGAGGAAAAAGGTGGCTTTTATTTGGCAGCCGTTCGGGTTTTTCCGTTTTTGGGTAAAGATTTCTTTGTATAATTCGATGTTGTTGTTGTTCACGGCGTCGTCAAAGGTGATGGTGATCATCTGGGGGACGGAGGTGGGGGGGAGGTCGCCTAAGAATTTTAGAGAAAATTTGGCTTAAATTGCTTGATTTTTTTTTAAAAAACCGAAAAAATCCAAGTGAAAACGCGGCTTTATTACCAGGGATGGCCGTTCCGTCCTCGGAGCAGAAGCAGTCGGGGAGGACGCAGACGCTTTTGTCGCAGGGTGGGGCCCGGTTAGGGTCGTGGTTTATGTCGCAGTAGGTCTCGTCCGAGCCGTCCTGTTGTTGGCATAGAAATTTATTTATATTGTTGGCATGTAAATATAGTAGTTATGGAAATGCATTTAGTATTTATGGATAAATAATTATGCAAAGTAACCATGGAAAATATAGTAACCACGGAAAAATATAGTAACCATGGAAAAGCATAAAAACCATGGTAATAAAATTGGAATATGAAAAGTAACCATGGAAAAATCCAAAAAGTAACCATGGAAAAATAAAGCAACTATATAAGAGTATATTTATAGTAACCATGGAAAAATAATAATATCAGTAATAGAATACCCACCGCACAATCCTTCTCCCCATTACAGAACAGTGTCCTCTCGATACACGTCCCATCCCCGCAGGCCAGGCTCCCATCGGCGCACAAGGGTTCGTCCGTGTACAGCAGCGGCTTCACCTGGAACCCAAAAGTGAAAGTGTCTTGGTTACAAAAATAGCCCACATTAACCCACAAAAAAATAGGTCACACCTTTTTCTCCTTGGACTTTTTGGCACAGTTTTTCACCTGGTCCTTCCAATCGCAGGTCTGCTTCTCGATGTCGAAGGCCAGCCCGGCGGGGCAGCTATAGTTACGAAATTATGATTTAGTTTCCATGGAAATTGTTATTACGTTTCCATGGCAATATAATTTTAAAAACAAGTTTCCATGGAAACCCACTCACCGAATGGCCTGCAACCCACTCGTCGTACATTGAATCACATCCCTGCACGAGTCCCCCTCCCCCGCGACCAACCTGAACCACTCCCCCGCCTCCTTTTCCTTGCAAAGTTCCTTTTCAAACTCTTCACTCTCTTTTGTAACCTCTGCGCCGGCTGTGTAGTAGAGTAACCATGGCAACCACACATATTATTATTGGCAACCAATCGAGGAAGTGAAAGGATATAATTTAGTCATAATTTATGCTGAATTTTATACAAGAGAGAGAGAGTGCATGCAAATGTGAAGGGATTGATTTTAAGAAATTTTAACGTTTCCATGGAAACGTAGACTTACCGCAGAGGTGCAAAATCAGCGTAGTTACGAGCAAGATGCGGAACTTCATTTTTTTTATGGTAGTAAAATTTGTGGATTAAATTAGCGTTGCTATGGCGACTGTGACGAGAAGTAAAGTAGTCCAACGTCCAAGAGGAAGCAGGACTGAAATGAGACTGACGATGAAGAAGAAGAAGGAGATAGAGAAGTTGGTGGTGCAGTTTTGTAACCACGACGACGAGGAATAATATCTCAAGGTGCGTCGTTGTAAAGAGATTGTGAGGTTGGTATGGTGATTTTAGTAGAGATGAAGAAGAGATTGTATATTTGGTTACTTAGGAATTTCCATGGAAACTAGGAGATAGTGGTGACTGGAATTCATTTGCATATAATAATGAGGAAGTTACTAGGAGAGTGGAGAGAGAGAGGTCATTGGTTGCTATGGAGATTTGTGGTGATTGTGTTGGTATGGAGATTTTCTGTTGTGGAGATTTTGAGATAAAAGTTTATTGCACACGAGGGTATAAAAGTTGTCTTGGTAATAAATATAATAAATTAATTTTTATACAATTTTTTTCCATGGAAATAGTCACGTATATTTTCCATGGAAACGTAAATAATTTATATAAATTATCCATGGTAACGCATTACACTGAGCCCCTTGGCCCCAACCCCGGCACGAAGCTGGCCCTCCTCAGATCATAGACCAAGCCCGCCCCCCTGGAGGCCCTCCTCCCCCTCACCACCACCCCCTCGGCCCCACGAAACTGAGTAAAACGGGGAGAAAGACGAGGCCATGGGCAGCGCCGAATAGGACGATTCCCAAATACATTCGAAAGTAGAAAACGCGAAAGATTTGGCTCTTGGCGAATCCGAGGACGATTATGCCGCCGAATTTCGTTAGGGTTATTCCTGAGAGGACCGAGGAGCCCATGTTTATTAAGGAATCTTGGGAGCGGGAGAGGCGGGTGGGTTCCGGGGAGGTGAGGAAGGCGTGGACGATGTGGGTACAGAATTCGACGGAGATTCCCACGGCCTGTGGGGGGGTTTAATTTTTTTATTTCCATGGTAACTGGTTTTTTTATTTTCAAAAAATTCCCGTGGAAACTTAAATTTTCATGGTAACCGTTTTTTTAAATTTCCATGGAAACTACGATTTTTTTTATTTCCATGGAAATCATTTTCATTAAATTCCATGGAAACTGATGCTTTTATAAAAATCTCCATGGCAACAAAAAATTAATGTATAAAAAAATTCCAACTCACCATAACGAGATTGACCAAACTGACGGCATTGAGGGAAATCCCCCACCAGTACATCATCCCCCCCAAGTCCACCAAAATCATGAAAATCGTCGTCAAGACAACCATCGCAGCCACGAGATTGAACCCCGTGAGGACAAAAACCACGATGAAAATGGTCGTCAAGGAGATTGCCATGGATTTTATCGTGTCGCTCCACATTGTCAAATATTGCTCGTAAAAAACGTAGAAAATCGAGTAGGGAAATACTTCGTGTGGCCCGTGGGAAGTGTTGTTGTTCAGCATTCGGGTTATGTTGGCGGAGATGAGGCGGGCCGTGGAGAGGGCGGAGGTGTAGTCCTGTGGATTTATGATAGTTTTTTATTAGTTTCCATGGCAATGGGAGTTTTTAAAATTTGCATGGCAACATTAATTAAATATTTCCATGGCAACAAATAAATAAATTTCCATGGCAACTTTAAAAATAAAATTCCATGGCAACATTAATTTAATTTCCATGGCAACATTAAAATTTAATTTCCATGGCAACAAATAAAATCTCCATGACAACCCCTCACCTCCGACGACTTCAAAATCCCATGATACGTCATGAAATAGCTCGTCTCCGCTACGGACCTCCCCCCCATCGTCTCATACTTAACGGCCCCCCCAAACGCCGCATGCCCCCCCTTTGGACAGTCCTCATTGGGATTATCCCTCAAGAAAAAACTCAGATACCTCTCAAAATCCCCCTCCCCCACGCCCCCCTCCGGATCAACCTCAATATCACAGGGCTCGCAATTTATCCCTCCAGAATTAGGACAGAACCCTCCATCCGTCCGATTCCGCTTGCAGCAGTTCGCGTTGCCCGCCCAGTCCAGATAGTCGTCGATCCAGCTGGAAGTGGGTTTTGCGATGAGGGTGACGTTCGGGATTTTCGAGGCGGAAAATATTTGGGAAACTAAAGAGTGGGGGTTGGACCCGGCCCGGATGAGGTTTTGGGAGGAGGGGGAGGAGTAGTTGTAGGGGGATTTTACTATAAAATAGACTGGGGGGCCGATGGAGAGGTAGGAGTTTAGTGAGCTGGAATTTAAGAAATTTAGGGTTTTTATTTTAATTTTTGTGCAATGGGGGTGTTCACGTTGGGGTTTTTTTATTAAATCATCGTGGGATTGGTATATTATCTAATATCGTGAATACCCCTAATACGAAAAAATAGCAACTCCGACTCACCGAAAATACTCCAAAACATAGGAATCCTCCGGCATGCTCAACTCCTGCTCCAGCCCGACGCTGACCTTATGTAACAGGCTGAAACTGAAGCAGAACCAGCCCAAAAACACCACTAAAACGGCAATCCGCACGTAAAACCTGGATAAAAACGGGGCGTAGTAGTTTCGAAAAGCCTTGTACAACGTGGAGTCCTTGTGGGTTGAGGTTTTGGTTTTAGGGCTTCCGCGGAGGCTGCAGAAATACAGAAATTACTTCGTCAGGCCCGATGGAATAAAAAATTAAAAAAAACTTCGCCAAGCCCCTCTCGACTCACCAACAAACCACATCGACCCTCTCCCCCCTGGCCCTCCTCCCATCCAAGGCCATCAAACTAACAAACAGGGTAATTTGCAGCAAGAAATCCAGAATCAACGCCAACCCCGCGTAAAAAGCAAAGGCCCGAACAGCTGGCATGTCACTTAATCCTCCTAAAAAGAAGCACAAACTCTCCGAAACGGAACTGAGTAAAATACTTGGTCCCACCTCCCCCACGATCCTCCCCAAGTGCTCCGCGTCCGTCTCCTTGTCTAATTTTGCGTTCCTCTGATAAGTTTGAGTCAGGATAAAAATATTATCCACGCCCACGGCCAAGACTAAAAACGGGATGACTTCTATGATGATTAGCGTGGCGGGGATTTTCAAATATCCAAAGATTCCTATAGAACAAGCGACGGAGGATAAAACTATGGTTACGCCGGCTAATCCCAGGGTGATTTTAGAGTCGATGAAAAATCGGCGAGGCGTCGTGAATTCCCCTAATGACAGGGCGATGTAGAGGAACATTACAAAGTAGGAAATTAATACTGTAGAAATTTCCCCGTGGGATTCCCGCTCGAGTTCGTCTTCGATGGAGCGTTCGGAATTAAAGGCGATTTTTACTAGGGACGAGTTTTGGTGGGAGGTGTAGTTCTTCATGAATTTTATGAATTCCAACTCCCATTCCAGTGCGGGGAGATTTTCTGTAGAATTGTAGTGATTGTTGATTATTAGGGTTATAATGGCGGTGGTGGCGTTTGAGTAGTGGGGAAGTTGAGGGAGCTGTTGGCCCGCTGGGATGAAGCCTCCCAGGACGACGGCGGGGTCGATTGGCCCGCCGTAGGAGCCGAGGCAGGACTGGTGGAGTTGGGTCGAGTCTTTTGGGGAGGTCGGGTTGTGGGAGCAGAATTTGAAGTGGTCGAGATAGTTGTCCGTGGGGGTTGTGGTGTGGAGGGTGGTGAGGTTCGATTGCCAGTACTCGATGGGGCTGCAATCAGGGGGAAAGAATTTTTTTTAGCGGACGGACATTCACTCGGTTACGTAAGATTTATAAAAAAAACGGACACACATCCACCCAGCCAAATAATCCTACCTCATGATGACGCACTCCTTCAACCCAGGCGCCAGAGGCATGTAACAAATGTCCTTTAGCATCACTCCATTTTCACTCTTAAGTCCTTTCAGCTGATCCTGCAACCACACCAACTGCTCCAAAAACTCCATCCTAAAAACAGGCCCAAATGACTCCAACCCTTCACTCGTGTTGTGCCAAATCCTCGCATCCTTCTCCAAAGAAGTGATAATTATCTGCGCCGTTCGGTAAAAAGGTTCGAAATTCCTATCGAAATATTCCTTTTCAATTCTCGAACGTGAGTTTGGCGAGGCCCAGAGTTCCACCGGATTGGTTGTGATTTCCAAGTGGCGAATCCCGTTGGTTGCCATGGCGATGAGGAGGAGCGTGGGGAGGATTATGAACGTGGGGTGGGAGGCGGAGAAGGTGCCGATGGTGGTGAAGAGGGTGCGGAGGAGGTGTTCGAAATTTTGCGACAATTTTGAGAAAAGGGTGGGCATGTGGGGGGAGGGGTGGGGGGTGTGGTCTGCAAATTAGAAGAGTATTTTAGGGTGTTTCTATGGGGTTAGGTTAGTTGTCATGGTAACCAGTTATTATTAGTGAGGCGGAGTCGTTGTCAGGGTCGTTGTTAGCAGCGTTGTCATCGTTACCAGCACCGTTGTTATCGTCGTTGTTACCATGGTTACCATCGTTACCAAGGTCACTAGCACCGTTGTCATGGTTACTGTCGTCACCATCACCGTCGTCATGGCAAATAAGCGTATTACCTAAATAAATTATAAAAATTTACAAAAAAAACCATGGAAACTTCAAAAAAAACTCACCATCTCTCCTAAAAACCAGCACCAAAACGACTATGACCAAACTCCCTAGTAACCAAACGGTTGCCATGACAACGTCCCAGCCATCACGACCCCACAGCAAAAAATCCTCTTTCTTAGGTGGGAACTCGGGCGCGGCGGGACAGGCGTCCGCGCAGTCAACGCAACTTATAGTAAAAAATTATTTTAGTAACCATGGCAACTAAAAAAAAATAAAAAATAAATCACTCTGCCAACCTGCACGCCCTCCCCCCCACCTTGACCCCACAACTGAACGTCTCCCCCGAGATGGGCTCCACCCCCGGGATCGTCTCGTTATCACCAACGTAAATATATTTAATGTCGAAAGGACTGAACCCATTGGTGGTCGATCCCATGTAGTCGTACCACCGCGCAGGCGTGCAGCGGTACGCGCCCCAGGGGCCGCAGAGGAAGTCCATCGCGGGCCCGTTCGTGGAGGACATTATCACAGAGCGGCAGGACTCGTAGGTGGAGGTGGTGTACTCGGTGGAGATGTGCGCGGTGAGGGTCGTGATTTGCTTTTTTTCTACGGTAACCATGGAAATGTGGTTTTAGTTGGCATGGTGATATGTAATATACAAATTGGTTGCCATGGTGATATATTATATAAAAATGGTTGCCATGGCACCGAAAAAAAAATAAAACTCACCCTCCCAGTCCACCACCCCGGTGGCATTCAAAAACCGACTCTGCCTGGGAGAACAGGCCAGCTCACAAAAAGCGAGTCTAAAATTATGGTAGCACCCCGGGCACCTCCCCACAATTGACTGCGGGAGGACAAGATTATTCACTAAATCGTCAACTTGGTCGCCATCGCAACAGAGATTCGCTCCTTCCCTGGCGACGAGTTCAGGGCAGGCGGACTGGAGTTTTTCGAGGGGGCCCGTTTCCAAGGGGAGGGGGGGTCCTGTATAGAGACAATTTAATGTTTGGGAGGGGTCACTGGGGGAGGGGCCGCAGTGGCCGCGCATGATGCAGGTGGGGGTAGAGGGTAGTTGCGTAGTCCCCAGAGTGGGCGTGCTGGTCGGGAAAGTCGTAAAAACCTCCGTGGTGGTTTCCTTGGCAACGAAAAAAAAATTAATTAAACAGTCTCCATGGAAATAAAATCCTCAAAAAAATTACCTCCTGCTCCGTTGTGGTAACACCTCCCCTGACTTCCCCCCATGGCACCAATAAAAAAAATAAAAAGCAGAAAATCTCCATGGCAACGTCTTATCACACCAACGTCTGAAACGAAAATGACTTCACTCAAAACAAAAATAACCAAGTAATGAAGAACAGGAAGTTACCTTAGCTACGCAAAAATAAGTTGCGAGTTTCCATGGCAAAATAAATCTGGTTGCCATTGACAATGACCTTAATTTTTATGGCCACTTCTTATGCAATGAGATTCTATACTACCTTCTCAAGGAAGACGAGTCCTGGGTACTTTTTAGCAGTTACGTCACCATGGAAACTGCATGGAAATTAATTTAATTAATTTATTAAAAAAACCAGGGTAACCGAGAGGATTGGCGGGTGTTGGAAATTCAACTATTTCTCAGGCAACAGCAGGAGCAGGAGAAGTAATAAAAAAAATGATGTGGAATTGATTTATTTATATAGAATTTGTTGCCGTGGATACGTTAAAAAAATGGGTTAGTTTAATTTACTTAATTGGGTGTTTAATTAAATTAAATTTAAATAATTACCCAGGGAACCTAATAACCTATTTAAAGTCATTTATTGGTGGGAGGGAGATGCGGATCCTCATTCTGGGTTTAGATGGGGCTGGGTAAGTACTTATTTTAACGGTGTGTGTAATTATTTGATTTAATTTTTGTGTTTCCATAGAAAAACGACAATTTTATACCGTTTGCAAGTTGGGGAGGTGGTCACGACGATCCCGACGATCGGGTTCAATGTGGAGCAGGTGCAGTATGAAAACTTGACCTTTCAGGTGAGTGTTTCCATGGTGACCAGGGGGAAGTTTTTAGAGTTGGGGATTATGTAGGCGTCGTGTCGTGTGTCTGTTCGTTCGTCTTAAGTCTCGTTAAAGTTATCCTATCGAGTTGGATTTTGGGATAAATGGGGTGTGGGAAAATGGGGGGTCAAGTTAAAAGATGGGTCAGGTGGGTGGTCCCCCTGGGGGCATTGGAGTGGGCGAATCACCAAAAATCTCTACAGAAAAAAAATCCCAAATCCACCCTGACTCGGGCCAAATCCACTACTCACCTAACAAATTCTCTAATTCCCTACCTAGGTCTGGGACCTCGGGGGCCAAACCTCCATCCGGCCCTATTGGCGCTGTTACTATGCCAACACGGACGCGATTTTATACGTCGTCGATTCCGCGGACCGGGATCGCATAGCAACGAGCAAAGCGGAGTTGGTTGCCATGCTGGGGGAGGAGGAGCTAAAATCCGCCATTCTGGTCGTCCTGGCGAACAAGCAGGACATGGAGGGGGCTCTTAGTGTTTCGGAGGTTTATCAGGCCTTGGGGTTGGAGCAGTTGAAGTCAGTGTTTTTATTTTTTTTGGTTGACATGGTTACTAATTTTTGTGTGTGTGTAGGTCTCGAACATTTCAAATTTTCAAAGTATCCGCGCTAAAAGGTCAAGGCTTGGATGAGGCGATGCAGTTTTTGAGCGAGAGTCTGAAGAATAGGAAGTAGTGATGATTTTTTTATGGTTTCTATGGAAATGAGAAAATAAATTATTTTGAGTATTATATTATTTATGTGGAGGGGGGGAGTTTTATTAATTTGTTGTTATTATTATTGGGGGTGTTCATTGTGTGGGTTGAAATGGGGAGGAAGGAAGGGGCAAGTGAGTGCCCCTATTGATATAACGATGATGAGGTAACACACCGACGGACGGAGAGTCACGCGGCTACATAAGAGATATAATTTATGGAGGGTCCCTTATGCCAAAAAAAATAATCTACCCTGACTCGGGCCACGTCCAATCCAATTTCGGGCCAATTCTAAGCTATGTATTTTTACATATTATTATTTGACATCAGCTCGAGACGGAGAGTAAAGACGTGTGGTCTTTCTTTCATCTTTTTCATCAAGTTCTAAGGTGAGGAAGTGCACTTAAAAGTATTAAACAAGCTCCCCCCGCTACACAGATAATTTTGCTTCGCCTGAGCTGTCTACTGCATGCAAAGTCGCTCATTCATTCTCCTTTTTAGGAGAAGACCAATTTTCCATGTTATCTTTGTGCTTATGGAAATAAGAAATAAGATAAGAAAAGTCGTCTGAACGATCACATAACTCGTGCTCATAGTGGAAATGAACCATCCTTTCTTTGTGACCAGTGCCCAAAGACGTATCTTGTTAGTGAGAATTTACAAGCGCATAAGAAGCAAATGCACTCGGCAGAAGCAGTAAAAATAATTGCTTGTCCATACTGCACCACGGGGAAGAAGTACAAAGGGGTCTTTAATCTCAACGCCCACATTAGAGTTCAACATAGCAAAGAACCGAAACCAGTAGAGAGGAAAAAATTTATTTGCGAATTGTGTGGTAAAGCTTATACCAGTGTACAGGACCTCAAGCAGCACATGCAGAAAGTACATTTGAATACTCATGCACCCAGTATTTGTGACATTTGTGGGAAAAAACTGTCGGATTCAAAGAGTCTAAAAAAACACAAGTTATCTCAGCATCAAAAGTCGTATCAGTACAAGTGTGAATTATGTGGGAGTGGCAGTTTGTTCAAAAGTCATCTCATTGCTACCACTAGCTCACTCCCTGCTCTCACCTCGGACAGTTTTACTAAAAATTGTACCAAAGTCATTGATAAAGTCATGGTTATAATTTCAGGAAAAGTTTGTTAATCCACACGTTTCATTATTATTAAACCAAGAGAGCAATAAAACAAGTGAAAACTGATTCCCATCACATTTTGGCCTCCAATTCCGTCCACTGATAACAACGGTTCAACTGTAAATGTGGGAGAAATATGGTTAAAGCAGAGCGAGATATTTGTAGATTATCCTCATCTAAAAACTCCATTTTTTGTCAATCCGGATGCGAAAGGTAATCCACAAAATGCCCGATTTATGCATATTTTCGCTGAAAGTGAATGTTCAGATACATACGTAAATTCACCAACTTGTCTTCCATTTTGCAGGGTATTACCGTGTTATGTATGATCCTGAGATATTTGATAGCATTCAACAGCAATTATCCACCAACCATTCCGCCATGCTTCCCGTAACCAAGAGTCAACTTATGACTACTTTGCTCTTTCGTTTGCAAGTATCTACTTATGAAAATTTAAAGAAATTAACTTTACATTTTTCAAAACCATTTTTCTATGTTTCTCTCAGAATATGTACAAATTTCTGCTGCACTAAACTTGACAAGATACCTAGAAAATGAGAGATCGTTAGTTGTCTGGTCCAGCGTGGTAGCAAATTTTAACCGAATTTACAGCCGGATAAGGGACACCAACTATTTACCCAAATTTCAGGTGATTCGACTAAAAAAGAGTGATGTTTTCTTCGCCAAATTGTTAGAATTATTCACATGCTACAAATTATGCAGGAATGAACACTTTGAGTAAACTGATCCCAGCTTGGAATGCATCCCTCTGTGACTTGGACAACAATTCAAAAGTTGACCGATGACGGAAAAGCGACGCGCATTCTCTTTTACTTGACCATATTTGCCTTTATAAACCATGCGCCGAGTTGTCCAATGACAGAATGAATTCTTGGAAAAATCATAATAAACCGTGAGTAAAATCTAATTACAGAGCTGCAGTGATTATGTATCTACAATTATGTTCGCACAATTATCAATTGTCCATGTTTTACATATAAAACAGGATACCTGCAAATGAGCAAAGCACACTTTTTTGTGCATTCGTAGCCACAACAGAACTTACTAAAATTCCATTATCAACATCCAAATCGCACCCTAATTCCGCTTCTAACGAATTCAAATTTATGAAATATCTTCCAAAAAGCTTTTCGAATTCGTGCCAATTTTTTCGCGTGTTAAAAATTTGTGCTAAAATTTTGTGCCAATTTTGTGCCAATTTTTGTGCCAAAATTTATGCCAAAATTTATGCCAAAATTTTATGCTAAAATTTGTGCCAAAATTCATGCCAAAATTCATGCCAATTTCCTGCCAAAATTTCAGCACACTTTTTCAAAAAAATCCATACCAATTTTCCAACAACAATTTATTATTTTATCCACTCATCAACACACAGATAAATATACACAAATATATATATAACATTTATATATTTTTAAAATATTTCCATAGCACCCCTTAAAAATATGTCCATTCACAAAAAAGCACACTCTTGTATAGCACGCACACTTTTTACACTCCTCCCCCCTCGCCCCCCATTAAAAACCTGCATCCTTAAAAAAACTCTAAACACACAATAAAAAAACCACCCAAAAAACAAATAAAAAAAACACTAATAAAAAACTGGCCTCATTAAAAAAACGAAAAAAAAACTATGGCAACAACGAAAATTAATTCCACTCATTTCCGCGACTCCTTTTGTTTGGTGGGGCTGTTTCTATGACGACGCGATTTGGTGATTGTTGTTGGTTTCGGATTAAATCGGAATAGTTTTGTAAAATGGCGGCTGCGGCGGCGGTGGCGCTGGACGCGCTGGTCGCCGAGGGAGGAGCGGGATGGTTGTCATGGAGATACTCGTTCTCGGAGGAATTTTGGGAATCTACGTCTAAATCAATCTCGGATTTTATTGGATGAGTCATCGAGTGGGGGTGGGGGGGAGGGTGGGAGGGGGAGTGTTGGGGGTGGGGTTTTTTGGACGGAAGGTAGAGGTGGGTCGTGGGGGGTGGTTGGTGGGTGGGGTGGTGATGGGGGGAATGTTGAGGGGATGATCCGGGGGAGGGTCCTCGTGGGGGGGTCCCAGGGGTTGTTAGGAGACTGCGGGGAGAGAGAGAAGAGGTTATTAGTTTTTGGTTGTCATGGTGATTTTTTTTTGTTGTCATGGTGATAGTTTCCATGGAAACAATTTCCAAAAAACCGTTGCCATGGAAATATTTACAATGGAAACGAAACGGTTGTCATGGTAACAAAAACGGTTGCCATGGATACTTAAAAAATCACCATGGAAACTTAAAAAAAAGAAAAAAAACTCACCCCTGCTGTTGTTGCTGTAGCAACTGCCCCCCACCCTGCCCCCCTCCACCCCCACCCCCACCTTGCTGTTGCTGCATCCCCAACTGCACGGCCAACTGCTGTTGTTGAGCCACCTGTTGCGCCAGGACCCAATGATGCGCGGCGGCAATGGCCTGATTGTGGTTGCTATGCGACTGTTGTTGTTGTTGCTGTAGCAACAGATCCGCTTGGAAATCCTGTTGTTGGAAATATGGCTCCAAAAGACGTTTATTTGTGGAAAACGTTTGTTGCGGGGATGGCGACGTGGGGGACGTTGCTGGGGACGAGTCGTTGCCATAGCAACCCTGCTGTTGAGAGGAAGAATTGGTCGTTGTCATGTCGATTATTATTGGTCCCGTGGGGGTTGAGTTGGAGGTTGCCGTGGTTACAGGAACTTGTTGTTGCAGGCAGATGTCTAAATTTTTATTTTTTATTATTTAGTTGTCATGGAAATATTTAATTTTTTGGTTGTCATGGAAATATGAAATTTTTGGTTGTCATGGAAATTTAAATTTATGGTAACCATGGAAATATTAAATTCGGTTGTCATGGAAACAAAAAAAAACTCACCATCCGATTGATTTGAATTCCCCCCACTCCCCCCACCCCCACCTTGACCTTGCCCCCCTTGACCCCCTCTGCCAATTTGTAACAATTCATTGGTTCCAAAATTATACCCTCTTTCATTTGGAATCACGCTTCGTGGTGGTCGTAGCAACAGCGAGGCGTAGTCGTCGTCTTTTTGGAATTTCTGTCCCCCGCCCCCTCCGCCCCCACCCCCCGTCGTGGGGGAGTAGTCCATGTTCTGGTGGATCTGCTGCATGAGGAGGGAGGAGGTTGAAGGGTGGTGGGTGGGGCTGGACAAGTCCTCCTGGGTTTGTGTGGGGGGGGACGTGGGGCAGTCGTCACCGTCGCTGAGTCCTGCGTAGAAAGGGGAAAAAACATTTTTATTTTTAGTGAAACTATGGTAACGATTGATATTTTTTTTTATATAAAACCATGGTAACGATAATTTTGGATAAGTTAAAAATCCATGGCAACGATTAATTATTGTTAAAATCCATGGCAACGATTAAAAAGCATGACAACAAATAATTTTTAAAAAACCTTGGCAACAATTGTAAAAAAATATTATCCCCATGGCAACGATTCATTTTTTTATAAACCCATGGCAACGATTAATTTATAAAACCATAGCAACAATATTTAAAAAATATAAAAAAAACCATGGAAACGCACCATTTTTGTGCTCCTTTTTGCTCAACGCCTCGATGATATTCTTATTCGTGAGCGACTCATGGGGCTCATTGTATTCCGTGTATTTCAGCAAAACCTTGTCCATGTCCGTCGACGCATACTGCACACAAAAAATATAACAATTATCACCATGGCAACCATAATTATCACCATGACAACAAAAAAACCCCGTTCCCACGACAACCCCTCACCTGATACAACTTATTACTCGACGAGAAGATGATCAGCGCGATTTCGCAGTCGCAAAGGACGGACAATTCGTAGGCTTTTTTCATCACCCCGAATTTCCGCTTGTTAAACGTCACCTGGCGATTCCGCTCGTCCGTGATTCGCGATATTTGGATCTTCTTGCGGCCCATTTTTTCTATGATTTTATTTAATTATTTGTTAGTTGTCATGGAAATGTTGATATGGAAATAGTATTGGTTGCTATGGTGATTTATGAAGAGACGGAGGAGACGGCGAGGGAGGTGCGACGAGGACGGCGGAGACTACGCGAATGGGAAAAGGTCGGTAATTTTGGGGTTATTTTTAGCTGGGTTGGGCTATTTTTGGAGCAAGAGAGTGACGGAATAAGACTTTGGTATAGTGAGGAAAAGGGTATGCGCTCGGAAAGCGTGTGCTATACACACGGGTTTACGTCAGCAGGAGCAACACCGAATAGGAGGGGAAAGTCGGGAGTCTCGGGTAAAATTCGGGTTGGGTTTCGTCGTCGGTGGAGGGACGTCAGAGAGGAGATTTTACAGAGAATGTGTGGAACTATGGTGATATTTTTTTGTGGGGGGAATTTTTTTTTTCGGTTGTCATGGCAACCGGGGGGGTTATATTTTTTTATATTAAAAATTAATTCACCTGATTGATAAGTTTATAGTAAAAAAAATCACATAGCAACCGATTTTTTTGGAAATTTTGTTGCTATGCAAATTTTATGGAATTTTCTAAAAAATGTAAATCACTCATTTACCCTTAAAATCTATACACTAAAAAACGCCATGACAACCGATAATAAAAAATTATCATAGCAACTAATTTAGTAAATTTTTGTTGTCATGCAAATTGTATAAGAATTTCTAAATTCCTCAAAACAATAAAAACTCCTAAAAAAATCTCCAATTTCCACAAAAATCACCATGGCAACCTAAGAATTCCAAAATTAAAAAAACTCACCCCTCAAACAAATCCTTGACAACACGAAAACTTTGGACTTTCCACAATTTTTAAAACCTCAGAACGACCACCCCCACAGTTTGACCCCCACTTTGAAGAATAAAACGCACCCCGGAGAAAAAAAGGGCACGGGAAATAAAACGTTAAAAATTTGTTTCCTTGGCAACAATAATAAATAAATAAATGAAAAAGCGATGATTTTGTTGAGGGTGTGTGTGTTTGCTGCACAAAAAATGGAAATTCCAAAGGAGTGAAGACGGGCGGTGGGCAGGTGGCGCGGCGGTGGTGTGAGAGATGCGATGTGGAGGTGGATGCAGTGGAAGTTTCTATAGAAATTTGGGATTTTTTTTTTGAGAATTTTAGGGTGGAAATTAGCACAGATTTGGCAATGCAATTTTAGCACGCCAATTTCTGTGCCAATTTCTGTGCTAAAATTTTGGCACAAAAATTTAGCACGCCAATTTTTAGCACAAAAAAAAATCAACACACTCAAAAAAATCCAAACACATCATCAATTTTTATTCCCCTCAAAAAAACCCCGCATCAACCCACGACATTTCTATTGCCATCTTTGATCTCTGCCCTTTGGGAGTCGATCCTTTTGTCCTGCAACCTCGCGATGAGTGAGAAAAAGTCTTCGTCGGGAACGGTGAGGCCGCGGCGCGGTGGGGCCCCCGCGCTTGAACTCGAACTACTTGGCACGATTTCCACGTCGGGGGATTTCAACTCGGAGCGCTGGTCTTCCAGGCGGGAGCCCTATGGTTATTATTATTTAAGTTTTTTTTTAGTTTCCATGGCAACTGTTACCATGACAACCAAATATACCTGACAACGCATGAGCATGTCGAAGAATGCCTCTTCGTCTTCGGTGGTGGAGCCTCCCGCGGTCGCGGCTCCGGTCGCTCCAGTCGCGCTGGCCGCGCCCGCGGCGCCCTCCTCTGGAATCAACTCCGCCCTCTGAGAATCCATCCTTTTCGACTGCATTTCCCAAATCTGGTCCAACAAATCGTCCGAGGAGGTTGCCATGGTTTCTGGAATTTTTATTATTAAATCAGTTGTCATGGCAACAATTTTTTTCTCCATGACAACTGAATTATTTTTTAAATATCGTTCCCATGGCAACGCACCCTTCTTTTTCCTGTTGTCCACGGGGAGGCTGTTTGTCCGGGTGGGTTTGGATTTGTTGGTTTTGAGATCGCAGCGCTGGTCGTCCAGCCGGTCCGCCTGCACTTTCGTCAGCATGTCGAAAAACGCATCCGACTCCTCGTCCTCCGTGGAGGGGGGGTTGTTCAGAAATGAGGTGTTGGGGGGGCGGTGGTGGTGGTGGTGGGGAGGGGAGCACTGCAATTTTTTTAAGAGTTATTTCCATGGTAAATATTGGGATTTTTTTTTGTTTCCATGGCAACCGTTAGGATTTTTTTTGTTTCCATGGAAAATCGCAAAATATTTTTTCATGGAAACTAAATATTTCTGTTTCCACGGCAACCAAAAAAAACAGTTTCCATGGAAATAGTATAAACAAGGTCCCTAAAAAGGGGAAATCTTAGTGAGGGAGTGCAATCACAACTAATAAATAAAATTAGATTGGAGAATTTTTGCATCACCGCTCTCGGTACCATTTTTACTGGATGCAGTATAAATTTTTCTTTGCATACGCATGAATTCTTAGTTTTATTGAATAAATTGAGGAAGGAATACATTTTTACTGTGTAGTGAACGAGAAGTGGGTTAAATTAACTGAGGTAGATATGTAAGATATAATGGCTAAATAATTCTGAGCTACGTATTTGTTTAAAAAAATATACAAATTTCAATTTCATATATTAATTTGGCTACTCTATGCAAAATCATCGAACCTTTTGAGGGAGCAAGTGTTCTATTTAAACGATTAATGCTTCCAGTAATAAAAATGGTACCGAGAGCGGTGATGCAAAAATTCTCCAATCTAATTTTATTTATTAGTTGTGATTGCACTCCCTCACTAAGATTTCCCCTTTTTAGGGACCTTGTTTATTTATAACTTTTAATTGGGGAATTAGATTGTCCATTGGATGACTGCATTGCACTACCCCTTTTCAGTAGTTTGATCCGGAATAATTTTATTAAATTCTGGGTGTTTAAAATTGAATAAATCCGTTATTTCTTAACCGATTTATATCATTTTGGTCAAAATGTCCGGCCTAGATTACTAAACACCAAAAGACCTGATCTGGAGGTGCAAAACCAACAACAATTTCACGCAGTTTACCAAGCATGTTACAGAAGCAACGATTAGTTGTGCTGTTTACAGTTTTGAATGTAATTTGTTTTCAATTTATTAGTCTTGCGTCGTTGTCAATGGCAATGATTCGTATCACGAGCAGGAATTTCTGAACTTCAAATTGGAATAACTAAGCCAATTCTTAACAGATTTTGATATATTTATGCTTTAAATTTTCGGGATAAACTGCCCTACAATTCGTGGGTATCAAACTGTTGATAACGTTTGCTAGTAACTAGCAATAATTACAAATGTGTTTCTAAGGCTACATTTTTGCCCATAATTCCGGTCAAGATCACGTAATCGCTTAGTCGGATCAGATCCCATTTCTACATTATGTAACAATAATCGGTGCAAAATTTGATCAAAATCGGTTGAGAAATGACTGAGATATCGCAGATGGTCACTTTTTTGGGGTGGGTCAAATGCATACTTAGTAATTTTTTTCGTTGTTAGGTATTTGCCTCACTAAGAAAAATGTTTTTGTTGCTATGGAAATAATATTTTTCCATGGAAACTTGTATAAAAATTCAATTTTCCCCATGACAACAAAAACCCAGTTTCCATGACAACCAAACTCACCACGCTGAAACTCCTCCCCTTCGCCTTCCCCGCTCCTCCCCCTCCGCCCGCCTGCTTCCCTAATAATTTCCCATCCGGTGTCATTTTCAAAATGAGGTTCATTTCCTGCATGGATTTCCTCCTGCTCGTGCTCGCTGCGGGCTGCTCCTCCTCGTCCTCGTCCTCCTCCCCCCCGTCGTCGTCGCTCTCCTCGCAACCCACCACGCCCCGCAGGTCACCCACGTTCATGCGCGCCGTGGCCACGCCCATCTGGTCGCCAAGTTCCTGGCTCACCTGGAGGTGCTTTTTGGCGTAGTCCAGAGCGAGCTTGTGCTCGCCTTGGGCCGAGTGGGCGTTCCCGAGGGACCTGCGGTGAGGGAAATTGGTGTTGAATTTGGCATAGGAATTGGCATAGGAAATTGGCGTGCTAAAAATTGGCACGCAATTTTGGCACCAAAATTGGCATGCCAAAATTTAGCACAGAAATTAGCACAAAAATTGGCATAAAAATTTAGCACAAAAATTGGCACGCCAAAAATTTCGCACAAAATTAGCACAAAAATTCTCCACTAACCAATAAGCCCTTCCCTCCCCGACCCGATCCGAGAGCTGAGTGGCAATGTTCAAGTGCCTCAAATGGTACTCAATCGCGAGGGGATAATTCCTTAGCAACGTGTACGTGTTGCCAAGGGAATAACACGCCTGCGCCTCCACGCAACGGTCCGACAGCGTCTGGCTCAGCGTTAGCGACGACCTAATTAATAAAATCGCCATAACAACCATAATCACCATGACAACCACACTTCAAAACTCACAAGTACATCCTGCTCGCCGTTTCAAACTCTCCGGAAAACACGTGGGCATTTCCCAAGTTGGTAAACGCCCTCCTTTGGGCATTCAAGTCCCCGAATTCTTTGGCAATTTCCAACCTTTTGTCATGGTAACCGATGGCTTCTTCGAAATTACCCATTAAATAATGAACGTTGCCAAGGTTACCACAGGCTCGGCCCTCCGCGGGACGGTCAGCGAGGACGCGGGTCAGCTGGAGGTTTTGTCTGTGGGAAATAATTTTTTTTAAAATGGTCGCCATGGAAACAAAAATAAAATGGTTGCCATGGCAACGAAAAAAAAACCTTACTCATAAAACTCCATGGCTTTTTCGAGGCAGTCTTTGACTTCGTCTGGGAATTCTCCGGGGTCCTGTTGCCCCAGGCGACCCACGTGCTTCCCCTTCGCGTGGTAAGCGTTCGCCAGGTTGTACAGCGCTCGGCAACGGGTGACCTGTTTTTTTATTTATTAATTTTTAGTTGCCATGGAAACGAATAAATCGTTGCTATGTAATTTTTTTAAATTGTTGCTATGGACCGCACATCATCATTTAACTGCGTGGCCAACTCCAAGTGCCGCTTGCAGCATAAAATAGCCTCGTCGAATTTTCCCATTAATTTCAAAGTGTTGCCAAGGTTACCGCTCGCTTTTGCTTCGCCCAGTTTGTCCGTCATCGTTCTGCATTTTTTTTATTTTAATTATTTCCATGGAAACATAAAAAATAAAAAAAGTGGTCACCTAGCCAACGTCAAATCATTTCTGTGGAATAAAACGGCTTTTGAGTAGTCGCCAAGGAAAAAATAAGCGTTGCCAAGTTGCGAATAAATTGCAGACAAGGTTTTCAAGTCCTCCGTCCCGCTCTGGATTGCTGCCTGGTAATTTTGGGAAATTTATTGGTTGTCATGGTTACTTAATTTTTAAAATTTCCATGGTGACCAAACCTCAAAGAAAGCAACGCCTGACCGAAAATCCCCGCATTTACAGAGACGTTCCCCTTCCAGTGCGAGGTCCAGAGTGGTGGACTGGAAATTTAAAATTGGTTGTCATGGAAATAAATTTTATAAAATTAATAAAAAAACTCACCATGGTTATTACAGAAAAAACTAAAAAATAATAAATAAAATTCCACTTGGCAAGTCATCAGGATTTTTATAAACAGAGAGAAAATGTGTGTGACGGTTGCTATGACAGCGACCCGCCAATCGATCGCTTAAAAAAATCTCAGTTTACAAAGTGTGTGAAGTGGAGCACGTGTGGATTTTCGTAAATCTAGTAAAATTTCCACAAAAAATCACCATGGAAACAGGTAAATTAATTTCTGGTCCAGCCAGAGAGACGAGAGATCCGATTCGGGACGACGAATATTATTCCGATTTTGTCCGGGTTTTTGGCGAGTGGCGGCGGTTTTTAGGAATTATTGTCATGGAAACTTTATTTATTTCCATAGAAACCAAAATACGGAAAGTGGAAACCATAACATTCCAAGACCCGGATAAGGAGTTTAACCTCAGGAGAAAGCGAGCCCCATCGGTTGCCATGGAAACCAAGTCCCACGCAGCAACGGCCGTAGAACTCGACGCCAAGAAAACCCGCTATGAAATAATGAAATTCGCCACAAATTCCATGGAAACGGGGGAAAAATTACAGGCCGAAGAGCGGATCGTAGTTGAGCTGGGGGGGCGGAGGGGGAAAAATGCGAATATTAATTACAAGTTGCTATTGGTAATTTTATAATAATTTTATTTTTATTCCATAAATTTCATTTAAAAATAATATAAAAAAATCTCCATAGGAACGTCGAAAAAGGGAAAAAGAAATACAAGAAAATAAAAAAGAGTCTCTAAGGAAACCGATTTTTAAAAAAACATCCACAAAAAAATCGAAAATAAAAAGACCGCGAAAATAAAATTACTTTTTCTTTAAATCAAAAATTTGAATGGCTAATTTCCCGCCAAAAAAACTTTTAAAATTGGCGCCTTCTTTTGAAAAAACCCCCGCGGGCACGCCCACGTTGACGACGTAGTGTTTTACCCCGTTTTCGATTTTGTAGGCGAGGGGGAGGAGCGGGGAGATTATGGTCGTTTTTCGGTTGGGGGTTTTGTAGGTGGTGGGGGTGAGAGGGGGGTCGATGTAGACCACGTGGGGGGAGGAGTGGGGGGTGTGCAAGTTGAACTGGGGGGTCAGGTGGTCGTGGGAGGAGTGGATGATGACGTCATAGGTCAGGGGGGGGATTTCTATGGGGATAAAATAAATAAAAATATTTTAGTTGCCATGGTGATAATTTTCATAAGTTTCCATGGAAATTATATTTAGTTGCCATGGTGATAATTTAAATTTAATTGGTTGCCATGGCAACTTACCACTCTCCACCCGTGTAAAAGCCTCCCCGCAAAGTTTGTACAATTTCTCTTCCATGGCAACCACGGTTAATTCTTCTTTCGGGGAATAAACGACCACGTGGACCCCAAGCGTTGACAACATCCGTCCCGTTGCTATGCCGACCGCTCCCTGCCTGGAAATTTTTATAAAATTAATGGTTGCCATGGAAATAAAAAAAACTGTTGCCATGGCAACAATATAATCCATACCAATGCGGCCCCCCCAGGACCAGCACCCACGGCCGGTCCCCATCACACCTCTCCGGACTCAACCTTGAAGAATTCCCTAGCAACGGGACCACCAATTGCACCACGGCCGTTGCCATGGTTTCAATCATTTTCCCGTGTGGCAACCCCATGGAATTTGCCAAGTTTAAAATCCTGCTCCTGGAAGTGAGGTCCACCCCCGGCACACCCACCCCCGTGTCCGTTACGAAATATTTTATCACGTTTTTGAGGGTCGTGGAGGGGACCAAACGCTCGGAGGTGAAGGTTGTGTCGTGGGGGGTGAAGTGGGGGAGGGAGGAGGGTTGGGATGGGGGTTTGGTCGTCACGGGGACTGTGGAAATTAGTTATTTTTAATTGGTTGCCATGGAAATTATTTTTATGGTTGTCATGGAAACTAGCTTACGTTTGGCAAAAAGTGAATTGTTCTGTTCAAAATCGAATTCCTGGCTCAATTCGGACATGTTTATTTTCTGGAAGGTTTGTTTATTGGAGGGTTTTTGGGGTGGAGCTTGTGGGGGGGCTACCGCCGGGGGATTAATTGATCCTAAAAAAAAATAATCACCATGGAAACCAATAAAAATATACAGTAACCATGGCAACTCACCCAAAAAGCACCTCAAAACGCCCAATTTCTCAAACGGCGCCACTTCCTGGCCAAATTTCCTTGGTTTCGGTTTCGCTATTTTGTGATGCGGGAGTTCTATGCGGATTAATTAAAATTTAGTAACCATGGCAACGGAAAAAAATCAGTAACCATGGCAACGCACCCCTAGCAACCACGACCTCCTCCTCGATCCCCTCGTCATCGGCCGAGTCCGCATCGCTCTCGTCGCTCGCCCCCCCATCCGTCGTCGAGGGGGAATAATTCAAATCATTCTTTACAAAATTATCCGGTTTCCTTGGCAACGTGGATTTTCCAATCACTTGCAGGTCAGAGATTGTCGTGGAGCTGCGGATTTTATAAATTAAGTTGCCATGGAAATAAAATAAATCCCCAAGGAAACTCACTAAACGACGTAGCCATCGGGTAATACTTGACCGTTTGACATGGCATCGTCTAAAATTAGGGCCGTCGGGGAGAGGGAAATTTCTCGAACGGTGCCTGGAAATTTGGATTTTTTTATGGTTGCCATGGTGATTTTTTATTACAATAAAAAATTAATTAATTAACTATTTCCATATAGAAAAATTACTGTTTCCATGGATAAAAAATTACCAATTATGTTTTGAACGCCGCCCGTGAGTTGGTTTACTTTGGTTTTTATGGAAATAATGCAACCAAGGAATTTTTCCGTCATTTTTGGGCTTTTCTTTGGTTTTTTTTAATTAGTTGTGATGGTGATTTTTGAGAAAGTGGTTGTGATCAGATGAGGAGATGAAGTGAAAGTTTGTTGTTTCCTCGTGGGGATTTTGGGTCAGGTTGCCCCGGGTTTGGGTTTTTGACGATTTTAGATGCATTTTTTATTTTATTTTTAGAAATGTTTTTTTTGATGAAATAAAATTAAAAATTTCCATGGGAACTAGGATTTAAAATTGGCATGAGTGGTGTGACAATGAATTGACAAGGTAGTATGTGCTGGGAGTTGGTGCCTCACGCTCGGGGATTCAGTGCCTTGCGCTTTAGAACCTGGTGCCTGGGGATTTTTTGTTTCATGTTGCCCCGAGGGTGTGGGTTTTATTTTTTTTTAGTTTTTAGGGGTGTGAGATTTATTTTTTGATTTATTTTTTTAGAAAAATGTTTGATAAAATGTATAATTTTATTTTATTCATCATAAATAACTAGTATTTGCAGAATTATTCAGTAAGAAATGAAATTGTGCTAAAAAATGTATCACAAAAAGTATCGAAAAGACTGACAACGCAGGAGTCGCACAAAATTGAATTTGAATTTGTTCATAAACGCGGCGAGGATTGGCAAGTACATCTGTTGAGGTTTCTCCGTCAAGCCCAACTTTAGCTCCATCGACACGAAACAATTCTTCTTCTCTCGAAAGAAAAAAATCCAGCACACTCCCTGCTTGATTACTTATCATGTCCCACTTTAATTGAAATTTAATACAATTATTTATTCGCATAAGACTACATTATATAAGCAATATTGATACATTGCACATAGATTTTGATGTATTTACGTTACCGGAACTGATGTAACGCCACTTTTTGCATTTCGTTTTGCAAAATATTTGTCTTGTCGAATGGAAGAACGTCTCTGTTTTACTTCTGGATTATCCAAATACAAGTTTCCATGCTCCAATTTCCTGCTTTTGGAAATCTGTGGTTGATCCAAGGGCTCATGACATTCCCACTGAGAATAATGTGGGTTTTCACACCGAAAACACCCCACTCTGCGGTAACCATTGTACCTTTTTCAAGTTTTCACTGTTCCTGACGCCGAGCAATGTAATGATACAGTAATAATAATCAAAAGTCAAATATCTGAAAATAACAATTGTTATCACATGATCCAGTCCCTCTGCTTGATGTCAACACTGGAAAACAACAGAGATGTTTTCAGTTACAAGCATCCTCAGTGTAGGGCGTGTAATATCGAGAAAAAACCGATTCTATTACACTGATGAAATTGAATACAATCAAAAGTGCACGCCTTATTGAGAGAAATAAATATCTTGAACTGAAATTATTTCCAGGAAACAAATTGATGTGCTCTGTGAAATCTGGAAAATTACATAAACTCTATACAAGCTACCAGAAAATGAAACATTGGTGGCGGAAGGCGGAATAATGGAAATGTAAAAACAAATTCTTATAATAGACGGGAAGAAGTAGGGTTTGTGCTGACATGAATCTGTAATTCAAACAAAAGTATTTAATAAATAATATACACCATGCAAATCCCGCTCAGAGAAATTTATGTTTTAAAGGTTTATGTTATTAATATAACCGTTACTTATCACAACTATCCTTACCTCAGGCTTTAGCATATATGACCATCGTTTTCTTGCTGTTTCTTCCTGAGATTTCTAGAGAAATACCAGACCACTTGTCTCCGTGGATGTTATCCGTGGATGTCTCCGTGAAGGAATCTCAACTGGTCATTTTCCTTTGCACTCCATTTTCCTTTTATGTGGCTGGGGTTCAACCTTTCAATCCAGCGTTCTCGAACTTGCCTTCCGGGGATGCAATTTTTGACCAACTCACACCATGGATGTTGAGAAGAACCCTCAGCTGGTCATCCTCTTTCTGAAGTCCCTGGAACTTTTTTTTTATAGAAAAGATGGTCCTCTGGTTTTCTGGGTTACAAGATTACAACGAAATTATAGCGTGCAGCAGTTTTTTCGTGAAGTATTGAAAAATTAAGGAACATAGAAAATAGTGCACAAAAATTTCTCCCCACACACCTTTTCACCTTGCTCACCCAAAACTAACTACCCAGCCCACCACCCTCGCCATCTACGTCGTCAACAAATGTCCTAATAATCATTAAATAATTGCAAATTTATACCCTCACCTCTCGTTGACAGGATTGTCCTGTTTCTCCTCCGCCAGATCCATCCCCTCACTGCTCTCCCCCAAAACCTCCTCCACCTCCTCCGTCATTTCTAGCCGCCTCGTACTCCTTCAGGAAGACCAACTGCTTGGGGCTAAAGACTCCCTTCCTTCACCTATAATTTGATTAATTTAATATTTAATCGATTAAAAATAGTTAAATAAAATTCATTAAAATTTAAAAACTTACAATCGTATAAATCAATACGCCTCCTCGTACTTCATGCCCAGTTCCATTAATGCGAGCGCGACGAGGACAGGGGCGCGACCCAGGCCGGCCACGCAATGAATAGTGATACACGTCGTGGGGTCAGTTGAAGTCTGTGACAAGTGACGTCTGCAAATCCTCTCGCATCCTTATCGTCATACGAGCAGATGTAGTTCTTCATATCCTTGGAAGAATGCACCTTCACCAAGAGGAAGTGCACAAACTCCTGGAGTTTGGGTGCCTCTGGACGTATTTCCATGATGATGATCAATCCATGATCTCTCCGTCCACATCTTGTAGATGTCTTGTCCTCCTCAATTTCTCCGGACGTATGTGGGTAGACGGAGAGGAATAAATGAGGGACGAGACCGTTTCATCGTCATGGGACTCCCTCTTGAGGCACATGGATCTGGTCCTGAAACAATTCTTATAAGGATAAACCTGGTCCCAAAAGTGGATAAGCTCAAGAGTTTGAAAATAATTATCTGATATGCAAATTTTCTACAAACCTCTGGACGACCAGGTGAGGGACAAACGTCTTCCTTCCGTCTCCTCGAAGATGACACATCCGGATTCCACGCATCCATCTCTTGCGGGGCCCCTGAAGGGGTGTCCTTGGATGTTCGTAATACCAGCAGTGAAGGATGAGGCTTAAATAAATTAGACAAACACAGGATCATCTACTATGTGAAAAGACGCAAAGGCTTTTAAAATTAAGAAAAAAATGATTAAAATAATAAATATGAAACAAAAATATAAAATCATTTTAAAAAAGGGTGCATGGCCCAGAAAAACAGCTTATCCTTTACCCTTCTTTACATTTTATGTTCCCAAAAATGTATAAAATATTAGAACTAAAATGTATAAAAAAATAATAATAAATTAATAATTATTAATAAATTAATATTTTAATTAATAATTAATTATAATATAATAATAATATTAATATAATATTATTAATATTATTATTATTATAATATTATAATTAATTATATAATTAATTATAATTATTAATATAATTATTAATTTAAAAATAATAAAGTAAAGTAAAATACATTAAGGTACCACAAGAGGTTGAATATTTCGATTTTTTCTGGACTTAGCAACATGACTTTTTAGAGAAAATGAGTCAAGACATGAAGTACGGCTCCGCATAACAACAAGAGCATTTGGGTATTTTTAAGAGCTCCCCGAGATGGAGGGGGTGGACTTTGAGGTCATAATGGTTGTTATTTGGAATCATTATATATTTCTGCAGGGTGTATAATCCGTTTCTGGGCTCACTTGTGTCAGGTGATGAGATGTGAACCATTTTTGTCCTCAGAAACATAAAATAATATGGAGGGGCAAGTATAGAAATGCTGTTTCGGAAAGTATGGAAGAGAATATGGAAATGAGACCCGTTATGCTCCCCAAGTAAAACTATTTCGCACGATGTGGGAGTCGTCCCACGTTTGTGCTCCGTATGGTTTTGACGCTAGGACGTTTTAAAAAAAATTCATCATGGTCGACTATTTTGGCTATAAATACGTAAGTATAAGTAACAGCAAAAGGGGACATTTACCAAAATTTAGAGCAGTAAATTTTTTACAAAATTTGTATTTGAACCAAATTTCTACCTACTATAATTTCTGAGAAAATTACAATCAAAGTTAGTGGTATAATTCCTTGCCAACTCTCTTGTGGTACCTTAAATATCTAATATAAAATATTAGAACTAAAATATAAATACTTGTATAAATATAAATATAATTGTATAAATAATAGTATAAAAATATTAATACCAAATATTTGTGTGACTATATTCAACCACGACTATTTTGAAATTTCCAATTTTTAAGGAAATTCCTAATGAATTATTTCTTAAAAAATTTGTAGAAATTTGAAATTTTTATTTCCCTGCTGGCGGCGGGAGCGGTCAACTATTCCAATCGCGGCTGCGGGAAAGCTGCATGGGGACGTCCATGAATAACGTCACCAAAAACCTGCGTAGTTTTAGTCTAACATCACCAATCTCACTCGTATTACCTTTCTCCAGTAGTGTAGAGATTCCTCGTATATTCTCAAAAAATCCCCACTTTCCCACCCACGTAATATATGAACGTCCCCTATAAAAATGTCCATGACCCTCCTCACCCCTGAGATTCCCAGCGGAGACCTCCTTAATACTTATCGATTTCTCTCTCTCTCTTAGTCCAGCAGCTCCACGTGACTTTCCTTCCCCACTAAAAAAATGGTCCTTCTCCCGTGTAAAAAATACATTTCAAAAACCTCTTCGCTCACGAAATTAGCGGATTTCGAGATTATTCAAGAATTCATCGACGATGAGTTGGACAGTGGAGGTTAATTAAATTCATTTCTATTCATATTTTATTTCCACGGAAACCATAAAAAAAACTTTTAAAAAATCCATAGAAATATTAATTCGTGGACTTTATCTGTCTCCTGAACCGTCCCTCCGTGGGGGTGGTTTGGAAGGGAAACAACTCAGTTGCCATGGTGATTTAATTCCGGGGAGTCAAGTGGGAAAGTTGGTTATTTTTTTTATTAAGAATTTTATTTTGTAACCATGGAAATTGTTTTACACAGGGTGATAAAATCTCGACACTCCTCGTTCCCCTTGGACTGCTTGGTTTTTGGGCATTTCGGATGGCGTGATTTGACAAAAGTTAAAATTTCAGAAGAAAATTGTTTCCATGACGTTTATAAATTACCAAAATATTTCGATAAGATTCCAATCAGTTATGCGCTGGGGGCCTTGGGGGGACCCGGGTGAGTTTTTTTATGGGATTAATTGGTGGGAAGGTGGGGTTTTTGGCAGATTGGTAGTGATTTTGGCATGCCAATTTTTTGGCATGATTTTTGGCATTTTTGGCATTTTGGCAATAAATTTTGTCAATTTTTAGGGGTTTTCGCCATTTTTGGCATGTTTTTTGGCACGTTTTTCCGGTTTTTTTGCCATTTTCTGGCATTTATCAACCCCTGGAAGTTTTTGGCATTTTATTAAGCATCCCAATTTTTTAGCCGTTTTTAGCGCTTTGTGCCATTTCCCTGCCAAATTTTAGCATTTTTGGCATTAATTTTGGCACTGCAAAATGTCAATTTTTTTCTTGCATTTTTCTGGCATTCATCCACCCCAAAACTAATTTAATAACGCCCCCCACAGCATCACAGCCCACTGCGCCGTTGAGAAAATCCTGGAGATAAAATCCGGAGGCACATTTGTGGTTTCCACGGCAACGGGTGCCATTGGATATTTGGTCCTACAAATTGGAAAATTAAAAGGTTACTAAAAAAATTAAATCACCATGGAAACCATAAATTTAAAAAAACTAAAAAAAACGCAGGCTGCAAAACCCTCGTGTTCACCTCGACGGATGAAAAAGTGATTTGGCTGAAAACCTTGGGTGCCGGATATATTTTTAACTACAATAAAATCGATCCGAACCAGGTTTTTCAGGAATTCGCACCGGAAGGGATCGATTTTTACTTTGATAATGTGAGTGTTGCTATGGTTACTTGGTTTTTTTGGGGGGGATTATGTGACCGGCGTGGGTGTGTGTCCTGTGGAGGAATTTTTTAAATTTTGACTACATCGACTCAGGCTAAGCGAAGTAATCCTAAAAATTTTACTAATTTTAGATCGGCGGCTCATTCACCTACAACGTCATGAAGCACATGAATTTGAACGGAAGAATTGCCGTGTGCGACGCCATCAGTTGCTATGACGCGGTTACCACGGGTACATATTTGTTTCCATGGTTACATAAATAAATTAATAAACAATTTCCATAGTTCCCTTTGATTATTTGCAAATTGTGGACAAGCGGATTCGTTTGGAGGGTGAGTAAAAAACTAAATTAAAACTTTATGACTCGGGCTTGACGAAGTTTAAAATTTTAGGATTTTCAATCTACGCATATGACGAAAAGACATGGAATGAAGGTGGTTGCCATGGTTACTTGGTTCATAAAAAATAATTACAATTTTTTAATTAGCAATTAAAAATGTTAATTTAGCGATGAACACCATGGCGATTTGGGTGATGGAGGTCAGTGATTATTTTTTTAATTGCCATGGAAACGGTGATTAAAAATTAATTGTTAATTTCAGGGAAAGATTTTAGTGGAGGAGCGAGTTTTAGAGGGATTTGAAACTTTGGGTCAAGCTTTTATCGATCGTTTCGAGGGGAACGTGGTGGGTATTCAGGTCGTGAGGATTTAGTTGTCATGGAAACCGGGGGGATTTTTTTTAAAAGAGTTTTATTTTTATGCGAATGTTATGGGTAACCATATGGAAAATTTGTAATAAATTTTGTTGCCATGGAAATTTCAAATTTTGCGTATAAAAAATAAAAAATTGGTTGTCATGGAAACGGATTTTTTTTAAGGAATGGAAAATTATCCAAATGTTTCACCACAAAATCCAAAAATAGAAATAGACCCAAATTCTTAAAAGTCATTAAAAAAGGTAAATTTACATATGCTTTATTTTACCCTAAAAATATCACCAAGGAAACGATTTCCATAGAAACAAAGTCATTCACTCTGATTACTACTATAGGGTTGCTATGCAACATTTTCCAGGAATTTATATTATCTCCATGGAAATGACATCATGGAAATAACATAAACTCTATTCGTTTACAACAAATTGTCATGGAAATAAAAAAAATGTTACTAAACTCAACTGATTTTGATGGAATTTGCAAAAAAACACTTCATTTTAAAAAATAAAAAAACGCCAAAATTTCCATGGAAACGATAAAAAATCTCTGTCCATATTTTTCAAAAATTTCCGACCAAAAAACACCCTCGGTAACCATGGCAACCACGAGCATGAATAATAAACCCACCTAAACGCAAATCGCATGCTCAAGAACTCTCACTTTCTCACTTTTTCGCAAACGCAAAATATTCCCATCACAGAACTTGGCAACCGACTCCACCCGAGGAAGAAAATCATCTGCGTTGTTATGGAAACTTGAAATATTTAAAAGTAAGTCCCCATTTATTTATTTTTCCCCGTTCCCATGACAACCATTTTTCTGAAGGTCATTTTTGCCTACGTGACACGGAATTTTGTGTGGTGATTAAATCTCCATGGCAACGGAAACAATCTCTCCTTTAGTAACCGATATATTTGTGTAGCCATGGAAATAATTATACTCACGCAAGTTTACGAACAAGCATAATTTAAAGCTTATGAAGGTCATTTGCATAATGTATGTAAGACAATGAAGTGGTTGTCATGGTGATCTCAGTGAAGAAGAACCAGTTTTCCCTTCTAAATAATCCTGATGGTAAATTGTAATACTGTAATTTTTGGTTTAGTCCGAGTTTAGAGGTTGTCAAGGGTGGTGGAGCGTTTGGAGTGTTGTCAAGGTATTTTACACTTTTTTTTAAATTTCCATGGAAACCTAGGAATATTTTTATTTCCATAGAAACCATATTTTTTCTTTAAATTCCATAGAAACGTGGAAATAATTTTTTTTAGAAAATTTCCATGGAAAAAGGAGCTTTTTTGGAGAAAGTTTGCGAGTTTTATTCAGCACTTTAAATTTTTAGAAGAGTTCCATGGAAACCTGCGGATTTTTTTAAATTTTCCATGGATATATGTTTTACAACATAATCATATAAGTTGTATTCGCAGAGTTGTTATGCAGAAAATTATGCACAAAAAATGTGTTAGAGTAAATATCGCAAAACCTGACTACAAGATTTTAAAATAAATATATCCATGGAAACGTAGGGAGTATAATTTCTTACAAAATTTCCACACGAACTATAAACATTTTTTGTTTATAAATTTTTTTTTATAAAATCTCCACATCACTTTTTATTTTCCATGGAAACCTGGGAATAATTTTTTGGAAAAGTATTTTACGATTTTCCATGGAAATTAATTTTTTGGTTGCCGTGGAAATAGAAATAGTGGAAATGTATTTTTAAGTTTTTATTTATCAGAGTATAAGCTGTGTTCCCAGAGTTTGTATGATAAGTAAGAAATTATGCAGAAAAAATGTATCACAAAAAGAATATATATATTTAATTTCCATGGAAACCATTTAATTTTATGGGTAGCCACGCTCTTAATACGTCCGGCAAGTTCATTAGGAATTTTCAAAATAAATATCCATGGAAACCTGAAAATAATTTTTTAAATAATTTCCACAGAAACCATAACAATTTTTCCTTTATAAATTCCATAGAAACCTGGAAACAATTAGCAAAAAAATCCCCATAGAAACCTGAAAAATGTCTTCACTCCCGAAAATATCGATGAACAAGACGATCTACGACAGATACATGTCACTCCCCTTGGATCAGAACTTGGCGCAATTGACGTACATTTGGATTGATGGCACAGGTTGACCTTCAAATGACCTTAAAAGATGACCTTAAACATTACTTCGCCAGGCCCGCTAACATAAAAATGATTAAAAATTTCCTTAGGCGAATACGTCCGCGCAAAAACTAGGACGCACTATTCCGTGCCCAAATCGGCGGAGGGTATGCTGGATTTTTTATGAAAATTTCCATGACAACAATATAAATTTATTTCCATGCCAACACAAATTAATTCCCACACCAACAAAAAAAATCCACATGGCAACCTTAAAAAAATCTCTTTTTAAAAAAACCAACATGACAACCTAATTTCCATGACAAATCCTAAAAAATAATCCGAACTCCCCATTTGGAATGCAGAATTTTCTAAAAAAAATTCCATGCCAACACAAATTAAATTTCTATGCCAACACTAAAATATAAAATCCCCATGACAACATTATAAATTAATTTCCATAGCAACCTAAAGTAATTTCCATGACAACATCCCCCCTCTAGAACTCCCCATCTGGAACTACGACGGTTCCTCCACGTACCAAGCGGAAGGCTCAAATTCCGACGTGTATCTCCACCCTGTCGCCCTGTACAAGGACCCATTTCTCCAAGGCAACCACAAGCTCGTCCTCTGCGAGACTTACAAGTACAACAAGAAACCCACGGAAACCAACCATCGCCACTCCTGCGTGGACGCCATGAACAAAGCGAAAGAGCTGCACCCTTGGTTCGGCATGGAACAGGAGTATTCGCTGTTGGATCGGGATTTGCATCCTTTTGGGTGGCCGAAATCCGGGTTTCCTGGGCCTCAGGGGCCGTATTATTGCGGGGTGGGGGCGAATAAGGTCTTTGCCAGGGATGTCGTGGAGGCGCATTATCGGTGAGGTTACTTAAATTGTTTTTAGTGGCGTGGTTACTGGGGGAAATTATCGTTGCCGTGGTTACTGAATTTTTTTTAAAACCATTTTTTTAAAACCATGAAACCATTACTGAGTTTCTTTTTCAGTTGCCATGGTTAGTAATTTTTTTTGGGTTTCTGGCGTGGTTACTTAAAAATTCTGTTGCCATGGTTACTAAAATTCTTTTGGTTGCCATGGTTATTTTTTAAAAATTTCGTTACCATGGTCACTAAATAAAATTCCTGTTACCATGGTCACTAAAAAAAATTATAATCCCCACAGAGCCTGCCTCTACTCTGGGATCCGCATCTGCGGGACGAATGCGGAGGTGATGCCAGCGCAGTGGGAGTATCAGGTCGGGCCCTCCGAGGGCATCGACATGGGGGACGAGCTCTGGATGTCGCGATACATTCTGCACCGCGTCGCTGAGGACTTCGGGGTGGTCGTCAGCTTGGATCCTAAGCCCATTCCGGGTGGGTTTTTATTTTTTACTTTTTTTTCGGTTGCCATGGTTACTAAATTTTACATTATCATTTATTTTTAGGAGATTGGAACGGCGCCGGTTGCCACACCAATTTTTCAACAGAGGTCAGTAATTTAATTTTAGTCAGTTTTTCGTTGTCATGACAACAAAAATGGGTGCTAAAATTTTGCCATGGCAACGCGTTAATTAAAAAAAAAATGCACACCGTTCAAAAATGCAGTTCATGCACACCGTTAAATAAACAGTTTGCATAACGACACAAAAACACTTGAATTTTTTTATCATCTCCAAAAGAGTTGTTATGCCAACTTGTTATTTTCTGGCAACAGTGTTTTCGAGTTGTCATGGAAATTTTTCCATTAATTGACATGACAACGATTGGCTTTTTCTCCACTCGTAAATTTCCATGCAAATTTATCGATTAAACATTTCCATGGAAAATAATTGTTGCCATGGAAATATAACTCGTTACCATGGCAACTAACAGAGCTGGGATAATCCTGATTAAGGATTATGGATTTTAATCCCGGATTATGGATTATTCGTCCATAATCCCTAATCCGGCAATGAGAGTTTTTTGTAGATTAATCCCAATCTATAATCCCGATTTTTCAGGAATTAGAATTAATCCGGGAATAATCCCATTTGATTTCATTAATCCATAATCGTGATTACGGATTACTAATCCTGATTAATCCCAATCATGATTACTAATCATGATTATTAATCCTGATTAATCCCAATCATGATTACTAATCATGATTATTAATCCAGATTAATCCAAATCATGATTACTAATCATGATTACCTATTCATGATTAATTCTCAATCTGGATTACTCAGTTCAATTCCCAGTTCCATTTCATCCCACTGTGTAGCTTGAAGTCTCAAGTTCTCACAACTTTGTTCTGTCAGCTACCATTTGAAGAATCAACATGTTCTCGCTGCCTTGTGCTACATATATCAATTGAAACTGGCCTTTTAAATATTTTATCTGAAACCACATAGTTGAAGTTTTTGCGTTAGATATAGTGTAAAAATCATTAATCACCAAATTAATCCGGATTATTAATCCATAATCCATAATCCTGAAATTTCCAGAATTTATGGATTAATCCGGATTAATCCTGACATGAATTAATCTCACGAAAATAATTTAATCACAATCCACATTATTTTGTGGTTAATCCATAATCCTTAATCCACCCTAAAAAACCAATAATCACCCAGCTCTGGCAACTAACAACCCTTTAATCCCCACAGGCAATGCGGGGTGAGAACGGAATAATCGACATCGAAAAGGCGATCGACCGTCTGTCCCGCCACCACCTGCGCCACATCAAAGCCTACGACCCAAAAGAGGGCAAGGACAACGAACGGAGGCTCACAGGGCATCATGAGACGAGTAAGAACTAGTTTTTCTTGGCGGGAAATTTTTAAAAAAACTAAAACGGAGAGATATTTAATTGGTGATTAAAAATTAGTGATTAAAATTACTGTTCGTCCAGTATTATTAGTCGCAAAAAATTCTGAAAGGTTACCTGGCAGATTATTTATTTTTCAATTAGCAACCAAATAACCTCTCAGAAAATTTTCCAAGAAATTGCGACTATTAATATTGGATGAACAGTAGTCGCTAATTTTTAATTTTTAATTAGTATTTTTTAATCGCCAATTTTTAATTGTTAATTAAAAAAATATTCGCCAATTTAAAAAAAACCCTCTCCACAGGTTCGATCCACGACTTTTCCGCTGGAGTGGCGAACCGCGGCTGCTCGATCCGAATCCCGCGCAGCGTTGCCGAGGAACGAAAAGGTTATTTGGAGGATAGGAGACCCTCCTCGAATTGTGACCCCTACAGGGTCACAGAGGTCATCGTCAGGACCACGTGTTTAGAAGAGTGAATTTTGCGCGCGCGCTAGTTTTGAATTTTTTTCCCGCTTGATTTTTCGAATTTTTCCCGCCAATTTCCTCAAATATTGTAAAATTGAATTAAGAGTTAATAAATATTAAAAATTTGAATATAAATTCCCGCCAATTTTTTTCCCGCTCTTATGAAAAAAAATTCAAATAGTAAATGCAAAAAATTATCATAAAAAATATATTTATTGACTGCGCGCGGAAGACTTTTTTTAATATATTTCTCCAGAGAGTTACTACGGCAACAACGCTATTATAATTTTTATTATAAATATATTTTCAGTCTACCAAAAAATACTTGCTTTATAGTTCGTCTAATAGTGTTATTTGTTCGTCCTCCTCTTTCGTCGTCATGGTTACGGCCGTCGTCGTGGGGGGAGGAGGGGGAGGTAATTCCGTTGTCATGGTTTCAGAGATAAATCCCCAGCACTCTATTATGTTTATTACGAAATCTGAGTCCTCCACGAGGGCCGGGTTGTTGAAGGTGGAGCTGGAAGATTAATTTTTAATTGGTATTTTTCTTAGGTGATTAAAATTAATCGATAATTTTTAATTGGTGATTAAAAATTAGTGATTAAAATCACCAATGGTGGAGTTGCATAAAAAATTTTAATCGGTATTTTTTGATTGGTGATTAAATTTAATCTCTAATTTTTAGTTGGTATTTTTAATCGCTAATTAAAAACCCACCAAGAATCCGTCCTCCCGCAGTTCAAATCCGAATCCAGCCAAATCCCAAACTTCCCACTGCAAGAAAAAATAATTCAGTAACCATGGCAACCAAAAAAAATTCATCAGTAACCATGCAACCATAAATAACTAAAGACTCACTCCCCCGCCCCTATAGCCACCCCATCCATGCCCCCCTTGACAAAGTACATGTTGTCCCCGGACCATTTCCAGACCCCGAACGGTTCGAGAGTGAAGAGGAACGACTGCCCCGTCCCGTAAAAAACCTCGCTCGTCCGCAACGGCGTCGACAAAAGGGCCCCAAATATTTTTGAGTTCTTCGTCTCTTGAATTACGAGGAGGATGGGGGTGTCCTCCGAAAGGGGGGCGTTGCGTCGGAATAACGTTGCCAAGGAGAAACCGTCCCGGGACGTGCTGAAGAGGAGCGTGAGGGGGTGCCTAAGGTGGGTTTTTTTAAGATTTAATTAGTCATTGGGGGGTTTCACGATTTTTTTAAAGTATTTGTTTGGAGGGTTTTCGGGGGTTTGGGAGTTATGGGGAGTGTCGTGAAAGCCCCCATTGTTTTTTTTTAAATTTGGAAAAAATAAATCGTAGGTGGGTCATTTTTTAAATTAGAAAAAAAATTAATCTTAGGTGAGCCAAAATTAAAAATAAAATAAAAATAAATCTTAGGTGAGTCAGCTTACCCCTCCGCCCTCGGAGTCAAATGCCTTGCCAACCTCCCCAAGTCCTCCTCCTTCAACAACTCGCTCTCCCCGCCCACAATCTTCGGCGTGAGAAACAGCAAATCCTCATTGGAAAACCCATAAAGCGCCGCCCTTAACTCCTCGCTCATGGAAACCACCTAAGAAAAATCACCAAATTACTCCCTCTAAATAGAAAAAATCACCATGGCAACTACACGACCTCTGCAGCTCCGGCTCTACTAAACCTCTAAACACAACGAAAAAGAAGCTTTTCAGGGGATATTTCAAAAAATTACCATGGAAACACAGACAAATCAAGAGAATTTAATAAAATAAGCGAAACTATGACAACCAAAAGTCTTTTTTTATTAACCTCCTCGTTATTGTAATCAAGGGAGGCAAAGTCAGAGATGGAGTCGAGGAGCCCTTGGCCAAAGTTGGTCGCGGAGGAGGACGTCGACGTCAGCAGCGTTTGAGATCGGGAAATCATCGAAGAGAGTCGAGTGTAGGGCGATTTTAACATCTTTTTTTTGGACAAGTTTTTGGTTATTATCGTGGAAATTTATGAATTTTATGTGGTTGCTAAGCTACGGAGAGAGATTTGGGGTTAAGTTGGTTGCTAAGGGGGACTTACCTCCCAGGACTCCTTGTTTGGTGACTTGTTGACGACGTCGATGGCGAGGGTGCTGGTGGCGAGCTGGGCGGTGGCCGATAGATCCATCGTAGAGAAGGTGGTGAGTTTTTGGGAGCGGCTGGCGAGGAGCTAGGGGAGAGATTTTTTGGGTTATTTTGGGGGGTTTTAAAATTGATTTTTAGAAAAAAAAATTCCTCACCTAAGAAAAAAATTGTTTAGATTAAATTTTTTGGGGGATTTTAAAAATTAATTTTAGAAGAAATTTTTTACCTCACCTAAGAAAAAAATTTATAGGTTTAAAGAATTTTTTTCTTAGGTGAGGTAAAAAAAATTCACACAAAAAAATTCTTAGGTGAGGTTAATTTTTTTTTCTCAGGGGATTTTTTTGACTAATTTTATACATAATTTTATTTTATTCTTAACCTAAGAAATTTGTGTAAATTAAATTCTACGTTAAAAAATATTTTCTTACGTGAGGAGATTTTTTGAGTTAATTTGGAAAAAAAGTCTTTGGTGAGGTGTACAAAATTTTAATTAGGAGGTAAAAATTCGTATTAAAAAAATGGTGGGGTTTTTGTGATTTTTTCTTAGGTGAGTGTATTTTTAATTAATCTTATAAAAATTTCTTAAGGAGGTGATTAATTGGCAGAAAAAAATGCTTAGGTTAAACAATTCTTAGGTGAGAGGATATTAATAAATTTAAAAAAATTCTTAGGTGAGGTGGAAAAATTCCCACAAAATAATTTTCTTACGTGAGGTATACCAAAAAAATATATATTAAATGAGGGGAAAATTGTTCTTAGGTGAGGTAAAAAAACATATCTCTTATGTGTAGGATTTTTAACAAATAATTCCCAAAAAATAAATTCTTAGGTGAGGTTAATTTTTCTTGGCTGACCTGCTGATCCACCTCGAATCCATAAGTCTCCGGACTTGACTGGATCCAGAACTGGTAGAGCTCCTGGACCTGTTCCCTGATGACGATGTGGAACCAGTACTCGGGCCGCAGGTGGTTCTTTTGGCCGTAGGACACGATCAGAGGGAGTTTTTGGTGGGTTTGAAACACGGTGGGCTGGGCTGTGGTCAGGAGCAAATACCACTCGGATGAGGCCGAGAGGGGGGTGAACTCTGGAGTTGACAAGGGGGGGATAGGTGGGGTGGGTTGGGGTGGGGGTGGGGGAGGTCACGTGGGTCAGGGGTGGTGGTGGTGTTGGTGGAGGGGAGGAGTCCTGGAATTTTTTTCAGTTGTCATACAAATATTATTCGTTGTCATGGAAATATTATTCGTTGGCATGGAAATGATTATGGAATTTCCATGGAAATAGTTGTTAAAAAATTCAAGAACAATTATTAATCGCCATGGAAACAATAAAAAATCTCCATGGAAACTTAAAAAAAATCACCATGGCAACAATAAAAAATCACCATGGAAACAAAAATAAATATAAACCACCAAATAAACTCACTCTCAAACGACTTCCTGAGAACTCCCTGCATTTCTTTGACCGCACCCACTGTCGCGGTGGCCCCGCCTTGGAGTTCCTCCTCCAAAAACGACTTGGAGTCCCTCTTTTTCTCATGGCTCGCTGTGGGCGGGGCGGAGGAGCGCTTGATCCCGTCGGACAAGTCCTCGTTCGAACTCGAGTCCATCCACGTCAGGGGAAAGGAGAGCCGTTTTAGGGTTTTTTCCTTCTTCTGGGTGGGGCTTTTGGGGGGTGGGGTTTGAGGACAGGGGGGGTGGGGGGAGGGGGAGGAGCATAGGGGGTGTGGTCGAATGTAGGGGGCTGTGTTGGGAAAATGGTGTTATTAGTGGAAATAACCATGGAAATTAATTAATTGAGTTGGCTTGGAAATTAAATTTGGTTGCCATGGAAGGAAATAAGTTTCCATGGAAACCTCACCTCCGTTGCTATGGAGATTTATAAATTAATTTACATAGCAACGGAAAAATATGGGAATAAAAATAATTTGGTAACCATGGAAACAAACTTTTTTTTAATCCATGGAAACACAAAAATTAGTAAACCACCACACTCACCCCCATAAAGCTTCGGTTTCTCCTCGACATTGATCTCGAGCCCTTTTTCGACTTTCATCATGGCGATGTCGGAGAAGATTCCGGCGTGGACGACGATTTCGAGGGGCAGGATGACGCCGTACATTTCCGCCCCCTGCTCAATCACCAGAGGGTCGCTCACGTTGGGGTCAAACATCACCGCGTTCGGGGTGATCAGCAGGGTCCCCGCAACCACGCCCTATGGCAACGGGGAGTTTTATTAATTTGTGTGGATAAGGGATTATTTTCTATGGCAACATTATTTCTTTGGAAACAGAAAATTATTAATTTCTATGGAAACGAAATTTTAAAAAATACTATAATAAAAATTCAGTATCCATATTTCCTGAATAATGAAATAATTAAGTGTCTATGTTTCTAGTTTCTATGGAAACTGAATAAATTTCCATGGAAACACAATTTTAAAAAAACCATGGAAACCAAAAAAAACATATCCATGGAAACAAAATTAAAAAAACCCACAAAAACTCACATTCCCATCCGTGACATGCCTCACGGCAATTTTAGCAAACTTCCTCTCAATCTTCTTATCCTTGTTGATTTCAAAGACTTCGTCGCCATGGTTACCATCCCCACCCCCACCAACGGAACTCCTCTCCGGGACCTTCAACTCCATCCCGGGAAAGACGCACCTCCCGCTCATTAATCGATTTAATTTAAGTAATTCCCCCGGCGTGGTTTCGTACTTGGCAGCGATCGAGGTCAGGGTGTCCGTTGCCGTGGCAACGTGAATTTGGGTGTTGGATTTTTTTGTGGATTGGTGCGAAGGGGTGGAGGTGGAGGAGGGGGAGGAGCTGGAGGAGGGGGGTGCGTGAGTGGGAGGAGGAGGTGGGTGGGAGAGGAGGGGGTGTGCCAGAGGGGGGTGCATGGGTGGGGAGGAGGAATAATTTGGGGGGGAATCCACAGAGCGGGATTTTGTGGTGTGGTAGTATTGTTGGTCGGGGTGGTGGGAGGTGGGGGGAGGAGGGGGGATTTGGGGGGAGGAGCTCGAGGGGGTTCTGCAAATAAATTATGATTTTATTATTTCCATGGTGATTTAATTTCTAAAATATTTCCATGGAAACTATAAATTTTTAAAAAATCCATGGCAACGGAAATAATTTTCAAAAAATCCATGGAAACAATAATTATTATTTTTTAAATTTATTCCATGGCAATTGTTTCCATAGAAACTACAAATTAAAAAAAAATAAATCCATGGAAACGAAAAAAACCGTATCCACGGAAACGTCAAAAAATCCCCATGGCAACCCTACCCAAAGGAGCCACACCCCTTGCAAAAATAGTAGCTCGTGGCGGACCTCGCCAGATCGTACTCCTCAACTTTTTCGCTATTATTCCGAAAATGCACCCTCTCACTCTTGATCGTGATTGGGGAGGACTTTTTCGTGAGTGGGTGTGCCCCCTCCCCCTCGCAACTCGTGCACTTGTCAATCAAAAAATTCTGCACGGACAACATTTTATCAGCGTAAATAAAAAATCATAACAAAATTAATTCAAAAATCCTTTCCTTTAGTTACCATGGGGAAGGTGATTTAATTTGCATGGTTTTATTTCCATGGTAACTTAATTTGCATAAAATAAAATCCCATAGTTACAAAAATCGTTGCCATGGATTTATTTTAATCGTTGCCATGATGCAAAAAAAAATATTTCCTTGGCAACAAAATTTTTATTAAAAAAATAATTCCATGGAAACAGAATTTAAAAAAAAAATAATTTCCATGGCAACAACAAAAAATTCCTTACCCGCCTAACCCCACCAACCCCGCCCCCAACTCGACCCCTTTCCCGACCCCTTTCCCGACCCCCTTAACCCCCCCGACGACCCCCCTGCCCACTTCCCTCCCTAAATTCCCAATGATCCCCGTCGTCAAGTCGACCTTGTTTGTGAGTCGTTCGCGTAAACTGCGTCGATTTCGTGAAATTGCGTCGACTTTCGAACCGCTCGAAGATGAGCTGGAGGAACGACATTTCTCGACGGTTAGATAATCCTCGTCCGGGTTCATTTTTTTTTTCTTTACGGTGGGGCGGGCATCGCGAAGTGGAAGACTTTTGTTGCTATGGAAATTATATTTTTTTTTGTGTAAATAATGGGGAACCAAGGAGAAAGTTTTGTGTGTAAGTGAAAGTCGTAGAAAGTGGTGTGTGCGAGAGGTGAAAGTGGGGTATTGATTTTTTGGACGTGGTGTGAGTGCGCATGCGTCAAGGGAGAAATTGCTATGGAATTTATCTATGGAAATTTTGCTTTCCATGGGATTTTTAGGTGTGAACATTTTTTTTAAATTAGTAACCATGGAAGTTTTATTTTTCCATGGCAACTATGTAAAAATAATTAGTAACCATGGAAATTGTATTAAATTTTCCATGCCAACAACTAATGCATGAAAAATAGTGCGTTTCCATATTATATTTACGTGTAAAAAATTTTATTTCCATAATAATTTCCATGACAACATCAAAATTTTTGTATATTATTCGAGGCTAGGTTTATCCAGCGGTCTATGGAGTATTCCAGAGCGGCGAGCCATCTGGAATTTTAGGAACCATGGGGGTTTTAGTTTATTTCCATGCCAACAATTTTTTTAAAAATTAGTAAGCATGGAAATTTTATTAGATTTTTCCATAGAAATAATTTTATACAAATTAGTAACCATGGAAATTGTATTAAATTTTCCATGGCAACGCACCTCTTCCTCTCATTCTCCGTGTCAACAGCGAGATAATAATGCCGCATGGTCATTTCCGGTGGCAAGAGTTCGAAAGCGTGGCGTTTTCCACCCAGAATCGACACAGTCTGCACCCTATATAACATGGACAATAGGTGTAATAAATATAAAGTTTATATATCATTCAGTACATGTTACCTGTATCCATGAAGATGCGATGCTCCGAAGGCAGCCTTATAATTCAAAATTTCAAGAATTAAAAACCTATCAATAAAGCTTCGCTTAGCCCGAACCAGGAGTGCTTAGTAATCCAATGACCCCCACCGGTCCAAATCTCAGACCTGCCCAGATACATTTCTGCATACCAAATTTGTTCCAAATCAGTCACCTCGTTCCAGAGTTATCGAAAGACACACGCACACGACGACTACATAATCCCCGGTTCGGGCTAAAAACCCATCGCCATGACAACCAAAAACTCACCTCCCCCTGCTGCGAGTTAAAAAAGTAAACCACGGCATCCTTCAGCACACAGAACCTCCTCCCCCAGGATTTGACCCTCCTCCCGAGTTTCCACACCCACCCGGAGCAGTCCGGATTCCCGATTTTCTCCGCCCCCACCAAGGAAACCAATCTCCCCGAATTCTCCACCCACTTGTCCTCACAGTTGGAAATCAGCGTTGCCATGGTTTCCATCCAGGTTTCCAAGGTGACGGGGGAGGAGGCCGTGAGGAGGAGCAAAGGGGTGTGGCCACGGGATAAAGTGAGGATCGAATTGGCGTTGAGGGTGAGGGAGAGGGGGCTCGGTTTCCATAGTGATATTATTTTTAGTGGGGGGGACGTGGGGGTTTTTGAGTAGGAGAGGGTCGTGCGGGTTAGGGTGAAGTGTCTGTAAATTTTAAGAGAAGAGAGAGAGATTTTTATGGTTTCTATGGTAACGGGGAAATTATGGGTTGCCATGGAATTGGGAAATTTGATTAAATTTGGGTTTCCATGGGAATGGAAATAAATTGGGTTTCCATGGAGTTATAAAGTCATAAAAGTGTCGTTATGATTTCCATGGTTACTTAAAAAATTGTTGTTTCCATGGAAATTGTGTTATGATTTCCATGGCAACGAAAAAAAAAATTTCCATGGCAACGAAAAAAATTCCCAACGACAATACCTCTCGACCCACACCCCCCTGGCTCCCCTCCCTTCATCCGAGTTCAGATCCATCCCATTGAATTTCCCCAACTCCCCCCTGAGCACAATTTGTTGATTAAGCTCATCATCCTGATGCTGCTCCTCTAAATCCTCTGTTTCCATGACAACATTTTTCGTCCGCGCTAATTCCAATTCCAGCGACTCCGCCCCGCTCGCGATTCGAACGACGTCGCTGTGGGAACTGTCCAGGACTTGGAGACCATTTATCGACATGATGACGTCACCAACTTCGAGTCCCGCGAGTTCCGCGGGGGAGGCGAGCTCCACGGCGGAAACGACGACGGGCCGGGAGCCGTGGATACGGAAGCCGTATTCGGTTGTGGGGGTGCGGTGCAGGGAGATGCGTTTGTTTATTTCTATGGAGATTATTTGTAATTTTAGGTTTCTATGGAAATTATTATTTTTGTTTCCATGGAAATAATAATTTTTTTCCATGGAAACGGGATTATTTTTCTGTTTCCATGGAAACTATTTTTTTCTGTTTCTATGGAAATAAATTTTTTCCATAAAAATGGAAAATAAAAATGTTTCCATGGAAACTGAATATTATTTTATGGATTACCCAGCTGACACCCCCCCAGTCTCCTGTAGCACTCCCCGCTCGCCCTCCGGTGAACCATTCGATGGGTGAGCGCGATGAATTTTTTAGCGAATTCTCGCTCGCCTTCAGTGGAGTCCCCGGAATCCATGCGCCCAAGGGGCTCGTGTCGGTTCCAGCAGTTCACTTCCTGTAATATATATTTTTTTAGTTTCCACGGTGATTAGGAATTTTATAGTAACCATGGCAACGGAGAAATTTACAGTTTCCATGGCAACCAAAATTTAGTTTCAAATAAAATAATTGTCACATGGCAACCGAAAAAAAATCAGTAACCATGGAAATAAACCCCTCCGTTGCCATGACAACCAAAAAAAACCGTAATCATAGAAAAAAAAAACCCACCCACCTCCTCCTGAGAAATATAGACCCACACCCCCTGATTATACCCCTCGAGATAAATCCCCGTGTCGTCATCCTCATACCCGCTCAAATCATGCAAACTCGCATGTAAACTAATGGAACTCTGCGTACTCGCGTCCATTTTGTAACCATAGCGCTCCTCCGATTTCGCCCTGATCGACTTTTTCTTTTTCTTCTTGTACAACAACTCCTTTTCATCCCCAAACCCCTCCGGAGGTTTAATAATCTCCATGGCAACCAAATCCCCCGAAGTTTCCATGGCAACCGGGAGGGGAATCTGATTTAATTTAAATTTATCCAGGGAATAGGATCCTTCGGAAGATGTCGTTTCATCGATTGGAGACGTTGATTTTAGGGATTTGTTGCTAGGGGAACGGGAAATTATCGTGGTGCAGGGGGTGGTGGTGGTGGAGGTGGGGGTGGTGGTGGTGGGGGCTTCCAAGGGGTGGGGAGGGGTAGTGGGGGGGATGGGTGGGGAGAATAATTGGAGGTAATTTTCATGGAATTCTTCTTCCGTGGGGGAGGGGAAGGGTTGTGGGGTGGGGGGGAGGTGGGGTCTTCCTGGTGGGTTGTGGGTGGGGAGGGGGGGAGTGGGGGGAGGGGTGGGAGGGGTTTTGAGGGGTGGGGGGTGATGGTGGGGGTGGGGGGGAGTCCGTTCGTTTGGGTGGGCTGGGAGACCATCCGGGACTGTGGAAATTAAGTAACCATGGAAATTATTTATTTTAAAATTATGTAACCATGGAAATTATTTATTTTAAAATTATGTAACCATGGAAATTATTTAATAAATTGAGTAACCATGGCAACTAACCCTCTGCGCAACCCTTGGGCTCAGACTGAGATATTCGGACGGCCCCCCGCGCGCGCGATGAAATTTTCCGTCTGCGTCGATTGTGATTTCACGCAAAGGGCGAGCGAGGTCCGGCTGCCGACGAGGGACGAGGGTTTCGGGGTCAGGTTCTCGGGGGTTTTACAGCGACCGTCGATTAATCTGTGAATGATGGAATTTTGTGAAATAACCATGGCAACAAAATTTTGGTAACCATGACAACAAAATAAAATTTGGTAACCATGACAACACGAAAAAAACCCCATACCTCTCCTGACTGACCCCCCCATTCATCAACTCGAACCTTGCCCTTCTGATTTTGTGTTCGTCGAAAGAGTTTGAGGTGGCGGAGCGGGTGAAGTAGTCGGGCGAGTAGAAGGACACGTGCTTGATTTGGGCCGTGGTGGGGGCGGACGGATAGCGGGCGGCCATCTTCTTCATGTGCGGCTGCGGGTGGTGGGGGTGGCTCGAGGTCGTGGGGGCTGTTGTTTCGATGTAGCGGTCAAGCTGTTGGCAGGGGGACGGTTTTTTATTTTATTTAATTTTCCATGGAAATGTATAAAATTTTCCATGGAAACTCGCGTAAAAAATGTTAATCTCCATGGAAACATTACCATTTAAAACATTCCATGGAAACAAATATTTTTTATCGGTCGAGCTGTATTTTATAAAAATTTTATTTCCATGGAAACAAGATAAATTTTGTTTTCCATGGAAACACTCATAAAAAAATTCCATGGAAACTCGCAAAAAAAATAAAATTTCCATAGAAACAATAATATTTTTTTCAAATCCATGGCAACAAAAATGTAAAAAACCTCACCTGCTCTGACCACACCCACTTCCTGGCCTCATTGTACAAACTCTCTCTGCTGACCCCCCCAGAAAACCCCCCATCCCCACACCCCCCATGCCCCCACCCAACTCGACGCTCCTGGGGCGATCCCTGCTCCCCAAACTGCCCCCACTCGACTGAGAATAAACGGGTTCATGGTAGTAATAATATAATCTCGGCTGCTGTTGCCTTAGCGACAATAAATCCTCTTCGGACGTCGTTTGGCGTGGTTGCCGTGGGTCCGAATAACATGAGGTGAAAATGTTGGAGGAAGACTCCGTTGACGTGGCAACGTGGGCGGCGTGATGGCGGTGGCGCCGGCAGGGGGATTCCTAAGGGGATTTTTAATTTAGGTTGGCATGGTTATTGTAAATTTTTTTTTTGGTGTAAATTTTTATGCCAAATTTCGTGCCAATTTTTTGGCACGCCAATTTAAAGCTAGAATTGGCATGCCAAAAAATTAGCACAACTTTTGGCACGCCAATTTCCATGCCAATTTTTTAGCACACGCCAAAATTCCTTGTCAATTTATAAATCATCTTTCCAATAAAATAATCCCCCAGTTGGCATGGTAATTAAATTATTTATTTATTATTAATTAAATTATTCCCCATGGAAACAAATAAATTACCATTAAAACCGTTACCATAGCAAATAACTCACCTGATAAGAGCTCAAACACCCCAAAAAAAGAAACCCCGTTGATTTACTCTTCTCTAACCCCTCCACAGCCTTTTGATTGATGCAATAAATCTCTTTAAAGTCCTCTCTCGAGTATTGTTTATATTTCCTCGCCGTGTACTCATCATCGGACTGATAACCTGATAATCTCGTCGTCATGGTTACTTGATCCCAATAAAATTTCCGTAGAAACTAAAAATAATTTGGCAGTGTTCTTTGGCAGTCTGTATGATTTCTATAGAATTCCAAACTCTTCCCCGAATTCCCGATCTTACCCGGAAAATGAATCTCGGAAACATCACCATGGCAACGGATCAGTCTTTTTATTTATTATTCTCTTAATCACATTTTATAAATACTATAAAATATCACAGTTAAAGCGTTAATTGCATTGTGTGATTATGGCAACCGAAAAAGAATTTTAATTTAAATTAATTATAATCAATAACAAGATATAGTAATTATATTTATTGGCGTTTCCATGGCTCGTTTTTGGAATTGTTTTCGAATCTGGAGTTACGGTTTCCATGACGATGTCGGTAGCAACGGTTGTCATGACGACGACTTCGATGTCGTCCGTGCCATCGCCGGAGCCTTGACCACGTAATAAATCTTCATCGTCCGTTTGGAAATTTGAGTTGTCATGGAAACCTGACCCACTAGCGAAATCGTCCTCGTAATCGTCGTCTTCATCATCGTCATCGTCGTACTCGAAGGATTCGTCGGATTGCTGGAGGTGGGTGGAGGAGCTGGGGGAGTGGTTCAAGGGGGTGTGGTCAGAGGGCCAGAATTTCTCGAGGTGCTATGGAAACGGGGGTTTTAGCATTTTTTAAATTAATTTATTTAAAAATCAGTTACCTTGGCAACGCCCAATAACTCCTCCCGAACTAAATTAATTTTGGATTCATACTCCAAACTTTGTAACTCTGAATTCTGTGTAAACTCTGGATTGGTGTACTTCTCGGGGTTCGTGGACCAGGGGGGCGTGGTCCGGTCGTAGTTGGTTGTTATGGGGAGGCCCTGGAATTAATTAATTTAGTTGCCATGACAACAAAAAATTCAGTAACCATGGAAACCCACCTCCTCGCCAAAACCCCCCGCGAAACAGTCCCCATCCCCATTGGCTGCTTTCAAATTGCAAATTCCATCGAGATAATTGAACGGTTCTCTCCACCCGCTGTTCAAATTTATTAAGAAATTTTCGAAAAATTTCGTTTCCATGACAACCTGATCGCACGGGGTCGTTAGGAGCAGGCCGATTGCACTTCTTATCGAATTTATTGCGTATTTCCAGGGGGATAGTAAATTTCCGGATAAAGTTGCGTAGCAACCGCGGAGGAGGTTCGTGCAGAGGGAGTGGCACGGAAGGGGCGTGGTCGTCAGGAGGGGGAGCGGCTGGAATATTATTTTATTTATTTTATGGTTGCCATGGAAATAAATTTTTAAAACTCACCGCACACTCTCCACTCCCGCAAAGCGTTGCCCTGGCAACCTTAATTCTGCACTCAAAATTCGAATCCTGGAATAAATCGCTCCAATTCACCGCGGATAATTTTGACAAACCCGTTTCCGTGGTTTTTAATAAATTCGTTATGTTTCCATCCGTGCAGGTTATTCCTAATTTTTAAAAAAATAATTAATCACCATGGTTACTATAATCAATCACCATGACTACAAAACTCACCCCCCACGACCCCCGCGGCATCCCCCAGCCCCCTCGACATCCCAGCAAACTCCCTCCCCACGATATTGCTCAACTCGGTTTTAAATATATTTTCCTTATCCATATTATTTTCATTTCCATGGCAACAGGTGAATATTTTCTGCGTTGCCAACGGTGTACAAAATGTTTCTATGGAAAAATAAAAATTATTTTTCATTGTCATGACAACAAAATAATATAAAATTACCATTGGTGAACAAAGGCACGAGCCCGTTGGAACACGAGAGCGTCGTTCCATCGGATTTGAAATTGTTCGGAAATGCACAGGTGAAACTTATCAAAAAAGATAAGACCCATGGGGTGACTAGATTTTGCATGGTTGCCATGACGGGTTTTATTTAATTTTTTATTATAATTTGGTTGTCATGGAAATTAATTTTATTTTAGCGTAACTATGGCACTTAGGAATTATTCAAAATTAATATTTATTTAAAAACGTTTTCACACAAATTTTAAAAGAAAAACGTTTATTTCCTCCTCAAAAACGTGCGTGAAACCAAGGAAACACTGACACAAAAATTTCCATTCAAACTCCACTTGAGTCGATCCGAGGAGACCCTTTTTTGCTGCTCAGGAATTCCTTCACTTCACCTCTGAAATTCCACCTCATGCACCTTTTCCTCTCCAAAAAGGCACCTTTTATTACCTCCTCGCTCTCACAACCCAAATTCCTCCCAGGCCACACACCTAGTGGATTTTCGGAATTTTATTTTTATTCCCCGTTTCCATGGTTACTCGCCAAATATATTAAATCCACTTGCAAAATGAGATTTCTGCAAATCACGTGTCGATGTGCAAAAAATTATGATGTTTTTCAGGTTGCCCCGGGGTAATTATGCAAATAATCATGGAATTAATCATGGAAATAGTTGTCATGGAAATAATGAAAATAATCCCCATGGAAACAAAATCGCATAAAGACAAAAATAATTTATTCAATAAACAATTCCACTTTTTATAAAGTTTTCCATGGAGAATTCGTTGAGAGTGGAGCGCTTTTCTCGCGCGGAGCGCTTTTTCGATGAGGTCGTCGTCGTTAAGGAAGGGAACCTACACGTTTCCATGGAAATTAATTAATAATTAAAAAATTAAAATAAAACTCACATCTGTGGCATGAACTGCGAGGCCAGTGCAAACAAGGAAAAAGCAGGGACGAAAAACGACAAATTAACCGATCTCGGGCTCAATTGGCGTTGTTGGCTGGGCGACAATTTCGTCAAATCCGGGGAGGAAGTGAGGTCCAGAACTGTGTAATTTTATAAATTTTTTCGTAAACTTTATAAAAAAAAATTAGGAATTAAAAAATTACCCTTCAACTCCGCGCCCCCCACCCCCCAGCAAATCACCATGGCAACGGAAATGACGATTAATTTCCTAAACTCCATAGTTACCAAGGCAGGTGCGATAATGACGGCTATAAAAAAAGGACTGTCAATTTTTTTACGGTCGTCATGGCATTTATATAAAAAAAATCAGGGTGACCTCGATTCGGGGAATAGTGGTTGTCATGGCGATTTGGTGGCATTGTTTGTATGTGGGACGCGTGTAGAGTGTGGGTATTTTTAGACTTTTGAAGTTGTTGAAGAATGACTTGCGGATTTTTTTTTGGTGGCATACTTTTGGGGGTGGGGGAATGGGGATTTTTTGGGGGGTTAATTAATTGGGGTGATTGGGGGGAGGTCAAGTGCGGGGGTGGGGAGATTTTTGTTATGGGGGTTTTCACGGTATTAGTTGCTATGGAAATTATTTTAATATTAGGGGTTTTCACATTTAGCATCAACATCGCAATTTATTCCTAAAAATCATTAAAAAATTGCAAAATTTCGAATCCCCAATTTTCGTAAACCTCGCAAAAATTTACGCATTTTACAAAAGTGACGTGAATCCTAGCACAACTCGCCCAACTCAACTCAATAAATAGCCCACAAACAAGGGGGCGTCCATGCATTTCGTCACAAAATAAAACTCATTCATCACAAAAATCACATAAGAAAACTGCTCAAAACTCTTGAAAATCATAAAAAAAATCCCAAACCCCCGATGACGTCCTCCCTGCACGCCCCCCTCCATCATCCTCACTCTGACATCACTCTCTCGACTTCAGTTCTTCCTCAACTTTCACAGACACAGATTTTTCTGACATTTTCCAAATTTATTTCGTGATTTTATTTAAAAATACAAAATGGCTCGCGGACAGCAGAAATTGCAATCACAGGCCAAAGCTCAGGAGAAGCAGGTATAAACGTTTTGTCAGTGTTTTTTGAGCGTTTCTAAGGAGACGTTTTCTAATTCTAAATAATAAACGTTTTTTTTAATTTTTTTAATCGTTTCTAAGGAAAAGTTTTCTAAATAATAATCTAAACAATAAACGTTTTGTTTCCCCCTAAATTACAGGCCAAAATAAGTAAACAGCAAGGTCACAGCCTGTCCGCGCAGAAGGACGCGGCCGCAAAAGCGCTCAAAATCAGCTGCGCCATTTGCAAGGTAATCACTCTAAGATTAAGTTTTGAGAAACGTTTATTTAAATAAAGACGTAAATAAAAACGTTTTTCCAAACTAAAATCTTAAATTTAATCTTTCTAAAAACGTTTAATTGTATAAAACTCAAAAACGTTTTTAAAATACGTTTAAAATTGCTTTTCAAAAACGTTTTCACTAAAATTCCGCAAAATTTCAACCTAAAAAACGTTTCTATTTCCCTATTGCAGTCGCAAATGCCTGACCCCAAAACGTACAAGCAGCACTTTGAGAACAAGCACGGAAAGTCCCCGCTTCCAGAAGAACTCAAAGATTTGTAAAAATTAAATTCCATCATCAAAAATTTGTCAACTAAAATTAATTATGCGCCTTTCTAATTTTTTATAAAAAATAAATCAGCTGATCACGTATTAATTTCCATGGCAATATTTATTTATTTACGTAATTTCCATGGCAATATATTTATTTCAAAAAAATTGGTGCATATTAATTTTGTCCCAAAAGTACGAGATCGTCCACGACGACGTTCGAAATGTGGAGGTAGATTATCCAATACAGAGTGTTGAAGCAGACTAAATGGGAAATTATTCTTATGTGAGTCAAATTAATTAATAAAAAAAAATTCTTAGGTGATTTACCAAAGCAAACGGGAAAGACGACCCTGGAGTATTTGTCAATGTCGCTCGGGGTGATTCCGCAGATTTGGTTCGGATTTATCGGGATTATTTGTCGGATCTTCTCCGTGCCAATGAATTTCCTTTGGTTAAATGAGGTGGATGGTTGAGGTTGCTGTGGAAACAGCTGGTGCGCGTTTTGCAGGGAATTTGCCATTTTCTGCAGCGCCGCAAAGTGGTTCTTGCGCATTTGGATGCGCTTCGCGAGGTAGCCCACCGTGGCGTATTCTAAGGATTTTAGTTATTTTAGCCGTTGCCATGGTGATTTTTAAATAAAGTTACCCAGCAACGCGGCGAAAACCATGACGAAGCAGGTGCCGAGGAACACGTCGCTATGGAGATTTTATTAGTTTTATGGAGTGATTTTTTTAAGATTAAAAAAAACTCACATGGATTTGACGTAGCTAATTTTTGGGAGTGCTTTGTTCGTCGAACTCATGAGCGTTGTCATGGTGAGGACCTGTTTTTAATTTTTAATTAGTTGCCATGGAAAAATGAGATTAAAAAAATAACTAACCGTCGTAATTCCCAAGTAAACTCGAGCGGGTGCTATGGAAATTTTAAGATATTTAATTAACCCTTTCAAGCGGTATAAAAAAATTAACCCCCTACCCGCATTGCGATTGAGCCAGAAGGACACCCAGGAAATGACCACGATCAACGACGAAGGAATGTAAATCTGAATTAAATAATACCCCATCGACCTCACAAACTGGATCTCGCACGCCAATCTCGAGTAGTTTCCCGTGGAGAGCGAGATTTCAAAGGCTTTCTGCCGGTAGCCCATGACCTGCAATTTAGTGAGTTATTATGGTTGCCATGGAAATATATTTAAAAAAATAACCCACCTTAAACTGGGGCAGGCTAACATCATTGGAGACCCCCACGCTCCCCGCCCCCTTGGCCCACTTGTAGCGGATGTCGCTCATGGTGTAGCCGACTAGGATTTTATTTAAAAATAATTATTTAGTTTCCATGACAAAGGGTTAAATACATACATGACTCAATCTCGATGTTGCAGAGCTGGGAGTCCATAGGAAAATGTCTCAAATCCATGGGGCAGCTGGCCGTGACGGTCAAGCGGATCGAGCGGAGGATGTCCCCGTTGTCGGAAATTCGCAAAAACTCGTTGGAAGTCGTGGCCGTGTGGAAATAGGAGGTTTTTTCATTTACGAAGAACGTGTCCGGCACCCACCTGAAAGGGTTAATTTTGGTTAAATTTCGGAAAAAATTAGTAATTTTTAGTAGGAAATTTAGGAAATTACTCACATCGTCGAGAGGAACTCGCTCCCCACCTAAGAAAAAATTATTTATTAATTTAAACAAAAACTAAGTAACCATGGCAACGCTTACACTCAAAGTTTTGACCGGCCCGGTAAAAGACAAACGATTGTCGCTCCACATTTGTCGAAAATAAAAGTCCAGCGTGAAGTCCTATAATATTTTTTTTAGTTGCCATGGAGATAATTTTTAATAAAAAGTGCAGAGCATGCAATCACCATGAGAACTTCGGAGATGCTGGAAATGCTTAGAACGTACATGGTCACGCTATATTTATGGAGTTAATTTTTGGTTACTATGGAAATTTTTTTTGGGATGGGAATTTTATTTTTTGAGTTACCCCACGCTTACGGGTTCACCTAAGGAAAAGTAAATTTTATAAAATTAGGTTGCCATGCAACGACATTCAGTGGGTGTGTCTCAAGTGGGTGTGGTGTGTGTTATAAGCGGTTTTGGTGGGTGTGACTCGGTGGGTGTGGTGATTGTCAGTGAATAAATGTAATTTTAATAAAAATCACCATGTGAACTTCAGAGAGTGAATGTAGACTATAAAAATTTATTTAATAAAAAAAATTTAAAATTCTGTTGTCATGGAAACGTAAATTTATTTTTATGTATACCTCAAAACAAACATTGAAATTGTAACCTCCACGGCTTCCCCTTTTTTTCATGGATATATTTTTTTTGTATAAATTCGTGTATAAATTTCCATGGAAACGATTAAAAAAAACTCACCTCCATAGTTGGGTCTCACTCTTTTGTCATAATTCGCGGAGAAAGCGTCCAAAATTGCGGTGATATTTCTCGATAAGGTTTTTAATTCGTCGTGCGAGGGGAAGGTCGTCGAGGGGCCGGACGATGAAGGGGAGGGGGAGCGGCGGGGTTTCCTGGGGGTTTTATTTATTGTTGTCATGGTAATTAAGTTAAAATTAATTTTTATTTCCATGGTTACAAATTGATATGAAAAAATTACCCATTTGTACTGTTGCCAAGTGATTGTTGAATGAGTGTGAGTAATAGAATATATTTTATTAACGGAGCCATTTTATTAGGAAATAAAATAAAAAATAAAATAAATTTCTATGGAAACCTGCTGTTGCTGCGCAGGTGAAAGTTGTGAAGAGTGAAAGTGGGTGAAAGTCAAGGAAAGAAAGGTGTTCTGCGCGCAGGGAAAGTAGGATTTGTTTTTCTCCGTGGTTGTCATGGGAATGAAAATTATGTTGCCATGGAAATTATTGAGTTTTTTGGTTGCCATGGCTTTTTCGAAATAAAAAAATATCACCATGACGACCTAAAAATGGGCGTGGTTTACAAATTTAAAAAAAAATCTCACCTTCCCCCAACACCCGCCTCACCTAAGACTAATTTTTTGAGTCATTTTCCAGCCCGGGAACGGAAATCAACTGACGAATTTGTTTTTACTAAATAGTTTGTTAAATATAAAATGTGTGTAAATTTTTATAAAGTTACAAAAAATGGCTGGAAGTGAAGTTTTAGGCGGGAGCAGGTTTAATCGAGGTAATTGCTTTTTGATTTATTTGTGGGTTTTGTTGTAATTTTATAAAATTGGTAAATTAGCCATGTTTACTGAAATTTTAAAATTGTTGCCATGGAAAATTTAAAAACTCAGTCCCCATGGAAACAAAAAAACGTTGTAACCATGGAAACCCAAAAAACATCTGCTCCCTTGAAAAAAAGTACCCACCGCCACCACCACCATGAACTTCCCATTCCCACTTCCGCCCTTCCTTCCTTCCTCACTCACTCAGTCCCCGATTTTGCATCCGTTACTATAGAAATAAATCTAGTCTTTTAAAAAAAGAGTAACCATGGAAACCACCCTCCGTCGCTACACCTCTTTTCAATCCGATTATTTAGAGTTATTCGGGGATGACTGTGATTGTAATTTTTTTTACATAAAATTTAATTATCAATTTCCATGGCAACTAAAAATAATAAAATTACTTAAAATCCACAGACCTCACCCCCTCGGAGCAAACCCTCCTCCTGCAAATCCGTCGCCGAAAGGCCACGCTGCTCCAGGAAATTGCTCAATTGCAACAGGAAATCGAGACGGTCACAAAATCCCTGAGTAACCATGACAACCCACAAAAAAATAATCCAGTCCCACCTCCCCCACCCGCGACCCTAGCGGAACCCGAACCTAGCGACACATTTACGGATTTGGTCGACATGGAAACGGATAATTCGAGTACAAATTCGGATAAACAGAATCAGGCGGTTATTAAATTAATGTCCTTGGGATGTAAGAAATTTAATATGGATCCGAAAAAAGGGATTGAATTTTTAGTGCAGAATAATGTTCTGGAGGGGGGCATGTCCGTGGGGGCCGTTGCCATGGTGATTTTATTTTTAAATTTTGTTGGCATGGAGATTTTAAAAAATGGTTGCCATGGAAATTTAAAAATAATCCCCATGGTTACAGTTCCTCTACCGGGGCGAGGGCCTCAACAAGACCGCGATTGGAGATTACCTCGGAGAGAAAAACGACTTTAACGAAGCGGTTCTCAAGTCTTTTGTGGATCTTCATGATTTCACTGATCTCATCCTCGTGCAGGTTCGTGGAAACTAATTTTAAAAAATTTGGTTGCCATGGAAACTAACAAATAATCCCGTAGGCCCTCCGCCAATTCCTCTGGTCGTTCCGTCTCCCGGGGGAAGCGCAGAAAATCGACCGGATGATGGAGTGCTTCGCAAAACGCTATTGTCAGCTGAATCCCGGGATTTTCACGAACACGGACACTTGCTATGTCCTCAGTTTTGCGATTATTATGCTGAACACGAGTTTGCATAATCCGAGTGTTAAGGTGAGCGTTGTCATGGAAATTATTTTTTTTAATCGGTTGCCATGGAAATTATAATTTTATTTTTATTGTAAATCCGCAGGACAAGCCAACGGTCGACCAATTTATAAACATGAATCGTGGGATAAACAACGGGGGGGATTTACCCAAGGAATTGTTAATTTCGCTTTATAATTCTATCCAAGCGGAGCCGTTTAAAATCCCGGAGGATGATGGGAATGATCTGATGCATACTTTCTTCAATCCGGACAAGGAGGGTGGGTTGCCATGGAATTTATTTTATCATAGTTTCCATGGAGATTTAATTTCCCTGACAAATGTTTCTATGGAATCTTTTTAAAAAAATCCAACGTTTCCATGGAAAAATCCCCTAAAATAACCATGACAACCAATTTATCCAATTTTTTAATTCCCATGACAATTCCTTGACAACAAAAATTATTCCCCTTAACAACTAAGAAATTCATCTCCATGGAAACCAAAAAAAATCCCCATGACAACAACCACTTTCTGTATCCATAGGCTGGCTCTGGAAACAGGGAGGCCGTTATAAAACCTGGAAACGGCGTTGGTTCATCCTGAACGACAACTGCCTGTACTATTTTGAATTTACCACGGACAAGGAACCACGTGGGATCATCCCGCTCGAAAACGTGGGCGTCCGCGTGATCAGCGACGCCCCCAAAGCGAAACAGTTCACTTTTGAGATTTTCTCAAAGAATTCAGACTTTATTAAAGCGTGTAAAACGGATTCGGATGGGCGGGTTGTGGAGGGGAAACATGCCGTTTATCGGATGAGTGCGGGGTCCGAGGAGGAAAGGGCAGTGTGGGTTTTGTGTTTGAAAAAGAGCATTAGTTATTCTCCTTTTTATGAGTTGTTGGGTGGGGGTGGGCAGGGTGGGAATAGTGGGGGTGGGGGGAGTAATAAGAGGAAATAAATAAAAGTGTTGCTATGGAGATTTTTTTTTGTGTTTTTGTGTTATTATGTTGGAGATTTATGGAGGGGACATGGCCCGAGTCGTCGTTGCGTAATGGAGGAGAGTAGCCCGAGTCAAAAGTGGTGCAAATTTGGAGAAGGCGAGAGAAATCAGCGCCCGTGTGTTTATGACGCTGATTCCATGGAAGTTGTGACCTGTAAACTCCTGAATCGATTTCGCGTGGCCCGAGTCGTTGCTCTTGGGGTAGTTACATTTTGCATTTACCTCCACGGGAAAATGACCATGGAAATCTTTAAAAAACAAAAAAACTGCTGGCATTATCAAGATCCGAGAAGGGCAGAAGTGACCAATATCACATAATATGCATTCGAATTAGAAATTAAAAACTCTGCAGAAAAATAATTTTTCCCTCACTCAACAAACGGAAACAAACTAAAAAGTCCAGGAGGCCATCCACAATTAGATTAGTTTTAGTGCAAGACAGACGAACGTGATGGGTACATAAGCCCTGACTCGGGCTAAAAACTCCACTCGAGCGCAATCCAGTGATTTAAACATATTAAAAATCATGCAAAACTACAATAGGCGTGAATTATCGTTTGTCTGACCAAACGATCATCCACGACTTTGTTAATAATTAATACTTCCCAACGAGACTTCCTAAATACAACTTCCCCATGGCAACCTTGACTTGTTTCCGCAGAGTGATCCTCGCACTCCTTCATACATACGTATAGCATTCCTTAATGTGTAACAATATTTTTTGGGTTAGTTCCTGATTAAAAGGCGTTGTCTTGGCGATTTTCTGTGCAACCAAGTGTGTGTTCACTTGGCTCTAAAGTGAAGGCAAGGTTCTTCTCAGTTTCTCAGCTATATGCTAAAAAAATTGGGTTACCATAGATATTAAATCAAGATTGTGTTGTTGTATGGGCGTTGCTTGGGTTTTATTTTGTTTTAGGTTTCCATGGGAATTTTTGGTTTTATTTTTTGAAATTCCATGGAAATTAATCCTAAAAAATAATAAAATCCATAGAAAAATCCCCAGAAAAATCCCCCCAAAAAATGCACATAAAATTACACAAAGAAAGAGAGACTTGCATAATGCAGCGTAAGAGAGAAATAAAGGCGTTCACTTTTCTAATACATATACCTGTAGCATTTTGCAAAATCCTTCACATCTCTCTTGTAACTATAGCAACCTACTACCTGTTGTGTGTGTAATAAGCAACCCCTTAACAACCAATCGCCCCTTATAGCAACAAGGGAATACTGAAATATAATTTTAATACTTTTCTTATATTCTCTCCTAACCTTCGTCTCATATTCTTGTTCATTTACCACTCACTTTTCTCATTTTGCAGTAGTTGTGTGCTTCGTTACCATAGCTGCTGTAGAATTTCATTTTCATTTAAATTACAAAATTATTTATAAATTTCCATAGCTACAATTCTAAAAAAAACACTAAAAAATTAAATGGATTGGTTTGTAATTTGATTTTAAAATTTTTCCGTGTAATTTGTGACCACGTGATAAGTTATTTTATAAAATAAAATTAAAAATGTGTCAAAAAACTATAGCAACAGCAGCGTTGCTATTACTGGTTTCTAGTTGTCATGGTGAGTATATTTTAATTTTTCTTGTTACCATAGAAATATCTAAAATCCATAAAAAAATAAAATGAGAAAGGTCGACGCGCATTGGAGCGAGGTTAGAAATTTTTCGATGCGATTCACTAAACTCTTGAGAGAATCATCCTGTGAGAAAATCCTTGAAAATTTCACTTAAATTCACTTTTATAAAAGGTTAAAACCCTTTTGGGTTAAATAAAAGGGTTGGTTGTAACCTTGATTGTTTCCATGGAAAAAAAATCATGCTGGCGTCCTTGGAGTGGACCCGGAATTTATGTTACTATAGAAAAAAATGCGATCAAGGTTAAAAGGGTGTGGTTACTATTTTTTTTTAGTTTCCATGGAAATTAATAGATTTTTATTAATATAAATAAAATTCCAAGGGTGTGGTTAGGATTTTTGTAAGTAAAGTGAGTGTGAGATTGCACAAGGTCACTCGTCGCGTTGTCTGCTGAGAGAATGGGAGCACTTTTGTAGAGCAAATTAATGGGTGTTGGTTAGTGAAAAAGAGAGTGGTTCTCATGAGAGCGTGGTTGTCATGGTGATTGTGATGGGATTGTGTAATTTGCTGATTTATGTAGAGTTATGGCTGGATGGGTGGTGTTTTTTTTGAGAGCCCGAGTTGGAGTGGAAATTGTGGGCGTGGATTTTTTTTAATCACTTTCCGGAGCCCGAGACGGTGGGGTTTTAAATTTTACTTCCCACAGCCCGAGTCATGAAAAAATGTGCATGAAAATGGCAATAGCTTCGCATAGCCCGAGTCGTTGTTCCTGAAAAAAAGTGGTGATTTTTCAAAGGGGCTGAGAGGAAGAGTGAGATCCGATTTGTTGATTTGACCCAAAAAAGTGGTCCTCAGCCCTTCAGCCGTCGTAGCCCGAGTCGCTGTTTCTACTTTGATTTTTACTTGCCACAGCCCGAGTCAAACTAACAAGAAACTTTTTTTGCAGCCATAAAATACTCCTCCTCCCCCCCATCACCCCAAGCACAATCCCCCCCAGATTTCACATGTCCCGAGGACTTTGGATACTTTCCTCATCCTTCGGACTGCTCACAGTAAATTATTTTTTATTAAATCACCATGCCAACCAAAAAAATAAATATAAATCCCCACATAGATACTACGTCTGCGTGTTCGGCGGAGCCCTGCTCGAATCCTGCACTGGAGGATTAATGTACTCCAACGAACTCCAAACCTGCGACTGGCCACGCAACGTAAATCAAAATTATTGCCATGGAAACAACACTCTCCAAGAGACGATCCCCAAAAAACCCCAAAAATCACGTGGCCACCAACGAACCACGCCCCCACCCACGACCAGCTACGTTTATAAACCCATAAAAATAGAAAACTACTCTGACCTATCGTCCGTAATAGCGACGCGCAACGAGCAGGAAGAGGAAGGCGCGCGGAGTGGGCGGAGCTACGCGCAGAGCGGCCCGGAAAAGGAATTTTACAATAAAAATGCGGGGGTTGGTGGACTCACGGGGAGGTCAGTCTTACTTATTTTTTAATTTTTTTTAAATAAAATAACCATGGTTACCAAATTTTTATATTAGTTACAAACCACACAAACCGCCTTGGAAACACCACCACAGAAAAAAACGACAAATTTTGTTCAATTTTTTGGATAAACTAGGGTTTAAATTTAAAAAATATGATAATTTACCGAAAACCATGGCAACGCAAAATTTTTATATCCCCACTTCCGAACGTAAAAATAACCATGGTCCCAACTCGTTAATTTACCCGAATCACTATGACAACCCGATTTACAGAAATATCCTAAATCCTAAATTACTAACTACTAAAAATCCAATTAAACTAAATTTCAAATCCAAGCCAACGATTCATTTAAATCAAAATCACCATCTTAAATTGCAAATGAATAATTTTGACAAGTTTAAACCGTTTCCCGTTGCCATGGGGATTAATAAGTTTTTTCCCACGACGACCATGACAACGACAAGAACGACGACGGGGAAATTTTATCCCCCCACACTGACCCCAAAATACGTTCCAAAAGAAGAGCTTGACTATGACGACGATTACTCGGAAACCATGACAACCACAACCACGACAACTAAGCGACCTTACTTTACGACAAGCAGGAGGTAGTTTTCCATGGGAACTTTGGAATTTTAAAATTAAAATAAAATAATTAATGCAGGTCCGTCTCGGGCTCGTCGAAGTACTCTCCCCAGATAGCGACGGATTATAATGCCAACGACTATTCCTACGCGAATCAGCGGTATGCCTCGGGCGTTACCAACGTTACCTGGCAACAACCAGCGGTTGCCACGGCAACGCCAGTGGAGGAAGAGGACGATGAGAGTTACTATGTTTATGAGGACGCCGCGGGGAATCAGCAGGACGTGGATGTCGGTGGGTTGCTATGGAAATATTTTTTAAATTATGGTTGCCATGGAAAGTAAATCTTTAAATTTACAGACTACAAATACCAACACCCAATCACCACCCGTCGCCCCATCACAACCCCCGCGCCCGCACCCCCACCCACGCGCCGCACAACGACCACCCCCCCAAAACAGAAATCTCGAACCTCCCCCCCACGCGCTCCCGCCCCACCCTGAAACCAAAATCCTCCATCGTCCCCAAGGACCTCCCCCCCGTCCGCGACGTGTATTTGGACGCCCCCTCGCGCCCCGCCCCCTTTTACGAGACCCCGATTCCGAACACCCCCGCGACGAAATGTAACCGAGAGTTGTGCCAGATCCCGGACTGCAATTGTGGGGGGAAGGAGATTCCGAGCGGTTTGAGACCTGAGGAGACCCCGCAGATCGTTTTACTCACTTTTGACGATAGCGTTAACGATTTGAACAAGAACCTTTATCGGGATTTGTTCGAGAAAGGGAGGAAAAACCCGAATGGGTGTCCGATTAGTGCCACTTTTTATGTGAGTCACGAGTGGACGGATTACTCGCAGGTGCAGAATCTGGCGGCGGATGGGCATGAGATTGCGAGTCATTCTGTGAGGTGAGGATTTTATTAATTGTTGCCATGGCTAATCGTCATGGAGATTATTTTTAGGGTTTCCATGGGATTTTTTATGAAATAATTTCCATGGCAACTCATTTCTATAATTTGTTTCCATGGAGTGTTTTTTTTTAATCGCCATGGAAACTCTGCAATAATTTCTATGGAAACTGAGATAATCGCCATAGCGATATTTTTATAGAGTATTTCCATGGTGATTTTAAGAAATATTTTCTATGGCAACATTTCCCTAGTTTCTACGGAAATTATTATTTTTTTAATCACCATGCCAACTAAAATTCCTAACCCCACAGCCACTCCTTCGGTGAGAGCTTCTCCCAGAAAAAGTGGGAAAAAGAGATAAACGGCCAACGAGAAATCCTCTCAGCCTACGGCGGCGTCAAACTTTCGGAAGTTCGCGGGATGCGCGCCCCCTTTTTGGCCATTGGTGGAAACAACATGTTCAAAATGCTCCACGACGTCAACTTCACCTACGACAGCTCGATGCCCGTTTATGAAAATAGACCCCCGAGCTGGCCCTACACGCTGGATTATAAAATTTTCCATGACTGCATGATTCCGCCCTGTCCGACAAAGTCATATCCGGGGGTGTGGGAGGTTCCCATGGTGATGTGGACTGATTTGAAGGTAGGGTTACGTGGAAACGAGGTTTTTTTTAGAAATGTTTCCATGGAGATGGTAATATTTTTTATTGAATTTCCATGGGAACCATTATTTTTCTACGGATCATGAAAAAAATTATTATTATTTTTCCATGGAAACTGTAATTTTTTTTCTACGAAAACAAAAATTATTTTCCATGGAAACCATATTTTAAATTTATTATTAAATCTTAGTATAAGGTGTATCGCAGAGCATGTGTGAGAAAAATATGTATCACAAAAAGTTTCGAAAAATCTGACTACGCAGCAGTCGCACAAATAAGTCCCTAAACTTAAAAAAAACGCAGAAATCGCAGAAATATTTTAAAATAAGTTTCCATGGAAACTAACAATTTTTTAAATAACTCCCAGGGCGGCCGCTGCTCCATGGGCGACGCCTGCTCGAACCCCCCCACGGCCGAAGGAGTCTACCAATTTTTAGCCAAGGTAACCAAAAAACCGTAACCATGGCAACTAAAAAACGTAACCATGGCACCTAAAAAATAAAAATTTTTAGAACTTCGAACGCCACTACACGACGAACCGCGCGCCATTTGGCCTCTATTACCACGCGGCCTGGTTCACGCAGGCGCATCACAAAGAAGGTTTCGAAGCCTTTCTGGACACCTTGGTGCAGATGGACGACGTTTGGCTGGTGACCAACTGGCAGGCGATTCAGTGGGTGAGGAATCCCACTCCATCGTCGAAAATTAACGAGTTTGCCCCCTGGAATGAGTGCAGGACGAGGGAGGTGAGTTTTTATTACCATGGTGTTTTTTTTATTTCCATGGTGATTTTTTTATTTATTTTATTTCCATGGAGATTTTTTAAACATAAATTTCCATGGAAACTAAATTTCATTTCCATGGAAACATTTCAATTTTCCATGGCAATTTATACATTTTATTAATATCCATGGAAAAATGGAAACGTTTCCATGGAAAATTAACAAAATATCCATGGAAACTAATAAATAATTCCCACAGCACCGCCCCCCACGCTGCAACCACTCGCGGGTCTGCAACCTCTGGCACAAGAGCGGCGTCCGCTACCTGAAAACGTGTCAAAACTGTCCGGAGCAGTACCCCTGGACCGGAAACACCGGCGTCCCCTTCACCATCTGATTTTGTGATTTTTCTTGTGATTTTTTCTATTTTTTAGGGGTGGAACTTTTGTATTTTTTTATAGTTAATAAATTTTAATTATTTTCGAACATGGTTTTGGAGCATGGTTGCCATGGTGATTTTTTTGGTGATGGTGAGACAAGGACTCGGGCTAGAAGAAGTGCGCATTTTTTATTGATTCATTGTTTTACATTGGTTTTGTGTTTTTATTCCCGCCAAAATTTAAATTTCCCGCCAAATAAATTAGAATTTCACCCAAAAACCCTCCCCAAAATCAAAACCACCCCCACCAAGACCACACCCCCCTTCACCCCACTCCCCCCACTATCCCCATCCCCCCCTTGGGACACCCCCTCTCCTCCACGTACCTCTCCACCATCGGATAATACCCCGTGACAGCGTTAATCTGAGGCAAACAGGCGGTCACGTGTTCCCCAAACTGTTGTTGCCATTGATACTCCCGCCGCGCCTCCTCCGTCCAATTAAAGTTCGAAACCACGGTGGAAAAATTCATACCTTGGAGCCAAGCGGGGGACGTGACCACGGGGTCCTTGCCCGTTCTGCAATTAGGAATTAGTTGCCATGGCAACGATTAATAATAAAATTCTCATGGCAACAATGATAATTTTTAAAAAAACTCACGGATTATCGACGGTCTCGACCCCCAGGATTTTGTACATGTTGAACTTGTTCATCCAGTCATAGCAACCGACGAAATTCGGGATTTCGGGGTAGTACGCGATGAAGACCATGCCTGTGGTTTATTTTTATTACAATATGGTTGTCATGGAATTTTTTTTATTGGTTGTCATGGAATTTTTTTTATTGGTTGCCATGGAAATATAAAAAAAGATTCCTTACACATCTCATCATCCGTGGACTGCCCCCCGATGACGCTTTTGCCCCCCTTCCAATTCGTGTCGTAGACGCACTCGGCCGTGATTTGGTCACCGGGCAGGATCGTGACCGGTTTGGGGAGTCTGCGGAGAAAAATTTTGAGAGAGTTGCCATGGAAACGATAATTAATTGGCAAAGTTGTCAAGGAATATGGATATTCTATTTCCATAGAAATTTAACTACCGTTTCCATGGAATTATTGCGGTTTAATTTCCATGGAAACATCCGTTTCTTTAAATTTGCATGGAATTTCACTAATCACTAACCTCCGATTGGTCTGATAGTTAAAATCGTAATTTTCATCATTGATAATCCATGGCAACTCTGAATTTCCTCGAAAATGCCGAATTCTCATCTTCCTGGCTGAAAAAAAATCATTTTAAAAATTCCAACTTCGCCTGGCCCGACACAAAAAATAAAAACTCAAAACCCACCCGAAGTATGAGCATGAAGAAACGCGTTATAAGCGGTGACCCCCTCGGGGGGAATAACATGTTTATTAAGACACTGGGGCATACAATGCGCCACGGTCGTAAATTCCATCGAATTCGGGGGGACCATTAATTGAAAATTAGTCGGAGCGGAGACCATCAACAAGGATCCTGTGATTTTTCTATGGAATTTTTAATTTTTAATAAAAAAACGGACAGACATGCACGCTGGTTAGATAAGATTACTGAATTTCATGGGTGTGATAGATCCTGAACCCGACCTGGACCTCTTCGCCTTCCACGTTATTCGGGTTATTCAAGTGGACTTCCAGTTTGTAAAATTGCTCGGATTTAAAGGGGAACCCCACGTCGGGGGGGTTCACGGCGAGCTTTATTTTTTAAAAAATATTTTATTTGTTTCCATGGAAATAATTTTTTTTAAATAAAAAACAAACCTCGCCCCCCAGAGCCCAACCATACTCGAGAAAGACGCAAGTCGCCCCTGGGAAGCCGTTCTCGGCCTCGTTTTCGTTGCAGTCGACGCCCTCGTGGCCGACCCAGTGGGAGGAGTTGTAGTAGTTGTCAGAGAGGTTGAAGCACTTGAGGATGTTCATGTGGTGGGTGTAATTCAGGGCAGTGGGGGAGAGGAAGATGGGCTCGTACTGTGGAATTTTGTTACGTTATAGTTACTTCGCGGGGCCCGACCGAGTTAACGGTGTGGGCGGTGAATAAATGGAATGGACAGACACCCACGATGGGTGGATAAGCCTATTACTATAAAAAATCAACTCACGGCAATCATTTGACGCTGCTCTTCGAATTTGGGGAGCCGGTGGAGCGAGCACCAATACGTCGTTTTACGCGAGGGCATTCTTATCGTGGACACGATATCATGGGTTTCCAGGCTGTGGAATTTTTTTTATTAACTTCGCGGGGCCTTTCGAGATTATTACTCTGACGGACAGACACTGGTTACATAAGAAAATTTACCCCGACAAATCCACGCTGGGCACATCAGGATCGAGTAAATAAACCGATTTGACACTCTTCCTGTCGCCATGGTAACCAATCTCGTCGGTTTCTCCATACGCCCAGATTAACCTCAGCCCTGCGTCCTATAAAGGAAATTATTTAAAAATAATCGCCATGGAAATATTTAGAAAAGACGCACCGTAATTTGCATGTCGTCAGGGTCACAGGTGTCGATTAGCCTGCTAAAGACCAAAACCGTGTGGGTCGCGTTTTCCGTCCCGGAAATTAATTTGTAGTCCTTTTTACTGTCCAAAATCGGGGCGCCGTTCATGTCCGCGGGGCCGTGGTAGTCCTGGGAATTTATTTATTAGGTGGCATGGAAATAATTTACGAAGACTTCGCATAGCCCGAGTCAGAGTCGGTTTATGATGATTTTTTAACGAGAATTATCCTAAGACAGACACACACACACGACGCCTACATAATCCTCAATCTTAACCCCCACTTACATCAAAATAAACCTCCCCCGACCCTCTCACCCCCCCAATCACGATATCCGACCGGACCATCCCTCCGTTAGAAGAAAACCCTGCAATAAATTCCCATCGTAAACCCAATTTCCATGGTAACTTTAAAAAAAATCCTCTAACCTAACCCGACCCACCCCCTGGTCTCCACCTCCACGGAAAACTCAATTTCCGTCCGATTAGCATTAAGCGAGTAGGTGACGCTGTATTTCGTATCCAACGGGAGCAGAGTCCCGCAATGGACCGTGGCAACGAAAAGCAACAATAATTTCATTTTGGTAACCATGGAAAAACCCCAAGAAATCCAAAGAGTAACCATGGAAATGATGAAATAATCCTCCAATTTAATTGCTTTTATTGCTTATTTATCAGTCAAATTGAGTGACCACACGATAATTATTGCAACATAATGATTGACTTTATCATAACACTCAAGAGAGTAACCATAGCAACGAGAATTTATTAATAAACCATGACAACTATTCTTCATTAATAACAACGGGTCGTTTGGGTCCCTTCCTTTTCCCTGCAGAATTACTAGATGCTGGTCGCCTTGGTTTCGTGGTTGTGGTGAGAATGTCCCCTTCCTCGTCGTAGTCGAGGATCCCCTTGTACCAGTCCTTGCACTCGGGGACGTTCTTGGGTTTGTCGCACTGGCCGGATTTTTCGTTAAATACTTGGCCAAGGGAGCAGCCTCCTAAGGGGGATTTATTTTTTAGTTAGCATGGTGATATAGTTTCTTTTAATTATGGGGATTAACGGATTAGCTTGAAGGATTTATGGAAATTAATCCTTAATCCCATTGAAATTGGATTAGTTAATCCCAAGATAATCCCATTTTAAGGGTTAATTTAATCCCAGATTAATCCCTAAAATCCAAAAAACTCACCCTTCCTCGGAACCTTCCCATCAATACAGACATAGAAACTCTGACAATCCTTGGGATCGGCATACCTCGGGTGTGGATTCACCGTTTCCCCCTCCACCGGCACACCCACTTTCGGACAGTCAAACTCAAACAGCTCTAAATTCACAAAAAAAAAATAAATCACCCCCTCTCGGGCCACGCGAACTCCACCCCATACCTCCACTGGAGCAATGCGCCTTTTTGGCCTGATCTGGCCACGTGCACGTCCCCGTCGCATTACTGAAAACCAACCCCGCCGGACACGTGATGGCATTATAAGCCCCGTCCACGCAGAAAAAAAACTTGTCACAAATTTTAACATCCTCATGAGCGAAATATCCGTTTTTCCGGGGGCAATTTAATCCCGGTTGGGGGGGTTCTATGGAAACGGATTTTAGCATTTTTTATATTAAATTAAGTAACCATGGCAACCATACGAAGGACGCTCCTCCCACTGCAGTCCACGGCGAAGGGGAACTCGCACTTTTCGATGGAGGAGCCCGCCTCGAGGAAGACCAGTCCGTCGGGGCAGAGTTTTGCCGTGGGGACGGAGTTTTCGCAGGTGTAGTCTAAAATTTACCTCGCCTTAGAAAAAGTTACCTTAGAAATAAGGAATTATTCTTAGGTGAGGTACACTTATCGCACTGCTCCGCATCCGCAAAGAAGCCAAATTCCTCGGGGCAGGTGATGGACTCGGAAACCGCATCCTTCTCTTGTTGGACTGGCTGTCTTTGTCTCTGCTCCTGCTGGGGCTTCCTCTTTCTTAGTGGGTTCCGAACCTCCGAGTCGGTCGCTATGGAAACGATTATTAACCAAAAAATAAAATAACTAAATTTAAAAAAAATCTCACCCCCCACCGTGACGACGACCATGACTAAAAAGAAGAGAATAAATTTGACAACTTCCATGGCAAAGAGAGAGTCTCTAATTCACGACTGAAAAGAGATTGTCTCTACCATCACCATGACAACCATGAGCTGAAGGCTGTTTTCCTACTTGTATAAAGAGATAAAATAAAAACAGGATTTTCTTTCAGGTTTCCAAGACAATATAAAATCGAGGTTTAACAACAACACGCTAAAATTAGCCCTTGGTGACCTTGTTTTTTTGTATTTCCTATTTTTTGTTAAATAAAAAAAATCCCCATGACAACGACAACTCCAGAAAATTAGCATAAAACAATTACTCAATAACAGAGAGAAAAAAAACGAGTTATTTCATAAATTTGTAAAATTACTCCATAGCAACCAGTTTATCCACATAGCAACAGAGTAAATAAATATGTCACGTATTTGCATAGTGCAACTACCTCGATCGTTTCTTTCATCCGTCACTTTACAGAAGAAGATTTTTGGTCCCCTTCACTTTTAGTCTGCTGCTGAATCTTGACAAAAACACACACAAAATGAGATCCCTCTTCCTCATCGGACTTATCGTGGGTATGTCTTTATTTTAATTTTTTTGTTGCCATGGCAACTCTGAATAATAACCATGGCAACTCCATAGGCCTTACCACCTCCGCAACCCCTCCGAATTTCAAGTGCCCAGAGAACAACGGGTTTTTCGGGGATCCGAAACAATGCGATAAATATTACGAGTGCCAGGACAACGTTCCCGAGGAGAAATTATGTCCTGATGGATTATTATTTGAGATCAAGAATCCGAACCACGAGAGGTGCGACTTGCCGTTTAACGTGGATTGCGGGGAGAGGACCGAGTTGCGTAAGTCTCTTTTAGGAATGTCTCACCTAAGAAAAAATAAAACAAATAAATTTCCCTGTTGCCATAGAACCCGCCGTCTCCACGGTCCAGTGTCCCCGGAAGAACGGTTACTTCTCCCACGAGGACCCGCAAGTCTGTGACAAGTTCTACAACTGCGTGGACGGAGTTCCAAACTCTGTCCCCTGCCCATCAGGACTGATTTACGACGATTACCAGGGGACTTGCACGTGGCCCGAGTCAGCGCAGAGACAGGGCTGTGAAAAGGAGAACAGGAAGAAGGGTAATGTCTTAATTTCTTAATTTAGTCTCACATTACCCCTGAAATAACTCCTTAATAAAAACCGTAGAAAAACTGGCCGACGGGTTTTCCTGCCCTGACGGGGAGGTCCTTGGGAACAACAACCGGCCCCTTCCGCACCCGACCTACCCCCATCCCGAGGACTGTCAGAAATTTTACATTTGCAGGAATGGGATCCAACCTCAGTTGGGGAGCTGCCCCCCGGGGACCGTGTATTCCGAGAGCAATTTGAAGTGCGAGGATCCCGAGGGGGTTCCGGGGTGGTACGTAACTTATTTTATTTTTTGTTTCCATGACGATTTATTAATTTATATTCCCCGTTTCCACAGTGAAAAATGGTTCGACGACGACAAGAACTGATCAGATTTACTATGGAAACTATATTTTTTTACATACACAATTTTTATAATAAAAACATTGGAAAATAATAAAAGTGAAATCTTTTCTAAAAATAAAAGTTCTAAAAATATATTTCCATGGCTACAAAAGTCTAAAAATATTTCCATAGAAACCAAAAAGGTGCACATAATACAAAGAAACGAACAAGGATGTGAAAACTAGGGCGAGGTTACCAAGACAACCAGTTTGTCTGGTATCTATGCATTTTCTTAACAATATAATGCAACTCTTGGGCCCAACCCTTCCCTTTCATCTCAAAAAATAATCTCACATGCATCTCGACTCAAAAGATTGCACAATTTCACCATCGCAACGCAACGACTATTCCACTCTGAGAGTCAATTTATTCTCTTCTGAAATGCGCTCACCACATCTCGTCTTCCTCGTTGGAGTCCTCTTCTGCGCCGTCGTCAATGGTGATTATTTGCATTTTTTAATTTACTCACTAATTTGCATATTTTTATTGTTACTAGGGCAACACCCCCATTGTCCCGACGTCTACGGCCTCGCTACACATCCCCACCCTGAATTCTGCGATAAGTTTTTCAAGTGTGAAAATGGGACGCTCACCTTGGAAACGTGTGAAAATGGGTTGCTTTTTGACGGGAAGAGTGGGGTGCATAATCACTGCGGGTACAATTGGGGGGTGCAGTGTGGGGAGGGGAGGGTCAGTGACGGTGAGGTTAAGAGAGATTTTGTTGTGCTAAATTTTGTGCTAAATTTTTGGCGTGCCAATTTTCATGTTTTTTGGCATGCCAATTTCTGTGCCAATTTCTGTGCCAATTTTTGGCATGCCAAAATCTCTGCTAATTTCTGTGCCAAAAAAATTAGCACACAAAAATTTCAATGCCAAAAACCTCTAAAAAATTTCCCTAAATTAGTCCCCGCCATCTCCACGCCGGGCTGCCTGTACCAGTTCGGGATTTACCCCAAGGCCCCCGGGTGCCACAAGACGTACGTGAAGTGCGCCTTTGGGGTCCCCTACGAAACCCACTGCGAGGCCGGCCTGGCCTACGACGAGAAAACCCACTCCTGCAACTGGCCAGATTTACTCCTCGAAAATGGATGCGATCCGGAGGGTGAGGAATTATTTAATAAATCGGTTTCCATAGAAATGATCCAAATCTCCATGGAAATTTAATTAAAACCCACGTTCCCCTAGAAATAATCGGCTACCGCTGCCCTGACAAAGTGGAGCCCGGAACTCTCGCCTATAAATTCTGGCCGTACCCCCGTTTCGCCCTTCCGAACGACCCCCACCGCCTCATCACGTGTGTCAACGGGTATCCCAGGATCGTCAACTGTGGGGACACGGCCCTCGTCAATCCTGCCACGCTCACTTGTGAAGAGCAGGAGCATTGATTTTTTTATTTCGAGTTTTTTTTACCGTTTCCATGGAATTTTTCCATTTTAAATTTTTTATAAAAATTAATTTCCATGGAAATAAATTGGCAAAATTCAGCAAATTTTATATAAAAAAGTGTAAAAAAAGATTTATTTGTAATTTTGTAATTTTTTTCGCGTAAAAGAAATTAATTGGCCTGTCTGACGACGAAAACTGGGGTTTCCTGCGTTTGTTCACGGGTTTGGTCGCGAGAGGGTTGCTGGTTTCTTATCTGACTCGCGGGGATGGTTTGTCGCTGTGGTTGCTATGGAGTTATTTTAAAATTAGTTGCCATGGTTACTGAATTAAATCCCCATGGAAACCAACCTGTTGCTGTTGCCTCTGCTGCTGCTCCTGTTGCTGAGGCTTCTTTTCCCTGATCCTCCCAGGGGCATCCGATTCTTCCGCTTCTGGGGGTGGGGGTGTGGTTGAGGGGACGTCGCAGTCCTCCGTGGGGGGGACCACACATCTCAAACTTTTCTTGTCAAAGACGAGCATGGCAGGGCAGCGCTGGAGGCGTGGGTAGCCCCCCTGGCACTGCCAATAACGGTTGCAGGATTTTCCCAGGGCAACGTTCCCATTCGCGTCGTCCTTGCAGAGGGCTAGGCGAAGTATAAGTTTTATTTTAGTGATTTCCATGGTGATTAAATTTCCATGGCAACTAAAATGAATTTGTGGTTGCCATGGAAACTAAAAAAAAATCTCCAAACATACGATGCTTCTGACACCCCGGAACATTCTCAGGCCAATCGCACGCATGCGTGTCCTCATTATAGAGCAACCCCCCGATGCACAACTGCTCCGTCGCCGTCCCGTTCCAGCACGTCCAATACCGCGTACACGACGTCTCATGCCCAAAAATCCCATACAACCAGTCGCAGTGGTCCGTGGAAATAGGGGGGTCTGAAAATTAATTCCAAAATTATTTCCATGGCAACTTTAAAAAAATCCAAAAAAATTCCTTACTGGCCAACTGCCTCCCCTCGCAGTAATTCCCCCTCCAGGGATAGTCACACCCATCCGCCACACCCCTGTTCCTCCCCGCAAAGGCCAACCCATTCGGACAATCGTACAATTCCGGAGACCCATTGACGCACTCCCAGTAACGGTCGCAATAGGTCGCATCCGAGGTTATCTTACCCTTCAAATCGCATGGATTTATCTGCTCCGTGGATTTTTTTTGACTCGTTGCCAGGGCGACCAGTGCTAAGAAAATTAGTGAATTATTACGTAACTATGTGGTAAATTGGGGTGAATTTATTTAAATTTATTTGGTTGGCATGGTGATGATGATGAGGAAGTGAAAGTGATTCTTCTACTGGCCTAGTTTTTGTTTTTGGTTTTTAATTTTTTTTTGGGACAGGGGGGGGGGATAAAATTCGAGTTCCCATGGAAACGTAAAAATAGAAAAATCACTTACACAACAAAATCCCGAGTAAATTCCACATTTTTAAAAAATAATCTCAAAGCGTTGCCTTAGAAACGAGAGTATATGAAAATTGTTACGAAGGTGTTGTTGTACGAGCGGAGAGGAGTTGCAGACTGAAGACAATGCAGAGATGAAGAGATTGTCATATTGCCATGGTTACCATATGAAGATGCTCTCTGTGGGATTTTTTTATTATTCATGGTGTGTGTGATATATGGTTTCTATGGTGATGTGGTAATAAAAAATTCACTGAGGAATGTGGTATGGACACGTTTATTTACAATGAAATCTCCATGACAACGGATAATTATTGACTAAAAAAACCCACCCCGCTCGGGGGAGGGAATTGCTGCGGCCAGTAGGACCCACCGCTGGATCCGCTGTTACCACCGCTGAACCCCCCCGCACTTTGTTGATATTCGCAATTACTCGCGAAGAATTGTCTCCTTGGATCGGCGTATAATCTCCGCTGTTGATTTACCGGTGGTGGGGGGGACTCCACCGGAGGAGGGGGGCTTCTTTCTTGATGTTCCCCTGGATACACCAAATCCATGGGCTGCTCGCTGTTACTCGTTTCCATGACAACCACACGATCAACTTCTCTGTTCGTCACCGCGTGGATTTTCCTGCTCGCCGCTGTGAATTTTTTTACAGTGGGATCGCCGATTTTCCTCTTGCGCACGCGCCGACCGAGCCCTTCGCCCCCGTGACTCTTGCTCTTGAGGTGTTGGTCCAGGTGCCATTTTATTTTGAAGGACTTGCCACAAACGGAGCAGTCGTATTTTTTGGAGGGGCGGAGGCCGTGGAGAAGAATGTTGTGCCGGCGGAAGGACCACTCGTGGCGGAAGGACTGGCCGCAGAGGGAGCAGAGGAGCTCCTTCACCCCGGTGCTGTGGAAATAATATTTGTGATGATTTTTTTGGGAATTTTAGCAGAATGCCAATTTCTAGCACAAAAATGGCAAATTTTTCTACCACGCCAATGTCACTGCCAAATAGAATTTCTAAATTGGCAAATTCTCTGCCAATTTTTAGCACAAAAATGCCAATTTTAGCACTCTGCCAATTTCATGCCAATTTTTTAGCACGCCAATTTTAGCACAAAAAAGAAACTCACTGCAATCTTTGATGGACCTCCATGTCCCTCTTCCTCCGGAATCCCTTCCCGCACTCATCGCACTTGAAGATCTTGCCATCGTCCCCCGTGGAATGAAACTCCAAATGCTTCCGGAGCGAGTCCCTCCGCTTGAAACACTTGGCGCAGATTTCGCAGATGAATCCGGGCGAGTTCGAGTCGTGGACGTGCGTGTGGTGCGTCGACATCACTGCGAATTCGAGATTTTTTGAGTATTTAAAAGTGTTAAATTAATGATTGAGACTTACTTGAGGGACGTTCGAAGAGTTTGTAGCAAACGGGGCAGGTCCGCTCGGAGAGTTTCTCTTGGAATGTGTCCAGTGGGGGGTCAGGGGGTGTGGTGGTCTCTGTGGGGGGGGAGAGAGAGAGATTTGGAGGGTTAGTGGGTTTTTTACCAATTTACCGGATTTTTTTACCAGAAATTTTAGCAATTTTACCAAAAATTTTTTACGAGAAATAGAAATATTGATCAAAAAAATTACCAAATTACCAATTTTTTACCAAAATTAGTTTTACCAAATTACCGAGAAAAAAATTTACCGAATTAGTTCTGCAGAATTTTTTTACCATTTTTTTTACCAGAAAAATTTAATTCAGAAAAAAAAATTTGGGGGGTTTTACCAATTTACCGAATTTTTTACCGGAAATTTTAGCAGTTTTAGTGAAATATTTTTTTACCAATTTTACCAAAAAATTTTACCAACAAAAAATTACCAAAATTTTTTTATCGAAAATTAATTTATTTTAAGTTTTACCGAAAAAATTACCAAAAAAATACCAAGCGAAATTGACCAATTTTTGACCAATTTTTTTTACCAAAATTAGTTTTACCACTTTTACCAAATTACCGAAAAAGTTCCACAAAAAAATGTTTACCATTTTTTTTTACCAGAAAAAGTTATACCAATCTAAAAAACAATTTTTTACCACAACTACCGAAGCTACCAAAACCACCAAAAACCCACCTTGATGACTGCCCCTTAGGTGACTCTGAAGAAAGTCCTCCCTCAAGAACCCCTTTTCGCAAACAGGACAGAACCAGGCCGGCTTCGTCTCGTGGTCCGCGTTGAGGTGGCGGATCATTTTCGGGAAGGAGAAGAACTCGACGGGGCAGAGCGGACAGCTTTTGGCCTCCTTTTTTGGCTTCTTCGGGGGACGGGGGGCGAGGTTCGGGGGACGACCGCGACGTTTTGTGATCAGTGGGTGGGAGGAGGGGAGAGGGGCGGCAGAGGAGAGAGAGCGGCGGGGTTTTCGGGGGGTTCCGCGGGGGGCTGCAATTAGTGTCAATTTTAGTGTGCGAAATTTTGGCAGAGATTTTGGCAGAGATTTGGCATGCCGATTTTTAGCACAAAAATTTTTGGCACAAAAAATGGCAAAAAATTGTGCTAAAAAATTGCCAAAAATTGGCACGCCAAAAAAAACTTATCCAATTGAACTTACAAAAATCCTCATCATCCTCATCGTCATCTTCCTCCTCATCCTCCTCACTGCTGGACTCACTCCCGCAACTGCTCAGTAATTCCACAATTTCCTCATCCTCGATCGCCACCTCCTTCACTTCTCTCTTCTCCCTCCGCACCACCACCGGCGGCGGCTTCTTCTCCTCTTCTTCCTCTTCATCTGGATACTCGCTGTGACAGGCCCGATGAACCAGGAAATAGTCCCTCCGCCCAAAAGTCATCCCGCAAACGGCGCAAGTGAACTGTCGCTTATGGTTTTGAGCAATGTGTTTGGCGAGGGCGTGGCGGGGGAGGGTTTGGGGGCAGAGCGGGCAGCGGATCAGCGTGGGGAGTGATGGTGATGGGCGCGGTGGTGAGGGGCGGGGTGGCGGCGGTGGTGGGACTGGAAAATTGACATAAAGTTATTAAATTGCCATGGAAATTGTATAAAAAATAAACGCACCCCTCATCGCCCGCTTCCTAAGAATCCTCCTCTCCACCACCTTCTCCTCCTCCTCCTTCTCCACGGGGAAAACCTGAATCTGTTCCAGGCTGAGAAAGTCAAACGGATTTGAGGATAATTCTTCGGGTGGTTCTAGTTTTATCTTTATTTCCGGGGTGATCGTGGAGGATTCTGCAATTTACAAGAGAGTTTTAGGTCTGATTTCCTAAATAAAGACAAAAAACGCACCCTCCCTGACCCTCCTTCGTACTTGCGCCGCGTAGAAATCCAGCTCATGCTCGGAGTTGAGGGTGGCGAGGATTTTGTCCTCGAGGGTGGAGCGGAGGGACTCCAGTTGGGTAGTCAGGGTCAAGATTTGAACGTGGTGCGAGTGGGCAGTGGTGATCTGTGGGTAATTGGCATGAAATTGGCACATGAAATTGGCATGAAATTTTGGCACAAAAAAATTAGCACACGCCAAAATTTTTAGCACAATAATTTAGCACAAACCTCCCCCAAGCACTCTTGACAAAAGAAAACATTGTGAATTTCCATGGCAGCGATTTGTGTCGTGGATAAAAGTTGGTATTTCAACAGCTCTTTGAGAAAGTATAACACGGGGTCGATTTCCGTGATGGGCGTGGTCGTCGTGGGGGTGGCGCAGACCAGGCAGTGGCTCTGGGGAATTTTTATTTTATTAAATTTTATTAAGTTTCCATAGAAAATTATAAAAAATAAAATACATTTCCACTGATGGCAGTATCTATCGTGACGATGATTGGCGGTGGGACACTAGTTTCCATGGCAACGACTTCATCCGGTGGGTGGGGCTCCATTTTTATCTCACAAAGTGAATATTTAAAATGTCTTTATTTACCAACAAACCAACCCTAAATGTCGTGGTTTGAAATTCCCTCCAGGAGTCTCACTTTTCCCCGGGGGGAATCTCAATATCTTAAATATGATTTCCATGGAAACGAACATGAAATAAAATCCTCAAAAAAATATCCAAACCAAATTACAATTTATTTAATTATTTTTGACTCTTTTGTTTTTAACATATTACTGAGATTACACAATCACCATGGCAACCACACAAACACGCTCCACCATTTCTCTCATATATTTAGAGTGACTTTTCAATCTTGATGAGTTCGAGGATGCCGTCCTGCATCTCCTTCACGGCCTCGCCCTCCGTCAACCCCAGCCGACGCTTGTTCGAAATGTCGTACACGCCCCCGATCGACTCGGTGTGCTCGCCCGAGGTTCCACGGACCTATAAGTCACGTGATTAGTCAACTGTCACCATAGTAACTTGGATAACAAGTAAAGTGAGACTGACCTGCAAATTATATTTGGCCGCCGTGGCATCCAGTTTAGCCTTATCCGCCGCTAGTTTGGGCAGCTTAATGTGGACCGAGGCCCGGATGGTGGTTCCCAAATTGGTGGGGCAGAAAGTGAGGAACCCAAAGCGGTCATTCCTTGAGAAAGACCCGGCCTTTTCGATCTCGTTGGCGCCGGCGACCATGCGTTTGTAGACGCCGCCGAGGTCGCCGCCCTGCTGCATGGAAATAATACGAAGGTGGTCCTCCTCGTTCACCCAGACCAGGAAGGACTTGGCGTCGTTGTGGTAGATCCCTCTGCCTACCAGTTGGGAGTAGTGGGGGATTAGTTAGTGAATGGATGGGGAGTAACTCTAAGACTCACCGGAAGGCCAGTATCTGCAAGCATTGGCAGCCTGGAGGAAGCGATCCCCCTCCTTGAACAGGAAGTGGTCGTCAATGAGCTTCTGCTGCACCTCCTTCGTCATTCCTGTTAGTGGGTAGTAGGTGCCCTATGGATAGTAATTAATTAGTTCCCATCCCACTATCCAACCCCCAAAAATTAATATCTGCACCTTCAACTCCCCGCCCAACTTCTCAAAGATGCCCTTGACCTTCCCCTCCATCTCCTTGTACTGATCCTCATTCAAGCAGGGATTGAAGGGATAGCCCTGGATGCTCCTCCCGCACCGAACCCGGGTGGACACGACGAAAGCGTTGTCGGGATCCACATTCACGAAAGAGTTGAGGTCTCCAAAGTCGCACTTGGGTTGGAGGTCGGTTTTCTTGAAGCCCTTGTGGTAGTCGTCGATGATGGGGTCGAATAGGTCGGCGAAGGTCGTGTAGGACTCGGCGTCGGGGGCGTAGATTCCCACGCCGGAGTCGGGGTTCTCAACTCCTAAATAGATTTGAGAGAGGCATGGTTTATGGGGTAGTTTATGGGTGCATATGTTAATTAATCATCGTTAAATTATGGTGGAAAACTACAGTCGTGAAGTGACGAAAACTACTGAATAATGGTGTCATAAAGTGAGTCTCTGGTCTGGCCAATTAGCATAAATAATCAAACCTAACGAGAGTTTGAATTCCACTGCCTGGACAGCGTAACTCAATGCACACGGAAGTAGGGACGACGCTTCTCCACTCTCTCCACTCTCCATACACCGCCTGACTCACTTTCATTTGACATTGAACTCGGATGGCTCGGAAAAGTCGGAAACAAGAGAGTGAAATCGAAGTAGTGGAGTTTGCTGGCCAAGTGCCACCACCGTCTCTCTCCACTGCTGCACTGTGCAGAGAATGTTTCCAAATACTTGGCCGAGAGCCAAGAGAAGAGAGAGAGGGGTGAAGGTTATGAATATTGCCAGGGACGTGCAATTGGGTAAAAATAGATACTCTTTTCCTAGCTGGAATAAGTGCTCTTTTTTCTAGTGCTGATATTTTCTCCAGGAAATGCGCTACGCTAGTTAAAAATTCCCAGGATGCAAAATGGATGCAAAACAACTCACCCGACTGAATGACATCTAGAAGGGTCGCCCCCAAGGCGGTCTTCAAGCCCTTGAGCTTATCGAAGATCTCTGGGGTGAGATACTTCTTCAGGAGGGACTTGGACTCGGTCCCCTGGAGCTTCTTGAACGCGGCGTCCAGTTTCTCGGCAGTGGCGGCGTCGACCATCGTGATGGCTGCAAAAAAATTGTTATTTGAGATGAGGTTTCGATGGGAAATTGAATGGAAAATGTACGAAAAATAGTAGTGGAAATTCACCTTTCTTTCTGGTAGATAAGAACTTGGAGAGAGAAGAGTAGAGAAGCCGGTGTTTGAGAGGAGATGCGCTGCTGGTGGCGGTGTGTGGATAAAGAGTGAAGCACACGCCCCGGCGGAGGGTGGTTTTATAGAGAGAGGAGAGAATGGTGGTGGCGAGTGTGGAGTATTGCGATGTGTGTCGGTATCCCCATGGTGATATATTTTGTGAGACATATTCTGGATCAGCACAGCTAATCTATAGGCCAATTTGCGTACTTTTAGCGTATATAAAAGTGAAGATCCCTCGTGATGGATATGTCGTGATGGTTACATATCGTGAAATGCACACATTTCTTGGCATCAGTGGATTGTTCTAGCTGCTTTCTTGGGTAATTCACTACCATCGCTGAAAGAGAAGAGATACAAGAGCAAGGTCACCACTAAAATCCGTCGGCATTCACAAATATTCTCCCTCTCTTCAATTACTGAAATAAAATCCGGGCCCCCATTTTCCAAACCCTACCCTCTGCGCCACCTTCTCCCCTTCAACTCAACTCCTCTCTCTTCTCCCAACTACGTCGCTCTTATTTTCCTCAAGGCTAACTTATCCTCCGCGAGAAGGGGGGAGGTCAGGGGCAGCACTGCTCTCTTGATTTTTATAAATTTCTAAAAATCTACTAGAACCCACACCACCCAATAATTTCCCAGAATTATCCCAAAAATTAACCTCTCAACTTCCCTTCCGCCGCCCCTGCCCTGCTCCTCCAATTTTTTTTTCCTTCCAATTTTTTCTCCTCACTCACTCACATCACCAAAGTCTTTGACCCAAAGTTCTCCAAAAACAACCACGACACTCCAATCCAAGAGCATATTTTTTGAATACTTTTCAACCTAAAAATGTCCCCTCCCCCATTGGAAATTGCTATTGTACAAATTGCGAACCATGTCATCGTCAAACGGAAATAATAACTCGACCAACAGCAGCAGCGGTGGTAGCGGTGGTGCAAAGAAATCACTGGCGCAACAGAGTAATTCGTCGTCGATTAGTGGTGTGGGTGCGAGCGGTGGGTCCTCCTCCTCCAGCGGTGGCGGTGGTGGTGGTGGGGCCAGCAGGTAGGAATTTACACCAATTAATTAACCAACCAACCACTAATTACCAATTATCCAATCCACAGAAACAAGTGCGCCAACGAAAAGCGGCGCCGCGAGCAAGAAAACATTTACATCGAGGAACTCGCCGAGTTAATCTCCGCCTCCATCGCGGACTTATCAACGAGCATGGCCGTGAAGCCGGATAAATGCGCCATCCTCCAGGAAACGGTGAACCAGATCCGGAGGATTAAAGCTGCCGAGGAACTCGCCGTGCAGCAAGGAGAAGTCTCCTCGTCAACTAATATTTTAGCCAATGAGATATTGTGTCCGCTGGTTTTAGAAGCGCTGGATGGGTTTCTGTTTGTTGTGAATTCCGATGGGATCGTCGAGTTTTGCAGTGAGAATGTAGAGGGGTTCGTGGGGTTTAAAGGGGAGGAACTCGTGGGGAAGTCGATCTATGGGGTGGTGCACTCAAGTGATCAGGCGAGGTTCAGTGGGAGTTTGTTGCCCATGTCCATTGGTGAGTTACTGGTTTTTAATCGGGTTTTTCTGGGATTCTCGCTAATTAACTGTGTCTCCAGGGTGGACCCCATCAAACAACACCACCCTGATCCCCATGCTCCCTGGAACATCCACCTCCCGCTCAATCCTCCCCTCTACATCATCCACTACGTCCGACCCAACCACCTCCCCCACCACACCAACGCCCTCCACTTCATCCACCACACAAAAACCCACCCCCCCACAACAGCGCTCCTTCAACATCCGCTTGCTAGTAAAATCCCCCGGGGATGCCTCCGACTCCAGCTACGAGAACATGCAAATCACGGCCATGTTAATGCCCCATCCGACGGGGAGCAGCGAGTTAGAATCCTCAGAGTCCTGTTTAGTTTGCATAGCGAGGAGGCTGCCGCCGAATGAGAGGCCGCCGGGGACGCCCGTAGAACAATTTACTACTAAATTAAATACGGATGGGATGATCATCGGGGTGGACACGAGTGGGTTGAGCGCCAAGTGGGTCGGGGTGTTGAGGAAGGTGGGTTGCGCTATTTTTAGTTATTTATCACTAAATACCAAGCAACCAACTAACTAATCAACTAATTTCTCTCCCTCCACAGGACAACACCATCTCCCCCACGTCCCAAACCCTCCTCCAGGAGCTCTGTCCCCCCTCGGACCTCCCCAAACTCGACTCCCACCTCCGGGAGACCCTCTCCGCGGGCTCCTCCACCTCGCTCCTCTACAAACTCAAACTCTCCTCGGACAAACTCGTCCAGGTCCAGACGAAATCTAAATTTTTCTCCTACACCGGCGACGTCCTCCAACCGAACCAATCCTTCATCATGGCCACGCACACGATAATCAACCCGGAAGAGAACTCCACTTCCGCTGCAGTGACGGAAGAGCAAACCTTCGATATCCTCGACACTTTCGAGTCTTTAGTTCAGTGGGAGGATGAGAAGCCGGTCTTCATCGATCAGCAGCAGCAAGTGGGTCAGCAGCAGCAGCAGTGGGGTCCGGTTGGTTACTTTGAAGAGGAAGAATACCAAGGTGATAGGTTGAGAAATTTACTCACTTCTAAATCAGAGAACAAAATACTAAAAGGATTGCTTAACCAAGCGGAAGAGGAAGGAGAGAAACAGGAGAATAACATGTTGCTGAAGTTGTTGAATGAGAAGGAGAAGCACGTTCCCGGGAGTGGGTTGGTGAGTGGGTTGGGTGGGATGGGTGGTGGGAATGAGTTGTTGAATCAGTTGCTTAGCGGAGGAGGTGAGAACAGCGGATCGGGATTGAAGAGGACCTTGGAGAATCCAAGTGGTGGTCACGCTTTTGCTCCTAAACAGATGGTGTTGGTGAGTCCGGTGGCCCCTGCGCCGGGGGAGCTCTGCAAGAGGAATCCAAGGTAATTTATTGTAGTTTTTTTGGTGATTTTTATGTGATATTCACTAATAATTAACTAATTTCCAGGCTCGTCTCCCTGCTGGCCAAACCCTCTGACTCCTCCCCGACCCCGATCCCCACCGTGCCCTCGAACTACATCTCCGGAACGCCCCAAGAGAAACTCCTCAACCAAATTAAACTCCGCAACCCCACCACAACCACACAATCCCTCACCACAAACTATAGCTCCCTCCCCAACGACCTAATCCTCGACGAAATCCTTGACCAAGTGATCGACATCGTCCCAGACAACTCCTCCTCCGAGATGACCACGTATTACTCTGACGACGTCTCGAACATCCTCAACATGCTCGAAAATAACCAGTTAATCCAACATCAAAACCCGGAAATCGCCAAGATCAACGCGATTCAGAAGGAATTGATGCAGTTCGAAACAGGATTTCTAGGCCAGCAGCAACAACAACAGCAACAGCAGCAGGATAAATTGGGTGGGGAGCCTGTAGTAATCCATAGAACAACAACCACGACAACGACGCAGATCCGCTATAATCAACAACAGCAACAGCAACAACAGAATTTAGTACAACAACAGCAACAACAGGTGCTCAAGAGGGAGTTGGAAAGGCAGAGGTTGCTGTTGCAGTTGCAGAAACAGCAACAACAACAGCAACATGGTGGTGGTGGTGGGGGTGGTGGGGGGCAAGGGCAGTTGTTGCAGTTGATGAGGCAGAGTCCGACGGTGAGTTTGGATAGTTTATTGGGGGGTGGGGCGGGGCCTCCACCGAATGTGACGTTGGTGCAACAGCAGCAGCAGGGGCAACAGCAAGGTTTGGGGGTTGTGCAGCAACAACAGATGTCCAATGGGCAACAGCAGCAGCAGCAGGTGGTTGTTTAATTTAATGTTTTAAGTGAGTTATTCTAATAAATTACTACTTCCAGTTGACCCTCCCGCAACAACAGCTCCGCCAGCAGCAAATCCTCCAACAACAACAACTCCTGATCCGCCAACAGCGAGAACGCCAGTGGAACCAGCAGCAGCAGCAACTCTTACTCAAACAACCAATCATGGGACAACAATCATTAGTGACGGGGGGTGGCGGGGGGCAGTTGCAGCAAGTCCTCATCGGTCAGCAGCAGCAGCAGCAGGTAGCACTTCTTATATAAATTATTAATAAACAACTAACAACGACTAAATTTCCCACAGCGCCCACCACAACAACTCCTCCTCCAGCAACAACAACAACAACAACACCACCCCCTCCTCCAACAACTAAACCAACCCCCCTCCACTACAACCCCCTCCTCCTCCCCACTCTTAATGAACTCCACCCCCCAACAAACAAACAACCCCCTCCTAAACGCCCAACTCTCCTCCACCCAACAACTCCTCCAGCAGCAACAACAACAACGGCTCTACCACCACCAACAACAACAACAAAGATTCGACAACGGCCAACAACAGTACCGACTCATGGGCCAGCAACAACAACGAGTCGTTGGTCAGGTGGGTCAGGTCGGTGGGGGGAATTTCGTCGATGTTAGACAAGAGTTAAGAGCTGTTGTAGGGGCGAGGCAGCAGAATCCGCAGCAGCAGTTGATCAGTGGAGGACTCAGTGGACCGGATCTGGAGGCGCTGGGGATTGGATTGGGGTTGGGTGGTGGTGCGGGTGGGAATAATCAGGGGGGCTTGGGGAATGGAGGAAGTGATTTATTGGGTAATTTTAATTATTTATTCACCGTGAGTACAAATTAACTAATAATTCTTCATAATTCCCTTAGAGTGACCTGACCTGAAAGAACTTCACCTTTTTAAAGAAGTCTAAACCAACTACCTGAGCACGACAAGACTGCAAATATTTCCTCTCTCTCTCTCTCGCTTTTCATCATCTTCTTCTTAAAAAATAACAAAAAACACACATATTTTATTTATAAATTGTAATATTTAAAAAACAAAATGGAAATTTATATATAAATATATTCAATCTTATTAAACAAAATCTCATCCCGCCCCGGTTTATTATTCTCGCGTGGGTCCACTCAAAATCCGCTACCAAAATCACTCATAATTTTTATAGACAAACACTCATCCCCCACTGAAAGTTAACACAAAAATGAAACCCCACCACCACTACCATCACCACCACAAATCCTCCTCCTCCCAACCCCCCACCCCCCAATTCCCCACTAGCACCACACAAACCCCCACACAAAAGAAATCCACCGAAGAACAGCGAAAAAAAGAAGACGAGGCCGCCGCGGCCCAAGCCTTTGAAGAGTACGTGGCCACTTTCCAGGACACGGCGAGTTCCAGGGGCGAGGGGAAGGTCTGGGTCAAGGCCGGGACCTATGATGCGGGAAGGGGGAGGCGTATGTCGTCTTTTTTACTTAATTTATGGGTAATTTTACCGGCTGATAATTAATCCGTGTCCACAGACGAGGACCCCACGGAGAAAGGGAAGCTGTACAAACCCACGTCCCGCTTCATCGACAAGGACGAAAAAGTCTTCTCCATCGAGAGCGGAAATGACCGGCCGGATCGACCCGGTGGCAAGAAGAAGACGCAGGAGAAGAAAAAGTCGAATCTGGAGATTTTCAAGGAGGAGCTCAAAATGTGAGATACTATTTATTAATAATTACTAGTAATTAGCAGCAAATCACTAAAATAACCAATAATTAATTAAATCCAGCATCCAAGAAGAGCGAGAAGAGCGCCACCGCCTCAAAAAAGTCCTGGGCCTCCAAGAAATGATAAAGCTTCCCCCGAAACCCGGTGACGATTTGCGAGCCTCACTCTCCCTCGAACTCGGTTCGTACCCCATCATTTTCAATCAAGGAAGCGAATTTAATAGGAAAATCGCTTATCTCTCTTGTGTGATACGTGGGAATTAACATTTTCTCTCTCTTTCGAAATTCTGCCGTCGTCCTCGTTTTTCTTTAAAAAAATCATTAGACGATGTCAAAATGGGGTCGATCGATGATGGCGATCCTAACACGACGAATATTTACCTGGGGAATTTGCCGACGAAGGTATTATTTGTTGGTTTTATAGTAAATTTGCTCGATATTTACAGCGTAATTTACCACAATTTCTTATAATCACAGATCTCCGAACAGCAACTGATGGAGCTCTTCGGCCGCTACGGCCCCCTCGCCTCGGTAAAAGTGATGTGGCCCCGAACAGAAGAAGAAAAAGCCAGAAACCGGCTCTCCGGCTTTGTCGCCTTCATGTCCCGTCGGGACGGAGAACGCGCCCTGAAACACCTCGCGGGGAAGGAAATCCTCGGCACGGAAGTGAAGTTAGGTTGGGGGAAGGCCGTCCCTATCCCTGCTTTTCCTATCTACATCCCTCCCACGATGATGGAGTTGACCATGCCACCGCCTCCGTCGGGGTTGCCCTTTAACGCGCAGGTCGAGAGGGGGGAGAAGGTATGTAACTCTTTAAATAATTAAATAACTTACTAATAAGTGTGTCTGTAGGCCCCCCCTTTGGGCACCCCCTTCCCTCCCCCCCACTCTTCCCACCACTCCGAAGCTCGCGAAGAGTTCGAACGAATAGTCTCTAACTCCACGGTGAAGGTGGTGATCCCCACGGATAGGACTTTACTCGCGCTGATCCACCGGATGATCGAGTTCGTGGCGAGGGAAGGACCCATGTTCGAGGCCATGATCATGAACAGGGAGATTGCCAATGTGCAGTATCGGTATTATTCTCACCTCTTTGCCCATTAATTAATTACCCCACTAATAACAATTTCCTTAGTTTCCTCTTCGAGAACCAAAGCCCCTCCCACATCTACTACCGCTGGAAACTGTACTCCATCCTCCAGGGGGAATCCACCCAGCGCTGGAGAACCGAAGACTTCCGCATGTTCAAGAATGGGTCCATTTGGAGGCCCCCAAACCTCAACCCTTTCACGCAGGGGATGCCCGATGAGCTCATCCCAGAGGATGAACGAGACATCCGAAAGGGGACACTCTCCAATGCGTGAGTATCACTAATTAATATCAATAAATCACCAATTAACTAATAATTCTACTAGGCAAAGGACCCGCCTGGAACGCATGCTCCGCACCCTGACCCCCACCCGCCCCCGTATCGCCGAGCTGATGATTTTCTCCATCGAGCACTCCGAGGCCATCTCCGAAATCACCCTCACGATAAAGGAATCCCTCTCCAACCCCAAAACCCCGCTGTCGAAAAAAATCGCCCGCCTCTACGCCCTCTCCGACGTCCTCTACAACTGCACCGTCAAAGGAATGAACGCTGTTGGGTATCGGAAAGGGTTCAAAATTCACCTACCTGGAATTTTCCAGGAGATCCACTTTGCTTATCAGACAGAGTGTGACCGGGGTGGTGGGGTGGGGAGTTCAGGGGCAGAGTGTTTTAAGGAGAGGGTGTTGGCCTGTTGCAGGGTGTGGGATGAGTGGGGGGTGTATCCCTCGGAGTTTTTGATAAGGTTGCAGAATATCTTTTTGGGGTTGCTGTCGGCCAATTCGAGGGTGAGTTTTATTGATTTATTTTTATATAATTTTAGTGGAGTTTTAACTAAATTTTGACTAAAACCGCAGGAGGAAGAAGAAAAGATCCTCTCCCTCCCTGATGACGAGGACGACTCTCCCCCTCACTCCCCCTCCTCTCGCCGCTCCCCCTCTTCGCACCGCCGAAAATCCCCCCCACGCGCCCAACTCCCCCCAAAGAGCGCCCTCAACCTCGTCCGCGCATTACAATCCCTCCCGGAAGACGAAGACCTCGATGGCGTCCCTCTAAACGAAGACCTATCCCCAAAAATCCCCACCCAACCCGCACCCCAACCAATAAAGATGCAATTCCTCCCCTCAAAGTGGGAGACGATCGACCCCGAGGAAGTCGCCGCCGGGGCCGTAACAACAACCTCCAAATGGGATTTATTCGAGGAGAAAGACAAAGAAAAGGAAGTCGGAATCGTGGATTACGACGAGGAAGAAGAGGATGTGGATGGAGAACCGATGGTGGAGTCACCTCAGCAGAATCCGGAGGATGAGAGGAGGTTACTCAGAGAGGTGGAGTTGAAGGTGGTCGCTTATGAGGATGAGCTGGTGGAGAATTCAGGGAGGGTGGGTGGGGATGTGGGGGAAATGGTGGAGGAATATAGAAAAAGGTTGCTCAATCAGTTGGTCAGTGGTGGGGCGAGTAGCGAGGAGGTCAGTCAAAGGAGGGAGGAGAAGAGCGACGAGAGACTGGGTAGAAGGAGGAGGAGGAGCAGCAGGAGGGATGATGAGGAGGAGGAGGATGACCAGGAGACGAGGTTTTTAATAAATTCCCTTTAAATTAAACTAAATCAGTAACGGATTTATTAATTAATTATTAGATCGTCCTCATCGAGCCACCAGCGCCGCCGGAGCCGCCGCCGAGATTCCCCGCAGCAGCAGGACTCCCCACATTCCTCTTCTGGAGGGAGCAGTGGGCGGAGGAGGAGGAGGGACAGCAGGAGCAAGAGGAGGAGGAGGAGGTGAGTCACTAATTAATTTATGCACAGTTTTTCTCATTAACCATTTAAAAACTCCTAATAAATCCTAATAAATAAAATGCAGATCCCGCTCTGGCTCCCCCCTGTCCCCATCCACCTCCTCCGACCATCGATCCTCCCGTCGGTCATCCCACAAGAAATCATCATCACACGCCAAGCGTTAAATAAATGCTCAATTTTTACTTATTTATCTTTTCTCTGTTTTTATTAAGAAATAATAAAATATCATGGAAATTTGCACAAAAAATCGTGTAATGTTGGTCCACCTCCTTCGAAACCAGCCCAACCCACCTCACTCGCACGCTCCACCTCCGTCCATCCCCTCTCTACACACACACAAAAAATCGATGAAACCTCTCTCTCCTGAATTTCACGCTCGAACTCTCCTTTAATTCCGCCTGGCTTAACAACTTTCCGTTACAGAATTTTCTTAAGAAAATTTATCTTTAACTTTCCCAAAGCCATGAAATCACCATTCCATTTACTAAACCAACAGCGAGTACTACAAAAGTACTATATAAAACCTCACCCTTTATTCATCACCCCTTCTTTTTTCTCCACTCTCCCCTCTCTCTCTTGGTTAATCACAAACTAGTCTCCACTCTTAACAAAAGCCACACTACATCATCATCCACGGGCCCGGTGCATAATTCGAACAAAATGGTGTCGCTAAAAAAATCTCTCCTCCGAGTGCCAACCACTGTATAAAATAAAATGAAATGATGAAAAGCGTATTAACAGCAGGGGTTGAGAAGAACTGCTGCTGCTGCTGCTGTCTAAAACTCACTTATAATTTCCACCATTATATCCCCTTCGTAAAATTTCTCTGTCCACAATTTTTTATCAAATTTCCATCTTCCTCTTTAACCAATCGTCACAGTCACAATATAACAATTCTCTTTCTCTCTCTAAAAATCTGCTGCCACTGACAAGTTGATTAGACCAAATTACAATCTCTCTCTCCTCTTCTGGTCCTGTCACAATTCTCCACACACACACTTTTTATTACTACTACAACACCCGTAGAAAAACCCCCATATTGACACAGCACTTGAAAACGGAGAAGGAAATAAGAAAGTGCAACAAAAGAGAATGACATTGTTACAAAGTGATTGTTGCTTTGAATCTTTAAATTCTGGGCTCTGTTTTCTTTCTACATTGAGACTGTAATTTTCGTGGGCTTTTGTTATCTGAGAGAGTGGTTAAAGAGAGAGAGAAGTGTTTTGTGTGTGTGTGATAAGATTGAGATATGGAAAAGTGTGTGTTTGGAGATTTCATTTCGTCTCAATTTTTGAAGAGCGTGGTTGAAATTTGTTGGATAATAAAAAATTTTCTTTAGAGAGACTCAATTTTTGTTGTAAAATTCACCACTTTTTAACCTCCATTTCGTATGTATTTCATTTAATATACAAGTATACATATTGGAATTGTGTTTAAAGAGATTTTATTTCGTCTCAATTTTAGAGCGTGGTGGTTGAAATTTGTTCTTGATAATAAAAATTGTCCGTCCCAACTTTGTTAGCATTAATAAATTCATCGCTTTCCAACGTATATTCACCCAAAATTCCCCACCGCTTTAAACATTCCCCATATATCAATCCCATTAAAACAAATTCCCTTCCACAACATCCAATCATCACATCCCATTGAGCAAATCTGCATATAACCAAAAAATCAATACATAAACCCGCACGATGAATGATTATTATTATTATTATTGGTTGTTCAGCTTGGTTGACTCGAATCGTTTATCTCGTCCTCGTCCCCCTCATTCGCTCCATTCCATTCCATTCTCTCTCAACCGATTAAATTAAGACGCTCGTTAATCTTCATATATACCCGTCTCTGTCCGTCCGTCCGTCGTGGTCGGTTGGTGGTGGTTCCATCGAGAGAGACCCTCCACACAATTTGAGACCCGTCTCTTCACTACGCATTTCCTTAATAAAATCTCAACTTCCCCACCCCGCACCCACCCTCCTCTCTCTATTCACCGAAAACAAACCCTAATTCTTAGGTACACACAACCAACACACCTCTTTTTCTTTCCAATAATGACCACCCTGAAAATGCTTTCTCTCTCTCATTACAACCATGTAATTACGTGGGGAGAATAAGAATTTATTACCAGTCACGTCTCTCCCCTCTTCTCTCTCTCCGCTCTCGCATTTATTCGCTAATGACTCTCGCTCTCGCTCCAATTTATTGGTCCAACGAACTGATTTTTATTTAACCGGATTCTCCCCTTAATCGGATCCTCTCTTTCTCGCTAATGAGCAAGTGATCCAGTAGGATATTGGAATTTCCTCACCCATTTTTAGGGATACGCTGGAAAGTATAACATCTCAATTAGTAAATAATACTCAAAAACCCGCTCGTTATCTGGTGAGGAAAGTGTTGGATTACACAAATTTTGTGGTTATTTCTCACGTTCAGCTCATTAAAATGGGCTTTTCAAAGTGTGTGGATGTGGATGTGGACACGCGGCCCCTGGATTTAGAAATCACGGGGCGAGGAACGTGACTTTTGTGGAGAGGAAGGAAGGTGTGTGCGGTGTGTGAGTGGAGAGAAAGTGATACTAATGAGATACGTTGTTATCTTTATTATTCTGTGGAATTGGTGATGAAATGGTGGTTTTTGATGTGGGGTGGAAGTGAGATTTTAGAGAGAGTTTTACACTCGGAGGAGAGAGATTTTGTCCAGTTTTGCTAAAAACTCTGGATGTTTGTTGGATTTGTTTAATAATTTTTTGAGTCGGTTTTTAAATAGAAGACCCATCTCACTACCAAATTATTCACCACACCGTCAAAAAACGTGTCCCCATAAACCCATGCAAAATTTCAGCTTTTTGTTAGTTTTATAATTCTTTTTCCTTATTTTAATTTAATAATTCTAACCTCTAGAATTTTACTTATTTGTCAAATAATTTTCCGAATATTAACCCAAAAGTTAACAGAGATATAAATCTCACTCTAAGATTTGGATTACTTTAAGCCTGGGTATTCCACACACACATTTTCCACCAAGCTGATCGTGATCACGGAGCTTAAAACTTTTCAAGCGTGTCATTAAAACTATGGACTGTCGGTTTTATTAGCAATTTTATTTCGTAACTTTAGAAAATTGATGGAAAATTGATCTATTACTCTATTTTTGTATACATTTCTGCATAATACACGCGTGCGACTCTGCTAAAATGTCACAACACAAACTATTAAAATTCATTAACTTCCTCTTTCGGGAATTTTGAGATTTTTACAATTTTACAACTTTTTTTTACACACAATACTCATTATTTCTTCGTACATTTCTTAAAACAAAATTTCAAACATTCTGACCATTGTCCATTAAACGCTACAAATTTCAACTTAAATAAAAGTAAATTTCTTCAAATTTACCAACCGGAAAACGCATCTAATTAAACCACCTCAAAAAAGACTATAAAACCCTCATCGCTACATTTTCCTGAGGACTTGTGTGTAATACCAAAAATCACCCAAAACTTTCCCTTTTAAAAAAAATAACCGGAAACTTGTCTAAAATATTCATTTTATAACCAATTTTAAGCTCAAATCAGGACATGCTGAAAAACTGGAGTCTTTATTCCATGGTCCTAGAACAAATTCGATTGAGAAAATCCTCCTCCAACTGTTCGTAATTGATTGATTGTTCAAAAATATTCACAAGAATGTGCACAAATTTATCCTAATTACGTAAAGCTCGTTATATCGTGGTATCCACCTTCTGCATAAATACTTCTGTGTAATTTACAAGGTAAAAGTAATTTTACATTCCCAACCCCACGCTGGTCCCTTAAAAAAGAAAAGTCAAAGTTAAATTATGAAAATTTTAATGGAATCCTGAGAATATTTTCTTCTTTCTATCCAAAGTCGGACCATCACAAAAATCTAAATTGAAATAGCTGAAATGTCAAATTTGCACAAATTCAAACTTCATGGAAGGATTTGAAGAAATCGCCAATTAGTTAATTTCGCAGTACGAGAGCCATATTTTTCCCATTCTGCGTGACAAACATGTCATCCCTGAAGATGAGTTATTTCTTAAATTCATACCAATCTGAACCACGAATCCTAGGCTTATAGATTCATGATCGGAATGGGAAGTGATTTATAAGGGAATTATTCATACCAAACCTCAAATTGTTTGTATATAAAATTCAAATTTACACTTTAATATCTCCAAAAGTAATAAATTTAAGACCCCTGTTCAGATGTCAAATTGTTCAAACACCAAAGTCGCAAAACACCCCAAAAAACAACCCAATCCGATTTACACCTTGTTACTTTATCCAGACACAAATTGTCTCATCCTTCCCCCCGGAAGTTTAACATGGAAATTACATAAATTTTGAAAGATTTTATGAAGATTTTATTTTTAATTTTATGAAGCAGTCAGTGCATCAAAATCTCATAAGCCACACCACTTGAACAGTTAATTCCACACTCAATTCTATACCCTGTCACACGCCATTTTCTGCAAATTTATTTCTCTCCATTCTTTATCACTGGATTTCTTTAATAAAACTTGACTCAAACTTTTATCCACAAAATCTCACAAAAAATGGATTTTATTCAAACAATTTGTTAACAAATTGCCTTTATCATCGTAATTTTTTATTATTAGCTCGCAGACAATTGCGCACAACCAATATTCCAATGTTAAACATTGACAAAAGCACGAAACGGGGGTGGACAGTGGACTGGACACACTACTCACTAACAATGCGATGGTGTGAAGTGTAACCCTCGGATTTGGCTGACATTTTGAAATTAGGTGGTCGAAGTCAATACAACCAACGTTTCTTCAGCCAGTTTGTGCGATGGTTGGAGTTACTCAAAATATTTGAGGTCAAAGTTGAAAAAACGACCGACTTTTTTCAGGCGGAGTGAGAAAACTCCACTTCCATTCTTTCCCCCTCGCATTGATTCTCAGTCCGAAAAATAATTCATTTCATCAATTTTAACTTTAATTTATTATATCTAGAAAAACATTAATTATTAATTGCATATGGGTCTTGGTCTTTGTTTTCAAATGAATTGGAAATCAGAATAACCAACGGTTTCGAAATGGAAAGCAAGTTAAGTTTTTCCATGTTTATTTGCTGTTAATGAATTTATAAATTAATGCTTGTATGAATTTTTAATGCAAAGAAGTAAAAATCTCACTTATTCAATTATGAATTAAATTAAGCGAGTACGAGGCGTGTTATTCCTATTTAATAATATTTTATTTTGGTTATTTTGCATCACTGCTTATGCTTGTGTATAAAGGCGTATGTGTGAGAAACCTGAATAAAATCAATGCGAGGGGAAGAGAATGGAAGTGGAGTTTTCTCACTCCGCCTGAAAAAAGTCAGCGGTTTTTTTAACTTTGACCTCAAATATTTTGAGTAACTCCAACCATCGCACAAACTGGCTGAAGAAACGTTAGTTGTATTGACTTGCACCACCTAATTTCAAAATTTCAGCCAAATCGGAGGGTTACACTTCACACCATCGCATTGTAAGTAGGACGAAATATACAAATATAAATTTCTGCATAAATCACCCAGTCACCAAAATTTCTCATAAAATATTTCTTCGATATTCTGTAATGGATCTTTTCCACATTTCCAAATTCTCAAATTTTCCCCACACCGACCAATGATATAAACAAGGCCCCAAAAAATGGGAAATCTTAGTGAGTCAGCACAATCACAGTTAATAAATAAAATTAGATTGAATAATTTTTTCATCACCGCTCTCGGTATAATTTTTCCTGGAAGCATTAATTAATCATTTAGAATAATTGCCCCCCCCTCAAAGGGTCTGGAGATTTCATCTGAATAGGAATTAATAGGATATCTAAATTTATATATCGAAATTGTAGATTTTCAAATCTTTCTAAATTTAAAATTCGCAGTTCACAATTATATTTCATATCGATTAATTTATTCAACTTCTCGTTCAATAGTAAAAACGTCATCTTGTAATCTCAATTAATTTAATGAATGCAAGAGTTCATGCGTATGCAAAACTAAATTTACAGTGGACCCAGTAAAAATTATCCCGAGAGCGGTGATGCAAAAGTTATTCAATCTAATTTTATTTATTAACTGTGATTGTGCTGACTCACTAAGATTTCCCATTTTTTGGGGCCTTGTTTATTTAAAACTTGTAATTTGGTTGTCAAAGACATTATTTTTACTGCACAACCGCCGTTATTATCGGCACCTTGAATATTTTTATTAAATTTTTGATTTTCAAACTTGAATAACGCCCTTATTTCTCAACCGATTTAGGTCATTTTGCGCTTAAAATGTCCGGAATGACTTTGACTAAAATATTTTCAATAAGCGAGCATGCTGGGATACACCACTTATGAGTCATAAAAATAGATATGTTTTCAGAGGAAAATTTTTGCACATTTTGGCACATAACTTGGGTAAAAATCAAAAATTCGCCAAGTCGACTAGCACATCTTTTCTAAATTACCTAACAATGATCTGTGCAAAATTTCATCAAAATCGGTTGAGAAATGGCTGAGAAATCGACTTATGTCACTTTTTTTGGGTGGGGTAAATGCATACTTAGCAAATTTTTTTCGTTGTCAGGTATTTGCCTCACTAAGAAAAATGTGGATTTTTCATGTTTTCTCTGCCTAAAAAAACTCAAAAATTAAATAAACATTACGTGTTTTATAGGAAATTTAGAAAATTTTAACTGCCTGTTCGGGTGTAATTACGCAACGTCGTACGCAAGAGAAATTTTATTAAAAAATCCGTAGTACGATATTTATCAAGCTTTTTAATGGTCTAACAATTCTCGCAGAAAGCTTTGACGATAAGAATAATTTGGAAATTTAGCAATAAGAATTTAATAGCTTCTGAGGGCACTGATTAACTAAGCGTAGTTTTATAATTTTTTTAAGAAATTGAACCATTTTTTTGTGTTTTTTCTCCAGTGGTGGGAATTGATGATATTTGCCGTCACACGTAAAAAAGCATGAATTTCGTTTGGGAAAATTGTGAAATGAACAATTTTAAATTGCTTTTGTTCACGTGCGCCAAAAAATTATTAAAAATAAACCTTTCCTTGCCATGATTTAGCGGAAACTTAGCTTGCCCATTGTTAATGTGTGCATGAATGTTATCATGAATTCCCTTGTGAGCTGTTATGCAAAAGAATTACTTGCTCTCAGTGACAGAAGGACATTATCTTTATCCTAAAAACTAATACTAAAATGGAGAGAAACAATTTCAGCCGGTGCCCTTGAACCACCTTCGAGTCAAATTGACAAGGAATTACCCAAAATCTTGGACTTTCAAGCAACCCAGGTGAAAATATGCATCCAAGTTTCTTTCTCCTTGAATTGTCTAAATAGGTTGGATGTCCGTCTCTGATTTTCTCATCATCGTCTCATTTCTTACTCCAACTTCACTCAGCACATCTCATTTTCTCCATGATTTCCCATTCCATGATTCCAGTTATGCACCATCATATAATTCAAACGTGAATCTCTCTCTGATTTGTTAAGCAGAATTTCGAGATATTTTGGTTAATAAAAGTCCAAGGGAATCAACCAGAAAAACCTAAATTAGTAGAGCTTTGCATAGCCCGAACCAGGATTGGCTTTTGTACAAAATTTCAGATTTCTACTACAATTTTGAAATTTTGGTGCATAATTCTCCACCCCGACGACTGGTCGACTGGACCGATGTCGCCCATCTTCGAACTCGTTTCTTAACTTTGTCCAATATATGCTTTTGGTAAAAGTTTCAATTCTTTCGAGAATTATCGAAAGACGGACGGACTTGACAACTGCATAAGCCCTGATTCGGGCTAAAACCGAAAAAAAAGTTACATTTCACATAAAATATTTTATTCTTATGCTTGTAATAAATTCTATATTTCATAATTTAAACATTGTGTATGATTTAATCTCTAATTGTAAATAAAACGATGCAAATGTTAAAAAAAATTCTGTAAAATTTTCCATAATAAAATATCTCAATTTTGCTCATCGTAGCTAAAATTGACTAAAAATCCGCACAATTTCAGCATCACAAAAACTCCTATAAACGGAAAAGGGGAAAAGGACTATAAAACCGAGTGGGTTATAAATTCTCGGGATGATGACAAAGGGTGAATCTTGCTTTAGCTGTAAATATGCTGAATGAAATTGTTGTTTCGCTGTTAACTCGCGATTATTAGAAAATTCTTGATTAGAAAATTACTCAAAATAATCCTAAAAAAATATTCTCCGCTTAAAAATATTATATTATTAATCTTAAAAAATCTTTTCCACAAAAATCACTCAGATTCGCCGTTATTCTGTAAATTCTAATATTTAAGGTAGAATTAACAGATCGTATTCTTTAAATTACTCATGTAAAATAAAAATTCTTATTAGCTATGAAATAAACAATTCAACAATGAAAAATTGCATCCAAAAAAAGTAGTAGTAAATAAATTACCACCAAAAAATCACTTCTAAAATTAAAAAATCATCAAAAAATCACCCAAAAACCCCCATCAATTAATCCGCTATTCTATCTCATAATTTAAATCCACAATCATAATCCCCCCCAAATTCCCCCCTTTACAAAAACCCGTCCAAAAACTTTCCTAAAAACTTCACCAAAATCCTCACACCACCACACCAAACCCCTCCCTCCCTCCCGAAAGGGTTGAGCCAAACTCTCTCCTAAACCCACCCCCGGAACCTCATCTCCATCCATCCACGATCCGACCAATCCAACGCGTCTCTCTCCCCTGCGGGTGAAAGCAGCAGCACACATCTCGGAATACATACTTTTCGGCGCAGAGGAGACAAAGTACGAACGAGGAGAGAAGGAACCGTTATGAAGCGAGAGAGGATTTGGATGTGCAGTGGATGAAATGGTTAATAAGGTCCCACTTTACTTTACGTCACAAGCCAATCAACTTATCAACGCTCCTCTCTCCTCGTCTCTCTCGTCTCTGAGATTAGCAATTTTTGTGAATACTAAGACAATTGCCAATTAGCGAATGTTGTTGTGACTAGTTAATTATCTTTGTTTACTAATTTCTACACCAACGGGGAAAGATGAGAATTCCAGTTAATTAAAATTATTAAAAACCACCCCCATAAAAATCACTTAAAAAAATGGAGGACACTGCTTCCACGTTGCCCTTATTACCTCCAACGACCCCACGCCGGCCCTCATTTTACTCCCAACGGACCTCGAATCCCTTTGCAATTCAAGAATTACTTGGTCTTTCAGACACGCCGTCGAATAATTCTTCCTCAACGACGCCGGTGACGACGACGACTCCGCTTCAGAACAGTTTGTCCATCGCAGCGAAATTGTCCTATCCACGATTCAGTATTAAAGACAGCTTATCCGAGGTGTTGGACTCTTCAGGGTCGAATTGGATGACTCAGGCGGCGGCCATGGCGGCGGCGGCGTATCATTTGGGGGGTCATCATGGGATTCATCATCATCATGGGGAGTTTAATGGTGGTGGGGGGAGTGGGGGGAGGGGCAATCAAGATAATAATAATAGTGATAGGAATGGTGGTGGTGGAGGGAGTGGGGGTGCGAGTGAAAATGGGGGAAGGAATTCAACAGTCAATGGTGAGTTTTGGTTAAGAGTTTTAATTGGAAAAGTAGTAATTTAAGGAGGAAGTCGTTAATTTTTTAATTTGAAAGAGCAATGTCCGTATTTTGGTGGATCAAATTTAATCAAATTTAATATTAACGTCAAGTTCGTGAATACATTTTTGGATTAGAAAACGAGATTTGAAATTATAAAAGTGAGGAATGAGTTACGCCGGGTTTAGACTTCACGTTATCATCACGTTCTCCTCCCAACCCGATTTTTTGATTGGTCGAAATTTTTAATTGTCTTAGTGATATTTTTGATTAGCCAATCAAAAAATCGGATTGGGAGGAGAACGTGATGATAACGTGAAGTCTAAACCTGGGGTTATAAAATACGCAAAAAAATTAAGATTTTTCGATTAGAAAATGAAACGAATTAGACTTTTAAAGCGAGAATCGCAATATTTTACATTTAATACGTGATTTAAGACGCATGTTTTAATTAAGAGGATTGTTTAGACAAATATTTTAAAACAAGGAAAAATTCAGATTATTTCGATTGCAAAACGGAGCGAATGGGAGAATTTAAAAAAATTGCAAAGTACACTAATGAAACTGTAATCACGTCCACATCACGTAACGCTCATTTAAAAGAATGAGCAGTTAAAATTATGAAAATCAGTAAACACCCGAATATTTTATCAAGTATTCAGATTCATTCAATTGAAAGAGAAAACGAGTTTAAAAGAAAATGACAATACTCATAATGTAATATACTAATCATAATACTCAATTATTATCACATACAACTGACACATTACGTAGCGAAAGAAAACCGGAGTGGATTAGGAAATTTGTTAAGGCAAAAACTGTCCATTTAATACTGGAGATTTTTAAGGCAAAACCCACAATTTTACATTTAACACATGGCAAATGAACAATGAAACAATTGAATTTAAGACGCATTAATTAGGAGACATTTTTAAAGGAAATCAGAATTGAAGACAAATGAAACTACTGAGTATTAAGCAAGCACATTACGTAACTTATTTTATAATCTGAAATCCCCCCATAATATTCGCATTACAAATTAATTAGCTGGTAATTACAATTTCTCCCTGAGACAAATCTCACATGTACATAAAAATATACACATTACGTGTACATGTACATCGCAATTTCCCCGATTGAAATTATAACATCATTCCCCCCCATAAATCCCCCAAAAATTTAAACATACACAAAACTAAAAAGAAAATAAACCCAATCCCTAAAAGATTTACATATAGGATGGAGTGGATTTTTGCATATTTCCTCTCTCCAATTCCAACTCCAACCGAGAGACTTCAGGAGGGGATTAAAAACCGATTAGTGGATTTGATTCGGATTTGACTTGTTGACTCATGACGATGATGATGATGCTGATGGGAAATAGTAATTCGGTTATCCTCACCAACTCCCCGTCCGAGTGAGTGATGAGCGAAATGGGGAGAGAGATTAAGGAGTAGAATTGCATCAGCTATTTCCCTCATCGTTTAATATCAAATTCTGTAATGAGAATTTTTATCCATACCACACATTTCCACCAGCAGCACCACTTCCACTGCGGATCTCCTCTCTTCTATCCTTCTGTCAAACAATGCATTTTTTCCCTTTTGAACATTTCCCATTGCTCTCAATGGGAGAACAACTGGCATCCTTCTTCTTCTTCTCTTTTATTACCAACAAATCCACCACTGACTGGATCGAGAAAACACGAGTAAAACTTATTAAATTATGTTTATCAAATTGAAAATGAGATGAATTTCACTCCATTTGCCGTCTCTCTCTAAATCGAATAAATCTCTCAATAAATAATCTCCCGAGGGGAAGGGAATCGATTTATTATCAAAGTGGGATTTATTAGAATTAAGACATTTTTCGAGCTACAACTCTCTGATTGAAAAATCTGCGGAATTCTCCAAAATTAATTAAATCCCAATGACAAAACGTGACTTTTGTGGTTTTTCTCCTCCGCCTCGGAATTTGTCTGACGAGAGAGGAATTCCGAGTAATTAAGTGAACGAATTAACTCTAATGATTTATCCCAAGTCAATTAACGACCAAACACAATGCAAAGGAATTTAATTAAACAACTCCATTTGGGATAATTCTCTTCTCTCCTTTGTGTTAAATAGGAATTTCAGGAATGCAGCACGGAACGACCTACCCGCACCACCACCACCACCCATCCCCATACCATCAATATAACGACTCCCCTCCATTTAACTCCAGTAATAATAACTCAACAACGACGACGACCACCACACCCACGAGTAATCAAACGGAAGATTACCATCCCCATCACCAATTTAATACAATATTGCTCAACAATCATCATCATCCATCAAATCATCATCATCATCATCCAGGAAGTCCACTTTTACTCGGTGGTGGTGGTGGTGGAGGTGGAGGGGGGAGCAGTGGGGGTGGGAATAAGAAAAAGAAAAAGAAGCGCAGGCATCGGTAGGTGTTTTCTTTATAAGAAATTAAAGTAAAGGAAAGTTAAAGTTGATAAAATTCTATCTGTATTTTTAAGCAGAACGATTTTCACGTCCTTCCAATTGGAAGAGTTGGAAAAGGCGTTCAAGGATGCGCACTATCCGGATGTGAGTTGTTAATTTTTTGGAAATTGGTTTAAAATATTTAAGTTAAATAATTTATTAAGGTTTACGCCCGAGAAATGCTCAGCTGCAAAACGGATCTCCCCGAAGATCGCATTCAGGTATGTGAGATAAGATAAAACCAGTTGTCCCATGTCACTGAATAGTAAAATAGGGGAGAGAAAATGGGGGGAAAAGTGAGATTCCAGGAATGGACTCTCTTCTCTCCTACCACTAACTAAACTTCTCTCTCATATTTACATCACTACTTGTCATTCTCAAGATCTCCTTCCTTAAAAAAAGAACCGTACATCCACCAAATGTTGTTCCTGTATCTTTTCCACATACCACTTATTTCACTCTTGTAAGATAAAAACTTGACTGAAAACTGCCGAGTCATTTCCATATTTACACATAAGAGAAAACACTCGAAAACAAGTGACAAGATCCACTCGAGACATGTCTCTGTCACTTTTTATAAAATAAAATCTTTAAAAAACTCAGGTCTGGTTCCAAAACCGTCGTGCGAAATGGCGCAAAACGGAGAAATGTTGGGGTCGGAGTACAATAATGGCCGAGTATGGATTGTACGGAGCCATGGTCAGACACTCTCTTCCACTCCCAGAGACCATCCTCAAAGCGTCGAAGGAAACGGAACAGGGGGGATCAGTAGCTCCCTGGTTGTTGGGTAGGTTTTTCTTATCTTTCTTGTCTTATCCGCTAAAATTCCACGTAAAAAAGCTAATAAATCCCCGCAGGGATGCACCGAAAATCCATCGAAGCCGCCGAGCAGTTAAAATCCCCATCGCAATCCCCCCTCGGTGGAAGCAACAACGGTGCAGGATCATCCTGTTCCTCCAACGACTCTCAAAACCCCCCATCCGACGAGGAAGACTCTCAACCCTTAAAACTAGAACGGCCCGACTTTTCCTCCCTCCACTTCCCCACGAGTAACAATAACAACAGTTTAATCCGACGACATTCCTCGGTGGCGAGTCTGAGGGCGAAGGCGCAGCAGCACATGTCCAGTTTAGGAATCCCGATGAGCGAGGAGGATATTATTAATAATGAGCACATTGATATTGTTGATACTTGAAAAAGAGAGAGTGAGTGCAGCTGGAAATTAATTTTTATATTGTATATTTAATTTATGGTCAATAAAAGGAGAGAGAATCGTGATGGTAAAGAGAGTTTCTCAAAAGTGGGTGTGTTTTTGTCAGTGTCTTTAATGTCTAATTAAATAAATTGTGGATGTCAGATTTTTCCACACAACACAATTGACACATAATTATAGTTCATTATCGTTTGACTCGACGTCTTTGTTTGGGGTTTTTTACGGTGTTAGAGAATGGAGCGTTTACACGTTTTGTGAGTTAGTTTAACACCGTTTTACAAGGGATTTTACTAACGAAATGGATGGACACTCAGAATGACTGGCGTAAATAATTTTCCTACACTACCCAATTTACTATTTCCAACATGTCAATGTCACCTACTCCACCCCCTCATTTGTTTAACCCTTTTTTTGATTATACACACTCTTTGAGTGAGTGAGTGTAGCTGACGTTTAACTATATTTTCATACACACAAATCTCCCCAATTAAACGGAATACACGTGTTTAACACATAAATATTAATTAGTCATCCTATTTTGAAATAAATGACAAGCGTAGAGCATCATCGAGTAGGAAACAAATTTGCAGCTTTTTATTATCATCAGCCACGCCGATTAATTCGTGTGATTCTCATCGGATTAAAGTGACTGCTGCTGCTGCGTGAGTAATTGAAAAAAGGAGAGAGAGAGAGTGAGAGAGAGAGAGCGAGAGGATATAAAGGAACGGTCCCAGTGGTCCCTGAGGTAATTAATTTTTGATACTTGTGATCGGTTGGAGTTTTGAATTATTATGCGATATTTTTGTTAAATCGTTAAATACTTCATTTAGTGGGATTAACAAGTAATGGAGATGAATTTCTCAACTTGCCTCATTAATCACACGCGATCAGAGGACTCGTACAACTCACACAACTCGTCATAATAATATGAAATTCAATACTTTCCTCAGAACCTTTTTCTCTGAAACCTTATTAATTTATGGTCGTCCTCTTTTGTCAACGCTCCTGCTCCTGCACCCAACAACCCACGACCATGGGTATATGAGTGATGTTTGTAATGAAAGGGAACTACTAGGGGACGAGGGAGAGAGAGGTGTCTATTCAATTAAGCGATTTCTTCTCAGATTACACACGACCAAAAGGAGACCCAAAATATTTTGACAGAAAAATGAATATAATAAATCTGCAGCACCCTTTGTACGCGAGAGAGAGACTGGTTTCCGGTCTTTGGTTCCGAGAGTTAATTGGATTGTTTTCCTTATTTCTATGGAAACTGGTGGGTGAAGAGTGGGATGCCAGGAGCAGAGGAGTGAATACTGTTTAATTTATTGAGGAATGGAAATTATCACCCTGCCGGGGATGGGCAGTGGTGGTGGAGAGAGAGAGTGGCTGTTTTGGGACTACTTAACTCCCAGAGCTAATTAAATTAGATTGAATTTCTCTTCATACTCACACTTTCTCTCGGCTGGAGAGAGATTCACACAACCAGCAGCCAGACTAGCCCAGCACCAGGAGAAGTGTGTGACGATGAAGAAGTGAGAGAAGGAGAATAAAAATTGCATTGTCTTTTTAGGATGTGGGAATGGGACAAATTCGTTCCGTGCATGGGAGCGAATGAACACAGAAAGCGAGAGCAGACGGAGGAGAAAGTGGTGGTGGTGGTGATAAAATGGGGAGGTTGAGACCAGACAGAGCTGCTGATCTCTGGAGGCGAGGTGAGACTGCGATTTTTCTCCTCCTCCATGGTGATAGGGGCACCGTGAGATTCCAATGGAGGGCACTTTGAACAAACCGAAGGAGAATCACTATTCCCAAAAAAAAACTCGACTCATTTCTTCTTCACACCGGATTCAATTAATTAAAAAAAAACCCAACTCCCCCAAAGGATGCGAGGAGACGCCGCCTAAAATAACCTCAAAACTTTAAAGTAAGTAAAAAACATTCCCCAACGATTGAAAATAATTCATAAACCTTAATTCGCAGGAAAAACCCTAAAAAAATGCCCCCTCCTCGTGGAATCTTCCTATTTTTAATTGGATGGTTATCCATCTCATCCACCACTCTCGCCTTGCACGAGGACCAAGTTGGGAAATTCGATTGGTAAGAGAAAAACTATAAAAAAACAATAAATAATAATTCAAATAAAACTAACACAGGCACCAAAAACTCCTGGGCCCCGTCCGATTCGTATTCAATGATCCTCATCAACCGAAAAGATTACTAATCGGGACTGAGAACAACGTGGTGGGAGCCATTCATGGGAATACAGGTAAAAAAACCGACTTCACCTAATTACCGAAAAATAAAAAAAAACTAACAAATAAAATAAACCAGGAAACATCCTGTACCGCCAACTCCTTGAAACCACGGGCTCCCTGCTCTACTACGCCTTGCAAGAAGACCGTCAGACCATCTCTGTGTCAATCCAAGAGAAAAACCTGATAAAAATCCGCACGTTCACTGCCCCCACCGGAATCCGAATTGACGAATGGATCGTGGAGATGGAAGCAAATCTCGTGACATCATTTGGCAACAAAGTATTTCTCATAAACTCCAAAAACCACCCCACGGAAACCCAAGTCACGACTTTTAACCTCAAAACTGGTCTGGCAAACCCTGTGAAGAAATACACCCTTCCAAACTGTGGCCATCTCATCGGAGTGACTGGACAATATCTCATCTGCTCCAAGGGAACCTCCATCTCCGTCCTAAACCTCGACGATGGTTCCGTGACGAACGAGAAGTTCACTGAAATTTCGGAAATCCTAGAACTGAGCACGAGTGGGTCGGGTCCAATCCCTGGGGTGGTTTTCCAAGGGGATGGATTTATCAAAGGATTTTTACTCATTGAAAACTCAAAATCGGGTCCAGAATTGTTCCCACTGCAGATCCAGCCCTCAAATTCTCGGGTGATTCTGTCCCAATTTACAAGCGAGGAGAGGCCATTATTGTTCGTGACCAGGTTGGAAAATTCCCACACCATAAAAATGGAGGCTTACAACAGGAATGGACAAGTTGTGTCGAATTCCGCGACTTTAATCCAAGCGTCAATGCCGTTGTCTTCGCTGTTGAGGTGTCAGGGGTATTTACTCAACAATCAGTATGGTCTGGTGGGTGTTACCAAGGATGAGCTCGTCTTTGGCACCAAAGCGGGTGAGGATTTTATTTTATTGAATTATTGAAAAATTAATTGAAAAATTAATGACAATTAATTAATTAAAGACGGAACCTCGACCACCACCCCGCAATCCATCGAGTGGTCCCGTGAGGAATCATTAGAATCCATCGTCTCCCTCGAAATGGTCGATTATCCAAGTGAAGTAGGCCCCACCTGGAACCCCTATTTGGCCACGATGAACGTGGTCCACGCCTTCATCTCTCGAGTAAAGTACGAGATCGAATCACTCATCTCTGGCGAATCTCTCTACGCCTCGGACGAGGACCGATTCGGGTTGAGAAAAGTGATTGTCTTTGTGACCAAAGTGGGAAAAGTGATCGGGATGGACAGTTCCTCTGGAAGTATTTTGTACTCATTTTATCTCCCCGATTTCTCCGTCTTTACCGACTCTGCCGCTTTTCTCTACCTCCAACGCCCTGCTAAATACACGCCATTGAAACCTCAAGCTGCCGTTATTTACAAGTCTCTCAGCACTGGAAGCACGATCCTTTTCGCTTTTGATCCCGTGGTTGGGAAACCCTTGGATGAGGTGAGGAAATTCCCACCGATTCTACAAACGCAAATGCTGCACCTCGCTGGGGAGGAGACCCAGTTTGTGAAACCGATTTTGCTTTTGGATGTTGAGTTGAACGTGTGGAGTTATCCTAAAGTGGAGAAAGTGGATGGATTGAAGGAGAGTTTGGAGATTATGAATTCGTATTTTTTCATCGCTAAAAAGTTGAGGTCGCCGGTGCTGGCGGGGTTTGCAGTGGATAAGCAGCGTGTGGGGGAGGTGGGTTTGTTCTCATTTCTTGTATTTTTTTAAAAATCTGACAAAAATTTCCATGTGAGCAGCACCTGAAAGCGAAGCAACTCTGGAACCTTGACCTTGGTCCATCTGAATTGTTAGGAGTTTACGGGAAATTATCCACAGAACGAGTCCATTCCCAAGGCCGCGTCCTCCCTGATCGATCCGTGTCTTACAAATACATGAATCCAAATCTCGTGGTGGCTGTTACTTCAGAACCAGAAGCTGGAAATATCAACTTGTTCTTGGTTGATGCTGTTTCTGGTAAATTATTTTTTATTAAAAACCTTACCAATAATCAGTAATTAACTAAAAAAAACTACTGTAGGCTCCCTGATCCACTCCTTCTGGCACAAAAAATGCCGAGGCCCGGTTCACGTTGTCCACACTGAGCACTGGATAGTTTACTCTCTTTATAACGAAAAAAACCGGCGTATCGAGATAAACTCGGTCGAACTCTACGAAGGACAATCCCAGAGTAATTCCACTGCATTTTCCTCCTTTGCCGCCCCACCCGTGGAGCCCATCGTGGTGAAACAATCCTACATTTTCCCCACCTCGATCCAACACCTTGCTCACACGAGGACGGAAAAAGGGATCACGAACAAGGACATCCTCATCGCTTTGCCCACCGGTGGGGTTCTCGAGCTTCCACGGATCGTCGTCCAACCTCGAGTCAGCCACCAGCACTACACGCAACAGATGCAGGAGGAGGATGGCGTCGTCCACTCGATTCCGTACCAACCGGAGCTGCCCATCTTATCAGAGATGATTTTCAACTATAATCAAAGTGTTAAGAGGGTTCATGGGATCAAGACTTGGCCGACCAGGTTGGAGTCCACATGCGTCGTGCTCGTTCATGGGAGTGGTGAGAGATTGGATACTATTAATTAATATTGTTAATTGCAATTAATAACACTTTCTCCTCTGCAGATCTCTACTACGCGAAGTTGACCCCCTCCAAAACCTTTGACGTATTAAAAGACGATTTTGACTACTGGATCATCTCTGTGGCGCTCATTGGTCTCTCTCTCGCTGCGTATCTCGCGAAACGACTGGCTGCACGGAAACAGTTGGATCAAGCGTGGAAATAATTTGAATAATTATTAGTCATTTTTTTGTGAATTTTTATTGTTTGTGCTAAAAATATGGTATGGAATTTACCAAAAAAAATAGGTTAGTCAGGTAGCGAGTAGAGTTCCTTCACTTTCTCACAACGATTTTTATACACGTTTCCTTTGAAAAGAGAAAATAATTGAATAAAAAATTAAATTATCCATGACCACGGGGAATTTGTTATTTGTTTTTAGATAAATAAAAACCAGACGGCATTTCTTCCCAAATAAATATCCAAAATTTACTCAACTTTCCCAACTCCCAATTCGATCCAATTAGAAAATCCCTCTAATAAAAACCCCCCAAAAAAACATGCAAAATTCCAGTACCCCAACCACTCGCATAACCACTCCAAAACCAATCCGTGGAGGAAATACCCAATCCACAGGGACGAAACTGGGTCATCCTAATAATAATCCACCAGGAAAGAAGCTAAAACGGGTCACCCTGAGCGAACATGTGGAAATCCAAGGTTTGAAAAGCCCATTGAAAGTCACTCTCCCAGAAGGAGGACCATCGGATCGAGAAGAGTACGTTGAGTACGCCTTGGACATGCTGATTCATAATCTCATCGGTTCTGGTAGTTACTCTAATTTTAATAATTAGTGGCAAAATAATAATTGACACATTCCCGCAGGACAACTGCAACCCTCTCAAGCCCACCTGGTCAAGACTCCCGAGTTGAGAGCCCACATATCCGAATTGGTCGAACGAGTCGAGGACGCACACAAAATAGGCCTCTCGACTCAAATCTCATCAAAATCCTCCACGCACAAAGCAGTGACAAAGTGGGCCCTCCAACCAAATTCGCTTCCAATCACGATAATCACAGACAAAGATCCCAACGCGAAATCGGAAAGGAAACCAAATGTTTGGAGCACACCCGTCCCGATCCCTCCAAAGAAAAGAACAAACGTCCTCAGTGCTCCCTTGAGCATTAAACCCAAGCAGAAAGTGTAGGCGGAAATTTATTATTTGTTTTTTACACCATTTTACTCAAGAAAATTCTATTTTGTAGAATTCCAAGAGAGAAACTCCACCAGTTCGTCTCCTCACCGGAACCACCACCAAAATTCCAAAGACCAAAAACTTCATACCCATCATCCCCACTGACCCGAGATAAACAGCGACCCACGAGTGCAACAAATCCATCCGCATTTCCAACAGAATCCACGTACGAAGGATTAGACAACTATCGATTCAAACCCGCAGTATCAATTGGAAACGATGGTGGATTTAGAGCTAAATTTGATATGAGAGGATTCGAAAATGAAGAAATCTCTCTGGATCTGAATGGGAGGAAGTTGACCGTGAGTATAAAATTTAATGTCATTTAATTAATGATAACGAGTGAAACATTTAGGTGACGGGGACCCGGCCTCGACGCGACGAAATGAACGAGAGGAAGACGATTGAACACGTAGAGCTTCCGCTCGGAGTGAATCTTGACAATTTAAAAGTTGCTCGACGAGTGGATGGGATTTTATTGATTCAAGAATCTCCAATGGAACGACGTGAGCTCATTTAAACAAAATTTTATACAATCGCAAATTTCAAGTGAAAATAATAAAATTCGGAATGGAAATTTTTTTATTGTCAACTAAAAATAGGAAGCGCATTGAATTTCCAATTTTCATGCCATTTTAAACTTCTGAATTTTTTCAAGTTTTCTCTGAATTTTTTATGATGTGGATTAGGTTTTGAACTGATTTTGAACCAATTTTGAATTTGATTAGCTAATTCTGTAGAGTCGTTAAAGATGTAACCGCTTTCTCCGTTGCGGACCAGTTCCGGTAGACTGGAAAGGTTTTTTATTAAATTGGGGAATTATTAATTATTAATCTGTTAGATTGAGCATACCAATTAAAATTAACGGCACAGACGGGAAGACCGCAGCCAAACATGTCCACAACTTTCATTGGTAAATCCAGTCCACTGGACGAATAGTGAAGTGATATTCCCAAATCTCCACAGGCTATTTATTAAAGAGAATTGTTTCATTTATTATTTAATAATCAGTAATTAAAACCCATACCGAGCAACGACGGGTAGTCATCATGTTCCAACCACGGAAGATTAATTTCCACATTTTTGAAATCAATTGATTGAATAATTTTCGAATAATATTCTTTTTGTGGTCCTTTCCCCGTAATGAACACGATTAATTTTGGGTAAAAAGTTGGCTCATCCCGACTCGCCGTTTCATAGTCTGAAAATGGTTAAACAAATTATTAAGAGAATTTTAATAACACAAGATTTCCTAAATAATAACCTTGCAAAGCAGATAACAAAATATTGAAATCTTCATCTTCAGTCCAACTCGTACTAGAAATTAAAATTCCAGGCCTTCCATTTAATTCCACTCCTTTATTCGCTATACTCTTTAAACTAGGAAAATCTTTGCTTAATTTGACTAGAAACGCTTTCCTCTCCTCTTCTGAAAGCGGTTTGAATTTTTCTGGTGGTCGGTCGTACAGTGTCACGGCTCTGTTTCAAATTAGGATTTTATGAATTCTACACCAAATTATTAATATTTTTTAAAAAAACCCTCACTCAATGGCCAACCTCCTCCCGAGATCCTCTTTCATGGCTTTTGTAACGCATAAATGCTTATCCGCCCTCGCACCGAAATAATCCTCCACGAATTTAGATAATTTAACGAGCGGGTGCTTCTCTCCAATTGAAATCCCCATGAGAGTGAACCCATAATTGTGCCAATCCACCACGAAATCAGCAAAGAGCACTTTGGAAAATAGGTAGCAAACGGTCAGGGTTGGAATTGCGGGTGGGTTTTGTAAAAGGATGTAGTGTGGGAAGAACTGGTAACGGAGAATCATCCAAACAAAGGCCCAGGACAAGAGCAGCAACTGCCATGCCACTTTTAATGGGTACGAAATCAGGCGGGGGAGGCCTATAAGAGTTTGTTAATTAATGTTCAATTAATATTTGACATTATAAATAATTAATTTTACTCTGAATAAACAAAGGCACTGGTGGCATGAAGTCGACCCAAATGGACTTATTATTCGAGATATTTGACGGCAACGGTGATTCTCCATAGCCAATTAAATGGACGAAATAGCCTTCCTCCACGAGTGATAAGGCGTGATATCCCATTCTCGGACTGCGACCGATATCGCCCAAAACCACAATCGTCACTTTTTTAGTAGTCGTTTGGATTCTTTTTGCTTGTGATAATTCTTCTGGAGTTTCGTCCTCCTGGGTTGGCATCATTTTGAGGCAGTTTTCTTCGAAAATTAGCAATAAATTAAGCAATATGGAATTTTACTTTATTAAGGAGATTTTACGCTGGATAAAATTTAGTAAAAAAAAGTTTGACGTGTATGTGCCACACTGAAATCCGCCGAGGTGTAGTTGAACTCAATGGGGAAGCATGAGAAATAAAAGCGTGTCAAAAATCTCATCTTTTTATTGTAAAAAAACATAAAAAAAATTGCACTTTATTTTATTTAAAAAAATCTCAACAAATTTCAAGTAATGACGACTCCTTTATGGATGCAAATCCCGTTTCCGCCCTCGATGAGTGCCGGCCAGAGATAGGTTTTTATAATTTCTGAAGATTGGTCTGAAGAATGGAAACGGACGTGCGTGGTGCGTGAAAATGCTCTCGTTTCGTAATCCAAAATGCAAGGTGGGGTCTGCAAAATATTTCAGAAATTAGTTTCAAATCTAATTAATTAAAACTAATAAAACCAAACCATATTGGAAAGCCTCCACGCCGTGTTGACACATTTGGTGATGTATTTAAGCAATCCTTCGCATTTTCTTAGGCACGGATAATCATACAGCGTCGTCCATAGTTGACTCGCAACGTGCTGCAGAAAACAAGGAAATTAACAAAAAATAATTGAAAATTACGAAAAACTGAACAAACCTCGACGCATCTCGTCTGATCGAATTTTTGTTGTGACGAGAGTAAATAATCGGACAAAGCTTCCACAAGTTTTCCTTGACATGGTTGAAGTTGATCGTCGTGGAGGTTCGATTGGGAATGCAGTTCAAATTGTAATAGGTTCGACACTTGCTCTTTTATTTCTGCCAATCGGGTTTGCACGGAGCGGAAGGCCAGCTATTTGTATGGAAATTGTTAGATTTTTTGAAAATTTCGTTAATAATGAAATAAACCCACCACAACGACGGAGAACAACAATTTAGATTTGAGTTCATCGGCTTCCAAAAGTTCTGGCATGTTATCCAACGCGTCCATCGTTTCCACTCTGGCTTGAGCGTATAACGATCCATATTCACGAATTAATTCCGCCTTTCGATCCGATTTTGCCATTGGTTCGGCGGTTGGTTCCATTTGTACTTTTCTATTATTTAAAAAAATACTTTATCAATGAATAACTCTAATTCCGTCGAAATATCGATAAAAACCTGAGCAATCCGCCGGTTTGTCTGGTTTTCTCTTGAATTTGATAAATCGTTGAATTGGCACAAATTAATTGGCGTTTAAGTTGAGCAATTTCACTCTTTAAATCTTGAACAAAGTCGCTTTCCGTCGTCGCCGTGGAGCTGCTCGTAGAATTTGAGGATGGGCTGATGGATTGGTTGTTGTCGTGACCGGGTTTCGAACAGCGATGGTTCATCCCTTGACTTATCACTTGATTGTCAGGGACGGAGACGACTAGAGGAATTTTTAAACAAATATTACCAAAAAAAATTATTATTTAAAAACCAAAAGATTTTACCCGTGATGCACTCGACACACTCGACACCGTTGGCGGCGGCGGTGGTGGTTGATGGCTCCCCTGCAGGACTGCTGCTCCCAACGCTGCTGTCTTCTTCCGACGGCGTGAGACTCGCACCACACCCACTCGTCGATGAATCCGTGGAGGCCGTGGAGACTGAAAATACAAAAATCGTCATGCATCGTCAGCCACGTTTTTTTTGTACCGTATTCAGGTGACATATTGCATAACAAAGGGAGAGATTGATGAGTAAAATAATGTCAGTGGTGGTGACTAAACAAGATCTCAATTGGACCATGTTTGAGTTAAGAGAAACGGTTAATTCGCATTGAGAATTAAGGAACCTTGACTCTTGCTTTAAAGAACTCTCTGTTGAACGGATTATTTACACTAAATGTCAATTTAAATACACAGGATGTTGGAAAAGTATAGAGAAATTGTTAATTGTTTAAATCAATTGGCGTGGATCACAAATTGACATTTTTTGAGAAGTAATATTACGTGGATAATATTTTTCCCTAAAGATTTTGACACTTTAATTGATCCACATTTTTTTGCAAAATTTACCGTAATAACTATAAAGTAATTATAAGTACGTGACCGTAGAGGAAAAAACAACGTAATCCGGAGTCCTCTGTAATTGACATGTTTATCACTCTTCCTTGTTACTAATTGAGAAGGTTGGGAAATTGAATTGAAACTGGATTATGTGATGGAAAACCGGTTGCGGGAGGGAGGACAACCAACTCTTAATTTCATTGAGTTATATGATTCTAATGGAGATAAATACGAAAAAATATATAATCTAAACCACTTTCATACAGTGTTGTTCTTCTCAGATTCCCAGAGATTTCGAAACCCCCGTTAGTTTTATATGCTAATTAAATATCCTGTGTAAAATGATGGTCAATTTTTTTTCTACCATAGCAAAACTCGACAATTTCTCCATTTTAAAGCTATTTTACGAATTTCTTTAGCCTTAGGATTAGCTACGAATTGAAAATTCACTCTCAAGAAGACTGCAATTTTAATTCAATTAAGTTCCTCCTTACACACACATGAATTATGCACATACACAAATTATAATGTCTTTGTCATCTCTCTCTTCAAGGAATTGTACATCAAATTAAATTAGAATATGTAATTTGAAAGGGAAATTAAATTGGATTCGGCTCAACAATCGGATGATGATGATAATGATGATGACAGAAGGGAATTACCATCTCATAGTGAAAAGGTAATGAAGAAAACACTTTGTGGATTGAAATTACGATTAAGAAAACAAAAGTTGAAATTGAGACAACAATTGTGAGTGTGCAGAGAAGTGAAATGATCGATAATAATATTTCATTGTTTTTCTCCAACCTGCAGTCAAAACAAAGAGATTGTGACTCTGAATTAAGAATTTATTATGTTAAGAGATTATTGTATCAGATATTTTTTTTTCGAAGAATGTGTGGCCAACTTTCATCCACTCGATGTACATACAATTATTTTGGAGGGTGCTTGAGAATGAGCAAATTTGATGAGTAATTAAGATTTGGATAAAGTATTGAAACCAGAGCGAAATCATAGACAAACATTGTAAAGGAAAAAAAAGAGTCAATTATCCAATTATCTCTAAATTATGTGCGTCTTTTTTAGGAGGTTTTATATGAAAAATTGTATCTAAATTATGTACGTATAAGAATATAAAGTTCTGTTTGTCATCATTTTTTTGCGTGTGTGCGACCGAATCTAACATTTTTGGGAAGATCATGATCATTATATTTTATGACTGGATCTCTCTTCTCCTCTTCGTTTTTTGTATGTTAATGGAATATTCTGTGGTTAAAATGAAATTAGGTTTTTCTATCTGACACATTTCACGATTTGTTTGGCAGGTGGCAGAAAAAAATGATTAAACTAAAAAATATTATTAAAACATCAAAAAAATCTCACCCTTTCCAAGCGAATAATTTTTATGTAATTGATTTTTAATCTTGACATGGCGTGGTCGAATGGGTGTAGTTGTAGGATTTTGTCTCCTCATTAAATCATCTGGCGAATTTCCTCCCACTCCACCCCCTGCACCGCTGATGGAAGAATCAAAACTAGACCCACCAATTGATTTAGCAGATCCTGGTCCCGACATTTTTACAATTTGTCGCAAGTTCCCTCCCGTCCAGGTGGATTGCATTAGTGAAGGACGGAACCCTTGCTTGCTTCGCACTGTAAAAAAAGTAATACACAACAATTTTGAAATTACTTGAAAAAAATCGAGCGGCGACGGAGGTTAGTAATTTATTCGAGAGTAAAGTAAAATATGATTACTAAGATTAGGAATTGGATCGAGGAGATACAATTATAAGTTCAAAGTCATGACCAGTAGGCTGGATTTTTGGTAGGAAAATTATACGAGACGGGTGGATAAAGCATCCTCATTAATAACCAAGTAGTCCACACACACACAATCTCATCAAACGGCCATCTAAAATTATAGCCCACGATTCGTATCATCAACTCTTTAGCGTTTGTATAAGAGAAAAATGCAGCGCAGTATGAATTTCACCGTTAGTTTACCATGTCGTAAAAATTACATACGCGCTGAGATATTCATGAAAAAAAACATGGGAAAAATAAGCTACTCGTTATTTTGTAATGCAGTTTGTCGAATCTGATGAGTAATAGTAATGTATGTAATATTTCATGTAAAAGTTATGATTGAGATGATATGCATGAATGTTAGTTTTAGGTTGCCCCTGACATTTGAGTGTCCCGCACGAGCGCAGTCTTTCGTCATCTCATTGTTTTATTGGCCCTCATTTTTAGTTCGTTAAAAGTACTCAAGTAGTGTGGACGTGTTTTGAGAGAATGTTCCACAATTAATTAATCCACAGTAAATAAAGTAGCAATTATTTAAGAGATTTATAACAAGTTTGTTTTTATATTTATTTTGCTACTCTTGTTGGATTTATGAGCTGACCTCCTACTCGTAGTAATCATCCCCCACGTCAACTTCGGTGTAACGCTGGTCAGAGGGTATCTGATTGGGACTGACCCAGTGGTGTTCTCAGAGCAGACGCCACACAGTTTATTGCTTTTGTGTCGGATTTCCTGATTTGATTTTCCACCCTCTGATTTCACAAAGTAATACACACACATATTTCATCTGGAATATTTTCAATTGTCAAACGGATGTTTTTTTGATGCGGCCACACCCAATTTGGATGAAACTTGCATATTAAAACGATATCCGGAACACTTTAATTTAAAAAACAAATGAAAAATAGCAAATACCTGATCTGCTGAGGAAGTTGTATCTGGCTCGTGGTGTGACGAAGGGAGAATTTCCGGACGTCATAATGGCGGAATCAGAATCCGAATGATAACCGGACAGGTCGCTCGAGTCCTCCTCCCCATCGTGTTCGTATGCACCAACCTCCTTCCCCACGGCCCGCATTAGCTCCAAAACCTATTTTATTAATATTCAATTTTCATCAGGATCCAAGAATAATTTCCAAATTGGTGTCAATGTCGATACTCTCCAAATACAATTTAAATACAAAATCCCTCATTTAAAATCACACACAGATTGCGCACACCCTTCAAACCCAGCCGAGCGTAAAGAAAGCTAAATCTCACACTCGTCATTTTTTCCCCTCTGTTTGCACCACGACGGTATTTGTGAAGAATTTACAGTAAATTAAATCAATTCACTTCGTCTCATTATCCATCAACTTGTTTAATTTAAGTCAAGGAATTTAACATTCATTTGTAAATCGACACCATTGGCGGCCCACACAGCCAACTCCACACTTCTACCAAAGTCAAGATGCAATGTAAAACATAATTCAAGTGTGGTCACAGCGTGTGTCTCGTTGAAATCTCGTCCCTCTTTTTGTGTATACTCCATTTTATTAAGAAACACACGTTACTTCCCATTATTTTTGCTTGAAAATGTAAATTGTGCCGTTTTTAGGTGAAAATGAAGGCAGAGACCGTTTTATGATTACGTAATGAGAGTTTTATTGTCATCCGGTCTTTATACATATCCGATCAAATTAGTGCTAACAAAGAATTCGATCCTCGTCAAAGTAATTTCTATTTTCAATGTCAATAAATACTTGATAAAATCAAAATCAGAGACGCCGTGAAGGAAATCCAAAAACCATTCGTCCGCAACATGACATTTGAATTCGAACACGGGATTTAGCCAGGTTTCCACTTTTTTTGTGTGTCTGCATATAAATGAATTCTTAATTTAGCTCCACACAACGGAACTGACTGACGTCTGATTTCATGCTATGCGAAGAATGAGTTTAAAGCAAATTCACCAAATTACGGTAACTCACTGATGATGACTGTTGAATATATAAATGCAAAGTTTATGATGTAATACGAAATGCGGGGATCCGGTGGAGTTAAATAAAAATTGCGAAATGGGAGTATATATTTAGAATGTGTGTATGTGTGTAATTGGATAATTTAAACGGCGAAGGATTTCTATAACTAGAAATTTTTTAGAAAGTATATGTATGAAAATTAGTGTATAAATTAGTAAGAAAAATTCATAAAAATTGCTTCATTGTCACCATAAAAGACGAGCTTTCAAAGAACTCGCCTGTTGTCCAATGTACAATGAAGACGGAGGATGGAATATTTTGACATTTAGATAAAAAAAAAGAGTTGCGCTTCCCATTGTATTCAAAAACGTAACTGTCCAGACGAAAAGAATAATAAATGACGATCTGTTATTACGACGATCAAACTGTAATTTAGCCATTTTATTTTATTGCTCAGTCCTGTCGTTCAAGTCGGCTCTTTTTTTTTGCATGCAATTTATTTTAGAAAAAAAGTTGTATATTCCTTTTATACGCACTAAGAGTTGATACACGACGATAAAAGTTGGACTAAATAATAATGAAATGGCTTAGAATTTATAAGGATTCGGTGTTCTTTTTTTTCTGTGATGAACCATTTGACCCAGATGACGGATTAATATACAATTTCTTTTAGAATTTTGAGATATTGAGGTGAATGATAACGAGAAAAAATATTGGCATATTTTGATAATTTATAGTGATCATTTTCTGCCGGATAATGATATTTATTATGAATAAGTAATCCAACATAGGAGACTAATCATTTTCATTTTCATTACAAACGTAGAAATTTGCAAAGCCCATTCTTCTTTAGTCAATAAAATTTACATTTCTTTTATTTCCAACTGCGGTATTAGAGAAAAAACAGAAAATGATTACTTTGTTCAGCTATACTTTCATTGAATCCTGATTTTTACCACTGACATTAGATGATTAATAAATTCGTCGAAATGGAAACTTATACTGAATCATGATAATCTTGTAAATAAAAGATTGCCAATAAAATCCCACCTGCCTCTGATATCTGACACCTTTCTTTTTTCCCCTCGAGAAAAAAATTTCTTTTTTAATTCAACTTACTTACTTTTAGAGTAAAATGTGGGTCTCAATTTCACATTGAAAATGAAACCTCTCGGCTGACCTTGTGCATAAATCAAATAAAAATATGGGAAAATTACTCAGATTGTTATTATGATCATTATGATTTTTTTATGTTAATGGGAAAGACGGGACTGCCTCATACAATTTGGTAAATCAATAATTACGTGCTGATAACAACTCCTGTGATGAACAGAATATTCTCGAAAAAAAGTGAAGGTGTGTGCCGATGATGAATTATTGCCTAGAACTCAACAAGTTGGGCAGGAGCGGTATGTAAATTTGTACTAACAAAAAAAAGTTGATATAATCGATTGTTAATATTCCTCCGAAAAATTCTGTCACGAATTTCATCTGTTAATATGGAGGATGGAATTTTTGTTAAATTAATCAATCTTTCTTATAAGAAATCTAAATTATTCTGTCATTGACTCAAAAATTTTAGCAAAATTCTTTAATAACAAACCCTGTGTGGAAGCATGTACCGTAATCGCATCCGTACAATTAAGAAAAAAATAGTTTCTCTTAATGAAAATATCCCGTCGTTCTTTCCGAGAGAATTCCACACACGTCGCGCATTCTGTACAATCCTCTAAAGATGAAATTACACGAAATGTGGTGAGTCCTCTGTTCTGCGGTTTAAAAAAACCACCACCGATAATGAAGTAATTCAGTCAGTAATCATTTACAACAATGGTGAAAGGTATAAATTGAGACTGTACATACAAACATTTGTAGATTATAATTTTTAGTGATGGGTAGTTTATTATCGTAACGATTTAATTGTCAAAACTTTCAATATTTTTGCATATAATTTTCTCACGTATTGATTTAATTGATTGGCTACTCTTTAAGTCAAGGTGTAAATTATTGTGTCTTAAAAAAACAACTTTCGAAATTCCATCACGTTCTTCACCGAGCACCACCACTTTCATTGACGTCTCTCTCTCTCTGATATTTGCAACCGAAAAATTCCTCGTTGGTAAAACAAATGGTTCAATGATGACAATGCAGTGTCCTACAAAATATCGTCCAACGTGACAATTTGAACCCACATTCGTACAAATTGTAATTATTTTAATTGCATAGTAAAGCGAAACAAATAATCGTTATCTTAATCGCCTCCACATTCAGTTAGTGGCAACCATAAGGTATCAACAACAGCAGAATGTGCAACTAAACCGATCTGCTTACCGTTCATGTAAAAGTTGGCGTAATTGTTATAAAATGCATACAAAGTGTGGACATTTCTACTTTTCTTACGAGTAAGTAGGCACGCTGGTGGTATGTACATTCAAACTCTACGTAAAAGTCGATTGTCATTCTCTAGCGGATCCTGTAACTAGTTAATCCACCACGACGACGGCATTTTATTGTATCAACTCTCCATTCACTCCTAAAAGACGTAAAAAACTAACTGTTTCTAATTGTTTGCTCTGTTTAGTTAGTGAACAAGAGCGGTGGGGATTAAGCTTCAAAATCATATCAAAGAGATTACATACAGTTTTTAACTTTGTTTAAGAATAATGAAATATTCAACGTATTTAAATAATTGACAAATAATTTTGACAGTTTTTAAACGGGTCAAACACTGAATGTCTGAAAAAAAGCTATGATTTTTCTCTCTCTTTAAAATCTATCCCACCTGCTTTGATATTTAATAATAATCCACCATCCGACATTGACGAGCATGCATAACATAATTATTATTATTTTAAAGACCAATGACTTACTGGCACACACACAGAGAATTAACACTTATTTTTTAGTACAGCACATGACATTGGAACATTTGTAATAATCTGAACTAAAAAGTGACCAACATTCATGTACAATGTAGAGGATTAAAGAAATAAGGATTTTTTGTGATGTAACGGATGTATTACAATCTGTCGGATTTTCATGATTGTCATTCATATAATGATAAGAATTTACCAGCTGCTGCTGTGCCATTTCACCGCAGACAGAAATTCATACATACATAAACCTCGTTTCTTTTCCCCCGATGTGATATGTAATGCACATTGAAAAATTAGCGTTTTTTGTGTGCCGCACATGTCACTTAAATCTCTCACTCGTTGGAATGTGTGTGATTCAGTTACACAGAAAATATTAATGTTTCTCTTCGTCTACAATAAATAAAAAGATGAAACAAAGGTAATTTCGCTCACCAATTTCAACCCTCTCGAATATCGCATAAGAATTGGTGCGACGATGGCGACTTCGGAACTGTGCCCGTCTCCAGTTTCCTTTCTTAATTGGGTGAATTGGAAGAGGGCTTCCTTGTCCACTTCGACACGGCGTTGGAGTATTCCGAGCAGGATATCGAGACAATTGTTGTCAAGCGTGGGTTCCACGGCGTTCAATATGCTTTTGTTCTTTATTAAACGTTCTTGAATTTCATCGGATCTGCAACATACAAGGAGTAGTTGGTTAGTTATGCATTTTTAATAGTGAGACACACATGGCGTGTCATCATTTCAATGGGGTAAAAATATGTTGCATGCTCATAAAAGCGTGATATTGACCAGCCCAAGGTCCCAGTCAGTCAGGATCTGGTTAAATTGACAATAGAGACAACGACTGATATGTAACGGTTTAGTTGCATGTTGTTCAACTACATGTATCGCGAATTATTTGTTTCTTCTTCTCAATAATTATAGTAAAAGACTAGCTTGATCGATTTTACACGTGAGGAGAAAAAAACAAAAACCATGTTATACTAAAAAGTTTGTATGTCCAAAGACCATACAATTTTTGTAATGGTTTCGTGTGAAAGTTTAATCATGGATGTGAAACTCGGAAAGTTTCCTTTCTTTCTTGTGAGGAAGTTTTCATGAAATGGTTGCTCAAAGTTTGTTCTTATTTTCTGAATATAAATATATTTTAACTATTTTATTTTAGAATAAAGTATTTTAAGAAACTGTGAAATAAATAAAAAATGACCCCAAAAGCACACTCTTATTTATTTTACATTTTAATATTCTCCATTTTCACGACTTACATGACATATTTGACGTTAAGAAACAACACCACAATTAAATTGTTTAAACGAGAGTTTGATTCTTATTTACGACAAGTGCCATCAATTAGAAAAGAGAGTAAGTGAATAAATTTTAATATTGGTGAATATTAAGAAAATAATTCTAATAAATATTTCAGATTTCCTAAAAATAGACAAATCAGTCTACAACGATCTTCTAGTTGACACAAAACATTGTAAAATCCCAAATTTCCACCCATTTGATCCGATGGTGGTTCCACTAATGCATAAAGCAGAATGGGTTGAAGATTGTAGAAAAATTTCATACCATTGGACATATCGGGATGGAAATGTGAGTCCATTAATTATTAAGCATAAAAAATATTGGTATTTACGAATGCTCTAAATTGCAGATGATAAATTTCAATAAAACAGCGCTAAAACAAGACGGATTTGAGTTTAGAGATTTAAATTGTTGTTATAAAACCGTAACACGAGTTGAGCAAGAGATGACAAATTTTGATAAAAATGCAGAAAATTTAATCAAGTAATATAAAACTATAAAATCTCTTTAATATTTTGTAATAAGTATAAAATTTTTATATCAAAGGTACTCAAACTGCATCCCAATGACTGAACTACGCACTAAATTTAATCATGATGAGTTTATAATGATTGAATGCAGTAAAAAGCTCATCCCTTTAGTAATTTATCGAGGATTCCACCCAATTGCTCAACCATTTCGCTCTAAATCAACACAAGATAAAATTGAATATTGGAAAAATCATGATAATCTTCCCCCAAATATTCTCATTCTTGGTTTGGATTCCACATCAAGATTAAACTTTAGAAGAAATATGCCCAAAACTGTGGAAACAATAGAAAAACTTGGAGCAATTGAAATGATGGGTTACACAAAATGTGAGACTAATCAATAACTACAAGGAATTTCTTAATAAAAAATAAAAATGCAGCAGGTGAAAGGACGTTCCACGCCATGTCCACCATGTTAACAGGCTATTCAGGAAGCAGTCTCATCAAAAAATGCAAATTAACCGATCAAGGTGGCTACGACCCATGTCCATTTATTTGGAAACGATTAAACCGATCCAAATACTTAACTGCCTATTCGGAAGATTGGCCAGATATGTATGCATTCGGAACGGGAGGGTTCATTAAGCAACCAGTCGACTATTATTTAAGAACCCTGTTCAACGCTGCTCATGACTACGCATTGCCATTTCCTATCAATCAGTTCGTCAGGGTGAGTTGTTTATAAATCATTTTCAATTAACAGAATTTTCAGTAAATTAAATTACAGCTCTCGACCAACTGGTGCATCGGTCATCAAACGAACGACGACTTGTTGCTGGATTACACCGAGTCATTGCTACAATTGGCACACGACTACAAATCCCCACTGTTTACGATGAGTTTCAGCAATACGTATCCACACAGCATGGATCACAACTTGATACAGTTGCTGGATGAAACTTATGCAGATTTTTTGGAGAGAATGAAAACTAAAGGATATTTAAATGATACAATTTTATTCTTCCTAAGCGATCATGGGCAACGATTCGGACCGCTACGAGAAACTTTGAGTGGATGGTATGAAGATAAATTGCCCAATCTTTGGATATTCTTGCCTGATGGGATTAAGGAAAAATATCCAGATTTACAGGATGCATTGGAGATTAATTCGAGGTGAGTTGTTAATTATTTTCTGTGTAGACTTAATTTAATAGTTTCATACTTTTACAGACAGCTCACATCGCCCTACATGTTTTACTGGAGTATAAACTTCATCTTGGATAAATTCTTCCCAAATTCCAACCCATCAGAAATCATTTTCAAAAATGAAACGATTCCAAGAAAGTTTACAGAATACAATTTCTTCCAAAAACTCCCCAAAAATTTAAAATGCTCAGACGTGGGTGTTCCAGACGTGTTTTGTGCCTGTAATCCATTACGAGAATTGAATTTGGATAATCCCATGTTACTCCTAGCTGGTGAGTTGGCTTTAAGTCAGTTGAATGCAAAATTGCCAAAAACGTGTTTAAAGTTAAAAGTGGGCAGAGTTAATGGGGGAGCAATTATAGAAAATCTGGGTTTAAGCAAGACAACCTACATAATTGGAATTGTGACTGATCCAGGAAAAATGCAAATCGAAGCGAATATCGATTACTTTAAGGACATTAAAACCTTTAATAACATTTCACAAATTCAAAGAATGAATAAAATTAATAAGATTGATGTTAAATGTCTGAAAGGGGATAAAGAATTTGAATTGTTTTGTATTTGTGGTGATTAATTGGTTAATAAAACACGTGGAATATGTTGATTTTATTATGAAACAAATTATTTTCACTCGCAAAACGACAACAATTGAAAAATGATTACAAATTTAACACAGGAAAGATGTTATTGTGTTTTGAAATTGCGATATTGTCAAGTCGAATGAAGAATGAGGTGACATCACTTATTTGACGAGGACGATGAGGCAAAGTGAGAGTTGTGAATCTCATCTCAATCTCCTCATCTACAGCCTCGTCGGTGGATGCCATGTTAAATATTATACAAAAATTTGTCTCTATCAAATCTAAAATCAATCAAAAAATAACTAATCCACTTTCTCAACTGAAATGCAACTTATCAAATTCCGGAAATGGTCAAAGAATGCAGGGCAAACGGAGACAATTAAATAAATTGTAAAATAATTTGCATTCCACATAACGGAGGAGATAAAGGAGCGTGTAAATTAATACAAATTGGAATGCGATATACCGTTTTATTATTTGTTAAATAGGAAATAACGGGGCAAATTAAGACTTTAGCATAAAACGCTTGAAATTATTCACATAAAATTGGAGCACACGATATTTTGAAGGAAATTATGCACGTGTGAAAAAACAAATGACTTACCTCAAAGAAAGTTGTCTTTGATGCGACGAGCTGACGGGAGCGGGTCCTTTTGCCACATTTTTCGTACTACACTTGTTACTGCTGAGGGAAAGTTCTTCCAATTTCTGCAGAGCCCCCTTGTAAGTCTCCACAACCCTTTGAAACTCCAATTTCAGGGCGTCATGAAGTGGCATTAATGATTCGTCCATCGTTCCCACGAGTCCATGTTGGCCTTATTTTCGTAATAAATAAACAAATACATTTCACACCATGCAGTTTTCAGATTACGCAGTATTTTAACATATAATAATTAAAGCATATTATACAAAATTATGATATTATTACCCATCCCTTCCACTATTTTATCCAAGATTTTTGCCCTCTCCTTCATACGTTTTAATAGAGATGGTTCAGAGACGACGATTACACCCAGAATTTTCCGACATCCTTGCGTAAACGGGCCGATGGAGTCCTTTCTCATGCGATTCTGTTGGAAATTGGAAATGCAAAAATTATATAATGCTGCTTAATATGAAAATGCACCAGCGAAACAGACAAAAAACATATTAATTTACAGTTTCATCACATATTTAATAGCATAGTTATTGATTAATAAGAAATAAAAAACTAAACATTGTGCAACAAAATGAAAATGTTGCGAAATTCATGATAGAGAAATATAAATCATCATCGACACGTCATATTTTTTGTATAATCAAGGCGAAGCTATTGAGAAGAAAGGTTGATAATAAAAGTTAACCAAATTATTGAGAAAAAATTCCACCACTACTCTTTTTTTTAGTGAAGTTGAAGAACAATTCATTAAGCACCGTTGAATTGGTATTGTCTTTTTTGTGATGGGTTCAGAATGTTTTGTGATATATTGCTCAATAAAAGTGATGAGAATACTCATCTTGTAACAAGTTTTAAGCTAATTATCCATCAAATTATTATTAGTTGTGTATGAAATAGAGTTTAGGGTGATGAGAGTGAAGGTATATTATAAATAGAAAAAGAACAATGGACTAATTTATGAATTAAAAGTGTCTTCACTCAATCTCATCAATTATGGAAACTGTTAATCAAGGCCTGATAATTGCAAAGTAGTTAATTGTGTCAAATCCTAAATAGGTACAAACTGATGCACTTTTTGAAGTTTATGAACACTTTGTTAAATTTATTCTTATTAAACTGTTAATTATTTAACGACTGAGAAATTCCTCTAATCGAGAATGTTTTTACGATGTGAATTTTTCTTGCATGTGTAAATGAGCACGCGCATTTCTTTGCGATACAACCAAGTAATTCGATTATCTGCGTTTTACTTAATAAGATTATTTAGCGGTGACTTATGAAAAAATGGAGGCAAAAGGTGAAATATGCAAATCTAGGTCAGTGTCGTCTAATCAGCGTCACCACCATGATAGAAAAAATATAAAAAAATAAATGACTAAAAAAAATACCGGCTGAGTAGCAGTGTTATCATCTCTGGAGAAGAATTTGACCATGTGCATGATAACATGTTCTGGTTTTAGCAATTGTAAATCAACCCGTGGTCCTTCTGCACTGTAGATCTGCACATAAAAATTAGGATGCACATTTCATACGCAAAATAATTCCAAGCGTGGAAAATACCTTTGCAAACAACGCTTCTAAAATGGGCAGCGAATGTGGCATCGCTTCAACGAAAACATCCATCGGCAGTTCTCGCAGAATTATTCGAAATGTTCCCACGCTTACACGATTTATGAAGGAGGCAGCCTCTCTGTATTGGGCGTGCTCGTATAATATCAAAACCTGAAAAAATATTATCAGTTTTTGCAATAAAAGGAGAAGAAATACGGTTTTGAAATTGTTTTATAATTTTAATTTGTTAAAGTTCTCATGATTAAATAATTTCATAAATTGAGTCATCATTATGAAATGCCTGTGGATTTGAGTTGAACCACGCGGACAAGTAGTCGTCCGACTAAAAAATTATATTAACCAAAGAATCCATTAACTAATGTGATGTGGTTTAACTCAAAAGTTGAAACATTTTTCTCATAAATTTATTAATAAAAACTTGAACCGACTTCTTCCTTAGTCTGAGGTCATTTTTCAACCCTCCACGACTGCCACTCATTTCCGTCTTATTAAACTGAAGGAAATTACGGTGATTACTTGTGTTTTTTTAAGCAGAAAGAAGTTACATATTGCGAATTGAAACCAAGATTCCAATTAAATAATACGAAACCAGCGGAAATGATGCCTGTGCAAAAATGTGACCGTCGTCTCACCTTTTTAAGAGCCAATCTGGGACTAACATCGGCAATCGTCATGCTCGAAACACGAGATTCTGATTCCACGGGAAGCGGTGGGAGTGAAATGTGTCCGTAATATGAAGGATGCCCATTATTTCCTTGGGGTGAAAATCCCCCTGATTTGATTTCCTTGTCCAACGGGGTGGATGGTCCCATGTTGTACGAGAATAGATCTCCAGCTGTAAATTTTTTATTAATTTGCTCGATTAGAGACTTATTAATCTATTGTCTTGATTGTAACATACCGAGCGACCTCCCCCAACGGGATTGACTTGACCATTTCATCCTTTGAACCAGACGACGCTGACTTCGCTCTGGTTTGAATCTGGAAATTTTACAAATATTTCTTCAATAAATTTTTAATAAGAAATAACTAAGTAAAATTAGTAATTACTCTTCGATTAATTGCTTTAAAATGGATATCCCATCACCGAGAAGAGCGCTTTTAATACTCGCTAAACTTTCGGACTTTAACATTTTCCAAATTTATATATTTCCATCTCCAATGCTCAACCTCGACTGAGGAAAAAGTAGTAAAAAACTTTACTCGGAAGGATATCCGGAGTAAATCCTTTACAAGAATATTCTGGAGGATTGTTTACAGAAATTCAATGAACTCTCAACCTCAACTTTCGAAACTTTCTCACGTTCTCCAGACAATAAAGCACGTAGAAGCAGGCAGTGTTTTTTTAAGTCGGATCATTCCACTCTCATTAATTCAATTACATATACAAAACTTGGATTGCGTGATGCATGATATTTACGTAATGCTACCCTTCATCTCAACATTTATGCAATTCTTTCAAGGAAAAGTGTCTGCAGTCTATCCAGAGTAAGAAGATTTATGGATATTTAAGCAAGGCATCTGTACTTTGTCTTCCCTCTCGCTTTCTATCGCTCTTTGTTTCATATCTACACACGCGAGAATGTACATAAAGGGGTCGGACTATATTTGGACGTGTAAAAAATGAAATTTTACCCTTCTCTGAAAAATGGAATAGAATCGTGCTCAGTAATTAATTAGCCTTGGACTGAATTTTATTAAAACTGTTCCTTAATAAATCACATATTTCTTAAAAAATTATTTGTAAACAAAGGGAGAGCTCTAGATTTTCAATTAAATCGTGAAGGTTTGTATAATTTTTGACAAATTGTTACATTTGTAAAACAACTTTGCGATAATTTATGATACGCAAATTATATCAAACTCTCCAAAAATGGAAAAATTCCACGCCATCATTTAAATCATATGAATTAATTTTCTCGACAAATATGCACATTTTATGACAACATGGAATGTAACAAATCTGACCGCAGCTAAAGAACTAAGCCCCAAGAAAGGAGTTCTGTGCTGGCACCATTTCTCTCGTCGATGTTAAATTAGAGTTAGCTCATTTCACGCATTGTTTTAGTTCCGGATTTAAGAAATTAGTTTCACTTATTCCTTAGCTGTGACTCGCATCTTGGGCAATATATTTTTACAGCGTTAACACATCCTTAAAAAATGGAATGGGTACTTTTAATGGTTATTTTTGACTTGACACCATCACTATTCAAGCAACAACAACAACAAAGGCGACAACATAAAAATAACCGTCTCTGTGCTTGACAAATTTTAAATTCAAATTATGGTCGAGCTAAGAAATTAAAAATTAATTATGAACCTTATTTCTGTGCCGTGGTATTCTTGTAAATGTGCCATATTAACAATTATGTGAATACAAGTTAATTTCTCACTTCCTATTGTTCGTCTGTTTGTTTGAACAAAAAAAAAATACGATCGGAAATAGTTTCGCAACTTTGTCAGGAATTAAATACAAAAAAAATGAGAGAAATATGGAAAAACTCTCACTTTTGATTTTTTTCTTACATTTTTTTTCATTTAGCATTCATAACCATTCTTTCACACACACATATTTTTGCGGCGGTTCTCCGTGTTAATTAGTTTTTAAGAAGATTTGGTAAGAAGAGACGTATGAATTATTTTTCACTCGTGTGGATCGTGTTGAAGCTTCTTCACATTTTTTTTCAAGAGATGAATGATGTGATAATTAATGGTTTGTTAATGAAATCATAAATTGTCAATTTTTCTTATAAAATGTATAAAAATCTGTCATCACCACTTTTGAAAGAAGAAAAAAAAATCATTAAATCCAACGGATTAATAATTGTTATTTGTATAAATCTGCATAAAGAAGAAAAAAACATTTGGTCGGCAAATGAAATTGCATCACAAATTAATTTAAATTGTGAGCTGCAGGCATTTCTCACCCTGTCTTTCTTTACATACGTGCATGTAAACAGTTATCGCCGACTGTAAACAAAAAGTGGTTGCAGTGCGTATTCACAATTCCCTTTTGTCAACCATAATCCATCCGCTAGACTTCCGATTCCGTTGTAAAATGTTGTGCAATCAAGTGTTTATACTCGATCTAATGAATATCCTCGACGAATTAAAAGTCTGCTTTGACGATGGAAAATTTGCCGATTGCGATTGTATCAAGCTACGTTTCAGTTACACATACTGTTCTTAATCCAAAGTACTTTTTGTATGCAATAAATCAAAAGTCATAAAACATGACCAAATATATTGTCATTCCAAGTGGTGAAATGCAAGTAATTTTACGCGTCTCCTTTTGTCATTGTCCAACCCAAAGTACGACCCACATTTCGTGCGCGTGTATTTTTTTGAAAAGTAGCCAACGGAATGGAACCCACCTCAAAAAAGCCACAACCTGGTTTGAAAAATGTGTATGTACACCATTTGAAAAATGAAATTAAGGCCTAAAAACTCGAACAGATTCGATAAATAATTCTACCGCATATTGTTTCATGTCTCCCTGAAGTGGTTTGTGACTGACTATTTGATTATGGGTGGTATGCGGCGGTGGTATCAATTTTTTTGTCCAACTTTCACTGTCAAGTGTGTATTTAACTAAATAAACTCCCTCCCTCTTTTCTTTATTAGTGTTGTCTTTAGTGTCCATAATGTTGTCGTTGTGATGTCTAAATATTGGATGTCTATTATCTCTCTCGTATGACTAGAATTTTCTTTTGTGGTCAAGTTTTATAATTTTTGAATTTTGATGAGACGCGCACACACTTGGTCCTGTCAACATGAGCAAACACTAGATAAATTATGGCAGTTAATAACCAAGAGGTTTCAATTTCAAGGAACGCTCGCTGTTTTATGGTAATTTGTGACATTGGCATTTTTTTTATTAAGTTAAACGCAATATTTTGGTTAGTCGGTGATTGGAGTCTTTTACTGCGTGTAAGGTTCTTATTTAAATAAGAAACAGGATCTTGGTAATTTAATATTTATCACTTTTACGCCATGTTTCTACTCACTTTCGTCAAGTCAATTAGAATCCCATAAATTATGAATTATTTATTTTAATATGAATTATAAAGAGGTGGGTAGGTGGGCTGCATCATGGGGACAGCTGAACTCATAAATCTTGGACGACTTTCATTAGTTTTAACGTATGTAAATTTGTCTTTTGAGTACAATTTAGAAAATAAAATTGTCAAATAAATGAAAAAAATGGTGTTGGATTTTTTTTATGAAAAGAATGTATTTACGTAAACGTCCTTAAACAATAGGAAAAATAAACCGTAATTAAGTAGAAATTGATTCCGTTAAAAACTGCTCTAATTAGATGACAAAAAAGAAATGAGTGCTGATTGGGTCAGTCTAAGTGCACTAACAATGTTGATAAGTCACTCATTTTATCTAGTCATTTGCTAATTGAACGATTCATGTTAACACGGAAAACTCTCGTTGATAACAATAATGAACGTGAACTAGGTATTATTATTCCCAAGTTGTACAAGAGTTAAAGATGGAACGTGCAAAATATTGCAAACTGCAGATTAAGAAATGCAACTCATAATTTAATAGTTAACAAGGGAAAGTTACATATTTATGAACAAGAATAATGAGATAATCAAGTTTTTTTTCTACGTATTTGTCTAGATTTTTTTAAGAAACGTAAAAAATGTGGTAACTTTATTATATCCTAATTAGATCACGACCTGAGGTTATTTATCTTCATTTCGTTTCATTGTTGATTAAATAAATCAAGAACCATCACCATCATGATGAGTAGTCAAGCATGACCTTGCACTATCAGATCCACTCTTCTCAATCTCTAGCACAAAAACTTTGTATGAAATTTTGTGGTGGCGCAAATATTTGTTGCCGAAAAATATTCCAAACTGTAAAACAAGACTGATATGTAATGAAACCAACGGTACAATTTTCTACTACCGACTGAATTATGCGAGACGATCGTAAAATTCCTCATAAAATCATCCTTTCGAGTGAGCATGGAGATGGACAAAAGGAGCCGACACGTACACATTCCAATATGGATTTTGGTGGTTGAAAAATGCTCCTTCATAATTTTATTATCGCTCATTTTCTAGACGCAGACGAGGAAATTATGATGCAGACAATGGAATTTTGGTTTATGAAAATTGTTGGTTATTAAAAACGCGACGACGTGAGAAAGTTGAGACAATCGAGTTCATGGACCGGAGTCTCAAAAAATGATGAACATAATTCCAATTCCTCACCTGTCATGACTATCCAGCAGTGAAGAGGCTTTATAATCCACCGGTGACAACCCCGCCGACCAAGTTCCACTCACATCCTTATTAATATTTTCACCACCACTCCCACCACTCCCGCTCGGATTCTCCATGATCGTCCCCATTTTTCCCAGGACGAAGCCCGATCCCGTCACCATCCTCCCTTTCGGCATCATCATGTGTGGCTGGGAGTATAAAACGGGAGGAGGACTGTCTTTACTTCCTCCAGATAAGCCTGCCAAAGGGTTGTGGTTATTTTGAGGTGGGGCTGCATACATTTTTGGAGGGAGTGGCGGAGGGACTTCTTTGCCAAGGGGTGGCGGCCCACCTGTTGCACCGGGATTTGTATTCCTCACCAATTTTGCCGTTGGTGGTGGTGGGGGAGGATAATCGATTTGAAATCCTGGGGCGTGGGTGGGGGCATTGTTATTCGTGTTGTAGGCCCGTTCCAATCTACTCGTTAGCATTGTTGTAAAAAGTAAATCAGCACAGATGGAGGATTTTTTTACACTTCACTCGTTCACAACAATACACTTCACAAATTGGTCACTGCTTTAAATGTTGTTGAATAACGAAGGATGCTAAAAAAAAGTAGAGGAAAATTATGCAATATTTTAGTCAGATTCTTGCATTTTTCATCAATTTCTCACAAATATTTTTAGAATTGTATACGATGAAGAAATGGCAAACGATTGGCCAAGGTGTGCAGTAATAAAAACGGGGAAAAGTAGAACGCCTTTTTTGACTATCTTTGATCTTGATTTTATTATCATTTATCGAAAGGAGAGAGGACTTAATTTACACGAGTGTAAACGATTCAAATGTCGAATGGTGGATAATTACACACGTTAAAATCAGACAACTGTACATTCATCTGTCAAAGTGAACCAATGGAATGGGTGACGAAGACGTGTCAACAATTGTCAAAGGGAAGAAGGTGATTTCAATTCAATGTGTAGTCTAGTAGCCTGATTCTGACTTTGCTCTCTCTCTATTCTTGTCATTGGGATGAAAATTTATACAAATCTGAATTTAAATCGGGGCATGAAAACAACATTTTTTTACGACTTTAAGACTCTAATTAAAATGATTTTTTCATGTATTTACTGTTCAAATAACGGCAGAGAGATCAAAGGAGCCACAAAATTTGACACTCACCTGCGAAAGAAAAGTGATCCAATTTCCGTGTATTAGAAATGATCTAGAAATAGCACAAATGGTCAAAATGTCCAAAAACCCGCAGCAACTCTCACATCGGAGAACAAACCATTCTCCACACAAATCCCATGAGGATTTTATCCCAATTTCTACAAAAATATGGGTCGACGAAAGAGTCTGGAATTTTCCAAATATTTACACGAAATTATAAAACAAATACAATTTCACTATTGCAAAAAAATGCTACAATTTTTCACATTGTTTGACAATGTAGATTACAATTTTTTTGCATTGTTGCGTCTTCCACGACTGCTTGAGAAACACTGAGAGTAAAGTTAAGTAAATTGTTGGATTTGTTGAGAGAGGAGGATGAGACTCTGTCTACCTGTGTGTGCGATCCACTACCCATCCATCTACCTGTTGGTCCTATGTGTACATATCTACTTCACCATATGAAAGAGATAGAACGGATTTCCTTCTTCCCATGCATTCAATCTCCTCGGCATTGTTGTTAAAATCCCCTACGGGTTTTTGCATACATTAAATAAATCCCATCACACCCTGTAACTCTTCTTCTTGGCGAAGGAGTAAATGGGGGACTGGCAAATATGAGACGGAGATATGTAGCGAGGACACGAGGAAGCGTTATCAATTTATGAACGTGTGTCGATGAGTGTAAATTTTCAAGAATTTTCCCATACCTTCAACTCGCAGCTAAGAAATTGTGATTTTTTTTTGATAAATTATTGTCATCTTATCGTCGTATGTACCTCTATGCCCATGATACGTGGAAGGAAGGAAGCTGGTTTATAGGTTCGCGTATGATGACGCGTGAATGCAAAGGATTGAAATGCTTATTTATTTGCACATAGTTGAGCTTGTAAAGTAATTCAGGATTAAAATTTCTTTAATGTCCAATAAAATCCCTATGGAGACGAAAAAGTCGAATCTTCTCATTTTCTCAATATTCCAAAATTAAGATTCAACTGCCAAAAACTTGCAAATTTTTCAAAAACAAGCAAGAATTATCCACCCGTTTCTCTGCACCGTTCTCAAGCTCAACTCTCACTCGTCCTCCTTTCGACAAATGGCGCAATCCGAAGGTCAAGGCCAGTACAGCAGGTTGGTTGGATGTCAGATTATTCGATTTGAATTATTATTTCAAACTATTCAAATCCCTCCCTTCCAGCGCCTACAGTCCTGGATATCCACCCTCGTACAACAACAGCAATGCGGTCGCAGGTGGCGCGTACGGCGGTGGGGGCGCTTATGCTGGTAGTCCATACGCTGGGATGGCGGATCCAGCAGCGGCAGAGAGGATGGATCAAGAGCGACAAAGAAACAAGTACATGATTACATGGTGTATAGTCTGTGCGGTGTGCTACTGTTGTGTTGTTCCATTGGCTATAGGTCTTATAGCCTTATTTTTAAAAGTAAATTCTTAGTCTTACGATTAGATATTGGTCTTGATTGATCATCTGGGTGTATGGGTCACTTTGGCATGACCGCCACGCCAGACCTTCTTTTTCTTGTAATATGAGGAAGGGCATTTTAATCTGAATTCTTGTAATATTTTTGTGTAAATGATAAAATTACTGTGTAATTTCTCTGTATGAAATAAATTATTTGTTCTGCCAGAACTAGCGAAAAGTAATTACAAGATTTAGTTAAATTAGAATATTAAAGCATTCGATTTCTATTTGTATCGATTGCAAGTTAATTTACATTAATTTTTGTCTACTGGAGCCTGAAAAAGTATAAATCATAAGTCAATAACTAGAGATATCTCCTAACAAGGTTACATCATCGTGTGATCATAAGTAACCAAAGGGCTTCAGACATTACTGCACAACATTCAGATAGAAATGCTAACAATTTCGCGAAAATTCCCATTTTGATTTGAATTATGACAAGCTTGTCAGAATTTTATTTACAACTAAATACTTACAAATCAAACAATTGCACAAGCGACAAATATAAGCTTCGCACTAAAGTCATGAGCATGCAAATAAATGTGAATTATTTTCCTGATTAAACTTTGAACGCAGTATTTATGCAATAAAAATACGATCCACACATTAACAGATAACATTGCTTACTGCTTTACTTGGAAATGTTATTATTGGCACAAGCGAAATATTCACCAATCTTATGCATGCATTTATTCATAAATTTATGATAAAATTACTCACTTATAAGCTCCCTTTTACCTGTCAAAATATGTTTATTTTTATTTATTTGTTTGAATTTCTCCGATCGCAACAACAATTTCCTGGAAAAATTGACATTGTCAATTTGAATTACATTCGAATTACTGGAGATTTGACGTCATAATTCATATAAAAAGAGACCAAACCGAGCAGAGAAACTCATCCAGAACAGCGTTTGATAAAAAAAAACAATTGAAAAACAATAAAATCATCTCAAAATGGTTCACTTTTCCAAAATTTTGATGGGATTCGCCATCATCGCTTTCGCCAATGGACAATTGGGTAAAAAAAACCTTTACAATTTATAAAATAATAAATTAACCCTCCCAAAAATTAAAACAGTTTCTCAGTCCGAATTTCAAAACGGGGTCACATCGAATGGATTTCCACCACCCTCAGCCGCACAATACAACGGATTCGTAAAGTCACTGGGTGCAGGGTCAATCTCTTCGAAAATGGAGGCCGCCATGTTCCTTGCGCAAACGTTACACGAGTCGGGTAAATTATTAAAAATTCATAAAAAAATTGCACAAATTAAATCCTTAAATCCACAGCCGGTCTCACAACGAAGCGAGAATGGGGATGTTCCGGTCAGAACGGATGCGTGGACCGGTACCCGGCCTGGAGCGAATGGGTTCCAGAATGCCAAGGGAATAACCGACCACCAGGAATTGGTTATTATGGTCGCGGTTACATCCAGCTAACTTGGTGTTCAAACTACATCCAAGCATCACGAGCACTTGGGAGAGGTGACCAGTTAAAGTCGAATCCAGACTCGGTGGCACAATCTGAAGATCTCTCGTGGGCAGTGTCCGCTTGGTTTTGGAAGGCCAATGTCCACGGTCCCTTGGGAGGAACGAACCAATTTGGACGCACGACCAAAGCGATTAACGGACAAACTCAAGAGTGTCAAGGGAATGGACAAAATGCAGATAAATCGAGACAAAGGTTTCGTTATTACACTAAAGTATTTGCTGCTTTCCGCCTATCCGGGGTTCCCAACGAGGCCGGGTGTCCGTATTAAATTTGTATTAGAGTGAATGATGAATTGATTGATGGATTGTTTAGCTTAATCGTTGCGAATGTCTGTTTTTGACCACAAATTTTCCGAGAATCATGTTAATAAATTTAATAAAAAAAAGTCTAATAAAACATGTGCATTAATAAATCTCTTGAAAAATGACATCTTCCAATCGTATGAAATAAAACCAATATTACCTTTTCTCCTTTATATTCCGCACTCTGCACCATGAAGCACCTCCATCTAATCATGTTCCTCTCTTCCGTCATCCTCACCACATCTGCTCAAGGTTACACAAAATTATTTTTACAAAAATTTAAAATTTCTTAAGCCATACACAATTCCTTTCAGTTCAAGTAACACAAAATGAATTTGAGCGTGGTGTAACCTCAAATTCCTTCTCGAAACCGAGTCAAAAGCAATACAATGGATTCATCAAGTCCTTAAAAGCAGGTGGAATAACGACCAAAATGGAAGCAGCCATGTTTCTCGCACAACTGCTTCACGAATCTGGTAACAAATTTGTGTAACAAGAAACTTAATAAAATTATTTAAAAAACTTATCCAAAAAACCCAGCTGGATTAAAAAAGAAACGCGAAGAGGGCTGCAGTGGTCCCAACGGGTGCGCCAACAAATATCCGGAATCAGGTGAATGGAGGTCCGAATGTCAAGGGAGCAGTCGTCCCCCCGGTGTGAGCTACTATGGTCGCGGTTACATCCAATTAACGTGGTGTTCAAATTACATCCAAGCATCCCAAGCACTCGGGAAAGGTGATAAATTAAAATCCAGCCCAGACTCGGTCGCCACGTCGGAAGACCTTTCATGGTCAGTGTCCGCCTGGTATTGGAAAACTAATGTGCACGACGCACTCGGTGGATCGGATAAATTTGGACTCACGACTAAAGCGATTAATGGAAAATTGGAGTGTAATGGACAAAATTTAAACCAATCGAAACAAAGATTTCGTTACTACACTAAAGTTTTTTCTGCTTTTAAACTGAATGGGAAACCCGTGGAGAGTGGATATTATTGAGTTTAGTTTATACAATTTTATTCATTTTATTTCTAAATTTTGTCAAATTCGATATCGTTAAAAAATTTCAACGCCTCCTTCGCTGCTACTTCCGGTGCTTCGTAGGAGAGGAAATGACCACCTGAATTGGGCGATGAAAAATGCTTCAAGTTTGGAAATTTCGACATCAGTCCAACTTCCGAGGCTGCTACTACATCTTCTGGCGGAATTACGCAGGCAGTTGGGGTCGTAACGGGGATTCTGTTTTATGGGAAATTTTAGAAAATAATCAATAAATGTTAATTGTAAAAATCGTACCTGAAAGTGTGCCAATTATTAAATGCCTCCGAGTACAATCTCATCGATGAGGTTATGCATTTCGAAACCCAATAAACCATCACGTTGTCTAATAACTCGTCCATTGTGAATTTGTGCTCCAATCCACCGTCTTCTTTGTCCATGAAAGATTCATTCGTCCAGGTGGAGAATTTTTCTAAAATGTAAGCAGCCAGACCGCTGGGGGATTGGGTTAGTCCAATTCCTGGGAAAATTTTATGTAAATTTAGAGCTAAATTTTGCATGGTTTAATCAGTATGAAACTAACCAATTGTGTCCGGTTTGGTAGCTTGGATGTGAAGATATCCACTTTCTCTTAGCGAATATCCCATTAATTTTGATAATGGAAGATAGCGTTCTCTTGCTCTTGGACTCGGAAATGTTGTCGTTGGTGAGAAAATTGTGGAAATAAATTGCTTAAATTGGTCCATTGGATGGAATGAATAACAGGAAAAATGCGTTCCTTTCACTCTGAAAATGGTATGAAAACTTAGTAAATATTTTGGAGATTTTGCGTATTTTCTCACCGATCTGGGTACAAAATTCCCATGTCGGTCGATATTAAGCTCCCCCAATCTTCGCCCAACGTGTAATATTTCTCATAACCGAGTCGTTTCATTAATCGCCCTAAAATGTTGGCAATTCGGACGGGAGTCAATCCTGGCCGGGAAGAAGCTTGAGAAAATCCGTAGCCTGGTAAAGATGGGATCACGATCTGTATTTTAACCAAAAATTAAGTAAATTAAAAAAAAAAAATGGCAAATAAAAATAATTTCCCATAAAATATTCACCTCAAAATTAATCTCAGAATTTTTGGGTTCCAAGAAATAATCAATCAATTTTTGGTACTCCACAAAGCTTCCTGGCCATCCGTGGATGAAAATGATGGGCACGGTTTTCTTGTACTTGTCGTTCATCGTTTTCGTGGGTTTAATATGTTGAAAGTGAATGTCGAGACCTCCAATTTTGGTTTTGAAATGCGGATGGCGATTCAGCCATTTTTCGCGTTTAGCAAAATCGTACTTTTCCATCCAGTAGGTCAAAACCTTTTTCAGATAAATCGTGTTGAACCCGTAACCAAATCCAACCCCCTCGAGCGGCGTCGCAAACCTGTTCGAATCCAACTCCAATTTCAACCTTGATTTCAAATCTTTAAGATCCGAAGTAAAATCCACTTTGAAAGGTTTAATTGTTTCGTCTTCATTCCCCGGAATCACGCCCGGTTTGGATCCGGGACCCCAAAATTCATCATTGATCTCCGGCACTGGGTCACTTCCCAGTGAGTCGTGGATTATGTAGGTCACGTATGCACTGCCAATCGTGACCAGCACAACAAACAAGGTCTTAACTAATCCCATTCTATTCTGTTCTGTGCGGATAAAAGAGATGTGAAGCGCATAACAAGGAAAAATTGGTACAAATTAAACCAGCATCATTAAATGGTATTGCATGTGGATAATTCATGGTTCTATTCGATATACTGGAAAAAATGCTTGTTTAAAATGAAGGAAAAAACCATGGGCCGTGTTGTCAGTTCAGTCCAGCTTCTTTTCTTTTTCATGTTCAAGGATGAATCGGGATCTACACGTGCAAGGAAAACTTCTTGTGTAAATAAAACAACCAATCAATTTAGTTTATTTAATTTTCTAATATTTACAACTACAGATTACACACAAATTTATTTTGGTTGTCGATATTCTGCATGATGAAACTGCAGAGCGACAAATACGTACGTGGTCATAATTGCAAAAACCTGTAACACAAAACATCGCAAATATCTGTAAGTCACATTATGATAAATGCACTAATCTATTTTACCGAAATGGAGGTATTCCTTCTTAATTGAAAGTAATTTCCGGGTGAAATTAGAACTGGAATTTTTCTTAATTGCTTCAATGACGCATCAATCTATAAGTTGATAAATAAATTAATATCAAAACTAAAACTTAACAAATGAACAAACAAACCTTAATAAAATTATGCAAATCATGCTGCGGATCCAAACTCAACGATTTACAAGACACATTCATCAGTGCGGAATTTGCCTAAAAATATCAAAAAAATATCAATTTCCAAATCTGCATTACCAAAATTTAAAAAAATCCCACCTTCTCAAAAATAACCGAAGACACATCGCAGATCAAAACAATGCTGATGACATCCAACACTGTCCACCCACCCGCAACGACGCTCCCCAAATCCAAACCTTTCTTAATCACTGTGCTGATAAATACGAAAAAATGTAGGATCCAAAACAAGCAACTTGCAAATAAAATAACGGCTAGATTTATTTTAAAAGTTGAATTAAAATCCTTCACCACTGATCCCAATTTTCTATACAAATTAACAAAATTGGACACATTCATCAAAATTTCATCGTTCTGCAACATGGGCAATTTCGAGTCGTTATTATTCGCTGGTACTTTTTCAAAATTCTGCCTGTCCTCCACCACACTCGACATCAAGTCGCTAGATCCCTCGCCAAATATCTCCAACAAAGTAAACCCAACACCGATACATTTCCCAATTGAAACGAACCAATAAATCAGAACGGAATGATAAACTGATAAACCGTGACAAAAAATCGTTGCCCCAATAAAAACGACGATATCCAACAAATTATGCCCACCACTTTTTGTGACCATCGTCATCAAGAGATTTCCCATCATAATAAACATTCCAAGTTGAAATAGAACCAAACAAATTCCAATATATTTAATATGATTCTCATTTTTGGCCAATTTTTTACGAACAGATTCCAATATTTGGTCCTGATTTTGATTATGGTTTACAAATTGATAGTTTCCAAAGGCAGAGCATATTTCAGCCATAACGGAGCTAAAATTGTGGTAAAATTTAATAAATTTGTGTCTCAACAAGAATGAAATTAGTTTGTTCAACATGTGGCTGAGAATTAAGGTGTTGATCATCACACCATATGCAAATTTCTCTGCAGAACTCCAATTCTTTTCTGCGAATTCGTCGTGGTGAGATGAATTAAGCCAGCAAAAAGTATAACAAACTAATCCAGATAATAGCTGACAAAGTAAATTTATAGTTGGGAATCCACATCGAGGGAAATATAGGTGGTGGTCCGGAGTGAAATATAAAGGTAGATATCCAGCCCATTGGACAAGTAGAGTTGATTTTCTTAATGAAAAACGAATTAGTCGCAGGAAATGGACAGATTCGATAAAAATTTGGTTAGATTTTAGGGTGAGCTCCATTTTTCAGAATTTAATTTATGGTGGAAATATATGACTAACAATTTTGGGGACTCTTTCCGGAGAGAAGATTGAACTATATCTGAGGAACTTTCATTGGAAATAGTCACATGAATAAACGTACTCTTCATAATTAAGTGATCGATACCAATTAGTTTTGGGTGTGTATTGTTTCCTCCACTTTTACTGATTAGTTCTATTTTTGTGTAAATAAATTGCATGTTCCCCGTTAATCGATGTCGCATCAAATTCGTACCCAATGCAGGTTAGCAAAAACATGGATATTTAATTCCTCAATTTAATACTTAATTGAAGCTTCTGATATTGCATGACCCGCGGATGACCTGCACCACACGTTCAACATGTGCCGAGACCATATTTTAGGGCTGTGGTGCCACGTCTAATAAGGAGATGATTCATAGTTTTTTGTTTATACAAGCTATTACCAAGTTATGAGAGGCATGAAATTAGATTATTGAGGGTACGACGAGGTAGTTTTACATATTTCTTATGTGTGTGTGAATAGATTACTTCCTCCAACACCTAAACTGACGAAAAGTGCACCATGATCAAGTGAACTTTGCTTTGCCATCGAATATAAATAATATGACGATATGTACATATTCCTCTCTGATGCAGGGAATCTAATGAGTTCAATGTTGATAATGGTCTCATCATGCATATGATTTTACATGTCTCGTGTTTGTCAATTGTGGATGTGATAAAAGTCCGGGTTGAGATATTACACGAGTCTGTATGTGGAATGATGAACCACGAACTTAAAGTCCAGAATAATGAGTCTCCTCCAGTTATCAGACGAGTAGAACAAGCAATTCAAAGTCAGTGCACACTGATTTTCAACAGGATTCCCCAACTACTCGAGAGTAACGAGTAGATTAGAGAAATATTAGGAGAATCGTACATTTTCACGAGAAAATCAAAAACGAAAATGTTTTTCCAGTGTTTAATAAACGCAGTGAAATATGTAATCGTAACGAGCATTGTTTACGCCATAGCTTTGTTTTACGGCTGGGTCACTCTAATCTCCGTATCAATCAAGTGGTTTCGAACGGGGAATAAATTTTGGTACGTGAAGGAACGCACCTTGCCACCCCGATGTCTTAACGATATTTCTTACGGCAGACATGCATTCATTCAGCTCCAGGTGGATACATATTTTTTAAATAATCTTTATTGTTTGGTAATAATTTGTGGTAAATTTCAGGACATTCGCCTTCATTATGTTGAGAATGGTGACAGATCAAAACCATTGATGTTGCTGGTTCATGGATTTCCCGAATTCTGGTTCACGTGGAGGAAGCAACTCCAACATTTCTCAAAAACACATTGGTATTTATTACAAGAAACACCAATATTTTAACTATTTTACAAAGTCACTTATGAAAACGCACTGCAGGGTTGTAGCTCTGGATCTCCGTGGATATGGTGATTCCGACCGCCCAGGACGCGTATCAGATTACAAAATGGAATTACTCGTACAGGATATTTACACCTTTGTAAAAGCACTAAAAAGGGACAAATGCATCCTAGTTGGTCATGATTGGGGTGGTGCAATCTCTTGGGTCGTGGCCTCCACTTGTCCAGATCTGGTCGAAAAATTGGTCATCCTCAACGCTCCTCATCCATCTGCAATGGCTCTCAAATTGAAAAGTTCCCTTCAACAATTCTTCAAATCCTGGTATATTTTCTTTTTAACTGATAAAATTTGTCAGACAAATATGTACTAATCATATTTTTGTGTTCTCATAAGGTACATATTCTTCTTTCAATTAAGATGGATCCCGGAATTGTGCTACAGGACGAACGATCTCCTCGTTTTCGACAAATTATTTGGTGACTCCATATCCGAGGAAGACATGGAAGGATACAAATACAATTGGGCGAAGAAGGGTAAAAAACTAAGTTACCTAATCAGGAAACTGTGTAAAAAATAAATTACCAAAAAATCCCCACAATTTCAGGAGCGTGGACACCCCCGATAAATTATTATCGAAATATTCTCAACGCCAAGCTTCTTCTGAACCCGAGGGTGCTTCCAGCCGTAGTTGCGCCATCCTTGATAGTTTGGGGGGAGAACGATCTCGCTCTGGAAAAGGAATTGGCAGAGCTGTCTCGGCCATACGTGCGGAATTTACAAATTGAATACATTCCTGGTGCTAGTCATTTTGTACAACATGATAAACCCGATCTAGTTAATAGCGTAATTGAGGATTTCGTTAGATGAGGTTCTACAAGTATTTAGTTGTAATAAGGAAATGAGTAATAAGGAATGTGTGATTGATATGATGGTTTTCTTGCTTGGTTGAATTTGGGTCTGTAATTTATTGCGTTGAATGGCTATGTAATAAAAAAATATGTGAAATAATAACAATGTCAATTATCATCGGCATCGGTTGGAAAACTCCATAATTTTCATTCCATCATCATTGATTGGGTTACTAAACTGCACAATCATCACCATCCATGCCTAAAGTAGAGATAGAGTGATGATGGTGAAGTATGCAACGTATAATAAAAAGTTAATCCTTGGACTTGGACTTCCAAATGACCAACACATATGTAACTAACATCATCATTAATAGAACTGCATGATGGATGACTACACACTAAATGTATATCATGGAATCATTTATCGGATATTATGTACAGCTGGAATGCTACGACTATTTCATGGATCCCATTTCTACACGAGGAGTGTCAGGTGACACATTCTCATCATTTAGCAATAATTAAGAATTAAAATTAAAATACAGTCAAAAATGGAAGCGATAAAAAATTTCGCAAAATCTACCATTGTAACGCTGGCTATTTTGAGCATTGGATTATTTTACACGGTGCTCGTAGCGATTGGAATGCTGGTGAAATCGTTGTACAAGGGAAAGGATTACTGGTACATTAAGGACAGGACGCTGCCCCCACTGATTCTGCAAGACCCCGCGTGGGGTCGTCATTCCCATGTTTCATTGAAGGTGAGATTTTGTAATTTACATAATCTATGAATAATTTTATATCTAATGTAATTTTATAGAGCGTAAAAATTCACTACGTGGAAAATGGGGATTGTAGCAAACCGCTCATGTTATTTGTCCATGGATTTCCTGAATTTTGGTTTAGTTGGAGACACCAACTGAAACATTTTGCGAAAGACTATTGGTAAGATTTGTTCACAATTTTGTGTAAATATATAAAACTGACAATAATTCTCAAGGGTGGTGGCGATCGACATGAGAGGTTATGGAGACTCGGACAAACCGTCGAAAGTTTCAGATTATAAAGCCAAAATGATAGAAAAAGACGTGGCGGATGTGGTCAAGGCGTTGCAAAAGGACAGGTGCATCCTGGTTGGTCACGACTGGGGTGGTATTATCTGTTGGGGTGTGGCTGCTAATTATCCAGAAATTGTGGAAAAATTGATCATCCTTAATGCTCCTCATCCATCCACGTTCAAGAAAAAAATGGAAAGCTCAATCAAACAGTTCTTAAAATCTTGGTATGATAATTGAATTATTTGCTTTTAAATACCGCAGATAAATAACACTTTTCTGGTGCGTTTTTGTATTTGTAAGGTATTGTTTTTGTTTTACGATCCCGTACGTGCCTGAAATATACTTCCGAACCCAAGATCTTGAAGTATTTCGGGACATGTTTGAAAACAAGTTGACGGAAGATGAGTTGGAGGCCTACAAATATAACTGGGGACGAAAAGGTTGCATCTTTAATTTCTACGTATTTCTTATCATTTAATGAATTTAACGTAATTCCAGGTGCATTTACTCCGCCCATAAATTATTATCGAAATGCAATGCATGCCTCGGATATTTTAAACCCCGTGAAATACCCCATCATCACATCGCCAACGCGAATTATTTGGGGAGAAAATGACCTCGCCCTCGACATAGAATTACCTTATCTTGCAAAATCTCACGTTAAGAATTTGGATATTCAAATTGTTCCTGGTGCTAGTCATTTTGTCCAGTCGGATCAACCCGATAAGGTTAACGAGCTAATTGAAAAGTTTGTTGGGTTGTAGTACAATTTATAATTGACTTTCTTTTAAAATTATGTAGACCGAATAAATTGTAGTCTTGCTGAATCGGTGGTGGTTTTCTTGCATATTTTGCATAGCTTCGATTTTGCAATTGATTGTTATTACGCATTTATGTCTCGTATATTGAGATTTAATTTGACATCTAACAAATCCATTGATTCTGTTTATTTACGGATTGCCCTAATTTTATTTCTCAAAGAGGAACAATTTGCTCAAGGATTATTGATAATCTCAGAACATGTCATATCAATGAATTCAAGGATCATGGAATTCGTGCCGGAAAGCTTTTGGGATTACACGCAGACACGAAGTTTACCTTGTTCATACGTTCGTTTGACATATTCTAAAGGAATTTGGACTCGGTTTAGCCTACATTTAAAATGGATGGAGTAATTCTAGCAAATCCTCAGTTGAAAATGCCCAATAAATGGCTGGTTTAAAAGGATGAAATTCAAACATTGCGAAATGTCACGGGTAAAGTTCGAGTGAAAATGCAGAGACCAAAGGTACATCTGTAAATAATTTTACACGACGCAATAAACCCGATAAGGACACGCATATCCGAATAATATTATTATTTAATTCCACTTCACTCAATAATCTACCCTCTTCACTTTCACTACTCATCCACCCATTTAATTGGCTGTGGCATCATTATTATCGCCTCCCGTACCGCTGCCCCCACCACCCGCCCCAACCGATGGGGTTTGATGCTTTCTTCCTCGTTTAGCCGGTGGTGGACTTGACCCAGGGAGAGAAGCGAGCTGCTGGTGATGGTGGTGATGATGCCCAGAAGAAGAGACAACTCGTGGACCACCCCCACGAAAAACGGTGGCTGTTGGACTGAAAACTTGAGCTTCCATGTTTTGCATGCTCTAATTAAACAAGTGTTTTTCTATTTAAGTGATGAATCTTGAACGGATAATAAGTTTCACGAACCTGAGAAGAGTTGTACTCTTCGATGTAGCCCCGAACCGACTGCCAAATTTTCTCTTCTTTCAGTAATTTGGTGACGTTGTCAATGTCGGGTGCCATGTAGCGGTCCCTGTCCCACGGTCTACGAAGAACAGAGGACCTTGTTAAGTCATTCTGCATAGTTGGTTATATTAAAAAATTACCTCGCCACCGACCGCACGACTCGATAAACTTCCTCCAGCGGCACCGTGGTCTTTAAGGGACGGAGAAATTCAATTGCTTGACACGCAGCCAAAAGTTCGATTGCAATCACTCGTTCCACATTTCGAATGACCTTTGAAGACCAGAAATTTGTTGGATTTACATACGTATGAATTTAATACTATTAAAAAATCTAACCATGAGAGCCTTTCTCGCAGCAAAGCCTCCCATTGAAACGTGATCCTCAGTGCCAGCACTGGTGCTCAAAGAGTCAACGGACGCTGGATGACAAAGAACTTTGTTCTCCGACACTGCATTTCAGAAATAATTGAATTATAAAACGTTGGAAATTATGGGCTTCAACTTTTACAAACCCAACGAAGCAGCCGTGCAATGGGCCATCATGAATCCGGAGTTTAATCCTCCGTCCTTGGTCAGGAATGCTGGGAGCTCGCTTAAAGCTTAATCGGAAGACAAATTTTACTAAGAATTAGTAAAAGTGAATGAGTAGTTAAATTCATACCTGGATTGACCAATCTTTCAATCCTTCGCTCACTCATTGAGCTAAGCTCATGTACTCCAATTGCCAAATAATCCAGAACTTTTGCGGGATATTCCCCATGAAAATTACCGGCTGAAATTATTTCATTCCGATCCGCAAACACGATCTGCAATCACAATTTTTCATTACATAAAGGGTAAACATTCTTAGTTCTAATTACTTACCGGATTATCCGTTGCACTGTTCATTTCAGTGACGATTACTTTTCGGACAAAATCAATCGTATCAATGACAATTCCGTGCACTTGGGGACAGCATCGGATGGTGTATGCGTCCTGCACTCGGTCACAGAATCGATGACTCGCTAAAATCAGAAGAAGTAATTTTCAGTTACACACGAGTAAAAAAACGATTAATTGGACCCACCAGCAATCTGAGACGGATATGTGGACGAGTGGAGCAACGCCCTCAGCCTTCGAGCAACGGTTGCTTGTCCTTTATGTGGCCTAATATCCTGGATTTCTAAAAAAATAAGACTTTTATTAAGTACACATTTCCATGAAAAATCTGAACCCACTGAACTGACCGCTATCGAAAGCTCGAGAAGTTCCTTTAAGCACTTCCAGCGTCAAGGCAGCCACGACATCGGCCTGTCTCGCAATGATCCCCGCTCTTTCGACGGCCTCCGCCCCGAGGGAAGTGATGAGCTGGGTGCCATTAATGAGAGCTAGTCCTTCCTTGGCGTGGAGTTGGATTGGGGTCAAGTTGTGAGCTTCAAGAACATATTTCGCTTCCCCCCATCCAGTGGCTGGACTCCACATTTTTCCTTCGCCCATCATTCCCAGGGCTGATTGGACAAGTTAAATTTAGTGAACTAGTGCAAAATCATTTTATTTTAAATACCCAAATGAGCGAGGGGAGCAAGATCCCCGCTGGCTCCGACCGTTCCTTGCTCTGGCACCCAAGATAGGCAGGATGCTGCTCAAAGAAGGATAAATTTTAGTGATTTTTAAAAATTATTTGAAATTTGTGAATTAATTAAACCATTGAAGGCGTCCACCAGTTGCATCAAGACTTTGAGAGAGACGCCACTGTGACCTTTAGCTGTAAGGTAACAATTATTTAATAACGTGCTTATCAGTGAAGCTATTCTATGAATAAACTAGTTCTCACCCAATACGTTAATTCGTAAAGCGAGTAACATTCGTGTTTTTTCTGGGGGCAGAGGATGACCAACTCCAGCCGAATGGGATCGGATTAGATTTTCTTGAAGCTGTCTGGAAATTATTATATTGGACTTAATATATTACATATATACATATTTAATTATATTGGATTTATTGCATGAATAATTTTGCAGATATTTAATGAAAAAATTAATAGTACAATAGCTTATCTGGCTCAATCACGGTCCTTGCGAACTTTCCGAACCCAGTTGTGATTCCATAGACGACTGGGAATATAATCACAATTTTAGACGCTTGTTTCGCAGTAAACAATGATATTTTTCAGTAATTACCTTTATTTTCCTGTAGAATTTTCTCAACTAAGATTCTTGCATCTTGTACTCTCTCCTTCGCTTCGGCAGAAATCTAGAAAAAATAGTTCAATAAACTCGGAAAATTACCAAACATGTGATAATCATGTACCTTAATTTTGTATCGACCACGCCCAAGTTGGAGTAAATCATCAGTAGCAAGACTGTTCCCATCAATGGTCATGTACTAATCGGAATTATTGCGGATTTTTGTATGATTTTTGCAAATAACATGTACTTATTTGTTAAAGAAATCTAAATACCTCTGTTGGCGTTTGATACGTTTTTGCACTAAAGAAAATATACGAAAAATGCATAAATTAAAAGTTTATATTAAAAATAAGCAACATACATTTGTTCCGGAACATATTTAATCTCGGCCTCATCCATGACGGGATTAGGCCAATCGCTTTCCAAAACTAAAAAGTGTAAGAAAACATTAACGCATAATATCTTAGAAAATCTTTAATTGAATTTGGACTCACCCACTGAAACGAAATCATTGTCGTCTAAAACGTCTTTAATAATATCTTCTGGATCTAATATTGCCCCGCCTGAATCAATTAAAAATATAAAGTTTTCCAACAATTTGTCACAAATAGTCAACCTCACCTCTTGTCTTTCTCACTTCCGACACCACTTCCTTTCTGTTGGCAAACTAAATCAGTAAAAAAAATTCTTAACCAAATATTGGAGTTAATTTTACCTGATCGGGAAGGAAGGCGATGCAGGCATCAATCTCTGGTAACGTTTCAGAGCCTCGTCAGCCAAACCTTTTACGGTCAACTTGCCTGGAAAAATTATCACAAAATCAGTATCAAATATTGATCACCCCAATTTAATTATCAAAAAAATCGCACCATCCCTGCAAGGAATGTGGAACCACTCCCCACGAACACGGGCTGAGATTTTCATTTTCTTATTTTCCCCAAAACTCCCACAACTGACTCATCAACTCACGTCCAAAAGGGTACTGAATAAAAATTTGACCCAAACTAGACTAGCGAAGAAGACGTGAGACCAAAGCGTCATAAAATTGTTGTTGCTGACTGTCATCCGTTGGGTTTGATTGGTGGAAATGACATAAAATAAAATTCCAATTTCGATTCCCATTCAATTTAGTTCCTGATCTGACATGCATTCATGCCGATCTTAACTTTTCCATCTCTCCACAAAAACCTCGTGTACATTTGAGTTATGAGCCGGCGTCCGTACCGCAAAGTCAATGAGTTTGATCCTGCAGTAATTTTAGAAGATTGTCGATGAGAAATTTGGGTATGCAAGAAAGTACAAGTCGGCAGATGCCGATGTGAGATTGGTTGATTTTATGGGATGTTGAGTCATTAATAATGTAATGTCAAGTAATTAATTAAGGCAATAAAATTAATTCCTTCGTCTGAATTTCAAAATTTCATGCTTTAGCCAGATCCTGGTTAAATTATTAGCGTTGAACAACCTCACAGGAGGTAATTATATGCGTTGCAATAGATTCTCAAGTTAAATAATAATTCACATTTAGCTCATTATGTAGATGATTTCTTTATTCAAATGCAATTCGTCCTCTCTTCCAGCCCAGCCACTTCTTATCCGGTTATTAGAATGCCCAAAGGATAATCTGATGAAGTTGAGCAAGAGGAGTCGTAAAAATATCCAAATGCTGTAAGACAGACAGACCATGAGAATATCAACCAAAGCCACACAACCTCCTCCTTTTAAGTATTAAATGACTGTTAATTTTATGCCTAATGATCGTTATACATATGCTGCCGTATAGCCAACAAATGCGGATATGAATAATAAGGTTCGCATTAGGATTTAACTTTATACAGTTGATATGCTTTTCGTTGTCTGTTTGATTACTAGTTTTGACATTTGGTCAAATCATAAGTTTAATTCAGTCTTCGCAGTTAGTAAATAATTTAATAGAATTAATTAAAAATGTCGATAAAAGTGTGCATATTTTTAGGAATTATTACATTCCTTAGCCCAATTTACTTATCCAAAGGAGATTATATTTTTGCGACGGATTATTACGAAGTTCCGGTAAGAAATTTATTTTCAAAGGTCAGAATTTAGATTAATTAAGTCTTACAATTTTTAACGTTGATTAGGTCGATCACTTTTCATACGCGAGGAATGAAACGTTTAAAATAAAGTATTTGTACAATGACACATACTGGAATCGGACGGGAAACGGGCCAATTTTCTTTTACACTGGAAACGAGGGATTAATTGAAGTTTTTGCTCAAAATACAGGACTGATGTGGGATTTAGCACCACAATTTGGTGCGTTACTGTTATTCGCAGAACATCGATATTATGGAGCATCAATGCCATTCGGAAATGATTCGTTTAGCGTGAGTGGTATTATTTCATGGCTTACTTTAATAATTTTTTGTGAATAAATCAAATTGCTTTGTCAGTCCCCAGATAAGTCGGGGTACTTGACTTCGGAACAAGCTCTGGCAGATTTCGCTCAATTTCTAACTTGGTATCGAACCAGCGAAGGCGCAGAGAAAAGTCCAATCATTGCATTTGGAGGGTCGTACGGAGGTAGACGTTTTTCTTTTCGTTGGTAATTTTTGAGTGGTTTTAATTCTTAAAATTTCTATTCAGGGATGTTAACGGCTTGGATGAGAATGAAATATCCGCACATTATTGCTGGGTTAGTAATTAAGCTAGAAATGTAAACAATTTTTTAAAGTAAAATATGTTAACAAAATCTCAGCGGAATAGCGGCATCAGCTCCCATAGCCCAATTTCAAGGCCTAACTCCATGCAATAAGTATGGACAAATCGTATCTGCAGACTTTCAACGGGTTGGAATTAACTGTTTTAAGACGATTCGAAAATCATGGGGCATTATTAACTCGTTTGGAGAGAATGGTCGTTTTTTACTATTATTCAACTTCCTAATGAATAAGTTTGACTAATTTTAGCATTAAAATAATGTAAAGATGGAGGACGAGGATGGATTTCAAAGACATTTCGACTTTGCAAACATCTCGAAACGAAGGACGACGTAGAGCAGTTCAAGGAATGGTTGGTGGACGTGTACGGATATTTGGCCATGATTGACTATCCATACGAAAATTCATTTTTGGAACCTGTCCCAGGCAATCCAGTTCGGGTAAATATTTGCAGCAACAAATGTTAATATTCTTACCCAAATTTTCATAGTTTCGTCTTAAATTTTAGGCCGTCTGTAATCTCTTGAGTGATCCAAATGAGAGTGGAAAAGTTCTTTTGAGATCCATTTTCAAAGGAGTGAGCATTTACTTTAATTACACTGGTCAATCGAAATGTTTGGACTTTACTGACGAAGCTACAGGGGATTTGAACGCTGGTGGATGGGATTTCCAGGTAAAACAAGAATCAAACCAAAATGATGGGTTAATAAGTAATTTATCCCGACAGGCATGCACGGAAATGATAATGCCGATTTGTTACGATGGTCAAACTGACATGTTTGAACCAAATCCTTGGAATTTAACTCACTATTCGGACGATTGCTTTTCAAGATTCGGTGTCAGACCTGATCCTAAAGTGGCAGAGTTGATCTACGGGGGCAGAGATATCAGTGCAGCTTCAAATATCGTTTTCAGGTGAGATTTCCAATATTTCGAAGTATTAACCATGCAAATATGTAACAAGAATTATTAAAATACAGCAACGGTCTTCTCGACCCTTGGTACGGCGGCGGCATGTTGAACAACTTGTCCTCCACTCTGATCGCTGTCGTGATCCCAGAAGGAGCGCATCATCTCGACCTTCGAAGTTCGCATCCGAAAGACCCCGCGAGTGTGGTCACGGCAAGAAAAATTGAAGCAGGCGAGATCAAAAAGTGGATTGCCGAATTTCATGAGAAGCATGAGAAACAGAATTTGTACTACTCGTCATTAGAGATGTAAATTATTCGCATTTATTGTCCAGCCAGAAATATAAATTAAATTAAAATCACTGATAAACTTGTCCCGTGGCCTTTTCAATGTATCTGGCTTCGTTGTTATTCGGCCTGTACCACCACCCGAAATGCTTCTCGCCTTCCATCCCCGTTTTCCAGGGTTCGTCAAATGCTTCAAACATTTGAACCTTAACTCGATTAGCGGATGACCAATCTCTCATCCCTTCCCAAAATCGTTTCTCATTTTCAATCGTGTTTACAGCATTGTTAAAAGTTTCTCCCTCTGACGCCCATCCAGTCTCACCTGATAAGCAACATTTTATTTTATAAAAGTCATAATCACGATGGATTCATTTCCTCACCAATAATAACTTCCAATTGTGGATTCGTCCTCCAAAAACCATCGCGTGCGCTGTAATACGCATCTGAAATGGCCTGAACGGCTCTCGCTGGATCATTCGCGTTGTACGGTGGATACAAATTGCACATGATAAAATCTGATTCGGCTGCAATTTGTTGTAAAATAGCTTGATTATTCCCTCCCCATATTTCGCCACAGGTATGAACTCGCGTTCCAACGCGAAGATTCATCCCATGCGCACGCGCCTTGTTGTCTCGAATCATTTGAAGTACTCTCGGCCCATTGCTGGAGTCCGTGACGAATTCGTTCGTGAAAACCAAACCCCACACGGTTCCACCGAAAATGGTGTTGGCGTCTTGTGCAGCAGAGAAAGCATTGTTGATTTCACGTGACATTAATCCTCCATCGTCATGTTGGTAAATTCCTTGAGAGACGGAAAGAACGACGGAATTGTGGTCACGATTTATGTGGGCGGCGGCTCGAGAGATTAAACAGTTGCTGTCACACTGATCCCAATTTTTCCCGTTGTTGTAAGCTGGTAATTTTATGAAGAAATTTTATGTTAAAAAATATAGTGCAGAGGTTGAGAGGCAACGCTTACATGCGACGCCCATGCCATAGCTGGAAACAGCGTTGTGTTTTGTGAGGACGATGGAAAGCATTTGTTTTATTTCTTCCAAAGTGTCTGGGATTTCAAATTAGCGTTAATTATAATTAAGATTAATAAATTACACTTATTCCACTTACATGTATCCCAATTTGGAAAAGGGGCATTTTTCACGTATGGGGAGAAGGCTACCCCAAAGTAGTTAATAACTTGAGCAGTGGTGAGTAGTTGTGGGGAAAATGACACTAAAATCCCAAAAAATAGTAAAAATCGAAGGAACGCCATGGTTGTGGACGGAATTGAGATGTTGAATCCAAGATCACCCAGTTTTATAGGACGAAATAGAATTGATTTATTGTTTCCCGAGAAAAGTGCCAGATAAAACCACAACGAAATTGATCCACGCCCATTGTCCCTGCTTTTCCACTTAATTCACAACTGTCACTGCATTGTGCTCTTATTGATGTTTGTGGTTGCACAATTTGCAGACGGTGTGAGTCAAATTATGATAAATTCTACGGGGTACGAAATGACGAAATTATTCATTTCGTGGAAACTCATTACAGCATATTTGCAATATTTGTATATGGAGAGTAATACGTCCCATCTGTCAAACTGCAACTGTTTATGCATATGCTTTGTTGTCCATGCAAATTAAATATTTATCTGTGAAACAAGTTAATCTCAATAATAAATATTTGTGTGTCACAAATTTTACTTGTCATTTTAATCACGGGTATATTTTCTGTAAACGATATATACAAAACAATTCTAAGAATCTTCTAAATAATAAAAGCTACGCGTTTAATATAAGCGATTTTTTTTGTGGAAATTGGAATTTTCATGTGTAAATTCCAAACTCATGATCAATGACCGGATTGGGCCTGATCTGTTGCTGAGCTGGTGGCGATGTTCCGAACTGTGCTTGGACGGCTTCTGTGATGGACACACGTCGAACCATCTCCGGTTGACCATTGGGCTGGTTTTGTTGGGGTTTCATGACCGGAATTGCTGCCGGTACAGGGTTCGCGTCCGATTCCGAGAGGGAAGACGACCTTCGGAATAATCGGCCAAGAACTGAAATCATAAATGGTAACGATTAAACTCTTAATTTTCATAATATTTTTTTAGAATAATATTAAAGCAAACTCACGACTTGGGCGTCTCTCGGCCAGCACGGGGTCCGTTGGGGGGTTGCTCATCACGTAAGTCCTCGCTTCTCGGGCGTCCTGTTAAATGAAATAAGAAATTATTTAACCAATCAATTTACTTAAAATTTAGTAAACTTCCCAATTTTAATTACCATTTTCCTTATTTATCAAAAACAAAAAGGTTCCAAGCGTATGGCGTAAATAGCGTTTTGTTTGTCAACAGACGTGCGGTGATTCTAAAAATAGATCTTGTACGACGACTTTCCTGGAGAGCAGTGGTATCGGCTGGAGACGGGGCCGCTATTTTAACCCCTGAAAGACCGGAGCATGTGGAACTGCTAAGAAAAAAATAAACATGAAGCTTTATAAACAGTTTGAAGTATGCATATCCACGTTCCATATATGCAGCCATTTAACAACACAAAGCTTGTTTTGATCCTACACTCTTTATCGTTAAAGTGTTAAATTGAGAGAGTGCTGTAACATTTGCTGCGTGGAAATAATCTCCGTGGGCTTGTAATTAATTTCATCCATTACACGACGTACATATTTCTGTATCCTTGCATGCATAAAGCAGTCCTTAGCCGTGGTTGGTGCACAAAATGCAATAACAATTTTTTTCCATAAGTGGTATCATTATGCAGAAGGAAGCGATGAGTGAGTTTCTGCCTGGTTACAAGAACTACGACGCAGTAAAATATAACCACAACATTATAGTGCTGGTGGTAGTACATATTGTCGTGTTAAATATGTGGCTGGTATTTGTTGACCTTTTTTTATCTGGGGGTAAACATATAGCGTAACTATCTATATTTACCAACAAGTGTCAGATCGCTTGCGGTTTTATCAAGTGGGATGGATTCGACAGCTCATGAATTGCAAATTGCTTCAATATGCATGATGATGAATTCAGTAGAGGTGAAAATATTGAATTTTTTAATGTCTGATAAAATTAGTGGACTTTGCACTGTAAACTTATACTCAAATCTTTCAACTACTTCTCTTACGTTACTGGTAAATACTAGTTCGTGGTGTTATTTTACGAAATTGGAGTCAAATTTTGTTGACCCCGGTAGTAGTAGAAGCCAGTATATTTCAGTTTAACACATTCTCGGATGTATGAATAAGTTTGTGATGGTGGATCAAAAATGGTTGCATAAAATATTTTGCATTGTTTTTTATGATAAAATGAAACAAGTCGAACTAATGTCTGAACTCAAATTGATGATGATCGTAGCCAAATACAAATTCAATTTATGATCTAATTTATTGTAAAGGTGAAAAGAATTGTTGATTAATTAAATTAAAAATGATAATTTATTGGATAAGTTTAATTGAGTAGTCGTGGTTTATCTGTTAAAGTGGCTTCTGCTTATGCATAACGATGACCTTCAACACAAGTAATAAGTGGGCATCGAACAACTGTTGGCTGGAAAATTACATTTTAATTCCTAAAGTAAATAAGTGACTTATCCTCTGAAATGAAACCGGAGTCGGGTAACCCCCCACCACCACCACCACCACCGGTGATAAGTCCCTTGCAGAATTTCATTGCAGGGGGATTTGGAGGAATGTGTCTCGTAATTGCAGGCCACCCCTTTGACACAATTAAGGTAGTTTTTTCTGTAAAAAAACAATTCATTGATTCACATTCAGCATTAAAAATATTTTCATAGGTGAGATTGCAAACAGCCTCAAAGATCTCAACGACAGCAAACGGGGTAGTTTACTCAGGAGCGTTGGATGCGTTTAGAAAAACTTTTGTGCACGAAGGACTCGTCGGATTTTACAAAGGCATTGAAAATATAATATTTTGAAAATGATTTTTCATAAAATTTTACATAACTCAAAAATATTCCATAGGAATGGGCACTCCGCTTATAATGACCACACCACTTTTTGCATTGGGGTTCTTTGGGTACGGCGTCGGGAAGGACATCGTCTCCTATTTGTCCCCAAAGAGTTCGGAAGAGGAACGAAAGCGAAATGGTGGGATGATGTCACCACTCCAACTGTTTTGTGCTGGGGCCATTTGTTCATGTTTAACGACGGTGGTGGTGACCCCTGTAGAAAGAATTAAATGTCTTCTGCAGGTCCAAGTACAAAATAGCAAGTCTCCTCCAGTAAATGGCAATTCTTCGCCTAAATTCAACGGCCCATGGCACTGTGGCACTACTCTGTTAAAAGAGGGAGGCATTTCCAGCTTGTACAAAGGATTTGGGGCTACTTTTATGCGAGGTAATTCATATGTACATATGAAATATGTGTGAATATTGGTTATAAATATTGACATATTTTTAAAGGCGTCCCACAAGTAGGCTTGTATTACATGACATATGACGTTCTTAAAATGAAGATTGGAGGTGGTTCCCCACTGTCCCCTGCAAAGACGATGCTGGCTGGAGGACTGACTGGAATTATAAATTGGGCCATTGTTCTTCCTTTAGACGTTGTAAAAAGTAGAGTTCAAACGGGTGAGTTGTGCACTTAAATGACTCCAATTTGGTTACTGGCTTGCATTATTTTTTATTACTTTGTCGTTTAAACAGCCGCTGAAGGCCTATATCCGCGAGGGGTGAGGGATGCATGGCCAGCTCTGTTAAAGACTGAAGGTCCCAGAGGATTGTACCGTGGAATTGTGCCCGTGTTCATTAGAGCGTTTCCTGCCAATGCTGCCTGTTTCTTTGGATTTGAGACTGCTATTAAATTTTTACATTTTGTAGGAATTTGAAAAATAAGAAAATAAATTGAACTATTTTTTTAGCAAATGTTGGTTTAATTTCATAATATTTGAAATACGATTTTTGACACGCGTTCGTTTAATTGCATAACAATTAATTTGACGACAGTCCAAAGTCTAACCGAGATCAGATTGGCAATAATATTAATGAAGTGAGCGAAAAAGATTATTTTTTATACAATGAGGAAAACTCTGCACAAAATTGAACACACGGTAATTATATAAGTATCAGATTGATGATGAAGTCAAAATTGGATGTCAAACACATAAATGAAGTTGTGAATGAATAACAATAAGCAATAAATTTCCTTGTATTGTGCACCGGATTGGAATTTATTACTCGTTTAAAAGTTATTTTTAACTATCTCGTTAAAACGTTATCGAATAACCAGCAGAAATAATTAGTCACTTGCAAATTGTAACTCAAGATCGTGTAAAGTTTGAGACGATGGGGTTTGTGAAAACTGTGTTAATATTTTTGCTCACACTTGGAGCTGCATACGTGACCTACGTAGTTCATGACTTTTTGGCAGATCATCCCACGCCTCATATCGAGGATGAATTTTGGGGTCCCGGATCCAAACCGGGCGTGATTCCGGAGAATGAAGACGCAACAATTAAACCGTTCAAAGTGGATTTTACTTCGAGTCTTAAAGATTTGAAATCAAGGTTGAAATTGGAGTTGGATTCGAACAGGTTTGCGACGCCGCTCGAGGGGGTTGGATTTGGTTACGGGTTCAACACGATTTATCTGAAAAAGGTTTTGACCTACTGGATGGAAAAGTATGATTTTGCTAAACGCGAAAAATGGCTGAATCGCCATCCGCATTTCAAAACCAAAATTGGAGGTCTCGACATTCACTTTCAACATATTAAACCCACGAAAACTGGAAATTACAAGAAAACCGTGCCCATCATTTTCATCCACGGATGGCCAGGAAGCTTTGTAGAGTATCAAAAATTGATTGACTATTTCTTGGAACCCAAAAATTCAGAGATCAATTTTGAGGTGAGATAATTTGAAGGAGATTACCATTTATTTTTAATTAAAAGTTCAATGTGTTTAATGTTTAATGTTAGGCTAAAATAAAAAATTTCCTGTTACAGATCGTGATCCCGTCGTTACCAGGCTTCGGCTTTTCTCAAGCTGCCTCCCGCCCAGGAATGATTCCGGTCCGAATTGCTAACATTTTAGGGCGATTAATGAAACGACTCGGTTACGACAAATATTACACGTTGGGTGAAGATTGGGGAAGTATGATCTCGACCGACATGGGAATTTTGTACCCTGATCGGTGAGAAAAATATTACCAATAATTGCGAAAATTATTTTTAAAAACCTGCATTTTTTAGCGTCGAAGGCGTCCATTGTACTTGTTACTCCTTACACCCAAGACATCTCCTAATACAATCCATAGCTGGAATTTTCTATCCATCCTCCATATTTAAAACTGAACGATCAAAATCCAGATTCTACCCAATGTCGAAGATGTTATCCTCCAGTCTCAGAGAATCCGGTTACATACACCTCCAAGCAACTAAACCTGACACAGTTGGTGCGTTTTCATATTTTTGATAACTTTTAATATTCTAAATCCTATAATTTTTCCGCAGGAGTCGGACTAACCCAATCTCCCAGCGGTCTGGCTGCTTACATTTTAGAAAAATTCTCCACCTGGACGAATGAATCTTTCATGGACCAGGATGACGGTGGATTGGAGCACAAATTCACAATGGACGAGTTATTAGACAACGTGATGGTTTATTGGGTTTCGAAGAGCATAACCTCATCTATGCGATTATATTTAGAAAACTTCACGGGTTTCCACACAATGAAGTAATTTCCATTTCAATTAAAATTACTAATTAAAATGATGATTAAAATTGCATCGTCATCTCGCAGAGTGCCGGTCCTCGTCCCCGTTGGTTGCGTCTGGTTTCCCGAAGATCTCGTACTTTTCAGTGAAATAGGGATAAGAGCAAAGTTTCATAAGTTGGAACAATTCACGATGGCTGAAGAAGGAGGACATTTCGCGTCCTATGAAGTTCCTCACATCGTTGGAAAAGAGGCGATCAAGTTTTTTAACAATGTTGACCTTGGTTATAAAAAGGTGGAATTGTAAACAATTTAAGCATTCATTCCGGATATTACAAGAAGTAATTCATAATTTGTTACCCAGAAAGTATTTAGTTTAGTTTAACTTTAGTTTTCTTAATTCGGACGTTATGCAATTTCATACATAAACAATAGAATTTCAGTGAAAGTAATATTACAAGGTCCAATTGTCAATTATATTAAAAAACAAAACAATTACGTCAACTTTCAACTAAACACACATTTATTTGTCTGATATTTCATGAATCAATTTTACCAATATTCACTAAATATCTATTTAAAAAATGTATTTGTATTCGTGTGTTTCCCTAATTTCACTACATAAACTAATACCATTATTAACACTTGTTATAATTTTCAATATAAAATATGCATCATCCAACGCAGAGATAAAAGGAATTGCATATTTAGACAATGAGAAGCCTTACAAATCTTACGTTGGAAAAATCTTACCTGGAAAAGGTGGAGATTTAGAACCAGGTAAATAATCTAGAAAACATTTAATGTAATTGTGAAAAATAATAAAAAGTTTCTTCCGCAGTAAATAATGATGAAACCATCTCAGCCATCATGGCTCGTTACTCCAAGCAAGCGTCCAAAGGAAAAGGAATGACAAAGCCAAAGAAGAAAGTCCAGAAATCTGGGAAGAAATCTGTCACAGATCCGAAAACGCAAGGACCTTCGAGTAAATCAAAGACTAATAAGGTTGGGAAATCTCTGAACCAGTCCAAAACCACACCCTCCAAAACTAAGGCCAAAAGCAAAAAGGAAAAACATCCTTCCGGTGGTCGTGGAATGACAAAACCAAAGGGAACTGCGCATCATGGAAAAACGACTAAAAAATCAAAATCTCACCCAAGTGGTAAAAGTGTCAAATTAGAAAAGTCTAATTGGTACTTTAAAGACCCCCAAAAACTGTTGGGAAGGTCAATTTCAAATTACGAACCCTCCGACCCTACGGAGCCTCGCCCTTCCGAAAAGATCAACGAGGAAGAGACCAAACCTGAAGAAGAAGAGGTTAAAGGTTCTGATAATAACGAAGACGAGGTTAAAAATACAAGTCCAGCTCCAACAGAAAATCAAGACGACGATGCTGCTGAGACTGCAAGTCCGACAGAAAATCCGACAGCAAATAAAGAGAAGGACGATGCAGTTGAGCCTGAACGAGGCAGTGAGGACAATAAAAAGCCAGTTAATAAAAAGAAGAAAAAGAGCAAATCTTCCAAAATTACAGACGATCGTAAGTAGCGTAAGAAACTTTACTCTGAGATAAAAGTCCATCCTTGTTAATAAAATAATTGCAAAATTCTAGCAAATCGCAAGAAACCAACAGTGATAGAATTTAAGCAGAGTGACGCCATGAATCCGAACATGCCTGGTTGGTTCGCCTTGAAAAACACGATACAGTTTGGAAAACCCCTGAAATTGGGAACCCTCCTCCGACGACGAGGAAAAGATAACGCGACTGAATTTCTTTCTGATTACGTTGACGATGCGGAGGATGGCGAAAACGATGACGCCGCAGATAAAATGTCGTCCGCTTTAAGAAAATACGATAAGGCGTGTTTGTGGCAGGAATACCAAGCCACTAAAAGTTCGCTGGTCGGACCTCCCATTTCAGAAGCCAATCGAGAAAAAGTCCGTTGGCAAAATCATCAATTATCAATTTTCTTTTTGGACATTGTTTTCAATTCAGGGATCGATGATTTTGGAAATTCGTCAAAACTTGTTGACCAGAAACCTTCAAATTCTTTCAAATTATTACATCTAACGAAAGATATTTTCTCGCAATTTATTTGCACGGAGCGAGACAAGGAGGGTCAGGAAGAAGGCGGCGACGCTACTAAACCAACGTCATCAAAGGACAGGATTCTTCCGAGAGCATTTACGGAAACCGTGTTCCATCTTTTTCTAAAACTTTACGAAATAACAAAGAATAAAGAAGCTACGGAATATTTGTCAGATGGTGAGTTTGCATGGATTAAGAGCAATTTGGAAGCTTGCAACCAAACGGGTGGTTTGCCAAAAAAGATTAAATGGTACACGGACGAGTGTAGGGAAACGGTAAGTCAGAATTAATATACAAACAACATTTTTGTACATATTTCAATATTTTTGTGGTGTTAATAGGTCATCGCATTTGACCAAGAGAACAACTACGCGTGTACACCATACATTGAGTATGACTTCAATATTAAAAAGTACGACCCACTCCTCGACTTTATTTGGCACATGGTCGCTTCCGTCCACTCCCACTGTTTTGAGAGTTTTCAGACCAATATCCGCATATGGCATCGATATTCTTTAGCAATGGCGGATTTAATCACTGTGAGAAATGAGAGTGAGATGGTATGTAACAATAGTGAACTAATTTAAATAACTAAACGCTCATAAATATATTTCGAATATTAGGTCTTCATCTTCAGAGGACAATACGAAACTGTACAGCAGATTTTTCGGTCCAAGTTCTAACATTTATTTTGATAATATGAATCGTTGCATGTATGCGGCGACATTGAGGTCAAACGTGCCATACCTGCTGCCAAGGTTCGAGGGGAAAAGAAAAACCAGATATGCTCCGGTGAGTTATTTAACTTAAAATCCTGATTTTTATGAGTGTTCAATATTTTGATAATATTTATTCATTACAGTTTTCGGCTCAGCAATTTAACACAACTGAATTTTGAATGCGATATAATGAAATTTGCATGTGTTCCGATTATTCTTATTCAATTTGGACGTATGTTATGCTGTGTAGTTCATTGGTCTCTAATTCTCATTAACAGAGTGACATGATTATTTTTTATTGTTTAGATGTGTGAATGGGGTAAATAGCCTCTGTAATTATTCAACCTCCTAATAATGCCAGAAAATAAATAAAATAGATTCACTAACGCATTATTTCGCTGATCGTTATCCGTCCGAGCAGTCAATTTGCTTTAGCCAAGATGATTCCTAGATCAAACATTCAATTCGTATTTACTCTGACGGGATTTCTGGTAAGATTTTTTGAATAATTTACTAACTGTAATAATTATCGAGGTGAATTTGCATGTACAGTTACACGAATCTAGTCTGAAAACAGCATAGCATAGTATTCTACTAAAATTATTTATTAACATTCTCAGCTCAAACAAATACAAATTATAGCTCGATATATAAAAACATAAATATCTCCAAAATAACATAAATTTAGCTCCAATTTTCATGCGTATGAAACCCCCGGCGGTTCAAAATCGAAATCTTCATCGTCCCAATGTTCACTATCATCATCATACTCATCGTCTACAGTTTCCGTCCTCTTTGATTGTGGTGGAGGGGGAGGAGGAGGCGGATTATACGGCGGGGGTTGATTTGCTCCCCCTCTATTCGGTGGAAATGGGGGCGGCGCTGGTGGGACTTGTGATGGTGGTCCCACTGATCTGGACATGTCGCTGTAAGTCTCGCTATCTGATGATGGGAATGCGTCGTAGCGTTTGGGTGCAAATCGTGTACTGCTTGGAACGAAGGAATCATCTTTTGACCGTCCCCCAAAATGAGCTGGAATTGCTTGTCGTGGCGTTCCACTGCTGGGTCGGAAAGTGGAAAAGCCTGAATTTGGTGGGGACGAGAGTGGCGTTCTGCTCCGACCATTTCGATTTACTGAGGCGTAGACGGGGAGATCAATGTCCACTTGCGAAGGAGGAGCTGGTGCTACTGGTTTCTGATAAAATGATAATTGTGGATCAGTATTATTATTGTTATGCAAATGGTTTGCATATCCAGAGTCTGGTCGTGCGACACGGTTTCGAGGAATGGGTGCAGTAGCAGCTTTATTGTGAGAATTGGGCCTTCCCGGTTTGGGAGGAGGTTCTGGTCTGCTTTTGAAAATTGCCATGTCATCGCGGAGAGAACCATCGTCATCGAGAACACTCGCTCTCCGAACGGGAGGCACGGGTGCGATAGAAACACCCGTGAATCTATTGTAGATTGGTTCAGGATTTTTTGTAGAGCTGGATTGTGCTGGTGGTCTTTTCTCGTCCAAAGGAAGGAGCTGTCCGTCGGCAGCTACCAATTTCATACCGCCATCGCTGTCAGTTATGTAGGCCTTGTTCACATAGACGTTGTAGAGTGGCGAGTCCTTGTTGTTATTTGCGGAGGTTGTTCTTGGCGGGGGTGTGACTTCCACGTCTGCAGATGGTTGAAGCCTGCTTCTTTTTCTGTTTGTGGACAGTAGAACTTCTTCCTGGTCAGGGTTTTTGTGGTGTCGACGAGCATAGATGCACCAGCAGAGGATGACCACGAGGAGGATTAGAAGGAGTCCACCAATGCAGCCGATCAACCCCCAGAAAAGTGATATGGGAAGGCAGTCATCCGAGAGGGAGGAACATCCAGACTTTCCACCTTCTCGACCTGACATGAGTAATTTCCGTGAGTAAAGGATCACAAATGGCTACACGCTTGATTAGAATACCTGTTGAGGAATCTAAATCCACAACTAATGATCCCATCGAGCTTTGTCCTTCTCTCCCCATTGAATTTACTCCTCTGACCCCACAATTTAAAGCGACGGGATTATGAGCACTGTCAACGTGATTGTCCTTCAGAGATCCCCTGTTTATCACGCAGCTCTGTGTGAGGCCTGCTTCCACAGGGTTACAATCAGGAGTGATCTGGTGGCAAGATGATATTTCAGATGTACTGGGATCACTGCCATCAAGAAAATACGTGCAACAGGACTGGTAATGGTCGACCATGCCTTGATCACTACTCGCTCCAGGGGCCCTGAACTCTAGGCGTATATTTGAACCGTCATCTTGAGCGACCTGCATTTTATCAGGAAATGTTTGTTAAAATTTCAGTGCACCTATTCATAAATTATGCTAACCCTGATTGGTCCAATTCTTGACGGTGGAATTGACCCAGGATTGAACGCTGCTCCAGTTCTAAAACCTGGAATTAGAGATGTGAGCGTCCCCCCTGGAAATGGCATCGTAGTCAAAACGGGGACTCTGCTACCACAGCATTTTCCAGATACTCTTTCGTCCAACGTGGCAGCATTTATTGGATTTAAGGATGCCACAACCCAGCTTTTGCCAGTGGTCACCTATTCGCATTATGTTAAAATATTTACAAACATTAATCGTATTTATACAACGATTGAACTAGATTAAGTGCTTAATTACCTTCACCCGACCCACATGGAAACTTGGATTGGCTGAAAAATTTGTTAGAATCCCAGAATACACGCCATCGTCCTGAGTTACATCAGGATCGATGCCATCATCTTTTAAGATCAGTCCAGGATACACCGTGGCATCGCTGAACAATTCCGCCTCAACAACCGCAGATATCACGGGGGCGTCAGATGCATCGGATATCTAGGAATTTGTTAATGAACATTATTATCTTACATTTTATGGGGTTACATTAAAAAAGTTAGGAAATTGCACACAGTTTTGCATTTTTGAATTTTTGTCTGAAGATTAGGAATAAAGCTCAAAGATCGATCAAGTGAAGATTATGAAATCGACTAGAAAAAATACCCTAGAAAAAATAGGAAGTCCTCCATCTGGCCTAATTTCCGCTTTTCGATCTGCCCCAAAACTAGTAAGGATATTAAGCGAAGCTGAAGTCGAGACCTCCACCCAGACCGTCACTTGAGAAGAAGGTACACTCGAGGGAAGCTGAGTCAGATCCACGCTCCAATTTCCTGTCTACATTAAAAAAAACACTAAAATCTGACCCCAAATCCCTCAAGAAACCCACGCCTCACCTGAATGTCACACCCAGTGGCACGAACAAGAAAACCATAGCCATGCACAGTACCAACGTTGCACTCTGCTCCGCTTGGATTCCGGACACGAACCAAACCCGGAGCGTATATTTGGGACAGCGTGATAAAGAAATTGTACCCACTGATGGGCACTCCATTGACCTCGATAAGCACGGTGGAAGTCGCACCCGAGGGCAAAGCTCCCTCTCCAATTTTCTGCCATTGAGGACCATTACTGTTTTGTGGCTGTATCGCTTCTATTGCACCCTCCGCCACGAGACTGCTCCACCGAGAACAAGCAGCATGTTGAACAGCACAGTTTGGCGCAACGGATAACACACTCCTCACATTTGTAGAAGTGTAAAGAGTCGTCCAGAGAGGGTCACCTCCGTCCAGCGTGACCACGGTTAGTGATGCAAAGGATTCAGTCATTTGATTCGCTGCATCGATAAACCCGACGCTGGGATTGTTGCTGATGAGGAGCAGATTCCAGTCGTAAAGACCAATGCCAGAAATTGCGGTGAGGGTTGTCCGTAAAATATCGCCCAGTTGATTTGGTCCTCCTTGACGGAGTTTTCCCTTAGCAATCCGGTCACGCTGTATGAGAGTGTCGACGTCTGGTATGGATTGAATTATGGAAACCTTGTCGGCGTCAGTGTTGAGTGGAATTCTTTGGTTTAAGTTAAACAAAGAACCATCGAAGTAGCCGACTCCCACTCTTGACTGACCGAGTGGCAGGAGGGAAATGACTGAGGAGAGGGCCTGCTTGACATATCTCAAGCGATTCTATGATACGAAATTTATAATAATTGAGTAAATTTCAAGGTGCATCACAATAAAAGAGCGTGCTACCTGTTGCCGTATAGTGGTAGAGTTTTCGATAAGAATTATCAAACCACGTTGAAACTCGTCGGTATTTCCGTGTCGCAGGACTTGAAACGTTGTAGGTGGCGATTGATGAAGAGAATCCGTTTTTGATAAGGCAAAGTCGGGATGCGTTTCTCGCACGTGATTCACACTTTGTCCCCCACAAAATATATTCTGCTTATTGGGAGCTTGTGAATTGTGGGTCTCGTTCGTACAGAATTTTGTAACCTAAAAATAGTCGTATGATTTTAATGTAATATTTAGCCATTAAAAGTGTTAAAACTTATTTACACTGCTCAAATGTGGCAAAAACATAAGAGAAGAAGCATCCGTATCGTCACGTACTCTGGTCAAAAGTTCTTCTTTGTTGGCTTCCACTTCTGCTCGACAGTTTCTACAAGAAAATAGTGACAATTTTGTAAATGAATTTAAGCTTAATTGTTGGCTTCACATTTACCCCTCGCCCTGAAACAACGACGGAAGTTGAGTTGACGAACACGAAGAAAGCAATCCTTCCCCACGAGAATTTTTATAACACGAATTATACAATTGGTCATCGTGATAGCTGAATTCAGAGAACACGCCGTAGCGGAATTTGGCCCATTCTTGGAGTAAAATTCCACTTTTTTCCCTCAGCGTTAGACCAGAATCGAGTAGAAATTTCGTCGCAGGGATAAAAACATCCTCTGCGCCGAAAGAGCAGCCTCTGTATTGTCGCGTCCAAGGCATCCCTTGATTCACGAGTGGATGGCTTTCCGTCACTTTGAAATCTGCCGTGGCGTAAGAATCCGCCGCTGACTGAGTTTCGATTATCCCATTCACAGAGTTACAGCGTCCGGAAGGGAGGAGGATTTTTACTGAAGAAAAGTGAGCTGCCCCACCCGTCGCGGAGTAAAGAAGGGATGAGGTCTCGGAAAAGGTGTTCTGTCATTTAAAATATTTTACTGAAGAAACGCGGATTAAAAAATAATAATTATTATTAACCTTCACTTCCTGAACCACTTGGACACAATCTGCTTCGTTCACATTTGAATTAATGGCAACTAATACGTTTGTGTAGCCTCTGGATGTGGGAGAAAATGTTAGTTGGGTGCGAGGCTTGTAATTTCGAGACAACGCTCCACCCACAAAGATCAAAAGACCCAGAGTCCAAAATTTGACCCTCATCGTATTAAAATTATTTTTTTATTTATTAAACTGTCACCCAATTAAAGCAGCCTCATTTTTGAAATGGTGCAAAATACTGCTTATCCATTGGCTTATCCATGGCGAACACCCACGCAAAAGAGGAGAGCTTGATACGAGGGGTGACAAACAGAGTTGGAATTTATTGCAGCAGGAGGAGTTGTCAATCACTAAAATGATAAAGCAACGACTGGATGACTGGTGGTGGTAGTAATGCAATCAGTTTTTTGTTGATTTCCTGATAACCGCAACCCAACCACACACAATCCGCGAATGGCTAATTAAACGGTGACGCTGACCCAGATTCTACATGTGCTTATTCCTTGAACATATGTAGCGCATATCTAATTTTATCTTATCGGAATTAAGTGACCAATAACTTATTCGGTCATAAAAATACAATTTAACCTCACGATAGCGATATCCGGCGATGAGTATTCGACTGCATGATTCATGATTTTACTATTTTTTCTAGCTGCCGTTGGTATCCTCCGTCCCTTACAAAGCCGACCAAGATGTCCAACCAACCCAGCAGTTGGCACCATCGTCGAAAGTATCAGTTCCAAAGTTCGGCGACGTGCCTACAAATCGAGTCCTTCCCGTGGATCACTTGACCCCCGCAGATTACGAAGACATTCAAGAGAGCAATAATGAAGTTGGGGATACAAATCGAGAAAATTGTGCACGACTGTTTCGAGCAGATTTTATTAAGGCAAGTGACTAAAAATTTGTGTAAATTGCAAAATCCGACTTAATTTTAAAATGGACACATTATTTATTTGCATTTTATTTATGTGACTAAAAATTTGTATAAATTAAATTGTAAAATAAGTAATTTAAAAATCATTTATTTATTTGCAGTCTGTGAAAGAAGGGAGAAAGTCACGCCAAGAAGACACTGAGCAGGATGAAGAGCAAGAAGGTTTGCTTGCAAGCTATTTGGATTTCGATCCCACGAAAGTTGTCGGCCCATTGTTGAATATTATGGGTTCCGCAGCAGCCAGAAATTCAACAGCGATCGATGAAAACTACAAAAAACTGCCACCCTTTGTTAAACTTCAAGTTACAGATTTCATTCAGGTTTTCAATGAATTGTTAAGAGATATACGAACATGATAATTTATTAATAAATCATTAACTTATGAATCACATTTTTCATGTGATTTTCCACTTTTCAAGGTTTATTTAATACAAGTGCGCTCGAAAATAGAAAATAGTATGCCTCTTAAAAGAAAGTGAAACCATTCTCATAATTTACAGTTGACAGTAAGACCTATGATTTCATTAAAAAATTGGTATCAGTGTACACATTTCTCTAAATTTAATGGCCAAGTTTTGCATTTTGCAATATTTTTGAAGGCGTCTTCCCCTTTAGTTTTTGTTGAGCTAAACTATTAAGGTATATTGGTACATGGGGGGAGCTATTTTTGAGAAAATTATGAAAAAACTAGAATTTCTTGTAGTTTTGGAGGGGGAGGATGGAAGATGTACACATTTTTCAAGCACGTATAAATATAAATATAAACATTGTACAAGTGAAACTGAAGTCGAGATCAAAATTGGACAAAAGTTGCATTTTCAATAATACCGTCATTTTCGATTCCTTCAGTAATAGTAATAGAAATCAAGAATTGCGCATAAGGATGATAAGCTGACAACAAATATACTAAATTCGCGAGATTCTGCATGCACATTTTGTACAAAGTGGTCAATTTACATTGCATACTTAATTAAATGATTGATCAAGGTACTCATTTCCATTGAATTAAATATGCATATGGCTCACATTGTATGAGAAAAGTTACGAAATCCAGACTCAATCGTATACAGAATTTCCTACGTTGAGCTTTCATATTCAGTTTCAATATGTACATATGAGTATCCTTACAGAGTACAGACTTCTTGTCACACATTGGGTCTGTGTGAGGAGGTGCATAATTTTGTTCCTCAGTAATTGATTAAATAAGTGTCACACTTTGAACTGAACTTAATTCTTTGTTTTCATCCAATTCCACTCTTAATTTGTAGAATACATTGTATTTTTCATTCACCACAGAATAGAAAAGCATTAGCTTCCAATTAGCCATGTTTGTACTCGCGTTTAAATGAATGGGTCCTAAGTGCATTTTAGAACGGAGAAGAAACAAATGACAAACTTTATTGGAAGGTAATAAAACAGCACTTCAATTATATTTAGCCTCGCAACTAAAACATTTAAACGAATTAGTTTTTTTTTTTACTTAAATCGAGTAAATACTTTCTCGTTCATAATTTCGAACCAGATTAAAAATTCCAATTTCTTCAAAAACAGACTGCATCGGACTGAGATTAATCCAAGAAAAAAAACCTTGGATCACTCGTCTAACCACCAAAACCCAGCCCAAACCTATGCTAACTTTGCGCATGAAAAAGGAAAAGTAAAATAAACGGGAGAGAAATTCCTCTTTAAAATAAATGGCTAAAGCCACACAAAGATGTTAAGTGGGATGGGAGATGCAATTAGAGGAAGTCCCAACGGACCAATAAAATCCCAGCCTGCACATGTTACGTGTCCGCACTCACTCCCTCTCCAAAGCCCGAGGAGTTAAGTAACTTTGTCAAATTTAACTACCACCAGGAAAAACCTTCGGCATCCGAGAAAGTGCGGGTTTAAAATTGAAATCCCGATACCGCACCTAAATGCAAGGCGTGGACGTGTATCGTTTGATAGCTGGCATCACCATAATCATCATCATCGCATCGTGAAATACTATTTATATTTACTCACCCGACTTGAATCCAAACTTTACAAGTTTCTCTGCATCGTACGATTTTTCAAAGTGTGCTTCGAGCTGATCTTCGTGTGTGTATATTACGAATGGCGTTTTAAGTAAGTGGAGTTTCATAACAAGTATGATTACGCCTATAAACTGAACATTATCATTTGCCACTTGGAAAATGCGAGTGTGTTTGTTTGTCCCTTGGGCTTTCTCCCATTTATTTACTACTTGTTTGCATTTCCTTCCTTCCTCCTGCACCAACGCACCACTTTCTAATGGAATTTACCACCTTATTAAACTACATACTTTTAGGAGGACGATCATTATTTTATGTGTGTTGTGGGCGTTTGAGGTGCTTTGAGTGAATTTTAATGATTTGAGACTACTTCGAGTGCTTAGAAAAGTAGAGTAAGGTGAATTATTTGTGAAGTATTATTTAAATAAATAGAATTTAAAAATGAAGGGCACAACAGTTTTAATGTCTAAAATATCGTCACTTCGTCACGGACAATCCTTCCTGATCTTTAAATCACCGACTCATTTAACATCACATTAAAAACACATTTGTCCTCTCATTCATAACTCGTGTATGGAGAACATTGCATTAAAAAGGAAGACATGATTCACTTTGAGGCAACAAGTAAAAAAGTGTCAGCTCCAACCACGACGACATTATTACAAATGCATGGTAGTGGCATTAACTTGGAAAAAGTGATAATTGGACTTCCTTTCCCCGTCCTTTAAGCGATGTGTGGTGGATGCTAAAAATGTCTCAAAATAAAGAAATGTGAGAAGTTCTCGAGTCCTTCTCGTTGGCGACTTTTCGGCTCATTTCACAATGAGTTAGACCCGCATTTGTCATTCTGAGGGTGGCCCCTTGTCACCACTACCACTATCCAGAAAAACATGGGAAGGGTTCTCCTCAAGAATTCTACTCAACTTGCATACAATAGGTAATATCCATGGAGGGAATATAATCCAAAGGACAAACCCAACTTGGTCAATATATCCATAAAAGTTGATACATGAAAGAAAGGGAAAGTTGAGACTCACTTGCATATTCTTGACGCTATGTAAAATGCCTTTCATAATATTCTTCAAACACAAAACACCAAAGTTGACATGCCTCCCAAGATAATTATGTCAGTGGTGTCAATCAAAAAAGCATGTCATTGTGGTGGTCCAAATCCAAATAAAAGCCATCCACCTCATGTGTCAGATTGCTCTCCAAGCTTTCGAGTAGTAAATTTTGAGGAGGAGGATAATTAAATTAGGCTGATACAAATCCTAAATATCAGCAGGAAACATATCCACATGGGAAATTCATTGAGCAAATCTAAACTGTGTTTGAGTTAAATGTTTCGTGTAAAAATTTTAATTTAATTTCTTGATTTGAAAATTAAATTATATTTGAAACGTTTTTCATGGAAGTCAAATAATCCTAACCAACATCAACAAAAATTATCTAGAATGTTGTTTAGATTATGACGAATTTATTACCCTGATGATAGCAACATGGGCGATGATGATGATTTGCAGCGGAATAAGGTCCAGAGCAGTTAAAAGGGAAACGAAACTTTGTAATGTTTTCCTTTTAAATTGGACTGTCGGATGAGCAAAGTGATAAATTGGAGTCGGATAAATAGCAGTAAATTGTTTTTCTTATCTTGTCTCGTGCTTGTTTTCCTGGTTTTGTTAGTGGTTCAAGTGCACATTGGATACGTACATGTGTACATGTTGTTTCACACACAAGACCATTCAAAACATGGGTTCAATGCAGACATCAGCTTTTAGACTGACGATTCTCTCAATGGGCTTTTTCCATATGGGATAAGGCGATAATGTTGAAGAGAGAGAGAGCGAACATTTTCAGATGTCAGTGAAACCGACGGGTCGGAACGGCGGAGAAGAAATGATGGCAAAGATTATTTGACCTAACGAGCATTACCGGAAACAGTTTTTGAAGAATGCAGAAATTTTTAGGTTTTACACTTTCTAAATTTTTCCATCCAAACTTTTATGAACATAATTTTGGAAAAGTTTCATTTCCTTTGTGTAAAAGCAAATCAGCACGACTCGAACGGTTTCTGTACACAAATATTTTCCTTAATTTCTCAAGGGGATTAATTTACTCTGAGAAAAAGGGCAAGAAAAAAGGGCTTGTCTTGGTCGTGGTTCACCCTCTCTTGTTAAACTGTTTATGGCTGAAATGGTCGTAAAATTTGCACCATTTCTTTGTAAAAGGTCATTCTCTATTAATAATTGACATTTGAATTATGCCACGTTAGGTAACGTAATAGAAAAGCTGTGCATGTTGGCAAAAATTTTACGAGTTTTAAATTGGAGATTCAGAAATGTTTCTAAATCCAACAAATTCCTTGAATGGTGTAGAATACTTTTTCTTGTAATTGATCCCAATTAGTGACCTAAATCTCTGTGAAATCCATCCGTCCAGCCAAACCAAGAATCAGTACAGCAGCCAAATGTCACAATTAGTTCGAGACGGACATGTACTTGTGTACGAGGTATAAAGACGCAACGATTATCGTATATCCCTATCGTTTAAGGAACCTTTTAACCACGAAAAGTATACACAACTTGCAATTGTGTTTGCCTTAAAATGAATTAACTAAGCATATAAGAATTTAAAAGTGAAGTAGTCAACTCGTCGTAGGTCAGCTACATAAAATGAATGGAGCCCAATTTTCTTCCACATGGTTGACCATGTAAGTCCCAACTTGCAAACCACAGAAAGTGATTAGCTTTGGGCTGGACTCGTGTCGTCAATCCTCCAATTTATTGCTATTTACTTTAACGAACAACAGGCCAGAGTTTTTCGAAACCTTGTTTACTCTTAGAATTGGACCTTATTTGTGTGTGACATATGTCACACAATATAAATATATATTTACCAGAAATGATGTAACAAGTAATGAATGGAATACTGTAGCCCTGAAACAAAGATTCTTATTTATGTCCCAAAATGAAGATATCATTTTCAACTTGTTCCGCATTTTACACCGTCCAACTTCTTGTTCAAAGAGGTTGTTGAGCAAAAGTAAAGACTTTGTTCACAGCTTGGCACCTTGTTAAAACAGGATTTTGCTGCCTACATTTTCATATGATTCGGTATTTTAAATAAGAACTACGTATTTATTTCCAACTTGTCTGAATCGCATGTACATATCCAAAATGAAGCCATGATAAATATCCATATCGATGATTTTATTATTATAATTTCTCGAGAATATTTATATGGAACGACGGAGAGGATGTGTCTGGTTGCTTATGCATACACAAAGTTTTAAGTTTGATTGGGAGCAGAATAAGCAACAGAGACATCGAATGAATAAAATATTCCAAAAGTTATGCCCGTTTTCTGTTTGTGTGTAATTAGATTAACAAAAGTCAACCTTTCCAGATACTCGAATCTCCCTATCGTTTCATTGGGATGAGTTTTATGATTTGTTGGCTTCCTTTTTATGTGCATGCATTTTTTAAACCTCACATGAAAAGCTTTAACCATGATAACCTAGATATTTATATAAAGAAATATTTCCCAGTACGCATCAATTTTTCACCCGTGTATACAAATTACAATCATTTATCAAACCCTACCATCAACCAAAGAAATTAAAATTGATTAGCAATTTTAATTGAAATTGTTCACTACGAATATTGATAAGATATTTGATTTAGATGAAATTATGTTTACCTAAAAATAATAATTAAACTTGACGTAAGGAGCTTACAACCAATAAGAAATACAACCACGATTTAATTCCCTAACCCAATCTACTAACCGAGTTCATCATCTAATTGGAATTTTTCATCATTAAACTAATCAAAATATCTCCGCGATACTGTATTGTGAGCATTTTTATCATCCATGCAAAGAAAATATTTTACCAACTAAAATCAATAATTTAAGGGAAATCAACCAATTAAAGAGTCATGAGGAGGAAGACGACGACGACGAAAAGGGCAACTCGGCTGTATTATATCACTCGTTATTATATTACCATCTACTCTTAAAAGCAGAAAAATACAAGTGTGCACGTAAAAATAAGCCATATGTATTGATGAGAAAAGAAATAAAAGAAATGGGAGTTACTCCAACTCTTGGTCAATTTGAAGTGACCCTCCCCTTCCTCGTTATTAACCAAATAAATCTTTAAACCTCAAGGAAATGCTAAACCATAAGAAGAATGTAAAAATATCCAGACTTATTATTCTCTCCTCTGGCTGTGTGCATACGTATCATGAGCAGTTAAACTATGTCATTTAAATGTGTATTCTTTTATCTCGAAATAAGAATATATCAGACCAAACTTCAATTGGTGTATTAGTTTAGTAAAACTTATCTACTACGCATATGCACACACGAAAATAAAAAGAAATTAAACAAGGGAGATATGAAAATGTAGGTGGGTTTTAAGTTTCGAACAATTTGTGCTCCTTTTTTCCGTGGGCTGTGCCACACATTGTAGGACACACATTAGTTTAGTAGGGCATTCAGGGGGCTCGTACTTGATAACATTTAGAGAGTAAATACGCCTGCATATTGACAAAGACGAGGATGAGACACGGAGACGAGAGAAGGAAATAAGAGGGTGGATTTCTTAGATTTTAAAGTGTCACCCGAACCGAACATAAATGCGACGACGACTGAAAACTACTTTAGTTGCAGTCACATTACATAGATTAACTTAGTTTTAGTTCAGTTTTCGAACTGCTCTGAACTACTGCTTCTCGTCTCCTTGCTCGCACAATCATGATTTGAGTGGTGTATTTATTTAATAAAAAAGACTTGTTAAATACTTGAGCCAAATTTAATCACAGATTGGCTAAATTAATCACAAGAGACAATAAGTGAGTTAGTAAGTTAATCCGATTTCTGCTCCTGCTAATCAAAACTTTTTTATCCATAATTTCATTAGAGTTTTTGGTTTAGGGGCAGAAAGTGTATTGCGAAAGAGAAGGGTTTATTATAGGCAGCACGAGTTAATATAATTTCACTTTGGGAGAAACTTATTGTGAGTCTCAATTTAATTTATCATGGACTGCGACCTATTTCATCAAGGGGCCTACGCACACCATCACCACCATCGTCATCCCCACGCGCAAAATAACAACAATGATGACGGGAGCACGCCCTCCTCGCCGGAAGAAGACGTCCAAGAAGTGGGAGGAGGAGTAGGCGTAGGTGGTGGTGGCAATAGTTCATCGTTAGTTGTTGTGGGGGGAGTCGCCAAACTTCCCTTCTCCAGATTTACGGTGAACTCGATCCTCGAATTTGAGAGGCAAGAACGACCCGCACCGACGGAGGGGCAAGAAGGTGACCACGAGAACAATGGGGGCAGCAGTGACCAAGGGATGCTGGTCGTTTCGGAGTGCAACAACAACAATGGGAACGGTGGCCGGATCAGCAGCACGAGCATGGTTGACTGTGATAAAACGCCTTGTTTCAGTCATTGCAGTGGCGGTGTGGATAACGATGGAGACGGTGAGTGGGAGTACACGATATCAAATGGTAGGTAATTTCATGGTGACATTGTAAAACTGAATTTTGCAGATGAAACTGACGACAGCAAATTCACGGAGGACGATGAAGGAGAATCAACCCCGTTGATTACTCGTCTTGCTGATGTTACTGGAGGACTCGTGACGGTCGGGGGACTTGGGATTAATCACCGTCTCCCACCTGCAGGACCACCGGATCACTTGATTCATGGACCCAACAACAACTATGTGACCACGAGCCACTTGATCTCGTCCACGTCGGATGCAAAGTGCACGTCGTCTCTGGGATGTGGCGGTGGGGTTGGCGGGGTTGGCGGTCGTGGGAGGAGGAATCGGACGCAATTCACCCCCGCACAACTGGCAGCGTTGGAGAAGATATTCGAAAAGACACATTATCCAGACAGCTACTGCAGAGAGGAGTTGGCGAGAAAGGTCAATCTGACGGAAGTTAGGGTGCAGGTGAGTGGAGTTATTTTGATTTTTTGATAGTTTTTCGTGCAGGTAGCGTGGTCGATTATTCGCATAAATCTCTTGATTAACATATCAGGAATGGTTTTACGCTATTGCATTGAGAGTTGAGAGAGGTGTAGGTGCATATGTACACATCTCTAGATTTCGGTTCCTACTTGGATGTGGGGGAGGAAAAGGTGTCAAATTTCATATGCACAGGGAAGAAACAAAAAGTGACAGGTTGACATTGATACGAGCATATGCATACAAACATGATCGTGCATCCGACCGACCGCAGGCATAGGAACGACCGGTTTCATTTCAAATAACATGTCGACATGACGGTAAACAGTTGTTACTTTGTGTTGGAAATGTTGGGTAATGAGATGAATATTGCGGGTCACTTTATCATCGCAGACATTCAGAAATCTGTTGGGTGTGAACAAGTGCTGGATTTTAATACTCGTTAGATTTCCAAGATTTGAATTTGACAAAACCTTCCAAGAATTTCAGAAATTTCAAACGCATCCATTTTTTTCCTTCTATCTGGATCAGTGGGATGAACGAGTTTTTGATTCAAAAAGAGAGGTGTCTCATGTACACAAGAAAAATCCTTGTTTGAGAAGTGACCCGGGTGACGCCGACCGAGACTGATGGACAGGGTCGGGTGGGGGTCACTTTTGAGCATGCTTCACTGACACCAAAACCTCCTACTTGTCTCCGTGGTTGACTTGATGCCTCCAATTTTAGAAAGCGTTTTTTTTCCTTCACGGGCCTTTCTTACACTTGTAAAATGATGATTCTATTGCACAAAATGAGAATAGTAGAAACGGGGAAACTGAGACGGTCTGATTCAAATTAGTACATATAAATTTCCTAATGGTCCTTAGCCCTCGTTCTCTGAAAGACAGTCCACCCACCCAACGCTTCATAAGCAAAGGTAACAGTCCGTTAAATTAAATAATGCCGTAAAGCTAGCTCTGCATCTGGTTTTTCGAAACGTTGTGTATGCAAAAGAAGATTTAATTTACCAGTTTCGTTTAGTTGGTTAAACTTTGAGAGGACGATGATCGTTGCGTGTTCACACAAAAGTTAAATCGTCATTTGTTTCACTCAAGTTTGTCTCTTTCCTCCGTCCCACGAATAATTAGTTTTTGTGATAAACGTAAATTTAATTTCTCGCCTCAGTTACTTTTGACTGGAACGTCAAATAAATGTCAGAACTACTAATCACTGATCTATTCTCGCTGCTACAGCTTCTTCAACTGGCATTCATGTTGCTTACACGTTGGCTGTTTGTTTGTGAGCACAAGGATTTATTTATTTATATTCCGAGTTGGTAAGAAATGTCAGCAAGGGTAACAAACGAGGCAGGAGTTTAAATCTGATGGAAAACAATCAAAAGATTTGGCGATAAGAAGCAAGAAGGATTTTGCGGAACTGAGAGACACTCACGAGTTGGGTGGCCAAAAGAAAGGAAGAAAATGCTGAGACTTTTTTTTTCTCTCGGAGAGATTTGTTTGTTTGTGAAATAGTTTTGTTTCAGTCCACAATGGGGCCCCCTTATGGTAGGAAATATCAGAAATTATTTTATGACTTTTTTTGAGCTATTTATGCATACGAGGTAGTTTGGGGACGGATGGCACAAATTATATAACTGTAGTGTGACCACACCCCCTGGGGGAGGAGTTATCTCCATTTGAATGGGTGTGGCGTTGAAAACCATCGCGTTCGATAGATCTTTGAAAGCTAACCCAAATTCATATAAGTTACACCAACGTACAACGCTCCAGAGCCAAGTTATCGGTCTCCAAACATCGAAATTTTGCATTCTGCGCCAACTTTGCGACCTCGTGGCGCAGTGCGCGACCGCATTAATGGGTTCGTAGCTATCTCAAACGACGCTACCAATGTTGGGCTGTCACCCCAAGAAAGAGAATTGATGATTACACGCCCCGTTTCGCAGCAGGAATTTTTTCAAAAACGTCAAAAATATAGCCAAAATAGCCTAAATTTCCACACTAAAAAATAATTAACATTATTTAATCATTTTCAAAAATGCGAAATTTTTATCGTAGTAATTAAAATGTATTAAGAAATTAAAATAAACCATTTTTAGTGATGGGATGGGCTGAAGAAAAAAATAAACAAGGTCATTTTCGCATTTTTGAAGTCGTGTAAAGTTTGTCTTATTTTTCACCACCAAAATCCCGACCAGATTTTAATATCCAATTCATATTTGGTTCACTTATTACGCAGAGGTCATTTCACTCTTATTTAGTTCCAGCCATGAATAAAAAACATTAGTGTAAAATTCTCTGGTAAAAAAGCGAGGAATTTTTTGAGGATTTTTGTGGTGTGACAGTGTCCCGTTGGCGAGAGATGGTTGACAGCCCGTGACTTTGGAACATGTGCATTTCTCTTTTTGGGTTTTGATATTCAGAACCCGAAATTCTGAGGATTTTAACTTCTCGCCTACTTCCAAGATTTGTCAAGGGATTGACTTGAGTGGCGGAGAACGTACATTCCCATTCCGAAAATCATACAACCTTTGTTTGGCACAAACCACGTACTCACACGACCGAGAGCCAAATATGTGTTCTCAGAGTTTTATATTATCGAGCGAGAAACTAATGAAATTATTCAAGTAATGAAAACATTTCACTTGACAAAATTTTCGTCACCTATGTTTTGATACCATGTGCAATTTAATTCGCTCCGGTAGATTACACGCACCACAATTTGCTCAATTCACTCTATGGATTCCGTACTTAAATAAATGCATATTTTTCAGGTTTGGTTTCAAAATCGACGTGCCAAATTTCGTCGGAATGAGCGGTCTTTGAAAGGATCCACGAGCCCATTTCCGACTTCGGGTGGTGGGACAGGAAATTCAGTCGGGACGATTTCTTCTGGAGACCTTCACCCGTCCATCGGTCGAGGTCGGCGTCCCCTCAGCCCGATGGCCATGTCCTTCAGCTTGGCTCAACGGAGGGGAGGAGGAGGAGGAGGCAACAATACTGCGTCTCCCCAATCAATCATGCACTCACAATTTGCTCCTCCAAACGTGGTTGTACAAAACTCGGTGTTCCCACCACATTCTTCGTCGGGTATGAATGACTACGGGGGACCCATGAGTGTCGGCGGTGGAGGGGCGATGGGTTATCCTCCAGTGACATCTTCGCCCACGGAAGACAGCTCAAATCACTCCAACAATTCAAACAACTCGAATTCAAATCCGATCACGCCCAGCAGCAACAACGTGACCAACAACAACAACAACAATTCGGCAGTCAACACATTCTACACGCTGTACAGGAATGCAGCCACGGCAGCAGCCATGGTTCACGGGGGTCATCCTTCTCACGGACCACACCATCATCATCACCAACATGGAGGATATCCACCCCCACCCACGGCTCATCACCATCAACAAATTCTGAACCATTCGTACCCAACTTATTCAAATTATCATCATCATGCTGCAAATACTGGGGCGATGTCGATGCCGATTTTTGATCGGGATTGGATCTCCTCATTCGGACATGACAACTGAGGATTGATTGATGACGATGGCAACTTCTACCTTGACCTGTGACCTTGATTTTCTATAAAAATGATGTTAATTAATGATGGATACGAGAATAGTTTATCGTGTTACTAAAATTGTTGTTATACATTTAAATGCTAAATATGGCAGAATTAGTAATAGTTTGAGTAGTAAACAGTGTAGAAAACCCTTGCAAATTTTATTTTGCTACAATGCACAAAACAATCAATAATTAATTTGTATAAGAATAATTTACAAAAAAAAAGTTTAAAATCGTATGAAACAGTACAACAATGTTCTCTTTATGTTATCTGTAGATTATGCAATGTTGATTTAAAGCCACTCTCAATAGATTTAGATGGGAAGCCGTCAATATGATGTTATAAATGCAAAATAGCTATTAATATGCAATTCCATAAGGGGTAAAAAAAACACTTGATAATCATGAAATCTGCCTAAAAAATTGGTAATTATTATTGACCCAGACGTTAATGAATAAAATTCAATATTAAAATTATCTTGGCCGTTGTAAAATTATTTGCATGCGTAATTTGCAAATAGACAAGATTGAGATCGAGACAGAGAAGCTTGAGACGAGGCAGATCTTGACAAGAGTGCTGGTTGCCGTCGGTGGTGGTTGGCTGGACTAGAATTAAACAGTTGACGCAATTAGCAAAAAAACACACTTTAAAATTTAATGTAGAACCAAATTATAAGTTGCATTGCATGTAAAAATAGCCACATTTTGTTATAAAGAATACACGTAACCCTGTTAGGTAACCAAATACATAATACATTACATAATTTTGATTATGTATTCAAACTCCATGCTGCGAAACTAATAAAAAGAAAACATTTGATTGTTGACATTACGAGTTTCAGATACGATGGATAACCTTCGGTACTTGGAGAATTTGGGCTGGAGCACGTGGTCAACTCCGTATTCTCGGGACAAACCGTTCACTTCATTTCATTCACTGAGAATCATAAATGATCGGATAACCTCTTTTTCCGCCTTGGCCAGACCAACGGTGGCCGTCGTGGGGGAACAGGTTCCACTCACATGCGTAAAAGCGAGAGATGTGTTATTTTCAACTTTTTTTCTTTGATCAAGGGCTGTGGAAAAACTTCCGTGTTGGAGTCCTTGATTGGGACAGGATTTCTCCCAAAAAAGTTCAAAACGGCTGATGGCGACGCGAAAGGAGGCGAAGTGAAGAAAATGATGCAAACACGTTGCCCCGTGGTTATCAACCTGGTGAAAGTCTCGTCTGTTGCGGAATGTCGTGAGTGGCCTGCATTGTAAAATGTCGAAATAATATTTTAAATGCGGTTATTAATATTTGTAGGACACACATGTTGGGTAGAATTTGACCATCACAATCCCACACGACAAATTTTGGACTTTGACGAAGTTGAAGCCGAAATTGAGCAAAGAATGGAGCTTTTATCCTCACAAAGTGCAAATGGAGTATCTGAAGTTGAGATTGTTCTCACTTTTTACTCCTCAGAGGTTCTCAGCATGACACTCATCGACTTGCCTGGATTGACTTTGGAACAAGTGAATCACTAATTATTAATACGTCCTCATTGTAGTTTTTATAATAAATTTAATTATTGTAGAGCACTGGTGAATGGGAGAAAGGGGAGGCTCACAATTTGATCCTCAAGTACGTCCGTGAACCTGATGTCGTGATACTGGCCGTGGCATCGGCCCCCTCCTACGTCGCCGCACCATCCCGAATACTTGATTTTGTTAGAAAAGTTGACCCATTTGAAAAGAGGTCGTTCGTTGTGGTTTCACATTGGGACAAACTTCCAACTCTGTTTCAAGGACGAAAAATGATTTTGGGCAAGTGTGAAAGGCTTGATTTGGGATTGGTAGGGATTCAAAATCGGACAGAGGAGCAACTTTTCAGAGGAACTTCTGTACAGGATTCGCAAGTTGAAGCACAACATTTCCTCCTACATAATTATGAAGGTCTTATCACCGTCCTGACCGGAGTTGGCGTTGGATCACGATACTTGGTTGAACGAGTCTGTGAAGTCATCATTTTCTTGTGGGGGTCACAGTTTGAGGAACACGAATCGGTTAAGCGCACGGTATGTTTGTTGCTTAAATAATAAAAAAAACATAAATACTTGATGACATTTGAAACTGATTTTGACAGGTTTTGCGAGAAATTAAGGCCAAGATTAAGAAAATGAAGGTATTGATTGTGAAACTCTCCAAGAAAAAATTCCTGGATACAAGTCAGCTTAAACGGAAAATAAGGGCAAGTCGCCTCGCCAATTATTTCTTAGTTTTAATTTTTCCCTCCCTCCGCACTACTATTTTACAATGTTAATACAGTTTCTGCGGCCTATTACAGCCGACTCAAAACTTTACGTAGAATGATGATTTTGCAGGAATTGGAGTACGTCGCCACCATATTTGACAAGGGCTGGAAGGATTTTGGAATTGAAGGAAGTGCTACAAAACACAAACAACTGAGTGAACAGTTTCTCACTTGATTTTATAATATTCAGTTTTGTGTATTGCATTGTTTTACTAAATCCTTCACCCTGCATTACTAATAAAAAGAGCTTATTCTCAAAACTATGTGGTTAAGGTCATAGGTCGCATCTCTGTCTAATCCGAGAATTCACACGCACCATGCACATTTTGTTTTGATAGTTTGCGAAAGCTAAGCTTTCCTCAAGCCCAACTTTCCCAACATGATGGATAACGAATCCACCAACATTGTAGAATACAGAAAAGGTAGATGATTGAGTGGCATCATCGTCATCCAGCAACAACGGAATGAAAAACATGAAAAACAACTCACAATCAGTTCTTTCCTTCGCCATCATTCCGTCTCCATTAATATTTCACGTATGCAGATAGCGAGTTTTTAGTGTGCATGCATAATCTCTCTTCTCAAGTGTATGCATGGCTTTCCTTTCTCCAAATTCCCATCTGCTCCACATCATCAATATTACACACGATATCAAAAAGAGAATTGCAAATTGGACTCACGTGCAAGAGACAAAAGAAGAAAAGCATAGCTAGATTTTTGTCGAGTAAACATTTATAGTCTTAAATTCTCTTGTTGAATTAGCTTGTCAACATTGGTTTACTTCAAGGAAATGTTTTCCCTGCAAATAGATGAGAAGAACTTGCGGAGGAGGACGACGAGTCGAGCATAATTTTTTTTACCTCAACTGAACAGGTATAAGAATTCACTACCACCTCCGACCCAATATTATCATCCTGCTTGCTCAGCATCTACATGCCATCACCCAATATGCAGTATAAATAGTAAAAAATAATATATTTTGCCATGATCATCATCATTGCAAAAACATTTTCAAGGTGCTTCTTCCTCGCCCAGATTGAGATGAGTTTCACCCGAGCTGATCATTTCATACACAAGAAGGCGAGCGTATTCTTTCTTCGCCCGTGGCATTCTCTTCTTCTCTTTCTCCATATCCTTGGTAAAACTAGCTCAACCGAAAACCACCTCCAATTCAATTTCAATCTGCTCAACCTACTGCTCTACATCTTCTCCTACCTGCATGCACACTTTGCTTTCTCCTAAATTCCAGTCTACGCCGTGGTCAATCTTTCACTCACTCACCTACTCCACAAAATTTAACAATTTAACCAGCCCGACTTTTCGATCCTGGAGAAAACCGTCGTCGGAGAAAATTCCAATTACGACAACTCGATCCGTTTTACATAATTGTACAAATCAGAAGAGAAACTCGTTTCATTCATGATGTCAGTGAATTCGAAAGTCTGGTTGCGTAAGTCTGGAAGCAGCGTCGTCATTGCTGCTCCAACGATTTGCGATTCTGGGAGCCACGAGTTGTTGGTTTGGCTGTGTGTCCTCTCTCCTCCGGGTCCCTGTGGTGGTTCATCTCTCTCTCTTTCCTTCTGATGTTGGTGGCGGTGGTGGTGTTGCGAACGGATGGGAGGCGAGAGGGAGAAGTAAGTGTCTGAGCTGCTGGTTGGTCGGAGGAGAAAGTTTTGGAGAGAAAGTTGAGTTTTTGATACCAGCGGAGTGAGAGGGAGCGTGATTCAGTCGAGTGCTGGGCTTATCTCGTGTCGGGTGTGGGCGGTTGTTGGCTGGTGAGAGAAAAGTCCGTTGTCTTGTTTCGAGAGAAATTGAGCTTTCTTCTTCTTCCTTTCCTCCTCGGCCGTGCTGTCCTGCTGAAACGGTAAGTAAGTTAATTTCGTCGCTTGGTCCGAACCAAATATTTTCCTTTTTCATCTCTTTCTCTCTTAACTAATTCGACAAAGATAAGAGAGCGCATTCCCCATCGGCATCCTTTCAATCCAGTCCACTCCATCAGGTCGTCGTGAGTAATTAACACGCAACAAGTGTTTTATACAGAAAAAAAGAGAGAAGGAAAAAAAGATACTTTGAGAGAGAATCGATTCAATAAATAAATCTGCCCAAAAGTCGAATAGGCAAAGACAGCGAGGGAGAAAGAGAGATGGAGAAAAAGGAGTAAATAAATGATGAGAATGCCTCGAATTAAGGACAAGGTTGCGAAAAGAAGAGTTGCTTTGGTCGTTTGTAATAAAATACCTTTATCTGTTTCATACAAGGAGAACATTACAGTACTTACATCTCTATAATGTAATGGTATAAGTGCATATATACGACGGATACATGGTGCACGCGGCATTTAGATTACTCCACCTCTTCTTCCTCCACGAGTTTGTGAAGTGGAAGGGAATCAATTTGATCGCGTTTGGGCCTGAATTGAACTACAACACAATACAATCAGTCTGCATTGTATATTGAATTGTGGGAGTGAAAAGGATCAAGTGAGGGGAAGTGCTGAGGAGTCCATTCTCTATTGCAGAGCAGTTTTGAGAGAAGCGTCGTCGAATTTGGGACACACACCTGCACTTTCTCCACCGCCGACTTTCTCCTCTCACACGGAGAGTGGTATAACACCCGACCACCTCACACACACACCTGTGCATGCATGTAACTACTGGCCGAGGAAGGAGTCAGGGAGTGAATGGGAGACCTGCATCATCTCTGAAACTGTATATCTGGGTAAGTGTCGTTGTATAAGAAGAGAAAGTTGCTCTCGGTGTGAAAGTCGAAGGGAGGGAGCCGTAGTTTCCACGGTGGACGACCCTTTTCTCTCTCATCCCACTCTGCAAATTCAGTGCTTGTCTTGTCACCCACCTTTCTGTAATTTAATCCGTTCGTTCCCATTGCTGGATTCCGTGTGTGCAGTACGTGACTCTGCTTGTTCAACGTGATGAGTGGGGTGCTCCGCTTGGAAAAAGGAGGAGTACTAAAGATCCACAAGTAGAAATACGACGAGTCACTTGATACTTTGGATCTCGATTGAGTTATTATTATTTTAGTGGTCCACCCATAAATCCATCAATATTATGATGGATCACACAGCCGCCCACGCACATATTCATAATAATATTACTTAAATCCACGGCGTGTACTTGGCCATGTCTGCTGGATCAAATGGAAACTTGAGACGGGAAAAGGATGTCCAGGAGAGAGAGCGGATATTTTTTTTTATGGGAGAAACGCATAGGTGAATTACATGGAAAAAATGATAAAGAATCTTTAAGAGAAAGAGTTAACTGGGAAGAATGAGAGTTTGTTTGCTGTAAACTTGAGGACTCAATCAAGCATCCCTCCTCGGCGAGGATTTGCCTCAACACCACCACCACTTTTTTTTCTAGGCAGACTGAGTGGGAGTGCCATCCACTTTTATTTTATTGCTCCTCTCGGATAGTCTTCCTCGAATGCAGGACAAATATGTGTGTAAGGCTGAGTAACCTTCTTCTCGTACTAAAAGTTATTATAGGTAGAGCCAACAGGGCCAAAGAACTTTTCCGGCTCATTAATTATTAAAGAAAATGCATAAAGTGGGGTAGGAATAAGCTACATACAAAGTTTTCATAACGATACAGACTGGAGAAACTTGTAGGAAATAAAAGCAGTAGTAATTTTTTCATATTGACCATTTTGGATGGATGACCATATAAAATGCAGAGGAAAAATACGGCCCATGTTTTAAACTCTTTTTGAGAGCTACATAAATAAAATCGAAATTGCACAATAACTTCACAGTACAAAACACATTATTAATGATAACAGTCATCGTATCGCAAAGTTTGTCCATTACTCTTAATTGTTAGCATTCACCTCTTGATTCACTAACCGCACACCATTTTGGGTACGACCCCACAGAGATGATTTACGGCAAACCGACCACCGACTTGCCAAAACCACCATCCTCATCATCACGGCACACGCGGATGAAAGTATAAGTAGGTAGACAAAGTTGAGAGTTATTAGATTGGTAATAATTAATGACGGTAATTACCGTGCACCCCGGTTAACACGACTTGACACACATTTGTGGAATTGAATGTTATATTTACTCTCGAGTGTGTAGAAATATTGCCTTCTTGTCAAGTTATAATTTTATTTCGCTACATATTCCCTAAAATTCACAACATATATTTCCGGTTGCGCTCTGCTGGGAGGGTAAAATAATACGGGAAAGGAAACGGGATATTAGATATTAAGCTGGCAGATGTAACGCCATAAGTCTAATTTATCACCTTTTACTGGTTTTGGTATTACGGTGAGAGAGTTGACTTGGCTCCTATTTCGTTCATTCATCCGAACAGCAAAACCTTTCCCACGCACCAAAAATACACACAGATTCTGACGGTTTGCAGACGAGAGAGAAAGGGAAAGACAGCCAAAGTGAAAGTACGTTTGGATGGGTTTGCTGAAGTGAAAGTAAGCATAAGGTGAGCAGCAGGCAGCAGTGGTACGTAAATACGTGGCAGTAGGTACGTCTAAAGCAAGTGGAAAGTTATTGGTGAATATGTAACGTGTGGTTTGTGGTGGTTCAGCGGAGGAAAGGAGAGAGAAAACCCACCTGCTGGCTGTGTATGTACATGCATTAAGTATTTTCAACTTTCCCCAGCACGTAGGCAACCACTAGACAAGTAATGACTAGGTAGGAACAAGTTCACTCAATTTCACTAAACTTTTCTGAATTTTAATCCTTCACGTAGAATCTTAGTAATGGAATAAACTTTTGGAAAATCGCTTTTCTGTGCAGACTTTTTTGTTTACGGATACTTTGTCGTGTGTATATGCATGGCTTCTGATTCGACATTTGTGTGTAGAAATTATTACAAGGACGGGGAGAGAAATATGGTTTTGGCTTTAGGGAAATGAGGAAAACACGGAAATGAAGGACGTGATTACGATATGGTGATGATGACGGGCGGTTTTCCGCGATAGACAAAAAAGTTTGTAAATTAATTCGCAAACCTTTGCCAACTTTAAATTGCAAGGACTTTATTCCCTTTTGAAAGACTGCTCGCAAAAACAGGTAGGAGTTAAGATGCTCGAATTTGAGAAGCCAATCATTTCCACCACTCTTCAAACGTGATGATGATCAAGGTTCTTTTTCAGTCCTGTTTTCTTGACAGGGTGAAAAATGCAAATCTATTCTAACCACATCCCAACAATACATTTCATCATGAGGCGCTAAACGAGTTCCAGAGTCCCAACGGAATCGTGCAAGTTATAAGGTTAGCTAGCGATCTTGCTAATTTGCATCTCCCCGAAAGTTGGCTCATCATAGGAGTTGAGCACATTCCTTGTATAATAATGGGAGAGTTTTATTAGCAGGATGGAAATGAGTAAGTTATGCAATATACATATAGTCTTATACACTTTGTTGGTTGAGTAGTCGTGTTGCAGGGGCAGCAATTTAAAATAAAATGAAAGTCCCACTTTCACTTAGCTCACATTTCACTTTTCCATTTGGCCAATCTTCTCCGCCTCCTTCCTGCATCATGGCCTTCCTTTCGCCAAACTTTGACTCAACAACCCTGTGAAATTAGAATTAAAACTGGGCCAGCGGAGATGAAGATGTACATAAATACGTAAATACAGCACGTAAGCAAATAAGGCACGTTTTTTTAAGTCCAAACCTTCCCTTACTTTCCCCTGGTTAAGTTTGGTCCAGGTTTATTTGTGTGTTTTGCAAAAGTAGGAAAATACTTTTCGACTTTTCTCCAGTTCAGCAAAAACATGGAGAAAGCACGCCCCCTGAACATGTTTGCAGTTGTATTTGTACATACATTCATACATATTCGGATGTCTTATTATATTGGGTAAACAAGAAAGTCGTCCTCGTCCTCCTCGTCGAGGTGGAGATGGAGGAGATTGGGAGAGGAGAGAAAGTTGGATGTTGCAGGATTTACGAAGATGTGGGAAAACCGCAAATTATTTCACATCTCCGGAATTCCGATCCGGATGATCTCCTGGCAGAGAAAGTGAAAGCAATGGAAATGTTGAGATGATGTGAGTCAAAGGGATCAGAGAGAGAGAGGCGTTCGTTTGGTTTCGTTTGGGGGTCCATTCATGCATCCATATTATTTTAATTTAATCGTGCCTTCTTTATTCTTCTTCCTTTTATTCGTCCGTTGGGTGATGTCGAGGTTATTATGAGATGAACGAATAGAGATTAGCAAAGTGAAAAGGGAAGTATTAGCAGTGATGTTACAGGCAAAAAAGGCAACGCCCTTCACCACTCTCACTCACGGTGGAAATGTCATTACACAGTTTCAGTCCCTTTCCTTTTCTACAACGGACGCAACCGTAAGGAAAATCTACTTACACGATGGAATTCGTCCATTTTCTTGGATTTACACTTTGCTAAATGTGATTAACAAAGAGTGTGCACACGCCAGCCGGCCCAGTTTCCCACCTCTCTGGAGAAAGTCGTCGTGGGCGATGGATTGCGCTCTGTCGCGCTGTCATGATGAGTTTTAGATGCATAAATACATAAGCCATCCATTGCTGTGTGTGTGTTTGAAGAGAGGGAATTTTCCAAGGTTGTGTGTATTCAACTTTTGAATATCCTACATCATCATCATCATCAGACTACGGTTCGTGGGAACAAGGAGGAAAACCTGCGTCGTCGTACAGAACAAACAGTCCATGCAACACAACCGAACCACACGGCAAGGCAACAACAAGGACAGTTTACCCGAAATATTATGGGACTTATTTCATCATCCTTTCAAAAGTATTTCGCATCAATCAAAGCCCTGCAAATAGGATGTTGATGATGATGGCAGGGAAGAATCTGGGCTTGCAATTGAGAGAGGCGGCTGAAGAGGTCCAGCAGGAGCAGTATCAAATTGCCTGCTATTAATAGAACTCACTTTATTTCAAAGTTCAGAATAAACATTTTGATGGAATCCAACCAAAGATCGAAAACTTGAATAGCGTTGTTGGAATTTCATCCAAACACAGTCGATAATTTATTAACTTCAAAAGATTCCTTTGCTGATGCAAAATTTAATGATTGGCTGCAATTCCTACTTCTCTGGAAGAATATCTTGTAGAACCAGGAGTTCATTCTGATTCAGCTAAATTTAGAGGGGTTCCTCCGCTCAAATTATGATATTATGGCATTTTGTCGCAATAATGACGTCTTTATGTTTTCCAATCTATAAAGTTTCGCCTTAGAGATGCAAAATCCTGTGTGGGAGGTGAAACCCAATCTTGAGCGTCAAACGAGAATAACAAGTAGCTCACGTATGTACGTTGTAAACATCTTTATGCACAACAATTTGGTCTTTAGAAAATTTAAATATCAACCCGATAGCCCAGTCTGCCTGCTTTTATGTGAGCATAATACTGCTTGGGTTTATATATTTCCAGGAATTTACTACCGCACAGATCGCGATGTGGAATAACAGAATTATTTTCGCTGGAGGAGAAACTATTTCAAAATGAAGAAACTCTAACAAAATTCGTACGAAGAGTAATCTTTGATGTGAAATGTTTCTCCATTTCCAAACCTCGTTAAATGGTAATGTCATGTCATGCGTTGTGTGGATATTGAGCAGATTTGTACCGAGATTTTATTGCATATCTTGCGTCTCTTCCTCTTGTAAATGGTGTGGTTGGTTGGAGAATGAAATCTCTTTTCCAAATGTACATAGTTGGGTCGTGTGTGTGTTATTCATCCATCGGGACTTTCAACTCATCCACTTTCTCTGCTTTCTCTCCACTGCTACCTTTCGTGGTGGTCTGTGTGTTCACTCAACCTCAACTCATTGCTCTCTGTTCATCAGACTGGAAATGGAAATTGGGTCAGTGGGTGGATGGATGAAGTGGCTGTTGGATGGGTGTGCTAGGCATGGGTGGATGGTTGGTTGGATTAGATGACAACATGACATTGAGATGACATGACATTGCTCTGTCTGTTGGTGGCTGGCTGGTCTGTTCATATCGGAACTTTAATTCCCCAAAGGTCATCCTCATCCACTCTCTCATCTTGCGTAAGAGCCAGCCTCCTCCCATAGGTGACTAAAAGTGAGTGGAATTCTCAGCCATTCACTTGTTTTTCTCTACATTTTACTCCAAAATGCGAACAAACACAGTGCCCCACGAGGCCGTAAATTCACATATTTAGCACTTGTTTAATATTCGTATCTCATCAAACAGTGATATCTGACTCTGTATGATAATTAAAGAAAGAATGCGTTTCCGCTATAAAAAAAACTTTCACATTTCCTTTTGCTTGCAGATACGTAATAAACGTGCATATATAAAAGTTGGCATTTTGCTGTTGTATGTGCCCACCCCACGTAAAGAACGGAACATAAAGTTAAAGGCTGTATAACTATGCATGGGTCCGTTCTGGCAGGAATACACAAGACTTTGGAATATGATTACCCTTTCGGATAATAAGATAAAATGGAGGCGATGGTGCGCAACTGAATTTCTTTTCGTGCCAAGCATGGAAATTGACGTTGTTTTTGGTCGAAACATTATTAGAATTAGAACATCGTATGCAAGATAACTACGCTGCATTGTGCCATGTGCAGCTAAAGGATAGGAATTGTGAACCATTTGCGAAACGTGATGTTGCTCTGATCTTTCACATGCAAAGCGTATTAAATTTCCCTCATGCATCTTCGGTTAATTTTGTGTGTTTGGGCTGCAATGTGCGAATTTGATGCTTTTGCATTTTGTAATGAGAGCACTGGTCTCAAAGGAATTTATACATCCTCGCTGGTTGTCTGAAACTATATTATTTTGCTTTTATAACGTAAATAAATTACAAATACATAAAAACAGTTACTTTAACATAGCAGTAAAGTACATGCAACAATCCTCTTTCAGCAGTGTGTGTTGTGTGGTATTGATTGATTGTGTACTTGGAAAACTTGATGAAAAGAAAACCATACATTCACATCAGCACCACACACACACCGTCAACAAATTCTTGTCGCACCTACAAACCTATCCAACGACGGAATAATATTTTATACGCGTTGGAATTTTAATTTCAGTTTGGCCAATGTTTCTAATTATGTAAATTGTTGATGATTATTGTGATGATGCATCGTCATCATCATTTCTCTCCGTGTATCCTGCAGGGGAAAAGTAGTATATTTCGTTATGATGAGTTTAACTGACGTATTGCAGTAATAACATCCACGCCACGCCGCACCATAAGAACCACAAGCATTGGAATTGGTGACTTCACTTATGTTTCTGTGGCTTTCGACCAATAATATTACATACACACAAGTCTATCCTTTCGACTGAATGGATGTAGTAATGGCATGCGGTTGTTGGTTAGTTGATGATGATGACGATGGTGGAAGCTATTTAACAGTTATTGCAGGCTTGAGCTAGCCAAATTCAGTGTCTGTCCGTACATATTGCCAGCAGAGAGGTATTGTCAGGGTGAGTCAGCCATTGGATTTCCATTCTGCCACCACAGTTTGATGTCAAATGTATTAATGTATGTAGTATTTCATTAGGTGAATAAAGTCACCAATGCACATTCATCACACGTCGTGATATTGGGCCATTTGGGAATTTGAACCCAGAATAAGTGCAATGTATGCAACCCAGAAAAGGAACAAAATGCTGGTTAAATTATTTTGCCAGCTCGACATGAAACTGGGATAGTTTGGTATTTAGCATTATTGTAGGAGAGGAAGTGATGAGTGTGCAAAAAGTTGCAGTCACTCACTCTCAACCACATCAGCATCACATTCCATTACAACGTTAATCAAATCGCAAAAGCAGCAAACGCTTCATTGCCGTAAACCTTGTATCGCTATTATTGCGGTGCTGCTGGTGGTGGTACAGGAATGAGACGTGAATTGCAATCGCGACCAAGATTATTTATTGTTGAGCGAGTGCAGTGATATAATGGTCGGATAATAATATTGTGATGTGTACAAAAGATTAGTCGATGGATGGACGCAGGCACAAGTTAGTTTGTCGTATAAAATAGAACATCTTACATATATCTAAGGAGTTGAAGGGCATGTGGTGGTTTGGTTGGTTATCATGATGACGACGACCAAGTGGTTATTGGGATGACAGTTGTGTTGTTGCTCTGTTACTCATCTTCTTCTTCTTGCGGAGTCACTTGTGGAGTCACCATCATTCTGTTGGAAGGAGCGATATGGTTCAGACGCACGGTTTGGTGGTTGGTTCAGGAAATTAAAATGTGACTCTTGTTCGTCAAGCTGTGTAGTTTATTCTCCAATTTAATTTGTGAGTGTATAGTTTATGGTCAGTTTTGTGAAGTGAATTTTGGTGAGAGGTACAATATCACTTTATTGCTTTAAAAGAAGACAGATTATGAAAGTGTGAAACAATAGGCGAGCTCTGATACATAATTAAGCACATTCTTTGGAGCTTATACATTATTCCGGTATTTTATTTTACTTTTATTTATGATATACAAATTTTTTCATATCTACAAATTTGTCATGCAGTTTTGCATGTATGTATGGCAAACAAGACAAGGATTACTCGTATCGGTAGAGAGCTAGACATAAGTTGTTGGAATATCTTTGGAAATAAATAGGCTTAGCACAACGATAAGTATATTATCATTGTGCGTTATAATCTTCCCACCGGACAAAAGAATGAATGAGTCCGATTCGAGCTGTTTTGAGGAGACTACATGCATAGTTCCAAGAGGAGAATAATACAGCATCGTCGTCTCAGGTTATCTTTCCTCCTTGGCACAATATCGGCAATAATAAGCCCACTAATTCTTTATACGGATGTAATCGGACACAAATTAAAGTTTGGTTTCCATTATGTCCGTATTCTCATCTGTGTACCTCTAAAAGCCGTGATGCATTGTTGTCTCGTCGTCTTTCCCTCTTGTTGTGTGCAGTTGACTGCATGTGTGGGTAGACGAGACGACGAACTTTGGTGTGTAATCAGAGGAGGAGAGTCTAAGGCCAAGTCTTAATTGAGTCTGAGGAAGATCGATCCATAAATAATTAGGTTCCTACTACTCGGCCTACTTTCTCTTTATCTTCTTCATTGTGTGTGCAAAAGGTGCATGATTTGTGCTCATGTCAGTCATCATATCCCCGGCGTGTGCTACCAGCCAAGAGAGGTGTGTTTTTTAGTCAAAGGGAGACCAGCACTTATGTAAGATGAGTAATAATAAGTCAGTTTGAAGGTAAATGTCGGATGCAAAAACAATCTGGCGTCAAAACTACTTTTTTTTTTAGTAGTTATAATTATTCATGGAACGAGTCGCAACGTCTGCGAATGACGCGTCTGTACACATAAATCGTACACTTTGTGTTGTCATCATTTTACGTATAAAATAGTGCTCAATAATAATAATCATACCGTGAATTAAAAGCAGAGGACGAGATTGCAAAAGACGTGAATCAGACAGCATAAATGAGGAGTTACTTATTTGGTGGACATTGTAAAATTAGACTCAAATCCAAATACTCCAATCTGTGCCAATTAGAGGGATTTGTTTGCTTTGTCAACTTAACGTCGTTGTCGGTGCCAAGTGAAACATTCTGTTCACACTTTGAATCAATTTACTCAATGTTCACGCACAGTGGCGGATAAATAGGGTATGTGGGGTAGGCGTGACATAGGGGCCCCCGCGCAGCGGGGGCCCCCGGGTGCGGCGTGGTGTACATATTGCTATACTTAAGTTTGGTCAACGAATTTAGAAAAATAAATTCACTGATACTGCGGATAAATTATTATTAAGTTAATTGTTATTAAGTACTCGCATAACAAATAGTTTGGGGAAACTACAAGTAGTTAGTTGAGTATTTATGGATATATGTTGAGGGTAATTAGGTTAGGATTGTTTTTGCCGATTTGGAATAAATTTGTCACTGGTCGATTATAAATTGATAACCAGTCAGTGGTAGACTCAAATATATATCTTCGATTCTGGTTATAATCGTAACCGAGTCATTTCCATTGTGGATTATGTAATCTTGGAAGGTGCTTTCTTGGGGTTCTAACAATTTTTGCATGCGATTCCGTAAAATTTTCGCAGGAATCAATGTGGGGGCCCATTGACAGAGGTGAGACCTTTTCTAAGCAAAAACTAATTTTTTTATATTCTTGAAATATAACAAATAAATATGTGCCAAGAATTATATTTCAACAAAATTTGGCTAGAAAAAAGTCTCATATCTGTCAAGGGGCCCCCAAATTTATTATCCAGCTACTAAAGTATGAGAAAATTTTGCGGAATCGCATGTAGAAATTGTCAAATAAAAATTATGTTGGCCTCTTTATATTAATCGTTGTCTCAATCTAGTTCATGGTGATTCCGATCTTTGAATTGGGAATTATTGAGACGATGGTCATAAGTGGTTAGGATTACAAGTAACTGCATAACTTCAGTCATTTCTAAAGCGATACTGTCTGGCGTAATTTTATTTCTGGGAGCGGTGCAACGTAGTAAAGACTGAATATTTTCTCTAAGAAGTGAAAATAGTTCGATAACATTACCAGACATTAAAAATGTCGCCAATCGGAGTTCTTTTTAAGCAAATTCATTTTCCGTATCAAGTCGGAGCGCATAATTTAATTAACTTGACAAAATATGCTTGCTAAACATGCATAGTACACAAAATAACAGAAACAAAATATTATAAAATCTAGCATATTTACAGTGTACAAACAATTGAATATCAAACAATTAAGTGCACGTTGAAGTTTTTTTAACTACGATATGATGCCGTGTATGTACTTAGAGCTTCTAAACTCCACACTCATTTGTATAAACTCAGCCGAATAGTTCCGCGTCGCCGAGTTTTAAGGTCACCGATATTCAAATGTCAGAATTTTTTAGCAATTCGAAATGAGAGCCATTTGAAGAGCCAGATGAATTTTTCGCCAAAATAGTTTTTGATGCCTAAAATCGCGACCGCGGCGAAATTAAAAGAATTGAAAGATGCAAAAGCCTATAGAAAGTGCATATATGCTTTTGTACATATATTTCAGTATATTGTATATTTTGTAGGCATCAAAAACGTTTTTGGCGAAAAATTTCAAAAACATCGTACACTGTCGTAGCTCATTTTCCTAGCTCATTTTCTTCGTAAGACCTTGCAGTTTCCAGTAAAATATATTAGAAAGTTCAAAAAAAATATGCAGGGAGTTTTATTTTTTGGCTCTCATTTCGAATCGCTAAAAAATTCTGACATTTGAATTTCGGTGTTCTTAAAAATCGGCGACGCGGAATTATTTGGCTGAGTTTATCCAAACGCGTGCGGAGTTTAGAACCTCTAAGTACACGACATCATATCGTTACTAAATAAACGTCAATCGTTGTCAATTGTAACTCAATTGTTTGATACACTGTAGTTAAGAATTTAAAATACCGTTGAATATCGCAAAAAATCCCACCTAGGGGCCCCGAGTTGGCTTTATCCGCCACTGTTCACGCAGTGCAACAGTAAATAGCAGTTGGTTGATTTTCTCGGGTAAATCTCATTTAGAGAACAGTTTCATGAGAAATTGCATCGCATTGGAGACTCGGTTCAGAAATCGAGTTGGTCTAACGTGCTCCATGATGGTGTCTGGATAAAGGTTTTGAAATGCATATTGCTCTATTAGTTCATTACATATAAGTGACTGACTGCCTGACTGAGGAGATAGGCAGCAGTGTAACGTTGTTTTCTTGCAACACCAAAATGATAATGATGATGATGGCTGGTCGTCGTGTAAGGAAGTCGTCGCAAGTTGTGCACGTAGGAACCACTTGAGATTCAGACAAATCCCGGAGCAAGAAGTTTTATTAAGTCTTGAATTGACTGGTAAAATGTTGGGCATATTGATGATGAGATGTTTTCCTAGAGTTCGCATGTCGTACTTGCCGTCAAATAAAGGAAGCGAAGAGGAAGACTCACTTCCTGAATTTGGGATAAGATTATTGCTTTTTGGGGTGGATGAAAAGGGAAAAAAAGACACAGGCCATGCCATACACACAGTTTTGGTTAGATTTTAGATGTATGTACATAGGAGTGAGTAAGTAGAACTACTACGGTTAACGAGGATGATTCACTTGACTTGATTTCAAATAAAAAACAGCCCAACAATATTTGAATGGAGGACATTCAAAGCATGTTCATTTGTGGGTGGCAACGGTTCTACATTATGTCAAATGTATGTATACGTAGTTTGGCTTGTGAAACAGAATCATGTTTCGAGTGTCAGAAATTTGACGCATTAAATACTCCACGACGATTCACATTGTTGGTGCAGTGCAGCGATTCCGTTACAAATCGGATATGTACTTTGTTCTAATATTATGAAAAAGTGGAATGCTGCTGCTGCTGGTTGAATGGTTTGGTTTCATCAACGCAACTGATTGTATAGCAGTTCAGTTAATTAACCCTGAAGTGGCTCATTACCCACCGTGGGAAAATACCTGGTAGAGCTGCTTCCTTTCCTACGTATTTGCGGAGAGGTTGTTCTGCGTAGAGTCATATGTACATATTTAGTTATGAAATTGTTTAGTTTGTTTAGTTGAGGAGAGAGTTTAAATTATAACGCGTGCAAATAAAAATGAAGAAAATTTGTCTCATTATTTTCAGCTAATCCCTGAAGAAGTCTTGGGAAACTTTAATCGATTTGATTTTTAAACGACGAGTGTCACGTTCCAATCTGGCCGAATTTGCCAGCAAGATGCGTGAGTATAAGATCGTAGTTCTTGGAAGTGGAGGCGTTGGGAAATCTGCCCTCACGGTCCAGTTTGTGCAAGGAATATTTGTGGAAAAATACGACCCCACGATAGAGGACAGTTACCGGAAACAAGTCGAAGTGGATGGACAGCAGTGCATGTTGGAAATTCTTGATACTGCTGGAACCGTAAGAAAAATTTCATATTAATTTTTATGCAGTGGAGTTAAATTGCGTTCATTTCATATTTTTGAATACGCAGGAACAATTCACCGCAATGCGAGACCTGTATATGAAAAATGGCCAGGGTTTCGTCCTAGTCTATTCCATCACTGCCCAGTCCACCTTCAATGATCTGCAAGACTTAAGGGAACAAATTCTTCGAGTCAAAGTTAGTCACCGTATTAATCATGGTTTTGGTGGGTGTGCTTATTTCTGACGTTTTAATTTTTAAAGGATACCGACAACGTACCAATGGTGCTGGTGGGGAACAAATGTGACCTGGAGGAGGAACGCGTTGTGGGGAAGGATCAGGGTAACGCACTCGCCCATCAGTTCAACTGCACCTTCCTCGAAACCTCAGCCAAGGTCAAACATGCTTTTAAAATGCCAATTAATTTTTACGCTGTATGATTCCTTGCTCATTTCAGTAACTGTTTTTACTTATGTATAACTCACATTTAATGTTGATTAACAAAGTTAGTCAGCACGGATATTCTAAATTTGAGAGTCTTATCATTTAAAGGCAGAATTCACTCATAAATGGAATTTTTCTTTAGTGCTTTAGCTCTTTCTCTTTTTAGCTGCACTTTCTCTCGTTTTAAGTCTTCAATCTCTCTCGTCATCATGTCGATAGTGACGTTGGATGCGCTCTTGTCTCGTTTTAAGTCTTCAATCTCTCTCGTCATCATGTCGATAGTGACGTTGGATGCGCTCTTGTCTCGTTTTAAGTCTTCAATCTCTCTCGTCATCATGTCGATGGTGACGATTTTAGCACGCTTAAGACAGACATTTGTTTGGTCGCTTAATGGCAGTTTCCGGGGAAGACTGACTGAGGACCAAGTTGGCGTTTGTGGGGGAGATGTGATTGCAGAGAATCTATAGTCAAGGAAAACACAGTTAAAACATGTGGTATAACAGACATGATGAGGAAAGAGTAATAATAAATATGTTGACCTTTCTCGAATTCGTGGTCCAACAGAGACTTGGCCAACTCTCCTCCCAGTATGACCAGTACAAGCAGGTTTGTGCCGAACCATGTGACTTTGACGCTTAAATTTTTTGGGACATCCGGGACACTTAAATGGCCTATCTTCTGAATGACTTATCATATGCCTACAAACGAATTCCAAGTACTTGTAACATGTATATAGATATATAAAGTAGGGAAAATAAGGAAGGTTATTACGAGGGCAACAAATATTCGTAGGTAGCGATATACGGGCAACCTGCAACTTGGCACCTGAATCGCTTGGGTGTTGAGTCCTCAGATTTCTTGTTTTGTTTAGGGACAATTGTCACAACCAATTCCTCCTCTTTCTCCATCTCGACCGTTGAAATTAATCCAGCTATTTTGTCACTTAAAAGCATAATAGACACATATATATTTTAACATGCTCAAGAGACAATTGGATTAATTATTAATATATATTTGGAGGTTCTTACTCAATTATCTGATTCAGTTGTGGAGCAATATTGTCGAACCAACGCTCTGTATTCTTGCTTTTAAAGCTGCCTGGACACCCATCTCTTTGTCGCCTATATTGCTTCAGTCCAGTGGCAGATTTTATGTTCAATGCAAATATAGGGAATACAACATGATCATCCTTGACAGCAGTGAAAGTCGGATCAACATAATCCCTAGAAAAAGTGGTCATATTAGGAGACTAAATTAGTACAAACATACTATACATATATTGGTTACTTAACACACTTACAGAATAGAACAATCCCCAACATAACCACAATATATAGCATTCTGGGCGGCGGTGGTAGGATCATATGTCGTCGATACTCCAAAAGTGATCTCTCTCACCCTATGATGAGGGTCACGCCAAAGTACTCCAACCATAGAATGCAAATCAACCTCTGTAGCTAGAACAAATATACATTTGCATAATATTGTTAAAATATTATGTCAATTAAATTGTTGGGATTCCTTACCTTCCATATTCAGAACATCTTGTTTACTGATCCTCACCGCTTTCAACTTTTTGTCGTCCCCCATCTCACATTTGAAAATGAAATCCGTTTCCTTCAAATCTTCTCTGGAAATGTTTCGCTTTGAATTTTTCTGTAAATATAAATTACATGCAAATTTAGACATTGCTACCGGTGCCATCAATAATAAATAAGTATAAAAATATTCATATTTGTAATACTTACATGTGTGTAGACCTCTTTATATAATCTGTCCCGCAGATCTCTGACTTTCACTACAGCCTCTACCTGAATGTGCACTTGTTCCCTTTCTGCCAAATAAATAACATAAATATCACACAATAATAAAATCTAACATTCTTACCTATATTCGCACCGTTCTCTTCTTCTCCCCCTTCATGATCCTTAAGTTTCCCATTTACTAGAATGAATCTCACCGACATGATTAATAGCACCAGGTTTGACTAGTCGTTTAAGTTCTGAAAAATAAATATAAGTAAAAGTTGTATCACGATTACTCGATCAGTCAATTAAATATTTAATTGACGACCACACTACTCTGTCCTACATTTATGACAAATGTAAATGTTTTGCTGTTTAGTGTTAGCGCGCAGAACCGTATATCACGATTGCTTGACATTTAGTATCTAGGTAACTCTTGGGTCTTTTAACGGTTGCGACAAATGGTGGAGTTACAAATAAAATAATTATTTTTTAAATCGTTGGTACACATCTCCTGGGCCTGTGTACCAACGACTTTGACCTTTAATAACTTTTGAATGGGCAGACATAGAGACTTAATTCGTTAAGATGAAATCATCGTAATTTTCAGCTTGATTTTTTAAGATCAAAATCTCGAGGGTACTATTTTGAAAACTTGAAACAGTGTACAGCGTTTATTTAGCCCGAGTCAGGGTCAGTGTCAGCTTCTAACTTTTAGTCAGACGACCTGCACCAACTACTATTCGTAATCGGCAAAAATGTTCCCATAATCCAGCATGCAAAATTTAAATTCATATTCTTCAATTAGACACCATTAGCAATCTCGATGCCAAATTACAGCTTTCAACGAGGATTTTGAAATACTTCACCCACCCAGATGACCACCACCGGTCAACCACTTAATCGATTTCGCCCATCTTCAAACTTAACTCCTCATTTGTCACATACTACATGTATACCAAATTTAAAGTCGCTAGGACGAGTTAAGGAAAGTTATCGTAAAATGATCTGACGGACAGACAGACGGACATGACGGTTCCATAAGCACTTTGACTAAAAATCACATTTCCAAATTTCCCATTGTAACCAATGACATATTTTCAACAATTTTTAGTTTTCTAAAAATGAAAATTTATTTTGTAACTCGGCCATTTGTCGTAACCTTATAGATTGATAAAGTGTCAAATAATCTTGACCGTATATATAAGAACTTAATCAATTTCTGATTTATTTATTTTCAGGCAAAGGTCAATGTCAATGATGTAAGTAACGATCTGAAATATCTGCACGTGTCAAAGTGTATAAATAGCATAAATTAATTAATTTACCATATTTGCAGATATTCTACGACTTAGTAACACAAATTAACAAGATAAATCCAGTGACAAGACCAAAACCCAAGTCCAAACGGCACTGCGTCGTCCTCTGAGCAACTCATTACATACAAAAAAGGATACTCTTTTGAGCGACTGAGTCAAGTTCGTGTGCCCTATGGTCTACTAGTCTAAATTCGACTTGTTTCAATGTTATTTTGCAGAATATAGCGACGATGAGGGAGGTGCTGTTTATATAATGCCTAATTTTAAGTATCTCTCGGTGTACACCTTGTTTACGAGTATGTGTCAGTATGGATGATGGCGTGGGTGCAACATTCCCTGCGAAAAAAACAAACAGATCTTTTATGAAGCTACTTACATGTATATCTAATAAATTAGTTTTTATTATCGTGCGATGGATTGTATTTAGTTTAACATTGTTGTATTTAGTGTAATCAAATCCTGTGGTGCTTATGTATTTATGTACGTAACGTAGACGTGTAGCTTATCTAACCCCACTGTTACCCCACCCACCCAAATGAGAGATTTGATGAGGGGCGTTTGTGTCGTTGTCATCAACAGCGCTATAACACTACCTTCAATATATATTTATGGTATACGTACGCATGTATATTCCTGTGATTAACAGTTAAGAAAAGTGTTCATCTCAAAAGTATTCCCGTATTAAGGAAATGAAGGGTTCCATGTCAGTTGGTAAAGTAATTTATATTTATTGTTTGAAACAAACGAGATTATTTATTGTTACGTAATGTACAATGTGTCGGTATACATACGACATATTTTATGTATTTAGCTGTGTATCTAATCTACCATGTGCAGTATATATCATTATTGCGACTGTATTACTTCAAACCAAATGTTTTTTTTCTGTGTATGCTTACTCTGAAATAATAAATTTTGTCCGTTTATAAAAAAAACTACGCATACTGGAGAATAATTAGGTCGAATCGCACTATTTTTCATACATTGTACTTAGTTTTGGGCACAGTGTAAATATATAAAACGATCAGGCAAACTGCATACAAATGATAGTCTGAATATTGATAAGATTAACATTGCAGCATCGAATACGCAATATGAACAAGATTAAACAAACTCGAAATGAATGAATTTGAGCATTGTTAATGGTCAATTCTTGTTGCAAAGGTCATGGATAAGTGATCAGGTATATTAGTAGCTGACTCGTATCAAACATGGAGACGGGAGTGGTGATCGCCCTGAGTTGTGTTGGAGGTGTGGTTTTACTATGCATTTTTGGACTTGCAATTTTCTTGTATTTCCGGAGGTTACTTCAACAAAAGAGCGTTGGAAGTAAGGGTGATATCGAGTGTGAAAATGTGGATACCAGTTTGGAAGGAATAACTCGGGTGGGCGTATCCGGTGATGTTACACTCCGCATAAATCAGCAGGTTTATTCAATATTCAAAGTTCTGCAAGGTTGTAAAATAATAAGTGTGTATAAATACAAATAATTGTAGGTTCTTAGTCATCAAGAGAATTCAAATAACTCAAAACCTTTAACAATAACGAGGTCTACTTCTCATTACGATTATCCTAAAAGTCCTAAATTATTTCCGTCCTCCCGACGCCCAGCCTCGTCTCCCGAATCATATGAAACGGATAATATTTATGAAAATATTCAACCGAGACGATCAGATCCTAGCCCATCAAATGATCAGTTTATACCTAACTCCGATACCACGCTAAAACTAGTATCAGTGGCAACGGCGTCGGTGCTTAGTTATAAAGATGTCGTATTTTCCGTTACAAGGGAAACCCCAACTACAGGACAACCTGAAAACCCAAAAAGTGTATCTCCACCCACGGGTCAATCATACCGTAATACCAAAGTTAGAAACCAACGCCACTCAAATAGAAGCTTACAACACCGTCCTGGTTTTAATTTCCCTTACAAAACATTGGTTATTGCGGCGGACGCCACACCGCGAAATATTGGAGGCTACGTTATCAACCACTTTTCGAAGCGTGTAGAATTTTACTCTGTCCCGGCTTCAAGAATGCCATGGATACTTCGAAACACAACGCGTAGTGGAAACCCGACCGAGTTTGAAATGAAAAATTTGCTATGTGCCTTACTCATTTGGGAAGAAAAAATTGTGAGGCATAGAAAAGTTGCAATTTTCACGGATAACTCTGCCATCATTGGAAACAGTTTGTACGGATCTCGAGTTCGCAGCTTTATTCATCATTTGCAAAGTTGTAAACAAGTTTTGCATGTGAATCCACGGTGGACTTTTTTGAACTCGAAGGAGAGTCCGGAAGTTTTCAATGAATTTATTGTGCCAGCAGATCATCTCTCGAGATTGAATGAACCCGAATTTCGAGCTCATATCATTTCCTATCATTATGATTTCCATGAGGGAGAAATTTCTCAATCGAATTTTAATGCCGTAATGACATCATTTTATAGAAATCTTTGTGATGCGTATGTACATTTTTACGCATCTAGTTACGTAATTCTGTGCCTTTTATTGTGTGCAGATTCGACAAAAAATCATGTATTGGACAAGAAACACGTGTCGGAGCTGTGGATTCCATATTCCACGCGCTGGATCGTTAAAGAAATCCATGATGCACTAATTATAATTCAGTTGTACATATCAGATCTGTATTTCCAAAGAATATGATATTATTTGATATAGATACAAATATTCGGCTGTGATTAATCAGACAAGGAGTACACAACAAGCGTCGTTGCTTATCTGGTGGCATTGACTTTGTTCCGCATGCAAATGCACTCAAAATGAACAATGAATCAATACTTGTTGCTTTGCAGAAGTAATGCTCTATGTGATGTCCGATTTTGCACCCGCAATGACCTGGACTTTCTACCTTCCAATAAATCGAAATTTGTCAAATTATTGAAATGATGATTTTTACACCTTTCAGTTCAATGACAGAATGTATTTATTGATTTTGAGTTTACATGCAGTGAAGTAAGGACTGAAAAAGAACAATACAAATATGTATACTGTGCACACCTGCGACATAATGTGATATTTCATTAATGTACATATTATGTAGACATTGCTGATTAAATCAATAAGATTGATGTTTATAAATAGTAAGCTGTTGAGCTCTGCCTTATCTTTCTTGATAAGCACAGTCAAACATCCTGTACAATTAATATAGCTGAATATTATTCCTGGTTACGTGAAATAAAAATTTCATACTGGCATTTGTGCAAGGCAAGATTTGCAAAATACTAACTTTCACCAGCAGCTCAACAAGTAATATGAAACAAAGTCAGCATAATGGACTACCAAAATATTATAATTGCTTCAGCAGTAACAGTAATTATATTAACGTGCATTTTAATTTGCATTATTGTCAGCCGAAAAAAGTAAGTTATGTTTTTAAATATATTTTTAATTTGGCATAAATAATCGTAAATAATTCAGGCGTTGTAGATGTTGTTCGTGGTCAGGAGATGACGATGGGAATTTAATTATTGACCATGAATCATCTCTGGGAAGTTGTTCGCCGGTGAGTAGACGAAGAACCAACGATGCAGTGACCACGGAAGCCTTACCTTCGTCGGTACTTGGAACACATATGTCTCATGTAAAATTTGAAACTTGGTGTTAATCAATGGGTTTCTCTTCCAGAGTAACTTCACCATCGAAAATATCGAACCTGAAGCTCGAAAGAAATATTATCGCCCAACTTACGCCAATTATGCTCATCGTAGCAGCAGCTTATCATCTCATGTGTCTGATGAAGTGACATCACAACCACGACAGACAGGTTTACCCTCGGGTTCTCGTGCACCTGTCGTGTCGTTGATCTCAAATAATGTGTATCATAACTCCGAATATAACTACCACCGTGAACAATGTCGAGTTACTGTAGTCAATGACTCTCGCCCCACTGACCACTACAATTCCGGACCATCTTCTACTCGCTACAACCTGTCCTCTCGTAATCCTTCAACGAGTACAAATAAGCTGACACCAACTTCAATAAGGAATCCAAATTCTTGTAGAGTTTTAGGCGAAAATTGTATAAATCGAAATAAAATTCGCAAACCGTGGAATCAAAGGAAACAACTTCTTGGCCGTAAAGCTACCTTATTAAGACAACCTTCTTCCAATGATGACCAGCTTAAGAACACAAAATCTTTGATAATTGCTGTGGATGCAACTCCATTTCACATTGGGGCCTATTGTATCGATCCCTTTCAAGAAATGGTTCACTACTACTCTGTGTCCTCCTCTAAAATGCCGTGGACCCTTAATGACAAAAAAGTTAATGGGAATTCGTCCGAATTTGAGATGAAAAATCTCATGTGCGCCCTCCTCATTTGGGCCGATCTGATGGCGACGTATAAGTTTGTGAGAATATACACGGACAATTCTGCCATAAAAGGAACCAAGTCACCGTATGCAAAGCGGATTCACAGATTTTTACACCATTTGGGAAATTGTGAAAATGCCGTTGTTCTTAACCCTTCTGAAATATTTTTGCATTCGAAAACTGACCAGGAAAAATTTCAGAAATATATTATTCCGGCGGATCACCTCTCAAGAAGACGAGAAGACGATTTCGCTAAGCATTTTTACCAGAGTAATTTGACCATAAGAAATTTTAAGCGGATCAATTTTTGGAGGGTATGAATAAAAGCAATGTTGATATGGAGTATAATGAACTGTAAAAATGTATTTATTGTTCAAAGGTTAAAAGACCAGTGGCAAAATGGACAAGACAAACCTGTCACAAATGTGGATTTTACATTGAACGAAGTGGATCCTTCAAAATATGACATGCTTGTCACAACAAAAATTGGAGATAGTAAAGATCAACGTTCGTATAACATTCACTTACAAATAACAAAGCGTATAGAAATTGAACACAGCGCAAAATGAAATTATCAACACTCGGTTTACAATATATACAATGGAAATCATGGTATTATGAAATATTAAAATTAAACACAATTATAATTTACAGAATTACGTATTACGTTTACCCATTTGGTATCATGTATCTCAAAATATTTATGGATTTACACGTGCCTGTCACGTAACAGTATGTATTTACATACATACGTACTCAGGCTGCAGTGGTTCAAACGCATGAATCAGCATTATTTTTATGGCAGTTAACTGAGAACCCAAAGCTGGAGCAATTTCCACCTCACGTTACTTGATTGACAGGTTAGAAAACGAAAATGTTAACATATTCGTCTGCAAATAATAAAGTAATACTTATTTATTGAGCAACACACAGTTTTTATTTGTCTACAAGCTTAATTAAAATACAGCTGCGAAAACTGATATTTGCAAAGCTGGACAACTTTATGCATATTCCCCACTCGCACCTTTTGCTGAATTCCATTGCGAATGCGGAGGGTGGATTGTCAATGATCTGGGATGAACTTAATCCCCATTGAGATATTTATGATGCCTTTATGCCGTATCATAAAGTCTAGCATTGTGATTAGGTTTGAAGGTCTATAATTATACGGTATCGTATTTTTTTCCACAGTTAGCATGCACATATGTAAAGACGTATGTAGCTAGTAGTAGGAAAGTGGCATCGATATACAATACGCATAATACAAATTTGAAAGGTATTATGCAGTCATATCTCATTACAAAATTTGTATAGCTTTAAACAAATGCACTGAGAATTAAATTTTGGGCTTCTGCTGTTGTCTCGCACATGAAGCTGCAGCCTTCAGCAGAACAGTCTCTAATTTCTGATAGCTGCAAACAAGCCATTATTAAAAGAAACCTGTTTTCCTTACGAAATTGAACGGGCTTTTACACTATTAATTGCAAAGTATTTGCATTTTTATTGTAATTTTTAGGGTAGCTGCATATGTAAAAAAGAATTTTAATCATGGTACAAATTTCCATGAAATCAGTGTTAAGGTGTATTTTAGTGATTTTAATACTGCAGTGTTTCCAACAAGTTGTCGTCATTGCGCAAAATGAGAATGAAATGTGCAAAACTGGAAGACCAAACATTATCTTCATCATGGCGGATGATGCGGTACTGGACACTGTTAAAATTTTGTGGAGTAATTTATAAATTTTAAACACACAAATCTTACAGGGATGGAATGACTTCAGTTTTCATGGCTCTCCGCAAATTCCCACGTGAGAGATAATTAATAAGTGTTAAATAACTTGCAGCCTTGAAGATTGTACGGTTATGATTTTTTGTGTAGCCCAAACATTGATGCTCTCGGATTATCGGGAATTGTATTGAACAATTATTATGGAAGTCCGCTATGCACTCCGTAAGATTCGTTATACGTATAATCATACAATTCCCATAATAATGAATAATTATGTTAATGTTCATAAAAATTCTTGTATGTTAAAGAACACGTGGGGCTGTGATGACAGGGAAGCATCCCATCCACTTGCGTAGGTCTCAATTTTGAAACCTTAAATCATAAATTTTTTATATTCTGCCTGGGAATTAATTTTGAACAAAATAATGATTAAAACTTAAAATCGTGAACAATACACATTTAATTTGTCGAAGAACATTAAAAATTTTCTAAACTGCAGGATTGCAGCATTACGTGGTTATGGGTGGGTCAGCAGAAGGCCTCCCACTTACGGAGCGTATTCTCCCCGAATACTTGAAAGAAGTTGGCTACTCGACCCATCTCGTTGGCAAATGGCATCTTGGTCACTCTCGAAAGGCGTACACCCCCACGCAGAGGGGGTTTGATTCACATTTTGGCTATTGGTTGGGCAAGCAGGACTATTACGATCATTTCTCCAACGATGGGGTGATTATTAAACATGTGATATTTAGATATTTATAATTTGCATGTAAACTTAAAAATTTTTAATATCTTTTAGGGCCAATGGGGATACGACTTTCGAAGCAACTTATCTCTTCATTTCCAAGTCATGGGAAGATACGAGTAAGTTCTTCAGCTATAATGTTAGAATTTCATAAAAAATGATAAGTTGATAAACTGGGAATCACATTTTTGCTCATATTTTAGTACAGAATTATTCACAGAACAAGCAGTTCGCTTAATTGAAGATCAACCAAAAGACAAGCCGCTGTTTCTCATGATAAACCATATTGCACCCCACTCCGCAAACGGTAATGGACCTGATCCATTGCAAGCTCCGAGAGAAAATGTGGACAAATTTAACCTCACGATTCAAGATTCGAGAAGAAGAGCATATGCAGGTAGATTACTGAATTTGCAATTCGCCTTAAGGCTTACCCTCACGCTCGGAGGAATCGAAACGGGAGTAAAATTCCAGTTTGATCCTTCTCTCTCTCGCTTTGCGTAATGCCTTGTAGTGCCTATCTCGGAACTTCGCATCGACCCTGTGGGGGGGAGTAGTCGACCTCAGGGAAATGCATCCCCCGGTCTTTAGAATTTCGTTTTCTGCGTCTGATGGTATTTTTTTCAATTTTTTTGGACTGGCGCAAGGTACACTTATGCCCCTTACCAGTCTCCATAAGATTATCTCACTTGATGGTAAGGGGCATAAGTGTACCTTGCGCCAGTCCAAAAAAATTGAAAAAAATACCATCAGACGCAGAAAACGAAATTCTAAAGACCGGGGGATGCATTTCCCTGAGGTCGACTACTCCCCCCCACAGGGTCGATGCGAAGTTCCGAGATAGGCACTACAAGGCATTACGCAAAGCGAGAGAGAGAAGGATCAAACTGGAATTTTACTCCCGTTTCGATTCCTCCGAGCGTGAGGGTAAGGCTTAAAAATTAGCGTGCTAAAATATTACATTTTTTTTATCAACAGCAATGGTGGACAAGTTGGACGAATCTGTTGGCCACGTTGTCGATGCATTGGCAAAATCCAACCTCTTGCAAAACTCGGTGATAGTATTTGCAAGTGATAATGGAGGTTTGTCGAGTTGAAAAAAAAATTATTCGTGATTCTTACCATATTAATAATTGTCGAGCTAATCATAATTTCAGCCGCCCCAGACGGTTTTGACTTGAATTACGGATCAAACTGGCCATTGCGAGGAGTCAAAAATACTTTGTGGGAAGGCGGCACACGCTTGTCTGCCCTCATTTGGAGTCCTTTCATTCAAAATCGTGTTTCATACGACCTTCTTCACGCACAAGATTGGCTTCCAACCATTTATGAAGCTGCAGGTAATGTACAGTTTTCGAAACTGTTCAAATATGTAAATGTTCTATCAATGATAAATACTAAATTTGCATATTAAATAGGATGCAATCCTTCAAAGTTCCACAATATCGACGGTGTAAGTTTATGGAAGACTTTTACTGATGGGACTGCATCCCCTCGTAAAGAACTGCTTTACAACATTGACGACATTTACAACAACTCAGCCATCCGACACAACGAATGGAAATTAATTCAAGGTGGGTCGTCAATAAAATTGTGCGTGGTTCATAATATTTGATAAGTTTCCTTGTCATCAGGCAACATATCCACCAACGACCTCGGGGGTGGAGTTTGGGACGGATGGTACGGTCCGACAGGCAGGAGTGAGTTCAGATCCGTCCACGACCTAATTCCCGAAATCATGAACAGCATGGCGGGTCAAGCATTGGCGTCGGCTGGCTTCGTTATGAACGAGACCAAGCTGGCAGAAATGCAGAGGGGGGCCGAAGTTGGGTGCAATCCCACCATGGAGCAGAGACAAGTTACCTGCGACCCTTACAGCGGGCCGTGTCTTTTCAACTTGGAGGCAGACCCATGCGAACAGCGGAACGTGGCGGATAATTATCCCGATATTTTGGAGCTATTGAAAGAAAAGTTGGCCGCGCAAAATGCCACCGCGCTGACGCCAATGCCTCGATTCCGTGATCCAAATGCTAACCCAGCCAAATGGGGGAATGTTTGGGGTAACTGGCTTGATAACTTGGAATCCGGTACGAATCCTGACTTTCCGAACATTTGTGGAAATAGTGGAAATATTTATGGAGGTCAATTTGTTACAACCATGTTGCCAATTTTATTAATTGCTAAAATTTTGTATTTGTAAAATTTTAAATTATTTATTATGATTTTGTCCAAAGTATATATATATACATATTTCTTTATTAAATCGGGTATTTATTTATTATTTTATTTATTGAGAATCCAGAATTAGCATAAATGAAATTATAATGTCGATATTTTATTATATAATTATTTTAAATATAGTTTTTTCGTACATGAATTTTTGACTTATTTTCCTTTGGTGACAAAACGTCTGCTGAATCATTACCCAAAAATAGAGCACTATATGCCCTGTATCCTGCATGTACCCTGCATTTATCTCCAAATTTATAATTAATATAATAATTCGTTCAGGAGTGGGTCGTGAAAATCAATGTGGCACTTATCATTGAAATAATCCGAGCCTTTCGTTGTACACAATTAAACTGATCAACTCTGCATATGTAAAATCTTAAAATATGTGTCAAACATACATAACATTGTAAATAAAATGATTTCAATTTTGTATATGCAAAAACGTTCATTTGTGTTCAAACGTTGTAAATACATACAACTGAATTGATTGTAAATATCATATTTTGTGGTTGTGCAGCAAGAGGCCTTCATAACAATAAGGACCCGTCCTTGAATGTCAAATACCTAAACTTGAAAATCTCACCTGGCCTTCACCTTCACCTGTAACTTTTACCTCAAGTCTCTTGCATACACCGTCCTTGACTGATTATGAGAAAAATGAACCTGACCCATATTCATGCATGAATCTTGTTATGTCATTCGACCACCATGTCCATGCAGGAAAGTAAAAGCCCGAATATTTGTACCTTTTTACCTTCGTCCAATAAATTCACAAGATTTTTCAAAATGGGCTGCAATATACTCAAAGATTTCTTCAAGGACGGATCAGTGATCAGTGTTCCTCTTAAACATTCACATAAAATCGCAGAATTATCATGTTCTTTAAAACGGTAAGAACGTAACCTCAACTTGAAAGTAGTTTAGAGTTTACAACATTAAATACGTTAAACATTAAAATAATCTTCCAGAAATCGGTGTACCTTCTGCTGGCCATTTTGGAGGCATTGTTTTCGGTGGCGTGGTCCAACGTGATCTATCTCAGGCCGAGGGCCGAGGTACAAAGGCAAGAATTTGATGGAAGCAGTGCATTGTTGGGTGGGTTGGTCGGAGGTGGAATAGGAGGCGCAATAGGAGCTGCCATGGGAAGCGACACGGGAAAGGTCATTGGGGCATTAGGCGGCACACTGGGTGAGACAAGTAACATTAAAATTGGTGGAAATATAGTGAAATGAAATAATTGCTTTGCTGTTATTGTGCAGGAGGTGCTGCTGGAGTTTTGCAGACGGATTCGAGAAATGGGATTGCTGCTTTCGGAGGAGCGGTCGGTGGAAACTTGGGAGCGGGGATTGGTGGGTCCTTGGGGGCAACAGTGGCGGAAGGGACGAGCGCTTTGGTGGGTGGTGGACTTGGGGGTGTCGCTGCAGGTTACGATTATTATTTTTACTCTTTTTTTACTATTCTTGTTTGTAGTATCAGTTTTTAAACTTTCATACGCATGTTGTTTTTGTCAAACTTTAGGATTAGCTGGAATGTCTTTAGCCGGGCCACCGGGAATGGTAGTAGGTGCGTTGGCTGGTGTCGGAGCAGGCGCATTTTTCTCCCAGGTTGTTGTCGGGCCGTTGATGGGAATCATAACGGGAGGGCTGCTGGGAGCGGTGGGAGGAGGTTTGGGGTCGTATTTAGGCGCAGTCGGTTTGGACATGGCTCATGTTGCTCTGCTCAACAATCAACAACAACCCGGACAAATGCCACCAATTCAACCTTACTAACAACATTTGTAATTAATTGTTACCTAATCGCAAATAAAAAGCAAGTAAATAGTCTAAATCTAAACAATGAATTTCTGCAATATCTAAAATATTCCATAAACTGAAAAACATTTAAACCGTTCCATGCAATAAATTTCCCATTCTGTTAAGTCAACAGATCAAGTTTGGAATGGAAGTACTTTAGAGATTGCGTAAATTATAGGAAAAATATTAATTGTGGCTTCAAAAAAAACTGTAACAAGCACCACCATTGAGACGACAGCACAATGAGTGCCGACAATATTTAGTATAAATTAATTCATACGAAATAATAAAAAGCGTCAATCCAATGTCAAATAAAATGCCATAAATACTCGAGTATGACGACGATAAAGAATTGAATGCCACATCTGCCAGTAGTGTGGCGAGCATATAATTGCCTGATTAATACGAATTGCATTCAATAATTCCAGTAAATTCCAACGCCAATAAATTACAGTCAAAGGTGAGCCGTGACTGATAATAATAATAATGCGGTGTTCGACAACAACATGTCTGCGTCGAATTCGCTCATCCCTGAACTCATCAGAGGTCTACTTGTCATCAGGTCGCAGTAATCGAAAGCATTTCTCTATCCGCCGATCCGATCGAAATACGTTGAAATACACCCAAAGGGCCAATAAGAAAAGGGAATGTGGATACCTTTTTTACTTCTGGGTGGCTGGTCACTTTTAGGCATCGCTAATGCCCAGACTGCAGGATGTGACATTTACCACGAGTTCAAGTCCGCCGGACAAAGTGCGACGCTTCAATCTCCAGGATATCCATCATCTTATCCTCCCAATACGGAATGTAGGTACACAATCACCTCCCCCATTGACACCCAGATGACCATTTCCTGCAACGAGTTCAACGTGGAGGCCTCCACCAATTGTGTTTACGACGTTCTATTTCTTTCGCCATCAGGAGACTCGACCTTCAAGTTTGTTTAATCTTGTTCACTAATTATCATTGCATTACACAAATTACACATCAGAAAAGCTGACTAACAAATCTTGTTACTTCGTTTGTTGCTACTGAATATGTATGAATGAAATTATAATTTCCCTTGAAAATAGAGACCAAGAATTTTTCTGCGGTCAAGGATCGTGGACAAGAACTTCATCCGCTAACCGTTTTGCGATTGGTTTTCACTCTGATAGTTCAAACCCCACGTCATCACAGCCCTACAGATTCCAATGTACTATCACCGTGGTGGAGAAAGTCCAACCTAGTTGCAATTGTGGGCAGAGCAATAGTGGGGTTAGCCAAATAAGCACAATACTGATAAAAATTGTTGAAATGTGCAATTTAAAAAGTAACACGTGTATAAATATACGACAGATGTCTCGCATAGTGGGAGGATCTAATAGTGCCATCGGTGAATTTCCTTGGAGGGTTTCTCTCTACTCTGTGAAGTTGGGAGTCTTTTGCGGAGGGACAATCATTTCGAATAACTTTGTCCTTACAGCCGTAATACTTGGACTTCTAAAGGAATATGTAATGCAATATGTATTCGATAAAATTCTCATTTTTCCAGGCACATTGTACCAATTCAGTGGAACCTGGAGACACAATTTATGTAAATGCTGGCGATTACGACCTGAGCAGTTCGACGGATACGCAGAACCAACTTATTCCCGTGGACTATGTGGTCCAAAATACGATGTACAACGACCAAACACAGGATTCAGACATATCGCTTTTGCGACTTCAAACCCCACTTGTCTACAACTCTAATGTCAGTTTTGGTGGTTATATTTGCATGCATACATTTAAGTACCAATGAGATTTTAAGTAATGGATTTGGTCAGGTGGGGCCAGTATGTCTTCCTTGGAACTACATCAACACGGATTTCAATGGCAAACTGGTGAGCTTGTTAGAGCTTGGTGCTGGGAGCAGATATGCAGTCCGGGGCTCATTTACATGTTAAATTAATTAATCGTTAATAAATAAAATAATTTATCATAAAAAGGTGACGGCATCCGGTTGGGGGAGTAAGTAATTGATCAACAGAGTAAGAAAATCATATACAATGTGAAAAATCTGGTGGTTTTTTCAGCTCAGTATTTTGGTGGTGGAATATCTCCAACCCTGAAAAAAGTTGAGATCCCGGTCCTTGAAACACAGCCATGCGCTGATAAATATGCTGGGACCCACATTACCATAACAAACAATATGATCTGCACCTATTACCCTGGTAGAGACACTTGTCAAGGTACATAAAGATGCACTCCATGACTAGCTTAATTATCTTATCGCAGTTAAGATTTTGGTGTATGAAAACTATTTGGTAATCAGGGGACTCTGGAGGCAGCATTGACTACAAGAATACCACTACAGGACGCTGGACTGCGATAGGCGTAACTAGTCAAGGAATCAGTTGTGGTCAAGCAGATCAGCCAGGAGTGTACTCGAAGATTGTTCGCTTTCTAACCTGGATACAGGGAAATACAGGTGACTAAAATGACTTATGTATTTGTCTTTATCACTTTGTTAAGATCGGTTTATGAGCGCATACATTAATTCTGATACAATTACAGGGGAGTCCTTCTGTAAGGCTTAAGTCTCTGGTACTACACGTTTCTAGAAATAGTAAACTCTTTTATGACTGAACACACCAAAATACAAATTCAAATATGTATCCGCTTCCAATTTTCATTTATGTACATATTATTGACCTACCAATAGCAAAATGCATAAATACGTAAATTTTATGTTCTAAATTTTATTCACCAGGTAAAACTGAATGTTTCTACAAATTATAGTTAAATAAATAGAACGACAATGCAAAATTTTAAAGCTTGGAGTTCTAAATGGACCGTAAAGTTTCTTGAAAAATAAGTCCTCAAATAGTCAAACGAACTTAACTAAAATAAATAAATTAGATTTCACAAAGTGAAAAGAAAGACTTATCAACCATATTTATTGAAATACTCAAATGCATAAGCAATTATTTCCCCTTATTCAGTTAGCATTCGGCAGCTTCAGCACCTAGAGGCCAGAAATTGTAAATAAAAAAATATTTAGTAACCACCGTTAAAAGGTTTAAAGTTTGATTTTGTCACCTGGTGGAAGAAGGCTTTTCTTTCCATTCAAGATGATGTTAGCTACATGAGAATATTTCGGAAAGTGAGGATTTCGAATTCTGCAAATGTCTGCGACAAGACTTCCAGGGTCCGATTGAAAAGCGGAAATTGAAATTGGACACCGCTCGAAGTTTCTATTGGCTGGGAGCACGAATCCGTTTTTGGGATGGATAAGGTCTTCGTTAAACCGTTTCTGTAAATAGCCATCTCTTGGGCGAGGAATTATGCCAATCCAATTAGCGAAAGCGTCTTCTTCTTCAGGCGTACCAAAGTACAAAGTCCCTCCACATAAGGACAGGGGAGGCAGCAAGGCATCCCAAGGATCATGTGTGGAATTGGATGACGGCAACGTTAACCGTGGATTATCAATCAGAATGCTTTGATTTGACAAAATCCTCGCGTTGTATTGGTGTAACGTGGCTTTGAACGTATTTCCTTCTTGGAAATGCGATATGAGCTCATTTGCTTCAAACGGACTGATTGCTAAAAGTATGGCCGTGTTGGACGAGTTTCCTCCCAATTTGACAATCCAGTTGACGGGACGAAGAAAGCCTGTGGTTGTGTCCCGTGCAGATTCACGTATCACGGTTTTTTGAAAATCTCCAGTGCAAAACACCCAATCTCCCCAGCACTCAGGTTGTAATTTGTCCTTTACAGTGGTGCAGCTGAAGACCTCAGCAATGTCGAAGTGGTCCAAGTCCTCTACTATTTGCCCTTTGCATAATGTTTGAACCAACGCGTTTGAAACCGTGGGTTCATAAGGGTTCGCTCTTCCTGGTAATTGTCTCTCGCTCTCTTGCTCAATCTCCTTTTCCAATTCCCTTTCTTGTTCTTCGTCTAAGCGTTGAGAAAAGTGAAGTTTGTTCGGAATTATCTTATGAATCCGATCCCTGCACAATTTCTCTATTGCATCGAAATTCGTTTTTAATTGGTGGTCAGTATCAGCGGGTGATGATATTTTAGTGAGGTCAGACTTGGCCGCTTTGAACCACATTGGAAAAATTTCGATGAACGGGGATTCGTTTCTGGCATGACAATATGTGTCGATTAAGCTCACTATTTCAGCCTCTGAACACTGTTCTCCAAGTTGGCGGAACTTGGTCTCTTCTTCGCCTACACACATAAAAAAAGACAAGTAATCAGGATGTACATACGAGACTTGAAACAAGAACGTAACAGACTGATTTTTTTTAGAATAACGACAATATTTAATTACCTGAAAATCCTGTAAAGATAAATTCTGCACCTCGTTTTTTGCAATAATTCACTGCAGAATTAGTCCAATAGATCATTCCGTCCTCCTCAAATTTCTTGCTGTTGCTTTGAACCCAGTTCAGAACCTCTTGTCCTCCAATGTTCTCAGACTCGGAAAGAGACTTGATTTTGCTATGGACTTCATTCGATGCCCAAAATGTTACAAAATGGCCACGCCCCAACATTCTCATTCTCATGCAAGCTTGCACCATTTTGTCTCTCGTCAGTCCACTTCCAATCGTAACGGCTGCTCGAAATCCTTGAGGTAATTTTAAATCTGTTCCTCGTGTGTGTTCGTCATCCAAGTAAATTCCACAGACGTCGAGTCTTTCTCGGAATGGAGAGAGTTCAAAAGGACAATCATTTCCATCTTTATTCTTCACGGTGAGAACGTTTTTCATGTTGAAAAATACGACTGCTTCGAGAGCGGGGTCAATTTCGAGCCACGCAAATGCAACTTGATCATTATTCAGTTGCAGCATGAGAGCCCCACAATCCAGCAGAACTTTTATTCCAGAGTCTCGTAGTTGTTCCAAGATATGTTTGGATGTAATCTTTTTGTCGCTTGGAAAATGTCTGTAAAGCATTTCGGGCCTTGTGAGAATTGTTTCTAGCTCTCGATTTGTATTCTCCAACTGAGGAAGATCGTTTTGGGAAATTAAGGCTGGGAGTAAATTTTGTGAGTCATTTGTGCCCGAAAATCCTGTTGTCAATCGTTTCTTATTTTCAGACACTAGGTCCCACGAAGTGCAAGTCATTTTCCCCTCAAACTGCTTTGATTCTTTGGGATAGACAAATTTTGCCAACCAGAAATCAATGACTGCCATTGATTTTTTCAGAATTGGGAAGAGATGTTTAGTTCGTTGTTCATGGTCTTCCAAGTTTATTCCATTATAATTTTGGACCGAGGCGTGGATTTTGTTGGGAGGAACGTGCTGTATCGCTCATATTCTGATGTAGGATTAATATGGAATTTGGATTTTAGGTAGTCGAAACATTCCATTAATTGAGAATCAGAGAGGCCGGAGTAGTAGTAACTAATTTGTGTCAGAATTATGGCCATGTCTGGATGGCCAAACTCGGTCCTTTCACTTGCTACATCTTTCGCTTTAAATGGAACGGCGAGTTTTCGATGACCTTTCGGATTGACGCCATAGTTTACTCTCCAGCGTTTTTGCAGAGCAGATTCGAGAACCCCAAATCGTAGATAACCAGCCAAAATTAAAAGTATTGCCTGCTTCTCGGTATCTTTAACGCATGGAAAGCTCATAACACGTTGAATATCCTTAATTGTTATTCTATTGTCGGTCAGAAAGGCTTTAATGAGCGGTTTTTCATGAGGCTGAAGCTCTGCAAATCCAATTACATTTCCATTTATGAAGTCATTAGCCAATCAATTCTGGATACACGTCAGATCTCAGTAGACAAAATGGAAATATGGATGAGTTGGCAATATCTTCCTCAAAATACTCGATAGCTGAATTGCCAAACTCATTAAAAAGACTGAGGATAATTTTGGGGAGGCGTTTAAGTAGATTCTGAATAACTTCCCAGCGGAGATTACCACCGCCAATTGTAACTTGACTGCCCACGGTATAAATTAGCTGATATTTGACTGACAGAATATCGTCAGATTCATCAAGGATATCTCGCGAATTGGTGTCCAATAATTTTTGCAGGTCTACTATAGCGGAAGCCAATTGGGTGTTACCTTTTCTTGCAAATTCGTAGCCCTTTAGCTGAAACGAGAGGCGGTATTCGGGTAGAGTGACGACGACCCCTTGCTGTTGCATGCACTCAACGTAAGCAGATTTGATAGCAGCTGTGAGGCTGAGGTCAAAATCAACATCTCGGCGACATGGAACTACGTATATTCTTCTATTTAGGAGTCCACCCAGCGTGTGTCTTAAGGAATTTACATTGGTCTCAAAAATGGACTTGATGACAGTCACGCGACAGATTTGTTGACCATTTGCAATGGAAGCTGCCAACATGGGGACGATGAGTGACGTTTTCCCCTCACCCATATTCAACTGCAGGACGCTGTTCGAAGCGGTCGAAGGATTCAACATTTGTCTTGCAACCTGTAGAAAAGCGTGTTTATTTAGTATTTTACAATTATTTCACCTCAACTCAACGCTTACATATAATCATGGTTTATCGCATGAGTATAAATTTTACGTGATTATTATGCTCCACAATAAGCATACTATACATTCTTAATTCTTTTTAGACATATACCAATAAAAAGATTAATGCATTACAATTTTAAAAATTTCCAAAAAAAGTGATGCTATTTAAGCTAATAACATTACGAGCCAATTATTATGGCCAGTGATTTGCACTGTCTTTGACGCATAGTAAAAAGATCAAATTACTTTTGTCAGAAATTTCTAAAACCGTCAAAAAATGTATTTTTAAAATAACTTTACGAAGTATATTTGGTCAAGAATGATTCAAGGATCAGACTGAGCTGCAGTGTAAAATTGTTTAATATTACTTATTCTTATAATATTTAGGAACTGTGATCAGTTATTCTTTGGCATTTTCCACACGTACATTTTACGTTCAGAATGTTGGAAAAATTGAGAAAAGCAACATAACGAACCTTCACTTGAATTGGCCTTATGGTCATGTTCAGCTCCAACTCGAGTAATAGCCATTCTGAGTTTTTCCGAGGACACCATGATTTGAGACCTTTGGTTTCTTCCTCCCTTTGCAGAGAAACTTCCATGGATGGACCTGCCTTCATAAAGTTGACGCATCGTATCATCTTCTGCTCAAGGGTCCAATAAACGCACAAAGCTCCCACCATATCCTGAATCTTCTGCAGTTTCACTCCCCAAGATTTTTCGGTTGAGGGAGGAACATTTTTCCACAAAAGTATTGGGAGAATAGTAGAAGGAACAAGTCGTGGGAAAAGTCCAGCAGCAATAAGCGAGTCGATGCCGAATAATGAGCTGCTCAATACAGTTCCAAGTTTTTTCCATATCGATCTTGACTGAATTTTGATAACTTGGAGCTGCTTAGAAAAATCTTTGGTTGACGTAAAATGCTTGGCACTGTAGTCCATGGAGTCCGAGCCCACTTGGTCATAGATTAATGCTTCCATTTTGGTATCCAGTTGGAGCAAAATTGAAGATCGATTGATTATCGAAGCTAAATCCAAGGTATCAGGGCGAAAAGGAGGCATTTCGGTCACGTTGGAAAGTTTCGCAAACCTTGAGAATATCAATTGGTTTTGAACTGGGTTGTTTTGAATTGTTGATTGCATTATAGTTTCAAATTTCTCAAGAAATTCATCCAATTTTGAATTGTTATACCATTTCTTGATTAGGAGATTTATTTCATCCTCGGCGACACCAAGGTTTACTTTAGATCCGTATGACCTTTGTATGCTTATGCTACTTGTGTGCCGAGGTATCCACTGGGCTTCTACATCCAACGAAATTCTAGAAATTTCAGATGATAGTTCGTTTTCATAAGTTTTCTCAGCCTCTTGTTTTTCCCTGTATGTGGTATATCCATGTCCTTGAAAAGCAATCGGATTTCCTTCCAGAATCTTTGTTACTTCTGTAATAGAAAACTTGCTGCTTGGATTTTCATACGATTCGATTGCTGGGGGCTGAAGCACTTGAAAACTTTCGAAATGCACAGCAATATGTTGCAAAATTCTGATGTGTTCCATATCAGCGCCAACAAATACCAGAGATGTAAGAATCACAGACCACCATGGTCGCAATACTTCATTTTGCCCTACTAAAATTGCTAGTTGATAGAGATCCATCCAGGAATTGCGTAAATCATCAAATTGTGCCAGGCATTTGACAAAATTTGGGATCTCAAAACTTCCATTTCTATTCTTAGGCATGGCCCAGACATACCCCGTCAATTTTTCGCCGTAAATTAATAGCTCTCGTGGTAGCTTGACCGAAGAGCCAACGTAAGAATGCCAATGTTGGCAGAGATAACTTAGCTCCCTTACATTTGCACTGACGAAGTCCTTGTTATCCAGCAGGGTTCGTCGTTCGTAAGTCACTGGGGATGGAGGGCTGGAGAGCGTATGAATGTGAAGAACAGAATTATCCAGCGGATATTGTCTCCAATAATGCCGATAAGTGAGAAATGGGTCAGTGGTAATGTCCCTGGTAATTTTTCCACCCTCTGAAAAGAGCTGTGTCAATTTTTGAGAGTCTTCAATCAAACGGTCAACAATGATGGAAAATCCCTCGTGTGCACAAGTTGACGGCAGACCAGGTGGCCAAGTGATTTTCTGTTGACATTTTAAATGCGTGGGATAATATCCTCTAATCGGAGACAATTCAGATATCATTTTGAGAATAGCGTAGCATTCTTCGTCGTAAGGTTGGCACGACCATACTCGAGCGGATTCGAGTATTTGGAACGCCATTTCAGTTCCTGTCACACCGGTGAAGGGATCAGTGAGTGGGGAGGACGTTGTACCGTGAAGAGCCGCAAGATACAACCACGAGGATTGACTCGCCACACCTTGCAGCATCTTTTTGTAGTGGTCCATTGTGTAAACAAAGAACGCTGGACTTCGCAAGTTGCCAAGGTCGACTGTGACCATTTGATGGAGTGTAGTGCAATCTGAGACGGTTAAATATCCGTGAGGAATGACTACCTTTCTTGCAGGTTCGATACCATCGGCTTTATTTTCCGACTCGACGAGCACCAATTTATTCGAAAGTCCCACAAGAGTTCCAATATCTTGGTCCATATCAATATGCATTCCAGGAAATTCTCGAGAAAACAACTTGTCCTCATTTCCCAGGAAAAATTGTAGTTCTAATTGTGTCAACTCGACCTCAATTAAATCATTTTCTGTTATCCAAGCGTGAATATTGGTAGTAGGCTCAATCCTCTGCAAATCGGTACACAAATTGCTGAAAACGCCGCAATGTATCGAGATGAATTATCTAGACGTAAGAATTTCACGAACACAAGCGGTGTCGAGATTCCATTCGTATTTAACATCTGCAAAGTTTGGCATGTCAAAATGAATAGGACGGAAGTTGACAATGTTTGTTTCCGAGTTCCACCAGTGGGTAAAATTTTGGCTGAATGAGGATGGAAAATCATTTTCCAGTAACGAATGTGAGAGTAGCTCCGTGGTCTGAAACTTGCCATTGTTGTTCGACAGCTCCTTGATTATCAAATTTTGATTTTGCATATAAAATTGATAAGTGCAGTTTTCGTAAGTCGTAGTGGTCGACAAGACAACAGTTCCCATGTTCATATTTGGTTGTACGGTAAACTCTGCTTTTTGGAAGACACGTTGATAAATTGGGCTTCGCACAATATTTTCCGGGAGACGACTGACAGGGAGTCCGTCGACAAGAAATCTTCCAAATATTACGTCCAAAAAGATATGATGCACTGTTCCATCCGGCTGAACTGCTTTGGAGCATTGGTAGATCTGGGGATTTTGACACTTTGACCATCTACTGGGAAATGATGGCGAAACTTTCCAATTGAGACGTGAAAGTGCTCCAAATGCGTCATCTTTATTGTTAATTCCATTTATTGCTGATTCTAAGGATAACCCGATGTTGATTGAGAGGCGTAAAAGAGATCGTTGAAGTGGTGTGATGCCAAGGACTTTCACTCGACCTTCAAAGTTCCAATAAACTTCGTTGTAAAGCAAGATTATTCGACACTTTATCAGTCTATAAGGGAGAAGCGTTACCTAGATACTTAATGTCAAGCAATCGTGGTTGTAAAGGGTTGACATCGCAATGAGCCAGTGGAGAAGGTCATCCGACGTTGTCATGACTAGATCCACGTGTTCTGGGCTCACGTAGAAGGTCAATGTTGCTGCAAGAGCAGATAAAACCAATTTCATCTTCAAAGTATTTTTTTCCGATTCAGGGGCAGCGTAGGCTTTTGCAAGTAATCCTTGAAGCTTAGAAATCCAACTGCAAGCAATTTTCCTACATTTTCTTAGAAAACTGGCGACGTTTTGCTTAAGATTAAATTTGTAATCTATGGTTCCAATTTCAAGGAGGCGGCCCGCAATTGCTACAAGGCTGCAAAGTGTGTATGGATCACTCCATTTCTTTTCATTCGAATCTATCTTGTCCTCCAATATTTGTAATATTTCTGTGGCGAAGATAGTGTCCGAGAGACCTTGATGAGCTTCTCTCACTATCCCATCTGAAGAAGTGGACTTGCCGTATTGGAACTGAGATTGACATATTAACATGAAAACTTCTTCTGCTTTCCAGGACAGGCTATCGTTTGTTAAAGCAAGCACAATATTTCTGTACTGAAGTCGGTGACCAGAACGAAGTGACCCAAACTGGACAAATTCCGTAATGGACAAATTAGGTGGGCATTCGCACTGTCTGGCTAAAACTTCATTTGTGTTATGACTTGTCCAATTGACGGCCCATTGCATTCCTTTATAATTTGAGTTATCATCCGAAATGAGAAACGTGCATCGAGTGTCAAAGTCAGACTTTGATCCTAATCTCGAATTCCCATGATACTTATGGTTGAGTCCATTTTTTAGGATGAAATGCTCGTTTGATCTGGTCACTGGAATGTTTTTGTTGTAATGGGCCGAAGCTGAAGTCTTTGTTGTGCTACTCAATTTGAAGTTAGTCTCTGTATCATTGTTGTATTGACTTACAAATGCTGAGGAGACCCAGGTTCCTACAATTCCCTTCAAATGCAACCAAGGCTGGTTTAAAATATCCACTTTGAAGAAGTAAAGCACATCTCGTAAAATTGCTACTTCGTTCGGAATTTTCAGTTCAAAGACAACAGCGTATTGTAGAGTTTGAGAGCAAGGAAGTCGTTTTTCATATGGACCGACTGAAATCAGCTTGTATTTCAACTGTTCTTCAAGGGAGCATTTCTTGCACCCTCCCGAGTGAACGTCTCGTTCCTGATAAGAGTCGTAGTTATATTCGTGTTGTAGCCTCGCAATCTGGGTTTCAAGATTTGTGCATTCTTCACGGACTTGAGCGAGTTGGGCATATTTGCTGGAAGTTTCTTCTTCAATCATTTTCAAAATTTCCTGACGCAAGTTTTCCATTGGCTCCGACTGTTCTGCGAATCTTACAGCAAACGACTTTTCCGAAAGGACATCTTCTTCTATCAAGGACGGGAACTCTGTAGCATTTCCAGAATTTCTATTCGAAAAGTACATAAACAAGTCGTGTGCGATTTGCATGTCGCACAATCTAGGAAGGACGAGTCTGTCCATGAAATGCAGATCAACTCCAGAATTATGCTTGGCGTAAGTGGGATATTCTGTTGAGGCAATTTTATCGAGTACCTGGATGCATTTAAGGACGGTTAATACGAGTCTACTGTTTCCAATCGGGTCATTCCGGTAATGTTCCATCGCTTTTCTTGAATATTCGTAGGCAAGTGACTGAATTCGTGAAGAGTAATTCTCACTGCTAAAAAATGTCTCCAAGTGCAGTCTAATCCAGTTCTCAATTTCCCAGAGTTCGAAATCTGCTTCATGCCATTTCGAGGAATTGTTGACCGATGGGAATGTTTTTGAAAAAAGTCGGTCGGGGCAGTCCGGAATCGGAAGTTGAATAGTGCTCTCATTCATGTTATTTGTTATCTGTCTCATTTGAGTTTCCTGTGTCAAGGTTGGACAAATTTGCTTCAACATTACTGCCCTACTATTCTTAGTTGAAACCATGCTATGATGTTGTGTTTGTGAATTGAGTTTGATCGAAGTGATTAGCCATTGTTCTCTTAAGGCTTGGTTTACTTGGTTTAACACAGAAGTAACCCTCTTCTCAATCCAAAGTAAAGCGTCATCCACTAATCTTCCCTGCGTGCAATTTATGGAGTTGAGCTTGATCAGTCGCCGTGAAATTTTTCTCATCATCTGAACCTTCTTATCAGTCCCATGGGAGGAATATTTCTCGATGGTGAGATTTTCATGAAAATGTTCTAATGCTTTCGTCATTGCAAGAAGCATGACACATTTGAAAACAAAAATTCCATATTCCAACCCTAATTCTTTGATGAGGCTGAGCTGCAGAACTACTTTAACAGTAGTCCATAGCCCACTTCGTCTGAATGGAACGCCAACATTATTTCCCAAAACAACGTCATCGCGAATCTTCTTACGGATTTGGGGAAAGTCATGATATGTTTCTGAATTCTCGTTACACAAGAGGTGCGTAAGCCAGTCCGTGACGAACATTGGGTCAACGACATCGCGCGTTTCTTCAACCTTCTTCCCTGCTTTAGTCGCTTTTTCTTGCGCAATTGAGAACGTTGTTGTCATCAAAAGTTCTAATGTAGTTCCAAATTCTTGAGAATGAAGGATTTCCGATTTGTTTATTCTGATGGATTGTTCGGGGAAGGTAACAAGCAAGTCCCCATTTTGAGACATTACGAATTCAGACTTGCACGAGGTCTGGAAGCTGGACAGAACTAGAACGGGCGTCGTGGCGTCCGTTTTCTCCGAGGACAATATAATTCCTGCATTCTGACAGTGCAGATAAAACGGAATCAAATCTCCGTCTTTGATATTTCTGACGGAGACAGAAATCCTTTCAGCCAACGGAGACTCGAAGATGTCTTCAAATTGCGTCCAATTTTTAAAAGTTTCACGAGTCCTTGGAATTTGGAACTGTGTGGTGCATGCTCGAAGGGTTGACCGCATGAGACGAAGAATGTTTCGATGTACAGAGTTATTTGCAGTGTCCACGCCAGGGAGTTTCTTCAGAAAGAAGATGTGCGTTATTTCGTCCTCCCCCAAGCCCTCCGATTCCATCAATGACCCCATTTCACTTGCGAGGTAGGTATGTTGCAGGCGTGTCAACGAGTGCTGCGAGTGAAATAAATTTTTGAATAGTTACCGATAATGCGTATGTATATTAGAGGGTGTTCCGAAAGTAGTGCAACTTCCGGAACACCCTCTATGTAGGTGTGCTCTATTATCGAGTGGTTTGTTTGCGTAATAAACAACAACGTACCTGGAAATGTAGATATCTTTCAGAGACAGTTCAGTTTGAATAATGTTCAGTTGTTACGCGTAAAAATGCACGTCCTTTGACCTACGACAATAATAAGTTCATTAGTTATCAAAGTGACACTCGAATGAATTGTGAAGTTCTCTTCGAGTCTTATCATGCAATGTTCCGTACGACACGCAACACAGACTGAAAATACTTATCTAAAAAGCTACGATATTAGGCTTAACGAGGCCACGAATTTTATGATCACAAAGAGTGCCGGGTCAGCTCTTAAGATGGCTGAGGCTGATACCAAAATTTGCTAGCTGCAGAGTCAGTAACTGAAATGACTAAAATAACAAGACTTACAAGAATTAGAAAAGGCTCCTTCGACCTGGCCACTCAACGAACACTTTCCTCCTGACCAGTGACCGAAAGGGCTCCGACTTCACTTATTGGTTATCAACGAACGAAAATAGTGTAAAATGCTAAAATGAACAATTTTAGCACAATCCTATGCAACAAGTTATATAATCAGCATGTGCTATAGCTAGATTGGTCCTATACTAAGGAGTAGTGCAGAGGCAGACACCGGTGCCGGTCTGTCTTCTCCATCGAAGTTCTTGGTTTATGTCATACGAATGATGACATGATGCACATATAAGTAATTTATGTAAATAGGTAAAACTTCTTCACACAATGATCACTTCAAACCACAGAATTAGAGGAGTATTGTATACAATATATTATCGATATATTATCGCTTCCCACATTCAAACGTGTCACTGATTTAGAGAGTGCTTTTATGTATCAGCGACTCGTCGTAAAGAAAATTTGTTGGTGCTTTTATTCTCTAGTCACAATCTGTAATCCGTCAACAAGTTATAATCGGCATGCTCTATAGCTCATGTGCCAATATTTAAGCCTGGTCTTAAGATATGTTGAAAGTAAAAACTTACGTTTGAAACTTTAAATTGTCGAATTTTAGGAATTTATTGGTTTTTCAACTTTTTTAAGAGGATGAAGTAGTCCAGCCACCAAAATTAGGACCAAGCACTTCTCCCAGTAGGCAGTCTTTTCTCTCTTTGTTTTTCTCCTTGTTCCCGACAACCCACTGCCGAGTATCAGTCCGCCGTATTAATGCAAATGAATTACAGAGAAACGTTCCTGGTTCTTATTATACGAATGATAATATGATGCACGGATAAAGTAGTGTAGATAAAACTTCTCCACACAATGATCACTTCACACATTCGAACGTGTCACTACTGATATGCAAAGAGTGCTATTATGTTAACGACCCGTAAAGAACATGGATCGTCGTGCTTTTATTCTCTAGTCACAATCTGTAATCCTCGGTGAGGTTGTATAATAGTTAATAAAATGTAATATTTAGTTTGTATATGTATTACTATAGGTTAAAGTCGCATTTGCAATTTGAGGTAAAACGTTGACTCGATCTCGTCTTCGGTTTCGTACATCAGCAGAATTCTACAATGTCGTTGTGGCACGCATTCATCCAGGGTCACAATTGTCGGTCAAATTATAAAAGAAGGAATGCACGTCTGCCTACAATAAAGGACTGATAGTAAAGAAAGGGACAATTAAAAATATTATAGAGCGAATAAAATATGAAATGATGATGTGTATTGTCATCACTAATTGTTACACTTATTCATACATATTCGAAGTATAAAATAAATAAAATAAAATGCTCCAATAAAAACACTTTCCTCACCAGCACGTCAGACTTTTGATAACTTCTTCCTCATAGCATCGTTTATGTATTCGTCATTGGACAAAATCAGAGTCATTCAAATGTGTAATGTACATGCTTCAAATAAATATTTCAAGTTGCATAAATACCATGTTTAAAATATGTAACATTAATCATTTCAATATACATTTGAGGAGGTTTCGTCGGAATACATGGGTGTGGTTTCTAAAAGCAATTTATTCAAGCTTTCGATGCTGAACTTGCATCATCATCAGGACATCAGGACTTTTAAGAATTTTTTACATTTACGTTGTTGCTCGCGGCACATTGTTTTCATTTTGCATAACAGAAATATCGTTTTTAAAAAGTGCAGGAAATGTAACCATACATAGATTTAACTCATCCTTAGGCCGATAAAACACGCACAGAGAAATTATATTATTTTAATAATACTTGCTATCTTTTTTTGCAAACAAAAAATTGGACGTAAGGAATTCGGCTCAAGTTTTGCAAATGATGCGAGATCGGTTCCGATTTCATTCAAATTGAGTGAACGGAAGATATGCAAAAATATGGTGGTGGTGATAAATAAAGGAACGTTCTGTGTGTATGTAAATGCGGAGTTTGAAGCAAGTCAGTTAGACTGGAACTACTGTCGGCTTTATTCAGTGGCACAAAGCTAACCAGCATTATTCCGCGATTCTACATGGCACAGAATATATTTTTCTGTTCATTCCGATTTTAGCTTTCACGTCCAACACTTCAGTCAACATTTTAAGCAACAATTATAGTCCATTAGACAAGAGAAGATAATCAGTTATCTTCGAAAATGGAAGATTTAATTCCTCTCATCAATAAACTTCAGTCGGTCTTCAAAACGACGGGTATGGAAGAAATCAAACTTCCACAGATCGTCGTGGTTGGTGCCCAGGTAAGCAAACTCTCGTCTGAGACTCTTATCGTAAATGCAGATTTCATTCCTTATTTTTTTTTTTTTTTACTAATATATGTACAGAGTTCGGGTAAAAGTTCCGTTCTCGAAAGTCTGGTAAAGAAGTCCTTCCTTCCTCGAGGGACCGGAATTGTAACGCGATGCCCCATTATCCTGCAATTGAACCAGATCAAGGAAGCTTCTAAGAAAGGGAAACATGATTCTAAAGGTTGTCCTAAACATCGAGTTCATGATTTACTTACTTAAATACAAATTTGCATGACTTAATAATTTCAGGTCCTGATGAATGGTGTAGATTTTCCAAAACTCCAGAAAAAACTTATACCGACTTTGATGAAGTCCGTCATGCGATTGAAGATCTTCAAGTCGAAATGGCCGGTGACAAGAAGGGAATTTCTATGGAGCCAATCATCCTCGAGGTCTTCTTTCCTAATGTTATTGATCTGACCGTCGTGAATTTGCCAGGAATTGTCAAGGTTTGATTAGCGCATTCGTGATATGAAGCACTAATATGTGGACAAGATATTTTATGCAATAATTAATTGTAAATTTAATAGATTGCTCTTGATGGACAACCCTGGGACATTGAAGAACAGGTCCACAACCTGATTACAAACTACATCAATAACGAGTCGGCCATCATTCTGGCCGTCTCGGCTGCTAATGCTGACATTGCGACGTCCGAAAGCATAAAAATTGCAAATAAGGTCGACCCAAATGGAAACAGGACAATTGCAGTCGTAACAAAGCTCGACCTTATGGACAAGGGGACAGATGCCGCAAATGTGCTGACCGGTGAGATTATCAAGGTCAAGTTGGGAATCATTGGCGTTATTAATCGATCACAACAAGACATCAACAATAATACGAGCATGGAAGAAGCATTGCGGAAAGAGGAGGAAATTTTGCGAAAGACGTACCCTCAAATTCATGGAATTGGATCTCCATATTTAGCCAAACGACTCAACCAAATTCTGACCGATCATATTCATCAGAATCTGCCTGCGTTGATTGTAATTTACATCTATGGAATTGGACATTAGTCTAATTTAACCTTTACAGTAAAATAACCTTACGTAATTATTTTTGTAGAGACGAATTGCCCAATTATCGGAGAAATGCGAAAGTGATCTGCACTGTTTGGGACGAGAGATATCCACGGATGCAAAAGATTGCTCATGGCTAATAATGGAAACAACGTTGCAATTTGTGAAAAATTTTCGAGAAATTGTTCACTTTCGACCAATTGATGTTCTGGATGACGAAGCAGATTTATTTGCCGTCAGTGTTAATGGATCGTTCAAGAAACTGAGAGAAGAAATTGTAACGGACGAAAAGAGTATTGACACTTTGCAAATCATGAAGGCGTTAAAGAACACGCAAAATTTTGAAGGATTTGCGTCAATCGAGGTACACATTTCATTACATAAATATAATAATTTTGTACCTACTGATCATTTGTTGGTATTTATTTCAGCAAGTATTTAAAACAATTGTGAAGAAGCAAATCATGTTGATGGCGTCTCCAGCAATCCATTGTGCTCAAGAAGTTCATGATTTACTGTCTCTAACCGCAAACAAGTGTTTTGAGGATCCACGACTTAAATATCTAAACAGGATGATAAAAGGCGTGGTCGATGACTTGTTGGATGACCAATTAAAACATACCATCACCGGCATTAATGAGTACATAAAGCTCCAAACGGGAATGATTTTTTCGTCGGACGAAGTTTTTGTTCGCTTGCTGACGGAAGTCCTGACCCAAAGAAAGATGAATTGGAAATCGCTGCTGGTAATCTAGAATAAGCCAGTTCTTACATAACATAATTTTGTCATTTCATGGGACCGTTGTAGATACATAATACGTAAATGCTGTAATTGTTATTAAATTACCTAATTTCAGATGGCTTAATCAACAAAGCTCTGAATTCATCTGCTTCGATCGTAACCGCTTTTCCTTTGATTACCGAACACAGCGTAACGCAATTAAATGATCACCGCGTTCTGTATGTTCACAAGCTGATCATGAAGTATCTGGAGGTTGTGAAACGAGAACTCTCTGATTATGTCCCAAAGTATTTGATGTTTCAATTGGCTGATCAAACGATCAATAAAATTTCAGAAGCTATTGTAAGTTGCAACTATTTGTATTTATGTATTTGTACATGAATTCACTGGTTTCATATAAACACGTGTTTCAATATTATGCAATTTTTGTTCCAGAAAATGGCTACAATCGGTAAAGAAAGTCATTTGGTATCAGAGCCGGAGGAAATTCAACTTCAGAGGAAGCATAAACAGGAATTACTGAAGGTAATGAACACAAATTACTCCACATTGCAAAATTATGCTGCACGTAGTTTATAAATGTTTAACTCTGAAACATTTGATATCCAGAATCTCTGAGATGCTGCAAAAATCATCCGGGATATCAAATAGCGTTCGAGTCCTCATGAAACGTACACGTTTGAAAGCACTCATCAAGTGCAATAATTTGAAGCATTTAGATAATTTCATACAGTTTCTTATGATACTCGTTCTTCTTAATTGTCGATTTTAGTCTGTCCTTTACGTGGCATTAATTTTTTTAATACATGACATTTATACCATTTTTTGAATTTTTGAATCTCATTTACACGAGCTCTTTTGCAGAACTTGTTACTTATCTCACATAATAAATTTCATACATGTCCAAAATCGGTTTAGAGGCTTAACCTTAACCAACACTTGTACACTAAACTGATAAACTATATTTCTGATAAACATAAAACTTGAATAAAATAAACTTACTGATAATTGTCAAATGTAATGCATAATGTACATATACCGTTTCAGTTGCATGTTCTTGAGTTCATACCGCTGAACCTCATAAAACACTCGGCAAATTGTGTTCGTCTCTCAATAATGGAATTATATTTATTGCAGTTAATTATAACAATTTGGAGAGTTAGGGATTACTTGGTAGTGGGTTATGTAGTCTACTATTTCATAAAGTGGTTTTCACATTCGGAAACTGCCCATACCGCTACATCTCAGATTTGTGACAATGAAATTTTGTTGAGAAAGTCAATTGTAAGTGCAATTTCTAATAAATACCACGAGAATCATGAAATGTACTAACAAAACAATTGCACAGGTCACTTGTTCTACAGAAGTGGTACAGCATCACAGCCTAACTCAAGATAAGTATTCGGAATCATGGAAAGTGGAGGCTGGTCGCTGTCTGGACCCACTTGCACTTATTCCACAGTGCAGTTTCTACAGGTTTAAATGTACATATGTATGTATGTGCATGTAAATATAAGTACATGCATACATACATTATATTCGTATCGTAGCTGAAAAACAGCAATTAAGCACTTCGCTTACTTTATAGACTCAAGTGCAGCACAATATGGAAGAGCAATAATGGAATCAAGAATGTGAACACGTTGATCCACAGACAAAGAGTAATTTGGAACTCGAACTATCACGACAATAATACAAAGAATCCTGTGCGATCAAAGATAAAAAATACTCGTATTCCAACAAATGCAGAATTTCCTACAAACACTCCAAATCATGAAAATCAGGATACGTTGTCTATCCCTGAAATATTCCTAGGCCCAAAAACTTTTATATCGATACCTCAGAAGCAGCATTTGACCATTGCAGTGGACGCCACTCCACGAACCATTGGAGGTTATTGCGTCAACTTTTTCGATAGTAAAATTAACTTTTACTCCGTCCCTTCGAATGAAATGCCATGGGTTTTGAGAGATCAGAGCGTTTTAGGTAGTCCTGCCGAATTTGAGATGAAGAACCTACTTTGCGCCCTTCTTCTATGGTGCCCAGTGGTCCTTAAATACAAAAATGTTGTGGTGTACACCGATAACACTGCAATTCTTGGACACTGTGTGTATTCATCCAGGGTCCACGACTTTGTGCGTCACTTACAAGATTGTAAAGGCGTGAGTATAGTAAACAGCGGCAGTATGTACGTCAATTCTAAGGACAATAAGAAACAATTCCTCAAATTCATTCAACCAGCAGATCATTTGTCCAGAAATAGGGTGGCCAAATTTGTTGATGCAATCCATGAAATTCATGGACCATCTTTTAAGTATGATGAAATGTATTGCATCGAAGAAGAAATCTTTGAAAAGGTTGTATCCACATATATGTTTATAAACTGATCCGATTTGGGTGCATTTTAACAAGATGATATAATTCATAGGTGAATCAAGACGTGATAAACTGGACAAGAAATGCGTGTCGTACGTGCGGATTTGCATTGAAAAAAACTGGATCATTTATGCAAGCCAACAGTTAATACCGCCCTTAGTGCAAACACGTTGCAAAACCTTATTGCAAATAAAATTGCAATATTTTTTACAATTTTTATAGTTTATTGAGAAACAAGTACAGATTGGAATATTAAGATTTTGCATGTTATTTCTATTCATAATAGTGAAATTTATTTAAAATAAATGTAATAAGGGCTAAGTAACAAATGTTGCTGCTGAGAATTGTAGGAAATAGGAGTCAGGAGTAATTGATTAAGCCCACAATATGCATAATTTTCATCCACTGCTTTGTTTTCATCAAATCCCAGAGATTTTATATACTTCAAGATATCAGTTCGACTCTTTGGTTCTAAATTCTGCACGGTTGAAAGGACGGCCCACGATGCTTCGTTATCATCCCAGCAAGTAGCTCCCAGAACATAACTTTTGTTATCCATCATGTGGAAACTAAATTTACCGGTTTTTGCTGAAAATTGAAATAATTTGTATAGAAAATAACAAGCTTCACAGCGATGATCAAGTACTCCTTCGTAAACATTTACCTCCTGACCAAGGCGCCCTAAACGTAATGGATGTCTCATCACCAGTAATGTTGTACTTGACCTGACGACCGAACCCAGAGATCGTGCTATCCTTATTCATGGTCAAACAGGATGCAGGTTGCACTGCCTCAAACGGAATATGCCGTGCGTCCTGAGATAATAAATCGGCTGCGGTTCTCGTAGCATAAAGTTGGTTCCACAGAGGGACGTAAAATTGGTTGATAGAGCCAAACTAAATATTTTAAATGCAGGATATTCACTAAACTATATAGGTAACTTCTAATTTAGAATAAATCCCATTTCAAATATGCATAAATAAGTGGTTACCCATTTCAAATCAATTCCAGAATCTGGCGAAGATACTGCTGAACATTTCAATTCCTTTACGGCATCCTCGTCAAGCCCACTGGCAATTATTACCAGGGCGAAAAGATTAATGATGAGCTTCATTTTAACCGAATTTGTGGAAAAATTTTAACCTCCTTTTCACCTGAATGATCAGACGCTACTGATTTATTCATGACCATGTCCAATATTTAAAGGGTCTGTATGTACCGGGGAAATCTGAACAAGCAAAAACCATACTAATAATATGATAAAATGAAGAAATTATCGAGTGCAAAAAGTATACAAATTCATATGGACATTTAATAAGGTTGTCTGGAAGGAGGTGTGTCTGTCTGTGTCCATCGCGTAAAAACGGTACCATGTACTCATCATATACCTCAAGGACAACAAGCCACAGTCCAAAATATTTGTAGAGAGAAACAGTAGTAAAAAGTTGTAGCATTAAAATTATGATGATTAACCATCCTGATTTTAATTGATTAAGTAATTCAGTTCAAAGATAATACCTAAGTAGCAATATAAATCATAACTAGTTTCTTTTCTTCGTAACTACATAGGAATGCACGCTGCTTGCGTATGTATATTGCACGTAGTCATAACCCAAAGTAGTGAAAAACAGAGGGGATTTTTGCAAATATTTTTATTTAGTTGCAGGAATTACCACCATTCTGAATAAATCTATTTGTTAATATTTTTGATTATACCCCATGCTAAAATACGTGTATGGATTAAAATAAGCCACTGGAGCATTGTTCAGCATGAGATATGGGGGCATGCTTCCTCCATAGAGTTTCCCACAAATCTCGTAGTTTTCATCGACGGCATTGTTCGTATTGAAGCCGAGGGACTTGACATACGCGATAACTTTCGATCGTACATCTGGTTCTAAGCAGGTCTTCGTTGACATAACAGTCCACGAGGATTGGTCGTCTTCCCAGCAAGTCACTCCCAGAACATAACTCTTATTGTCGGTCATATGGAAAGAAAACTTTCCAGATTTAGCTGAAATACAAAATATTTATAAAAATTTGTTACTCGAAAAGTAATCGTACTAATTCCTGCTTGTTACACTACCTCCCGACCATGGCGCTCGAAACGAAATAGAGTTCGCGTCTCCAGTCATATTGTATCTGATTTCGTGCCCAAATCCGGACACGTAGTTATCCTTTTTCATCACCAAACAAGAAGAAGGGCCCAATTCGAACTCAGAAATGAAGCGAGGATCCCGAGATAGCAATTCGCCAGCGACGCGGTGTGCATAAAACTTTGCCCAGAGTGGAATGTAAAATCTTTCAACAGATCCAAACTACAAATGTGACCAAAACAATAATGATTAAGTAAATAAATTATTAATGCAATTTAGAATTAATGAATTTAGTAAAGTCACCCATTTCAAATCCATCCCAACCGCATCCGCCTTAGGTGGTGGGATACAGTGCATGTCTCGTACGAATTCGTCGTTCAATCCCCATACCGAAGGTAGCACAGAGAAAATGGCAAATACTAATTTTAAAATTATTCGTTGTGACATTTTCAGTAAAATTTTGAGCTAGAACAAAATGCAACTTGATGATTTATTATGCTGTACGAAACTAAATTTGATATATATCTCAATCATCCCATGCCTCTGCTTAAATACACTTGCAGAACCCTTTTTTGCAAAAATTATCCAGCTATATAGATTTACTATCTTTACAAATTATTCAATACATTGATCCGAAACAAATGAAAATAATTTTCTTCTAATTAATTCTTTTATTTCCACTCACAATACGTGCAGCATTCTCATATCACATTGTAAACTTCTACTTCATCGCCTTAATCGAGGAAAATGAAAGTCTAATTGCTCCCAATCCTTTTGCTCTTATTTTGCTTGACTGGTTGGTATGGGACAAATCCAATTTTATTCATGGCATTCTGAATGTGTGGTGACGACATGAAATTTCTCCAGACAAATTTGTTCCTGTAGTTATCGGCCATGAGCACTGTAACCCCCACATCAATCCCAATAACGTCTGGATTCGTCCAGTTCGTGATCGGATTGAACGCATCAACGAAACCGTACCTTAATTGTAAATTAGATTATTTAATTTTCTTCATTTGTACACATATTAATTACTTGTTATCTTACCTCGACCACGCTTGTGCCGTGTGGTTTACTCGGATATTCTTCAAAACGGCAATGGTCTCCTGTGGCAGGAAAGGGATAGATCCTGCAGCCGCACATGGAACGATTGACCCGTCAATTCGACCCATTAATGGAGGTCCACCCCATGCGTCGTAACCGTACGGCGTGTCAGATGCCGTGACGCCCCAAAAATTCTCAGAGTAGGACCAAAGAGACATTTCTTCATCATGGAGAAAGAAATCTTTCGTTGCTCTCGTGGCAGTTACAGAATTTTGGAAATAGTCAATAGTAAAATTATCCCGTAGGTTTTCAAAGTCGATGAATGCATGAGAAAACTGGTGGACGAATAGTGGGGCAGGGAAATGGATGTAGTTATGCTCCATGTAAGTGAAGTTCGGCCGTGAGAAGACATTCCACGAGTTAATCGGAATTGGATGGGTTGGCGACCCGATGGCGAGGATGAGAAGGATCATTAACTCGCAATACCTTAAATGAATTTCAAAATAAATTTTTTCCGTAAAAAAATCTCCAAAATGTGAAATCCTTACCGATTCCATGAGTCGTTTAAAAACCCACTTTCAGGTTTCCAGCCCATGTTTATAAATTGCGTTCCGTTCATCATCCAGACGAAATCTACTGCTTCATAGAGTTCCTTAGAAAGGGCCACGATTTCGGCGTGATCCTTAAAGTATTGACCCACAGTGACCACACCTCCCATTAAAAGTGCCGTGTCAATGGAGCTGAGTTCACACTCCCAAACTCGTTCTCCGGTGTACATATCGACAAAATGGTAATACCAGCCGTTGACATTGGTCAGGTTATTCTTAATGAATCGAAGCGTATTAAGGACTCGCTGTTCGATCAAATAACGGTTGGAATATCCTCTGTCGTGTGCAATGGCAAGCGTCGCAAGTCCAAAACCTGATGATATGCACATAAAAGAAAGTTGGCTAACTTGGTATAGTGGATTTTAGCGAATATGCTGATTAAATAATTCACCTGTGGCCGCAATAGACGAAACATTTCTTGGGTCTGGATTTCCTGCGGCCAATGAGCGATCTTTTACCTGTCCAGTAACGGAGTCAGCCTGCTCCCAAAAGAATAAAAACCCAGCTCTTTCAATCTCGTCAAGCAGCGGTTCTTCAATAATTTGGCTTGACGCAGGATTAAGACTGAGTATGACAAATAAAATGGCTACCGGTGACATGCAACAAGTCGCCAAAAACGTTAGTAATTTCATCTTGAGTTTATTTACGTAAGGGAACAAACTTATTGCGATGTCTTGAGCAACGGAATATGAAGCTCTAAATGAGGCGTGATGCTAAAGATGTAGTGCATTATGTTAAACATTTTACATAAGCTGAAGTGGGTTATCATTTTTTACCATTGTCAAAGATAATTTGATCGTCAACAGGTTGACGTTTGACGTATTTTTGGCAAACAATGTACACATAAAAAATACAATTGACAAACTCGATGTGTCCAACCCATACTACCGCACACGCGATGATAAATAATTCGCTAATCGGTATTAATCTCGAATTTCACCATTATTTTGCTTGCAGGTGTTCGTAGATTACGTGTAAATTGCTTACAAATTGGTTGAATAATATTTTACACGGCATGAATTTGTAAAGCCTTTACTGAGGTTAATGGATTAGAGTGGTAGTAATTTGTGTTTGTTATGTCATTTCATTTGATGAGCTACTTCAACTAAATTTAATCAAATTAGTGAATTACAAATGTTGCTAGCTAGCTCTGGAATTTGCACTTTTTGTGAGTTTAATAAGTGGACAGTGGAAATATGCATATATAAATATGCAAAATATGAGGTTTCAATGTATAACGCTATTTTTACCACAGCGTACTCAATAACCCTCTCAATACATATTCTACTAGCGTATAGCCCGGCCAAGGCCGGGTTCTAGAGTTCCAGTGGGGGGTGTGCCAAAAGCGAAAAATCCGTCATACTATATTTTAAATAATTCCCAGTGGAGACTTTGTCATACTACATACATACATCAGACTGAGGGTTTGCCCAAGTCATACTGCATTTTAATTAACCTGGTCACAGTAAAATTTGATTCCCCCCTGTGGGAGTAGTTGAATAGCTAATTACTTAAATTCCCGTCGCGTGGGAGTAACTGCATAGCTAACTATTTAAATTCCCACGCTTCACGCTCCCGTTAAGTTCCATAAACCCCGTTAACTTCTACAATTAACGCCAAGCTATTGACGGATTCGGATTCAGCCTCAAAAATACATTCGAATTGATGTGCGACATCACGAATAAGCCATATTTGGCCCCCACGGTCACGGCAAGGTCACGGGGGCCTCGCAGGTCAAAACCATTGACGGCGTTGGATTCAGCGTCAAAAATACATTCGAATTGACATGCCACTCGCTGTGGGTAGAGTTTCTCAAACCAAAATAATTAATTAATAGTGTTTATCACGATCACTTATCATGATAACCACTATTGATGAGTGATGTATGTATGTGGGGTGTACATGTTCATGTATTCATTTATTCATGCAGTGCAGTGCATGCATGCAGTGGTTGCTCCGCTTCCTTCTTTGTCTACTGTATGGGGCAATTTGCATTGCGAAGACGGACCCAGGGACCCAGGGATCATACTAACACTTTATTAGAGTAGATTGGTTCATTCAAAATGAGCCGTCATTGAATTATTTGTACAATTAGATGTGCTCAACTACTTCAACTGATTCCTGGAAATTACTGCACACACTCGGCAGAAAGTATTCTTAAGTGTATTTAATTCCAAACAATATGCATTTCTCGGCGGCGTGAAGATAAGCATGAAATATTTTAAGTCGACATCAGGTATTTATCCAGTCACATCCTCCAACAGTTTTCACTCATTACCTAATTAATGTTATGGACATTTAGTAAAGTATTAGGCAGTTTGCAACAAGTGTTTAAAATTTCCGTAACTCTTTGTATCGTTTGAGTTTAGTCGAAACTTACGGAGGCAATATGAAAATTGTTCAGAGGACACATCAGAATAATTTCAGGATGGATTCCCCAAGTTTTGAATCACAACTTTTGACTAAACTCAAACGATATATACGGAAATTTTAAAAACGTAGTCTTGCACACCTCCAATTAAACAGTTCTTCAAATCATAAATACTTACACAAATATTTACTTCGTTCGATAGTTCGATGATACCTGACACTTTTTAATTTATAATATCAAATGAATCAGTTAGTAAATCATGAATATAAATAAGAAAGGAAAATGTGGTATGTTAATAAAAGGAACACAGATATTAACTGAAATATCCTGATTCCTCATCTACATTTCTCATCACAATGCAAATGCAAATTCTAGGGTTTTTACACATTCTACGTACATATGTAATTATTTATTTATAATAACTGGATATTTAGTTGAAATATTTTACCCAATAACTGAATTTGGATTAATGCACTTGATGTTATGTCTCCAAAAATAAACCTTTTTGCACACGGACACGCTTCACACCTTATCGGTGTCTGTCAAGCTTTAAATTATTTGAAATCCTGCATTCGTACATTTCTCACACCACACCTCATCTGTCCCATCAATCATTATTATTTAACGCTGCAATTTTTGTACCATTCAAGTCAGATAAACGGATCATTTTAAGCATAAAACAAAACAAGCATATCAACTAACTAATTTTTATCGCGAATCATCAGTATAAATTATTTGAGCACAAAGTCAAAAATTTCATTTAGTTTGGTTAAGCCGAGGGAGGATTAAGTACAAACTAATTTCCAAATATTTCTAAGTATTTGTTATTTGTGGAAATATGAAGTTTTTGCTGCTCTTGTGCATGTTTGTGACCATTGCTTATGGGTGAGTTGAGCGTGGGAAGACTAGTCAAAATTTGCCATAATTCGCACTTACATTACTTTTTAAATAATTATTTACATGAATACTTTATAAATTTATTTTATAGTCAGCGAGAACCTGGTGCGATCTGGATCCCTAGTAATTGAACCCATAATTATACTTTACATAAGTAAACATACCTAATAAACATTGACATGCATTTACGTTACCTCATTGTATATAGGTCCTCACTTTGGATCTCGAGGATCCTACAGTGCGAAATGGTTGGTTGTTCACGGTAAAAATTATAATTTAATCTAGAAAAGGAATTTTAGGAATATAGAAGTAGAAGTAAAAAATAATAATAAATTTTTCCCAAATTATACATAATTAAGGAACTGCCGGAGGTTCAAGTGCGGAAGCAATAGGTAATTAATTTCTTACTTAATTATTAATGTAACGACTATACGTTACCAACAAAACGTAATACAAACTATGGAAAGAAAATCTATAAATTTTTCCATTTATTCGTAGGAGAATGGTTTCAAAACCCTGCATCGCAAGCAGCAACACATTACGTGATAGGTCAAAATGGTGCAGTTGTTCAGTGCGTTGACGAGAGTGAAAGTGCATGGTAAATCATTATTAAAACCATTTTAATAATGAGAATAATAATAGAAGAATGGTTTTGCCTGGTATTAATAGGGGAAACGGGCGCGTTGAAGCAGGAGCTGATGATTGTAATGCTATCAATTTTTTATAGATATTAAACTCTCGAATTGTACGAATATGTGTAAATATACATTTGGCTCTATTTAGGGTGGTCTGCCAGCAGCCCAAGTCCAAACCAAGTGACCATTTCCATCGAACATGTCAAGCCCAGCACTGACAATTCTGACCTCATCACCGCAGCCCAGGCGGCAGCATCATTCAATCTAATCAAAAATATCATAGCAAGACATCCAGGTATTCGGATGGCTTATGCAAATACTGCTGGTGGAATTACAGGCCATTTCTCAATGAGCCCCCAATCGAGGGAGCGATGCCCAGGCCCATACCCTTGGGAACAATTGTTCAATGATCTGAACGGTTCAGGTCAGCCGACTTGCATGGGAACCGTAACGGCCGACACTCTTAACATCAGAACTGCACCCAATTCCGGAAGTATCATTGTTGGTTCCGTCCCCATGCACCGTGTGCTCAACATGAGGGCAAAAGTTGCAGGAGAAAGCATCAATGGAAATCCCGACTGGTATCAGCTCCATGATGGTTCAGGATACGTTTCTGGGTACTACATTAATGTGCACATTAGCCAGCCGGCATGGTGCTAATTAGGTGACAGTTAAAAATTACATGGGAAAAAATTGACATTTTGATTCATTACAATTGTATAAACAAATTAGGATTCCACTTTACCTACATTGTCCTGATTTAATGTAACTAATAAAGTGTAGTTTAATTGAAATCACCAAAAGTTTTAAATTACGAAGTTTGCTCAAATTATGAAGCACTTATTGCATGACGCATAATAACGTAAAATCTCATGAGCTCAATTACATATTTCGTAAATATATAAAACTGTCAAATTTATTACTTTATTTCTAACTATAAGTAAGAATATGTATAATAGATAGACGCATGACGTGCATACATCATCGTTTAGGTTGGCAACATTTTTACTCTTCCTTATTCGCTGCTTGAGCGGACCTTCTTTTAAGATGGAGTTTGATTGAAGGATGCGGTTCAACTGGAACGCCATAGAGGAATTTGATGTCAGTTTGACGCTGTGGAGACGATACTTCAAAATGACGGAGTAGATGAGCTAATACCACTCGGGCTTCCATGAGTGCAAATTTTTGCCCTGTGATTTCAAATAAATAATTTTTTTAAACTTAATTATTCTAATATGTGACAAATATTATAGGTTGATACGTACCAATGCAGTTCCTTAGACCTGTTCCAAATGGAATAAAGCACCCTTGGCTCCTACTCGCTGCAGCGTCTGGTGCAAAACGTTCAGGGTCATAAACTTCGGGGTCTGGAAAAATAGCTGGGTCACGATGAACATCATAAATGAGAAAGACTGCATCACTCCCTTTCGGCAAAGTTAAGCCATTCTCTAACTTGACATTAAACAACATCTTTCGTGACATTAGGGGAATTGGAGGGTAAATTCTGAGCGATTCCTTGAGACACATTTCCAAATATCGCAACTCTGCCAAGTCTGCCATTGTCACATCTCGATCCATTTCTCCCCAAAAAACGGCATCAATTTCTTCATGAACTCGCTTTTGATACTCGGGATAATTTGCCATCAAAAACAGGGAAAAGTTTATTGCATTCGATATCGTGTCTGAACCCTGAAAGTTAAACCAAGATGACAAATTATGTATCTCATTTGTATACATATAAATTGTAAATTTGAGTTGAAATATTACTGCTCCTGTTGGATAGAAAATAATAATAAATGTTAAATTACTTGATACATATGAATGTTATCATAAAATTTGGTTATCCATATTTACCAACGATGCTTATTAAATGGTCAAAAAAATCCTGCTCGCTAAAGTTGTCTCCAGCAACATCCAAAAGAACATCAATGAAAGGTTTTGTTTTGCCCTCTGTGAAAAAACTTGAAGGTTAATACTTATCATTTTAAGCTATTTTTTGTAATAATTTACATACCTGAACTAATGACTGTTCCATTTTGACGTGCGTCACGTCGATCATACAGCGCCTATCAAATTTGAACAGATACAGTTATAAATGTAAAGACAGGTTGAATATTTAAATAATAATACTTTTCATACCCCGAGAATAGCGGTGCGAATAAATTTCATGCATTCTTCCTCCTCCTTCCTAATTCCTAGGATGTCAATTATGATTGGGAGCGTCATCCATGGTTTAAAGAATCGAAGGTGCATTCCTCTGCTACCACTGTTCAAGTTGGTCAAAGATGTTCAAAGTCTTGAAACTTGCATTTTTATTCGTATTATTAATAAAGATTATGTTGCATACATTGCAAATGCTTCTACAAATCCTTTGGTTTCTCCTTCGTTCTGGATGTGCATTTCTTTGCCAAGAGAAGTTTCTGAAAAAATTGCATGTCATATTTACATATTTAGCAATAATCAGTTTGTTCATTCAGATTTGTGTTATACTGGAAATGAAAATAAAGTAGGTGCTTAACGGAAGCATAAATGTGAAGGAAACGAATTATTTGGAGTAGTATTTTTTCCTACAAAAAACTGCAAGCAATATATAATTCGTGCATTTGTTTTGTTGGCAAGAAATTATGATTAATAAATGATGAGAAAATTACTTTAGGTCACTTCACATTTTTTTAACGTATGGTCCTATTTTCACGAACCATTTATGTAGAACATGGAAAAAAGGTTCAAGAACATCTTACAGTGATTGAACGATGGATGACTTACGGAAAACAATCTCCAAAGAACACCGAAGAATGTCAGGATGGATGTTCATGTGGGATGTTTGTTGCAAATTTTTAAACTTGTTGTCCAGAATTTCCAAAAGTTTTCTAGATTCTTAAAAAAAAGATTATTTATTATGTATCACACTCCAACCAAGAGCTCCAGTGACCAGTAAAAATAATGCCACGTCCCAAACAAAATGAAATGTTGGCGACGTGCATTTGTATCAGTTGTAGTTCAGGTGGAGGTGATAAGTATGCAGTTACCTTTATTGAAGACGTCGAGAAATCCATCAAACAATTGACGATTAAATCCAGGATTAAGGAGTTTCCGTTCATGTCGTACTTTCAAACCACTCCCAGTTACCAACCCATTTCCAAGAAATTCTTTCACTGCCCAATTGTCATCACCTTTTTCATAAAGGTCTGCGTTATGCAGAAGGGTCTGCAAATATAATATTGCAACATTTAATACCTTCGAATGAATTGCCGTAATGATAAAATAACACCTCTGCTGCTTTCCCCTCCCCAATAAAAATTATAGGTAATCCAAACTTCCAAAGTCTACAAACCCGACCATATTTTTCCAAATAATCTGTTATGGCTTCCTTCACTGAAAATTAAATAGCATTCTCATACTAGCTTTTTCAATTTTATGGACTCTAGAAAAATATTTGAACTTTAAAATCTCACAATTTGTACGAAACACAAAATATCCCACATTCCCAATGAATGGCACGTATGTCAAAGGGGCTCCTGGAATTTTGTTGGCTAATTTTGCCTTCTTTGTCAATCTTGTCGTGACATAATCTAACATACAAGCAAGTACAATTGCAAGGGTAAGAAGCACAAGCCAAAATGGGTTTCGAAATTCGGAATGTTTATTTGTTAAAATGGTGTCGCCAGGATGTATATCCATAGTTGGCAGAGGAAATTTAAATTAATTATGTATGTAATATGCAAAGTGTGTGGTAGACAATCGAAGACGTCACAATGGTACAAGATGCAAATGACTACTAAGTCAGACTCGAAGGAGATTGGCATCTTATTCCGTCGTCTGTTGAATAAGTTCATCCAGAAGCAATAATGACGACTGCAAAAATTCCAGAAAACCCATCCTTTTCTGGACAGGGTAAATCTGTATTACACAATTCATAGAATATCTAATTCAAAGAGATCTTTGTACTTTACATAATATCTTTGATTTCATATGGATCTGATGTGTCACTCTGGTACTATTATTGTTGTAATTACTCAGAATGGTTGGGGTTTTCTCAAGAAAGTTGTCGCTTAATTGTTTGCTGACAATCCTATAATTTACGTTGTATATTTTTAGAAAGGTTTGCCAATGTCGAGTCGTCACCATACCATCATTAATCTTATTTATGCATCTACATATGTAGGTATCTGTGTTTATGGTCGTGCCTTGCATATAAGTTCTGCTGCCCAATTGACTTTTTTTAGGCAATTGTCATCTGCCGTCGTAACTTCATGCATAATATTCAATTGAATGATAATGATGTCGAGTCATGGTTTATTGTGCGTGATCAATGAGGCATTCTTGGATTCTTACTAGATATTTTGTATGCTTTACGCAATTCTACATAGAGATGCGATGCATCCAGGTAAATGGCATTGTTGGCCACTTACTTGTAAGTGACTGCGCAATACATAATTTGAATACATGCATTCGCCCACGGGGTTTGCCAAATTGTCTGTTTGTTGAATTGTAAATGTTCGACCATGACTTGAAGTCATACATATTTTCAAAGTCAAGCAGCACATTGTATGATGTCTAGAAAGGTCATTCAACAGAATAAATACAAATTTATTATTCCCATGTAAAAGAAGAGGTTAAGAACTTGGTTATTTCATGGTCACAAATAAATTAAGCACTGACTAGACTATGTAAATCTACTCATCCGCGTATTAATAAATGGTCACTAAACTCTTGTAGGGACGTGAAAATGGTATTCTCAGGCACATTTAGCATTGATAAGTCTTTCTCCTGTTGTTTGGAAGACATTATTAGAGCCGCCTTCCATCCAACGGTGGTTGCCCCGGCATAGTCAAACTCGTAATTGTCCCCAACATGAAGACAATACTCGTGCAGAGAATTGTCAGCGTTTTTAAAATGTTGTTGGTACGCAAAATTGAACAAGGCTGGGTTTGGCTTGCTCATCTGCAACTCATGAGAGAGGGCAAGGAAATTGAAATGATGAGATATTTTCAAAGCTTGAAGAATGCTGCGTATTCGTGGGTCAAAATTTGAGATAACTCCAATGCCAAGACGATTGTGTACTGCTTGAGATGAATTATTGTACTCTTGTATCTTTTGTAGCATATTTTCTGCTCCAGGACTTAGCTCCCAACACTTATCAGTTCCAAAATGATGGACCAACTCTTCAGCTAAACTGGCTAATTTCTGATCATCATTCCTACTCAGGCCGGTAGTGCCCTGTATGTCGAATGAAAAAGTTAACTTAATAGCATCGCATGGAAAGTATGATTAAAAATCACAGATTTTACTTTACCTTAAAAGTCTCTATAACAAATTTTTTCCACCATGTTTCCCAACAAGTGCCAAAATGTTGCTGGGAAACATTCATCAATTTCCATTGATTCTTGAACGATTTGCTCAGCTCGTCTGGGTCAACGTCAATTCCATATTTGTGCCCAAAATCTAAATAAACTTGGAAAGGTGGTTTTCTAAATTTTACTAATGTTCCAGTAACGTCGAACGTTATGAGTTTGAGCTGACTTATCATGGCGACACATTATACTCAACTAATTTGATAGAAGATAAAGTATTTAAATCACGATGAGAATATTTCAGCCATCTGTTTTCGGACTAATATTATACCGGGTTGGAAAATTGAAACTGTCTCACTTTTTCGTCTCATGTTAACATATTTTGATCTTTGTTGCTTTTTCATGTACCAATATCATTATTATCAATCGTCCATGCAAATATACAGATCATGAAAAAATTGCTAGTTTAAGTAAATATTTCAACGGTTTTATTGCTTATTAGTGAGTAATTCATAGTGCTGAGTGATGAGCAGCATACTTTGGACATTGAAAATGACCTCCGTCGCTTTTCAACTCGTCCAATGTGAAGGGTTCATTCTTAACTCCGCCAAACTGTTTGGTGAGGTGGGCCTTGTCGATAAACTTTAGCAGGGCGGCTTGCCACTCCATCGTGTTCTTTCCGTAGAGATGAAACTGGTCTTGAGTTGAACGAAAGGGTTCCAGGAGTTCCCACAGGGCAAGAAATATATTTGGCACTGCACATTTAATTCAGCTCGGGTCAAAAGTCATTATTAATCAGGTGCATGTGAACATAAATTTGAACGTACCATTGACCAGTATGTTAGAATGTGAGGTGCCTGGGAAGTAATAATCATACACTCGGAGAAAGTGGCCATAGACCGGAATGCCTGTAGAATAAAATTGTCAAAAAACTTGGAAGATATCATTATTTCAAATTATGACATAAGTTGCATTATCCGCTAATTACACATGGCGCATCCCTGAATTATTAAATTATAGTTGGACATTTCAAAAATGACATCGAATTGTGTGATGTTTTCTCCCTTGTCCTGAGATACTCGAATATATGTGGTAATTTCTTCATAAAGTTTGTCAAAGAATCTCATAGCGCGTTGCTGTTTTCCTGCGAGTACGGCTTTTCTAATATCCCAGTCTCCGACGGGAATACTAATCACTGAATGTCAATAAATTGTTTTTAAACTTTGTGGGGAAAATGTGTATCGTAAAATCAGAAATTTACCTGGTCTTCCTTCTTTATCGCATCCTTGAATATCGATGGGAAACTCTCTTTCAAAGTCACTCCAATCTTCCTCTAGAATGGTGTCGATATTGTTTTCCTCCCTCCATTTCAAGTTCTGTAGCAAATAATAATTATATTTGAGGCTTCATGGAACCTTAATTATAGCACAATTTATGAAGTAAACCATATATGCGTACATTAATTAACATTAGTTCTGCGGCAGGTATGTTAAAATTTCGAGCTGTAAAGGATAACACAAATCAATTACATTTCGTCGTATATTTTACTACGCACTATTCTGCACATACTTACCTCGAAGCCATCGAACCAAGTAAATGTCTTTCTTCATGTATTCATGTGGAAGTCTAGAAATAACCACGCTTCTAAACTATTAAGAAATACTTATTAAGTATTGGTTCACCATCCTTTTTGAGATTATACTTATGCAAGTTAGTTAGACATGTTTTTAGTTATGTGCGTACATACCTTGTCCAGAATTCGTTTTTGTTTGTATGTTAAAGTCAAATCGTCTTTTAACGATGCTTGATCCGATAGATTGCATAAACACAATAAGGTTAAAACACTTGAAAACAGTGCACTATTTAAATTCATTTTTGCTCCAGTTTATAAAACTGAAAGTTTCAGTAGTTGGTTGCTGTAATGCTACTTCGATCCTAATCAGGTGAACAGTGGATTGGTTGACCTGGCGAATATTTCCTCTGATGTGTGTATCTACGTCAAAAAAGCAGTAAAAACAAGATTAAGTTTCGTGGAAATCTGTATTAATTATAATATTTGAGATGAAAATTGAAAGCTTCATTGAATATAAGTGAATTGCATTTACTTATAAGTAGGAAATGTGCATAAGTGGACCGAGTATATGTATTTGCATATTTTGTACAATGATAATGACATTGACATTACGCAGAAAAACCTAAGCCGCAAAGTAAGAGTTGGCTTTAATCGCCTGTGAAAATCAGACATTCGATGGCACAATTACAACTTGATTACTTGGGTACTTGCACATTTACATACGCATTAATACATGTATTTCTATCACTGTGTCAGACCTATCCACAGAAATGTGAAGAACAGGTTATTCTGCTATTGTATAACACGCATTTTAATCCACAAGGAAATAAATCGTATGAAAAACAGTCACTCTACAAAGCAAAATATTATTTTAGTATGCAGCAAAAGCTTCTCAAAAGTGTGCAAAAAATGATAGTTAACTTCTATATTTCTAAATAAAAACATAGTTTTGTGTTTTATTGAATATTTTTTTAAAGCAATATAGAAATATCGAGTATAAAATTTGTCGATCATATATGTGCATTACGATACAGACTGCGATTCAGAACAGTGGCGAAGTGTATATTCCACAGAAAAATTTAGTTTTATTTTTTTATTGGAACTCTTGGAATTTGGTGATGGCGAGACTAGACGAGAATGCGCTTTAATGTATGAAAATGGAATCACTGCACAAAATTTGTCCATAATTTCTTCCTCCTTGCAAAGAATGGAGTGGGTGGGAATTGACCAGTTCACCTTGCTCACCTGATAAAATGCATATTTAGTGCATAAATTATGTAATGCTATGAATTACTTAATGAGTCGAGTATAGATAATCTTTAACACACTTTATCCGTTAAAGAAGCGATGGACACATTAACTAAATACTTTTTGGCAGATTGTTGGTCTCCAATCAGTCCGAGACTAAAGTACACTAAACCGTTCCTCATAAACTGTCGTATGACGAATGTTTTCGAATCGTAGAATGCATAATCTCCCAACCAAAACGTGTCTGTACAAATTACAAAGTTTCCAATTCTTCAGTTGAGTTAGTATAAATATATAATAATCTCGTCGCACGTACCACTAACTTCGGCAAGAACACCAGATTCAAAAATAAGATTCGGACTTTTCGAAATGTTTGGTAGCATCATGTGACCTTCTCTCAAGTGACTCAAGTACTTTGGAATAGGAAGAAGTTCAACACTGTGAGCGCAAGATGTATATCGTCCCAAGTGGCATAAACAACTTAATCCTCTGCGTAAAAAGGTTGGGATTGTATAAGGATTTATAAATTCAACAATTTCATATATATTTAGTATCTATCGTACTTGAAGGTACACTGCTTCAAATGCTTTTCCATTGCATCCCCCTTCAAAACCACGGAACACCCGTTAGCTCTGTAAACACATTTGAGCGTTGAGTTGAGGATAATCGACTCCACAGGAAAATTACGTCCCTCGGAGAAATTTGCCTTGCAAAGTGGGCAATTGACCAATTTTGATTTACAATTGAAACAAATTATGTGACCCCTGTCGCAGTGATGGATTGGAGGAAAGGGAACTTCCTTGCAGATTGGACATTCTAAGATTGCAAGAAGCTCAGATGCCTCGGCCAGTTCGTGAATTTCGGAAAATCTGCGAGTATTAAGAAAACTGTGGTAAAACTTAAGCTTTAAAATCTTATTCAAAATCTTGAAAATGTTATTGTCAAAATATTTGCAATACCTGGACTCAGATCCTTTGGAAGATGTGGTCAGCATTTATAATATTTATACTATAAATTTTATAACTCAAATTCAAATAATGTGAGTCAACCTCAACCTCTACTGAATTACCCACGGTTAGAAATAATGCGAATGTCGATACATGACGCTGACGCATAAAATGAGAATGGACAGATAATCATATTTGACAAATTGGTGATAAGATAGTACTGTCAGTCAAATGTGATACACATTGCATTGTGTGAATATGTGTGTGCATTACTGCAGTATTAAGTAGACCATGAAAGTATAAATAAAGTTCGATCTGATCTAATTAATTGCACCACTAAACTACCGATATATTGTCCTCATGATCATGATTTATTTATCTGTTTATTTGCTTCATTGCCAAAAGTAGACTTCCGAGTTGTGACATTTTATTTAATTTAGAATAATTTTAATATCACAGATGTCCACAAATTATTAGTTTGTCTCCCAAGCGAGACAAATTAAGAAGAATGCATCAAATTACTTTGTAAGTGTCAGTTCTTGGAGTATGACCAATTTTTAAAATGGTTTGTCGTTCATTGCAGAACTTTGGCCAGGAGTCAATTTCCGAGGGCTCTTGAGTCGTTCGTTTATTGGGGTTCCTGAAATTGAGTTACATTTAAGATTTACAGAATTGCAATTTGCAAGACCATCGCATAATTATTAGTCTCTCACCCAGTTGAAGCGAAATTGACCCAATAGTTTACCATCATGGTACTGACGCGCTGTTCCTCTTTTGTTGAAAACTCTCCGAAAGGAAACAAATACATGAGATCGTCTGCATGAGCTACTCCTAAAGTTGAAAATAAGTATAGTAGTTAAATTAAATTAATATTTAGAACCAATTATGCACAATGAACCTTTAGGCACTTGAGATACACCTCCCGTATAAGAATACAGACTCTGGTTGCTGCAGTGTGAAAATTCATTTAATTAAATAAATTCTACTCACATTTACTTTAAATCTATTTACCCTTCATATTCAAAAGAATAAAAGTAGACATCGCTATTTTCCGTGTGCGCCTTCGCCGTTTGAAGTGCTGGATTAGCAAAATAGAACCGAGTGTAAATCTATTTAAAAAAAGGTAGATGCGTATTCAGAATTTGTCAATCCGACTAAATTGTTAGCTAAGGAACTATCTAATTACCTCTGTAAGACCTGTTACCATATCGTCAAAATCTCCCGTTTGATGGTTTTGGCCAAGGAATTTTTTTGCTAACGCGTCAATTGTGCCGTTTGGGGAATCAAGAAACCCTGCAATTAATTAATTAAGTCATCCCGCCATAATCTGAGGAAACTTTTCGGCATAAATATTTTGAACAAACCAAAATGTGACGATGTAAGGAGATCCCTAACAAAATGATTTTTTAAATAGTGGGAATCCTTGTGCCGATTTTTCGCAAGGAGGAAGCTTGAATAAATTTTTGATAACAGGAAAGATCCTTCGTGTCGATTAATACCGACCATTAGAGGAACGTGCGAGTGAAGCCGAAACCCGTCAGTTTTTCGATAAGGTGTAATTTTGCGCACTTTATCCAATTGGAAGCGTTGCTCCACGGGGGCAGACTTGACAAAAATAATCATTATTATGTAGTTTTATGTCATTGCAAAAGAGTCTATAGTTGTTGCACAAACATAGAATGCTGGTAACGCATCAAGAATTTTATGGGCTGGTAGACCTCTCATGCAACTCAGAACAATTTGCAAATCTTGATTTTGCTGCGTTCCATTTGCACATCCAAGCCAAGTTGCTGCTGAAAGACTATTTCGCAAGGGATTGTGTTCAATCGCCCATCCCGCAAAACTGTCACCTTTTGTTTCAAATTTAAAAACCAATATGACATATTTTTCTAACTTACGAAATCACTACAAATTTTCAAAATTTATGAACTCACCACTTGAAGCAATAATCCTATGAAATAAACCAGACGCCATGGGACTATCAAGAAGATACGTCACTGCAGCTCCGCCAGCACTCTGTCCAGCAATCGTTATTCTATTGTTATCTCCACCAAAATGCGTAATATACTTTTTGACAAATTCTAAGGCCAGGATTTGATCGTAGAGACCAATGTTTCCCGGAGCATCGTCATTCTCCAAACATAGAAAACCTGTTTAAATTCCGAATATATGCAAATCAAGTTAATGCGTGATTAAATATATTTTCTCTACCAACCAAAAATGCTTAGTCTGTAGTTAATTGATACGAATACGACATCCCTGTCTAATATTCTATGACCACTGAACATATTTCCTGACCAGCGTAAGAATGATCCGCCTGAAATTTTCAAAAAAATAATGTGCTATCCTAAATTGTAGAGATTTGAATTTAAGTAATTATACCATGCACAAAGACAATGACCGGTAGACCAACTTTATTATTTTTCCAGACCTGCACAATCAATTCACACCTTCATTCATGTCAATTCTTGACCCCGTGTTTCAAATAATTTCATATAATAGACATCTTCATGTTTATTTGATATTTTGGTCTCACATCTTTCATTGGCGTATAAATCGATAACGTGAGACAATCTTCGGTGAAATCTCCTGAAAGAAATGGCAGTAATGGTTGTTGAACACATGCCTTTTGCGGCAACGTTGCATCGAAAATACTTTGTCCTGATTCTTCCTTAGCCGAAGTCAAATTTTTTCTCAGCACTGCTGGGGAAAATCTTGCTGGGATTGTTCCATAAGGAATCCCAGTAAAACTTAGGAAATCTCTCCCAGTCGAAGGCGTTCTTTGAATTGAACCACGAATCACGCCGAATTCGGTAATGTTCACAACTACGTCATCGTCGTAGTTGGTTGTATTGGGTTCAATAATGTCGTTTTCTCGTAAAAAGAACACAGTGGCGAATAATAAATGCAGTAAAACAGGCAGAATCACAAATGTTCGTAAATGAGGAGAAATTAGAAAGAATACTTGTTTCAAGTACATTATTCCTTCCGCAACTTTATTTATTGATAATACTATACAAAACAATGGAGATCGCTCTTCTTTCGTGGAACTTGTAAAAGATTTTTCCATACTTGAGTCGAAGGCTTTAATGTAAACAAAGTTTAAATCTAAATGTTCTAAACCTTGTAAAATTAAATAGATTAATGTAGGAAAACAATATTTAAGTATAAAACATGACAACATTGAGCTATCCCAATAATTTTTACCTTGCAGTAAATTTATGTAGTTCTAAAATCAGTCTACACAAAATATTCTCACGGCATGAAGTTAAAACAAGTTTTTCTGTAAGTCATCCATTGTTAGGGAAATATAGCACTTCATGAAGTGAATTATGTATATGTATATACATAACGTATGTATGTATTTATGTATGAGATGTACTATGTGCCTTATGTACTCCTAATCGCCACATGACATTGCTTTGGAATTTGTTTCTGTGTAATTTTGTTGATGTTTTTTTGTTGAATTTTCTCATGCAAAGACTTATGGGGGTCAATAGCTTAGAATTATGTCCACCAAAAAGAAATTAAAAACATTTTAATCGACCAGAAAACCATATTTTGAATGTCACGGAAAACGGAGTAAGTAAAAATTTAAATGCTATTCATATCCTGGAAGTGTTAAAAAATCTAATTTGATGACAATACATTCTGACTAATCTAACAAACTCCAAATGCACAATGCAATAAAACGAAACATGACAATGAAGCCGACCTTTAAGGATATTTAGACTGGTCGATTTTGAGAAAATTTACCATATCACGCAACTTAAGGTAATAATCACATTAAATGTAATTCGGAAGTCTTGGTTTCATTGCGTGATCACTCGATACTTATTTTTATAATGAACACACACACACATTATTTAACGATTTGCATCTAATCTTTGCATGGAATGGTATGGAAGCATATTCGCAAATTTATATTTTTCACACTCAATAACTCATTATTTGAAGCGGTACAAATTACCAGAGTGCACACATATGCTATTTTTTTAAATAAAGTAAAAATTATTTAGTATCTACAAATTATATGACTTTAACCTATCTAGCACAGTCAAGCTTCGCATCGTGTGCAGGTTACATTAACGATCGCAATGTCGCAAATCCTCAGAGGATCTCTACTTCGCTGTCTCCCATTCATCATAATCATCCCCCTCGCTCTTGTCGTCATCCCGTGTTCTTTCCTCCTTTACCTTCCATTTCTCATCTACCGACAACTAGTGATCCAATGGGTGGCTTTATTTAACCGTGACACTCTTGGAAAGATTTTGACAACTCGGTCAAGTTTGCTCATTGCGGACAAAATAACTACGAGTCCTCGATTTGCACTGGTTTCCTTCATGGTGTTGGAGGGTGTCGTAGACATTGATCATTTTAGGTATGATTTTATATGCCCCGTTTGGTTAAGTAATACCCATTTTAATTTTAACGTTGAGATATTTCGATTTCGCAATTTGCACAGGACAGTGTTTCAACAAAGAATTTTAGAATTATTGATTGATCCGGAAGATGTGACGGGACCAGGTGGGAAAACGTTGAGATATCCAGAACTTTCTCAGGGATTTTCTTATTTTGGAGGGTTTGGATTTTGGAAGAAACTCGACAGTATTGATATCAGAGAATTAATTTACTTTTACAATGATGACGGTAATTCGAACTTTTTGAAGTATTGCAATCATTATTCGTAGATAAATACATGTTTACTAACTTAACATATAGAAATTGGTCCTACAACTTGCGAAACTGCTTCAGATTTTACAAAAAAACTGTGCTTTAAGCCATTCCCGAAAGACAAACCACTTTGGGAAATGGTAGTTTATCCGAATTTTATCCCCGACCCCAATATTACCTCGGGTATTTTACCAAACACTAAATACACTGGAGTTTCTATGCGCTGTCATCACGGTCTAGCTGACGGGTGAGGAAATTCTCATACGTTTTTTAGTGACATAATACACTATAAAATACATAAATACGTTAGGTTTTCTCAATTCCGAGCCTTTCAAGCAATGTCGACGTTAGGAGACACGTTCAAGTACATCAAACCCTCCGATTACACCAACAAAAAATCTGGAAATAATAACCAAGCAAAATCTTGTTGCTCCGGATTTGCAAGAAATGTTGCATTGGTGTGTAAAATGCTGTTTGAGTTGTCGCAAGCGATAGTTAGAACACCATTATTGTTGGAAGACTGGAACGAAGTAAAAAATAGAAATTTCAAGAAAGTTCAACTGGATAAGAACCGGAAGAGCAACCAGGAAAGTGACGACTTGTTGAATGCATGCAACGATAAGCCGACAAAGTATTTGTCCAGGTTTTCGTGCGACCCTTCTCGCAACTTCCCAATAACAGAAATATCTGGAATAAAAAAAGCTCATTGTGTGAGTGGTACAGCGGTTTTGTATTCTGCAATCGTCGCTGCAGCGAGAAACACGATATTTTCAGATAAAATTCCTGAAAATGTTCTGGTGGTCACTCCTCTTCCACTTCCGGGAGCGAGTGGAAAATTGCGCAACCACATGTACGTATTTATTTTAAATTTTGGCAATTATTTCAAGTCATTTTTCATGAATTTAATACATTAATACGATGCTTGATGCTTGCCATATTAAGAACGATGGGGGCAGTTATTGTTCCCTTTTCGGAGGAAAACCCCATAAAAAGACTGCTCGAAATGGACAAAAAATTTCAAAACTTGAAGAACTCCACAATGCCACTTGTAAATGCCATCATGATGAAGGCAGTTGGTGCACTTCCATCATTTCTTGTGTATTTCATACTGGGGCGAATATATCAGAGCACGAGTTTTATTACGGTGTCTAATTTGGCTGGACCCACAACTCCGATCGATTTTGGAGGATATCCGGTACTCGATTTCCTGTTCAGTTCTGGAGCGTCAGTTGGAACAAATGGTGAGTATCAATTAGTATATTTTTTCGTAGTTTGCTACATTTTGATTATTTTCTTTCTTAGTTCTCACAGTGTCACTATTATCAGTGTCTGGAAACATCAGGGTGGGTGTTGGAGCTGATAAACAGATTATCGAGTCAGACGAAAAGTGTCAAGAGTTTACAGAAAACTTTTTCAAAGAGTTGACATTTTACAAAAATAGTATTAATTTCGAGACGTCCGATAGTGTCTGATATTCTTATGTACATATTAGTCTAATGTATGCGTGAGTCATAAATGCGTAATAAAGAAGTACTCCTCTACCATGAAACTGGGATGTAGCGAAAATCGTCAATATCGACGTATCATAATTTGTGGGAAAGTGTGTTAAGAAATTATTTCAAATTACAAAAAAAATCCTGAAACTTTACTTAAGTATTACGAACACCAGATTGCGAAATTCATGATCGTCTACTAAACAAAATAAGTTTTTTTCCTTATAAATCTTATAAAAATAATAGCGCTCCGGACGCTTCACACAATTACCGAATAAGCAGCCCAACAAACGCGAATCTTCAACAATTCTCGTGCTACAAAATGTAGCAAATAATTTACCTGTACTTAAATATGATTTACTGACCACCCGCATAAATAATTTTAGTTGTTTCATGGCGTTGGGAAGTGCATACGATAACTTTATTTTTCTTTTGCAACCAGGCTTAAAAAATAAATAGATAATATGCTCACATCCTCAAAATTGTCAATTAACTTGAAACGGGTTGACATATTCCTACAAATAAACAATTAGTTGCCTAATATCCCTATTTGCTATCATGTTTGGAGTACCACCCTTATTAATTTTGTGATTCGTGTTTTATTTTATCGCCAATGTGCCATAATCACAGCAAAAATGTCCAGGAGAAGAGTGTTGGTGAAACCATTGAATCTTCTCTCGTCAATAATGGCCAAAGTGGATCGGGTTTACACAAGATCTTTTTATACAAATATGTCAGCCTCAATTTTTGAAGGTATTGCAGACAAGAAAAATCAGAGAAGCTGTGAAAATACAGATTCTGGAAAGAATAGATCCGAAAACTGGAAGCCGGCTTTACCCGGAAATATTCCAATGTCTATTTTGTCCATAATGGACCAAATTGGGCCCAGCCAGAATGGTTCTTAAAGGAATGTGTGTACTTTTACGTGAATGACGGTTAGTGTAAAATTCTATTGTTAAGAAGGCATTTTTATTGTCACCAAATTTGCACATAAAAAATCCAGCTAATTACAAATCCGACTTCCTCACACTGGAAAACACAAGCTGCTGTTGGCCAGAAAAAACTTCACTACATTAACGCCAAAGGTTACACACAGCAGGAAAAGTTGAAGAACTCTCATATTTTTACAAAGTTTTTAGCTAGCTTTACATTTTTTCTGAGAATGCTGTACGAAATGACAGAATTCTCCTTGGCCAAAGCATAAAAAACCGTCCAACCATCTCCAACAAACCCTTGCCATCCTCTCCACAAATTATGTATATCAGTGACCTGACCACAAGGATACGCGGCTGGGAAACCTAAACATATCGCATGGAAACCCCTTTCGTATTAGTGAGATTAAGGAAATAAAGCAAATTCACAGAGTCTCGGGAACCGTGTTAGTTTGCGGCGATAATTGTATCTGTGAGAAAATCCCTTTTTGACAGGCACGATAAAATTACTTCATATATTGAGGCTTCCATCACTCTTCCAATACTACAGTGGGAAGCTGAGAATTCGGAGGTGGATTCATGCATACTTAATTCTACTGATCTAATAATGCATAAATATATGGATTCAATCTTGATTCCTAATTTCTAATGGCGATATCCGTAATGCAGCACTGTGGGGCTGCGCGTATACCATTTACGAAGATTCAATCAGACTACTCCATAAAATTTAAAATATACTCCAGCGTTTGAAAAGGGCAACTGTTCCCTAAGCTCTATTCTAAGCTCTGTCATTAATCATGACCACATTGGATGGACAACTACCCTGCTGGGCGTTTCCGTTTAGACGTAGATCAAATAAAATGAAACTCTTAGAAATTACCAATGCCGTAGGACCGATTAACATGTTCGACCTTGCGGAGTATCTTAGTGGTTTTTGTTTGGTTTTTCTAGTATTCAAAGTGAGAAAAAATGTAGGTCTTTGAGCAAATATTTCCCATCACTCTTACATAAACATGTACATATCTACATCAGTTATATATGTCACGTATATTTTTTATGCTTGTGTTTGTAGTTTCATTTTTCTTCTTAATTTCCACCGAAGGAAGAGTAAGATTAAGTGTAATGTCAGAATCTGCAGCAATCTCCTCCAACCAAACGAAAGTTACTAACTGATAACTTTTCTAAGGAATAGGAAGAATTAAGAAAGTATGGGAATCACAGTTATGTATATCAGTAGTAGCACTGATTTTTTATGAATAAATACGCATACGTACAATACAATAAGACTCCATGTGCGTATGTACAGATAATTGACGTTAATAATTTACAACCAAATGTAGCTAATTATTTATCCCTCCATTCGTCCACTTTGCACATGCAAACTACATTCAGCACTCAAAATGCTGAATGGTTTAGTTTTTATGCATTGTTGTGTAATCTACATTTATATTTCCTCAGGCATACACATAACCCACCAAAAATCTCACACTGCGAGTGAACATATGCAGTTTTAGGTCTATACATGATGAAAAATTTCAATCTTTCTACTGTGTTGCCCAACCACTGGAATTTACGTTTTGGGTGCGTACACTTTTGCAAGTTTTGATTTTATTATCCTTCATTTCATGCTATTCTAGAAATGACACACTTCTTACGATTTTGAGACTCTCTTCTTCCATATAATGGCGCATGAAAGAATATGGAAAAGGAAAACTAATGACCAGCTTGCATAACTTGATGAAATGTATCTACCTATTTGTATTTACGTTGCCTATTGTTAGCATATTTTCCCAAACCTACCTCAAACCTAAATGTCTTAACCAGTTATTCTCCGACAGTCTGCATTTCTAAAAGAAGACGGGCACAATTTTACAGAAACGTTAAAAACCTACGACAACAATGGAGTCAAAACGGGTTAAAAAACGACTAGAATATTTAGACAAATCATTAGAGAGACTTGTAATTTTCTTCTTGGCTCTACTGATCCTGCTAATTTTCCCCATAAACTTGGTTCAGTTTGCAGTAGTTGCGTGCTATCGGAAGTTTGTGATTACACTTGCAAGAATTTTTAAGCGAAAAACACTAGCGAAACCATTAAGTATTCAGTCATCAATGGCAGCAAATATGGATGCCATGTACAAAAGTTCTACATTTAGCATTATTGCGCCCGTAATTTTGCAAGGGGTTCCTGATATTGAGCACATTAGGCAAGTCATAAAAGTGAAGTTGTTGGAGAAAATTGACCCCAAAACGGGAAAGTGGTTCTACCCCGAACTGCTACAAAATATAAGCTATTGGTGGGGATATGCCTTTTGGACGAAATTAGACAAAATTACGCCCACGCGGTTTATCCAAGAGTGCGTACATTTCTATAAAAATGATGGTAAACCAAAGTATTTCCATATAACGATTTGGACATAAACTAATTAATTAAGCTTGTACAACCACTACATTTATTTGTATTGTCTTATTAAATAGATAAAATGCAATGCGACTTTCAGCAACTGGAAGACATAACACGAGAGCTGTGCTTCAAGCCGTATTCAAAAGATAAGCCGCTGGTGGAGTTCATTCTTATTCCAAAGTTTATTCCTGATCTTGAAAAGCAATGGTCTCAAGATTCCACTGACGATAAAAAGTATTTCGTCCTAATTCTTCGAATCCATCATTCCGTAGCCGATGGTTATGCAATTCTTCGTTTGTTTGAAAATTTGAGCATCTCTTCTTCCTCAGATGCCTTCGACTATTTGAAACCCCACGATTACACTCAACAGAGAAATGCAAACAGTTTGTCGTTTACCATCAAAATAGCGAAATATATTGCTCTGGGCTTTAAAATGATTTACCAAGTGTCAGAATACATGTGCAAAAGCATGCTGTACTGCAGTGAAGGGTCTTTATGGGATTGGCCTGCTAAAAGGCCTACCTCGCCCAAACTTTGGAATGCGGTCCCTGTCGCAGAACTTCCAATGAAACGATACCAAAATTACAAAACCAGTTGGGGAAGACTATTTTACCTCAGTGAAATCAATGATATTAAGAAAATTCATGGTGTGTCCGGAACGGCAGTCATGTATGCAGCAATTTTGGGATCAATAAGGCAAAACATGTTTGCAGGGAGTAAAACGATTCCGCCCTACATGAGTTTTGCGGTGACACTTCCACTCCCACGGAAAAGCGATAAGCTGAGAAATTTTACGTAAGATACTGTAAAAACAAATATAGAAATTGGGTATGCAATTTTTTTTAATTGGTAGAGCAGTGCGCTGATGACAATGTTTGTCCCTTTGGGAGAGTCCGACCCAATTAAGCGCCTTCATAAAATGCAGCAACATCTCGACATCATGAAGCGATCGACTCTTCCAGTCGCGGCAACCCTGCTGACCAACGGAGTCATGGGCCTTGTTCCTCGAGCCTTTGCCAGTTTAGTTGATGAAACTGCAAAACTCACCGAGTCTGCAATCTTGTCGAATATGGCCGGCCCAAAAAAGTTCTATGATTTGGCCGGCTACCCAGTTCGAGACACTTTTTGGGCTACGGGGCAAATCATTGATAGAAATTGTACGAATACAAATTATGATCAAAGTAAGATATTAAATTTCGAAATTATCTTGTTCCTCTATTTTAGGTGTATTCATGAATATATTTTCTGGAGGAGGAAAGGCACGATTGGCCGTGATGGGACATGCAGGGCTGATAGAATCAGATCAGAAGGCTCAAAACTTTATCGATTCGTTTTTCCAAGAGTTGGAAATTATGAAAACTTCTCAGCAAAGTTAAGAAGGCAGTGAAGTTTACAAAAATTTAATGCAATCTACTAGTAATGATGCTCATTACTGTTCAGTGTTGTCACTTTAAGCATTTAGAAAACCTTGAAACCTGCATTACTGACCAATATATAGTCAATTGGTGAAGGTTATATATTCACTCTACACATGTACATAAATTGATAATTTATTCTTCACTACAACAGAAGTCCATTATGATTTTGTGGTTGTGTGTTTCTGGATGATTGAGCAATATTCATTCATATTCAACATTCCATTAAATATCCCTGTTAAAAAATACTTGATTGTACGTCGGTTGTAAGAGCCAAATTAGAGAGAACATGAATGACCTCATTCTGAGAAAAATATCCAGAACTTGTTTCGTCTATTTTGGCATTGACGTGTACTTTACTTTGTCACGAGTGACGATTTTGAACTTTTAATAATTTAATTGAGACGACAGTTAGTGAGCCAATCAGAAAACAATTCCTTCGAGTTGTCTTCATAAATATTCTTCATAAATATTTTCATATGACTTGTGCATTTTGCTGCACTTATATTTCTCATATTTCTCTAATTGTTATACGTCATTTGTTTCGTAATACTTCTTGCATAAAGACGGAATTACTTAATACTTAACTACACAGGCATTTAGAATATTTATATATTATGTATATGAAAAGGTCTACATGACTAATCCTAAGCAGAATGAGTCCTTCGACGACCCGGTTTGTCTAGCAATAATTGGAAAGGAAGGTGAAAGTCGTAATTGTAGCGTTGTATTTTTAATAGTGAGTCGAAGCACAACAGATTATTTATTTCTAGTGTTTCTCCGGGTACGCGAACTATTTCCATGCATTGACAATCACATTCTGCTTTATCACATTCTGTCATCTGCGACTTTGATATCGTCGCATCGTTATTAAAACTCATACTCGCTCAAAGTCAATGTGTCTGGCTGGATGGTAGTGAATTTTCGCTATAAAACTGTCACAAATTGGATATTTAGTCATTAAACTGCCCGTTTACGAGAGAATTTGTATAATTATTTCCTTAACTTTTATTTACCGTGTAATTTTTGTTCATTTACTTAGAAATCAGTCTGTAATTAACGCCAAGGTCTTTGTATTTGGGGTTAGCATCAAAATTTTAAGAAAAGTAAACAGCAATAAACTATTAAAGCCGGACAGATACGTATTACGGCGCAGTGGGAAACCTTGATACATATCTTCAGCGTCTACTAAATAGTGCTGATTTCAATTTAAGTTAAAATTTAAAAATTGTCATTGTTTATTAATTCTTTTTGTCCACGGGAAAAGATGCATGACTTTCATTTGGGGACATGGAAGCTAGTTTTTGCCTTCAGCAAATTAAATCTTCCTCGAACCCCAATATCAGTCAAAATGTTGGGCCGCTTACCCGGTCAAGCATGGCTTAAACGAAATAGTAACAAAATTGGAGGCCTAAGAGACCAATTTTGGCGAATCTCCTCCATATTCTCTATTATTTTTACAATTTACATTATCCTATATCTCACCAAGCAATTCCTCATTTCCAAATCAGACGACTTGTCGCTCATGACAGTTTTCTTTTTCGTGCTTCACACCGTGATTGGAACAGTGGCAGTGATGGCGTTAGGATTCACGCGGCACAGTGGCAATTTGCACGTGAATATCAGAAGTTATTATTTCCTGCATCAAAAATGCAGAGGTTTGTATATATTGTCTTATAATCTAAATGTTCTCATTAAAAATATTGAAAACCAAATATTTTTAGCTATCAACCGTACAACGGCTGAACAAGATCGGAAATTTTTCTTCGGACTGAAAACCACTCTCATTTTAAGCGCAATATTCTGTTTTTCATTTCCTCCCATTGGATTCGTTTTCCCGTTCGTTACTAGTTCGATTCCGATAGCAAAACTGACCCAGGACACACTCGAGGCTGTTGGAATATCGCCATCCTTTTTCAATGCTGGCTGCCAAAAGTTTATTTTCCAACTGGCAAAGGCGCTTTTAAACTTGACTATTTTCGGAAATTGGGGCCTAGTATCTGTTAACATGACGTGTTATATCATTTGGTACATTCGTTTTGCTCTGGATTTGTTGGACAACCTGGAAAACTGGACATTGAAAAACATTTGTTCGAAAAAGCCAATAGCTGGACAATCTCAATGCAACAATAAACCATCAGTAGTTGGACCCGTGAATAATAATAGACGCAAAAAAGTTTGGCATAGTTTTAAAGCGGATGCAAAGTTACACCTTTTCTGCCGACTTTACTCTGAAGCAGCCATTGGAATTTCCATTTTCAATGATTTTGTGAAGTGTACCTTTTCGGCCGTCTTATTTGGGTCGTGTAGCATGGCCATTCTTTCTGCATACGGAGCCATCCGATTTTCCAACGAGGCGCACTTCATTCTCCAGTTCACATTCATCTTTGGCCTGGTTTTAATCGTGTTTCTCACGTCTGCAGTTATTCCGGCCGCGTGCAAAATTAATTACAAATCTTCAAATGTGCTATATTTCTGGGGATGTTATGCGAAATCTAAAACGGCAAGTCAACAAATTAAATGCTTGCAACCTCTCAAGGTTATTTTTGAACCGTTCTTTTATGGTCATCGGTCGACCACCTTGACCATAACTTCCGTATGTATTGACATGCTGGTGAATATGCTTTTGTACAAGAGCTCGTTCGATGACTAAAGTGACGTGGTAATGAGTACGTGCTATGCTATGCATACATGCGTATATCCAATTTAAGGCTGTCTCGGGGGACTGAAATGTGACTGTTTTTGAACACTCATTAATGTTTCGATTGTTTGACAGGCATCGCATATATTGTTTACGTGTAAATCGTTTTTGGAAATTATCGACATGCTAAGCGGACATTGTCCTTTCAATAAATACGTTGGTTTGGTAGAGTTTTCCGCTATTGTCAAATTTCCCGACGGGAATAAATATTTATCCACATCAAGTTCGGGGACATCTCGCATATCAATTCTACAGGGTTATAAACGAGTTTGTTTAATCTATAAATATCTCACTGGATAAAATATTGTTGTAGACGATCGTAGCTTGATTAAAATGATATGTAAAATATCCCAACTTTATAAATTACATAGGTATTTAAATACGTATATATTTATATTATTAGATATTTTTATTACTCATGTTTGTGCGTAAAAGTAGCAACAAATAAATTATATCAACGACATGAATTAACCTGTAGACTACAAGTTGTAGTAAATAAGTTATAATAGCGTTCCTGTTGTCTTAAGCAAATAAAGTGGCTTTCAGCTCCTCTAAATTGACTGTTATCGATTTCTCAGTTATCGTATTTCAAATCTCAAATATTTATTTAGTCCCGTGTTCATAATGCCAACAAATATTTATGTAATTCACATTTTGGCAGAAACCTGAGCTCCATTTCCTTTATTGAAATAGTTCTCTTCCAAGTTCAATGTAGAATACATCATAGAATATTTCACAATGGAGTTTTCAAATATCGAAGCTTTGAAGTGTTTTAATTTGTCGACTTGGGAATCCGTTATTACTTCAAGTATTCCACACACATGGCGTCGACATTCGATTACTTTCCTTTTCCAAACTGTGAGCACAATCACTTCCACATTAAACGGTGTGAAGTGGATTCGTAACGCCAGAGCAATATTTTGGCTTTTTTCTATACTTCTTTCTTGTATCATGTTCTTATATGAAATTGCATTCTTGACGAAAACTCTGGTGGTTTCAAAATCAGACACGACCGAAGTGTTGGATATGTTCATGTTCTTGATACACGTCGTCGGAGGACTAATTTGCCTCCCTATTTGGCTATTCTTCGCTAGGAGAGCGGCAAGGGTCGGGGAACTTATTTCCAGCTTTTGCAAATTGCATACCTTGTGCCGTGGTAAGTTTTCAAATAAGCTTTAGATTTTTTACTATGGGGTAAATATGTTCCAAATTTATTTAATATAGCGATTTGTGGATCACGATCTGCTGATAAACTTTACTATCTGAAATTACAACTTACAATCTTCTTGGCATCACAATTTTTCGTGGCGTTTCCAATAATGGGTCTAGTTTTACCAATTGCCATCGGTAGAGATCCGGCCAGTCACATAATTGATGATTTATCGGCCTTAATTATAAGGCCAGGCTCATCGTGTCTACTAAATATTTTTCACCTGGTTCAAATATTTTGCAAATGTAGCATAAATTTAGTCGTTTTTAATTTATATACAATTCTTTTGTTAAATTTTAGTACTTTTATAATTTGGTACGTTAGCGTGGGACTTGACTCCTTGCAGAATTTGAATGACTGGGTGACATCCTCATCGGAAGATCAAAATAGAAAATTGACTACACAGTTAACCCATAGGTTTCGACAAAGTGTATCTTTAAGGCATTTGGCACAATTAAAATTGCAAGATTGCAAATTTCATCAATTTTGTAGTCTGTATTCTCAAATCTCTGTAGGATTCCGAGTCTTCCATGAATACGTTGTAATTAATTTAACGTCACTCTTGTTTGGCGGCTGTAGTCTGTTAGCAGCTTTTGCATTCGGAACAATCCGATTTTTCGAAAGTGTGAACATTGTTGGTGTATGTATTTTATTGTTTGGCACTATTTTCGTCCCGTATCTCCTCTCATCGTTTATTCCATCATCATGCGCACTTCAACAGTGTTCTAGAGACATTCTGAGAAAATTGAAATGCCAAACAAATTCCAGAACTGAGAAAAGAAAATTGGCTTCATTGAGTCCAATAAAAATGCTATATGAGCCATTCTTCTCAGGAGGAAAGTCCACCGTCTTCACCATACTTTCAGTCTGCATCGATGTTACTATAAACTTGTTGGTTTATTCGAAAGAATACAAGTAAAAAGACTTTCAATAAACTGTACTCACTTTCTTTATTATTTACTTAAATAAATAATTAGCATAATTAAGTATGTACGAAAAAGATAACTTTACAACATTAGAGACGTTACGTTCAAGTAAATAAAATCAATGTATTTATAAAAACTTGTCTGCAATTTTTGATAATTTTTTCATAAACTCGGAATTATCAGCCTCAGAACTCTTGGTCCACGCTAAAGGAAGGTGAGTGCTGCACACGGCTCGATCTTGAAAAAAATTGCCAGATCCAAATTTCTGAATTACTTTTGCTGGGGCCACCGCGAGCCAAACCAACGTGTCCGAACCTTCTTGTGGGGTTCGCAGTTGACTCTTTAAAAAACAGAAAAAACAAGGACGTGTAAATATCGAAGTGGTAAAAGATACAAAGAAATTGAGTGTAAAATTAACCTTGTGACGTTCATAAAAATCCGGAATGGATTTTCGAACCCCAGGCGTATTAGCCCAACCGGGGTGCATGGAAGCAAAAAATATATTTGGGTGTGATTTTGCAAATTCTTCGCACATTACGACTTGCTGTCTTTTATTTTGCGCATAAACAATTACGCCATCATACTTTCTCCAGCGGTCAAAGTTGAAATCTTCATGGTCCAGCTTTTGTGTGTACATTCCACCAGAGGAAACCATCAAGACGCGTGGATCTTCAGATCTACAAAAATCCAGAAGTGGCATTCCTTTGTTACTTGTTTAATTATTTTAAAGAGATTTGTATATGTTTATTACTTGGAAAGAAGACCCAGCATTTCCCTAGTCATTAAGTAATACCCTAGCGTGTTTGTGGCGAAATTAGCGTCTAGACCATCCTCAGTTCGTACTCGTTCATTCAATAAGCATCCTGCATTATTAATCTATTTAATAATTCAGATAATAGGTAGGATACAAAATATAAAATATGTTACAGTTGCATTCCTGTTAGAATATGCTTACTAGGACATCCAGACGTGAATGTGCATGTGCAAATCGCTTTGCAAACTTTACAACATCTTTTGGTTTTGACAAGTCAACAATGTGCAAATGAACATTGGAATTTTTTGACTCCTTCACAATCGCATGCTTTGCTTGTTCTCCAGATACTGCATTTCTACAAACCATGTGAACTGTTCCGTTCTTTTTTGCTATTTCTAATGCTGTAGAATATCCGAGGCCAGAATTTGCACCTGCATAAATTATGTATTTAACACAACACGGACAAATTGCAATCCGTTGCAACATTGCACAATACCTGTGATGATGAAATGTTTTAAAGAACAGTCCACATCAAGTTCGTGAGGATTGAAATTCTTGGATGCTATTTCGTATCCACTTCTAAATTAAATTAAGACACGATATTTGATACTTATAGTAGGATCACATGTAAATAATTTTGTAAATATTTTTGCACGTGTATTTTGTAACTTATTTGTGCATTACTTTGTGAACTCTCTCAATCCTTTTATGTAGAAGATCGTGTTGCGATAAATTGACATGCTGCCCACAAAGAAAAAGAAGACAGCAATAAGTCCAACGATTATGGATGTACACAATATTAATATTTTCATGGTTGAGGAAATAACTAATAAAAATTAGCAATTATTTTAGGGCTTCAAATTGTATGTGAGTTAGTCTAGCTAAACTGAATGAAATCAACTAAAAGTCATCAGTAATCTCACCGCCAATAATCCCAATGCATGATATGAAGCAGTATCAGAACATAACGAAATGTACTTATTTGCTATGCACACAATTGATAAAATGGAGTACGGTTACATTATGGTTACTCATATGTAACATGACCATACTTATTGATGTCTCACACTTTTTTCCATTTCGCATTCTCTTTACTCTGACCACACATTACATGCACACATGGAATTCTAGAATACAGATGTTAATAAATATTTGCATATACATAATTTGCAGGATAAGACCACAAAGAAGTTTGTGTGATGGATATTGGCGAAAATAGTTTACATGCCAGATTCTAATTTATGTTTCTTAAATTTTGTCTGCGTAAAATATGATCATTTCGTTGAGCTGGTAACAATCAACAAAGTATTTATGCGTATGAAATGTTGCCAAAGTTGCTTGACAACTCTACCAAATGTCAAGCTACGTTGAAATGTTGCAATTCGATCTTGTCTGCAATTAAAGTTATTAGTTAGCCAAGTCTCACTATCAACACCTCTTTTAATGATGTCACACGATGCACACAATCCTACTGGTACTAGTGCCGAAGAGCATTTTCCTAAAGTCAGCTACCGAAGATTGGTAAATTTAATGGATACGAATGGATATGAAATTATTGTCTGCATTGATAAAGGTGTATTAAAAACATGTAGTTTCGTTTCGCCACAAGAAAAGAAAAGGCATTTTTGTATCTTGGAATTGGCTTTTCCATATTGGCTGGAATTCTGACTCCAATCGTCAACAAAGTATTTGGAACTTTTGTGCAGACGTTGATGGATAGCAAAGCTCAAAATAATTGCATGGACACAAAGAAGTGTGATTCTCCGTGAGTAGTTTTTTGCCTTTTCTTGTTGAGTTAATTCATATCCTAATGAAAAACATTATAATTTTCCTTTAGTGAAGAAGTACGCATAAAATTGAATGAAATCATGATCAACACGATACTTTTAGTCGCTTGCCAGCTAGTGGTTGGATATGCATTCTGTGTCTGTCTCAAATGGGTGTCTGACCATCAGGTAGCAAAACGTAGAGTTCTTCCCACATTGCAGTATCAAGAATTATTTATTTTCAAAGGTGTACCGCACTAAACAACTATTTTTTGAAAGATTGCTCCGACAATCTATCGGATGGCATGATGTCCAGCACCACTCGAAATTTATATCACGACTTGTACAGTAATGCCATATGAAAAAAATACATATGTATAAAAATGCATACATAAATGTGCCAAATTTTGTACATATGTTCCAAACCTTTTCTAATATCCGTTTAGGAATGGGGCCAAGATTCAGAGAGCCACGGGAGAAAACTTGGGCATATGCTTTTCACTTCTGGTCAGTTCGATAATTGCACTGGGAAATGCTCTTTATCACGGATGGTTCTTGACCCTGGTCTCGTTGCTACTTATGCCACTTTTGGTGTGGGTCACGTACTATGCAAATGCCCTAGAGACACGCTGTTCTGAAGAACAGGATTTAGCGTATGGGGACGCTGGAACAGTTGCGGCCGAGGCTCTGGGGAATATTAAAACCGTGGCGGCCTACAGTGGGGAGCTTGTGGAGCAGGAGCGTTACGAAAAAGAGCTTCGGAATGCACTCTCTTCCGGAATTCGACGTGGTCAAGCCATGGGGATAAGTGATGGGCTCACGCTGCTCATTTTCTACGCCAGCACCGCATTTACATTGTGGTTAGGTTCATTTCTCATCTTTGAATATCGAAGTGGAAATGCTGCTTGGGGTCAGAGCAGTCCAAAGAATATTCTCACCGTAATTGACAATTTGATTAATTAAGTTTGTTTTTATATTTAAATTTTGGTTAATGTTGAATTTCAGGTGTATTTAAACTTGGTTATGGCTGCGTATGAATTTGGAGAAGGGATTTCTTATTTTGAAATGTTTGCGGAGGGTCGGATAGCTGCTGGAGGATTCCATCAGGTGATTGACAAGGTGTCAGAGATTGACCCCCTTGCTGACCAGGGTCAAATTCCTGGCGAGGATCTGAAAGGGAACATTGAAATAAAAAATTTACACTTCTCTTACCCAACCCGTCCAACGGAGGAGGTACTGAAGGGGATCAACATCAGTATAAAAGCTGGCCAAACGATAGCTTTCGTGGGCCATAGTGGTTGTGGCAAAGTGAGTCTGCTTTATTTTTTTACAATAATTTTTCTAAAGCAAAGCATAAAATTTACTCAACTTTTTTTAAGTCCACTATGATTCAACTGCTTCAAAGATTCTATGATCCTCAGAGGGGACAAGTGAGTCAACTCGGAAAATACTGAGCATACATATAACGTACTTATGCATAATCTGATGAATGGTCGTGGTCATTTATAGATTTCATTTGATGGTCACGACATCAAAGACCTGAATGTGGGCTGGTTGCGGATGCAAATTGGCGTAGTGAGACAAGAACCGACCATGTTCAGTGGTTCCATATCTGACAACATTCGGTTAGCAAAACCCTCCGCTACAGATGCAGAAATCGAGGCTGTTTGCAAACTAGCGAATGCTCACGACTTTATTATGAAATTTCCAGAGGTTTTACTTTTATGTTCAAATTATTACTTGCGAACTCCTACACATATTCGAATTACGGACGAAAAATAATTAACATTTTTGTAGAAATATAACACAATGTTGGGAGATCGTGGCGCGTTAATTAGTGGGGGACAGAAACAACGGTAAATTTCGTTAAGCCGTTTACGCATAATAAAAATAGAAAATTTGGTTTGGAAAATATTTTATAGTCTCGGAATAGCTCGAGCTATAATTAATAATCCTCGGATTGTCATGCTCGACGAGGCGACTTCCGCCCTGGACATGGAGAGTGAACGCTCAGTCCAGTCCGCCCTGGAGGCAGCACGCAGGGGTCGGACGATGGTGGTTGTGGCGCATCGCTTATCAACCGTGCAATCTGCAGATCTCATAGTTTTCATTAAAGATGGTCAGGTCCTGGAACGCGGAACGCATCAACAACTTTACGACAAACGTGGAGCATATTTTCAACTCCTGCAAACCCAAACTTTCGACAACAAACCACACTCGAGCGTGTCTAAAGGATCACTTGCGAGTAAATCAGACTTGGGACTCTCAACAATATCGTTAGTACCAACTGAAGGGGACCCCATCAAAGATTTTAAGGTTCACCTCAACACTGAATAATTCCAATTTTTTAAAAACACAATATCAGAATTTGTGGACATTTTTAGGGAACACCAAGACCTATCTCGGCACATAAAATTTTTAAAATCTGGATGCTAAATTTCCCCGAGTGGAGATGGTTGTTTCTTGGGGCGATCGTTTCCCTTTTTCTCGGCTGCGTTCAAATTATTCATGGGGTTTTGTTTGGTAAAGTGATACGAGTGTGGGGGCTCCCAGATACGAAAGAAACCAGGACGGCTGCCCACATGGGCGGTGCAATGTTCTTGGGATTAGCGTTTCTCTCTGGAATTGCTGCTCTCTTGAAAGGAGTCGCATTTGCCATGTCGGGAGAAAAACTCACATTTCGTATCAGGTCTGGAATCTTTAAGGCAATGATGTTCCAAGACATCGCGTGGTTTGAAGAGAAACAGAACCATCTTGGGGCTTTGTGCACTAGACTCAGCGAAGATGCAGCCTTGGCTCAAGGGGTGATTTTCGAATATTTATTATTTAAGTGATAAGTACTTATCGGACTGATTAAAAAAAATACTTATTTAAATAGGTAACTGGAATTCGCATGGGAAATATGATTCAGGGGTTCACGTCAATCTTCATTTCTACAATTTTGGCATTATATTACTCTGTCAAATTGGGAATGGTCGGAATTCTGTTTTTGCTTATTTTAAACATTTTGGGCTACTTGGAAGAAATTTATTTGGTTGATGAGGCTGAAGATGATCTTGTAAATGTTGAGAACAGTTCTATGCTTATGGCTCAAGCTGTGGGCCAAATTAGAACAATCGCCAGTTTGCACATTGAACAGAAATTCATACAAGATTACACACAATGTCTTGAGAATACTAAAAGGTTTTAAAAAATTTGTTATTATGTCTTCCAATTGGTTTTACAATAACTGGGACACGTTTATAATTACATTATTTTTCCTGAAGGGTTAATTTGAAGCCCCTGCATATCAGAGGGTTAGTGATGGGCATGTCGCAGTCCTTCACGTGGTTTGCGTACATTATTCTCGTATTTTATGGATCTCAATTAATGCTGACTGAAGGCAATTTGACCGTGGCGGACATCGTGGCGTGAGTGATACGAACAATCAAGGTGTTATTTATGTGTTGCTAATACTTGATTTAATTTATGTCGACCCGATTGATTAGGGTGGGTCAATTTATCACGTTCGGAACTCAGGTGGTGGCCGAAGCGATGGCGAGTGCCCCAAATTATTACAAGGCAAAAATTGCATGTGGTCGCATTCTCAAACTAATACAAATGACGCCAACAATAAAACGAAATCAAGGGACCAAGATTCCCACCGTAATTACTACGAAAAAATTATATAATAATGCACTACTTGTACCTATATACATATGTATTTTTAACAGAATAATATAAAAGGCAAGCTGGAGTTTTATCGAGTAAACTTTGCTTATCCTAGTCGACCTTCGGAATTGATAATAGAAAATTTTTCATTTCGTTGTGAGCCTGGCAAACACATTGCTATCATTGGTAATTATTTTAACACTAGCAATTTTAAATTTTACTTCAAATCACTTAACAATTACTAACATCCAGGTCCGTCGGGGTGTGGGAAATCTACTCTGGTCAAATTGATTCAACGATTTTATGATCCTACGGGAGGATTTGTGGTATTACTTATATGTACCCAAAGTAATTAAACATGTCCTTCTGCTTTTGATAACTTTGTCTCGTTAAATATTACTGTAGAAATTGGATGATCATAAATTCACAGACCTCGACGTGGACACTGTCCGTAGATCCATTGGAATTGTATCACAAGAACCCGTCCTTTTTGACAGATCTATTGCAGAAAATATCGCATACGGAGATAATTTAAGGATAATTCCAATGCAGGAAATAATCCAAGCAGCGAAACAAGCCGACATTCATGACTTTGTTGACTCCTTGGCTGATGTATGTATATAGGAACTAGGTTTGTATTTATATGCTAACAGTTGAGTATATTCTGAACATTTTTTATCAGGGGTACAATACGCGAGTCGGTCAATTAGAAGGCATGCTGTCTGGAGGCCAAAAGCAGAGAGTCGTAAGAATCATGAACCTTGGTTTTAAGATAGACTGAAATCTTCACTATCTCTAAAAATGCAACAGGCAATAGCTCGCTCTTTGATACGGAAACCTAGAATTTTCCTGAACGATGAAAGTACTAGCGCTTTAGATGCCACAACTGAGGAAATTATTCAGCACACCTTGGATTCCGTGTCGAAGGGGAAAACATGCATCACTATTTCTCACCAACCCAACGCCATTCGAACGGCCGACTGGGTCCTGGTGTTGGACGCCAAAGGGAAGCTAGTCGAGCAAGGGTCGGCTGCCAAACTTCTTAAAAAGTCACAATTTTTTGCTCAATTCTCTTCAACAACGAGATGATGAAAAGAAAGACTGGTAAATAAATCGTATTTTAGTGCATCCAACCCGTCTTTATAATTATTTTATTACACCTGAAAATTTTGAGAGATGAGGTAGGATTTTTATGTATATTTACATATTTATAGAAAGTGCGTTCAACACAGAATTATTGCAGTAATTTATTAACAAGCTAATCCTAAGATGAATAATTTTAATGAAATACGATAAGCTTTTTTGACCCAAATATATGCTATGAGGTCGAACGTTAATTGTCCCATGAGGGGTTTAATTCAAATTAATTGTACTGCATATTATTTTAAACTCATTTTACACGAAGGCATCCTCACTTACGTCCATACATTGTTTAAAACTGGCTTGATTTTGATCTAAATGCTGCACTAATTGGGCTCATGGATCTCCTCGATAAGGCTGAGTGAGTCCGTTCCTGTCCCGTTCTTACCACTTTCTTCAGGGCTTTCTTCCGTTCCTCTTTTGACTTTAGGCAATCTACACACGTTCGGTTGTGGAAACTAAAATAATATAAATATATGCATTAACCAAAAAATTGTAAACTTTCCATAAAAATGATACTAACTGTTCTTGGCAGTAGGGTTCCTCGTCCACGGAATAATACGTGCGTTCATCCAATAGCAGGTTACAATCCTGTTCATTTTAACCATATTTAGCAAGTGTTTAGACCAATGCTTTCCTAATTTGCATCATTTGCGTAGCACTCGCATATCGTACATATGTATACACCTTGCAATAGAAACAATGTGGATGATATTGACGTCCAAGGGCTATGACTGCATCTCCGGTCAATACTTGGCCAACTCCTTTTCCACAGTCGTGACATTTTGGTGCAAACTGTTTCACCCAATCTGATTTACAATAGGCTTTGTCCATCTCAGAAATGTAGTTGTCTTCTCGCAAAATCCTCTTGCAAGTAGCACAACGAAGACAGCAATCCCGATGCCATTTTTTTCCTAGTGCAAGAATGCCATCCTGTACACACAAAATGTATGTTTATATACATTAACTTATGAACAATGAGTGCATTGATTTATGTAACTCACATGTCGAATTGGCTCATTGCATTCGGCACATTTTGGAGAAAACACTTTATGAAAATCCTCCTCGCAATACAGGTTGCCATTCTTTTTCAAGTAATTATTCCCAGGAAGTGGTTTAGCGCATTCACAGCAAACAAAGTGCTCCTTGTGGAACGTTCCACCCATAGCTTTGGTCATTTCCTGCGAAATAAATTGGACAAAAATTGTTTCAAATAATTACAGCAGTGGTCAAAGCTAATAAATTATTCACCTTTTGATCTCGAATTGGTTCCGAGCAGGTGTAACATTTCGGGGAAAAGAGTTGGTGAAAGTCTTCCTCGCAATAGAAACTCCCCTTCCTTTCATAATAAGTGAACGGACAGAGAACTTGCGAACATTTTTTGCATGTGAAACATAACAAATGGTAATTACGGTTCAGCGCTTTCACTGGGACCTGGAAATTTCTAATATTATTTAAGCATTCATATAACTTAAATCTATACCTCAAAAACAGTTTTGGCACAGCTAAAGCATTTGGGCAGAAACAGTTGGTTGTAGTCATGCTCGCAATATGGTTTTCCGTCCTTTTCCATGAATTTTTCGGGATTCAGAACTTTTCCACATTGACCACAGTGAAAGCAATCCGAATGCCAGGTTTTTTGCATGGCAAAGACTTCGTCCCAATACTGCATATTTAAATCAAGTAACGGATTAATCGGCTATTATCATTTATCAAGATTTGATAATAAGGGAAACCTCATGAACTGGCATTTTGCATGCAAAGCATTCCTTGTACCCTTGAAGACTCGAGGGCGATTCCAGCCTCATCTGGGCAAAGTCCAAAGTCACGTCGTCCGAGTCATCGGAGGAAAACCGTGGGCTGGGGCTGTGCGTGGGACTTCGCCCTTGACTTCCAAGAGAGTCCGAAAAATGTCGATTTCGACTCGGGAGATGTGGCACCTCATCCTTCACGACGGTGGGACGTTTCAGTGACCGAAAATTATTATCTGTTTACAATGCAAAACAAAACTTTTAAAACCAATTTAAAATTCCTGAAATCAAAATGAGTACAAGTTTATACCAAAAAAATCCTTGATTTTCACCATTATTGAAAGAATGCAGATTTCCGACTACCTTGATTGATCTGACGGGTTTGAAAGCAAGCAGGCTACTAAGCACAGATTTGCATTGTCCTTCGGTCATAATGTGATTATTACCACTCAACCGAACATAATCCTCTCTTAAGATTACCATATAAGTCTGGCATCCTCTTCATCATTCGACTACCCGTGTTCTTTGTCTGTAATCTGGATCTTCACACGTTAACTAACCTCAATCAACAACAAGAGTCATGACCATATAACTAAACATATTTAAACCATTACATGGATGTACATATCTTTGCAACCTGGAACATTAGCAGCCACGCAGCAACTATAAAAAATTAATCATCCTTTGCTGTTGCCGTGTTTGGAATGTCCTTAATAATTCCAGTCCAGTGGTTTGGTTAACCCATTAAATAAGTAAGAGCTAAATATCAGGAGGACTCATTTGTTATTGAAAGGTGACATTTAATGTTGAAATGATACATACGTGTATAACATACATAATCATTAATCAACATTATGGCTCTACTTATAATGGGTTTGGATTTAATTATTGAAAGACTAGATAATATTTACATGCATACAAAATTGGTACGTATGTTGAATACAAGTGGGAAATAGTTTCATATTGCATAAAATATATTTATATTCTGTTTTGTAGTCGTCATATCATAATATTTCGAACCCCACCCTTCGAGTTTGAGCAGGATGATGCACCAAAACATGCATAAAAAGCTGATTTATCTCCATCCCACAACTAACAAAAGCTTGTCCATGATATAGATAATTTATTTGGGCGGATCATTCTCTGTGCCAAATCTGTACCTGCAAAAAATGTACACATTCCGAATTTAAACCCAATCTGAATAAGCGAAGTGAGACATTTCATGCTTGCCTTCCACGCCTATGTATCTACGTCTACTCATCTTCTTGTGGGGCATACAAGTCAGTATTATATATAAAATGATGTAATGCAGCACTCTTCCAGAATGACATTTGCATAAATAAAACTAATGACAGTCAGTGCCCACCTACAAACCATATGCTACAAAAACTGTGATATGACCCATGATGTGAAATATCTGTAATCTGTAATCCCAGTCTAACTTTAAGTTGCTATTCGTGAGGGATGGAAATCGTGAGATAGCTTTATGCAAATTTCATTTTATGGATGCAAATAATATCGTTTATTAGTAATAAATAGCGGCAGCTTCTTCAAGTTTATTTCTCTCATTTATCTTAGGATTAGTGATGCAAATACATATGTATTTCCTTACAAGTAGATGAAAAATAGCACTCGAATAACAAAAAATGTTACTAGAACTTGAAAGTTTGGTTTGATTAAAAAACTCGACAACAAGTCCCCAAAAATATGTTGGAATTATTTTAGGTTTACTACTAATTTGTTGTAGCTTCCTAAAGAAAATGTCCGTGTAACCTAAATAAAACAATGCAACTACGCACATGAACATCCTTGGAGATTAAAAATGGATGGGTTTAAAATTATTATGCTACACAGACCTGACCACAAGAACGCAGAATGGCAATTATAATAATAATGGAGTTGGACATTTATGGACTCTACCACGACCATAATTGTCCAACTCCATGTTTCCATTCAGCCTACCCAACATTTTTTGATTTTGACATAATCACTCAAAATCACAATCAGACTTGTAATCTCCTCCTTTAATTTCGATTGTGGGTTCATCTCATTCTCACTCACTCACTGGACTGGAGTGATAAATAGGCAGTCATAACTTTTTTGTGGTAGCATCTTCGCTTGTTTCGCGTATTTTTGCAAGGAATGTTTGGAGGCAATGTGTGTGGGCGTGCGTGAGGTTTATTCATGATACTTGATTTAAGTTCTCTATTAAAGTTGATTACTATTTTTTCTATAATAAATGGATGCTATGAAATTCAGACTGGAGCATGTAAAATACGAATTTGCCTGATCAGTGATCAATAATTTCTGAAAATCATTTTGGTTTTATCTTCAGAAAATTACATATGTTCAGTTTCATGTGCAGATGTTTTTTGCGTAAAGTTATGTATATTTCGAATAATAATTAGAAAATAATAAGTCGTTTTTTATCAGTATTTCGTAATTTATTTTAACGAATAAAGTAATGTATTGCAGAGTTCAAATATTTAAAAGAATTTTCTAGGAAAACCTAACTGCAGTGTATTTTTAAATTCATACATAGAAGAAAAATGTATCTACTGAAATGTGGACAAATCTTGTGCCACAAGCTTGCATAAGTAAATTATCCTAAAATGCCTTCTTTACATTCAACAAAAATTGCCAATCACTATTTGACTCTGTCCGATTCAGGATGTGTTTTTAGTGAATGAGTTCATTTTCGTTAATTGCACTTAAGAAATGAAAAATAAAATATAGAGTTTACAATGTTTCACTAATCTCGCACGCGAGTCATGTTAAAAGAGAAATACAATGGAGATATTACTTAATTACAAACCAATCTTTGTAGAACCATTGATTGAGGTTCTAATATGAAATTCTATGTGTGTGAGTCACACCTAAATATTTATTGTCTGTAATTGTTGGGCTGCTAAATACCATTTAAAGTTGTTAAATATTTAATTTAGGTGTTTCTTCTAGTTTAATAATTCAATCAATAAGGAAACATTACCATTTGAAATAATGGTAAACACTCACGAACTTTCTAACGAGTTATTAAAATCATTCATTGCCTATGCTGTACCTATGCCATCGCCATACATAGATATGTAAATACATACAGATAGGACAGGATCTTAAAAGTGGCCATTTACAACATACACGTCTTTCATATATAATTGTATCAAATTACCTTCGCAATTATTGTTTATTTTAATCTAAAATACCCAATTGGTGTGATAGCATGTATTTATGTACGTATGTATTCAATTCTGAAATGCCTTCAAATTTGTCAAACTATTTAATTACTCATATTCACCGAAAATTCCTTTCGCCTCAACTCTTTTCTCCCCTCAAATAAAATTCAGTCCAATTTATGCATCATCATGTTTACCACAAAAGTTGTCGAAATGATTGGAAAAATCATAAAAATTTTGGAAGCAAGCATGTTATTCCCATTTATTTGGGACACTAAATCTAATACGCTGGATGTAACCAAGTCAAAGTATTCTCGGGTCTTTAGCATCATTTTCTTTTCCTATTATCCGTCATACATTCTTTTCTCAGCTTGTCAACTCTATCGAGCAGTTAACGATAAATCACTGAACGCATCGGTAATGGACATTTCCTGGATTTGCATGTATGGCGTGGCATACTATGTTGCTGGTGAAGGCGTGGTGGGGCCCTTTCTCAAGAAATATGAGCAAGCCAACCTTTTTAGAAAAATCGTGAATTTTGATAAAATATTGTCCGGTAAGTTGCCATCAAAATTTTGGCTGTCTAGAAAATGGCATTATAAGAGAACTATTTGTACTCCAGACTTAAACGTGAAGGACAATGCAGTGCGCAGATTAAATGCTGAAAAACTTGCCGTCCTGCTAAGCAAAAGTCATGTCATCGGGTTTTTCTCGCTATTATTTCTTATATTTATTGTCATCATTACAAAACCAAAAGCGGCTCAGTTTTTCTATTCTGTGTACCCTGGACATGATTTTATGTCCTTCATGGTATTTCTGTCAGCGGAAATGTTTACCAGATCCATCAATTTGGCAGGAATGATGTTGATGCAGGCCTGGTTTATTTTGTCGGTAGCATTTCTGACGATTGGGATATCAACAGTTAGGTTTGTTTTGTTATATTTACTTTTTACGTACTTGTCTATATTTAAAAACTGATTTGATACTTTGACTTTCTCATTAGAAAGTGCAGTAACTTCGTTTCAAGGAAAGTATCAATGTATCGATGCCTCTTTCTCATTAATCAATTTCACAACCAGTGCTATGTCTTTACCATGATTCCAAGCAGGATTGGATTTTTTGGCAGTTTCAGTGTTGGCCTAGCTGTGATATTGATACGATTGGATCACGCAATCACGGGGGCAGAGTATTTCATATGTTTATACGCATTTCTTATTTTCATGATCACCTCATTTCTGTTCCTTCATATTTCTGGTAAAGTGTTCAAAGACAGTTGCGACCTTGGAGATGCGTTACTCGCGGAAGGATGGAAAAGCAGATCGAAACTGATTCGAAAAATGGCGAAATCATTGCGACCCTTTGGAGTACGCCTGGGAACTATTCGAACATTGAGCTATGCAGCTCTGAGTGCATTTTATATAACACTGGTTAGCATTTTGACAACCGTTCTAAACGCATTTCCCCCACATGAAATGTAAATAATTGTTCCAATTAGTTTGAAATATTTACTTAGGTAGCTTAATAAACCAAGTTAACTCTGATGTTAACGTCAAACTTGATGTAGCTTATTTTTGCATACAAATATCTGTACATAAATTGAACTTCATGGTAGCAATGATAAGTTTTCTCGAAAGAAGGATAATTGAAACCAGGATTACTAGACTTATTAGTATCTATCTAAGTGTATTTAGGTAACGTTTGGGTCTCTTATAGATGATAAAGTTTCAAATAATATTTCAATGAAGATTCCTAGACAAAAACATGCAGTATGCTTCCTTGTACTCCGCAGTGTACAAATATATACGACACCAACTGGTATTAAACTTTAATAATTAAATTGTAAGATTTATTTATTAAAGTTCTCCGTACCTGCATACATAAATACGACAGTTGGGAAAATAACTTTAAAAATATAATAATATTACTAAATTACTAATTATATCATTTTAAATGTCATGTTTGTTCTGTGTTTTTGGCAATTTATAGCATCACGTGTACAAGTTTCTGTGTCACATAACCAAAATATAATATATACATAGTATAAAAATATTTTACTGATTAACTAATTGACGCCACATATTCTACATGCTTTTGATGATACTTCGCCTTAATTATGCGACGAAATATATTATACTTTGTTTAAGCCTTTGACCTCTGATTTCACATCATATCACATCATATCACATGAGTATGAGTATGTATGTAGCTGCAGATCTTCACTTTGCAATATATACATCTTATCACAAAAATGCACCATTATGCACCATAAGAAAAATAATGCCTAAGTGCTAACAATATGTATGTATACGCAATGGGTACCATAAGTCAGACTTTTAAATTGAATACTGCTAAGACTTTTTCCATCTGGCAATTATAATTCAATCAGTAAATACTATTCAGTTTGTCCTCCCATTTCGTTGGCCTGCTGTATTTCTTATTCCATTTTTCCTGACACATTTTAGGCAACGTGTGTGATTTTGTGTCATTTGAGTGGAAAATCGGTGACAGGAAACCATTGTCCTGTGACCACACGCATAGTTAATACTCATTTGAACTTGGCAACCAACACCTTCGTAGACAAAGCAGTTTTGGAAACAGTGATGGCCATGAGTACACGGATGGCCGGCAACAGGACATACACGGTTGCATTTCTCGAGACATTTATAGGTTTGATGCTTTGAGGCGTAGTCAAATTCGTGGCAACGAAAACGACATTGGTGTCCACAATCAAATATGTGGCTACAGTTCTGACTACAGATTGGTCGTTCCAGTCTATTGTTCACAGTGTGACACTTGACGGCTGTCTGAAAAATAATATTTTGTTAAGTATTAAAACTTTTGCAGATTTTACAAATAGACGAATGATGTCCGTTTGTATAGATATCTGCTTGAAAACTTACTTTGTGACTGCATTCACTAAAGACGTTTTGATTGCAAGGAGCACTGGTGGCATTACTGTGTGTGCATCGATAAAATTTTTTAGGATCAATCGAATTCCCAAGAGGAATTTTATCACCGATGCACCCCATTTCGATTAATGTGTTGTTTATCGTATCCCAAGTGTCGGATGAAGCTTTTAAGCAACTCATATTGCCAATCATGAAGAATCCATGTCTGTAAATTACACAAGCATAAGCACTCAATAATTTATACTTGTATTACAATTATAATTTATTATTACTAAACGAATTTAATCAACTCTTACCTTGCTCTTGACAAGGCTACGCAGACGCGATTGTCCGTTTTAAGGAACCCGATATTGTTGTCATCATTGCTTCGTACGAGTGACAAAATCACAATATCATTCTCTTCACCTTGATATCCATCCACGGTAGACACAAGAACACGATCCTGCCTAGCGGATAGCATGATGTTGTTTAGTTTCTAAGAAAATGAACACACACATTGTACACAGATTGACCTGAGTTATTGGAAAATACTAAAACACTATACGACCTACTTACTTGTTCAATTTGTATTTTTTGAGCTAAATATGTAGCAATTACAGTAATTTGGGAAGGCTTGTAGCCCATGATTAGAACAAAATACTTCACCAAAGTGGCAACAAAGTCAATTTCAGCCTTGTTATGAAAACTTGCCGAGCCCTTCTCCTGTTAATTTGCAAAGACACAAAATTAAAGAACAAATAAACCAGAAATTTATAAAAAGCATACAAGTAGATTGTAACATACCCTGGCCTCTGGGTGATGGTGATCTACAAAATAGATATTTTTCTGCGATCCTTTAACATTAGGATACTTCTCGACTGACGCATCATTGTAGAGTTCCAGGTAAATAACTGGACAAACCATCCTCGCAATTTCTGGTCTCATCCTGTGTTGATTCTTCAGTTGAATCCAATTTTGCTGTTTTTGGTCAATTCCGTTGCGAACAAGACGCTCCATAAGCGAAACATCCAGGCGGTATTTGGAGGACATGTCGTGGTCTGCAGTCATAGGTCGTAACTGTTGATGATCGCCAATCATTATCAACTGCAAATATATTAATTAATATATTTGCATGCATACATATTTGGATACCACTGAGATTTTATATCCTGAAATTTGGTCAGGTGGGGCCAGTGTGTCTGCCTTGGAACTATATAACTTGGTGCTGGGAGCAAATATGCAGTCCGGGGCTCATTTACATGTTAAATTAATTAATAGTTAATAAATACCTGCTCGCAGTGTTCAGTTAATGATGCTACAACATGAGCCTCTAAAACGTGGGCAGCCTCTTCCACAAACATGATCTTCGGCTTTAATTTAGAAACAATATCTTGTTTATATTTGACTGCGCCTGTGGTCGTCATTCCCAAAACCAATGCCAATTTTTTGCTAGCCGCCACGGAGGGATAGTCCTTAAGAGCATCGTAGTTCTTCTGATTCCAGGTCAGATCTGTTTTGATCTTGTCAACAGCCACTTTAATGCGACGTAGAAGGTAAAAGTAGAATGACCAACGGCCAACATATTCCGCCTCACCAACTCCATTAGTCTTCTTTGACAAGATAAAGTCAGGCAAATGGTTGTCTAATTGCCCAGCTCCGTTTGTAGTGATGTAGTTGGGATGTTTCTCTACAATCTTCTTTAGTAGATTTGGGTACTCGAAATAAAACAAACTTGGTCTATTCTTCTTTTTTTTGCCATTGTAATTTGCCATTGAAGGTTTCTTAAGTGTGCTGAGACTGGGCAAACCCAAGTCCTGAAGTCCGAACCAGGCAACAGGATCCGCCTGAATGGCATTTTGGACAAGTTTCCATTTGTTCCAGACTTCGCCAGCAGCTTCAATAAAATGGCTTAGGCTTATTGGAGGTAGATTTTGGAAGTTCAATAACCCTGGGGTAAGAGTTAAAATTTCTGATGCACCCAGTTGATGAACCAAACAAGATTGCCATTCGATGGTTCTTTTCAATTTCCTTTTTTCGTCGAATTTCTCCCTCTTGAACTTCAAAACCAATGACTGAATAGCATCTGACTTTGATCCACCTCCTACTCGCAAGATTAGGTGTTCAGCCTTAGCCACATTGCCATCGCACAAATTGTCGACCATGAATTTGAAAACTTTAGCCAGCGTCTGATCAAGGGCGTGATTAGTATATGCCACAACAAGAATTGGGGACTTTTGAACAAGCCATGGATTTGTTAATAGAAATTTTATCGTCTCTACTCCGATAAAGGTTTTTCCTATGAAAAATAATAATCAATAGGATATTAGCATTTTTCAATGGTTGCTTCCTTTTTTTAAGTGTATGTGTACCTGTGCCTGGAGGGCCTTGAATAATACTCAGTTTTTGAGTCAACGAATTTTTGAATGCTTCATACTGAGAATGGTCAAATCCAACATCTTGGAGAGACGGCCAAGTTTCAAAATCAAGGGGATTTGCAAATCTTTTCGGGTGACTGTTGCCGACAAATACTCGAAAGTCATATTTTTTAGTAGTTCCATATGTGCACATGACTTTTGGGAGCGATGGTGTGGTTACAGCGTCAACAATGTATGGTTTCATGGGGAAAGTATCCAGGGGCATCTCTTGTAGGTATGACAAGGTGTGACGGTAGGCCTCGAAGAAGGCGGGGCTCTCGATAATCTTAAAATTATTCGTCGTTGAATCAATGACCCAGCTCGGACCGTCTTTGCAAAATAGAACGTCCACCTTCACGTTTGTGAAGGATGAATTTGAATTGGATGAGTTCCTGGGACCATTTTTTATAATTGCAAACTTGACGGATTTAAAGTTGTCGGGAGAAACGAGCAGTAGTGATCCGTTCATGAATAGTTTTGATTCGTCCCAGTCTACATCAACCAAGTTATTTCGAACCATAGGTATCAGTATAGATCCATACTTTTTTACTTCCATTTCAGTTTCTCCATTCCTTAGCACCATGTGAGCACCCCTGAAAAGTCTACTGATTTGAACGCGTTGATGCCCTTTGGTTCGAATGGTTTTCACGCCAAAACGAAGTGGTCGCAAAAAATCCTCCAATAGGAGACGAAATTGTACATCCAAGTATTCTCCGCTTGATCCATACGCACCAATAATTTTGTTTTCTCGTACAAAGATTGAACCAGATTCAACATTCAAGTCGTTTTCTCGAGGCTCAATGTTGATGTCTTTGATTGGTTTTGGTGAAGACATTAAGTTGAAGAAGGGCAAGTTTGCATCTTGACGTCTGAAATATCAAAATTGTATTAATGCAAGTTTGCAATTTGTATGATGATAAAAATAAATAAATAATACTTACGTCTCTTCCAACTCCTTTTCCCATTCTTCTCGGTGGTTTAAGAATAATTTGAGCGTTGCTTGCGCATCTTGAATCTGACAAGAAAATATAATAATAACATCATTCAGATTTTTCCATTATTTATTAGTGGTATTATTTAATTTGGCAATGACTTACCGATGAATGATCTCCTGTTTGAATTTCATAACTCAGGCATCGTTTGGTTAAAACTTTTAGAGAAGGAGTTCCAAATCGACCAAGTTTATTCTTGAAGAATCTGAAATCAATTAAAATTAATTTGGATATAATTTGAGAAAAACATTTCATCGACTCTAAGAAATTCTTACACTGCTGTGTCTCGTGTTTCCGGATGATCTTTGATTCTGAGGACTTCCAAGTCGTTGTGAATAGAATGGCCAACAAGTACTTTCCCAGCAACGAGATTTTGGATTTGTTGAACCACTTTAGTTACGGAAGGAGCTAATTTTACGATAAACATAATATATTAGAATGAAACTATGAAGCGTTTTATGTTTTATTGTATATATAAATATGATTACCGTTTTCCAAATTTTCCGGATAGATTCCACTCTTGCCACTTCGATAGCCAGTAACTTCCTGCTCTGGTTTGGCGAAAGTGTCGAAAATACAGAATCCATACTCGTTGACGACGGATACACGTCCCAGCTCGCTATCTTGGAGCGGTCCGACCCCAACCATTTCGCAATCTAGGCCGAGCACATCTGTAACTTGAGTAAATTCTGGACAAATGGCAATGTTGTCTTCAGGTCCCCACGGGAATTGACCCAAATGATTGTAGTTGACAAACCCCAATGGGTTTAGAAACTTGGCAGGAATGTTATCGGCAGGACTGTAGCCTGAAGTAGTAGATGGCGAAATCTTAATCTTTGCCAGCGCTGAGGTGAGATCGTCTGTCGTCTCCTCGTCATCAGAATTGGCATCCACCTTTTCCTCCTCTTCTTCCAAGACTTTATCCTTGGAAAAGGAATTCTCGAATTCTGGAGGCATTTTGTTAGTCTAATGAAAAATAAGGAATAATAAAAATAAACTTTTTCAATTTACTACACGTAATAAATAATATTTCTGGAAAAATTGCAGTATAGCGGCCTAGCTCGGATATGGCTGAAATCTTTTGTGTGAACACCCTAAGGTCCGCTGAGCATAAAAATACCTTTTTTTCGCGGCGGTCTCAAAAACTGAAATTTCTAGAAATTTTCGAAATTTTGTATAAAAATAATTTGTTGGTCTTAGATTTTTATGAAAATGATTTTCTTGACTAACTAAAGTATCCTGAATATGAATCTGAAGGAATTTTTAAAAAACATTCAATAGCAAAAAAGTTATAAATTTTTGAAATTTTGTATACAAATTGTTATTCGATGTTTCAGAGAATTCCAAGACTTTGTCTCACTTTCCCTCTGTCAGGAATTTTTTGTGGTAAAATCAAATTTTCGGGGTAAGATGAGATTTCTAGTTTCCGGCTATCCTAGGTAGCACTACTAGCTAGCTCTCCTAGGTAGCACTACTACCTAGCTCTCCTAGGTAGCACTACTAGCTAGCTCTCCTAGGTAGCACTACTACCTAGCTCTCCTAGGTAACACTACTAGCTAGCTCTCCTAGGTAGAACTACTACCTAGCTCTCCTAGGTAGCACTACTAGCTAGCTCTCCTAGGTAGCACTACTACCTAGCTCTCCTAGGTAGCACTACTACCTAGCTCTCCTAGGTAGCACTAGTAGGTAAAAATTCCACGCTTTCCGCCTACCTAGTTTACCTAACCTAACCTGCTCGCTAAAATACAAACAATACTCCAATACGGGCACAATTATTACTTTTTTGCTATTGAATATTCTTCAAAAATTTCTTCAGATTCGTGTTTAGGATACTTTAGTTAGTCTAGAAAGTCATTTTCATGAAAATCTAAGACAAAAAAATAATTTTTGTACAAAATTTCAAAAATTTCTAGAAATTTCAGTTTTTGAGACCGCCGCGAAAAAAATATATTTTTATGCTCAGGGGACCTTAGGGTATTCACACAAAAAATTTCAGCCATATCCGAGCTAGGCCGCTATACTGCAATTTTACCATATTTCTTTACCTCTGATCAAATTAATTGGCAGTAGTGTAATAGTACCCACAAATTGAATGTCTGATTGATAATGACGGATAATCCTTTCGTTCAATGACTTTAAATAACTAGAATGAGCTGTGTGACTAAATAAATTTCTCAACAAACGTTGACTGGGTCTGTCAGTTTTTTAACGCAACGTTTCAGAATTAAATTCGAAACGTTGCTGACTAATCTTTGGAGCCGACAAAAACCAGCCCGGCAAATTACCTACTAATTTTTATACTCCCACAACCGCCCATCCTAACTAATGACACTCCACCTACAACCTAGCTCCCATCGGTAGTTTAGGTAAGTAGGTGGGTGAACAGAAAATTACCCTTCACAATTATTAATTATGCAATTAAATTATGCTTGACTGCTCGATTACTTATTTGGACGGCACATGTGGTTTTGTATTTACGAGTAGTGGGGCAGCTTGAGCAACAAATCCGCGAACCACGGCTGACGGCTAAATCACACAGCACAACTTGTGAAAAATGTGCAAAATGTGCAACTTCAAATAAATTCTATTTTTAAAATCTTTACGCCAGTATTTCTGATAACCAGTCAATCCGATAACTACTCTGGTGACCAAGGATCGTAGCTGGTTGAGACTGTTTTGATTTCTAAAATTTGTCAAAAAGGAGGAGGGGGAGATGGATCCAAAGGAATTAAAAGCGCTGTTGAAGGAGGCGAAAGATTGTTTAAAATCGAAAGATTTTCCAAAGGCACAAGCCAATTGCAAGGTAAGTTTGAGATTGTTTACCATTAGTACTAGTATCGCAAAGTACTTATTCGTGGATTTAAAAAAAATTTCAGCTCATCCTCAAAAAAGTGCCAAATCACTATCAAGCAAATTTGTTTTTGGGGACGTCATTGAAAGAGCAGGGTAAATTTCAACAGGCCATCGAAAGCTATAAGAAGGCGATAGAAGTGGATCCAGTAGAAGTGTATGCTTGGCAGGGAATAATTCTTACATATGAAAAACAAGGGATTAAAAATCACCCCGACCTTTTGGATGCATACAAGAGGGTGGCAACCTTTTTTGAAACGTGAGAACACTTTGTGCTTACTGATAGAACTGGATTGTATTATAAATTGCTTAATAATTCCTGCCCTTTTTCTTTACGTCCAGTGATGATAAGGCCAAGTATATCGAATCCACAAAAAAGCTGGCACATGTCCTGGTTTCTCAACAAGACACGAAAGGGGCCCTCAAAGTTATCACTCGTTTGGCAAAGTCACACGGCGTGGATTTAGAAATGGCCGGACTTGCGATTCAATTGCTTTCTGCGACAAAATACGATACAAGAACCCCTGACCAGAATCAATTGTATACTGAATCGCTCCACACCACTGTTACCGAGTCCCCAAAACCAAGTGATGATATGTGTAAAAAGTACTTTACTCAACTGAATCGTGCTGGAAGCTTTGAGCAAGTTGTGCGACATGCGTTCGGAATGCAGGACAAGTGGAATTTCTATTGCTCTCCGATGGAATGGTTATGCCGTTATTATATTGAAGATCGCCTTGACTCGACCATGTTGGCTCAGATTGGATCCTTCGAACTTGTAACCGACAAGTTGTTCAAACTTCATCCTTCCAGTAGCTTTGGTCATTTTGCTCGTGGCAAATACTTAATCGACTCTGGGACTAATTTTAGTGATGGGTTTTCCTTCTTGATGGTTGGTTTAGAATCCAGCTATAACTTCCACGCAGTCAAGATTCTGATCAGGGGACGATTGGATTATGGAGATTTTGAACGAGCTGTTGACGACTGTAATAATGCTCTAAGACAATTCTCTGCAAACGAAAACTATTGCAAGTTGTTCAGATTATTTCTAGCAGAGGCTTTAATTTCAATCAATATTGACAAAGCAGAAGAATTGTTGACAACCATAAAAAACGGTATGGATGATGGTGATGGGCTGGACCAATGGATTATTTTGAATATTCTCCTCAATGCAAAGAAATTTAATTTTGATTCCCTCAGTAATATTGTGAACCTTGCCGAAGAGAAAGGTGTGCAGCATTTGATAGTAGATTTCTACAGAGTCGTAAGTAGTGTTGAGGATAAGACAAATTCTGAAGACATGAAAAATACCATCGACAGGCATCTCGAGACGATACCACCAAAAAGTGGTAATGAAGAAAAATTTAGTGTTTATGTTCGCTTGGAAGCCGCAATTCTACTCTTTAACCTAAGCTTTTACAAAGAGTCTGCCGATCTGCTCTTCAATCTTACTGCAATGAAATATGGTCGAATTCTTCCCCTAGCCTGGAAATATTTGGGAAAACTTTACAGTCTGCAAAATGATGTCGAGCTGGCTTCAAAGTGTTATAAAAAGGCCTACAAATTGTCTCCTACCGTAGAAGTTGGTGCATTACTAAGCGATACATACTTTTCATTGGGGAAGGAGGACATTAATCAAGAATTACTAGTTGAAGCTACCAAAGCGTTTGTGAAATCCAAATCTAAGTGGGCATGGTTGCGACTGGGTGTTCTTTATTTGAACAATGGCGATGCAAATTCTGCTGTCACAGCACTACAAGCAGCGATTCGGTCCGATATCACTGATAGGTGTGTTGTTTGTTAGTTGTCATTTTATAATTTTAGGTTTGGATATTTTATGTGGCGGTTTACTGATTATATTTTTTTATGGATGCAGCTACGTGTGGGAGTCTTTGGGAGACGCTTATTTTCTTCGTGGCTCCTACTCTGCTGCCTTGAACACTTACAATAAGGCATTAGAGCTTGACCCTAACTCGATGTATGCTAAGCTGAAAGTTGGAGTGGTTTATCAGGTAAGTATGCATACTACATACTACCAAACAAAGCACACACAGTTATGCCTATTTTGATTTCACTAATTGATTTCTGAAACCAGTGTCTTGGGCATCACGACAAGTCTATTGAAACATTGAAGAATGTCCTTAACGATTTCCCGGAAAACCCTACCCCAATTCTTGTCGAATTGGCACGTACTAGTTCCATGATTGCTCAAGAACTGTCGGTCGAGAACTTCGACGTACGAGCTCAAATGGCTACTGAAGATTCAGTAGCTTATGCCGTGTTGTACGTGTAAAATATAACTCATTTTTAATGCTTAGTGAAATTTGGTTGAGCGTAACTTGATTTATTTTACATTATTTAGGGCCATTCTACAGTCGCCAAGACGGATCCTCCTACCCTGGAAAATTATTGGAGAAAGTTCTTTGACATTAAATAATCTAACGGATGATTATCTGGTCAAAGTGCCAACATTCCTGCTTGGGGAAAATCCACAGTCATTGGATCCTTCTAAAGTTAAGAGTGTGGAGGATTTTGAATATAAAAGAGTATCCTTAGATAAATTGAGAGAAATTGGTATTCAGTAAGTCGAGTATTGAAGAATCTTATTGTACTTCTATTGTAGAATCCTAATTGTTAATAATATTTTCAGAGCCCTATTAGAATGCCTACGAGTAATGGAGGAACCTGATGAGGATGTTACATTTTCAGTGAATCTTCGAGCCTATGTGTATCATCAACTTGGTTTGTTATATTTCCACCGAGCTCGTCGTTCCCAAGATACTAAAATGTCTTCTGAAATGTACAAGAAAGCCATGATCGCTGCGAAAAAGGCTGTTGCGTCGAATCAAACGCAATACATATTTTGGAATTCTCTTGGAGTAATATCGTATTGTAAGGATTGTGAAATATGCAAAACCAATATAAGCTGTCATGTTTGTTCTCTTGTTTCATTTATTTTATTGGTGGTTTGATTCCAGTTGTTGGAAATGACGAGTTGGCTCAACACGCCTTTATCAAGTCGTTAGAGATCGAAGGGAGCAACGTCGTCGCATGGTGTAACTTGGGAATGTTGTACTTAAAACATGATAACCCAATGCTAGCTCATCAAATTTTTTACAAGGCGCAATCTGCATCTCCTTTGCATGCTACTAGTTGGATTGGCCAGGTTTTACTTGAACAAGTTTTTTTTAGTACATGTTCATTCTACTATATAGTGGATTATATAAGTAGTACTTAATTAACATTCCAGGGGCTTTTTGCTGAATCCATTGAACACATTGAAGCTCCAGATTTGTTTCGCCATGCAGCTCATCTAGACCCCTCTGCCTTTGCCGTTTCTTGCTATGCGGACTGGGTCTGTCGGATATTGCTGAAAGAAGTAAATTTATCTCCAACTGACTTCTGGTTTTCTATCACCAGAGTTGATGCTCTCACGACTGTGAATGATTTAATTACAAAAGTTGAAGGTATGGCTAATTACATAGAGTTGTATCATGGCAATTAATAAAATGTATTTATTCTCCTTGTTTTTATGGACATAGCTAGAAACCGTACTCCCCAACTTTATAATATGAAAGGAATAATTGCTGCCCTTAATAGTTTTTACACTACGGCCTTGGAATCATTCGACACTGCTTTGGAACTCGCAACAAGCAACTCGGCATTCTCAATGACTGAAGAGAATGTTCAACAAATTCTAGTAAACAAAATTGTGATACTTGTAAAACTGGAAATGTTTAATGAAGCTGTTGATGCTTTCTCCTCGATTGAAAATTTGGATATTGTTGGATATGCTGTGGGAGCCTTGACTATGATCAAACGTAACTACAATTTACTTTGCTTACCATTTTTAACCCGAGCCAGCAGGGGTTACATATGTATGTAGACGGCTTATTACCACCCATATATCAACCATTGATTTATTTGCTATACAGATTATTGGTTGAATATAGTTATAATTTGGTGCTCAATTATTATGATGGCTCGGGTTAAATGTGTACAAGGTTTAGAAAACATTATTGTCTTGATTTTACGAATTACATATGATCATGTTTTGCTTTACGCGATAATTAGTTGGATACCTAGATCAATCTGAGAAGCTGTATGAACAATTACTTGCAACGTTACCAGAATCTAGTTCCCACGATGGAGATAGAATAAATGCAACCATTGGGTTAGGCTTGGTACATAATCTTCATTTCGGTCCGGAAGCGGCATGCAATTTATTGTTACAAGAGTAAATTAAATTCCTATACGTTTACATAAATTTCTCCTAGTCAACTTTAGTGCTTAAAGTAAATACATTGTGTTCGTGTCGTTTCAGTTTTATGGTAAAAAGTCCCCATGGATTATTGGCTCTCGCTGCTATTGGAATTATGAATGGAGATTCGGAATTCGTGAGCAATGTCATGCCACATCTTGAGGAATTCAAGGATGAAGAAAGTGTCCTTCCCGACATTGGCTTACTGAAAGCTTGTTTTCATATCATGAATGTACTAAAAATGCATACAACAAATTAAACAAAGTAGTTCTAATCAGTAACTAATGACCTTAATGATCTCTTTAACTTTTAGGGAAACTCCAAAAGAGGGGTCGACGTACTGCTGAAGCTGATTCACAATAATCCTTTGAATGTGCGATTATGGACATTTTTATCACAGATCGTGTTTCGTCACGAACTTCAGACAATTCAGTCTTTCACAATTTTGCGAACCACAATGACAGCTCTTAAATTGTCAAGCCTGGTACCCAAGGGAGTTGTCGATAGGGTTCATTTCACATCATCTGCCATGGTCTCCTTGTGTCATGTAATGAACGATGATTCCAAAACTGCTATTACCTCTGCCTTGAATGGCATCAGAAAATTTCCCAAGGTACATATATTTACCCTGTTGAATTTATGTGCATGCATATTCAACCTATACCTGTGCGTACTTATTTTGAAATATTTTGTGTATTTACTTGTGTGCAGGAAAGAGAAAATTGGATCGTCCTTGCATGCGCATTTTGGTACAAGTACGTTGAAACTCGAAACATTGAATCATATAAAATTGTGGTCAATATTTTGGAAAAGGAATTAACTTTGAATCGAATTAACAAAAGAGCAGTAGACTGGTCACAAGCTTTTCTCAAACATGTGAAATCACACTGTCCTTCTTGAACTATTTTCTGTCTATCTGTGATATTTGGTCGACCTAATTTTGTTAGTTTTTTTAAATATTCATGCATGTAATTAAGTAGTTCATTATATTACAAAATTTATATAATTAAGGCGAGAATAAATTAAAGTTATGCATACATATTTATAAATATGTATAATAAACACAATTACATCTACGGATCTTTAATCAACATGGTTTATTGCATGATGTGTAATTTCAAGTTGAAGTTTACATAATATTTTAATACCAAAGTTGATTATTTTATCGGGATAATAGTCTTATAGAGTTCATGGTTTTCTTAAAGTGCACCGAAGTTTCTTATACTAATGTTATGAAACAATTTACATACATTGTTATGTGGTGAGTTTTATAGCTTATTCGTATAAAAACATTTCAGTGGGTGTGACTTATTTATTAGCATTTATCCTTTTGAACTTTAAAATCTTTCATTATTTTTATTAACAAAATACTGAAAATTATAATCAACCTCAACTATTAAATATAAATTAGAAAAATCATAATTTGCATAATACATAATACTCGTATGCGTGTAAATCATTGGAAATGGAAGGCATACAAACTTAAATATGTAAGTAATTTTGGAAGCTATAACAAATATAAAATATACGAAATGACAAATTTAAATTAATTTAAAAATTCAATTACAAGATTTACTAAACATTTACTAAAATAATGGAAATTAAACAACGCATCCATAACCTGACTTGCATTTTCACTGGATTCATTCATGTATGTATTTCTAAAAAATGCATATATCTATTTGTTCTATGTCTATGTATTTTGAGCACCTTGACATCAATTGAGTCATCATCTTCATGAATGTCCTCTCTTACACCATTGTTATATCGTTATCATCTTGTTCTCCCTATCTACCAAATACATTTGTTAGGGACATACACACAGGTGTTAACTAATTAACCTACCGACCGACCAGCTAAAGTGAGACATTTTTTCATACCATATAGTGTCCTTTCTCCGCAATTTCTTTAACACGATGTATAATACAAGTCAAATTTAAGGTTACAATAAATAATCAAGGTACACACTCTGCCATCGATTACATAAATTACCTGTCGTTTAAATACAAATTTGCAGCGTGTGACAATTTTTCATTTTTTTAAGTCATACATTTTCTTTTCACTGGCCTTTTCTCCTAATGGCTAACTCGGTCTACATTACGATTTGCAGATACCCATGTAAATATGCAAATATCTACGTACTTATCTACATCAATATGAATACGGTTTTTTATCCAATGGTACAAATACGAAATAATCACGCTTTTGTTTTGTTTTATTGAGTATTAAGATTTAATTTGTTATTAAAGAAGTCTGTTAAATTTAGGCAAATTGAATTTTTTGAGTGAGAATGTGACTATTGTAATTCTCTCCCTGTGTCGTGTGTGTGTGTGTGATAGTAAATAATTTATTTATAGATAGTAGAGATACATAAGCTTGCTTTGTTATTGGCTTAATTGGCTGTAGCGGAATTGTTTTATTAATTTTGCTTGCTTTTTTGTTGGTTCATAAAATTCATTGTTGATTGAGATGAGCTGTCATTGAAGAATATCCAGTTTTTTTTAGTTATCTAGATTTCAATGAGCAGTTACTTTTTTTAGTTGAGAAGATCCGTTAATTGGTTTATATATCGAATTGTTTCCACCTTGAGAAAATCACTGGTTGTGTTTTTATACAGATATCACTAGACACTTGAGGAGGAGGATCGAGTATAAGAAGAACTGGTATTTAAACTCCCATCTCCTTAAACCACTGCTTTCTTTCTTTCTCTCACTAAATATTTGTGGTAAATCTTCATCAAAAATTGTAAAATGTTTCTCCTCCAGGAATATATACACACGTAGAAGTATCCAAATTCATTCACTTGTGATTAGTTATGGCAGTGACATGTGCTGTAAAAATGAATGTTTTTTGTTCTTTCGTCTTCATATCGACCAGCAGCAGACTTGTTACGTACAATTTTCTTGTAGAATTGGAATGTGTAAATGTATTCTAATTTTTTCAACTGTTTTAACTTTATTACTAACGAATGAAGACGACGACGATGATGAGTTTATCATTTAATAATAATAACAAGAAGAACAATCGTTTTTTAGGACGACGATGTCTAGACACTAAAATGGAAGAGCGTGCTACAAAAGTGAGGGTTGACTTTGACTCGGCGTGGAGTGGATGGTGGACGCCGTGGCGTTGTTGAGCACATGTTGCTGTTGTTGCTGGTGGGCGTGGGGGTGGTGGTGGTGTTGCAGCCCCCCACTCGTCAAACTGGTCTGACTTTGGCGCAGGGCAGCAGCAGCAGCAGCATGTGAGGAGTGTCTCCGACTGAGGGTATGACTTGGCGTCGTGGTGGGCGTGGGGCGGGATGATTTGAGCGATGGGGTGTGGTGCAGATGGTGGAGGGACGAGGAGGCCGAGTCATTGTTGTAGTTGTACACAGACACGGGAACCTCGATATGGTTCGGGGGTGGGGAGGGGGGTGGAATTGACGCTAAGTCAAAGGTCGGATGTCAGACGGCTGCAGGATAAAAGTCATAAAAAAGTCAAACCTTTTAGTTGATAAGGTAAACGAATTTGTAAGTATTTATTCATGAGACGAACCGTTGTCGTCAAGAAACCGGGCGGGTGGGTAAGGCGGGATGGCGAAGGGGACTGGGGGTGGCGGACCCCCGCCTGAGGGAGGGGGGCTCATGGTTGTCTCACTCATTCCTGGTCCGCCACCCCCATTTTGGTCGCTGGATCCGACCCTTTCCCTTAAATCACCTCGGGAAGAACGGCCAGATGCTGGAAACATTGGGAATTTTGTCAACATTTTCATACCACTTGTTTCTTGTGCAGCTACATAAATATTTGAAGTATAGATACATAGAGTGAATTATTTTTTAGTGGTGTCGTGAATTTTAGTTGTGTGAAGATGGTTAATACTTATCTCTATCATTGACAGTGGTGGTGTAAATGTTAATCGTGTTAAAAGTTTGCACAGTAAGTAGAGAAGAAGGTACGAAAAGTTTCGAAAAAGCTATTACTCACAAGACAAGGCTACAATGTAGGAATCGTAAAGAAAATAAAACACATTACCAAACCCAGTGTTGATTGATATGACTCAATTCAGCGGACATTTCCAGCATTCCAGTTCATCAGCATAATAATTATGGATGAAATCCACGCCAGCCAATGGCAAGTGATGAATGATCACGCATAAACTCAATACATAATAATATCAATCCAAAGAATTTGTGTACAAGCCAGAACAAGACATTCCAAATGATGCATGAATGAAATATAGGATGCGAAATTGTATAAAATGTGCAACATTACAAAAAATAACCAAAATGAATCAAGCAAAAAATTTATGGACACTCGTAATAATTTATCTTCTCACAAGAAATTTTCTAGAATCTAAGATTTTGATGAGCACATTGATTTAAATTAGCAAAACATGCTCGTCAACAGTTGACCGACATTGATCATTACTGATCGGCCATGGCACGGCCTTCTACACGTACTAACAAGATAATTGTGGAATAAGTCGTCGTTTAACAAATTGACATTGTGGAACATTTATGACTACAATATGGACGATAGTCTATCGCATTCTAGACATATTTTAGGCATCAAAATAGTTGCAAAATAGAAATTATAAATTATATTATAATACGTAAATTAGGCATGGAATAATAAATTGTGGCCGTAACACAAGCCAGGCTCCAGTTCATTCAAAGGCATATTAAGTACGTAATTTTAGTAGAATAATGGACAGGCAAGAGACTTGAGCTAAATGTAAATATGTAGCAACACAACTAAAGCTAAATAATTTGCTAGTAGATAAAGTTGATAAATTACAATATGAACGTTATAATATTTTTGAGACGTTGAATGAAACAAAATAATGGCAAAATATTGAGGTAATGAAAAGTTATAATAATGAATAGTAAATCTGTTTAAGAGTGTGAATGGAGCAAAAATTGTGTGATTTGTTAAACATGTTACACGTCGGATTTGAGATTAATTTAAAGAGTTTGTTGTTGGTGAGACTTATAGTAAATTTAATAAATTTAGAGATTATTATAATCATATTCCTCCTCACATGATTCCGCAGGGGGTTGTAGCTTTTCCTCGATTAAAGCTGAACTTTCAGGCCCTCCTCCTCCAGGATGACCCGTGGTGTTGACGCAATTTAGCATTCTGTAAAGAAATATTTTGCAGGTTTTTCATAAAAATTTGCACATGAAAATTTAATGTGCACAATGAAGAAAAATATATTTAAAGAAAAATTATGCATAAACTAAAAAAAATTGGGAAACCTACACAATAGAAAATTGATGGGAATGGAAAAATGAATCAGAGATTTGTGGAAGTTTCAGAGTTTGGGACATGATCATCTTCATGCATCGCAATATTGCTAACTCCAGCAGCTTTTGGGTCTTTATTGCTCTCTACCAAGACTGAGTTATAATTGGATTGTGTAATTTCATCAGGGCTAACAAATAAAATAAAATATAAAATTTGAAATGAGAAAAATATATAAAAACAGAAAAAGGTAATAAAAAATCTTACCCATAAATACGATCCTCTTCAGTAGGAGCCCTATTTCACAGTTAAAGGTCAAATTACAACACGAATTCTCCTCCCACACCACGTTATGCACAGCTCAATAAGCAGTTTATTCAATCCAATCGTACAACACACACTTACTTCGTCCATTTAAAAGTCTGATGAAGATAGGCAAGCTTATTTTGGGGACATGCAAGGCGGACATGAATGCGCAGTGGTAAATACATTTGAAATAGGTTTAGCAATTTATATTTCAAAATTTTTGAAATTTATAAAGCAACGAATCATTATTTGGTCCGTCAACAAACTGGCACATTCATTCATTCACATTTCACTCACTCATTCACATTTGGTTCATTTACACATTTAATATTTTATAAGGGGAGTGTGCAGTGCGTTAAAGGTCTCTCAAAAACAATTAGTCCAATGAGAAGAAGTCAGAACATTATTGGTTAGCGAGGCAATCATAATTGTTTTGTTTGTCTTTGTCGAACCTGTTGGCATTCCTTTTGAAAAAGTTTGCTATCTCTTCAAAAGTTCGGTTCTTAGTTTCTGGCACCTGAGATAAGAGAAAGTAGATTAAATATATGGAGTCTCATCTTGCCCCATTTTGAAACTCAATCTTATCCAAACTACTAATTTGGGATATGAATGAACGGCGAATAATTTTTTAATATTAGTACATGATATCGAAAGTTACCTTGTTGTAGGTGAAAACCCAGAAGAATGCGAGGAGTACGCTAAATGGAAGGAACACGTAATTGCCCAGCAACATCTAAGGACAAGAAACACAAGAGAAGATGCGTTATTTGGACTGTAACCACATTATCAAGACGCGAATGACTACCTTCACTCTGAGGAAGAACGTTCCGACCAACCAATTGCAGAACCAGTTCATGAGGACCGCAATTGACATGGCTGCAGGGCGAGGTCCTTGAGAGAAGAGTTCGGCCGTGATCATCCAGGGAATGGAGCCCGGCCCCACAGCAAAGAAGACGACGAATGCGAGCGTGAATATCACGGCCAGATAGCTCACCCAGTCCAACACCTTGGAAAAGTATGGATGATAATAATAACTAACCATATACTCGTATAGTAGTAAGTAAAATGGTAAAAACTTACGTCTTGGAACATGGCGAAAAATTGCTTTAAAAAATTATAAGAATTTTAATATTAAAGCTGTATTCAGTTCAGTGGTAGTTACATATTTGATATCGCATAATCCGAACCTTGATAAGTAGGGAGATTGTGATAAAGATGGAAAAGATGAACATTCCACCCAGGCCGTACAAATGAAGCGTTCTTCGTCTATTAAATAAGGAGTAATTGCATTTCGTAATTACATTCCCTGATGGAACGAGAGAAACGTTTTACAAATAATCAGGTTAAACTTACCCTGCTCGATCCATAAGCATAATTGACACCAAAGTCATTCCCACCATTATGGCACCAATTCCGATCGTGGCAAATTTTGCGCTGAAAGAGACCAACACGTTGTGTAATTAGTTTACAATGAACAATAATGCATTTGTCTGGGTAAGATTGGTATAAGATGCGACGTAATTTTATTTATTTACGACCGAACCTTGTAAGGTCGAGGCCTGCCCATTGGAATAAGGTTGAGGAAAAGTAGAAAACCTGTGAGGTAATGGTAACAGAAATTGACATCTCTATAATAATTCTGCAATATGGACTTAATTTTAGTGAGTTAATCATACAGCATTAATTCCTGAGAGCTGTTGAGAGAGTTGCATGACCACGGCTAAAAAATTTAACAAAATGAGTACACAAAACATTCACATTTGCACATACCTACGTAGCACTTCATAAGATAAGAATGGATAAGTAATAATAATTAGTTTGAAAAGTAGAGTCACCGATAAGCAGGGGCATCCTCAGCGACCTGGAGCGGAGAAGCTGCAACATTGAGATTCTTTCTTCCTGCGAATGGGCTCGTTGTTCTGCTCGCATTTCTTCCACGTCTTCCTCCACGTTGGTGGTTGCTCGAAAGCGCTTCAAAGCTAAAGGAGAAAAAGGCATCATTTTTTAAGCCAACCCATTGGAGAAAGTGCAGTAAATTTAGGAACCGTACCACTCCGAGCTTCGTCTTCGCGAGACAGGGTGAGCAGAAGGTACCTTGGACGTAAAAAAGGGGAAAAATCAGTCGTTTGAAATATGTCGTGTAATCATGCCTGAGACAATTTATCAAGTTTTGGCTGTTGCAGCCTTGCACTAAATAAGTGTTATTTCTACGTTATGTATTATTGACTCGAATTTTATATTAATTTTTTAGTAACGAACTAATATGTACGTCTAAATGTCGAATGAGAATATTATGTTATTCGCCATTTTACCTCGGACTCTCAGGGCACATTGGTAGGAGGAGGAGTTGCAATCCTGGTGGAACAACTGCCAGACCTGTCCCCAAATGAAAAAAATACGTACAATTATATAAGAGAAAGTCATCTAAAGCTCAATGTGAGCTTAATGAGCTTAATTAAGCGTCAAAAAAGAAGAAACTTCTTTGATTTCCTGTCTCCCACTCTGTATAATAGTCCAGATAAGCCGATCCCGGTTCGTGCAAGGATCCAATATTGCTTAGTGGTAATAAACGGCTTGACACCACGATAGCGTCGCACGATTCAAAGAAAAAATAAGTCAACCCCGCAGAGTGCAGAATGAGATAAGCTAAACTAAAAGTTATCTAAATCATGATTTGACCTGCTATTACATACATTTTGCTATACGAGGCAAACCCAATAATTAATTTAATTGAACAAATCCGAATGCAACAGGAGTGGTCGCACTGTAACATCACAATTATGGCTCATACACATTTTCCTCACAATCTGGCAAGCGCATTTTTGTAGAATTGTTTCCCGTCATTGAATGGGCACAACTTTTTCAAGAAATTTTTGTTGACCAAGAACAATTCTGGTAGTATTTGGTTTGGACAAGTGATTTTTTTGGTAATGGGAATGCCATTCTATTGCTACTGCGTCCAACAGCCGTCATCTCATCACATCACCAGCTAATTGTGTCCATAAGAGGCAATTTCTAAGAGAAAACTGTGGCACTGGCAGAGCTAATTGATACTTCCAAAGGTACTTTAGCCCTAATGATGTGAGAAAATATCATAACCGGTATTGCACTACTTTTATGATGTGATGTGATGTGAGCGGTCTGCTGGACGGAAATCCTTACGTAACAGCGTATGTAATGGAGGGCTTATTCTTACCCAAAAGAAGAGGCCAGTGTTCCTCAGTACCAAGGAGTTGTTCTATCCCAAGAACTTGGGAGACTAGTAGGCCTACAGTCACAGCTAATTGGTTCACAGTCCCAAGCGCTGTAAAATAAAACAATACGATACAATATTTTTGAAATGTCTACCATATTTTTTCAATGTGTGCATTCTTACCTCCACGCAAGTTGAGCGGTGCTATCTCACTTACATACATGGGAACCAGGCTTGTACTCAGGCCTGGAAGAATAATCGTTGACGTAATTTTTCAAAAAAAGCTACTCAAACAGTCGTTAGACTCACCGCAGTTAACGCCAATTATAAATCGGCCAAGAATAAGCAATTCATAGAAATTAGTAGATTTGGTCACGCCTAGCAAAATTCCACCACCGATTCCTAATCAAGAGAAGAAATAGTTTAGTTATTATTTATTATCTTACAATACTTCATACGTAGTAATTCCATGCTTCATAAATATGTATGCACTTATGTACCTAATAAATTGTTGAGCAATAACCCTCCTTTCCTGTAAAATTCAAAATAAATAGGTGTCAAAGTAAATGTGTAATCAATAATTACTATTTGTCAACTTTTCTACCTTCCAAATCTATTGGCAAATATCCCCCCGGAAAATCCCCCCAACATCCCCCCGATCGCAAATATGGAGACAAAAACAGAGTAGAGGTTTTCCAATTTGTTCTCAGTCATTGCCTCCCCATTCCGCTCCTCCCATGCCGTTTTCATAAAGTTTTCAATTTCCTGAAATATAGAAGAATGATGATACTCATTAACTATTCATCGTTAATCCTCATTAGCATGTTCAGGTCACAGGTCGTTATTTGGGTTTGCATATTTATAGAAGGAGCCGTAAAACGTATCCGAAAATGTGTGTCACTACGAGCTAAAGAGAATTATGTTAATTAAAGTTTGAATTCAACATGATTTCCTAATAAATTCCAATCCCCAGAGAGACCTAGATCCTCCCTCCCTTCTCCTTCCCATGATTATCATACACAGATATGAACTGCGGCTTTTCAACCAGTGCTTCCTCTCTACTTTCATACATACACGTGTCATCATTTACATAACTACTAATACTTGACATTTCCTCATGTTTTTTTGTGTCCCCTTGTCCTCTTAAATAAGTGGAGACAGTCATACAGCCCAGCATGCATGGTCGGTTTGAGGATGCATATGTAAATTGAGAGAGAGAGAGAAAGTACAAAGCACCTCAGCAGAGCATCATCGTAAGTAAGTGAGCGAGCCCTCCCTCCCACTTGTACTTATGCATATAGCCCAGAGAGAGGGAGAGAGAGAAAGAGAATGTAGAAATCGAAATCGTAGCGGCTCATGAATAAAAATGAGATGACACACCCGAATCTGTGCCATAAAACGCTATCTACCAATCTACATTTCCATACATACATCCCTCCGCACTTACTTTCACCATCCAGCCAGCCAGCAGGATGCCCTAATGTCATCCAACAAGGGTCCTCTCTCAATTTCGAATTATATTATGTTACTCACACACACATGCATCTCCTCCAGCGTGCAGTAGCCAGTCAAACCAATTCAGCACATTGGTGATAGGTATTTTATGTCATTTCCAATCTATCCGCGTCTCATGGACTGCGAAAGAGGAGGCGGAGAAAGAGTTTTACTTAATTATTCTAATTGGCAGACTGGCTTTGAGGCTTAAACACCACACTTCAATGCGGCATAAAAGCGATATAGGGATTTAAATATCTCTGGAAAAAGTCACAACTTTTTGGAAGATCCCTCTTCACAAAAACTTTATAGAATGCGAGAGGAGCAAAAGAACTATCGTTCGTTGGAATTTGGAATGTGCTTCAGAAGACGAAGAAGAAGAAGAGTGGCGGTGGTGGTGGTGGGGGAAGAAGGTGAATCTTTCAAGATCTGATTTGAGATCCTAGCAGCAGATTCTAACAGGATGAAGACGAAAGAAGAACACTGTCTGAACGACTTTGCAAATCCGTGAAAGCCGTAAAATTGTAAAGTTGTCGACTTGGAGAGAAAGTAGAGCGAGAGTGAACGTTGGTTTGGTTTCGTTGTATGTACATGTTCACAAGTCGGCCGAGATTCATACGCAACACTTCACAGACACATTTTCCTGTGTTTGTCTTAGTTTCTGCTTCGTGGAATGCAATTTTATAGGAATTGAAAAGCAAAATATTTAATGCAAATGCTTTCCAGATACCGGGCAGATTCTGCTATAGATAAGCACTTTATGAGCGTAATTTAGTTTTTTTTCGTCCGTAATTTCATCAACCCTTATTCTCACATACGTAAGCAAAGTAGGTATGCACGCACGTACCTTTTTTGGGGCGTTGATAACTCCGGTGTTGTAGCCAAATTGCAACATCCCAAGCACCGCGGCGAATATGGAGAAGCACAGAAAGAATGTTAGACCCTGAAAATTATTTCCAATTAAGAAACATTAAAACCTGATAATAATGATAAACATAATCACAAAATATGAATTGTAAAAACTTGCAAACATAGATAAATGCACAAACAGTGACGTTAATGGATTGCAAAGCATGTTATTTTTTACCATAGCGCGTATATTTATGTAAAAGCCACAACGATTTACTATCGGCACCCTTGAGTCCGAATTTCAAATAACCACATAACAGTGCAGTCTTCTTACGCTGCAGGCACTAAAGGCATTTTATAACCCGTAAAAACGGTTTACACGTACTTATGGTTACATATATCACATTGTATGAAACGATTCAATCAACCACCATAACGAATTATGCTGCAAACTTCTCACATAAGCAGGTGCAAAATCAAACAGGTTATTTTGCCAGACGAAATGGAGGTATTAGTCGAAAGCTGTTGGTAGTCATCATGTGGATTACTTATAAAAGTGGTACATTGAATGCACAATCCATCACTCGATCCATCCAGCTAAAACTTATACATTTCCAAGAGTTTAGGACCTACACTCAACATACGATGCATACATACGTCCACAAGTACATACAAGTGGCATGAATAGCAAGAATATGGTCCTCGGTCAATTTTGTCCCTGTCAAATTCCACACACACATTTACATTTCCATTAGTTTCGTCTAATTCACTTTATTGCTGAGCAAAACGTCGCCCTCACTTATTCCCAAGATTGATGGAGTTGATACAGAAGCAGATAAGTGGAGTTCTTAATAGCGTCGTGTAGAGCATTCCGACACATAATGTGCATTTTGCCAGAGAGCGCACAAGTGGAGGACGGGCTTAGGCTAATAATATATGTATTACGACGACATATACTTTCCCTGCGTACGTACGTACAAAATCTGCTGCCAAGGGATGAATGAAAGAAGGCCGTTTCATGTGAGCTAGAAACACATTAAACGACAGGGTTGATAAGTTATCGACCAGGGACACTGATAAGATAAAGTGTTGGGCTGCCTGCTTTTATAAAACTCATTATTTTCTCATTCTTAATGAGTGAGTTTAATTTAGGATAAAAATGTAGAAATGCAACCATAAAGCGTAACGAGTTATTCCCACTGCGAAGATACTTTTCACTTTAATTAGAGGTAAGAAGGAAAGAAATTCAAATTTGAAAGGAGAAAGTTGGACAATGATTCCCTTAATTCTTCCCGTTTCATTAGTCTCCTTCCGTCATGTTCAAGTGCTCCTGCTCGGATGGCCAGGTTGGGGCTGGTGCGGAGGAGGAGGTGCACACCCAGCAGCGTCATCCTCTCTCTCGTGTTCCAAGTAAAAGACAGAAAGGAAATGATTCTAATCCTCATGATAATTCATTATCCGTGTAATCCTCTAATTCCTGAAGACAGCGAAGACTTAACTCAGAGAAGCGCGTCTCCGTCTTCTTTCTCTCTTTTTCTTCTTTCCCACCTTTTCGCCAGGCCATGGGTTATGGCGGAGGAGACGAGACGGAGAGAGAGAGAATTCCACTTATCACGTGAATCTTATACACAGAATTTGTTAAAGTGGTGGAGAAAGTCTCGTGATCTCTGCTGTATGATGATCTTTCTCTTTTTCCTCTATATGCAACATTCCTCAGTGCAACTTTCACTTTCAATTTAACTCAAAATGCACGAGAGACTTGAAGAAATATGGGATGGATGGATGGACTAAAAAAAGTAGCGACTAGAAAAAAAGTGTAGCATAAGAGCAAGACTCGAACGCTCAGGCTCTGCGTTTTGAAGTTTGACGAAGGAAGGAAGGAAGAAGGAAAGGACTTGAGTCAAAAGGCAAAGTAAAAACTGTTTGTGTAGTGGATAAGACAGGACACGTCACATGTCACGTCAACTCCAATTTTATCCCAACTTTGGAGCGAATATCTATCCAGAAATGTATAAAATCCTAATCCTCCTTTCCTAACCTTTCTTTTTTTCCAAAATGCGAAAAAATCTGAATTTTCCAGTAATAATTTTAGCAAAAGCTTTGTAACGAGAATCTGTATTTCAATAGCAGACAAAAATATGTGCACATGCACGAAAAGAAACAAGCTACAGAATGTGTAATTATGTTCCCCATTTTAATATGGCTGTGCGAACAATAGGATTTCATCTCATAATAAATATTACTACGACGACGATGCTGATGATAAGGCTGATGGGACGTTATTGAGTCCTCTCTGTAGCAAGGAGCAGGAGGGTGACGTTTTTGGGACGTGTGTGGGGACAGTATTGGGAGGAGGAGAGGAAAGAGGAGAGATTTAGATTTGGTTTGTTGGAGTTTAAGGGACTGACAGCAAGGCATGAAAAATGCACTCGTCATCTCATCATGATCATCATCTGTCCTTTGTCTTTTTCTTCCTCTTCTTCTTCTCTGAGAGAAAGGAAAGGAATTTGGAATTCTCTCCTTCGTGTAATAAATCATTCGAAACGGGTGGGAGAGGACGAGGCTGTGCTGGCAGCAGGAGAAAGTGAGGGGACACGAAAAGACGACGACGACGAAGAAATGGTGGTGCGTCGTGCATCCACAATTGACTGTATAGTCTGTAGTCCGTACTACTTCTGCTACATTCTACTCTCGCTGGCTGGGAACTGCTACAGGAGAAAGCAGGCAGAAGAAGAGGGACATTAAACACAATGACACTGTCAGCTCATTTCCTCACAAAAATCGCAGAGTTTATCACTAAATGTTCATCTCTTATTTTTCATCTTGATTTCTTTACCGAGACTATTAAACCATGAGGAAGAAGAGGAAATGTATACTTTAAGTGGGGTTATCTACACATGGCGAGATCGACATGGTTATACATATGCATGCACAAACAAAAAAGTAGCAATTTGTGGTCATTTGGGTGTGGAATGCATACATATTTACGCCTCCAGATGTGCACATGTTTATCTATATGAAGAGGAAATAAGTTTATTCTGAGGAGAATATGTACGTGCATATCTTCTCGTTGAGAGGAGACATACCGCACCGGTGAGAGGGGTATGAGATCGATATAGGGTTTTCGGTGTTCTTGAGAGTATCGGATGTGCCCCACCGGGTTTTATCTAAACCCGATATCTCAGTGTCGTGTCGTGGATGGAGGAGAGAAGGGCATTTTAAGGAAGATGGAAAATCTGAGGATATTTTATTTGGCTCACAAAAAGTTCAACATTCAACTATCACCGGGTCCCTTGTGTCCATCCCAACTCCTTAAATCACATTAGAGCCGAGGAATTAGAGCAGAGGGGAGAAAGGATGATGCAGCCATCAAGGCGAACCCAGCTCTCGTCCCAACTCTCCCCTGCTTTCTCTGCCCCCGAATTATTTTATCACGCCGCATTACGAAACACACTTATGCAACTTTGGCATATCTCAAATTTGTCGTTTCGTTCGGAGACGTGGAAAAATTCACGCTGCTTTATTTATCATTCACAATTTTTGCAAATCCTCCTCGGATTTCTGATTCGGAAAATTGCTCCTATATATTTTTATGGTCTAGAAGGACAGGGACAACAGGGGAATTTGGATTTGTCCGTCGCTGCTCTTCAGTCCTTGAAATGCGCGCATATATACATACATAAGAAGATATATAATATGTAATATGACCATTCACGATGGCCTGACATTTTACTCTAAATCATTTTTATAGAGACGGACAGGATTTTATTAGTGGGTTCGAGGGTGAGGGTGGATAAGAGGCAGTTTGGCTGTCAACTAAACCAGATTGATTGAGCTGGATCCAGCAGACTGGAAAGCCACTTATTTGAGCATTACAACATTTTTTAACACAAATTCTAATAAGTCCAACAGCGTCATATACTCCTCTTGTTGGTCCATTAATGCCGACCGGGCTACTTTTACTACTCCTAATAATAATAATAGTATGTAATAAGTAAACTCGGTCAATCCTCTAAAGAGATAAAATCAATCCTAGTTATTGATCGTATTTGTTAGTTATTATCATTTGACGTAATAATATCTGAAGCTTGAAGAAGCAATCAAAAGAAGAAATTGAAAATATCATGAAGATGAGCATGAATAGGATTCCAGAAAGTTTTCTAAACCTGTTGTAGCAAATGATTTTTTCTTTGGCGACACTGATCTTCCATCCGATCTACAACATCTCTCAAATCCTCCATCTCGTCTTTTACGTGGTGCACAAGGGTCATCTCGTGTCGCATGGACTGCATATCCCCCTTCATCCCAGTCACCTGTGAAATTGGAAGCACAAAAGAAAATACCCCCACCAAAAGGCACAGTTTTAGAATTGAGCAATACTGATAATACATATGTACAGATAAGCATAAACACCCAGAGGAAGAAAATTCACAAATAAAAGGTGAAGGGAACACGAAATCTAAATACACACATCATCATCATCACCACCAACAACCCAAGTTTGCAAGAGATACATAGATATGCGAGAAAGTGGTAAAAGTCAGAGGTGAAAGTGTGCTAAGTAGATAAGTCTCTTGGCTCCTATTCTGCCAAGTGACCTCAATTCGTACGGACTAAAGTTCACGGACAACGTCATATCTTTCCTTTTGTGACGTCATCACTTGCCCACGACCTCAAAGGGAGCAGGAAAAAGCCCAACCGACAAACGTAATATATAAGCCAACAACAAAACATTATTGCGGTCATCATCACTCCTGGACGATTTGGATAATTTGATTTTGTAGGAAGAACAAAACACAATTCTTCCATTAAAAAGACAATAGACACATGTTTTCAATTGCACGCTGAGGCTGGAAACACATACACATGTACTCGCATTTAGGTACGTAGTCTCCTTTGTGGATGGATTTTAGGAAGCCGATGAAGCCCAATTTTCATACATCCACACAGATAGATAAAGCCCTCTTCCTATTTATCTACTTGGCGATGGATATAACAACGTACTTATAATACATACACGTATATGTACATCAGTATATTCCTTCCTCTTTGCCTGCCTTGCCAAAACCGACGTCATTCCTAGCCTACTTTATACATACTTTCCTCTTCCTCTGCGGTCATAGCTCTGTGATTCTGCTCTCCCTGCATTCTGCTATTTTACTTTGTCTAAAGGAACAACTTTTGCCTCACTTGTGCCAAGGAAGCAGGGAGTGTAGCATGCAGAACGAAATGCTCCTTTTACATATATACATATGTACACATGTACTTTGAGCAGCCATTCTATATGGACTTTCTCCCTTCAAGTCAGCAGACGACTGCTCCCTTCTCCACTACGCGACTACGCGACTTGAGCACCAAAGTTAACAATCGGACTGCAAAAAGTACCCAAAATAAACTCGTGTGTCTCCATTTACTCCCTCGCACATATAGCAAACATGTATAGAAGCCGAGTTATTTTTACCCACATAACAACGCAACCGGAAGAAAAGTACGAGAGAGCAAGAGAAATGTGCGTAGGAGAGGCTGAGACTTTCTCTATATGGATCTTATCATTTCCTTCTACGCACACTTCTCTCGCGTTACTTTCTCCCCGTCCACGCTGGGAAAGTTCATTGAGAGAGAAGAAGAAGGAGGAGGAAAATTCATTCAGCAGTAACAACAACAATTTGTTACTTGTATTTACTCGGCGTTGTGTAAAGCTCCATGTTCGCTTCCTTCTTCGAGGTGAATAATAATGAACTGCAGAGTTATATTATTGCCGCCTGAGGACAAGTTTTTAGTGTTTTTAGATCAAAATTTAATTGCTTTCGACACGAATTATTATACAACTTTCATAAAACCCAAAATCAAAACTCGTTTAATTTAAGACTTTTAGAATTTATGGGGCAAAGATGAACTGCTCAGTGGTAACACTTAATGGTGGCACTCTCTGTAGGCATGAGGGGGCTTAATAGTGCGCATATCAGTATTATACGCCACCCATCACAATTATTATCATCGTTAATGGAATCACGTAAAATTTTACAAGAGCTTAAATCCATTTCCCTTCCTGTATCACAAAAGCAATTACGTTTCCGAGTTGGTGAAGTAAATTGTGATGTGAGAGACCGAAATGCCATAACCATTTACCTTTTGAACGTTTGACATAACATAACAAACTAACAACACAGCGTTTCATGTTCACTAATGAAATATGACCAACTTTTACTTTTACTGCGTTCTCTCTCTCTCCACACCGAGGAAAGTGCAATATTGTCATGAACCCTGTGAGTGAAATACGATACTTATCTCGAATCTAAAACTTTGCATCCGAAACCATTCCTTGCACTGATTTGTACTACTTATTTCGCGGAGAGGAGAAGGAAAGAAAGAACAAAAAGGCAAGTAGCCATATTCTCGAGAGAAAGTGAGCGAGAGAGAAAGAAAGAAAGAAGAAAGACACGCAACGCACACCTACTTTTTACCCCACGACGACCATGCAGACTTTTGCCAAACCTTGGTCGTCGTGGGGTAAAAAGTCTCCACATTTGTTGGCCGGTGCATCAACCATGTTATTTGCAAGGCAAGAAATAAGTCAACTACGAGTCGGGGAGAGAGACGGAGAGAGAAAGTCAGGAAATATCCCCTTGTGTTTTCTCAAGGAAAACTCACGAAACATATCCACGTTCCATTAACGATGGTGGTTGGTAGTAGAACAAGGAAAAAAACCAATGGCAGCCATTGATTGCCAGGCTCGGGTTTGTAAGTAACAAAGGGAGATGGAGAACGTAACTACGTACGTACGTCCATACGCAATAAGCGAGATTTCATGCAGTAGGAGTAAGTAGCAGAGAGTGAAGTGAAGTGAAGGTGGAACGGAAATTACAAAATGTCATAAAACGATCTTTACACACACTTACTGCTCTCATGCAAAGACGTTTGTTGCCAACCTTTGTTTTACTTTCTAATCTGGGCGAGGAGAAATATTGACGTTTCTCCTTCTTCTGTCTAACCATCGGATTGCATGCGTGCCACACCCCATCACTTGGTCTTCTATCACATAATGTATCGACAATCAACGGGACTACGTATGTACCTTTTATACCACTCTGGGTATCAGGCAATCTCTGTATGTACACACTCACTCATTGGTGCTGGATAAAATTTCTCCAATGTCAATAATTGACAGAAAAAGTTTGACGTGTGTGCGAAATACTTGCTTTTTGTTTTTCATTGTAAATCTATTGTGCTATTTTGTTGAGCGTCAAATTACTATATTTACACTTTTACTACTTTATGAGCATGCGTTGTATTAAAAACTTTCCGAATTCTGATGTCGTCCTCCGCCCTCCGTCTTCTCGCTATTTTATATCGCGGGGGTGGGAAGGAGGCACGTTTTGCGACAGGGTAAATAAATTTACAATTCTTTATGCAGCATCAGAAACGCAAGAGGCAGGATAAGAAGAATATTGCATCAGGCTCCGTGAAGGAAATAAGAGAGGTAATGTTGACGCTGATGGAAATGGGAGATATACTTTGGATGGAATTAACCCGAGGTGAGCAGCAGTATTTACCAGTGGGCAAAGGAGAAAGAAAGCATGCAGTGTTGTTTCTTCTCTGAGGAGGGAGAATGAAAGTGGCAGTAAAAAGTGGCATTTTCCTGCTCAGAGTAATAACTTCGTGTGAAATGCACACTTTCCACTAACAGCTAATCTTGAAAGGCGACATCCACTCACTCAGCATAGGCAACAACTGACATCAACCGCTATCGACTGTTTCCACTACTTATTACCTCCACACTCCTCTTCGACATGAGCTTGGCTTAATGTGCCAGAAAAGTTGAGAGCATTCCTTCCTCGCTCCTATTTATGTATGTAGAAGTATGCATGCGTGTGTCTTAAGGTGGGACCACGTGGGGTGGATGAATATCACCCCACGCGAAATGCTAGCCCGTCCAACAATCAAAACTCAAAATCTCCGAGAAATGGTAGAATCTCTTCTCTTCCTATTTTTAGAAAGCTGCGTTTGTTTCTTGGCAATAATAAGTTGAAGAGCCGCTCTCCACGGCTTGAGAGGACGAAGAAGTGGTTGTTATATCAGTCTGGGAGGAGGGAGGCACGAGAATACGACAAGGACCCATCACTCTTGTCCCCGCCGACTCTCTGTTGTTTCTTGACTTCATTACATTATGGTGACAATGTCATCCACATTCCTAACTTTGGAGCAGAGAAGAAGAAGAATAAGAGGAGCCTCTCTCTCGTTTCGCAATGGTCCCCAGCATAATTTTTCTTATCCTCTCCTCTCACATGGTGAAAGTAAGTAGGTCTCGCCTAATATAAAGTGAAAGGCACTTGTGACTTTATTTTGTTGAAAAATGTGCAAACTTTCCTTCACTTAAGAATAATAAAACAAACTTTGTCCCTTTTGTAAGATATCTGACTGAGCCAGCCAGCCAGCCAACCAGCCAGTCAACCAACCCACAGATGAGTTACCTTACCTATGTAGTATTTACCCACGAGTCGTCCCTTATTATCTTATCTTCCCAGTGCAAATTTATTTCTTACAGAATTTCTCCCCACTTGACAGAAAGTGGAACTATTGAAATATTGTGAACATTGTTATTATATGTTTTTATCTGGAAAAAATAATAAAAGTAGAGTAGAAACACTTTGCAAATTGGAATTAAAATTTTCTCCAGATGGTTTTAGCTCATCTGACTAAATGTTGATACAAGCATACTCGGTGGAAAGTAAGTAGGTCGAGTTGGCTGCTGCCTCGTCTCCGGCTCACCCACCACCAACTGTATCGTACGTGTGTGTGATTTCGTACGTTGTGGGAGAAAGCAAAAGACGAGGAATCATCATATATATACATACATTATTATATGTACATATGTATGTATACTCGCTTGAAGAAACCAACTCAAACCAGACATTTATTTATCTAGTGAAAGTAAAGTTAGCAAGAAAGTTGGGTTTGAGCTGCCTCACTTTAGTTTCAAGCAAAGTTTTGTTTGTAAAGTTTATGTGTAGAAAGTTGTTTGAGAAAAGGGCATTTAAAAATTTTGTGGTTATCTCCAAACCTTGTACGTACCTCTCGAAGGAGGAAATTGAAAAAGAGAAAATAGTAAATGTCATTCAATTCGTGTATCGTCATTCATGGGGATATTTTTTTGCTCGATAAAAACATGTACATATTTTGGAACTCTAATTCATGCGGTGGTGGGATATGTAACGTTTGTTTGAGTGGGCTGATTTCGCATGGTGGTAGCGGCCTAGACGTGCATGAATATGTCTAGTAGATAAAGTTTGAGGCTGCGTTTGCCTCGCCCCAAATTTCTTTTTTAAGAGTCACTAAGTTTTTAATCAGGATTTTCAATCCCTTGAGGCTTTTCATTAGAGGATTTATTCCCTTGTTTATTTTATAGCGGAACCAGCCAAAGGTTTGAATGCGGAGAGAGAGAAAATGGGAGAAAGTGCGAGTCAGAAAAAGAGAGAAAGCACTACTCTCCTCAGCGAAAAAACAAAACTCCACCAAAATAACACACCTCCAAATAAATGCAGAATACATAGAGCTCCTTTTAATGTCGGGCTTGCAGGTGGGCAATTTATCATCTGCCTGGGTGGTGGACCACCAAACACTTTCACTCACTCGTCGTCGTCTCCTTATTTAAGAATTCGAAAAGAGTCTGTGAGCGAATGAGTGAGTGAGTGAATGAGAGAGAGAAAAAGAAGAAAAAAGTTTTATTTACTTTAAATGTTTTGATGTTTTGCTGGTTGATGAAACTTAAAACACGAAATCTGTATAAGATTCACTGGGGCATAAAATATGTTGGGTTGGGAGATGATGATGATGATGATGATTACGAAGAAGTATAAAGGAGGTGATGCATGACTAAGGTTCATTAAGGCTTGTAAATACTTAAAATGCTAAATTTTTGAATTTTCTTGCGTCAGAGGGAGGAAAAATGTTTTGATATTTTTAAAATGAGTAAGTCACCTCAGTCTGACAAGATTCGACGGATTTTGTGAGCTGGAGAATAACAGACATATTACAGTATTAGTGATTAACATGAAATGAATTTGAATATCACTGAAGAAATATGAGTACAATGTAATCAGTGCAGTGTGGAATCGAAACTTTTCCCATCTCTTTAAATTATTGCTCAAAATGAAAACCTGGACCAGAAATAGTTTCAATTTTGTCAACACATCGTTAATTAACTTTAAATTGCATAACGGAAATCTAATTATTTGTGCTATATCTATCATCTACATATTTTTCAAGTTACTGCACCTTAAAAAAGAGAGAAAGTTCAGAAACCTTTCCATCTCACACTGCATTAATGACTCATTTTTCTTTGTTTAATTAAATAAAATAATCATAAATGGGGATACTTCTTGTAGTTGTGTTCGGATTTCTGAGAGAGCCATTGCAGTGTCCAATTTTTCTTCTTGTACTTGCATCTCGTCCAAACGGTTCATTGTCATCATGGCCAGTTGTTGTTGATAACTGATGATATCCGATTGAAATGACAGCAAGAAAAGAGTGAAAATAAATGTTAGCACTCAACGATATGTAATACATCATTGAAATTTTAATAAGATACATAAAACACAGAAAGAAAAACGTAGAAAAAATACAATACACACTTAAAAAACATGTAGATAATATAATTTTTGTCATACAAACAAACTTGCAACAAGATAAATGTAAAAACAGAGAACAAATGATTCGTAAAAGACGACAAACTAAGGAGAAGACAAGAAAGAAGAGAAAATAAAATTTCGCAAAATTTTGAAGGGGATATTAGCAAACGTACCCATAACCTGGGACGGGAGATGGAGAGTCTCCAGAGTCTGGAGGCCATGATCTGTTCACAACATCAAATATTACAGTGCATTCTAAATTCTACGCTATAAAAAATCTACTCAACTTTTTTAAACATGCTCAAAGACCAATGCCCACAAAGGAAAAAAAGGAAATGAATAATCACTAGCAACACTAATTATTAACCGGTTACGTAATAATTAACGACTCACCCGTATTCTATACACCGTCCACTGGAAAAGTGGCATGTCAACGTCACAAATTTAGCCAGTTAGTTGGTTCGCATATGTACATAATTCGTAATAAATACGAGCACAGCATAATTCACAAGCTGGTGGTGATGAACCAGCTTCATTAGAAATGCATGTGCCATTTACTTACTGCAAACAAACACCAGACAATGCCACCATCCAATTTATGTATGTAGGGTATGTACCCAATAAGCAGGGAAATGTATTCAAATTCGTGTAAAGTGTAATTTTGGTAGGGATCCCACTTTATTAGTCAACATATTATTGGAATCAATGGATTAGTGGAATATTCCTGTTTCTGGTTATTTTATCCCCCAATCCGACTTTCATCCAGGGACTCGACCAACCTGCGTCCTCAACTGACTATGTATACGATCATTGTTAATTCAATTAATTACAGGACTAATTGACTACTCGGCCTGACAATGAGCAGGCGGAGCGCATATCATGAAATGTATTTTACGCTCACATTCGTATGCAGAGTTACGAACGGACATATTAATTAAGTCGATAATGATAATGACATGTTACCATTGAGTTGTTGCAAGTAATGAGGGAATGAATACTTACTACCTGCTCACTCGAGATTTTCTAGCCTACCAAAAATAAACCTCGCCCGATATTTCAAGACTTCAAAGTGAAAGCTGATTTAAATTGGGAGAGACAGAGAGGTACAAAAAATCTTTAGTTTTTTTCTTCCTTGTCCATGGCGCATTATTGCAATATAAATATTTGTAAAACCCTTTATTGGAAAGAGAGCGGGTGGGCTGGAGGAAATATCACTTTGACAAGTAATAGATTTTCAGATTAAAAAATTCTAATGGCAAGAAGTGAAACGAACTAAAACTAATTGAACTCTTGAGACTCCCCCGACTGCTCCAAATGGAGTTTTGTGTCGGGAGCGTGTTTGTGATTGAAGTCAAAAGAGCTTTGAAGTTGAGAGTTGGTAGAGTTGCAGAACGTAACTCGATGATACACGGACAAGAAATACAAACTGACTTAACACCATGATCACCACTGACTGAGCAAAAGTAGACAAGACAATGATTAGAACAGCCCACTTTCTCTTTTTGTCTTGGATTATGTTCCATTAAAATGTGTTGTTGGTTGGTGTGTTGAGTCGCCGGATGGATGGACGGACGGACCGACGATCCGACCGACGGACCAACTCTTCTGGCAACGTCTTCCACTTTCACTTTTCAGAGGCCAAAGTCATGTCGCTCACAAACAAACCATGGTGGGCGAAATGGACGGACAAAACGGTTATGTTATGGCTCATGACGAGGCATGGATGGAAGTATAAGTAGTGGCGGTGGCGTTCGTATTAAACCCGTTTTTCGGACTTGGTTGCTTTGGTAGGTGGGATGGAATAATATCGCCGTTCGAACAGGAAAAGACCCCCTTCGGGCATCTCTTTTCATATCTCTCTCCTCCACTCGGACCAATCTTCTCTCATCGTCCCAACAACCCCATCCCATCCAACTTCCGCCTTCTCCATCTCCTTTCTCTATTTATTATTTAACCAAGCATGTGATTCCATTATGCAGCAGCAGTAGCACTAGAATTACCCCACACACAGAATTAAGCCTGGCATTTACCCACTCACTCCCACACCATTTACTTACTCTTCGATCCCCTACGATATGATCCTCAACAACAATAACCCAAACCCCAAGCTGCACTTGACTCATTGACTGACTCACAAATAAAAATTCCATCCAAAGGTCATCAAATTCTTCTTCATTCCATTCATTACGTTAAATACCGCCGAGTAGTCAAGTGGGTGAGTCAAGTGGTGAAATAAAGAGGGAATTGTCGTCGTCATCATCATCATCACGAGCCCAGCAAGGAATTTATATTCAACTCGTCTATTTCATTACCAAGAAGAACGGATGCGGGGTAAAAAAAAAAGTGGTGAGCCCACACTTATTCAGAAGAAAGTCTTCATTCTCCGAAACTAATGCCATTCCATCCGATTCTTAGCTCCTCGAAGAATATATTGCACAGCAGCCAGAGCGAGCGAGCGGGTGAAACAGCAGCAGCAGAAAAAGAAGCTCATCCATCTTGAGAAATATTTGGGTCTGGCGTTTCTCACTCACCAAAGAAATCACGCATTGACAGAGTTATCCCTTTTCCGTCGGGGAAGATGGATCTGACCAAAATCAGCGGGACACTGGTGGCGGTGGCGGTGGCGAGGATGATGTATGTGTGCTTGTGGCCAAAACACAATAAGTGAAAGTGAGCAAGAAACTTGATCTAGTGTTGTAATAGTATCTAGGACGTATGTATGTACATGGGACACTGTAGTTACACCTGGTTTGCGTGGTGGTGGTGGTGGTTTCGGTTGTGGTGAGAAAGATGAAACTTTCTCCGAGTGAAAGTAGAACCTTTGGATGTGGGAGAGAGAGATGAGAGATGGATAATGCAATGCAGGGAGGATTTGTCCCATTGATGGCGTATCGTGGGTGCTTGTAATGTGATATGTATGCGAACGAGTATATACGAGGACGACGACGACCTTATACAATGCTCAGTCACTGGTGTAATTGATTCTTTACAGAAGAAGACTCCTATTTCGGGAGGAGACCAAAGAATTCATTTACTATTGTTGTTGTTGAGGTGAGGTTTACCCTTGATTGCTTTATATGTATTTTCTGCTTTCTTTGAACCAATTTTCTGACGAATTCAACTTTGACCTTAATATACAGCTCGTCTTTTTTATGCGACCTGCGCGAGAATAAACAACCAGCACTCTCATTATAAAAATGTCGACACAACCCTCAGGAGGGAAACGGTATTAAAATGCTGACTCGACCAAGTGTAGGTATGTGCTTCTCTCTCCTGACGTTACGAATGTATGTGCATATGTACGTGTATTGAGCTGGTGGTACTATGTACTACCGGTCTGAGAAGATAATAAATGTTGACCTGCCACCACTACATTTATGGATGAATCGCTGTTAACGCAAAGTAAGCAAGGAATTGGAGGATGAAGAGATAAGCCAGCAAAAACCAAATTCCTTGCTGCGATTGGACCCACAAGTCGAATTTCCACGTAGCCAAGATTATATATAAGTAATGTACATATGTAGAAGTATGAATAGTGGGCATCAACTGTATTGGATAATGTGCATGGTCGAATTTTTTAGCCATATTTAGGTCCGTCTGCGCCATAGCTCTCTGATAAATACTGCACTGGAGAGGTTTTTAAGCTGGACACGAAACCTATTGAACCATACAACACAGACCTAAAATGATTTACACTGCCAAGCTAAAAACTACCTCATTAATTTTAATTTTATTAGTTTGTGCCACAGACGTCGTCCATCCTTTCGCACGACGTATATTTAGCGAACGAGTTGAATTGAAGTGGATCACCATCATGACGATGGTGATAGGACGACGAGGAATGGAATAGGATTTTTCTGGTCAAGTGCACTGCGGTTTTGTTGGTTGGTGGATCATCATCGCGGACCTTGGAGATGTTTTCACCACCACAAACCAATATCCAACTTCTATCATTATTCTGTTATAAATTCCGGTGGGATTATAACGATAGAGAAATTTCCTCGCCGCCGTCGCGTCATCGGCATCATCATCCCACAAGAAAAAGTGCTTGCTCACCCAACAGAACCTCCTCCGTCTGCCTCCCCTCGCTCTGAAGCTCTCTGTTATGTATCCTACTTGCGACTATGTATTTCAGACTTGGAGGTTGACCCCACGAGGACAAAAAATAGGCAATTGAGAAAAAAGAAGGTGGTCAGAATCTCAAATAGATTTTTATAGAATGGAGTGGATAGCAGGCAGGCCAGAAACCGGGTAATTTATAAACCTCCTTCCGTATTTCACACTATTCTGCGGCGGACACAAGGCGAAAAGAAGAAAGTACTGCCACCCGTCCTGCTGCTACTGCTGGATATTCTGTCTTCTTCTGTGTGCCGTGAACTGGACAAAAGAGAAAGAAACCAGAGAGAAAGTCAACCAACAGAATTCTGGAATGACGACGACGACGACGACGACACACAGAACAAAACTGCCATCTCCAAAAAAAGTGGTGTTACTTTCTCCCATGAGCTGGATGGAGGAGTGAATAAATGGTATGGGTGGGCCATGAGTATTGAGCTCCATTCCAATTTATTTTATTCCATACCTTCTTTGTCACCAGTAAAGTGATCTACGTATCCTATTACGAAAATGGGAGAGATGAATGAATTTTATAGCTAATCGATTCCTATCCGATATATGGTGGTGGTTCCCAATTTCTGAATTTCAGGAATCAATGGATGAAATCATACGGAGGGAAGGATACATAAATTCCTGTCTCAACCACATATCATCACCATCGTGTTCTCCAAACGAGGATTGATTTCATTCTCCTCTTACTTGCCAACCACGAACGACTATTACTAATCCTCCTTCGATCCCTTACCACCAAAACCAAATGATAATAATAACAGTGGAGCCGCGCATAGAAAGCAGGGTTTGTGTTGATCCAATCTAAATACAGTTTGTACAGCAGCGGTTCACTGATTGTAAGCTGTTTGCTTAGGTTTGGTTTTGTGGTTTGCTTCACGTAAACGGCAATCTCTGACTGAACATTGTTTCATCTCATTCAGTGAAAGGAGAGGTACACGGATTTGTTTGGGCTTCTCATTAAACTTTGATAAATTTGGGGAGGTTTAAAAGCGTGGTGGCAGAGTAACACACACCGAAATTGGTGGGTGACACGGAAGAGAAAGTTACATTAAGCAAATATGTGGCGATTGGAGGCGCAGTTTATTCCGACATATGTACTCATGCACATATACGTATGTACACAGAGACCGACAAATAAACAATTTCTTGCGCAAGGAACCACCTTATCGAGCTGGTTGCTCAACCAAAGATAAATAAGTGTACGGATTTCATTGGAATTGTCAAGTTTGAAATTGAAGGAAAATATTTTAACGAGCGAGAAAACTGCTACTAGATATTGTTAGTTATCATAATAATGTTACTGATAAATAATATTATTGGGTTGTTATTGCTTCATTCGAGGGTGAAAGTGATGAAGGGAGAAAGTTTGACGTGTGATATTTAACGATCACTCTCTCTCACCAACTTTCACCTTTCTTGTTTATTTGTTATAGGTGTTAGGTTGTTATTGTTGTATGTGCTCCGTTGTTGTTGTGCTCTACTTGATCTAATTCAACATTCAAATGTCAGAGATCAATCGTATTTCAGGATTTTAGCAAAAGGAGCGACGACACAACGGGACGACATCCAACTACTTGCTCGCTCGACCGTGATAAATTGCTTTGTTTGGGATTAGACCTATATGGAAGTACTTATAGCGTGTCTGACTTCTAGATCACTGCTGGAAATTTGAGGAGCTCCATTTTTTTTTACTTATTGCTATTGCATGATTAAATTTGTAGCTTGACAAAAAAATCAAAGAGATGAGTTTAAAGTTTTCTTGTTACGAAGACTTGATGGAGCATTGTCTGGCATTTGAATAGAGTAAAAATAGATGGACAGATAAATAAATGGAGTGTGCACAACCTGGCTATAAGATGACGGAGGTGGGGATCATCATCATCCTCGATGTGGTGATCCCTTCTCTCCTCTTCTTGCAGTGTATAGTCTTCACTCTTAAGTCTTCTTGGAGGCGGTCGTGGAGGTCTTTTGCGTTTGGTCAGCTTGGCCGATCGCGGAAGACTGGTTGGAAAACGTGGAATTACATAAGTAAAAATTTGAATGTTTTTGTAAAAGCGATTCCTACCTTCCGGTCTCAGGTGATGAACAGGCGTCTGAGGTCCCAAGGAACGAGGATTCATCAAATCGGAGTGGACCACTTCCCGATTGGGCGGTGGGGCTGTAAATGGTGTGGAAACCTAACAAACCCAGAAGCCATAAATATAAGCACACTGCAAAAAAATGTTCACCTTAAGGCAAATGTATCTGTATTACCGGGAGGGTTAGGAGCCCCTGAGGGTGGTTGAGGGCCCCCATTTGGGTAGGAGAGGAGGTGATGGGGCGGTGAAGGTGGTCTTCCTCCACCTCCCACCATCCCTGGGGGGATGGGAGGGGGGCCGATGATGGACGAGGTGGGTGAGGAGATGGCATCAGAGTCTGAGGTGATATCAAAGTCATCGTGGGGTCTCCCAGTATAAATGCCATGGGGATGAGCAATGGGCCTAAAATAGTGAGCAGAGGGTCCGCCGCTACCACCACCACCGCCGCCGACGACGCCGAGGGTGTGGTGACCGGCACCACCTCCACCGCCCTGACCACCTATTGCGGAGTGTTGCGAGTTTGTGCGAAGGATTGTAGCGTATGCAGGGTGATGACTTTGGTGGTTGTGCACCCCGTTGGTCCCCTGCGAAAAGTGAGGCAACATTTGTGTAAGATCACTTCTGTCGCTGGTGGGCGTGGCTCATTTATTCCATTTTTTAACCTGTTGTGAACCGGGGGTCGGGGCGACGTTGTTGTTCATTTGGAGGAGGTCGCACTCCGCCCCGATTTCTGAATTTTGTTGGAGTTGTTGTCATAAGAGAAATCCTGCAATTTATTTATAAGATACAAACTCAGTCAGATAAGCCAATATTTCGACCCTGTAGTAGGTTCTGCTGGAGACCGAGTTGACAAAGAGTGGTCAGAAGGAAAAATATCCCACAGGCATAAACTTCATGTTTAAGAATTACGTATGTATTTTTGGACTCACCATTGCTTTCATCGCCACACTCGTCATCAGCATCCTCGGCTTTATTGGTTCCACCACCGATGGCTGTGCTACTACCTTGACCAGAGAGAAGGGAACTAGTTCGTTTACTTGGGGTTGGAACGTTGGTGGTGGGTGTGGCACTACTACTACTTCCATGGCTTCCTGCCCAACCGCTGTATAACATCCACATAGTTCTTCTCCACAAACAACACTACAGCACTCGTCACACTTTTTGGTATTGACCAGGTCCAAATCTACTTGTCCATTTTCATTACAAGTGTACTCTAAATCGTCATCTTTTTGGAAGGAGAAAGTATTATTGTTGCCGAGAAAGATAGAAGAAGAAGTTGAAGAATTTATGTAGAAAGTTTCGCACTCATCCCGTTTCCTTTTCTCTTTGACCTGGGGATGGATGATGGTGATGAGGGCGATGCGGCAGTGGTCGGGTCCAGATGAAATCGTACCGTGAAGAAGGAGCAGTAGCAGGAAGAAGAAGGAATACAGAGTTTTGCCACATTTTCAATTTGTTACATAATTCATTTATTCATTTGATCATCCCAATATAGACATACTGCAGGAGGGGGTTTTCATGCGCATGGAACTCATGACCAAGAAATAATAATAATAAAATTGCGAAATTATATGCAGTGCAATTTTGCTTTTTTTCTTTATCTTACTTACTTATCTCAGAAAAGGTTGAGAAATTTTTTCAATTTGTAAAAACTCAAGCATCTCTCATGCGACGGTATGTATAACAAAAGCGGAATATTTTTAATCCTCAAAGAAATGGAATCCGTCAGAAGGACTCGACAACCGAACAGTAAATGTGTCTGTACATAAATACGTATACACGACATTATTTTCTTTATACATTTTTTGTCCAGATGCTCGGATACGTACGTATACAAATTACAGAATGTAGTAGTGGTTTAGTTTTACTTATAAGTTTCCAACTTGATGCTGGTGTGTGTGTCCTACTACTCTTGAGAAATTTGTTTCCGAGGATTTGCACTTTGAGAAAACGACGAATCGTGTAACTTCAAGTCTGTCAGTGAGCCAAGCTAAATAATACAAGTCCATCGTTTGATATACATATGTATGCGCTCCCTCCATCGCCATCCGACCATTGTGTATACTGGATTCCTCTACTAGTGCTTCTTTTCCGTTTACTTTCCCCTGTCGTCCCTGTCTCCTATTTCCACTCTGCTTACTTGCAGATTAGTTAAGAAGTTGAAGTTGCTCACTTTCACTTTGGGATTTTAAGATTTGAGAAAGTGGAGTGGTTCTTCCATACTTCGTTAACAAGAGGCAGAGAGGGAGACAGATACCACTACACACACACCACTCACTTTCTCCCTCTCAAGAACTTTCCTACTGAATTCTGCAACTGGATTTCCACTACTTGCCAACCAGGATGAGATTGAGGAAGACGAGAATGAACTTGGACGACCCGGTGATAATTTAGATTCCAAAAAGTCAGCTCATTTTGGTTACTAAAGCTAAACAAATCTCTTCCCAGCAAGAAAACTTGTCTTGTAAAAAATAACAAGTTGTAGTGACTGCCTGAACCCAATAAATGAATAATATCTAGCTTTTTCTGTTTTTCTTTATACAAATATTTTCAGTCAAAAAAATTAAGCTGGAGGAATTGGCGGATTAAAATATTTTCCTATCCTGTACGACTGACTGCTAACTGGAAACTGAGACCAGGACGGGCTACACCATCACCTCATTGTGTAGGCGTTGTTGGCTGGATCACCAAGTGTTCCGAATTTGATGAAGATAGGACGATGACGATGAAGACGACCCTTCTTTCATGCCCGGCTTATTCTTCAACAGGAAGAATTAAGTAGAGGAGGAGGAAGGGAGGTAGTCGTCGTCGTCTTCTTCGCGGTGGTAGTGGAAACTGGGAAAGTTACTTAAGCACACAAAGAATAGACTTCATTTGGCTCTAATTCTCTCCTCCACTTACTTTCTCTTCTTCTTCCTCCTCCTGAAGTAAGACTTCTCGTCGACTAGTCACACTCTCCGAGAATACTGTTTCATTTCACGCCGTGGTTGCGGAACTTCTTAGTGTATCATTATTTTACCTTCCACTTCCTCCCTGGGTGGAATATAAGCCGTGTAAAAATTCACATTTTCAAATTAATTTGGCCTCAGTTTCAAAGTAATTTCTTAATATTATCGTCTAGCCAGGTTACGCCCCTGGGTGACATGGGTAGGATATTGGTTTTGCTTGTATGGAACAAGTAAGAGAAAGTGAAGACCGGATTCAGAACACGTTTTGCCACGAGACCAAACTCACAATGGGGAATGAATCCTCTTAAAAAGGCCAAGGAATAAGATACCAACCAACCAAACCAACCAACCACCCGACCAACTCGCTAACTTACTTCGGAGCTCTCTTCCCTAAAAACCCCACAGACTTTGGCTGTGGTTTTGGTTTAGTTGAACCGAATAGTTGAACCTTATTATTACCCTTATTGCACTCCTTTCCCACCACCAGTACTTACTTACATCACATACGGACGTACAGGGAGAGGTAGTAGCAGCAGTATAAATACGTTTCCTTGCTACTTTCTCCCCCTTTCTGCACGAAATATATGTCACCACGATGTTCTTCGTAAATGAGAGAACCACTAAACCAGAACATGGTGTGCCATTAGTGTGATTAAAAGTACACCTGCCCTTCATCCCTCTTCTTGGGCCATACAAACGAAGAGGAAACCAAGAAAAAAACATTCCAATGTATGAGACTTTCTCTTTTGACACTTACACATCATGCAACTTTTCATGTGGTGGAAATTGCTTTATAATCAGACTACAATCACGTAGAATAAAGTAAACAGTAACGGTATAAATAAGCAATTTATGTATAACAAGCAAGCACATGTAGGACGTTTAAGGTTTAACATCACGTTTAAGGTTTCAAAAACTTACACCAGCTGATCCCATGTTGATTTCAGATGAGCACTTGTTTTTTTCTTAGATGAGGTAAGGTGAGGGTCAATTGGGGAAATTGGTTGGTGACTTGATCGGGTTGAGAGGAGAGGTTTGTGTGGCCAGGTATCAATAAGGTACTTGTGTATCACTGCTTTCACCCACTTTTAACAAGTCATACTCTTAATTGTCTAGGTAATTTGAGTAATTCTAATGTTTACAAACGTCACAACTCCATTTTTCCGGAAAGGTCGTGGTAATAAGATCCACAATTTGAAAGTACTAAGTCTCCATTGTTGATCCTCCCACTGGGGGAATTCTCTGCCAGGAAATCTGTAACACAATACAAATAAACATTATTATAACGATATGCGAAGAAATTAAACCAATATTATCGGTTCAAGGAAACAATTTTTTTAAGAAATGGAAAGAAAAACTAGAATTATATAAATATGAGCAGTGGGCCGATTATCTTATTGGATGCAATGTCTGTTTCCTATTTTGACACCGTCGTCTCATCTCCTCCTCCTCTTTCTCCTGAGAGTTGAGTCAGTAAGCACGGGGTTCACCGTAAAGAAGACATTTGCCCATTTTTCTTGGCGTTTTCCCAACCCATTCATATATCATGGAAAGAAAAGAGAAAGCGGTTGACGACGAAGAGCAGCACGAGCTGACTTTGCGATAGCGGGTGACACCAAGGCTACAAACGACGACGACGACTCGTCCTCGTCCTAGTCGTTGCCGTCGTCATCTGATTTATTCAATCACGATGCTTCGTCAGCCAACAAGTACAAATCATGAGTTCGATGCGTTTAGTAAAAAAAGTGGTTCACCATCTCAACTCTTTTAGTGCATTATTTGATTATTTCCCACCATTTGCGTACTATTTGTGGGATTCAGTCGTTCCAATGTAAGTGTTATCCTGTGTGTGTACGTACGTATACATTTGCCACCATTAATTCCGTCACTCTATAAATGAGCATCTCGTTTTTTGGGTGCTTTGTGTAGAATTATTTATCAATCTCGATTGCTTGCGTGTGTGGGGTGAATCAGTTTTCAACGAGGTCTGGCCACAACAAAATGGGATGTTTTGTTGCTTTCACGTCACACTTTCATTCCATGTACAATCAACTAACGAGAGCAACCCCCATAAGCACCGCGAGCATTTGAGACCGAGATTGAGTTCCCACGGTCGGCTTATATTTATTCTCACTTGTTCTCTACCATACAGCCTGATTCAATGTGGGGCATACAAAACTTTGTGTTGGAATTTATGTGGGATATACGCGGAACTTTTTATTTGCACAAAATTTGACAAATAATAGCTTTTCAGGCAAGGGGAGTCTGTGCCAAGGTTTTTGGCGAGGAAATGTGTTAACCTCAATACAAGTTGGTTAATTTTAATTATTTTTGCAAAGATACCATTATGTTTTCAAATTATTTATCGCATTTATTTTTTTTGACGGGGTTAAAATTACATATAACCAAGCATATTCGCGGAACAATGGCCATCTACGTGCATACATATATTGAGTCTTGATTAATAATCATTAACTCTTTGCTTTTAGTTACAGAATATATACTTATTGGCATTACGCAATTTGATATATTGACATTTTCGCGTCAATTCGGTCATCGAACCTGGTTGGACAAGTATCGACCAGAATTGGAGAAGACAATGTTAATAATATCTTTTACTTCTTCGCGTCTTCGTACCCGCTTGAATGGTCTCAACCGATAAGCCAACTTTGGTCGTCGCAAACAAGAGAGAGCAGAGCAGCCGACTCTTCATCAAAATGATAAAAAAGATGATAAAGGCAAAAAATAAGGGAGACAATCTCTGTCCACAAGAGGAGAGAGAGAGGCACAAGAAGCCCTTCTTCTCCTTGTTCCTTGCTTGGTTCGATTAGTTCCAATCCGAGATTTGGCTCAATTTTGTCCCCAAATATTTTTTGCTGGGTGGCAGTAGTGAAGTCAAGTTGAGTCAAGTACGAGGTCCATTTAATGTGTCAAATCATCAGTGTGACCAACTCCACGACCAACTTGCCCAAAAACATTGTGGATGATCCTTACCTCCACATTTTTAAACAGACTTTTTTGGGAATGTCCTCCTTTATTACTTTTATTGGTACTTAGTTAAGCAACCCGTCTTAACTAAGAAAACTCTTCTTCCTCCTCCTCCTCCTCCTCTCCTTCTCTTATGTTTCCTACTTCCTGAATCTTTTCCAACATTTAATACACTTCCGATAGCACGAAGAGAGGAAAAAAGCAAAGTCAAGGGATTCATTGAACACAAGAAAAAAGCCCCATCATCATCCAAGCATGTCTATGTATCCACGCATATGGAGAAAGTCTATTTTTAAAACTTTTGACCTCTTCTCCCATCCAAAGTGAGGCCCTTATTTTAATTTTATTTTGTTCAAGAAAAGGTGAACAAGTAGTTTAAAAGTTGGCAACTTTTTAAATTGCCAAATTTTTTCAGGCAAAAGAATTTTATTCAAAGGTGAAAAGTTTTTTAGCCGTTGGTGGATGAAGTGGAATGAAGGGGAAGAAATGAAATGAGGAGTAAACAAGCACGTCAAGAAAATAAGAGGAAGAAGAGCAGCCCTAAAGGTAAATGAATTGTGTAGCAATTGTGTAACCTGTCCACCATCCGTCAGTCAGTTGTACTTCTCGCTCGTCTTTTTCCCCTCTAAAAGTAGGTACACATGCCGAGTTGGAGTGTTTCGGAGGAGGCAGAGAGGAGAAAACGTGTTATTAGCACAATGAGATGGAATGAGATAAGATGATGATGACGCTAGTTGAGAATGGTTACATAGTCAGAGTCAGAGAGACGAAGGGGAAGGAAAACAAGGGCACTACTGCCATCATCGCATTCCTGGCTGGCGTGTAGATATGTACATATGTACGTGCATATGTATAGGCAGGTGAAATCGTAAAAGGAATGAGCAGAAAGTCTGTCCCGTTGTAGGATTCAATTGGACGGGATCACCTGCCCATTGAGATATCGTGATCTGACAAATTCTTAAATAAATTATGTAAAGTTGGATTGCTTTAAATTGGAAGAAAGGAAAAAGAGTGGCCGCTCGTGTAACGACGAATTCTATGACAGGTTGTATTTTTGCTCTGGCAGTGAAAGCTCTCCTGACGTCATTGTCTGCCTGTAAAAGGAGGCACTAAACCAAGCACAGAGTAATATGACCCATCTTTCATCGTGTCAGGAGAGAGAAACTCGCGGCACCAGCAGCAGCAGCAGCAGCACCTTTGCTTTCTCCGTATCGTGTACATGCATGCATATCTCCACTCACTTTGGCCGGGCTGGATAGAATTCACAAACAATTTCCTGTCTCACCTCAAGTATTTTATTCCCAAAATGCCAAAACGAGAGTAGAGTTTCCAGCCACCTGTCTTAAAATCAATGAATATTTCACAGCTTATCAGCAAGACCAGCAACATCAGGCGCACCAGCCAGTCAAAGTTATGTACATCAAAGGCAGGTGAAAGTAATCCATGTAAATTTTCAACAAATTGACAATGTCTCAAAGAAGAGCAGCATGATTTAACATGGTGTGGAATATATCTCGTGAGTGAGAGGGCTGATAAAATTATTAGATTATTGCTTCCTTCTCCTTCCCTTCTCAAAGTTGGATGACAGTTTTCGTAATTTATTTTAAACTCTTTGTGACTTTTGACTTTTCCGAACAGATTCACCAACAAAATGTCTTAATGAATTTTCTTCCAAGGATCAAATCCCGACTTGAAATTGATTCCAAGTAGATATTCATATGCAAACTTGTCTATTATATTGTACAAGTTGTCTTCAGCAGCCGATTTGTATTATATGATGTAGCCAATTTTTTCATCTCTCTTGTTCTTCAATACAACAGCATCTGCTGTTTGGCCGATCCTAACGTACTGCTGCTTCGGAGTGAGCCAAAAATAGGGAGCGAGGCAAGGAGAGAAAGTATGGCGAAAGGGGCAGAGAGGAGACGAAGAATTGAAGTGCAACTGCTGTCAGTCCACTTATCTTTAAATCTTTACTTTCTCCGCTCCTGAGAACTTTTCAGTTTTTCTTCAGATGTTCAATATTCCCATCCCAATAACAACTGTTACCACCACCATCCAGCCAGCAAATTGTGATTGTGTCTAAGTAAAGTAAAGTGAAGAGGGAGTAGTGAGTGGTGGTGGTGGTGGTGGTGGCCATAGATCAAGCATCAGTTTGTTGAGAAGGAGGAATCCTCTTACTTTCTTGCCTTCTTCTTGTCTGAAGAAAACAGCCAAAACCAAACCAACATTTGCTTATAACGAAAGTTACAAAGTTAAAGAGCTTCCCCAGTAAAAGTTGCGGGAGATGCACCATTCTTTTTTATCTTTATCTAATATCGCGGAAAATATCTCCAATCTTCAACCGGTCCAGCAGTGGAAGCAGCCAAACCAAATAAACTTTTCTCCTTTTCTGGTAAAAAAGAGAGAAAAAATGCTGGCTGGTTGAGAAAGAGAGAGTTTAGTTTAAGGGAGGAGGATGACGACGGTGGAGAAAGCTGCTTACTTTTTATATGCTCTTTTACAATGGAGTAAGTACAAATCCCACGTGAATAAATCTAGTCATAATAAGGCAGCATTGAATTTTGAATTTAATGCTGGCTTTTTTTATTTCACGTCTTATTATGAAAGATTACGTGTAATATATGCTAGTTTTTGTCAAAAGATAAAAATCGGAAATGAAAAGCGGCTAAGATGACGATGATGAAATATCTAACTTTCAAAGAGAGGAGAAAATATAAAGTAAGAGCTTTATTTGTCAAATGAGACCAAATTTCTGGGAAAAGCTTCCCCCTCTCTCGACAACTTATTAACTCAATCAGTGAAATTTTTCAAAGGAAATTCAAACAACGACAGTTTACCACATTATGATTCTTAAAGAGGATTGGAATGAGAGATTCCTAAATAAATAGAAACGTACATAAATAAATTGGATGGATACGGAAAAGCCCAAAAGACGCCAACTAGTCATCCTAGCCAATTAGTAGAAGGAAAATCGAAACATAATCAGATTTCAGATTGGATGGAACCATAATGCAGCCCTTTCAAATACTTAATGGCACAACACAGTGACTAAAAGTGGCCTCTGAGATTTCTAAATATACTGGAATCAATCAGCTCCACGCAACTGTTGAGCTGTCACCTTAATTAAAATCTCTTCCCTTTGAGCAGAATGGAGAATTAATAGAATAGACGGCTAACTAAGCAGCCTGACAAATAAACAAGTTGGTTATGTTCTCAAGTCAAAGTTGAATTTGACTTATCTCTCGTGAAATCATGAGATAAATTTA